AAAAGATACCTGTTTTAACAAAAACTTAAAATAACTGGTATTAGTTTAAAAAATGTTGGTAAAAATTCAGCATCCTGGCTCAGAATAAATGCTATCGGTATGCTTAACACATGCAAGTCAAATGTTTTTAAACCATAGCGAACGGGTGAGTAACACGATATATTTTTAATATAACAATTTCAGATTCTAAAGACAATAAAATTTTATAAAGATAAAATTCTCAGTGAAATGTAAACTAAAAAAACGATTTAAGGTAATTTTAATTATAATAAAAAATATTTCACCAAATTTAAAGCCAATCATTTTATCATAGGAATGTATCTTTTTCTATTTTTATTTTTTTGTAAATTTGTAGTCATTTTTAAATTATTTTTTTTCTTTTACGGGTGAATTTATTAATACAAGAAAAAAACATAAATAAAAATAGGATAAAATTTTATTTTTTTAATATTTTTATAATATTGTATTTTTGTATTAATTGTTTTATTGAAGGTTCTGTAATTAAAATTTTCAGGATTTCATGGTATACATGTTATTGTTGGTATTCTTTGGATTAGGGTTTTTCCTGATACTACTTAAACCCCCCCCTGTATTCATATATCAATATAAAAAATATAATAATTAAAAAAATTATTAAATAAACAGGATTTAATCTTTTAGGTTTAATGTTATTAATATCTTCAAATCATTTTTTTACTTTAAGTTCAAATTTTTCATGGGGATTGACAAATTGATTTAAAAATATAAAATCTATACTACTTAAAATTAAAGTATTTTTTTGATTAGTTATTTCAATCTTTGAAGGACCACGGACGGCTGTGAAGTCGCCGCACATCTCGCAACGGATGGCGAGATGGCTCTCATTCTTCGCAGAGTATAACTTCCGGGTTGAGTACAAACCCGGAAGACTCAATGTGGTGGCCGACGTCAATGCCATTGACGCCATGCGATCGAGCACCCCAACGTCGTCACTGTTGGACGACGTGAAGGTCGCGTACGCGTACGACGCGGACGCGAAGCTCTTGCTGGCCTACGGCTCAGCGCCTTCTGACATAGCTCGTCAGAAGCTGCCGAAGCATCTTCGTGCTCGTGCACACCGTTATCGGGTGCACGACGGGTTATTACTCTACAGTGCAGTCGACGACAACGCGGACCGCGTTGTCGTGCCCACTGAACATGACCAGCGACTCAGGATCATGTACGAGTATCACGATGCACCGACTGCGGGGCATCCGGGCCGTGAGAAGACATACCTTCTTCTCACGCGAGACTTCTACTGGGCCCACCAGTACAAATGGGTGCGCAAGTACGTCCGTGCTTGCGAGGTTTGTCAACGTGTGAAGCCTGCGCCTTTCGCGCAGGCTCCCTTGCAGTCACTGCCGACTCCGTCGGAGTGTTGGCAGTCCATGTCTTTGGACTTCGTGTTCGGTCTTCCCCCGGACAGCCAGGGGAACACGGGCGTTGTGGTCTTTGTTGACCGCTTCAGCAAGATGGTACATCTTGCTGCGGTACCCGCTGAAGTGACTGCGAAACAGACGGCGCGTCTGTTCGTTGACATGGTGTTCAAACACCATGGCATGCCGATCGACATTGTGTCGGATCGAGACCCGCGCTTCACTGCACACCTTTGGCAAGAAGTGTTTACACTACTTGGGAGTCAACTTTCGATGTCGACTGCGGACCACCCGCAGACGGACGGGCAGACCGACCGCGTGAACCGCGTGCTCGTAGACGTGCTTAAGAGCTACGCTCACTCGTTCCAACACTAGAGCGAGTGCCTGCCGATGGCGGAGTTCGCCATCAACAACTCGGTGCATGCCTCGACCGGGCATACACCGTTCTACGTGAATGCCATCAGGCACCCACGCCTCCCGAGTCTACTCGGGATGGTGACTCCTTCCTTAAGTGGGGGAGGATCTATGACTGTAACGCAGCAGCCGCAGAATGCCGCTGGCACTTGCACAGTGTCAGCCGCGACTACGCGCAAGAAGAACAAGCAGCACGCGTCTGTGCCGGGCACAGACGCCGACAAGAGCAAGAAAAAGAAGAAGAACGGGTCTGTGCAGGGCACAGACACCGCGAAGACGAACGCAGAGGCCGGGCCTACTGCTAGAAACGAGCTGAACGAGTTCAGCTCGGACGCAATCAACTTCGTGCAGCGCAGACAAGCCGTCATTCGGTTTGTCCAAGACGCTACAGCAGCTTCTGTTGATCGACAGAAGATGAACGCAGACAACGTTGGCAGGGGCAACACAAATGAATTCGAGAAGGGTTCATTGGTTTTGATAGCTACTCAAAACCTGCCTAAACATGCAGTTTCCGACTTCGGGGCGAGCAAGCTTGCTCCGCGCTTCATCGGGCCGTTCACGGTGTTGGCACGGCATGGCAACGCCTACACGCTAGATATTCCATCTAGCATGCGCCTCCATCCGACCTTTTACGTCGGGCGGCTGAAGCCATACCGGCAGCACGAGCCACCTAGCTCGGCTGGCCCGAAGCGGAAGCCCCAGCGGAAGCGAACCTCTGCTCCAGCGCGTGAACGCGCTGGGCCAAGCGTGCGACGCGACCTCCCACGTCGACAGAGATGTCCGACGCGGTCTGCGAGGCCTGAGCAACTTGAGCTCTCAGGGTCGCCATCTCCTGCTTCAGAGCGGCGCACTCACGGCTCTGAAGCTGCTCCACAGCAGCGACCCGCTCCTCGAGCGTCGGGCCAAGGTCAACCCCAGGTTGACCATACCCGGGGCGTGTTCCCACCACCGCCGCCTCCGATCCGCGACGCCCACGGCTCAACACGCTGGATTGTTGAGCGTATTGTGAACCATAGTATCCCGAAAACGAACCGTCAGCCGGTTCGTTATCGTATTCGTTGGAGAGGGTTTCCGCCCCACCAAGATACATGGGAGCCGCAGGACGTCCTGTTGCAGGACATTCCGGAAATGGTGAGGGCGTACGAAGCTCACCACGCACTGCCGACGCGAAGGTAGTGCGAGCGCTGTGGTCACCTACAGCGCCCGAAGCCCCACGATCGTCGCGTTCCTCGCGTGCCAAGAACTTGGCACGGAGATCCTTGAGACTCTCAGGTATACGAATCGTCGTGTACCCGTTTAGGTCGCGGTCGCTCAAGCGCACCGCACCCGGAAGACACAACGTGCACTGATTGCCTTCGGGCACAGCGCATGGAATACCAGCGTCCACAGAGGATCTGTGGAGCTGCTCCAGCCTCCCGCGCGTCGAGAATGTCTCGAAGCGTTTACGGGCATGCTTAACCCGCTCGCGGTAAGCAGCCGGCTTCTTGTTGAAGTTCTCAACAAAAGCGTTCCAACTTTGACAAAGTGCCTGCCACTCAGGCACTTTGCTGCGAGAAGAGGTCTTCTTGCTGGAGAAGTACCAGAGCTCGTGGAAGAGCCCGATGTAATAATCGCGCCTTTGATTCGTTAACGGATCAAAGTGCTGCGCCTCCGCAACAGCATCGTCGCGGATACCGCTGCATACGTACAGCGGAATTTCGTTTGGAGGCACAGTGTTGCCCACGCGGTCAGCGATCTCTGACGCAGACGGCATCCACGGATCGCGCGCTGCCTGAGCAGCGCGCGGAGAACTTGAAGTCACCACATCACGTGGGGAGCTTAAAGCCCCAGCAGCAGAGAGCGGAGTGTCGCTCTCGCCGCGCGAACGCTTCGAGCTCGAAGCGTCCGAGTCGTCTCCTTCACGAGGGCGTCTCGACCCGGCATGCGGGTCGAGACTATCGCTGTCGATAGACTCCTTGCGCTTGCTAGAAGAGGCCTCGCCCTCTTCCATCTCCACGTCGTCGTCGAAGTCAACGGCGTCGTCGACTGCAGCAGAACCTTCGAGGGCAATCTCTGGTTAAGTTGTCCCCGCCGCAGCCTTGGTAGCAAGAGCGTCACGCTTTGCTTTGAGACGCTCGCGGTACTCGGGGATAGAGAGAGTCTCTATCCCGGCGGAGGACTTCCCCTCTGCTGCAGTGTCGGTATTCTTCTGAGGCAAGCTCATTGCGGAATAAGCTCGAGTTTTCTTTCTCCCAACGTGAAGAATTGACGAATGGTCAATTTCCTGATTGACGTGCCGTGACTCGGCGCGTCTAACCTTGAGGGGGGGATGGTGTAACAGGGTTACACGCACAAGTGGCTACAGTCACTTGTAACTCTAACAGACACGACGTCTGTTAGAGGTTCGAAAGACTTTCTCGACCTTGGTGTAGACACACCAAAGGCTACATACATTTACGACCACCACGACGGGTGGTCCATAGAGACTTAGGATTCCTATTGGCTGAGAGCAGCATCTCTTAGCCAATGAGCGACATGCACAGCATTGGAATTCTGCCAACCAGCCGTTGGCAGATTCTTATCTTAGAATATTACATTTAGAGGAAGTCAGAGACATAAAACAAAAATAGCAGTTCTCATTATAACCCAAAACATTATTTGGATCGTTTATTTAGATTAATCTATACTCGGAGTCCCGAGTATAATTAACTCTAGTTTAAACTACGCTACGCTTCCTCACACACGTGTGCGCCCGTGTAAGCTAAAGTAGTGAGCCAAAGTAGGCCCATTACACCCGCTGCTCGCCGCGCACCCGCACATTCACTGTCGGCAGTGAGTCCACGGTCGGCGCTTGCACCGCCCGCAACTGTCCCACGCGCACGGGTCGTAGCTCGCCGTCGATCGCCTTGACGTACGAGTGCGCGTACACGCTCCCGCTGTTGTACTCGTACTGCTTCGCGTGTTTCGAGCGAGCCCCTCGTTTGATCGAGACTCGCCTCGCCCTTGGTGGCGTGAAACCCGTCGCTTCCGCCTCCGCGCAGCTCATCGTCCTACCTTCTCCAGCGCTCTTCTGCTCTCCGAACGCAAAGTAGACGTTTGCCGGGTGCTGCGTCCTGACGAGCGCTGCACGCAGCTCGCGTTGTTCTTTGGCCTGTGCCTTCCGCGCCCGTTTCTCGTAACGTCGTCGTGTTCGCGATCGCCGCAGCTCCGTCTCGCCTGCAGCATGTTCGTCACTCTCGCCCACCGTTGGGTCTTCGGCCGCGCTCGCCTCACCGCCAGCACGGACAGATGACCCTGTCGTGTCGTCCGTGTCACGGTGACTTTCTCGCTGCCTCCGTTCGTCTTGCCGTTGTCGTCGAGCCTTCGAGTGCTCGATGCGTCTCTGGCGCTTGCGCGCTCGCCGCGCTGCCTCCACTTCGGCTGCACGCCGCTGCTCCACATCCTTGGCTCGTACGCGTAGCACCTTGGCCTTGGCAAGGTCGCGTACCCGTATCTCCTCCGTCACCACCTCTTGGACATGCGGCGTGCCGTCCTTCGGTTCGTCGTCGTTGGTGTCACGTGGCATGGCGCCAGCGGATGTCACGACGCCATTTCCCTCCTCGTACAACCGCTGCACGGCGCGCAATTGCGCCTCGACTCGCGCATCCAGCTCTTCCTTGCTGGGGACGCCGCTGCGGTCGAAGCCGCACGCCTCCAACAGGTCACGCGTGTCGACCACCACGCGTCTGTCGTCGCCCTCGGTCTCAGTGCCTCCGTTCGTCATCTCCGTCACTGCGAACCTCACGCGCTTACCCGCGTTCTCGTCGCCGTCGCTCTTCGTCACGGACACCGTCTTCGGAACCGTTCCTTCCGCGTTGGTGGCCGCGTGCGCCGCGCCATCCCCAGTCGACACTTCCTCCGTCGTCGCGCACGAGGCGTCTGACGCCACGGCCGTCCGTGGCCTCGTCCGCCAGCGATGCCGTCGCTGGCCCGTCGTTCGTCACCGCCGTCACCCCTGCCGCGCCATCCCCAGTGCCAGGCACGGCGCGACATGCGCCCGCGCTCCTTGCACTCGCTGCTCTCGATGCGCCTCTTCCACCGCGACCACCGCTTCCTCCAGTGGCCGCTCCTCGTCGTCGTCGTCCTCGGCCGCTGCGCTCTCGTCCTCGCGCGTGCGCCGCTCTGCTTCCTCGCGTCTTCCCCGGGTCAGACCCTGCGAGCTGTAAGGCCGGGACCAGTACGCTCGCGGGCCGTTTCCCGCCGCCGATCCGTTGTTCTCCTCCTCGGTTTGCCCGGCCGTTGCGTTCTGAGCGGCCAGATCGGCCTGCTTCAGCTCGCATTCTCGCGCGTAGTGGCCATCTTGTCCACAGTAGAAGCACTCCACGCCAGGTCTCGGCGCGGCAGGCTTTCCTCCGGCTTGCGTATGCTGAACGCGCGCTTGGTACCGCTCCAGGTTGCGCAGCCGGCCTTCGCGCGTCGCCAGCGTGGGGTTGGGAGCTCGCCTGGCCGCCTGAGTACCGCCGCCGAAGGCGGCCTCCACCTTGAGCGTCTTAGCGGGCCGCCGGTCATTCTGATCGCCGGTACTTTGCCGTTTCCCGCGCGTGCCCAACGGATCTCCGCCCGCCGTTTGAAATTTTGAACCGCTGCCCGCGCTGGCTCCCTTACCGGTAGGTACCAGTGTGAATCCCGGCGGGATGGCTTTCCACCATTCATCCGCACTGGCTCCACCGGTCGATACCGGTCTTCCTTCGGTATCGTACCTTGGTGGCTTCTGAGTCGTGCCCCACATCGGGCCGTACCCAGTCACCTCGTTCCTCGAGTTGCCGCGAAGCCCCGACTGCTCTTGCCCACTCGTCACCTTGGCTGCCGCCAAGGGCCCGCGCCCGTACTGGGCCTCCCTGTCGTCCCAGCGTGTCGTCGCCGTCTCGAGCCCCACTCCGTAGCCCTCGCCGTACTCACCCACGTGGGGGACGGCCAGATTGACGGCCCCGTCAAGTGTCTTCGGCCGGTGTCCACGCACGTGTGTCGCTCCCTCGGTGCTGCTCATGCCCTTCATGAAGGCGCTCACGAGCCAGCTCTCGCCAACATCTCCTCGCTCGCCGATCTCCCGCAAAGCCTGAGCGTACTCGACCAGGCGCTCACCCCGCATCTGCCTTCTCGCGTTGAGGCGGTCCACCACCTCGGGGGTCGTGTCCTGGGTCATGTACTTGGCCCGCAGCATGCCCGCGAGGGTGTTGATGTTCTCCTCCTCGGGCGGTACGGACTCCATCACCGTCGCGAACCACCTCTTCGCCTCGCCGTCCAAGTGCGCAGCCACCTCATGGTACAGCTGGCCGTCACTCCACTGCACGCCCATCGTCGCAGCCTGTCGACGGACCTCGGCGCGGACCGTCTTCAGCCACATCGTGACCGGCATCGTGTCGTCCAACCCCTTGAACTTCGAGAGCTTCAGCGCCTTCGCCTTCTCGCGCACGATCACCTGGCGCGCTGGCGCGTAGTCGTCCGCCCAGAAGCCCCCGGATCTCGCCGCTGATGTCGTGCCCGGTGTCGGTGGCATGCGCCCGAGTTCGTCACCGCCCCGGTCGTCATCGCCGCCAGTCCCAGTCAAGTCCACCGTTCTCGCCCGTCCTGCGTTCGTCGTCGCGCCCGGGTTCGTCATCGCCGGTGCGCTTGGGTTCGTCATCATCGGTGCGCTCGGGTCCGTCACCGGCGCCGTACTCGCAGTCGTCTCCGCGCCCGTTCTCTGCGTCATGCTCATCGTCGTGTTCGCGCCCGTGGGCGCGCCGGGTACTGTGCCGTGGCCGCCACCGCTGCTTCGGCTCCCGGTGGTTACGTCGCCGCCCGAACCGCCGCGGCCACTCACCATCGTGTCGCTGTCCGCTCTTCCTTGGTTCGGCTGTCCGGTTCTCGCGTTCGTCGGCGTGTTGCCCGTGGCCGGCCGAATCACCTCCGTCTCCACGAGCAGTGTCTGGCCGTCCTCCGTTTCCAGCGTCGTGGACGCCGTCAGTTGTTGTTGCTGTTTCGCTGTTTCGCGCGCCGCTCGCGCCTGCGACGCAGCGCGCCGCTCCGCTCGTTCGTCTCGCTGAGTCGCCATGGTCGTTCTTGGCTCTTTCTGTTTCAAATAACACGATCGCCTTTGTTAGCTCACTCGCTCTCTTCGTCTCACTCTTATCGTTTCCTTATCGTTTCCGCTGCGGGTCGCCCGCTAAGACACTCCGCTCGTGTTCTAGCCCGGAAGGCCCCTGTATGACCACCATGTAGGTAACCCGCCGCTAGGCCTCCAATCCCATTACGGGTCGTCAGCTCACGGACGGATTACGTTGTATTGACGACCTACTCGCCGACACCTAGGCGGAAAGCATTAGCGCCGGCGGCTAACCGGCACGGGGCCGCACAGTGGTGACCAAACAGCTTATGGCCCAGACGGGGATAGGGATGGCTGGTAGGAAGCGTTGTCGGCACCGACGGTCGGGTAGCCCCGCCGGCTGCTTCCAGCAAAATCCGGTTAACGTGCAGCGGACGCAGGTGTCCTTCGCCCGAGGGCACACGCGGACCCTTGCGCCCCTCGGTCAAGGCGCTACTCGTGCACCTCGACCCCCGTGGTCTCTCTCCACGGTCCCGCCGCCCTACTCGCCACTGCCCCCTTATCTTAGTGCCTGCCTACCTTCGCTTACTTCCTCTTACTGCCCGCAGCTAGTCGTCGCCCTCGCTCAGCACTAACGTAGCAGCCCGTGCCTTCGGTCGCAACGCAATGTATTTAGTCTCAACCTGCTACAGTTCTGCAACAAATCTCAACTGAGAGTCGAGCTGCCAGACCGCAGCTCGTTGTCCCCGCTTACTTCTACCTCTCCTACACATTGGGCGCCTTCCTAGCCTACCTGGACCTCTCCCTCTTCACGTCTCATCACCGCTCCCGTGGCCTCCTGGCCGCTCGTCGTAGATCTCACGTCGCCTCGCCTCCTCGCACACTCACTCCTTGTCCCTGTCCGACGTGTCGCCCTCCTGCGATCTTCTGCAGACTCCCCTCTTCAACTTGGTTCTCGTGGCGGTGGCAGTAGCCGACTGACTCGCCTCAGCCACCGCCTGCCGCCCGCCGTACACCTCCGCCACCGACTTGTCCTTGGTGGGCCACACGAACGACTACGTCAAGTCGATCACGACGCAGCCGCTGCTCACCAGCTCTGAGTCATGCTCCGCCGCACAGTGACAGGACACACTACAACACACCTTTATTATTTGTTCTAGTCGGCTTCAATATCCTTTATCTATCTATGATGTGCCGATGGTCCCGTGTAGCATGAATGTCGTTCGATGTCATCCGCCGGCAGGGGAAGCTACGAATGTAGCGCGAATGTCGTTCGATGTCATCCAAAAACCTTCCCCAATCGACAGTCTGCGAACTTTTAATGGGGTTACACTGGGTTACGAAATGTTATGTTGCTCGGATTGCGATCCGTTAGAGCAACTGTATTAATAAAACTTCAAGCCCGTCAGTTCTATAACACGCTAAGCACGAGCTATTCTGTCGAAAAGCGTCACCGAAGGCACCACAGACTCTTTTTTCCACTCCGAGCGCCTTCTGACGACCAATCCCATCAGGTGTATGCCATCAATGCTAACTACCATCGAGGTTCCTACTGCAAGTGAAAGCGAGTGGTTGAACTGTCGAAACTATTGGCTTGGCCGGTCTTGAAGGGCGTTTTGCCAGCGCTGCTGTTGCCTTCATTTCCAGATTTTTTTCTATACTCGAATACATGTGGTACTGTATCAAGGGCCCATGTTGCAAGCCCATTGCGTTGAGAAGTAACAGCATATAGTCGCGAAATACATTCCCTGAAACAAGTCATTCTTGTCTACCGATTAGAAACTGTTGGACGGAATTGCAAAGGATAAAGATACATGGATCGAAGAAGCTGACGGTATTTATCATGTTGGGCAACCTCCAGACGGATGGGTGTCCCGAACAGGTCCCAAAGCGTCTGGTTGAAAAAAAATGTACGCACTTTTGTTTGATTTTTGTCAAGGGTTGAAGCATGAATCTCCTCATAGTCTTCACGACTTTAGTCAAAACGATAACGCTGACAATATTTGTACAATGCAATAGTACCTGCGCACGTAGGATCGCGCGTATCTCCAATGCGAGAAAAGGAGCTGGTAATTTATCCGTAAATCACCCACCAGGTCCTAGCTGATTCGCCGAGTTGTAAGTATTGACCTACAATGGCGATCATCAAGGGTTCCCGTGTCGAAAAAAGCAGTGTTTACTAACTTTGACTTAAACTAGGTCGTCTTCGACTTGGCTGGGAACACCTGTGGTATAAAACGCTGGTGCTGGTACCGGTGGTGATTGCCGTGATAAGGGAGAACTGTGGCCCGCGTGATTCAAGGGCGTGGCCCACACCCATGAATATCGCGCGTGCCGCAGTTCACTTTCTGAAGCTGGTGGATGGGCCTGTTGATGTCGATGTGCATTTCCTGCCTCAGTCTGAAAGTTGCCGTTGAACCTGCTCGGTCGACATCCTTCTGGCTCGTGTAGCACGAAGGTTGCGCAGTTACGCGTTACGGTCACGCAATTAATCCGTTGGGAGCTGTCCACCCCCTCATTCTTCGGGTGTTCCCAGTATAACTTTTTTTTAGTGATCGCCTTCAATGTAAGCATCTTTAAACCGTTATCAACTGGGGTGGAGTGCTGATGGCGTTGATGCTGTCTTCGTAAAACAAAGAGTGGAACATTCCTCCGCCAGAGGGAAGACTAGTGTGATCATTGCAGTTGCAGCCCGCCCGATAACCTGAATGTTCTCCGCAGATGGGTCCATCAGCGTCTGCGAAATTCGCAGATCATCGCAATAAGGCGAGTAGCCAGCAATCCACGGAGAAGCTGGGGCCATGCGCTCCACGAGCTCACAGCCCAGTCCCAGAAGAACGACACATTGGTTCCACGCATGAAGGCCCAAGCTAAGCCCACAGATAACTTGGTCACATTGCGTGGCAGCTCTTGAATATCCAAGTCGCTGATTCCGATAAGGTAGGTATTATCAATCTCGAACACACCGGGCGGGATCTCAGTTATCGGGTTGCCCGTGCCAGGTTCTAGCCGCAGAAAAACGGGATCGACGGTAGTTAGCTGGCTGTACTCGAATTGTAACCGGATGTCGTGAGCCATTTAGTATCTAAATCATCCGGCAGCTCCCGCAGATTGCTAACGCAAAACTCCACATCGTACACTGACGGTGGGAAGTCGGGCGTAAGAAACCCAGCGGGGAGAACACCGTCCGTCATATTGACTCGAATGAGGAACAACGACAGCAAGTTTGGGTGGTTCGTTGATGTAAGAGCAGCCGATTTCCCCCAATCTACAATAGTCGTATTGTACACTTTGATCGCTCTGAGACTGTGAAACTCGCTGAGTCGAGCGGGTACTTCAAGAGCTGGACAGTGTCGAATCAACACTTGAACCACAGCGAAGCTATCGAACTCGCTCCAATCCTTGTCCACTTCATCCGCCAGACCAGATATGCCCAAAGTGTAGCAATCAAGCCCCGCCAAGAAGCAGGACGGACGAGAAACACCCCACGGTCTCACATGAATTAGGCATTGGGATAGCAATGGCTGCGTCGAAGCTTGGATATGAAATGCAAGCACCACTGCGCCCCAAATCCCGAATAGAATGTGACCCGAGTGCAAAGTCAGTTTTTCGAATTGAGCCAGCAGCTTGGAGTCATAGCAGAAAAATCGCCCACGAGTTGACGGGATAGTTTTGATTGTTGCAATGTCGAAGGATGATGGAGCCGTGAAGACCGACTGGCCAATGCGATTTTTCTTATGCGGTAGACGCTGGAGCAGCTCCTTCATGTTGGTAGTTGTGGCGATCAGACTCAACGAGAAGATACTGCGAGTCGCCAGATCCATCCAAGAGACCACGATGACCATTTGAAGCTCGTTGTACCAGGTAAGATAGTCGAATCCCCAGAGTGTCAGATCGTAGTCCCCGGTATACCCCACAATGACGATAATCGCCACACCGACGTACGATATGAGGTTAAGAGCGCAATCCGACAGGATGATGGTGTACCGCTTACAAGCCTCGTCACCCTTAAAGAGCCACGTGTTCACAATGGCCGGCGCCCAGCAGTTCATCACGATCAAGACGACGTAGATGCGGTTAAGTAGTGCACGACGTAGCAACATGCTCATACGATATGCTTGGCGGGTTTGTAGCGTAGTTTCGACGAGTTCCCGGCATAGCTGAATTGTGTGGAAGTGCCTGCCATTAACACCTAAAAGCCCATGACGATCCGAGACTTTAGCGTAAACTGTGGTGAAGCTCCGAGTGATTCTTGAACGTGTTCGATCTGAAGATTTTACTTCTTCGGTCTTGACCTCGGCAGTGCACGAAGCCCATGGAGTGAAAGCCAACGAACGATTCCAGATCGATCCGCCGAGCATCAGCAAAATGCAGAATCCGTGTAGGACCGCCATAATGATGTGGACGATTGCGACTGCACGGCCATTCTCGAGCGGCAAACCGATTTGAAACGATACCAGAAGGACGTTGAGGTAGGTATCCTGCAGGTTCCAGTAGTAGTATCCGTATAACGTTAGTGCGTTGAAGAAAGCCACAACTGCGTGCACGCCTAGAAGCAGAAACCACCACACGGTGAAGGCGCAGGAGGAGAGCCCGTCGGCTTGAACTGCGACACCGCCTTAAACCGACTTCGTACTATGGGGTTCTGTTTCCTATTTTCAAGCCGAAGGGGAACTAAATATGCTGCATTGCGAATTTTTTCTTATGTCTTGCGACTCGCAAGACACAAGAGCGTTGTCAAAAATGTGCAGTTTCTATCGGCGTGCAACAGAGATCGGAAACGTAGTTTTCGGGTTCGACGATAGAAGGCCATGATGACGAACAAGTCAAGCCTATCCATGAGAGCGAACGCATGTCCGACAAGATCCGATAATTTGGGCGGCCAAGGCCCCAAGGACATGCTGTGAACGACCTCCTCGAAGCTTCCCAGTGATCTGATCAACGGCAATCTAAGTCTGGGTGCGTGGTAGCCATCAAGGAGGTCGCGTAGTGAGCTGCTTCATTGAGTCTTTCGCTCCGAGATGCGAAGAGTCTCGAGCGAGAAGACCAGGCGCGTCCGACAGTAGGTCGCGCTCAGGATATTTTCACCCACCACACCACTCCCTGGGGGTTGGCGTGCGGTGCAAACCTCGCAGAGGCTAGCCTCACTAATCGAAAAATGAAACAGCTCTAGCCCCACATGGTCTTCATGCAGGAGAGAGGAAAATTAAGTACACTACAGCCTGTACTGTTGCCTGGTAGCGCCCCATAGTACGATATACCGGTCCTTGCGCTGATCTCGGTACCAATCGACCCGGTGTATAAGAGAGTTACTGGACAGCACTGCAATATGCTCAACAAAAGCCCGGGCCTGAGCAGCGAACTCGTCGTTTCAAACCACGAATCAAAGCAGATAAGTTATTCCATTATGCACATTGCTGGCGCTGACCTGATACCAGGCGACTTGGCCCCTGCCTATTGCTTCTATTGTCCGCAATGCCCACATCGCGTCTAATCCATCGGCGCCATTTACAGCTTGGCCGTGGCAGCCTCGGCCTCGCGCTTGAGGATCACCTGGTCCGCCTGGATCGCCGTGATCGCCACCGTCGTCACGATGTCCTTCACCGTCGCTCCGCGGCTCAGGTCGTTCACCGGCTTGCGCAGACCCTGCAGCATCGGACCCATCGCGATGCAGCCCGTGCTCTGCTGCACCGCCTTGTACGTGTTGTTGCCCGTGTTCAGGTCCGGGAAGATCAGCACGTTCGCCTGGCCGCCCACCTTCGCGCCGCTCGGGATCGCCTTCAGCTTCGTCTTCGCGATCGACGCGTCCACCGCGGCGTCGTACTGGATCGGGCCGTAGATGTCCAGGTCCGGACGCAGCTCCTGCGCGATCTTCGTCGCCTCACGAACCTTGTCGATGATCGGACCCGAGTTCGAGTCGCCCGTCGCGTACGACAGCAGCGCCACCTTCGGGATCAGGCCGAACGCCTCCGCGCTCTCGGCGCTCGTCACCGCGATCTGCGCCAGGTCCTGCGCGCTCGGGTCCGTGTTCACGGCGCAGTCGCCGTAGATGCGGACGCCGTCCTCGAGGCACATGAAGAAGACGCTGGACACGATGGGGCGGTTGGGCGCCGTCTTGATGAGCTGCAGAGCAGGACGGATGGTGTTGGCGGTGGTGTGGCAGGCACCGGAGACCATGCCATCGGCGTCGCCCATCTCAACCATCATGGTACCGAAGCACGTCTCCTCCAGGACGGCGTCTCGGGCCGTCTCGCGAGTCACGCCCTTGTGCTTGCGCTTCTGGTAGTAGTGGTCCACGTAGCTCTCGAGCAGGTCGCTCTCGGCCGTGCGCACAATGTTGGCGCGCGAGAGATCGAGGTTGAGCGACTTGGCGTGGCGCTGGATGTCGTCCGGGTTGCCCAGAATCGTTACCTTCGACAGCTTCTGGCGCAGCACCTGGTCCGCGGCCTGCAGCACGCGGATATCCTCGCCCTCCGTCAGCACGATGTGACGCTGCACGGCGCGCGACTTGCTGAAGAGGAAGTGCTGGAACTGCTTGGGCGAGCGGTTCACGACCATGCCCTCGTCCAGCTCGCCAATAAGGTTCTCCTTGCCCACGAAGTCGTCGAAAAGCTGCTTGGAGCGGTCAATCTTGAGCTGGCTCGTGGGCAGGATGTCCGTCGACACCTTGGAGAACTTGTCCGCGGTCGTGAACGTGTCCTCGGGCACCGAGAAGATCGGGATCGACAGGCCAGTCTTGTCCAGAGCCTCAACACCCTTCAGAATCTCCTGCGTGTTGCTGTGCGGGTAGCTGCCGTTAGTCAGCACGATCGCAGACACGTTGGGCAGGATGCCGGGCAGGCGCGAGGCCATGAGGCCCAGCATGACGTCCGAGCGGTCCGCCGACGTGATCACGAGCGCGCCGTCCTTGTAGTTCTTGAGGTGCGAGAAGAGGTCCTTGAGGGCGCTGGTGGCCACGACAGCCGACGTGACCACGACGTTGTTCGGGATGGCCTTGGTGCCGAAGAGCTGCGTGGCTCCGAGCTGGTGGGTCACCTCGTTCAGGCGCTTGGAGGCGATGAAGTCGTCCTTGGGCATGAAGCCGAGGAAGGGCAGGTCCTTCTCCTCCACCTTGGGGCGCAGGGCCTCGCGCAGCGCCTTGGGGTCCTTGGTGTTGACGCGGTTGGCAATGTTGCCGATGAAGTTGAGGCCGGCGCCCTCCACCTGGTCTTTGTTAAGCGCCGTGCGGGACAGGATCTCCTCGAGCAGCTCGCCGTTCGTGTTGGCCGACTCGCTGAAGTCCGAGATGGTCAGCACGGGCGAGCCGATGGCCTTGGCGATGTCCACGTTGATCTTCCAGCTCATGGCGCTCTCGTGCTTGGAGATCTGCGAGCCCTCGATGATCATGAAGTCGTGGCCCTCGCGGCACTGCTCGAAGCGGTCCAGGATCTCCTCCACGAGGTCGTCCTCGCGGCCGTTGAGCCAGCTCTCGATGGCGCGCTCGCTCGTCACGCCGTACAGCTGGCTCACCTCCTTGTTGAGCCCCAGCTGCTCGCGCATGACCTCCACGTGGTGGTCGGCCATGCTCGACTCGGCGCTGGGCTGGATCGGGCGGAAGTAGCCCACCTTGGCGAACTTCTGCTCCAGCGTGTTGGCCAGGCCGATGAGCACGGGCGCCGTCTTCTTGGTCACCTCGGTGGACGTCACGAAGAGCTTGTCGATGGGCACCTTGCCCTGCGCGATGGCGGCGGCGGTGAGCGCGCGGCGCTGCCGCAGCGCCGCGCGGCGGCGGATCGTGTTGCGCAGCGTCCACATGCTGCTGCTGCTGTCGGCGGTCTCGGGGCGGCGGCTGGGCTTCTTGGGGCAAATCCGCAACTGGGGACTCGGGAAGACCGCGGACCGCGAGACAGACCACGGCCAACTGACATTTGGCTGGATCGGCGACGCCGCCGCATGGCCACGGCCCAATAATAACGGGCGATCGCTTTGGACGGGGAATCTGCCCATCCAGCGTGCGAACGAGAAGGACCGGAACCGAATTCGCTCGAACTTTGACTTCGCTTCAGTATGGGGACATAGTCGCGGTGTCGACGGTTCACCAAGCACCAAAAGCCGGTGAAAAGTGCGGCACTGCGCGCCGACGTCACGCCTGCGACAAACGACACGAAGGCCAGCGTTGAAGGGCAACCAATGGCAAGGGCACAACGAGCTCTGTCCGATAAGTTAATCGTGTTGCCTATGCGGGGCTTATCCATCACCGACCGACCAACGAGATTCGACGGTGCACGCGTCGCTTTCACTCACCTCACCTGTTCCTGGAGTTGCTGGCACGGTTCGGCTGGCGGCCAGCACGCCTCGATTCACATCGGGCCGCCCCTGGGGCGGCCCGATGTGAATCAAGGGCCTTGACATCCACTTGCACCCTTCACTTCTTGGCCTCCGCCTCGCGCTTGAGGATCACCTGGTCCGCCTGGATCGCCGTGATCGCCACCGTCGTCACGATGTCCTTCACCGTCGCTCCGCGGCTCAGGTCGTTCACCGGCTTGCGCAGACCCTGCAGCATCGGACCCATCGCGATGCAGCCCGTGCTCTGCTGCACCGCCTTGTACGTGTTGTTGCCCGTGTTCAGGTCCGGGAAGATCAGCACGTTCGCCTGGCCGCCCACCTTCGCGCCGCTCGGGATCGCCTTCAGCTTCGTCTTCGCGATCGACGCGTCCACCGCGGCGTCGTACTGGATCGGGCCGTAGATGTCCAGGTCCGGACGCAGCTCCTGCGCGATCTTCGTCGCCTCACGAACCTTGTCGATGATCGGACCCGAGTTCGAGTCGCCCGTCGCGTACGACAGCAGCGCCACCTTCGGGATCAGGCCGAACGCCTCCGCGCTCTCGGCGCTCGTCACCGCGATCTGCGCCAGGTCCTGCGCGCTCGGGTCCGTGTTCACGGCGCAGTCGCCGTAGATGCGGACGCCGTCCTCGAGGCACATGAAGAAGACGCTGGACACGATGGGGCGGTTGGGCGCCGTCTTGATGAGCTGCAGAGCAGGACGGATGGTGTTGGCGGTGGTGTGGCAGGCACCGGAGACCATGCCATCGGCGTCGCCCAACTCCACCATGAGCGTGCCAAAGTAGGTTTCGTCCTTGCAGTAGTCGCGTGCCAGCTCTTTCGTTACGCCCTTATGTTTTCGCTTCTCGTAGAAGTAGTCGACGTACTTGTCCAGCAACTCGCTGTCCGATGGACGCACAATGTTAGCGCGAGAGAGATCGAGGTTGGCAGTCTTGGCGTTCAGCAAAATCTCATCGGGGTTGCCCAGGATAGTGATCTTGGACAGATTCTGACGCAAGATCTGATCGGCAGCCTGCAGCACGCGGATATCTTCGCCCTCGGACAGCACAATGTGGCGCTGCACCGCACGCGACTTGCTAAACAGGAAGTGCTGGAACTGCTTCGGTGAGCGGTTCACCACCATACCCTGGTCAAGCTCACCGATAAGCATCTCCTTCTCGACAAACTCGTCAAAGAGTTGCTTGGAACGGTCAATTTTCAGTTTACTCGTGGGCAGAATGTCCGTCGAGACTTTCGCGAAGCCATCAGCAGTGGAGAAGGTGTCATTCGGGGTTGAGAAGATAGGAAGCGACAGTCCGGTCTTGTCCAGCGCCTCCACGCCCTTAAGAATTTCTTGCGTGTTGCTGTGCGGGTAGTTGCCGTTCGTGAGAACGATGGCCGAGATGTTGGGCAGCACACCAGGCAAGCGAGAGACCATGAGGCCGAGCATGAGGTCGGATCGGTCACCAGACGTGATGATCATAGCGCCATCCTTGTACTTCTTCAAGTGCGCGAATAGGTCCTTCAGCGCACTAGCTGCCACGACTGCAGAGGTCACCACAGCATCGTTGGCGATCGTGTTGCCGAAGAGCTGGGTCGCTCCGAGCTGATGCGTCACCTCGTTCAGCCGCTTGGACGCGATAATCTCGTCCATCGGCAGGAACCCCAGGAACGGAATGTCCTTCTCGTCCAGCTTTTCTTTAAGGTCCGCACGCAATTTGTCCGCGTCCTTGGCGCGCACGCGGTTCGCGATCGTGCCGAGGTAGTTGAGTCCCGCCGCATCGGCCTGGTCCTTGCCCATGACCGTGCGCGAAACCATCTCCTCCAGCAACTCTCCGTTCTTGGCAGCCGAGTCTCCAAAGTCCGTGACCATCAGCACGGGCGAGCCGATGGCCTTGGCGATGTCCACGTTGATCTTCCAGCTCATGGCGCTCTCGTGCTTGGAGATCTGCGAGCCCTCGATGAGCATGAAGTCGTGGCCCTTGCGGCACTCCTCGTACCTCTCCAGGATCTCCTCCACGATGTCGTCGCCCTTGCCATTCAGCATGGCCTCCATGGCGCGCTGACTGGTCACGCCGTAGAGCTGCTCGACGTTGTGGGGGAGCTCCAGCTGCTGCTTCATGACGTCCACGTGGTGGTCGGCCATGCTCGAGTCGGGGCTGGGCTGGATGGGGCGGAAGTACCCCACCTTGTCGAACTTGTGCTCCAGCACGTGCGCGAGACCGATGAGCACGGGCGCCGTCTTCTTGGTCACCTCGGTGGACGTCACGTACAGGTTCTCGATGGGCACTTTGCCCTGCGAGGCGGCGGCCGCGGTCAGCGCGCGGCGGTGCGCGGGCAGCATCAAACTCACGGGGGAGCGGCGCAGCGAGCGGCGTAGCGTCCACATGGTAGGCGGGGCAAGGAACGAGGGGAGGGAGGCGAGGGCTAATTGAAGGGTGCGCTGAGGTCTGAGCGCTAGCCGGCGAATCCACAACTGAGACTGGGCCTGAAGGGCCGGCCAGCTACTTCAACTAACGCTGAAGGAGTGATGGTCAGTGACGTGTTTGACTTGGCGTTCGTATGGCAACATAAATGCGGACACGATGATCAGCATCTGGCTCGGGTTTCACCCGTTGACCGACGATGCCATCCCCTGAAGCTGAGGCGGGCTTGCTTCAGTTTGCGGGTACATGTACTGTGAGCTTAGACTTACTCCAGAGCTGAAATATGCTCGGTAGGTACTAATTAAGTGCTGAGGCACGAATTGGCCTCTTCGAGCGTGTGGGGCTGTCGGCACTTGCTTGAAGCAAGTTGCCTCGCCGTCCATACGGCGAGGCGAGCCTTGATTTGCAAGCTTGGGCGCCTTGCGTGTCAAGGCCAAATGGCGAGGGCAGCTTGCGTTTATCCAGCAAACCAGGGCGTTTATTAGAGGCAGGGATAGTGCTCGTCCCTCCGGTTGTCTCAACTCGAGACTCTCAAAACGAGCTCGCATCTTGCATACCCTTCTTCTTGTCGCGTTGTCCTCTCTTGATACCGGTGAACGATGGCATAGGAGTCATGAAAGCTGATTGACAGCCATCGCAGTCGATCTTCTAGCAGACATGCATCTCCAACCATCGGGCGCAATTGATGAGTCAAGCGACTTGTTTGTTTTTGGAGTCTTTGAGCCTAATAACGCACGTTCCTGCTACACAACCATTACAAAGTGTACGCGTTCCCAAACCTAACGTTGAGACGCTCGAATAACCCAAGAGTCCGACCCTTCACGCCTGATCGGCATGGCCAGCAGCATTTCGTCGGTAGCGGCTTCGACGCTTCCATCGCAGTCCCCGCCAGCTACGGCAGCTTCAGGGAATGGAGGCAACAGCAGCGCTACCAAAAAGCCCTTCAAGATCCGAGACGAGTTGCTGGCTCCGACGCGGTTGGCTCCGAAAGTCCAGCTGCTGCACCACACGCGCTCGCTGTCGATCCAAGTCGTAGCCCACGAGGTTTTCTTGCTGGTTCTTGCGTGCACCAAGTGTTACGCTGCAGCGGGCAAGGAGCCGCCTAGAATTGGCGTCCTGGGAGGCGGCAGCGTCGGGGCTGCAGTGGTCATGACGATCCTGGCCAACGGATACCGAGCCGACCGGATCGCGTTGTCGACGCGTCAGCCGGACCGAGTCCCGCGTTGCGAGGCGCTGAAAGCCCCCTCAGCTCTCCCCATGTTCCAGTTGGTACCTCGGTACTACGACAACACTCGAATCGCACGAGAGAGCGACGTGTTGGTGTTGTGCATGCCGCCGTCGCAGCTCAAGAGCGTGAGTATCCAGATCCGACACGCGCTAGCTGCCAGTGTGAAGACTCCTCCACTGGTGGTCAGCGCTCTGTGCGGAGTGACGCAGCAGAGTTTGAGCAAGGCCTGTGGCTCTCAAGCCGTGGTGAGGGTCCAACCCGACGTGGCAAAGATTGCGACTCAGTGGCATGACCAGCAGAATCAGCACGAAGAGCACGAAGAGCCTGTCAGTAGGTCTCCTAGTCGAGCTCAGACGCCAGCGGGGCTATCACCACTTTATGCTGAGATTCAGCAAGATAGTATCATGCAAGATCGACAGCCGCTTCCACTTCGACTGGCGACGGAAGCAATAGGTGAGCGAGCGAGCTGCGTTGGGCTGAACTGCGCTGAAGTAGGACGTGGAAATGTGCTGACTTTGGTGACGAATGTAACTTTATTTTTTGCGCTGTCAGCACCAAAGAGAGAAGATGTCCGGGACTTGGTACAAGCTTTTTCGCTGTTTTGCCGTCGTGCTTGGGGCGATGATATTGGTCTTGAAGCGCTAACCCACGTGCTCTTCGGAGATAGAAGTGAAGTCGTGATGGCCGCGCTTGGGCTGGAAACTTACGCAGTTAGTTCGCAGCAAGTGGAGCAGGTGCGAGTAAGGACTCCATTGGTGGTACCAAGTTGGCCGGCCGAGTGGGAGCAGGATCTGGTCGAATTGCAGGTGCAATTAGCACAACATGCGTCGTTGCCGAGTTGAAACGGTGGAGCCATTTCTGTGCTAGGGCTCTAACAAGTTGCCATGAGCATACAGCCATATTGCGTGCAGTGCTTGGTCTTAAAAAGACACATTGAAGTCCACACCTAAGATCAGATCGACACGTTAGCTAAAGTTCTTCTCAACCTCAGTCTGGCCTTGTGTACTTACCGTAGTGGAATAATGGTAAATGCAGAATGAAGATGGTCCACACAAACAAGTGTCCCTGTACAGTGCGTGCTTGCGTCTCCAGCACAAACGCGAGTTGGAACAGAGGCGAGATGCCGAACTTCCGTCGTAGTACCAGGATAAGCCCCGCGAATCCAACGAACTCGACAGCACCAAAAACCGTGATGTGCCCCACAATTTCGCCCAGCCTCTCTGGGGTCAATTCTACCGTTTGTGGGTAGTACGCTTTCACTGGTAGAAGAAACAGTAACGATAGATACCCTGAATAGAGCATTGGTAGCATGCACCTGATGTACATGGACATCAGAAGGTACTCGGAGTGGAAAAGAGTCTGCAGCGCCTCCCACACGACTTCTTCGGTGACGCTTTTCGACAGAATAGCTCGTAGCGTGTTGGTCGAAATGACGGTGTCCGGGTGCAGCAATGTTAGAAGTCTTCGAGAAACAGAGCCCTTTCGTTTCGACGGTTTTCGAGTAAGGCGATTTCCAAAACGAAATCTGAACTTGTGTGTCGTGGAATCTGGAGATACCATCTTTGTCATGCGCACTCTCTCTCGAGTCCTTCGTCGTAACGCAGTGAAAAACTGCTTCCGTTCACGGTGATCGAGACTGGGGTTTCTTGATCGGTGGTTGAATCGAATAGGCATCAGGTCGCAAGACGAGTAGTAGACGTGCATGTTTCGCCTGCTTATCGTTATTTCGTTCATGAAAGTCGTGCTGTCATTCGAGAGTGGCAGCGGTAAAGGTGCAAAAATGCGAACTCGACCAACTTGTGAAAGCGAGATGTGGAGATTCTCAAACGTGTTGTGTATCAGAACTGGCAAGTCTTCCAGGTAGTTGATTGGCAGCCGAGAATTGCTCCCTTTCCTAGTTTTGATAGTGTCGAGCCGACGAAAAATGGCATGGAGAGCGATCGCTAGTTGGAAGGCATCCGACACGATAATAAGTAGCATCGTGACCGTCAATTTCGCTGTTTGCAGGCAGATCGCGACGTAGTAGATATGAAAGACATCCACAGAGAAAACGACAATGACTCCGACGTATTCATGCAGGCTCTCCGTCACATTAGCGATGACTTGCTTGGTGAAAAGCTTCAGAATTGGTGTGACGAAGACAAACGCTATTTGCTGAGCGGCTGTGAGCCGATAGAACACCGTGCTGATTATCGGGAATGTAATTGCCAGTAAACCTTGAGTTCCAACAATCATAAACTGCGCCTTAACCTGCTGGCGAAGTACCGATGGTTGAATTATCACACGAGGTCCAACGATCATGACCGTAAGAAGCCCCTCGAGCAGAATCAGCGGGATAATTGCTAGTATACCACCAAAAGGAATCGGAAAGCGCCACGTTGCTACAATAGCGATGGCTAGCAATATGAAAAAGATGGCAGTTCCAAATGCGACCACAACAGCACCACCATTCGAGATAGCTCCCTCCACAATTGCATCTTTCACTTGAGCAGAAAGTCCCACCGCGATTGCAAACACGTCGATAAACAACCGAATCCAAAAAGCAGAATTAGACCGCCAGCCATCAGAAGGCGCTTTCAGCGGGATGCAGTCCGTCAGAAGCGCGACCAAGACGGCGGGGATTGGTGTGAATAAACAAACAGCAACTGCGCGGGCGGTCGACGTGTGCTGGTAGTAGTCGCGAAACGAAAGGAACCGCTCAACCGAGTACTGACTCCGCTGTCCGATTTGACTTCGACGCCAGAACTTGAGTAACCACTCGCATGTACACGCGAGTCCACCCGGCCTTGCGACTTTCGAGAGCGATTGCTGGCGACGCAAGACTGGCTGGACCCTGATACGACCGAGTCCGCCGAATTTTCCCTTGTTTGAGCGCAAATGCAGGTGAGGCGGGGCTGGCTCGACCTTGACCCGATGGAGACCCATGCGTCCTGCCGCTGAATCGACGCAAGCTGACACTGTCGACAAGTGATGGCAAATATACCCGCTACGTATTTCGAGTCCGGCTTATAACCATATTTATTTATTTTATTTTACGCCTGAAACTGTTTGCAAGATGAAACATGGACGGATTGCCGGCTTATTTGGGCCCGCCACATCTTCATGAGCTTCAGATCAAGAAACAGTTGGTTGAAGTGCTAATGTTGCTGTAAAGATATTAATACGCAATATGCGCAACGTAAACCTCCGTAGCCTAGTGTAGCCCCTCCGTGCAAACGAAAAAATCGAACGTCGATGGAGCCTCCGATCCTGCTGCTGGTGCAGCACGCGCTGCCGCTGCAAGTCCAAGGCCTCTCGCATGTCGTCCAGCTCGTCAACGAGTTCGTCCTGCCGTCCACCATCGACGCTGCCGTGTCCAACGACCTGCAGCGCGTGCTCAAAGCGTTCGAGATGTTCCGCCCTCAGACAATTGGCGCCATGGACGGAGCTGCGACCCTCGGACGTCTCGACATCCTCCAGCGGCTGCACGTCGAGCGGGATGAAGGCTGCTCGCTGACTGCGTTCATCGGTGCGGCGTCCAACGGCCATCTGGAGGTGCTGGAGTGGCTCTACTATCGCTATCCGAAGATGCGGCGGGGGATGCAGGAGCTCACGGAAGCCACGAGGCACGGTCATCTCGACATTATCCATTTTGTACTGAGGTTCACGCCCCTGCAGCAATCCGATCGGGAGAAGTTGTTGGTGCTGGCCGCTGCCAATGGCGATATTACAGTTGTTCGAGTCTTTCTACGGGGAACCATTGATGCCTACGGAGCGCTCGTTGCAGCCGCCGTAAACGGGCATGTAGCAGTGGTGCAGCTGCTGCTTGACACGATCCCGCTGTCTGTGCAGGAGGCGTTGGAGAAGGCTATTGAGGGTGGGTATATCGGAGCCATCGAGATCCTGGTGAAGGCTGCAGACGACTTTGGCATTGGCACGGCTCTCAGAAGCACGGTGGCGGTGATAAGTGCAGATACGATGCGGTTGATTTTGGAGAGGTACCAAGTTGACGACTCTGTGCTGGGGGAAGTCTTGGTGATCGCAGCAAAAAACAACAGGAGTGACGTTGTCCAACTTCTGCTGGAAAGGTGTCCTTCGATGGAGGCAACGGGACGAAATCGAGTTTGGGGAAGCAGTCGGTTCACCAATCCGATCCAATCTGCGGTCGCAAGTGCCATGGTTGACGCAGCAGATGCCGGTCGACTAGATATGCTCAAGCTTCTGGCGAAGAATAGCGCTTCGTACGCGGGCGAAACCCTGTGTCATGCAGTGAACAACAACCAGTGGGAAGTCCAGGATATGTTGCTCGAAATATGGGAGAAGTATCTGAGAGAGCCTCGGATGGCAACTGTTATTACGAGTATGCTGGAGCAAGCCGCAGCGGACGGCAACGTACAAAATCTGAAGCTTATCTTTGCCAAGTGCGGTGAAGTCGATATTGGCGATGCGTTGGAGACGGCGGTCGAGAACGGTTCTGTGGAGGTGATCAGTCTGTTGGTTGAGAAAAGCGAACCTTCTAGCGTCGTCGGGGCCCTCATTGAAGCTGCAACCGCCGGCAAGGCTGACATAGTGCAAGCCTTGCTTGACCATTCCGATCACCAAGCGGTCGAGAAGGCTCTACGAAAGACAATATCCTCGGGAAACACCGAGATATCGACAATGCTGCTCGCTAGATGTGATCCAAGTGCGCACCAGCGCATCTTTCATAATGCTGCATCGAGTGGTTCTGTTGGGGTTCTGCAACTGCTGCTGGATGAGATGGAACCGCTCAGTGTCCATCGCGCCTTGACCTGTGCTGCATCGCGGGGGTACACTGAGGTTGTCGCTATGTTGGTGGAGAAAAGTGAGTCGTCGGCTATTGCGTGCGCTCTTGAATGTGCTGCTGTTGAAGGTCGAGTTTCTGTGGTGAAGGTTCTGCGCGACTATTGTGATTCTGCCAGTATCCGCAATGCCGTGACGAAAGCGCAAGTTGTCGACTACGAAGATGTCGTCCAGCTGCTGAGCAGCAAGAAAACACGATCGGAGTGAACGCAGTGAGTGCTTCACATTCGTCTAAATTTGTGTTTCTTTAGAGTGAAACATGTTTTTTATGTGCTCGTGCAGTCATTTTACATTTAAACTGACTGTGTAAAAGAGTTGGCTTCAGCTTTACTCCAGGTTGTGTTGTGATGTTTTGTAAGGGGTCTTCCGTGTGAGCTGTTAGGGCGACGAAGCCGCGCTAGAGATTGTTTTTTGCGATATACGGGCACCTTGATGTGGGCAAGCATGTTCATCACATGCTTATCCGAGTGCTAGTTTCTCATCAACACAGTATTGTGGAAATCGCAACGAAACGTGGTGTGCATTTATTATGCTTAAAGTATTCACCACCAGGGCGACTGACTGACACACAAGGGGTTTCTTCATGGCGTCTCCGCCATGGACATCCTTGAGAGGACCACGTCAAGAATTTCTGGTAATTTGTCATTAGCTCTTTTTCGTGACCATTTTTTTTCGAAGAGTAGCCGAAACCACGGGCAACAAACAACGTTGCACCTCATGGCGCCTCCAATCCTGCTGCTGGTGCAGCACGCGCTGCCGCCGCACATCCAAGCCATCCCACACGCCGTCCAGCTCGTGAACGAGTTTGTCCTGCCGTCGACCATCGACGCCGCTGTGTACAACGACCTGCAGCGCGTGCTCGAAGTGTTTCAAGAATCCCGCCCCTACACTGTTGGCGCAATGGACGGAGCTGCGGCCAGGGGGAAAGATGCTCCGCGGCATTTGTTGGCGCCGCGTCTAACGGTCACATGGACGTGCTGGAGTGGCTCTACCATTGCTACCCGAAGCTCAGGCAAGGGATGCAAGAACTCACGGAAGCTGCGAAGCATGGCCATCATGACATTATCCAGTACATACTGATGTTGACGCCGCTGTCAATGTCCGATCGGGACGGAAGCTGCGAAGCATGGCCATCATGACATTATCCAGTACATACTGATGTTCACGCCGCTGTCAATGTCCGATCGGGAAAAGCTGTTGGAGATAGCTGCTGGCAATGGTCATATAGCAGTCGTTCGGGTCTTCGTAGGCCAAATTATTGATGCCCACGGGGCTCTCGCTGCAGCAGCGGCCAATGGACATGTAGCAGTGGTGAAGTTACTACTTGACATGCGCCTGCTATCTGTACAGGAGGCTTTGGAGAAGGCTATTGAGGGAGGGCATATTGGAGCCATCGAGCTACTCGCCAAGGCTGCAGATGACTTCGGCATTAATGCGGCCTTCAGAAACGCCGCGGCGGTGATCAGTGCAGATACGATGCGGCTGGTACTGGAGAGGTTCCAAGTTGACGAATACGTGCTGGGAGAAATTTTGGTGGTCGCAGCAAAAAACAACAGGAGTGACGTTGTCCAACTTCTGCTGGAAAGGTGTCCTTCGATGGAGGCAACGGGACGAAATCGAGTTTGGGGAAGCAGTCGGTTCACCAATCCGATCCAATCTGCGGTCGCAAGTGCCATGGTTGACGCAGCAGATGCCGGTCGACTAGATATGCTCAAGCTTCTGGCGAAGAATAGCGCTTCGTACGCGGGCGAAACCCTGTGTCATGCAGTGAACAACAACCAGTGGGAAGTCCAGGATATGTTGCTCGAAATATGGGAGAAGTATCTGAGAGAGCCTCGGATGGCAACTGTTATTACGAGTATGCTGGAGCAAGCCGCAGCGGACGGCAACGTACAAAATCTGAAGCTTATCTTTGCCAAGTGCGGTGAAGTCGATATTGGCGATGCGTTGGAGACGGCGGTCGAGAACGGTTCTGTGGAGGTGATCAGTCTGTTGGTTGAGAAAAGCGAACCTTCTAGCGTCGTCGGGGCCCTCATTGAAGCTGCAACCGCCGGCAAGGCTGACATAGTGCAAGCCTTGCTTGACCATTCCGATCACCAAGCGGTCGAGAAGGCTCTGCGAAAGACAATATCCTCGAGGAACACCGAGATATCGACAATGCTGCTCGCTAGATGTGATCCAAGTGCGCACCAGCGCATCTTCCAAAATGCTGCATCGAGTGGTTCTGTTGGGGTTCTGCAACTGCTGCTGGATGAGATGGAACCGCTCAGTGTCCATCGCGCCTTGACCTGTGCTGCGGCGCGGGGACATGCTGAGGTTGTCGCTAAGCTGGTGGAGAAAAGTGAGTCGTCGGCTATTGCGTACGCTCTTGAATGTGCGGTTGTTGAAGGTCGGGTTTCGGTGGTGAAGGTTCTGCGCGACTATTGTGATTCGGCTACTATCCGCAATGCCGTGACGAGAGCGCGAGTTGTTGGCTACGAAGATGTCGTCCAGCTGCTGAGCAGCAAGAAAACACGATTGGAGTGAACGCAGCTTCTGGCAGTAGATGAGGTATCGCTCGGTACTTGGTTTATCTGAATGGCGACAGCTATAGTTCACATGTTGTGTTTGAAGACGTATTGCTTGCTAAAGGTTATTATCAATAAAAAAGCGACTACTTCATATAGCTTTGATAGCTCAAGAATTTTGCTGATGGATGTGGTCTCGACGCGGTGGATTGGAAAGTTCCTGCAGACTAACTTTATTGTTCTATGTGCCGTTGGAATCCTACGGGCTCGATACTGCTTGTAATTGATAATTTCTTAAACATCCGCAGGCAGCAGCCCAAGGATGTCGACGATCAGTCAACCCGGCGGAGGAGCTTGGGCTTGAAGCATTCAAAGCTAGCAAAAGAGGCTCATTAATATTGAACGCTTACTCTAAACTCTTGAATTCTCTTCGACACAGACTTCATCTCCTTTAGATCATGCCAACATCGTCCGACGCCGGCGAGCGAAACAGACTGAGCTGGAACTTGGACGAGTGCTGGCACGTGTTCGGCGTCACCGGGAGCTTGAGGTGATTATCACACGGCGTGACGATGTCAACATCAGGCTGCGAGCCACGATAGTCAGTCTTCCGGTTCGATGTCTTGCTCGCTCTTCGACTAGCGAACCGTTGGCGAAGTGAAGACCACGCCGTGGTCCCCCTGCTGCGAATACCGGCGACGAAGCTCCTGACTTGTTCCCAGCGGCTGCTGCCGAAGCTGGAGAGCATCGACGTCTTGCTGGTCACAGGCGGTTCGTCGGGGAAATCGGGCAGTGGACTCCCCAGCGCACTGAGCGTCGTCGCGATGAGCGCGTTGCTGTTGGCATCTGCGAGTTCAGCGTCCGCGTCGTAGCTGGCACTGATCGTGACAGTCGACAGCCTGTTGCGGTACGCGTAGATGCGAAGCATGGTGAAGGCCACGGCGAGCACCACGATGATGGCGAGCACTCCGACGTAGACGGCGAGCGTGAAAGTTGGCAACTGCGTCTGGGCGTCCATCTTGCACACTGGCCACCGCTACGCCCCACAAGCGTCGACGCGCTGCTCCATCCCCAGTCAACACTACGAAGACCTCCATCCGGTGGCGGTGAATCAACGGAATGCATGGAATATAAGGCGGTGATCCTCACTGTGGCACCATCTAGAGTGTGTGGCCCAGAGGACGAGCGACCTAGGATTGGTCCAGCAAGTTGAAGCTCGATGTAGCCATCGCCGACCTCGTATACAGCATATTCAACTCGGGAGGTTGCGATTCCGAGGGTCCATCCATCAACAACCCCCTGACTTTACCGACCACAATCGTGTTGCGTAGTTGCACACAAATTATATGTCAGCTTGCATGATTGCATCATGCACGCTAGTGAAACACCACGTCACCCGGAATTTGTCCACCTTTCGATACTGACCAAAGTGTTGCGTCAAACAAAAACACGGCCGCTTGAGTCTCACCTCGCACGTCGACCAAAGCCATTCTTCAACCTGCCGTCGAGAGCGCAAGTCTTCGTCTCTGTCCCGCCCGCCACCATGGTCCAGAAGAGCCCGACCGCCACCACGAGCACCGGCGCGCCCATCCCGCCCAACGGGCTGACGGCGTCGGCCACCGCCGGCCCGCGCGGCCCCATGGTGCTCCAGGACTTCGCCTTCATCGACCACATGGCCCACTTCGACCGCGAGCGCGTGCCTGAGCGCGTGGTGCACGCCAAGGGCGGCGGCGCCTTCGGCTACTTCGAGGTGACGCACGCGGACGTGACCAAGTTCTGCAGCGCCAAGCTCTTCGACCGCGTGGGCAAGCGCACGCCCGTGGCCATCCGCTTCTCGACCGTCGGCGGCGAGCTCGGCAGCGCCGACACGGCGCGCGACCCGCGCGGCTTCGCCATCAAGTTCTACACGGAGGAGGGCAACTGGGACCTTGTGGGCAACAACACGCCCATCTTCTTCATCCGTGACCCGATCCTCTTCCCGAGCTTCATTCACACGCAGAAGCGCCTGCCCAGCACGCACCTCAAGGACGACGACATGATGTGGGACTTCTTCTCGCTGCGCCCCGAGACGCTGCACCAGCAGAGCTTCCTCTTCTCAGACCGCGGCATCCCGGACGGCTTCCGCTTCATGAACGGCTACGGCAGTCACACGTTCGCCAACGTCAACGCCCAGGGCGAGACCACGTACGTCAAGTACCACTTCAAGACGGACCAGGGCATCCGCAACCTGGCCGTGGACAAGGCCGCCGAGCTCGCGAGCTCCGACCCGGACTACGCCATCCGCGACCTGTACGAGGCCGTCGCCAACAAGCAGTATCCGTCGTGGACGCTGTACATCCAGGTCATGACCCCCGAGCAAGCGGCCAAGGAGAGCGTCAACCCCTTCGACGTCACCAAGGTCTGGCCGCACGGCAAGTACCCGCTCATCGAGGTGGGTCGCCTCGTGCTCAACCGCAACCCGAGCAACTACTTCGCCGAGATCGAGCAGATCGCCTTCTCGCCGTCGCACATGGTGCCGGGCATTGAGCCCTCGCCCGACAAGATGCTGCAGGGCCGGCTGTTCTCCTACCCGGATACGCAGCGCCACCGCCTGGGAGCCAACTACAACCAGATCCCGGTGAACCGCCCGCTCAAGGAGCCGCAGACGTACCAGCGCGACGGCTTCATGGTCGTCAACGGCAACATGCACGACGCGCCCAACTACTTCCCCAACAGCAAGAACGGCCCGCCCGAGGACACGACGCTTCGCTACCACGCGTACCGCGCCGACCACTCGCTGGTGGACAAGTACTCGACCCGCGACGACGACAACTTCTCGCAGGTGGGCGACTTCTACCGCAAGACGCTGGACGCCGCCGCGCGCGAGCGCCTTACGGACAACATTGCCGGCTCGCTGGTCAACGCGTCCAAGCCCGTGCAGGCGCGCGCCATCGCCAACTTCACCAAGTGCGAGCCGCACTACGGCCGCCGTGTGCAGGAGAAGGTGGCCGCACTGGCCCAACAGAAGCAGCGCGCTGCTCCCGTGGCGGCCCCGGCCCCGGCCAAGTTGAACCCGCCACGCAAGGCGTTCGTGCCGGCACCGCCGTCCGACGACGTGGCCCCGCGATTGTAGGCGGGCAACATCGTGGTCGTCGGTTGTAGCTGCCGTCCTGCTGCTGCGAGCGATGTTGAAGTAGGTGAAGCCATTTCGGTGATTCGCGGCAGACAGTAGAGTGAAAGCAGCGTTGGTATCTGCAGTAGGGCAGGACAGCCGAGGCGACGAAACGCTGAGCCGTGCTTGGCCATGAGAGAGTTGAGTGTGAAGGAAAGCGGTAATGAATCAATGGCATAAAAAAGAAAATCTCCAAGTGAACTCGACGTGCAAAGCTGCCCGCTCGGGTGAGCCTGCAGTCGTTGCCGTGGTCCCCTTGCGTTTCACCCGCGTCGAGCGTGTAGCCATGTGCATGTAGTACAGTACCATTTGCTTCATCCGACTCCTAGCGAAATGTAAAGCGAGCCTCGAGCTTCCAGCGTTGGTAATCAACACTAGCAAAGACCCATCTGCATTCGATGCGAGTGCGAAAATTTCTTGTGGGCGAAGTCGAAGGCAGCGAGAGCGACGTCCGGAGCCATCGTGCGCTTGTGCAGTCGTTTAGGTTTGTACCAATTCTGAATTTGAACTCAGGATCGACGTGTCGGCCACCCAGCCAATTGCAGGCTGCTCTGCGGCTTTTCACGATGCGGGGCAGCAGAGAAACGGTTGTTTGTTTAGCATAAAACAGCCGGCAGGCCAGACTTCCCTCCGATACCTAATCCCTCCTTAACCAAATATTATCAGTACAATTCGCTTATGTGTGCACTTTCACGCTGGCACCGAGTGCATTTCGGTGGATGGTCTCAACATCCTCTTTTGGGTATGCCACATACCAACTCCCAGTATTTCCGTATGCTGATATCCTGCGTCCCTCGATATAAAAAGATGCACCGCAGGGCAGATCCCACGTCGAATATCTCTGAGAAAACTTCGCCAAGCAGCGCCAAACGCCGCATACTTGAACCAGCCGCGGAGCGCGCACTTCCCCCTTCATTCTCTCGCTCCCCTCTACCTCGCCGCCGCCATGCCGGAGCCCGCGCACCGCCGCACCGCCTCGGAGCTGGACATGAGCTCCATGCGCCGCATCAGCGACGCGCTGCTGCTGGCCCAAAACCGCGCGCGCCGCGCCACCGACCGCGCAAATCAGGCCGAACAGTGCGTCGCTTCGCCTTCCTTCTGATAACTTGACGTTGTTGCATTGTGGCTGACCCATCTCGCTGTGCGTCTGCGTCCACAGCGTGCTGCGGCTCGTGCTGGCCCAGGTCGACGTCCCCAGGCTGCGCGTGGACTCGCTGGCCGACTACGAGATGCTGCGCGCCGCCGTGGCCGCCAACCACCCGCTGCTCACGAGCAGCCCTCGACGACGAAGCGGCTCGTTCAACGACGCCCCCGAGCTCAGCGGCTCGGAGGACGCTGCGTCGGTGACCTCCTCCGTGTCCTCTTCGACGTCTACTTGCTTGGAAGACGTGGCCAAGGACGTGGTGACCAACTTGAACGCCGCCATGACGCGCCACAAGCGCTACGTGGAGCAGCTGACGCTGCCCACAGTCCACTTTTCTCTCTGGAGCCGCAAGGACGGACGCCTGTTTGGGCCGGTACAGTTCGTGGCTAGTCTTCTAGCTGGAGTTGTGGTAGGCGTTGTCGCTACTAAGCACTGGCAGCTGCAGCAGCTCGTGCACACACAGGAAGAGGCGCCGTCACTCTTCACTAAGCTGGCAAGATGGTACAGTCGACGAGCTCCCGCAGCAGGCACGCCGTGGCATCTCATGCCGCTGCCGACGGACGAGTACAGCTACCTCATGCATCCGGCTACGGTTGAGGTCGCCTGAAGTTCAAGTTGATAGGCACAAGACCGACAAGCAGATTAGGTATGTATATCAAGCTGGTAAGGCAGGCGGATGGCGCTGCATCGTTTGGCGTGGTGTGGTGTGACTCGGCTCGACCGGAGCCGAACGGCTAGTATCCGCGTGCAGGCAACGCACAGTATGATTTTAATGACAGGAAATACATGTAGATTAGCGTTCGCCCGCGTCGAGTGAGCTTCAACCTGCAGCAAAAAGGAATTGCAGTAGATAAGACAGATATGGCATCTTGGACGAGAGCTTCATGCGCATATAAACGCGCTGCCAGCCTGGTTTCGATATCCTTGCGATGATGCATCACTTCAAGCAGCAGAGGCATTGAGTTTTGTGTTTTATATTTTCTGATCCTTTGTGCAGGTGTCTATCGCTGACTGCGCTCTACATCTCTCTTGGCAACAGGCAAAAAGAGGCGCGTCGCTCGCAAGCAAGCACCTGGGAGGGCAGCGCGCGTGCGTGGCTGGCTGATCGGGCTTTCGCTGGCTCCGGCCGTTCTTGGCTGCTCGAGAGCACGCGACGGAGGCTGCTGTGACGAGCGCCTTCCTGTCTCTCCACTCCGTCGCACCTCCGGCCACCTTCGCCCCAGGGGCTAAACCGACGCCGACGCAGCCAGCACAGCGCCGCGTTCTCCGCCTACCTAGATGGAGAACTCGTTGAAGTTGCTCTTGTCCTTCTTGCCCTTGCCCTTGGCCTTGGCCTTCTCCTCGCGAGCGATCCGCACGGCGGCGGGCTCGGCCGCTTTCTTCTTCTTGCCCTTGGCCTTCATGACGGCCTTGATGTCCACCACCTCCGTGGTGGCAGTCTCGGGCTCGGCGGCCTTGGCGGGCTTCTTGCCCTTCTTTTTCTTCTTCTTGTCCGAGGCGCCGGCGTCCGCGGGCGTCTCCGCCTTCTTCTCCTCCTTCTTGGTCTCGTCCTTCTTGGGCTTGGGGGCGTCCTCCACCTTGACGCCGAGGTCGGCCAGCGCGGCCTCGAACTCCTTCATCTCGAGCTCCTTCTTCTCCTTCTTGGACAGCGTGCGGGCCGGGCCGGCCGCCTTCTTGGGGGCAGCAGCAGCAGCGGCGGGCTTGTCGGTCTGTTCCTCCTCCTCCTCTTCTTCTTCCTCCTCGCTCTCGCTGTCGCTGTCCTCTTCCTCCTCTTCCTCCTCCTCAGCGGCCTGCTCCACGGCGGGGGCCTCGGCCACGTGCATCTCGTCGTCGCTGTCGTCGCCCCAGGCCGACGTGGACGGGTTGTTCACGAAGGACGCGAACATCTTGCTCTGCGGCGGCTCGGCCGTCTTTTTCTTGCGCTTCTCCGGCTGCAGCGCCAAAAACACGTTGCTCTGCGTGCTCATGGTCTTGGGGGCGTGGCTTCTCGGGCGAGGAAGAGAGGTGCTCGGCTCTCCGGTATCGGATCCCGGATCTGTCTGCGCAATGAGTGGAAACCGGTTGGGCCATTATCCTTGGCAAAAAAACCTCGAGGGCCTTAAAGAACCTTTTGATTTTTGTATGGAATGGCGCTACACTTGAAATTTGTATGTGACAATGCAATGGACCCCAGATATCGCTCGCGTGATTTTTGTGCGATTTGTGAGTTTTTTGACAATACGATCGAGGTTTTTGACAGTATTTGATTTCACAAAATTGGCGGTTCACAGACCAATGAGAAGCGTCCAAAATGTGCTGTCGAGGGCGGATTGGAAGAGCTAACGCGCCCGACTGAATGTAGCCAGCGAAGCAACCGGGTGACGTCGGCAGAGCACACATCGCATCCATTTTCGTTTGCACTCGTGGCGCCCTCGGTCTATTCCTATCGCCCCTCGCTGCCCGCCGTCGCAGCCCACGCACGCAGCCAGCACCGGAGGGAAAAATAGCCGTCACCCAGCCGCCCCCTCGCTCGGGGTCAGTTGTAAGAGCCTCCGTTTCCGCTGCTTGGCTCTGGCGCGGCGCACGTGTTCACATTCCAAAACGCAACGCGCCGCCAGTCAGCCCCCGAGTCGCGCAGCGTGCTGACCTCCGCTTGAGCGCTGTGTTCTGTGTCTGCGTGCGCCATGTCGCGCTTGAAGGATGTCTACGGAGACCTGCGCAAGGAAATGACGGCGACGTTTGACCGCACGGACGTCGTGTCCGTCGTGAGCGGCGGCAAGGCCGGCTACGCCAACCTCAAGCACCTCAACGTGGGCTCGCCCGGCAGCGACGTCAGCGACCTCGGAGACACCGCCGACCTGGAGGAGCTGCTGGCCCAAGGATCCAGCCAAGGGCCGCAGACGCATCCTGGTGCGTCGCTTTGGGCTCATGGTTGATTGACGCCATTATACAGGTGAGACTGACGGGTGATTTATGTGTGGCTGCTGTCCAGGTATTATTTGCTGCGCCATCTTCTCGTTTTCCGGCTTCTTTTTGCTGGTAAGCTTGGCTTTTGCGATTCTACGGTGTGTCAATGCGATGATAAGCTAACGTGGTTCCTTTGGTTAGCTCATTGTGGGCTGCATCGTGAGCAGCAACTCGCTATACATCAAGGTGCGACCGCCCGAGGGCAAGCCCAAGTCGTCGCTGGCGACGAGCATTTTCCTGGCGGCGTTCCTGTACCTGTGTGTCTTCGGCACCAGCATCATGTACTTCCTCCGCGCACGACGCGCGCAGAAGGTGTATCAGCTCTCGCTCGACGTCCACGCCGATTAAGCGATGGAACAGGGCACATCTAGTTAGGGTGCACGCGTGACCAGCGCTCGCCCAGATGCACCGAATCTGTAGATTAGCAGTGGAGACCGAGAAGCAAACGATTAAACACGAGAGACCACCATCTCAACCACCAGCGATATAGAGCGAAAGACGAGCATTCATATTGAAGCGGACGGACCGAGGACACGACACCAGGAACGAAACAAAGCAGGCAGGCAGGCAAGCAAGCACCTATCGGCGACGGAGGAGCCCGTATCCACGTGAACGATCAGCTGGACGCCACGGCAGGCCACACTTCATACCGCAAATAAATTAACTTCATCCTCCGTGCGCGGGCGTCTGCTCGCTCTCTTCTTGGCGCTTGGCTCCGTCTTCGATTTCGTCGTTCGCAGGTCGGTCGTAAACGATCAGCAGGTTCTTCTCAAACGCGGCAGCTAGCACTTGCTTGGCAACTTCAACACGAGCTTTCTTCTTGCTGATGACGTTGGCAACAGCAACTTGCTCGCCGTTCAGGAAGCCCGTGCACTTGAACTCGGTGACCTCCTTATTGGGCGACACATCTTCAATGTCGAAGCGTGCTTGCAGTGTTCCGCGCTGAGTAAGCTGGTTTAGCAGAGGTAAAGGTTGAAGTTGTCGCTCCAGCCAACTAAGCCGTGTCGGCAACTGAGATGAGCTGTTAGGTGCCTTCTGTGGCATCGCTGGGGCTGCAGGCTCGGACATTAGCGGCTGTCCACTTGCCTTCGCACGCTCGAACCTCTCTAGATATGTCAAGTCCTCTGGGACCAGCTTGCCAGCCGCTTGCTTGTCCTGCCACAGTTTCTCGATTGCAATCTTGCACGCCTCATTCTTGACAACTTTCTTCGAGACACCATGAACTCCAGCAGCGAGTACTTCGCCCGTGGTACCGTTCACAATGGTGCACTCGAAAAGCGGTTCTTCTCCCTTATCGGCGTTGTAACGAGGTTGGATATCCACCATCATCCTCTGCTTGATTTTCATGAAGTAGACGTTCAGTCTCGCAGCAGCGAAGGTATCATCCTCTCTCGTCGGCAGCGGAGTCGTATCCACTCTCTGTTGCATCTCCTGCTTGTACTGCTCTTCGCGCTCTTCCGTCGTCATCTCAAGCGGCGCGGCAGGATTCTTTGCTCCAGCCGCAATCGCTGCTTGCACCTGCTTCGCTCTGATCTCCGACAGTTCTGCCTGCTCCAACGCTTGCTTCCTCTCCACCGCCTCGATCTCTTTGCGCAAGTTAAAATACTGCGACTTGTCTGGGTGGAACTTCAATGCCGTGTCGAGAACCTCTTGCGCCTCCACGAATCTATGCTCCATCAGCCTCAGCTTGGCCATCGCGTACAGCGCCTTACTGGAAGACTGGTCCACGGCCAGCGCCTTGCCCGCATACTCATTTATCAATGACAAGTCTTTCATCTTGATGCCGCAGATGGCTACATTGTTGCACAGCGTGACGTATCGCTCCTGCATGTCCAGATCGTCCCACTCGGCCGGAGGGACGGTGTTGCCATAGTACTCGCTCTGCTGATGCTTGAGCACAGCCTCAATACTCTTTTGGAAGGCGTTTCTCGCTGCGTAATAGTTCTTCTCCTTGAACTTCTGCTTGCCGTCGCTCTGTGCGGCGTCTGCCTCCTGCAGGAACTCGGGCGGCGTGTCGTCGTCGGGATTCTGCAGTGCCATGGCGCTCATCTTCTCCTCCACCGCGCGCGCGTACCACTGGTCCAGGCTCTCGCCCTGCGCGTGCATCTGCGGTTCGGCGTCGCGCATGCGCAGCAGGGTTTGGCGCACCTGCGGGTCCCAGACCCAGTCCTCGAACGAGCGCGACGTGTCCCGCACGAACGTCAGCAGCAGCTCCTGCACGCCGCGCAGAGGCAACAGCGGTTGCAGGAAGCGCTGCGTCTGCTTGTCGCTCGCTCCCAGCGCGTTGCGTAGACGCGCCAGCTCCTCCATCGTCGTCGTCGCCGCGCTCATACGTGTCAAGGGCAAGCTTTGGCTTGGATACTGAACGTTGGAAGTGCGGGAGTGTAGCCATGTCGTCAAGAGGCCGTAATTACGCTGCGTAAAAACCTGTGCCAGAGTGATGGTAGGTCAACTTGGTGTGGCACACACCATATTCCAATTTCTTCTCTAATACTTAAATCAAGATAAATATGGGACCACCATACGTCATCTCCATGCAAACCTTCCAAACAGCCTGCAGCAATCGGACCGCCCAAATAAGTAGAAGAACCAACGCTTGGCTAGCGGATCATGGCCTCCGGCGCCGAGAACATGCAGACGGAGCCCAGCGCGGACGACGCGTCGCCGCAGCCGCCCTATACGGGCGAACAGAAGTCACAGACGCAGACGCAGGCACGACAGGCTTCGCGGCGCGCACCGCGCGTTCGCACCGTGCGCCTGACCACACGGGTGCATCCCGAGCTGCTGGTGCCATATCTGTACGGGGAGCGCGGCGGGCGCAGCGGCATCGGCGCGATTGTGAGCGCCACGGGATGCGCCATCGACTACTGCGCGCTGTCGCCCGACGAGGCGGAGCGCTCGCCGGAGACGCAGGCGTTCGTGATGAACTTCCTGGTGTCGGCGGGGTCGAGCGAGGCGCTGGAGGACGCCACGCGACAGCTGCGGACACTGGTGGACAGAGTGCAGACGCATCTGCAGAAGAAGGCGCGCGCGTCCACGCCCACGAGGGCCGGCGCTACTGCGAGAGAGCGCGAGCGAAAGGAGACTCAGGCACAGGTGGACGATGCGAGACAGGTTTACGACCAGGTGGACACAGGAAGAGCGCGACGCGGGATGATGTCCCCCTCGGCGGACGCTGCGGCGTCAAGCAGAAAGGCTATAACGGATGAACGATGGACCGAGATGGAGATGGAGGAGGAACAGTGGCCCATGCAGAGAGTCTATTACGAACCTAGATTGCGACGAGAGCGACCGAGATATAGGAGCATGACCGATGTGGAGGCTGATGAGAAGAGCGAGTTCGTGGTACCGACGAGACGCCCGGCGGTGGATGCAGCAGGTGCTGAAGCTGCGTACGCTCAGAGGAATGAGCCACCGACGCACTTCGTTGCGCGCCGTCGAGTGCGGCGGTACCCGGACCACGCGCGGTGGGCGCCGAGAAGTTACCCGACACAGATGCGTGAAGCAGGATATCCGATGTACGCGGTGCCGTCGCCGCATGGGAAGGAACAGGGGCAGCAGATTTCGCGAACTCGACCACGGCATATTTATCAGGGAGCAGCGCCAAACCACTTTGCACAGGCAGAGTACAGTCCGTATGAGTACGGCGATGAAGGAGAGGAGAATGGCGAAGATTTCGCTGCGTACGACGAAGCTGTGGATCTCACGAACGAGAATGCTGGCGCGAACGACTCGTCTGAGTTTGTAGACGTTCCAAGGCAGCACCAGCCCGTTCATCAACCTCGCAGAAGTCTTAAGCGCCCGCTTAGCACGATGCGAAGTGAGGGCCCGCCACCGCCAACTATTTACCGGCAACGAATGCCGTATATTTATGACTATGTGTATGATGATGAGGATGACGAATGGATGACCGACGACGAAGAAATGGCTATTGCCTATGGATACCCCCCACAATATCGCCATGTGGAGATCCCGGTTGTGCGCCGGCGACGACGATTTGATAGTGTTAGTTCGCAGCAGTGGACCAGTCCAGCTGGGCATCAACGGATGTACAAGCGCCGTCGGATCCCGCCCCCTCTTGAGTATGAGGCCAATGACGATGATATGGTCGAGGCGCCCCACGCAGAACATGTTATCCCTCCACCTTCCGGTGGTCGTGTGACGGCATTCATGGATCAACTTAATGAAGTTGCAGAAAGCACAGCTGGCGAAACTTCTCCTGACCGTGATGACAGCCACATGGAGACAGCTCGAGTACCGGTCGATGTTGTCGGGAGCCCAAGTGAGATGCGCTCTAACAGCGTCGTACTCGATGGTCATTCTCGGGCAAGTGAGACCGCAAGGACAGAGGAGCATAATGAAGTGCTGGGTGGACGATCTGTCAATGTAGAGATGAGTAGCTCCGTGAGAGAGCAAGGACAGGAAAACGGTAGTCCAAATGGCCCAAGTACGAACGACAAAATTGGTGCAAATGATGAGCCGCAGCAGTGCGGGCCAATCGAACGACTTTCGCAGAGCGAAGTAGTGCCGTTGGGTGCAAGTTCCCCGGCCCAAGAGCCGGTTGGTTACGCATCGCCAGAATCCAATGTCTCTGCAAGTTCTCCACCAAGGTACATATGCATTGTGCTAGCAATACTCGTCAGGATCCAGCGTTAACACCATTATTTTTTATATTTTGTGTAGGAAAGCAACAGGCTTCTCTGTTGATGAAGAGGAGCGTCGAGTTGCTAGCCCTCCTTTGTCTTCTGCAAAAAGTGTTTGTGTTAAAACCAGTGTGGGTGTCGACGCACGACGCAGTGCTACAGAGGGCAGTTTTCTGAGCCAAGCACCGGCTTCTAATGCTACGAACGACGCTCAATGTAGCACCACTGCTGAAAGCAAGGTTTTGAACCCAATAGCGGCTTCAAATGCCATCGAAGCGCGGCTTGCTGCGCCTGCAAGAACAACTGCTTGCTCAGTTGAAAGCGTCGTCACGGACGGTATGCGGATTAACAACCATGTTATCGCTTCGCTGGAGAGACTGAATCAGGAGGAGGCGGCTTTCGTCACCGTCAAGACATCGCTGACAGCTCAGGAAGAAAAATATCGTCGCCTGGAAAGCGACATGAAGTGTCGTCGAAGGCTGGAGGCGCTATGTGGAATTATTTATGACATCCAGTGTCAGGTCGCTTCACGATGTTGTGACGTGGATCAGTCTCAAAAGCAAGATCTGCTCAATAGACTGGATAGTTGCCTTGAAAAAATGCTGGCAGCGAGCGAACAGACGGTTCAACAACAAGTCGAGGCGTTACAGAAGGACGTGGAACATGTTCTCGGAATCGGGAAGCCGCGGCTTCGCAGGAAGAAGGATGTTATCGCCGAGCCAGTGACAACTGCAGCATCGAAGAAGGCGACTACGAAGATCTGCACACCCCCACGAATCCCCGCTGAAAACCAGGTCAATGCAGACGAAGCAGGTGATATGGATTGGGACAATGATGGTTGGTTCGATGAGTCTGCACCAAATGACCCAGCGGATGACTCTGACGAGCAGGAGCACATTGTGGCACAATTTTTTCCTAAGAAGTCCAATCTGAAACTTGGAGGTGATTTTCTGGCCGTGAAACTGGAAGAGGGAGCTTCGCCGCGCTGGCCTCGCGAGCTACCGCCTTTCGTGTGGTCGCTCTTGGCACGTGTAATCACGTCAGACCCGCAGTCATACGTGATGAGGGTGACGCACAAGCGTCTCATGGATGAAATTGCTAAGGGCGACCCGTATTATTATCTGCATCCGACGATCATGTCCAGTGATGCGGATGAGTCCTCGCCTTTGCGCACGTCACCCGCCCACCCGTGTGAGTTCGGCTGTCGAGGCGCGTCAGCGCTGAAGTGGGAGCGGAAATTGGTATCGCAAATTAGCTCGCGCATGAAGTCATTCGACAACGTGGCGTACTCGCTGGCTCGTAGCAGCGGTGGCAAGGAGGTTCTCAACCGCAAGAAGATGAACTCGATTATCCGTAAACTCCATCTTGTTGCGATGCAGCTACACTCACTGGTGTCGCATCTTTATTGCGTGAAGGGCCAGACGACCTGCAAAGAGGTTGACTCGCTTCCGATAGCGCTGAACAACTCTCATTTTGAGCGGAAGATGGGAGTCTACAAGTCCAGATTGAAACTTGTGGTACCGCACAAGTATCAGCAACAACAGCAGCCTCCACAACAACAACAGCTCAGCAGCGCCAATGAGCCAGCTGAAGAACTTCTGCGAGACACGTACGAGTTCTTTCCCGAGCTTTTGCTCTGCGTTGACATCTGGGGGTACAACTATCGCGAGGGTCAGGCGAAGCGACACAACAGCAAGAGTGTGCTAGGCGAGAACCATTCTGGAGCTGTTTCGGAAGGGGCGTTGTTCCCACTCGGCTTTTTTCGTGGAGTCGAGAGTCTGGCGTTTGATTTCGAGCACGACAGCAACGGTTTGCTCCGGTGTATCTGTGACGAATTGCTGAACATTGTGTGTCTGTGGAACGATTTCAAGTGGACTGACAACCTTGAAGCTGTTGCCCTGGAGCGCGTACTGTCTTTCGAGACGGACGTGACTGCCAGCATTCTAAAGATTCTGGAGCTTTATGCTCACCACCTGCAGGCGCTCTGGGCTGTACGCTTATTGGATGAGCCTGATCAGCTCCGAAGTGTTCACTTCACACAGTTCAATGCGTACTATAGTGACCGGAGTCAAGGAAGTCTGAACCCAAGCGCCGGGGCTCAATCACGTGCTCCAACCCCATCGAAGAACTCTGGTAATCGTTCAAATCGCGACCCAAGCTCTGTCGATCGGTTGGTAGCGGATGAAATCGTGGAGCAACGTCTCGCCGAGGAATATTGGAACCGTAAGGTTACCGCGCTTTCTATTCACAATCCTAGCGAAGACGCACTCACTGGAGTCGATCTGAATCCGTCTCAGCTATTGAGCGCGGAAACTATTTGTGCGTGGGATCAGCAAACGCTGGTATCTTATTTATTGCGATGGAGCGACGTATACGCAATTCGCAGCGATGTGAATGCGCTTTCGTCTGTCACAAACCACATGCTGAAGCACGAGGTCCAGACATACAGCTTCGTTGTTCGCGATAACGATAGCGATGCCGACCGAGGAGTGGTCGACTCCGCAACAAGACAGCTCCTCGCAGCCGTGAGTCGCGCTCAGATGTTGATCAGGGACGCACTCGTTGGTACGGAGAAGCTTGCGTTACACTCAGCGTCCAGCCAGCTTCCGGATGAGAGAAAGTACCTTCCATGCTCAGAAGAAGACGTCGAGGCGGGCGAGACAAGCGAGACAAACGCGCATGCACGCTCTTCCAGTGCTGAAAGGTCCCCCGCCTCTCAGACCACTGCAGATGCATCAATTGACCCAGCTCAGGAACCGCCGTCGGTCCCAACTAAGCGAAATACGCAGAATGCTGCGGTCTCCAACGCTACGGGTGTGCAGGAGGAAATAAGCTTTGGGACTGGTATTTCCGTGGACCAACCTGAGTTGAAGGATCTAATCCAGTTGCTGGCCGTCACGAAGCAAGACATGCAGGAGCTTTGTGGTCACAGACCTCGGTCAGCTCGGATGCGTGAAAAGGTGCAGACGCAGTCTATGCAGCTTGCTCGACAAACAGTCGAGATTTTCCGCAACATCAGAAACATGTACGGTTCTCAGCTGCGATGATAGCAGCTCGTTGGACTCAGGAATAAAGCTTGCCGAGGTCGTTGGCTCCTCTTCGATCTCCATATTTTTGCAGTTTCTCTTACATTGTCCCTGTTGGCTTCGTGGATACTAATTCGAATTAGTATTACATTAATACTACAACTGTACTACTTCGATAGTGTAGGTGATTGGTGTGCCAGCTTGTCAAAGTTTGATCAAGACGAGGACTGATGAATCATCAGTATCATCAGTGATGATAGTCAGCTGGTGACCGATCCAGGTAAAAGACCTCGAAATTTACACAATGTAGGACCACCAAGAAAATTGACAACCTATGGATCGAGAGGGATCAAAGGAGTTGCGGCTTCTTGGCGAATGTTGGCAACACGGATCAACACATCTACACACTACATGTACATAAGTAGTATTACGAGGTTATATAAGGCATTAGTCGGTCGGCTTTAAGCACCTACCAGCAAGTTCAAAAAGCTCTCGATTTATTCCACATTTAACGCAGCGACTCAAACTTTGAGTCTAGGCTGCAAAGCGGCTACGTTTCCAGATCTCAGGGGTACGCGCAGGGCATGTTGCGTGCGCAGCTCGCTATGCAGCAGCTATTGAAGTCCATGGCGGCCACCCCGGTGCAGCAATCCCCGATCTGAGAGGCTTTCCAAGTGTCGCCGCAATTCGGACAATCCGCCGCATCGACCGGTGTGGAAACGACAACCACGGCTGCAAGGAGAGCAACGATAGAGGAGATGAAGTTCATCTTGATTGGGTGGGCTGGTCTTGTCGGGCTCCTGGTAACTTGAGAACTGAGAGAGCCAAACTTGCGGGTTCTGGACAAACTTCCCTGCTCGTTCAGTTCCTTTACTGCAGATGGGAATGAGACGCTTGGGCTCCTCAGATCTTGCATGCCGTATACTGACCCAAGATCGTTTGGGAGAGAGGGCGACAGCTCAGCATGGGAAAAGTAGGGTTATCGGCGTAAGCTGGGAAAGACTCAACATGGCTTGTGGCTTGGATTGGAAATTAGGATCCACGTTGGTCGCTCGAAAGTTTCGAGTCGAAACCAACCACTACAGTACACTCTTGAACTGTGCTGCGGTGCACAATTGCAAGGCGGCTTTGTGAGAGCAAACGGATATGCTGTAGCAAGCCTGCATTCAACTAACTGGGGTGATGCTACTGAAAAAGAGTCGCACTTGTAAGACGTTCCGACTTCGATGCGGCCCTAATTTCTAACCGCTCGAAACTCCGTGTTGACACGATCAAAAGCACGGAACAACAAATAATGGAAACGATAGCCTGTGAAAAAACCTGCACGTACTTTTATTTACTATAAAATAAGTGTCGGGCGTAAAAAAGAAATACTTCGAAGTACCACAATGCAGAACGTAGAAATATTGCTCTCTTGAAAGAAAAGAATTATCCATCTACATTGGAACGTGAATTGATGCGTTGTCATCTACCACTCCCTGATGCCATAGTTCTCGTTGAAGTAGGATCTGTACTGGACATACGTGGTCATGTGCGCTCTAGACTGATCTTTGTACACGTTCTGCAGAAGATCAAGAACACTATCCGGCGTCCTTGTCGAGCTGAACCAAGCGGCGTAAATTTTCTCCGTAGGCACATTCTCCTTGAGCCAGATGTTGTAGATCTTTTCATCACTCTTCTGCAGCTGAAGCCAAAGGTTGTAGAGTTTATTCATCGACATTTTCGGCTTCAAAAGCTTGTAGATATCTTCGTCCGTCTTCCCAACCCGGAGCCAAATGCGGTTGATGTCCGACATGTATCGACGCTGCTCCTTCCAGATTTTGTAGATCTCGTCGTCGGACTTGCCGAATCTTCGGAACATGAAGTAGATCTGCGCGTCGGATAGGCGTTGCCTCAGGAATACGTCGTAGATGTTCCGGTCCGAGTTTCCTTGCTGAGCCAGAAGGTTGTAGATCTGCTTGTCCGTCTTGCCTTGCTTTACCCAGATGTTGTAGATCTCGGCCTCCGACTTGCCTCGTTTGACCCAGTACTTGTACTTTAGCTTGTTAAAGAGAGCACCAATCTTCGCTTTCAGCGACGACAACCCCCTCTCTTCGTCGTTCTCGTCCGCTGCCAGCGCGTCACCATACCTCAGAGAGCTCTTGACGGTGATATCTTCGCTAGCAGCGGCAAGAGAGCGAGGGATGTCCGCACCAGGAGGGACAATACGCTGCTGCTGCTCACTTGACGATAAGGCATTGCAGCTCGCGATGAAAAGGGTGGCGACTAGCAGCGCCAAGTCGGCAAGGCGCATTTTCGATCTTCTTGTCTTGAGCTTGAGCTGCGCTGAGTAAATTGCGAACTGATGCTTTGGAGAACGTAAGCTGATGAAGCTGGTGAGTGGTCAAGGGACTCCCTTCTGAGCTGGTCACTCATGGGATTGGAGAAACAGCATGAAGTATCTCAAGCGTAGAGGTTATGTCCGACTAAGAGCCGTTCTTAAGTTCCCGGTCCCATCTCCCGGGACGAAATAGAGCGATTTGATTGGCTTTCAGAAAGCGGGCTAGGTTTATTTCCGAGCTCATTTTGTCCCGGTCCCGCGGGACTTTCGCCCTAGCTACTTCATTTCTTCACTAATGCGCGCCAAGTGTGCACCACTTTGTTACGTTTCGAAAGGGCTATCTGACCATGTTCTTCTTTCACCGTAGTTCGCGGTAGTTACCGAGAGTTAGGGGCTTAAAAAAATGCTTACAATTAGCAAGTTTGACGTGCGAGGGGTATCGTCCCGTTCGTCCCGGTCCCAGCTCCCGGGAACTTAAGAACGCGCCTAAGGATGGGATGGTTCCGTATCAGTATTGCTCACGGAGGTCTGCGACTGTGAGTTTTCAAGTTGGCTCCATGACATTGACGGTCGACGTCATGGTGTTGGGTATTGAGGGCGGTGGATAAACCACGATTAGTCTACTTTAGTTAGCGATGAAAACAAAAAATTAGCACTGAATGTGCCTCAGTTGCCATTGAAGCGTTGGGCTATGAGTGTACAGTACTGTAAGCGAGGAGAGAATGCCATAACGCAAAGCTGGATGATTGCATAACGGCTTTGGTGATTCTCTGGCTTCCGAGCTGAGACCAGCTGGGAGTTGCAGCTTGCGATACGCTGGTTGGTCCAGACATCCCTTCGTAGTGTAGGCAGTGTACATGTACACCGCCTCACGAGCACCACCTCGATGCTGGAAATCGAGTGAGCGTCAAGCAGTATTATATTATACGTGTACCCATTCTACAGTAGCATCTCCCGACGAGTTACATGCACCAACCAGTGCTGGCTCCTGCCGCTGAACCTCTTGAATCGCAATGGGCCGCCTCGTGGGGGTCGTCAAGGGCGGCCGCCTGGAAGACGTTCGCGCTGCGTTGGTAGGAGCTCAAGACGTCGACACAAGGGACGACGATGGGTGGACGGCGCTGACGTCGGCGGCCGCGGACGGTCGCTCGGATCTCCTCGAGCTGCTGCTGGCATCAGGAGCCGACATCAACTGCCCCAACCGGTGGGGGGAGACGGCGTTGAGTCGCGCGGTGTTCGGCGGCCACGAAGAAGCTGCTCGGCTGCTGCTGGACAGAGGAGCGGACGTCAACTGTGCAGACGAAGACGGAGACTCGCCACTGCACGTGGCGGTGCTGTCGAAACATTTGGGTCTGGTGAGTCTGTTGCTGGAGAGAGGAGCCGACGTGGAGGCGAGGAACAAGAGCGGGGTGACGGCCTGGGGCTTGGCCTGTCGAGACGGACAGCGGGAGGCAGCAGAGGCGATACAAGGCTACCAGCCAAGAGGTCGGGAGGCGTGGCGAGTTGTGGGGGACTGGGTGTCGTCCTACTGGGTCGCGAGTCGTGAGCCGGAAGGGGAAGCGGTGGTCGATGAGACGGTCTGTCGGGTAGGTCAGGATGAAGAAGAAGGAGAAGGAGAAGGAGAGGAGGAGCTGAGTGTCACGAGTCTGCTGCCAGTGCTGCTCGAGTTGTGTGGAGGGATGGAGGAGACGCAGGATGTGTGTGAAGACATGCTCGAGAGACTGCGGAGAGCGCAGATGCTACTTGACGAGAGTGGAAGTGCTACTTCTACTCAGACGAGGGCGGGTCTTCAGGGCATCACGACCCGCTTCCACGAGTTCCTGGTTCAGCACACGAAGCAGACGTCCGTTGTCAGGCTGGCCAGCACTCGAACGATCCTGGGGCTGCTACGCGGCTTCCACAACGAGATTGACGAAGTGATAACCCCCTTAGCGCCGGCGCAGTCCATCTCGATCCTTACAAACTGGAGAGAACGCTGGGACGACGCCGTTCTGGAAGTGGAGAACCGACTCAAAAATTCATGGGAATCCAACTCGTCCGATTTGTCCCGAGAGTTGCCGGACACGACCTCACAGACCGGAGCTCTATTGCTGCTGAACAGCGAAAGTCTCCGTCACAAGGCGAGATACAGCGCCCAATCTCAGGAACTCCTAGAAGCAGCCTCAAAGCGCATAGCACGGATGTCCGGCGCCCCAATTCCCGAGATCCCAGAGTGGTTTGTTCCACGCCACGAAGTTCAGCGTCAAGCCAAACCCTTCGCTTCAGGTTCGTTCGGACAGGTCTATCGAGGGGTTTGGCGAGGCTCGAAAGTCGTCATCAAGTGCGTGACAGTGTCCTCGCCGCGGGAGAAGAAGGCGTTCCTGCGAGAGGCGCGGATCTGGCACAGAGCTCGTCACCCACACATTGTGAACTTCTTCGGTGCTTGTTACGACTGCCAGCCGTGCTTTTTCATCTGTGAGGAGGCTGCGAAAGGCAATTTGGTGGATTACCTGGACAAGAAGAAGGCGGACGGACGGACGCTCACGTGGAAGAAGCTGCTCGAGGCGGCCTTGGGACTGGAGTATCTGCACCAGAATGGGATTGTCCATGGAGACCTCAAGTGCAACCAGATCCTGGTGAGTGGCGAAGGAGTCGCCAAACTGACGGACTTTGGGTTTAGTTTTGTCTCGTCAGGGTCGAAGCCTACGGGCTCTGGAGGCGCTATCCGGTGGAGAGCTCCGGAATGTCTTGGCTGCAACAGCCAGATCCCAACATTTGAGTCGGACGTGTACTCGTTTGGGATGTGTGTGGTGGAGGCCTTGACCTACGACGTGCCATGGGGAGTCTATCTCCCCGACGCTGCTGTCATGGATCATCTTCGGCATCGGCAGTTTATTCCTCGACCGCAACAGTTCACGAGCGATGTCGAATGGAGTTTTGTGTTGGCCTTATGCGCCTTTGAGCCTTCTAAGCGCATGGATCTGACTGATGCTATCAAACACCTTCAGGTATTTGCAGGTGTTGGGACGCTTACGGGTGAACCACTTTGGATTGTACCAGCAGAGGTACCTAGGCTTTCAACGGGAACGTCACTGGAGACTGTTCGCATTGATCGGCGACGTCAAGCGTGCAGGAAAGTATTTTACACTGTCCTCAGTCTAATGATACGGAGGCGATACTTGCGTTTTCGGCACGCAGTTCGGACACTGCAGATCGCGTTCCGCTACAAAGTCCATCGACAGAGACAAAAAGCACAAGCGCTATACTTAACGTCGGCTCAAAAAGTGCTGAGCTTCCTGCTGATGACCTCCCAGCGGAGGAAGTACTTCCGTTTCCTGACTGCTGTACGAACTCTGCAGTGCCGATTCCGCTATCGTCGCAAGATACGAGCTAGAGCTGTGGAGCCAGTCAAGATGCACCGCGTCGCAGGGACAAACACGAGGAAGCCTGAAACTGAGTCGACACAAAGTTCATGGCCGACAGCAGCTGATGTTTCCACTGCTATCCCAATATCCGAGTCCACCTCACAGCGGACAAATGTTTATTATCCTATGGATTCTTCCCAGACGGCAACAACTCGCTCGCCGTGGGTAAATGATGAGGAACGGTTCAATTGCTTCATTTGCAGCAAAGACTTCACGGTGTTCCGACGTAAGCACCACTGCCGCGTGTGCTTCGAGATCATCTGCCACAACTGCTCCCTGACACGGAAGAAGATGCGGGTTTGTGTAGTCTGCGCTGGTCTCCGCCTACCATCCACAACGCAAACACAGACTCAACGTAACCTGGATGACAGCGCTGGAGGGTTTTTCACAAGTCTTCTAACCCGTTTGGGTACTAGACGAGGGAGACGAGAAGCCACAACGACGTACACACCCGATAGTACTCAGCATTCAATGACGAACGTGAGCAGTCGTTCGACTCTGGAGCAGCCAGGTTTGTGGACAGACGACGACATTACGGCAGCTCGGATCCCGCGAAGCTCGATCACGATACAAGAAGTTATCAGTCGAGGTGCATACGGGGTAGTACATCTTGGCATGTGGAAGGGCGTGCAAGTTGCTGTCAAGACGCTACTCCCAGAGTCTCGGAAGAGCATTCTGGAGATCAATCAGTTCCTTGCAGAGGCGAAGATGATCGCGACGATGGAGCATCCGTGTATTGTGAATCTCATCGGAGTGGCGTGGGAATCCTTGACAGATGTATGTATGGTGGTGGAGTATATGGACGGTGGAGACCTGCGCTCGCTGCTGAATCAGTACGAGAAAGACAAGTGTCCGATCGGTTTCAATTCCGACAAACTCAGCATCGCTATCAACGCTTGCGAGGCTCTCACGTACCTGCACTCTTTGTCACCGCCTGTGCTCCATCGTGACCTGAAATCCCGGAATATTCTCCTGAATCGCGCGTTGCAAGCCAAAGTCACGGACTTTGGCGTCTCTCGGGAGTATGTGGATCAAACGATGACGGCTGGAGTGGGGACGTGTCTGTGGATGGCGCCTGAAGTTATCATGGGGATGCCGTATGATGCCAAGGCGGACGTCTTTTCCTTTGGTATCGTGCTATCAGAACTGGACAAGCACTCGCAGCCCTATCTCCAAGAGAGCGCGAACATGGCCGGCGGACAGTTTTCATCCGTGAAAGCCGCAGTGCCTGCTATTCGGCTGATGCAGGGGATTGCCACGGGGAGTCTTCGAGTCGCTTTTTCAGAAATGTGTCCACAAGCCATGGTGGACCTAGGCAACGCGTGCACCGCTTTGGACCCTGCAGAACGCCCCACTGCTGCTGAGGCAGCATACAAACTCCATTGCGTATTGCGTGATCTTTACTAGGGTCGAGAATAAATGCACACGCATTATTCCTGGGCTAAAAGTGCAGGATCAGGCTGCCAATAACCAAAGCTCTTGGACAAGAAAAGGAGGACTGCTGCTAGTATTATCCTATTCTAAGCGCATTTTTACAACTTTCGCTTCACGTAAGAAAAGGTGATCAATGCCTCGCGTGAACCCCGTCCAGGTATCGAGTACTCGTGCTCAAGAGATTCGGCAAACCGTGGCTACCGGCACATCTCATCGCATTCCTCGGCACGAATACATCGCACTCTGGACGTTCATGACTTTCCTCCACGCGCTCTGTGCAGCTTTTCTATTATCCTGTGCCAAGCTCTACTGGATCATGGAGAACGAGTACCTCAACTACTTTGCAAATTTATTAGCCCCAGTGCGTGACCGACACTTTCGGACTGTGGGCGCTGCACTGGGAGTTCTGGGGGCAGCTCACGGGTTGCTGCTCCTCAGTCATATCGGCGCATCTATTAGTGCTCGACAGCTGACAGTCCGACCGATGAATCTCACTGGTAGCCTCGTGGATTTCGTTGCGTTTGGTGCGAGGAAACTGAGGTATTGGCCGGTGTACAAGTGGATAAACCCCCAGCATGACTGGCGCTACCAAGACGAAAGCAGCAGCAACGAGGCTTATGCTCGGGTTTTTGCGGCTCGAAAACTTGTGGAGATTGCCACTCAGGTCCCAAACGCCTATCTGTACAGCACGCTCATTGCACGCCCATGGATAAATCACTCCAAGGTGGCGCTCGTTGTTGCAAACTGCTGGTCGGCTTTCTTGATCCACCAAATACTGCTCCGATCTGGGTCTGCACGAATGTCGGTAAGGGTTGTAGCGATCGTTATCGACTCGTTGATCTCTGTTGCGACAGCCATCGTCCTCCCAAGCGCCATCTTCTTACCCTACGCCATGCAGTTCGACTACAAGAACCTGAGCTTCCCAATGTCGCTGCTCTACGGTGACACGGAGTTTCTGAACCTCGTACTGGAGAACCGTGCCTTCTTCTTCATGTCGTGGACAAACGCGCTAATCACAGCCGTTCCCCATGCCAGCGCCTTCCTGTGCCTGCAGAGCATTGCGACTATGCTAAATTCACCAAGTCGATCCGGTCCGCTCGCCCCCAAAGCTACAGGCAGCGCCATGCTCGAACACCCGACAATTCGATCCAGTAAATCATCGAGCGTCGCGACTGCAACATTTGATGTATTATCACGGGCTACCACAAGAATGCAAACTTCTACTCGACTGCACCGAATTGTCATCCCGACGATCTTCGTCACTACAGGAGCAGTGGTTCTCGTGCTGCATCTCGAAGCGCAGTACGGTGTTGTGAATGGCGATATCGAGGTCATCAAGAGCATGTGTCTGCAGCAAATGCACCCGTGGCTCGCTTCAAACTTCAGCTGCGCCATTGTCAAGTACAATTGCTATCGCGCGATGGTGCAGACCCCTCCCCTCGACAGCCTTTACTGGTTAGAACGTGAGATGCTGCGGAGGATCACGTTCATGCACTGCCCAGCACTTGTCGTACCTCCGATCATCCGCGAATTTCCATCGCTCATGGGCATTGAGATCTGGAACGCAACGCTTGAAAGGTGGGGAGAAGAAGCCGCCCTGTCGGCCCAACTACACGAGAATATGCTCTTCGTTATGTTTGTGTTCGTGAATATGACCGGGATCCCCGATGGAATTCTGCAGTCCCCTCTCCCTAAACAGTTGAGAGACCTGGAGTTTGTTCACACGAACCTGACGACAATTACCGAAGACGTCATCGAGCCATGGAGTGGAGTCAGCATCATTTACATTGAGCACTCGCAACTAAACGAATTTCCCACCATGTTCAAGCACCTCCCTGAACTGAGCGAGCTTTCACTGATCAACAATAAGATCACGGCGATGCCAATTGACTTCCTACTCACTGCGATCCCAACATATTACTACTCGTTGTCGTTCTCTCGGAATCCCTTGCGAGAGCTACCGGAGGCTCATAATGGCGACTTGTACATCTCCTACCTGACTTTGGAGTTCACGCAACTGAGAGAATTGCCAGAGTGAGTGGATACCGCCGTCTGGGAAGCCCTGTCGCTGGGCGGTTCACCAGTGTGTGGTAGTGATCCTAAATTTCCTCGGACTGCACTATGCGGGAAGAATGAGCAGGATTGGGACCCCCTTGGCGACGATCGCTACCCAATGCACCTCATCCAGCCATTTCGATCGCTGGCGGCATAGGGAGAAGTTTCATCAAGATTTTTATTATAATATAATAATCGCTGGCAATAAAAGTAAAAAATGTTAGCGTAATGATAATATTAATCACCGCAAAAGTAAAGGACAAGGACCTCAGGAACTGCAGAGCAGCAGAAAAAAATACCTTTCCCATTTATCTTTCGCATGAACATTCTGCATGGCTCTGGCTGTTTATAGCCCGGCTTCAGCTTTATCATTTGGCAACAATAGAACTCGTCCTGGCGAATGGCATGCAGACAATTTGGCGATTACCATAACTTTGGTTATGATCGCATCAAGAGCGGCAGCCTGGTAACCAATTCGACACCGGCAAACTAGCGAGAAAGCATGCCGGTGGCGACGTCATCGATAACAAAGCTTCAGGTCAAGCCGCAAGGTACCACCGTATCGGGACGCCGGTCGATACGTTCAACAGCGTTGGGTCGAAGGAAGCAGTACATCGTGCAGTCCAAACCGAGATGGAAGATCACCAAGTGGCAGCTCTTCAACATCATTCGTCGGCTTGTGGTGATCGTGGCTGCGTTCTTGTACATCTACGTGTCCATGATGGCGACTTGGCGCACGATGGAGGTGCTGCGTGATATGTCCAACCCCACTCAACCGTTCGGCTCCTTCACGTCGTCTCTTATCGGCGGCTACATTGGTGACGGCTTCGTCCGGGACAGCCCCCTTGTGCAAGACGTCTTAGGTGGGGATACAACGCCGCGAGACTACGTCTTGTTCCTCGAGTCTGAGACGAAGACCTCCGTCAATAATTGCTCCAACGTGCCGCTGTTCACACCCGACCTGTACAAATACGCCTTCCTGATCCACGGGTACATGGAAATCGTGAACGATACCAGCTACAACGTCACCATCCTCGATGAACTCGAGCTTGTTGTGGTGGTGGTGGACTGCAGTTTCACGCCATTAACGAAGGGTGATCGGTCGGCAGCGCGCGTCTTCAGCCTGGTTCGTTCCATCAACGACCCTGACGATTTGTATCTGGTCATGGCGTCGCTATCTGTTCAGGACTACGAGATACGCGCACACAATAAATTCGGTCCGGCCCTCCTAGGAATGCTCACCTTAATTCACGACATGGGAGAGGCAAATCCCGAACAAGTTTACCTCGTGACTCCGACGTACCCGTACCAACGTTCGCTGGAGTTCGAGCCCTATGAGTTCGTAAGGGAAACTAAAGGGTACTTGGAGTTGCGCAGCGTACCCCGAGACCCGCTCACCCAACCAGTTAAGGATCTCCTCACAACGAGGAAACGCGGCTTCTTTGATGGCGACGTGCAGTCGAATATCAACTACATGTACACATTGCAAAATGCTGTGGATGCGAAAAGCGCGCTGACAGACTGGGAATGGTTTGGCCAGCCGACTACCACCGACGCGTGGGCTTGGGTGCACGGGCTTCACTTCTTCTTCGGAATGCAGCCAATTTTCTCTCTAATCGTCCTAGGCATCATAAGTTATCAAAACTTTCGCGCCGGGAAAGTTTGGCTAGGTGACCCATTTTCGTCTGTATCAACTGCAACACTCGTTGGACGAGCCGTTCTCGTGTTAGTCTCGTGGTACGTGGACTCATTCTGGTCGATATTCGAGTTGAGTATGGCAAACGCAGCTGTCCTATCGAATAGTGAGGAGATTTTCATCCACAAGGAGTTGGTATACGCGGATGTTCTCGTTGTCTACCGGCTTGGTCGGACTGATCAGTACAGCTATTCGAGAACGAATTGACCCGGGAGTATGATATATTTTGTTTGAGATTATCCACATCTATCGATTTAACCTGCTACGGGCTGCGTCTGGAGTTCTGGATGGGGTTGTTTCGTACTCCAACAAGCTTTTCCTGCTTGGTGACGAATGGGTACCGGACGTCGTGTACGCGATGTCTCCGATGGATTTCTGGTCCGCCTTCCAGATCCCGGCAAAAGATGGCACCTTCATTGCTACTTCGTTCTTTCCTAGATTGGTCTTGCTATTGACAATTTCACACTACGCCATGCTACGGAAGGTGTACCGGCACTTCTACCCTGAAAAAGTCGATCTCAAATCGGGCCACACTGCGGATCGATCTACGAACGAGAAGGCTGCGCTTGCCGAGAAAGGGCACTTGACTAACTTTGAGATCTCGACGGGCGCAGAGTTACAGACGCGCTTTGGGATCATCTCGGACTACAAGAATTACGTTTACTTCAAGGGGATGAAGTTCGCGTCGGCGGACGGCGTGTACTGCTCGGGGTATGTCATCGTAAACGGCAAATTCTTGGTGGCGTCAAAGGACTTACAAGCGATCGTGATGATGAAACTGGTACGCGCACGCTATAGGAATGTGTACGCGTACGAAATCGAGGGCAATAACGTACAGGATGCTGCACGGTTAGTGTTTCCGGACACCTTCACGTGGACGGATTTGTGGCACCTGAAGGTGTCGGTGCTGCTCTAGATAAACAGGTAAATCCAGGATGTGCTACCTTACCAAATGTGTACAAATACCTTCTTTTACGCTTCGTAAATGCAGCTAAGTTACCGACAATGTAAAACACTAAAACAAATGCTACGTCTCACGATCACGGTCGAGGCCTTTCCCAACAGCCAAACATTCGCGCTCACTCGAACCGCACTTTCTTGCTGCTGAGCAGGTGTACGATCTCGTCGTCGCCAATAAGTTGCGCTTTCGACATAGCATTGCGGATAGTAGCCGCATCGCAGTGGCTACGCAGCACCTTCACCACAGAAAGTCGACCTTCAGTGGCGGCGCACTCGAGCGCGCATGCAATCGCTGATGACTCACTTTTCTCCAGCAACTCAGCTACAGCCTCGACGTGCCCCCGCGCTGCAGCACAGAACAAGGCGCGATGGATACAGTGAGGTTCCATCTCGTCCAGCAGCAGTTGCAGAACGCCAGCGCAACCACTCGACGCGGCATTTTGAAAGATGCGCTTGTGCGCGCTCGGATTGCATCGACGGAGCAGCATCGTCGATAGCTCAACGTTTCCAGATGCTACTGTCCTCTCCAGAGCACTCTCAATCGCTTGGTGGCCAGAGTGGTCGAGCAGGGCTTGCACCATGTCAGCCTTGCCTCTTGTAGCGGCTTCAACTAAAGCAGCCACAACGCTGCAAGGTTCGCTCTTCTTGACAAGCAGACTGACTACCTTGACGGAGTTGTTCTCGACAGCTATCCACAACGCGTCACCAACGTCAGCTCTGCCACACTTGGCAAATATTTGCTGTACAGTCTCCAAATCGTCGTATGCTGCGGCTTGTTCCAGCATAGTCGTCATGTACGACGCCATCCGATGCTCCTGCAAGTACTTCGCCTCACACAGTTCCAACAACAGCTTCTGGACGTCCCTTTGGTCGTTATTCACTGCGTGGCTCAGTATGTCGCGCACATACGAAGCACTTGTCTTGGTTAGGACTCTGAGCATGTCTAACTGACCAGCATCGGCAGCCTCACTCATAGCTGTAGCGACAGCGGATTGGATGGGGTTGGTGAACCGATAGCTCCCCCAAACGAGATTTCGCCCGGGCGTCTCCATTGAAGGGCATTTTTCCAGCAGAACAGGCACTAGTTCCTTGTCGTTGTTCTTTGCTGCGATCACCACACCCGCCCAAGCACTTTGTCCACGAGTTTAAGCCTCTTCAGCATCAGCCGCATCGTGTTCGCACTAATGACCGCCGCCATTTTCGTAAATGCCAACTCAATAGCGACGTCACCTGCAGCCTTGGTCAGTAGCTCGATGGTGCCAATGTGTCCGCCCTCAAGCGCCTTCTTCCAAGCCCCCTATAAATGGAGCTTGGTATTGGCGAGCAGGAACTTCACGACTGCTACATGACCATTGCCCGCAGCTGCAGCGACCGCTCCATGGGCGTCAACGACTCCGCGTAGAAAGACACGAACAATTGCAACGTGCCCGTTGGCAGCCGCCATCACCAGCAACCGCTCCCGATCGAACTCTCGCAGGTGCGTGGATGCCCGTAGAAACCGGATAATCCCAAGGTGGCCGTGCTTCGTGGCTTCCGTGAGCTCGTCCAGCCCCGTCGCTGCTCCCGACAGGGACGGTAGAGCCACTCCAGCACCTCCAAGTGGCCGTTGGACGCCGCGCCGATGAGCGCAGCCGACGAGCAACCTTCGATCCGCTCGACATGCAGCCGCTGGACGATGTCGAGGCGCCCCCTGGCCGCGGCTCCGTCCATGGCGCCCACTGTATAAGGGCGGAAGTCCTCGAACGCTTTGAGCAGGTCGTTGAACACGGCGGCGTCGATGGTCGACGGCAGGACGAACTCGTTGACGAGCTGGACGGCGTGTGCGATGGCTTGGATGGGCGGCGGCAGCCAGGGGCGGAGCCAGGGCCAAAATGGGGGGGGCGCATGCCCCCCATTTTTCGGCGAAGGCGTTTCGATTTTTTTTAGATTTTTTTTATTTAGACGGCACATGCATGAAGTTCACACTGTTCCTCCGCTTAGTTGATAATAACATGGAAGGTGTAACGGGGTTACATGGAATAGTGACCCTGTCACTATTCCGGGATGGCTACATCGGTCACTCCCTTGGATAGTGACCCAAGTGGCCTCAGAGCCAACAGATACATTTTGTATGACACAAACTATAGGGAACTTAGGATTTGTATGTAGACCAAATCTGTACCAACCTATAAATACATTCAGTCTTAGATCTACCGCTTTTCAAGTCAAGTCGTCCCTTCAGACCAGGGACACGTGAACGGCTGTTCACTTGGAGTTTGTATACTCCTGCTTCCTCTGTTAAGAAGTGTTGTGTGCCCCGTCACACTTGGTAGCACTTGTAGTCAATCCTACGCCTACGCGGGTAGATTGGACTACCTGAATCCTCTGTGGTCTCATCGAGTGAGCCAAGATGGATCGTACGGAGTTTCCCCATCTGAACGACTCGCAGTACGGGTCCGTTCGTAAGATGGCAGGCATCTTTGGGACAGACGCCCTGCGTAGCTTAGCGGCGGCGACGCCGGCTGAGCAGGTTGAGCGTATCAACGCGTTCGACACCTACGAGCGAGGGCTCATCGCCCACGTTCAAGGGCTGCAGTCCACTGCGGCCGCGCCGAAGCCGGTGCAACCGAAGCCCCTGCGGCTGAAGGTTCACCCCTTCGAAGGGAAGGAAGGAGAAAACCTTCACTTCTGGGTTCGAGAGGTTGAGCTCACGATGGACGCGGCTCTCGTCTCGGACGAGCGACTCCGTGTCGCCTTTGCGCTCTCCAACCTTAGTGGTCGCGCAAACAGTTGGGCGTATACGCGCGAAGCGACGACGCCTGGATGCTTCGCATCATGGTCCCAGCTGTGCGAGCAGCTGCGGGCCGCGTTTCTTCCGGCGAACTACGAGTACCGCCAGCGTTCGCGCTTCCTCGCCTGCAAACAAGGAAGGCGCGAGCTGCATGAGTACATCCAGGAGATGCGAGTGCTCACTGCCTCTTTGGTGGGGAACCCCCTGCCTGAACACATCAAGGTGACCGTGTTCATGGACGGTCTGCGTGTTGGGCCTGCCCGCACGCAACTGTTCCGTGTGCAAGCAAACACTATGGAGGAGGTGATTCAGATCGCCCTCCAGGAGGAGTACAGCCACAAGCAGGCTCGTACCCCCGCCACGGTATGGCAGAGCAACCCTGCCGCTGGCGGTGCGCCTAATGGTAGCTCCGGCAATGGAGCGATCAACGGGCCGGTTCCCATGGATCTGGGCATGGCCGAGCAGAGCGACATTCGCTGCTACGGCTGTGGCAAGCTTGGGCACATGAAACGTGCTTGTCCCGCGGGAGGACTGAAGAAGTTCTCTTCGAAGCCCTTTGGCTCTAGGGGTCGCTGGCAGAAGCCGCGCCCCAGGAACCAGGGGAACGCCATACACCAGTAGGGGCGGGGCGCCCTACTGGGGAAACACTAAGTCTTCATGAGGGGCGTGCGGGTGGCGCACGCCATGGGGACTTAGCCCCTGAGAGCCTCTGTACTCTCGAAGCGGAGAAGGCCAGCGGTGGGCTGCTTGTGGTGCACGCGAGTGTACCGGGATACGATCATCCCTTGAGAATCTTGATCGACTCTGGGGCGTCCAAGAACTTTGCGCGCCGCCAGACTGTCGCATGCAATCGCGACAAGTACGCCGACGCACTACGAGGCAGCAAAGGCAACGGGCTGGTCTCGGTACGACTGGCCGACGGTACGGTGGTAGAAGTACCTCGGGTCCACATGGACCTCACTGTCAAGTTCGAGGGCTTTGACAGCACGGAGCCGTTCTTGGTCCTAGACATGGACAAGTACGACTTGATCCTTGGCATGCCGTGGCTGGAGTAACACGAGCCTTGGATCGACTGGCGCGGCAAGGCTATCGGGGCCAGCCGTCCCCCACGCTCTGACAGAGCTTTGGTGAGTCATGTTCCCACCTCTGGCAGCAGCCGGGGCGCCCGCGAGGGCCGCCAGGGCGCAGCAGCGTCTAATGAGTTCTTGGGGTCCGTCGAGACTGACGACGACTCCGACTGGGCCGGACAAGGCCTGAGAGTGGAGGTGCCGGACAGCACCTACCAGGTGGGTAATGTAGGTCCACACGCGGGTAACGAAGTACCGCAGGCAACAAGGGCTGCTGGAGAAGGCGCCGCTGGCGTTGGCGTGGGTAACCAAGTTCCACGCGAGGTCACTCAGACCGTAACTGATGAGGAAGGCACTGCAGGCGCTTCCGATGTGGGTAACATAGTTCCACAGGAGGTCACTCAGACCATAACTGATGCGGGAGTCGCTGGAAGCGCTCCTGGTGTGGGTAACCAAGTTCCACACGGCGAGGTGGACCAGGCAGTCCTGGAGGAGTTCCAGAGACAGCGCGCGTCGCGCATGGGCTCTGAGATTCTTAAGGCCCCCCGGGACCTGGTGTACCCCTTGGTGAAGGAGTTTGAGGACGTGGTGTCCAAGGATCCACCGTCCAATCTTCCTTCGGACAGGGGAATCAGGCACGAGATCGATCTCGTGCCGGGCACGAAGTAGGCAATGGCCTCTTCCCCGGGAGCAGTGTGAAGTCATTGATGCCTTCTTTGCCGCCAAGGCGAGGGCAGGCATGGTGCGGGAGTCGAAGTCCCCGCACTCGACGCCTACCTTCTGTGTTCGCAAACCGAACGGAAAGTGGCGTCTGGTTCATGCTTATAACAAGCTCAACAGCGCGACAGTGCCTGCGCAAACACCGATCCCGCGCAAGGACGTGTTGCGCAACAACATGGCCGGCTGCACGCTGTATAGCGCGCTGGACCTGGTGGACGGATACTACCAGATCCTGATGCGCGAGAGCGACATCCCACTCACGGCTGTGAGCACGCCGAGCGGTATGCTCTGGGAGTGGCTGGTCATGCCTCAGGGGCTTTCTAACGCCCCGGCAACGTTCAATCGCTTGGTCACACAACTGTTCCGACCTTTGCGTGCGTTCACACAGACGTACTTTGACGACATCTTCGTCCACAGCCGTGCCGAGGCAGGCCAGACGGCCATGGAGGTGCATCTCCAGCACCTTCGACGTGTGTTCGAAGTCATGCGGGCGAACAAGCTGTACGCCAACATCGACAAGTGTGTGTTCACAGCTGAGGAGATCAAGGTCCTGGGCTGCTTTGTCAGCAGCGCCGGGGTCCGGGCGGACCCGGAGAAGGTGAAAACCATCGCGGCTTGGCCGCCACCTCGGTCGCAGAAGGACCTACGACAGTGGTTGGGCCTCGCCAACTACCTGCACAAGTATAGTGCAGGCTACGCCGAGCTGGCACGGCCCTTGTCGGATCTCCTGAAGAAGGATGTCGACTGGCGCTGGGAGCGTCGCCATCAAGATGCTTTTAACGACATCAAAGCGAGCTTACAGCGCGCGCCAGTCCTGGCATTGCCGGACGAGACGAAGCCTGTCAGCGTAGTCTGTGATGCGTCTGACTACGCAATTGGCTGTGCGCTATTGCAGGCCGACGATGAAGGCCGCGAACGGGTCATCTAGTTCCAGTCCAGGCAGCTCAAGGCAGCCGAACGGAACTATCCAGTCCACGACAAGGAGCTACTTGCCATGAAGTACGCTCTTGTCAAGTTCCGAGTGCACCTCCTGGGCTCGACGCCCTTTGTCGTTTATACAAAGCACGCGTCCTTGCGGACTGCCGTCAACACGCCGCATCTCTCACAGCGGATGGCGCGTTGGCTGTCATTCTTCGCGGAATACAACTTCCGTGTCGAGTACAAGCCGGGCAAGTTGAACGTGCTTGCCGACGCGCTGTCGCGCCGACCCGACTACGAGCTTGCTCATATTAGTCGGGTCACGACGGATCTGTATGATCGCATCAGGCCGGGGTACCGAGACGATGCCAGTCTCGAACCTCTTGTGCGGTTCTTGGCCACTGGCTCGGCCAAGGTCGAGTGGCTCACGCCCCGACAACGTGCAAGGCTGCACCGTTATGAGTGGGCTGACGGTTTGCTCCACTATAGGGTCGAGCCCGAGGATCCTCCCCGTATTGTCGTGCCCAACGACGAGGATCTCAAGTACGACATCCTGATGGAGGCGCACGACGCTCCATCCAGTGGCCATCTCGGCCGTGAGAAGACATACGCGTCTGTCTCGCAGATGTTTTGGTGGCGTCACATGTACAAGTGGGTCGCCACCTACGTCCGTACGTGCGAGATATGCCAGCGCGTGAAGCCTGCCGGTCACGCCTCGGCACCATTGCAGAGCCTGCCGGTCCCAGCGGACTGCTGGAAGTCGATGAGTCTCGACTTTGTCTTCGGACTTCCGGCCGATGACCGTGGCAACACTGGTGTTGTTGCCTTCGTGTGCCGTCTGAGCAAGATGGTCCACTTTGCTCCAGTTCGTGACACCGTCACTGGCGACGAGGTCGCTCGCCTGTTCATGGACAGTGTCTTCCGACACCACGGTCTGCTCGAGACCATTGTCTCTGATCGAGACCCGCGGTTCACCGCTACGTTCTGGCAGACGCTGTTTCGCCTTCTCGGCACACGACTGTCGATGTCGACGGCGGACCACCCGCAGACGGATGGCCAGACGGAGCGCGTCAATCGCGTGCTCGAAGACACGCTCCGCAGTATCTGCGCGGAGATGCCCCACTCTTGGGCTGATCTAAAGAGGAAACGAAGCGTTCAACGATCTTACTATCGTGTGTTGAAGTGCTGCTACGTTACCGAACATACGGCTTCAGGCATTTTCGTTCGTCGAGCCTCTATACTTACTTCTAATGCCTCTGCCATTCGTCACTTGCCCATGGTTGAGTTCGCACTCAACAGTGCGGTACAAGCATCGACGGGCTTTACGCCCTTTTACCTGAACGGGTTGCGCCACCCTCAGGTGCCGCTTACATTACGAGGCAGTACCGGGGCTTCGGTCCTAAGTGGGGGAGAGGCTCGGAAAACCTTTTCCTCCCAAGTCTCGGACGTGAGTCCAGCCACCTTGCGGAAGCAACTGTCCTCGTTTGCCGAAGACAGGCTGAACATAATCAGCAGGATGCGAGACACCATGGCGCAAGCCCAAGATAAACAGAAGGAGTACTCTGACCGAAATGGAAGAGGAAACATGAACGTGTTTAAGGTTGGGGATTTAGTTCTCCTAGATACTAGAAACCTACCGCTAAACACTGTTAGCTCGGTCGAGAGCAACAAGCTGAAGCACCGCTTCATTGGTCCTCAGCCGGCATGGCGCGGCGTACACCATAGACTTGCCCAAGTTGATGACGACTCACCCGACGTTTTACGTGGGTCGTCTTAAGAGGTACCATGACCCTCTGGCTCTGGCTGCCCCGCAGGAAGCGGTGGGTGGCCCGGTGGAGAAGAGCGCAGCTCCTCGAAGCGCGGCGTCGAGTCGTGGTAAGGCGCCTGATTCGCGCGCTGGTCGTAAGACGGCGCGGCGTACATCGGAGCAGCATACGCAGGGGCCCCGTACGAGCCCTGGCCAAACTGGGCCTGATACGAGTGGGGCTGCTGCTGCTCCGGATACGGCGCGTGGCCATGAAGCTCGGCCCGAAGGCGAGCGAGCTGGTTTCGCAGCGAGTCGTAAGACGACAGGTCGGCTCGACGATCCACACGGCCATGGAGACTGCGAATTTCTTGATAGAGCGAGGCAACATCCTCACGGAGCCGCTCCACGGCACCAGGCTGGCCAGCACGAGCGGCAGCCTCGCCACCAAGGCCGACGCCAAGCGCGATCTCGAGGACGTACACACGGTCCCGGAGAAGACGAATCTCCTCTTGCTGCAGGGCCACCACCTGACTCGGGGCCCCAGCATACGGCTGCGTCGCCTCAGGCTCGTAGCCATGGCCGTGCGAGGCCACCGCCGGCCCTCCTTGATCGTAATGGGCAGATCCACTACCACGTGGAACGAGTCGTCCGGGAGCTGCGGCTCCATGGCAAGCGCTAGCTGCTCGTGAAGTGGAGGGGTTACCCTGAGTCGGGTAACGCGTGGGAGCCCGTTGAGCAGCTCCAGACAGACTGCCCGAAGGCTGTTGCGATATGGGACGAGAAGCAGCGGCAGCTTCGTAAGTAGTCCTTGGCTTCTTGGCCGGTACCCGGGGCACGGTAGCAGACGTAGTCGCACCACGCCCATGCTCTTCACGAGCTTTGGCTCTCGCCTCTTGCTTCAGCTCGTCCATTTTCGAGTGGAGCTTGCGCTTGCTCACGAGTTGAGCGAACTCGATGCGGAGCTCGCGCACGTCCAGGATTGCGGACAGAGTGCGATCCTCACGGAGTTCTTTGAACTCTTGGTCGGAATACCCTTTGCGCTGGACGTAGCGCCAGAAGAGGTCTTCCACCTCGCTCCAGGTCATGTTGTCATTCGGCTTGACCCAGTGGAAACCCCACACAGGATGGAGTCCACCCTTGTCCTCCGGCTTCTTGCGAAGCGTGGTGAACTCCTTCAGTGTGAGCTTGTGTGGTGCTAGTAGCACACACCGGGCGACTTCAACGTCACCAAGAAAGAGAGGCTCTTTGTCAACAAGAGCACGCTCATAGGAACCCCTCGAGGTGTTCCCGCCGATAAGGCCACGAGGAGCCGAGAGCTTCTCCAACAGCGCTGGCGCACCAGTGCCAGGCTCGGGTGGGAAGTAGCCCTGCGGGTACGTGGCATCCCCGCCTGAAGAAGACTCGATGGCAGTCGTGGCAGTCGGCTGCCTGGCATACGCACCCGAGCTAGCAGCGTGGTATTGCTGCTGCTACTCGTCGAGGTTGTTGGAGAGCTCCTTGGGCTCGTGGACGGCACTCTCCTCGTCCTCAGACTCCGAGTCGATGAACAGCTTGGAGCTGGAGCCGCGAGGCGACCTGGAAGCTGAACGCTTCTTCGCCTTGGCCTCGGCGGCCTTCGCAGCGACAGCCGCTTTCGACGCTTGGGCACGCTCACGACCTTGTGCCCGCGTCAGATGCTTGGATGCCAGCACCTCCTTGGGCTTGGAGCTCGCGTCGCTCGGCGACTTCTCGGCCACGACCCCAGCGTCGGCCATGGCGACTTCGTCGTGCGACTGCTTGCTGTCGCCTGAGCCGGACTCGGCGTCCTCCGCCTCCTTCTCTGACGAGGCCTTTGCGTCGGCCGAGGCGTTGGTCATGTCGCCTGCCGCCAGCTCCGTGCCTTCGGCAGCGTGCGTGCTGCCCTCCGAGACGTTCTCGTCGTCGGGCTCTCACCGGAGTACTGGACCATCGTGCAGTCAAAAACGGCGGCTTCCCAGTCGCGAGCCGGGCTTTTATGGCCCCGAGGACTCTCCTCCTTGCCTTGCGCGGCGTCAGGAGACTTGCTCCGAGCCCCGGCCTGACGGCCACTCTCCGGCGTGCTGCTACGAGAGCGCACCACCTCCTCGGCCGCCTTCGTGGCCTCCATCAGCGCGGACGACTCGTCCTTGGCCTTGGCCGCCCTGGTCTTCGGCCCTACGGCCCGCGGTTTCGGAGGTGCTTTCGCACTGCGCGCACTGCGCTTTGGAGGCATGCTTCCGGTCGACTGGAGACCCTGCGGCTTGCTCGGCGATGCGCCAGTTGCTCTGTGAGGCCCGGGAGCCGAGGTGCCAGAGCTCGCGCCGTTGTCGATGGATTTCGACTTTGAGAGTGAAATGTGAATCGCCGGCGTAACCTCGCTCTGATTGGTCGATAAGATCGAATCTAAGTGGGGGAGGATGTAACGGGGTTACATGGAATAGTGACCCTGTCACTATTCCGGGATGGCTACATCGGTCACTCCCCTGGATAGTGACCCAAGTGGCCTCAGAGCCAACAGATACATTTTGTATGACACAAACTATAGGGAACTTAGGGTTTGTATGTAGACCAAATCTGTACCAACCTATAAATACATTCAGTCTTAGATCTACCGCTTTTCAAGTCAAGTCGTCCCCTTCAGACCAGTGACACGTGAACGGCTGTTCACTTGGAGTTTGTATACTCCTGCTTCCTCTGTTAAGAAGTGCTGTGTGCCCCGTCAGGAAGGAAAGAGGAAACAGCCGGCAATCACGACCTTCTTTGTGAAGAAGCCCCGTCAAGAGCCCGAAGACTTTGACAAGGCCCGCAGTATTGAATCAGATCCTGGGCCACGACCCCAACCTGTAACGCTGCGCGAAAAACAAGAGCAAGCAGCGTTGGAATGGTGTTCGCTCAACAAAATTCCTGATAGAGCCGAAGAATGTTCCGCTGGAGACTTTGTTAGGCGGGATCCTGCTCACAGACCACCAAATTTATTTTTCGTTAAGCAACTGATTGCCGATCCTCAGCTACTGCGTGACGTTATACAATCCTACGTTCGCCTCGGTCCTTACCAACCGCAACTCAAGCAATATCCGGCCCGTGACATCGGTGGATGCATGCGTGCTTTTCGGGCCCAGTGGTTTGAAAAAAAATCATGGCTCGAATACTCTCCTTCGACGGACGCGGTGTATTGCTAATGCTGCTACCTCAGCCGAGAAGTAATGACGCAGCAAAGCGAGCTCACAGTGTAGCACAACCTACAACGGGCTATAGGAACTGGAAAAAGGCCACTACAAAAGACGGATTTGCAAAACATGTTGGGACAAAAACGAGCTCGAAACACCACTCGCTCTGATCGGTTTCGACAATCGGAGATCCTGTCAGAATGACGTTGGTGTGGCTCTGAATTCTTAAAAGATTGGTGAACGACAACCGTGAGCGCCTGACTTTTATTCTGGAGATCTGCCTTCTCCTAGCAAAACAGGAAATTGCATTTCGGGGCAGCGACGAAAAGGTATACGAGCGGTTTAATTTTTATGTAAGAAATGACATCACTGGACTAACGTTTTTTTACAATGCACAGGATACGTCACAAAATAAAGGCAATTTTATTGAGATTGTTCAGTTCATGGCACAGCACGCGCCATCGTTTTCTCGCGCAATGTCGTTAGCTGGGGAAAACGCTGTGTACACATCGCCACAAATTCAACGTGAACTGATCAAATGTGCGGCTGATGTTGTTCGAAAGCATATTATGGAGGTCGAGATTGCAGATGGATATCTTTCTGTTCTGGTGGATGAAGCAAGCTGCGTGGCGAAGAAAGAGCACATGGCTATCGTAATTCGTTTTGTGTGCGCTGCTACGGGGACTATTAGAGAAAGATTTTTTGGAACTGACCATGTTCGCGATACGAATGCGGAGACACTGTACGATGGTTTGATAACGCAGTTAGAGAAGTGGGGATTGCTTTTGGCGAGCTGTAGAGGCCAGGGATATGATGGTGCGTCCAACATGTCGGGTGAGATTACTGGTCTTCAGCGACGTCTACGCTCCCAGTGTCCTTACGCCTACTATGTTCACTGTTTCGCGCATCGACTTAATCTCGTCCTAGTTGCAGTGACTATGAACACGGTCTTGGTAGTGCAGTGCTTCGAAACCGTGTAAGGGATTCACACTACTGTAAGTGCTTCGTCTAAAAGGAAAGATCAACTTCTTGACGAAGCCGCTGTGGAATTGGAAAAAAATGCTTGATCAAGGACATCTAGAATCTGGTAGAGGTTTAAATCAACCAACTTCTACCGAGGGTCTTAGCAAAACAAGGTGGAATTGCCACATTCGCGCGTTAAGAAAAGTCAAGATGCTTTAGGCCCCAATTACAAGTGTGTTAGAGCGTGTAGTGGTCGATGGTGTGAACCCCCACAAACGCCCTGAGGCGTCAGGAATTTTTAGAGATGATGTGGACTTTCGACTTCGTATTTCATATGGAGATTCTCACTCAAGTTTTGGGAAAAACAATTCGGCTGTCCCAATTTTTACAGAAAGATGACGTCGATATTGTGTCAGCTGTGAATATGACGAAACAGGTATCCAAAGAACTAAAAGAAATGCTCGATGATAGTTCTATGACTGGGAACTCGCCAAGTTTTGAATCGATTTGGAACTCATCGGTCAACTTTTGCAAATCAATACAAGTTGACGACACCCCTCTCATTCCTGACAAAAATGACGTGTGGAAACGACGTGGAATGAGAAGTCGGGGGTGTGGCAGGGCTGGAATTCCAGGAGCGGACTCCTCCAGGGATGGTGTCCAGCCTACACAAGAAGCTCACTATCGTGATGAAGTATACAACTGTATCCTTCGTGACCTGATTTCTGAAATGGATTCACGATTTAGTGGAGAAGTTCTTAGTCTCATGGAATTGTGCGGATCGCTCAGCCCACGTGATAATTTCAAGAATTGGAGTGCTACTAAAATTGTTGAGCTGGCCAAAACATTTTATCCTGATGATTTCACCGATGAGCTGGACGACCTTCGAGAAGAGGCCACTCGGTTTCGCAATTTGGCAAAGATCGCCAAAGGTTCCAAAAATTGAAGACAACGCAACAACTATGCATCCAACTCGTCGGGACCAATAACAACGAGCTGTTCCCGACCTTGCACCGAATTATTAACTTGGTGTGTGTGCTGCCTGTAACAACTGCTACTACGGAGAGGTCTTTCTCAGCCATGAAAAGAATTAAGACGCGGCTCAGAACAACAATGGGAGATCTTTGGATGTCAAACCTGATGGTTTTGGCTATCGAGCGTGATCTTACAAACAGCATCGACAAAGACTCGGTCCTCGAAAAGTTTAAAGCGATGACAAAAAGAAGAATCGAAATGTAGGTTGTGGATTTTACTTTAAAAAAATCTATGCCCCCCATTTTTTTAAGGCTGGCTCCGCCTCTGGCGGCAGCGCGTGCTGCACCAGCAGCAGGATCGCTTGCACTTCAACTGGCTTTTTGATTGGCTCCGCGAAAACGTTTTATGACTAATTACGATGGAAAACATTATATTGGTAAAAAATGGGTTACTCAAATCAGGGTACTGCTGTACTTACTGGTACAATTCGGGGTTTACGATAATCCATGGATTTTCCCCTGGATGTGTCCATGTACCACTTTAGCGGTACGTCCACAATGCTGAGCATTTTGCACTGACAGCAATGACAGGTCTCGCATCGCAGCAGCAGGCACCCAAGCGCTCGACGAAGCGGTAGGAGCCCCTCGCCAATAGCCTCCTCTTTCTCATACCCACTAACACCTCTGCTGCGCGCAGTAAGCGCGTCGATGAGGCGTCCAGCCAGCGGCAGGTTGCGCGGAGGCTGCAGCTTTGCGCCGACGTGGGCGACGCCTTCGCGTCCGTCCAGCGCTCGCTGCAGCGCCAGCATCTGCAGTACCAGGCCCAAAAGTCCCGCGCGGACGAGCTCAGCCGACTGCATGTTGCGCTGGAGCAACTTACGTGCTTCCAGGCGCTCTCTGCCGCCGAAATGGATGACGGAATGGAGACGCAGCAGGTTATGAGCCTCCTGCACCGCACCGATAAGTTGCTGCACAAAGTGGACGGCAACAAGAAGCCGGTGGCTAAGCGCACCGAAAGCGTCGTCAAGAGACTGCCTCGTCTCATGACAAAGGCAACGTGTCTGATATCCGAGCGCCGGCAGGCGATCAAGGAGCAACAAGAGCTGCCGATGAAGTTCCAGTGGGTGCCGATGGTGTTGTGGAGGTTGTACGAGGATGTATCGGGCGCAGTTAAGGAGGATCAGGAGCTGAAGCCCACGAAGACGGCGCTACACGACGTCATGAAGACGCTGAAGGACACGAACCCGTTCTTCTACCTGCAGGTTCTGTACCGGCCGCCGCCGCAACATTTGGACGGCAAGTGGGAGATCTCAGCGTCGGACAACCTGACGCTCATTGCGCAGAGTATGGACCCGTTCTTCCGGGAGCTGAAGAGGAGGTCCTTCGCGCTGAAGAACAAGAGCGACTCGTTTATTCGGATCCACCACGGGTGGAACAAACTCAGGTTTACGCTGGCGTTCGCGAGGAGAGCAGCCAGGCACTTCCACTTTTTGATCTTGCATTTGTATGCGCTGGCGATGGGGTGCGACGTATCGAATGTTCACGCTGGGGTTGTCAGTGAGAAGGCGACGAGTGGAATGCTGCGTGATGACGCGGAGTTGCGGTCTCGGTTACGGTTATGTGGCGATTCGGCGTATTCGGAGGACAATTTGACCAAGGAGACGTACGAGTGGACACCGGAACTGCTGGTGTACGTTGATGAGTGGCGAAGACACCGAGTCAATAAGCATGGTGCGCCTTTTGGCTTTGATCGGCGAGAGGATTACGGCGATTTTCTGGCTCAGTTTCCAATAGGAGGTCGAGAAGACAGACGAATACCACGGAAACGAGATGTCTTGGCTGGGATTGGATTCCATCTATGCAGTGTGGCCTTCGCGTGGAAGGCGTCAAGGTTGGGTACCCCCGGTTTCAAGTCCATGCGGATCGAAGAAATTGGGAATCTCGAGAGGAAAATCAAACGCAGTTTAGCGGCGGCGGTAGATTTGGTCTACAAGATGATGCTGGCCCGATGGATGGAGAGAAGACAGCGTTCAGCTGCGTGGTGGGACTCGCTTGAGCTTCGAGAAGAGACGAGGAAAAGAGAAGGTCATGTCGTGGAATCGATGGAGAAGTTCGCCGAAACCAACAGCGTCGAGGAAGATTACGATGACGATGATGATGTCCAAGGTGCGACTGATGCTGAATCGGTGGAGCACAAGGAGTTTCAAAGAACACGGACGAGGACGCACCTTCCTCCTTCTAAAGGCTTCCGAAGACCAAGCCGAGTGGTGATGGCCAAAGGTGTTGCTAAACCAACGAAAGAAAAGGAAGCAGCAGGTGACAGCTTGCCACAGCCGCTCCTTTTGGCTCCGCGTCGGCTGGCACTGGATCACACGATTCGAATCGGTGATATTTACGCCTGGACGGACGAGGACATCGATTCCTTCCACCGCGACGCAAAGCGAATCGACGAAGTACGGGCGGTGATAATCGCTCTGCGCGATCGGTTTGAAGGATCGACCGAGCTTGCATCCAAAGATCCTTCACATGGGGGTCCGATCCGACTCCTATCATGCTTTGCGAGTCAGTTGACCTCATTAACAGCCAAGGCCGCAGCGTTTGCTGAGGAAGCAGCGATGCACGAGGCTACCGTAGCCCTCACTAAGCGGCCATCGCTACGATCAGCCCCTCACACGCCAGCTTCAGGCGACACCGATGACAACAATTCGATAAGCTCAGAGGCCCCAATAGAGCCGACCGTGGAGGAGTTACAGGAGAGTGTGGCAGAAGCCCATGTCAACGTTCAAGAGCTGTTGGCGCCGTATGATGGCACCCACACGCCCGAGTGGCGCGATCGCATCCAGTTCACCGGACGAGGCATTCTTCAGCTGCTGCGCTCCATCGCGCAAGATGAAATTCTGTGTAAAGCGGACCAAGACCAAGACAGTGAAAGTGATGCAGCATGAAGGGAATGGAGGCTCTGGATACACTACCTGTACGGGCCACCTGGATCCCGTAAAACTAGTAGTGTGGCGTGTATCGATCTCTTCACGTTGAAGTTGCAATGTTGCTGCAACAACGTTATGCAAAATAAAAATGAATCGCAACATAAGCGACAAATACAAGTGAGAGCCAATCAGACACTGCCAGCCAGTTGAAGTTCGAAGATCGACAGCCCATGGAGCCTCCGGTCTTGCTGCTGGTGCAGCACGCGCTGCCCCCGCGTCTCCAGGCCATCTCGCAGGTCGGCCAGCTCGTGAACGAGTTCGTCCTGCCGTCGACCATCGACGCCGCCGTGTACAACGACCTGCCGTGCGTGCTCAGAGCGTTCGAGGGGTTCCGCCCCTACACCGTCGGCGCCATGAACGGAGCTGCGGCGAGAGGACGCCTCGACATCCTCAAGAGGCTGCGCGCCGAGAGACGCGAGGGCTGCACCTCGGTTGCATTCCTCGACGCGGCGTCTAACGGCCATGATGGGGTGCTCATGTGGCTCCACATCTACTACCCAAGGCTGCAGCGGCTGCTGCCCGAGCTCACGGCAGCCGCGAAGTACGGCCACGCCTCCATTGTCGAATTCGTGCTGAGGTTCATGCGTCCAAACCGCTCCGAGTTGGAGCGCTTGCTCGAGATAGCCGCTGCTAACGGCCACCTCGAAGTCGTTCGGTTCTTGCGGCGCTTCGCCCTGGACCCCATTCGAGATGTCTACTACCCCCACGCAGCGCTGGCTGCAGCAGCCGCCAATGGCCACGAACAAGTGGTCAAATACCTACTCGACACGAACTCGCTCGGTCTAGAAGAGGCCTACGAGAAAGCGCTTGAGGGAGGGCATTTTGGAATCGTCCACCTACTGGACAAGGCGGCCGCAGAGAGGCGTGAACGGGGTGGATGGGGCCATGATTTGGCGTTGGAAGACTTGGAAGACTTTTGGTGACTGCGTGAGCAAGAAAAGAATGAACTGGTCTCGGCTGACGAATCTGCAGTCGCTAGGGCTATTGCCAGTAAGAATTCTCTGCTGGAAATGTGAAGTGTTCCTGACAACAACTAATCTAGCTTTTCTCTGCAAAATATGAGTAAAATTTTCATGACTGACCTTGTGTTGCGTTTACGAGTTCGATAAACTAAGTTCAATCCTCCAGTGCACGCCAAATGGTTACCTCCTCTAGAGCAACACGGACACGTTTAAATGCCACAAATCCGTCCAAGTGAAAGTCTCGGGGTACACCAGCCGCGCTGTATCCTTCACCGTGTTGCCGTCAACTTCGTACGCGTATACGACCGTGAATCGCGTGTTGACCACTTTCATCATTGCAATCGCCAGTAAATCCTTCGAGCTTACCAAAAACTTCCCGTTCATGATTACGTACCCCGAGCAGTAGATGCCGTCTGCCGATGCAAACTTCATTCCTTTAAAGTAGACGTAGTTGTTGTAGTCCGAGATAATACCAAACCGCGTCTGCAGTTCTGCACCGGTCGAGATCTCAAAATTGGTCAAGTGGCCTTTTTGAGCCAGCGCCGCTTCCTCGTTCGTGGACCGATTCACGGTTTGACCCGATAGCGGATGGATCTCCTCGGGGTAGAAGCGCCAGTAGATTTTCCTCAATAACGCGTAGCCGATAATTGAGAAGAGTAAAATAGTTCTAGGGAAAAATGCAGCAGCGATGAACTTGAACTCAATCGTTGGGATCTGGAAGGCCGACCAGTAGTCCATGGGGGAAATGGCATCAACCACATCCGGCACCACCTCGTTGCCAAGAAGAACGAGGCTATCGGAATATGACACGAGCGCGTTGAAAACTTCTGAAGACGCGTGGAAAATATGGAATCGGTTGTTCTGGACAATCTCAAACAGGAAAATCGCAATCCCGGGGTCGATTCGCTCTCGGATGGCTGAACTAATCAGTGCAACCAAACCCAGATACACGACCAAAATGTCTGCGTACACGAGCTCCTTGTGGATGTAGACCTGGTCGTTCCCGGATAGGACTGCGCCGTCCGACATAGCTAACTCGAAAATCGACCAGAACGAGTCCACATACCACGAAATCAACACCAAAATTCCTCGTCCGACGAATGTTGCAGTGGAGACTGACGCGAATGGGTCACCGATCCAAACCTTACCAGAACGGAAGTTGTGGTAGCCTACAATTGAAAGTACGATGAGGGAGAGCATCATCTGCAGTGCGTAAAGGAAGTGAAGGCCATGTACCCACCCCCACGAGTCAAAGATGCGAGCCTTGCCGAACCACTCCCACGTAGTCAACGCAGTTTTCGCATCTTTCGCGTCAAGTAACGTGTACATGAAGTTCATGTTGGACTGGATGTCACCATTGTAGAAGCCACGTTTCCTCGTTAGGAGGGCCTCTTCAACCGGCTCTGTGAGTGGGTCTTCTGGAATACTGCGCAACTTTAGATATCCACCGCTCAATCCTACAAATTCGTAGAGACCGAATTCCAGCGAGCGTTGGTACGGATAGGTTTCAGCTACCATGTAGTACTGCTCTGGATTATTTTCCCGCAGGTCGTGAACTACAGAGAGCATGCCTAAGAGCGCTGGCCCAAACTCGCTGTGCGCGTGTACTTCGTAGTCTTGCACAGACAGTGAAACCACAACCACGTATAAATCATAAGGGTCATTCCGAGATCGAACCAAGTTGAAGACGCGCGCTGATGAGCGATCGCCCTCGGTGAGAGGAGTAAAGCTGCAATCCACCACCACCACGACAAGCTCTAATTGATCCAGTATGGTGATGTTGTAGCTGGTATCGCTCACAATTTCCGAGTATGCCTGGGTCAGGAATTCGTAGTTGTACAGGTCGGGAGTGAAAAGCGGCACATTGGAGCAATTCTCGACGGAGGTTTCCGTCTCGGACTCGAGAAACAGCATGTGATCTCGCGGCGTAGTGTCCCCACCTAAAACGCCTTGCACCAGTGGGCTGTCTCGGATTGAACCATCCCCCACGTAGCCGCCGATAAGGGATGCAGTAAAACTTCCGAAAGACTGGGTGGGGGTGGTCATATCCCGCAAAACTTCCATTATCCGCCATGACGCCACTATGGAGGTGTAGATGTACAGAATTGCAGCGACGATGACCAGGAGCCGACGGACGATGTTGAAAACTTGCCATTTGGTGATGGTGCGCTTGGTTTTGGTCTGAACGACGTACTTCTTGTCGCGCCCGAACAAGGCTGTACACAGCGAGCGCGTTTTGCTCTTGGCATGCAGTGGCGGGGCATCGAGTGACGAGAGCGGTACCTCTGGCATGGCGTGCTTTGTGACTTCTATTCAGGTCTGAGGTTATCCAAAGAGTGAGTTGGCTAGGCAGTCAGTGTGGCGGGAAAATAGACGATAGTACTACAACCTCGAGTAGGCTAAAAACAGCCACGATCGGGCGCAGTGGAGAAAATGCGTATCTTCCTCGAGCAGCAAAAACTGTTGCATTTACTTAAGTAGTTTCTCTCTATTCGCAGGTTCAGGTGACAAAACTTTCATAGCAGAACCGCGGCATTCAAGTGCCACAGATCCGACCATGTGAATGTCTCGGGATACACGAGTCGAGCGGTATCTTTGATAGTGTTTCTTTCCACCTCGAATGCATACACAGCCGCGAAACGGACGCCAAAAGACTTCATCATCGAAATTGCAAGCAATTCCCTTCGACCCCACCAAGATTCGGCCGTTGACGATCACGTACCCCGAGCAATAAACCCCATCTGCGGAGGCGAACTTCATGCCTTTGAAGAAGACGTAGTTGCTATAGTCCGAGATGATACCAAAGCGGGTTTGGAGCTCAGCGCCCGTCGAGATCTCGAAGTTGGTCAAGTGACCCTTTTGAGCCAGTGCGGCCTTCTCGTTCGCCGATCTATTCGCACTTTGACCTGATAACGGATGGGCCTCATCGGGGTAGTAGCGCCAATAGATCTCCCTCAAAATTGCGTAGCCCAGAACTGAGACCAGTAAAATAGTTCGTGGGAAAAAGGAGGCGGAAATAAATACGAAATCCATCGCTGGGGTCTGGAAGGCGGACCAGAAGTCCATGGGGGACATGTTGTAAACTGCGTCTGGCACCGATATATTACCGAGAAGAAAAACGTTCTCCGAGCAAGACACAAGTGTATCCACCACTGAAGAAAACGCGTGCAGTATTTGGAGTCGAAACAGTTGGACAACCTCAAACAGGAAAATTGTAATCCCCGGGTCGATCCGTTCTCGAATTGCGGAACTGAGAATCCCAACCAAGCCGAGATACCCGACCAGAACGTCTGCGTACACCAGCTCCTTATGGAGGTAAACGATCTCGTTCTCTGACATCGCGGCTCCATTAGCCATCGCTAGTTCAAATATCGACCAAAAGGCGTCCGTGTACCAGGAAACCAACACCAGAACACCTCGCACCACAAACGTCGTGGTTGAGACGGAGGCGAAGGGGTCACCGATCCAGATTTTACCCGCGCGGAAGTTGTGGTAACTGATGATACTCAGCACAACGAGCGAAGAAATCGTCTGTAACCCGAAGTAGAGGTGGAGTCCATGCACCCACGCCCACGAGTCGGTGGTCGTAGCCTCACCAAACCACTCCCACTTGGTCATGACGGTCTTGGCGTCCTCGATATCCAGTAGCGTGTACATGAAGTTGATGTTGGACTGAACGTCACCATTGTAGAATCCTCGTTTTCTCGTTGTGTGCACGTATTTAACTGGTTGTGTGAGTAGATCTTGGGGTACACTACGCAGCTCCAGATACCCTCCTGTTACCCTGACGAACTCGTAGGGCTCGAAGTCTAAGGAACGCTGGTACGGGTACGTCGGAGACACCAGGTAAAACTGCTCCAAATCGGTATCACGCATGTCGTGGACCACCGTGAGCATCCCCAGCAGGCCGGGGCCAAACTTATGGTGCGCACGTACCTCATAGTCTGGCACAGACATGGAGGCCATGAGTAAATACAATTCACTGGCGTCCTGACGGGAGCGCATTAGGTCATAACCCCGGACAACCGACCGATCACCTTTCGTCAGTGGCGTAAAGGTGCAGTCTACCACCACCACCACAAGCTCCAGGTCTTTGAGAATTGTGATGTTGTAGCTCGTGTCGTTCACAATTTCAGAGAAACCATGGCCCAGGAACTGGTAGTTGTACAATTCTGAAGTGAAGAGCGGGACGTCGGAGCAGCCCTCGGTTGAAGTCTTCGTCTCGGATTCAAGGAACAGCATGTAGTCACGAGGTGTGGTATCTCCACCTAACACTTCCTGCATCAGTGAGCTGTCTCGAATGAGGCCGTCACCAACGTAGCCAGCGATTAGTGAAGACGTGAACACTGCGAACGATTGGGTGGGGTTGGTCATATCCCGCAGCACTTCCATCATGTGCCAAGTTGCCATCATGGAGACGTGAATGTACAGAATTGCAGCGGCAATCACTGCCAGCCGTCGTACCAGGGTTAAAACTTGCCACTTTGTGATGGTGCGCTTCTGCTTGGTCTGCACGACGTACTTTTTGCTCTTGGCCCCCATCTGCCGGAATTGAGGCGTCGACACTTCCACCATCGCTAAAAACTCTCGGTTCTTTGCTGTCGACGTCACAAATGTCGCCAAGCGCGGGTCAGAGCTTGGTCACTTTTGGGAATAGACAATGACAAAACACCGACAAGATCTATCATAAGAAATGAAAGCTGAAGCCAAACGCTAAAAACAGCCACACAACGATCCAAACCGAGCAAGTCAACGCTGTAAACAGAGTTTGCCACAGTATCTGGTCTCACAGGGCTGCAGTCAATTCAACGGCTTCGCTTCGATCAGCATGATCGTTCGCAACCTCGAAGTGGTCGAATTCGGCTTTATTCCCTCGCCAGCTCGAACGATGTGCGATACCTATGAATGGTAAGGTTAGCTGAGTTGATCATAAGTCCACTGAAATATATGGCCACCCTGTAGAATCCCAATACAATTGATAGATCGCCATCTACGTACTGCATGTAGCTCCGAACACGTTTGACAACGTACATAAATTTGGTCTCCGTCCCATGCGTTTGCGTTTATAGCTTTTGTATCCGTTACCGAACGCAGCTTGCATAGTAAATACCACCCGCATGCTAGCTTCGAGGATAAACCACACCTGGACGCAGAAGAATGAGGACCAGCAGGCGGCCAACGTTTGTCGCGAGGGTCAAGTCGGCCACGAGCGTCAGTCGATTCGCGTCTGGGTCACGACGGGGCTCAGCGGTGGTCTACTGCGTGGATGATCGGAAAAGTCTGCCACGCGTCATCCGTGAGCAAGCGGAGGGCGATGAGAGCTGGTTCACTGCTACAAAGGTGCTGATGATTGTCTGGACGTGCATCGGGTTAATGCCGTTGCTCCTCCAAGCCGACAGCTACCTGCGCTTCGTGACCCCGCACAAAATCTCCGACGATCTCGTAGTTCCAGCCTCTGCAATAAAACACACTGCGAATATGGAGACGCTTTGCCCCATGACAGGGTTGGAGATCGCGCAGACGTGGTGGAACGTCGGGGTCACGTACTATTACCATGTGAAACACGGTCGGGTTTGCCACTTCGTCGTGCCCCAATACAATATCCACGGCGCGTATGTCTTAGGGTCGAAGCCGGGGCCACCTTCATCCACCACGCCAGCTAGTTGCGCCGAGAACAGCTATTACCTCGACTACTATTTCTACCATGGGAGTATCGGGTACTACGCGTTTTACGAGGAAGCTGGGGGCACATTCTGTGCAAGTGACAATATCGGGTATGTGCATGTACGAGGGCTTGGCACGTATGATAGCAATGGGGAGAGTCTGGCCACAGATGTAGGGGATTCCTCATATCGTCGGTCATATTGGTACGGATTTTTCGGTTCAATCTGGATTTTCTATCGGTCAAACGTGCTCCGACGAAGCTTCGTTTCCTGCCAGCGATACGGGCGGCGATGTAAGAACCTCCACGAGTCTATGGCCTTCAAGGACGCTGTAGTTTACGTTCAAGAGAGTATGCGACTGTCGGCTCACGGAGCGAGAAATTATCACCGTGCCGCTCTATTGTACCTGCTTGTGGAAGGTCTGATGAGCGATTTGTTTCTATTGATCGCACAGGACGGACTTCTCGCGAAGTTGCAGTATATTTCTCTCGGGTATAATTTATCCGGCGTGCTGTCAATTCTGTTCGAGATGGTGGAGGCCACGAATTGGATGGGGGAAACCCCGCGATGTTTCATCAAGCGCCTATTGTTTAACTATGAGACTTCGTTGCTCGGGGAGTGCATTTGCTCGGCTGCAATGCATGCGTACCTAACGAGTTTGAATCGGTCCAGTCTCAAAGAATCGAAGCCGGTAGCAGAGGCCGTCTCGTACTACGTCTGGAGTCTGGTGGGTCATGGGATCATCGTCCTCGGAATTGTCTTTGTGATCACTGCAACTCGATCTCTGGGGGCTGTTATATCGGTACGGTGGGTACATGGGTCGTTGGCATTGTTACTGGCTCCGTGTTGTGTAGATACAACGCTGGGGGCTCGCTGTAAGATGATCTTGCTCAGTGGGTACGTGTGGGAGGACGGTAGGCTCTGCTACAAGGCGGACACGTTGAAAGCGTTTGGGCTCATGAAGATGGTGGAGGACGACGGTGCGCACTATATGGCACAATACAAGCTGCACTGGATGGCGATCCCAAGAACGGATCTGGTGGTGATCGGCCAAATTGACGGCCATATCGTGACGCGATGCAGCGAGAGAGCTTGCTTGGGTGTTGTTAGTATGATTGGACGGACATTGGGAGGTAGTACGCCCAATTCTTCTCCCACCCGAGCGGCTCTACAACAACTCCAATGGAATGACTGTAATTCGATGGAGTGGATGGTGGTCAAAAGTACCTCTTTTTGTACTTTGAAGCACCCAGGAGGTTCCTCTCACTTTGACGTCTACCACCTTGAGTCTGCGCCGCTGGTTCACATGAGGGAGAGATCATCTAGGCGTCTTGCTTTGGTGCTGACGGCGACCATAGTCGCCACCTCGCTGTTCATGGTTCAAGTGGTGGCCTTCGCCCACCCGTGGGAATTGGGGGTGGCAACCCACTCGAAGCATTCCCAGGTGTGGTCATCTTCGTTCAAGGGCCTTCCGGTCGCTGCAACGCTCTCCAATCCCCAGATACCGACAGATTCGGGCCATCACCGCGTCGTTCTTCACTCCCGGGGGTATATTCACTACGGCGCGATCTCGCTGGGGACACCTCCACAGACTTTTAACGTGGCTTTCGACGTCATGACCAGCGACGTGTGGGTCCCTGCACAGACACCAGGGGCTCACCACCTTTACAACCACAGTGCGTCGTCGACGTATCAAGCCAACGGATCCTACTTCAACTCGCCCTACGTTACTGGAATTCTGTCGGGTGACGTGCTTGGAATCGGCGACGTGGAAATGCCAAGCCAATTCTTCGGCGAAGCGAGTGACACGAGTCGCCTGGGGCCTGGATACCCGTATGCACCGTACGACGGGATCTTCGGACTGGGCTTTGACGCTGCGAGCCAGGCAGGCGTCGAGACGCCACTGCATCATCTACTGTGCCTAGGTCTGTTGGAGAGCAAGATGTTTTCGCTCTACATCGGAAGGAGCGGCAACTTGGGCGAGCTCCTGCTTGGATCGTATGATGCGAGTCGATTCAAGGGCGAGTTGGTGTATATCAACACTGTATCGCCTAATGTGTGGGCGGTGAGGCTTGATGAAGTTCAGGTAGGAGAGACTACAATGTCCGTGGACTCCGCAGCCACATTTTTCACTATGGGCGCCTACATTTTTGGACCATCGGAAGCGATCTCGAGCGTAGCAAAGACGTTGGGCGCGAAAGAGGAAGCGCCGGGGGTGGGAATGTACTCCATTGACTGCGAGTCCAGTCCGCCAGAGATTACGTTTGTGTTGAACGGGCATGCCTTCTCGATCTCGAAGGAGGAATACATGTTGCGAGTGGGTGAGAAGTGTATGCTGGCGTTCGTCGGAGGAATTCCATCATGGGTTCTCGGGACGGCGTTCCTCGGCAAGTACTACGCTGTCTTTGACATGAGTGGCAACGCACCTCGGATTGGATTGGCACTGGCTAATTGAAAAGATCACCCAGGAGTATGAAGCTGTCAAGGAAAGAGCACAGTCTGAAAATACAACACCGCTGCAATTTAGGTGGTCTTACCCGGGGTCAGCCCCTTGATCCGCGAAGCTCTAATCATTACTTTTACTTTAGTATCGCTAAAGCAGCACGTTGACATTCAAATGCCACAACTCGAACCACGTAAAAGTATCGGGAAACACCAGCCTGGCAGTGTCCTTCACCGTGTTTCCTTCCACTTCATACGCGTAGACGTTGGTGAAGCGCGCTCCCACCAACTTCATCATGACGACCGCCATCAGGTGCTTCGAACTTACCAAGTACCTCCCATTCACGATGACATACCCCGAGCAATAGACCCCGTCGGCTGACGCGAACTTCATCCCTTTGAAATACACGTAGTTCTTGTAATCCGAGATGATCCCGAAGCGCGTCTGCAGCTCTGCGCCTGTTGAGATCTCGAAGTTGGTTAAATTCCCTTTCTGCGCAATCGCAGCGTTCTCGTTCGTCGACCGGTTCGTGCTTCGGGTCGATCTTTGGTGGATCTCTTCCGGGTAGAAATGCCGGTAAACCTTTCGTAAGAGGGCATAGCAAATGACGATTGCCAAGAGACTGATCTTGGGGAAGAATGAAGCAGCGAGAAACGTAGCGTCCTTTTTAGGGATCTGGAAGGCGGACCAGAAGTCCAGCGGGGCCATCGCAGCTACGACGGGTGTCTTAGCAGCAACTCCGAGGCGAAATACGCTATTTGAGTTCGTCACGATCTCGTGCAGCACGGAAGGTGAGATGCGGATAAAGCTGAGCCGGTGCTTGTGGATGATCTCGAACAGAAAGATGGCGACTGAGGGGTCGATTCGCTCGCGAATCATCCAGCTCAGGAACGCCACCAAACCGAGGTATACGACGAGAACATCGGCGTGTACAAGCTCCTTGTGGACGTACATCCCTTCACTGCCTGAGAGTATGGCAGCATTGGACATGGCGAACTCGAAAAGCGTCCAGAACGAGTTCACATACCACGATATGACCACCAGTATGCCTCGTGTCACAAATGTTGCAGTCGATGTCGAGGCAAACGGAGCCCCAATCCAAATCTTACCACTGCGAATGTTCTGGTATGTCACGAGGAATAATACAAGTAGCGAGAAGAAAGTCTGCATGCCGAAGATGAAGTGAAGGCCGTGCACCCACGCCCACGAGTCCTCGATGATGGCCTCTCCCAGCCACTCCCACTCATACAGCGCGCTCCTAGCATTCGTCACATCCAGGTGCGAGTACATGGAGTGAATATTGGACTGGACATCGCCGTCGTAGAACCCACGCTTCCTCGATGTGACCAAATGCTTCACAGGTTGTGTCGTTGGATCTTTTGGGATACTCCGCAACTCTCGACAGCTTTCCTCTGTTATCCTGATGAACTCGTAGATCTCGAAGTCCAGCGAGCGTTGATACGGATACGTGGGCGCCATCATGTAGAGCTGCTTGGTGATATCCCCCTGTATGTCGTGTATCACAGCAATCATACCTACGAGAGCTGGGCCAGACTTCTTGTACGACCACATCTGGTAGTCTTGAATCGAAAGCGACACCATGACCAAGTACACATCGGTTGGGTCGTCACGTGACCGCGCTACATTGTAAACCCGGACAATTGACGGATCTCCGTTGTTCAGCTGTGTTGAGCTGCAGTCTACGACCACTACGACAAGCTCTAGATCCGTAAGAACACTTGTGTTGTAGCTCGTATCATTCATCATTTGCGTGTACATGTGCGTGAGGAAGCCGTGGTTGTAAATGTTGGCGTTGAATAGCGGTACCTGCGAACAGTTTTCGGTCGAGACTTGGCTCTTGGACTCGAGATAAATGACGTAGTCTCGGGGCGTTGTATCCCCATCCAACACGTTATCCACCAACGGGCTGTCGCGAATGAGACCGTCACCTGCGTAGTCAGCGATGAGCGATGCAGTGAAAACTCCAAATACTTGAGTCGGATTGGGCATCGAACGTAGCACCTCCATTGTGCACCAAGTGGCCAGCATGGAAATGTAGATATACTGGCACGCGGCGGCGATCACCACAAGGCGCCGCACGACGTTGAAAATCTGCCACTTAGTGAACTTCCGCTTTGACCTCGATTGCCCGCCAGTGAGGCCTTTCCACGACGGGAGCATTCGGTTGTGACTCTCGCGAATGATGTAAGATCTGTCACGGCTTAGTATGGACGAGCGGACGGAGCGTCTTGACGGTCCAACTTCTTGGTGGTTCACCTCGACTTTCGATAGCGACATTTTCCAGAAGTTGGCATCGTTTTCGCCTGACGCCATGCTTGAGACGGCACTCCTCCGCTTCAGTCGTGGCAGGAAGGTTCGAAAATGGGCCCCACCTCGACGAGATAGAAGCGGATGTACGTTGCTATTCTTGCTGAGTGCGGATGCGATCAAGCAAAATGCTTTGAATAGAAGCGACTTTGGCTGCTTGTGGCTGTTTGGACTCATAGCGGAACACAAATGGTAATAGTACTCTGCCTGGAGTTTTTTTTACGTAGTACTGTTGGAAAGTCGCGAAGTCGAGTACCGAAAACACTTCGCTCGCTTGGAGTACTTCAGCATTCGGATTCCAATTCCACTACATACTTCTACGGCAGAGATACATGTAGAAGGATTGCAAAGGTCGTAGAGCGGAAATTCTAACAGGAAAATGCAGTCTCGTCATGAGACGGCGGAGAACAAGAAAGCAACACCCCTGCAAAAATGCTTTGTTGATACATAACCAACTTCAATTGCTAAGGTTACTAAGTACGCGCTGAAGAGGGCGACATTTTTATTATAAATCGACTGCGTGTATCTATCAGGCTGCTTTGGTGGGTGAACGTATAACTGCGGCAGCGATGCTCTGACCTTGCTAAAAGCTTCCCAGTCTGACGCGTAGGAAGTTTCATGGTAATTTTGGGGCCAATCGCTAGGCTTCACAAGATCCTCGAAGCTCGTGATACGCGCAGTATGCAAGTCGAAAATGAATTATCTCACTAGCCAGGTTGCCTAGAACTACTGCACCACACCCGAGGATTTATGTAATCGTGCTGTAATTCACAGCAGTACCGTAACATTCAGGCGCCACAGATCCGACCACGTGAATGTTTCCGGATACACCAGTCGTGCTGTATCCTTTACCGTGTTGCCCTCCACTTCGTACACGTAGACGTTCGTTAGCCGCGATCGAGTGGTCTTGATCATCACGACTGACAGAAGATGTTTGACGCTCACCAGCATTTTCCCATTTACTATCACGTACCCAGAACAGTACACACCATCAGCCGACGCAAACTTCATGCCCTTGAAATACACGTAGTTGTTGTAGTCGGAGATGATGCCGAACCGAGTCTGCAGCTCGGCGCCTGTTGAAATCTCAAAGTTGGTGAGGTTGCCTTTCGTTGCAAGCGCGGTCCTATCATTGATTGATGAGCGCTCTGTGCTCATCACGCTCGAACGCTGTCGATTCTTCTCCGGAAAGTAGCGCCGATAGAGCTTGTGTAGAATCGCAAAACCCGCGATAATCGACAGTAAGATGGCGTTGGGGAAGAAGGACGCGAAGAGGAACGTACTATCCTTTTCGTGAGGAATCTGGAAGGCGGTCCACAAGCGTAGCGGGGCCATCTTCGCAACAGCGGTCGACACTTTCGGAACTCCTAAGCGGAAAACACTGTCGGAGTAAGTCACAACCTCCTTGCGAATTACCGTCGAAGCTGAGGCCAGAAGGGCTAAATGCTTGGAATAGATGATTTCAAACAGGAAGATGACCACGGAGGGATCGATTCGCTCTCGAAAAACGGAGCTCAGCAGCCCAACTAGGCTCAGGTACACGACCAGAACGTCGGCGTGCACCAGCTCCGTGTGAACCCGAACAATCTGCGTTTTCGAGATTTGTCCACCAATTGACAAACAGTACTCGAAAAGCATCCAGAACGAGTTCAAGTACCACGATATCACGACTAGAACCCCGCGTGAAACGAGCCCAGCAGTCGAAACGGACGCAAACGGATCACCGATCCACAGTTTGCCTGCGCGAGCGTTCTGGTATGCCACAAGACACAACACGCCCAACGAAAAGATGGTTTGCATTCCAAAGAAGAAGTGCAGTCCGTGTACCCAGGCCCACGAATCCGAGATTACGGCTTCTCCGAGCCACTCCCATCGGCTCTGTGCGCTTGTCGAGTTTGAGTCGAGAAGTGTGTACATGTAGCGGTTGTTCGACTGCTCCTCCCCGTCAAAGAACCCCCGCTTTCTCGACGTCACCACATGCTTCACTGGCTGAGTGAGCGGGTCTTGCGGCACGCTGCGTAAGTCGAGATAGCTGTCTTCAGTTATCCCCGCGAATTCATATACTTGAAACTCCATTGTTCTCTGATACGGATATGTCAGTGCCATGAGGTAGAACTGGCCAATGTTGCCCTCACTCATGTCCTGGGCAATCGCAATCATGGTCAGAATACACGGTCCTTTCTTGTTGCGGTCCCGAATCTCGTAATCCTGCACGTTGAGCGACATGGTGACCATGTACAAATTCTCGGGGTCGGAACGGGAGCGCACCAAGTTGAAGAATCGCACCATCGCGTTGTCTCCAGTCTTGAGATTGGTGAAGCTGCAGTCCACGACTACGAGCACCAGCTCCAAGTCCTCCAGCAGAGTGACATTGTACTTCACATCGCCAGCCATCTGGCGGTACGCGTTGCTCAGGTACTCGTAGTTGTAGATTGCGGGATTGAATTTTGGCAAGCCCGTGCAATTCTGGAACGACGTCTCATTCTTCGAGTTGAGAAACAAAGCGGAGTCTCGAGGAGTTGTGTCTCCAGCTAGCACCTTTTGCACCAGCGGGCTATCTCTAATGAGACCTTTGCCGACGTAGCCGGAGATAAGTGTCGCTGTGAACACTCGGAATGACTCGGGTGGATTGTGTGCGCCTTTCAATGCTTGAATCGTGCTCCACGAGGCTTCCATGGAAATGATGATGTACTGGATAGCAGCAGCGATGAGCACGAGGCGTCGAACGAGGTTGAAAATGTGTCCTCTTATCAGCTTCTTCTTGGCTCTTGGCCCCACCAAGTACAGGCTTTCGCGAGCAGCTGGCTGAGAACGTGCCGAGGCGGCTTGAGTTGAGACCCCTGGCACCCATGAGTGTCTTGCTTGCTGATCGCTGCCTTGAGCTTGCTTCACTTGCACCTTGGCTATCGACGCCATGGCCTCCCTCTCCGCTCGCACAAGTAAGGTGCAAGATAAACTGAGACGCGTTCCTTGCTGCTCACGTGGGCTGCAATAATAGCCCCCAATGCCTCATCCACGTCGAAAACGTGTGGACCCATCGCAGGTCGATTTGAGGATAATTTGGGGCGATCTCGCTCTGCTGGTCAAGAACGTGAACGCAGTTTCGCGCCCATCGACTCTGCCTGTTCAAAATAGTCGCCACAGCACAGTACCAGTCATGCGATCCCTCATTGACAAAAAGAAAAGTTAAAAGACCTTTACCACTAAGACAATAATTGGGGGCTGATCACGTAAGTAGTGGCCTCTCGATAACTTGAGCTCAGGCCTCCTCGATCTCTTCAAAGGCCTCGTAGAGATCGGTGATCTTCTCGCTAGACACGCCGCTTTTCATCAGCTGCCTGTACGTCCCGATCTTGGTCGCCGCCATCGTAGCTTTGGCCAGCGCCGTCTCGGCCTACCGTTTCTGCAGTTTGGTCTTGCGCAGTCATCTGGTGCTTCTCTTTCTGCATTTGGAGCTTCTCCCTCTCCATTTGGAGACGCTCTCGCTCCAGTTGGAGCTTCTGCCGCTCGAGGTCGTCGCTGGCGGCCGCACTATCGTCCGGCTGCTGGGTGCTGGGCAGCGTGAACGACACCTGGATGGGCGACGTCCTGCTGCACTTCGCGGGTGTGGGATTCGTGGCCATGGTGAGCTCGGGTCTTGGAGGCGGATGACAATCACTCTCGTCCAACTTCAACTCCAGCTGTTCAAAGTGTTTTTATGTATTTAGTTGTTGTTTCCTATCCATCGTCTGCCTTACATATTCGATACTATGCTTCGGTTCGTGTAGCGTCGCACGAGAGGAGAGCGCGGTACGCTGGTACTGTCGCCGTGGGCGTGATACGACACATCGTCGTTGGACATGGCGCGGTTTTCGAAGCCCCGAGTCCTCAGACGGCTGGTCGACGGGCGATGGAAGCTGCGCAGTCCGTCCGAGTCGGCGTCGCTCACGGTCACGTTCTCAGCCAGAGGATTCAACGCCGGTGGCCGAGCTCGACCTCCTGCGTTGACGGTGGCGTTCTCGCGTGCTCGACCTGACGCTGTATCACCCGAGAGCGCCGACACCGAGAAGAAACGTCTTCGTCCTTGACCGTGACGGGCTCCGCGGAAAATGTTGCCAGCTGATCGTCGTGGGGATACATCCGCAGTCGTGGCTGCTCGTCCGGAACGCGTTTGCGTGGGACGGGTGCTTTCCGCCAGTCCCTCGAGATCTCCATCGGAGTCGGACGGCAGGCGGTGGAACGCCAACGAGCCGCGGCTTGCGTGGCGGTCGAAGATGGACTTGGTTCTCTTAGCGTCGCGTGCGTACCTGTCCGTGGACATGAACGACTCCACCATAACGCTCTCGGCGTCGTAGCTGAAGGCGCTGCCTCTTGTAGTTGAGCGGCGGCTTCCAAGACGTCCAATGAGCGGACGCGGCGCCATGACGACTGCAGGGGCGACGGGCTTGCTCACAGTTGTATCGCGCATGCTCGACGTCAGGACAGAACCAGCGGCGACGCGACCAGCCTCGCCGCCATAAGCGTCCTCCGGGATCTTCTCTGCTGGCGGGAACGTGAGTAGTTGATCCGCGATATGTGTGAGGTTAAAGGCACACACTTCTTGTGCCAGGTGCTTGTACGATGGCCTGAACATCCGCATGTAGCCCTTCCACATGAAGTCACGTGACAGCGCTGCGACGACGAGCAGCGGCACCACCAGCCAAAACGCATCAATGCGGAACGTGTTCGAGAACACTCCATTCCAGTAGGACGAGCTGATGGACCTGCCGTGGGAAATGAAGGCAGCTGTGCCGATCCAAAGCATGAAAGATCCGATGTAGATGGCGATGTGGATTGGCCACCACATCTGCTGGTGCAGACAAAGTTTCAGCGTCACCACGATCAGCACAATCGTGAACGATGTACATCCGTAAACCCACATCGTGGGTGTGTCTCCTCCAGTAACCAAATAACGCATGCCGTACACGACGCCGAAGCAGATGATGAGCGACTCCCACACACACGACGTGATCCAGGCCCACACGACCTTCGTGTTGAAGTTTGTGTTCTCCTGGCCGATTCGGTAAAGCAGCGGGTAGTTGTGCGCGAGGCACGCAGGCACATCCTGCTCGAAGGTGCTCACCAGGACGATCGGCAAAGCCGTGAAGAGCAGGTTGTAGCCCTGGAGTCCCCATTCGAGGAAGAACTTCTGTCCCGAGTAGCCCGTGTAGATCATGTACCAGAACTGCGTCAAGTTCAGAATGACATTCTTGTAGAAGATGTACAGGATAAGCTTGCCCATGCGGACATAATTCCAGCGACCGTGAACAAGTAATAGCCTCGACAGGAAGCGGAACTGCGCGATGGCATAGTCCGACGAATTCGCGGCCTGCATTCCCTCTTGGCCCGAGATACCAACACCGACGTGTGCAGCTTGAATCATCGAGACGTCATTAGCGCCGTCACCGATAGCCAGCGTTCGGACTTCTGGGTTGTTATCGCGCACAAGACGCACCAGCTGCGCCTTCTGGGCAGGAGACACGCGGCATGCAATCACTGCCACACACTTTTCAGCTACCTTCAGTAGCAATTCGGGGCATTCTTCCAGCGCCAGCTCCAACGTCTCGCCATCAATGACCAAAGCTAGATCTTGCTGCGGCATCTCCGCCATACTCTCGATGCGAGTCATTCGTTTGCGCTGGTTTCTTATCGAGACCGAGGAGTTTCGAATATCAGACGTCACCGACATAGTAGCGAGGCCTCCAGCGGGCGTCGATGCAGAAGTGTCCTCATTTTCATCTTCACGGCTGTATGCTTCCAGTTCATCTACAATAGAAGCCAAGTCCGGGTGTGTATCTGCAGAAATCACGACCCGCTCAATGTCTGAAGCTAGCAGGCGACAAGCGAAGCCGATGTTGATAGCCGTCTCCTCCTTATCGCCCGTAAGCATCCAGATCTTGATGGACGCTTGGCGCAACTTGTAAATAGTGTCGGGCACTTCAGCTTGCAGTCGGTCCTCGATAGCTGTGGCGCCCAAGATATCAAGGTTCACCTCAATTTCCTCCATAAGCCGGTCGATATCGTTGTCCTCGCCATTGCGACGAAGATCAATCTGGCGCATATCATTGATAGCTGTGCGGTAGCGGATGACCCATGACTCGAAGAACTCGCGGTCAATGTCGGTCGTACCGATCACTAAAGTACGCAGTCCCTCAGATGCGAACTGCTCCATGTGTTGTAGTGTCAAATTGCGCGTTTGCTTGACGGAAGGGTCGTTGGTCGGTCTCAGGCGCTCGTACATAACAGTGTCTGCTCCCTTGCAGAATAGTTTTAATTCACCACCTGGGCCCTTTACGACAACGGACATACGCTTGCGCGTACTGTTAAACTCGAGCACTTCCAGGACCTCGTAAGTGCCGACAGCGTGGCCCGCGACTGGCTGGTTGCAAACCATGTCTTCGGGGTGGTCCACGCATGAAAAGTACTCCACCATTGCCTTACCGGGACCACGCGCCACGAATTTGTAGCCAAAGCAAGCAGCCGCAGCTACGAGCGCTTGTTCATCAGGTGACGATGCGCTCAAGCGAAGACTGTTGTCCGGGGCTCGCTCAGGCATGACAGTGTGGCATACAGCCAGGTGCTCGAAAAATGATCCAATAGCTTTAGCCTGAGAGGTGTTCTTCTGTGCCAAGGCATCGAAGAGAGCGTCATCCTGATAGTTAACGAACGGCGCCTTCACGATACGGTCCGTAGGCGGGTTGTTTGAATCCGGCGCAGTGTCAACACGGTCTTTCCTCATTGGAGCTGCATAGCCACCGCCGGGGGTCACAGCGTAGAACGAAGACGTCGTTGGAGCCTCTTCCTGTTGGCGCTTACGCGCGGCAATGCCAACCTCTGTTTCACCCAATCCATACGCCACACCATTAATCGAGCACTTGCGGAACTCCATGATGTTGCACGTCAGCGTGCCCGTCTTGTCCGAGAAGATGTAGTCGATCTGTCCCAACTCCTCGTTCAAAGACATGGTGCGCACCTGGCACGGCGTGTCCGTCTCCTCGTGATACATCTCCAAATCGTTGTTCATGAAGTACGACTGCATGAACTTCACGGACGTCATACTGACGTACAGCGACACGGGGATGAACGAGTTCAGCAGCAGGAAGTAGTACAGCACCATGATCACAAAGTTCCCCACCGGTGACTTGACCGCCGTTGAATTGCCGTCGTACAAATACCACGCGCCCTTGTGCGAGTCCTTGTCCAGATTCGAAGTGTTCCAAACTGTCGACAAGATGGCGCCGGTCAGGCACAGCGCCACCATGAGCATACAAATGTACAGGATCTGCTTGTTCAGGCGCCTCTCCATGTTGCTCCACTTCATGGGCTCGGACGACGAGGCCATCATGATCTTGGTGTCCGGGCCCGTGTTCACGACCAGACCGTAAATGTACTCGGTATTCCGCAGCGTCGAGCCGCGCAGCGCAATGGCGTTGGTCGTGATGACCTCCTTCTTGCCTCCCTCGAGCGTCATGGAGCCGCTGAAGCGGTGGATGGAGTTGTTAGGCGTCTCGCACACCACCGTCCCCTTGAGGTCCCCCACGGCCGCGTCACTGAGCAGCGCCGTGTAGGTGGCCTCAAGTCCCTGTCTCAGCTTCAGATTCGTCTCTCCATCCAGCGACTTGGTCTCGACGTAGCAAATGCCCGCGGGGTTGGTCGGGTCCGGCTCGCAGGCTCCGAGGATCACCAGATCAGCCGGGACGGGGTCTCGGTTGGCCACTTTGACCACGTCTCCGACCTGCAGCGTGTGCCACGTGGCCGGCTCGAAGGCCCTCGCGTCTCGGTTGAATCGCTGGCAGGGCATGTTGTTGGCGATGTGGTCGGCCTTGTGGCGCTTGTAGTCCTCCATGCAGGCGAAGAACATGTCGATGAGCACGATGATGGAGAGCGCCGGCAGCGAGGCCGGGAAGCCGCCCGTGTTGGAGATGGGCTTGATGGTCTGCATGACGGAGATGACGAGGAAGTAGGCGTTGGCCAGCTTGCTGAACTCGTAGAAGAGCAGCTTGGGCAGGAAGTTGTACAGCGTGAAGCGGCTCGTGATGACCAGGTTGCTGCAGTAGCCCAGCGCCGCGTTCTTCTCGGGCGCGTTCAGGTGGACGTAGCGGTACTCGGCTACGTCCTCCTCCCCGTCTTGCTTTGGCCCCCCCTCTGCGGGCTTGGTGGCCTCCGGGATCTGGCTCAGAGTGTCCTCCCCGACGTCCGTCGCGTCCTCCACGTGGACGTCCACCACGTCGCTGCCCAGGATGCTGTCGGCGTCGATCTCGTCCAGGAAGGGCGACGCCGGCGCCGGCTGCAGCAGCGCGTACGGGGCCGTGGGGGTGCCGCCATCCTCGTCCGCGGGCGGCGGCGCCATGCTACTGTGGGCGAGCGAGTTATTCGGGACGAATCGGGAGTGCGCACTCCAGGCGTTGGGGCAGCTGGCCGATGGCGAGGTGTTGGGTTGTTGGTTGTTTGTTGCCTCTGTTGTCGGGCTGAGAGAAGGCGGAGCGCTATTTTGGTGCATAGATGCGACATCCATAGACTACGATAGTTAATACCTGCTTAATACGATTTGACAACTAGTTGGGTTTAGCAGGTTTGTGATCATGTAGAGATGGATACATCCTGACAGAAGCGATATACCTGCCGGGAAGCATATGTTTGTCATAGTATCAGAAAATATGACGCTGTGAAGGCTGATGTTAACAGTGCAGCAGGCGCGACTTACATCGCCTGGCAGCGCAGCACGACACCTCCAACGTGCCGCATTGCAAAATGTCGGCGAGTCGAGGCAGCACCGCGCGTTGGAGGCGCGCGTGACGCTGCGCTCTTCGTCGCATCAAACCTATTTTTTGCGGTGATGAGCTTTGCCGCAATCAGAAGATAAGCACATCCATGGCGCCTTCAATGGGCGCTGGAACTCCACGCCAGTTTTCGCATCGGCGATGCGCGGACCAGGTCGGTATCATTTGCCTCTCCGGTCTGGGCCGCTGGCTCCTGTAAAAGGCGCCGTCGTACAGGTAGGATACGACACGCGTATGCAAGCACCAGGTGCTGCGGCTCCTTTGTTTGCCAGCAGCGGAGACCAACGCTGCGCTCAAACAACGATCGACACATCGCTCGCCAGATGCGCGGTAAGCAGCGCACTATCTCACGGCCTTCCCACTGCTGCATCCCACGGTTTTAGTCGCATATCCAAAATGGATCATTCCGAGCCTTGGACTCGAAGGTGGAGCTGCGTATGTATTTATGTAGATCCGTCCAGGAGCGCCCTTGACGCTGCTTGATACACGAGCGACGCAGTGTAGTTACAGGTAACGATACTGTACTGCATCCATCTCGAGAGATCGGGAAATGTACGGAGGGATCAGTCTGAAGTTTTGGTTCTCTGTGACCACGAGTTGGCCTCGCACCCATGAGTTGGCCTTCGCATCCGTCCATGATTGCTCACTGAGCAATGATCAGCGCCCCTGAGTCAGAGCAAGACCTCTGAGCTCGCCCGGTTTCACAAGTTTTGTGGCTCTATTCAACAGCGCGAGGCGCAGCTCCAGCCTTGTCTTGCAGCAGGGCTCTTGCTGTACATCAAGAATGGCTACAGTTGAAGTTGGACGAGAGTGTTTGTCACGTAAACAGCAAACCGTGGAGTACACAGCAACAAGGTACCGAAGCTGCATGAAATGAAGCACGAGCTGCTGAGAACCAGGAAAGTGGCAAGGTCTCTACTGCGCATTTGATGGCGTTGTCGCGGTTTGGTTCATACGTGGGTGTTGGGTCTCTACTTTTGTATCTGGAAGCGCTCCATTTTGTCGATGAGCCGGAGCTCCTGGAACGCGCTGGTGATGAATTCTCTGTAGCACAGCGGGTGCGTGCGTTTGTAGAGCTCACCAACCCAGGAGGCAGCTTCGTCGCTCTGCTTCGTCAGTGTCTGGCCGCTGTTCTCGGTGAGATACAGCGCCTCACTCGAGTACTTGAGCGCCAGACAGCCGTGCTCCCACGCGCGATTGTTCTCAAGCTGCCGGCGGCTGAGCATCTCCAGCACCTTGTAAAAGTCCTGTGCGTCCGCCTGCTCGGCCTTGGCGACGTCGATGGACATCGACTTGCCGCCGATCTTGAACTTGATCTCGCAATCGCGGTCCACGAGTCCCGCCGTCTCGAACTTGACGGCCGTGATGGTCTCGTGGCGGTAGTCGTAGCGCTCCGTGAGCTTGCGCGTGGTGGTCGAGTTGTTGCCGGCGATCTTGAGCAGCGCGTGGTTAGTGAACGTGAACTCCTCCTTCGTGGACTGCATGGAGAACATGATGCCCTCGCCCGGCAGCAAGTACTGCATGGCCAGGCACTGCGAGAAGTCGCGCATGACGTGGCACACGTCGCCAGCGCCGGACAAGTCTCCGGTAAGGCCCTTCAACATGGTCTTCTTCGGTTGAGGAGAGTGAGTGCGAGGAGCTTGGTCAATTGGGAAGTGAGCTCCTGCAAGTCGGAAACGCTACATCGACAGGCGCGGCACCCACAATGGTCGAGTTATAGCCGCGTTGTGAGGGACAATCGACTAATGCGGGCACTGCAACAGGTTGAACTGCATCCGTCTGGCTCACGAAATCCAGCGCCGCGGTACGGGCCCATGTCCGCTCGAGTGCAAAAATGCAGAGTGTATCCATTTAACGAAGAGGTCTTTGTCTGTGCGGCTGCAGACAGAGAGCACTTCCAGCTCGATGGATTTTCATCGCTGATGCGGCATCAGTGATGGCAGTTCCGGCCCGCCTCTGTCATTGTCTCTTTGGCGCGCCTGTTCACCAACCACCGCAGATCGCTCCCTACCATGTTCAAGGGCCTGACCAAAGACCTCACGGGCTCCGCGGACATCTGCAACACCGCCAAGGACTTCGGCAAGCTACACGCGGCGTCGTACCTGCTCCCGGGCGAGGACATCCTGTTCGCGTTCGAGTCGGCCAAAGAGGAGTTCGCCTTCACCAACGAGGCGCTGATCATGACGGTGGGCGAGAACGCCACCACAACGCGCAAGCTCGTGCAGCGCGCCACGTACCGAGACTGCCCCATCTCCGGCGTGCTCTTCGAGACAACGGGGCGCGTGGACCGCGACTGCGAGATCAAGTTCCACATCGGCGAGTTCGACGTGTCCATCGACATCGCCCGCAAGGAAGAGGAGTTCGTCAAGGGCTTCTACAAGACGCTGCTGCTGCTCGCCCGAGAGCAAAAGTCGCGCTCTCGCAGCTGGGGGCAAGCCGAGAAGGGGCTGGACGAAGCCGCGGACAGCTTGAAGATCTCTGCCGGGCACGACCTCGTGTCCCAAGCGACGTCGGCCGCCGAATGGCTCGAAAACGCCTTCAACCAGCGCAATCCTCGCTGCTATCGCGAAGTTATCACCGGCGCAATGGCTCAGACTGTCGCCGAGGGCAAGAAGTAGGTTGTATCCATAGGCAGGAGCTGTTGAATCCATGTCAAAACTATAGTTGCCTTTGCTAAATGAGGGTTTGTGTGGAGTATTACATAGTAAGTTGCTCAATGAGGGTGCACTTCAACTGTATCCATTGAAAATTGAGATTTCCGCTCTCACTTTGGATTCCGCAGCGCAATATGGGCAACACCAACTCGGCGATCAAGGGCCTGGCGTCCGACATCGCGGGCACGACGGACATCTGCGACGTGGTCTCGGACCTGTCGGGCGCGTGGGCGGCGTCGTACGTTCTGCCCGAGGAGGAGATCGTGTACGCGCTGCAGTCGGTGCGCCAGGAGTTCGCCTTCACGACGCGCGCTAATCACCGTGAGCGCCGAGACGTCCACGACGACGCGTAAGCTGGTGGAGAGGTATGAGTACAAGAACCACAGAGTGGAGAACGTGAAGTTCGAGTCCACAGGCGTCGTCGACCGCGACTGCGAGCTCCAGTTCAAGGTCGGGGAGACCAAGTTCAAGATCGACATCGAGCGCGGCAAGGAGGAGGAGGTCAAGGGTTTTTACAAGGCGCTCGTGCTGCTGGGACACAAGCAGGAGGAGAACGAGCTGGAGTGGGAGCTGGCGAAGCAGGCTGTCACCACGGCGAAAGACACCGTGCGCCTCTCGGAAGCTGGCAGGCAGAGTCTCAACCAGCAGTCGGACGAGACGCTCGGGTGGATGAGGGCTCAGTATGAGCGCACGCACCCGCACTGCTACAAAGACGTCACCAAGGGAGCTCTTGACGCGGCGAAGGCTGAGCCGGAGAAGGAGGTGTAAGATGCTGTGATATGTCGTTGGAGTGTTCCAATGTTTGCAGAGGATTATGGTGTGAGAGCGAACGTATGAAGCACAAGGTTACACTTTATTCGCCATCTTTACTTATTGAACTCAACTCATCACGAAACTCCTGCAGGTATACGGAATCGATCGACTAGCCACTGTATTCCGAGTGGCAGTACTCGGACGACGTTGAGTAAGATGAGTCGATGGCCGTGGAAGAGGTCGCTGTCAGGTGTTTATCCTTGTCTGGGGAATTCATGAGATCCTTGATCACCTCCAAGGGACTCATGGTTCTGGCTTGCTGCAGACAGAGACCGCAGAACGACACCTTGCGCTGCTCCATCTGAAGGTCGGGGCTGGTGAATGTCAACTTTCGCTGGATACGACATGAGCGGCACAGATAACCAGAACAGAGCTTGCACGTGCTGCCCTCGCTTCTGCCGTAGTCTCCGCGCCGAAGTTTCGAGATTGGTGTGCAGCACGTGACACAAATGTGGGCTCTACCTGGGGCTCCCAACTCCTTGGCCAATTCGTAGCGCTTCCCCAGGAGCCAGGATATCTTCTTCATCTTGCTGCAGTGGGCGTACTTCAGCACGGTCAGGTAGCCGGCGGCCATGCTGGGTACAACGAGTGCCTTGATCATGTCACCCGCAGGGTCAACAATTCCTGAGCCGTAGACCTCGACGGTGTCGGGCCCGAGCTGGCGAAAGATGCCACACACCGTCATGTTCGCGCGCACACGGTTCGGAAGTTCCTTTGTCTGTGGGAAGTTGATCGAATGGTAGATCTGGCAGCCAATGTGTTCACCATTCGACAGCTTGACGGTTTTCATGTACTCGATGTACACGTAGTCGCGATTCTTGACGAGAGTGGTCGAGTTGAAGGGGAGGTCAAGCTCGATCCACTTGATCGTCATGGATCGGAATGGGTCTTCTGGCGTTGGTTCTTCCAGCACAGCCAGGACGGCGCCACCGCTCATGTCTTCGACGTACGAGGCCTTGACTCGCATGGTCTCGAGAGTTGGGCTGTATGCGCCGAACATGCAGTCGTCGACGGTGCCCCAGGTTATCCCCGTCATCAGCAGCGCTGGGTGATCCGATACCACACCGGAGAGTGACGTTCGAATCGGTGGATCGCGCTCGAGGTAGACACGCGTATCCTCTCTCGTCTTGATATGCTTCCAGTCTTTCGGGTCGACCTTGGGACCACCATCGCTGATGAAAACTTCGTACTTGAGCACGCACTGATCGAAGAAGTTGTAGGCGAATTCCTTAAGCTGGGACCGGTCGACTTCGGACAGAGCGAGGTGCCCGAAGGGATTGACAACGAAGCGGTTCTTGCCCATTATGACCTGGCCGGAAGTTGGATGGTCTCAGTGGGGGCGTTACCGGCGGGTAAATCGGGAACTGAAGTTTGTTGTCATCGGTATCATTGCTCGCACTCTTAAGTCGGATGCCGCGTCCTCTGTTGGGATGCATACTCGCTTTCTTATCCTCCAAACCTGATAACTTGGCAGGAGCGCTAACGAAATCTCTGGCGTTCCAATTCCAGAGAGAGAAAAGAGAGTGGTTGCTTCCTCAAGCATGGCCCCGCCAGACTGACTCACCTCAGCTCAGTTGCGACTTATGAGAGGCTTCAAGCTGCTGTCGCTAACGCAGCATGGAGCTGAAGAGGATGGCGTTTTTCGGCGTCCTTATCCCCATGTAAACCCGAGTTCATCACTACTGTAAGGGCTTTATGCTTCCACCAACGCAGCTTGGCCGAGCATTTACTCTGACCTTGTGCATAAGCTTTTACTCGGTACAACAACTTGCACACGTGTACCAAGCGATCAACAACAAATCGATTTATGCGCTACGCCAGCATGACGTTGCCACGTTGCACTCGTCGGCTCGTGCAGGGGGCAGAGAAAGCAGAGATCAGCAGGTGAGGTCGGTGGTGGTTGTTGCCTCACGTTTGCTTGTCTGAGCAAGGTCACCAGTTTCGTCACCCTGGCCCCACATCCTAAACACCCCACCCCAAATCAATTGTCGGTAGAATTCTTTCGCGCTCGTGACGAAGTTGGTTGAAGCGTGCGAAAATGCGGCTGGTGGGTGGTTTAACAAGCGCCTACCCCCGTCCACTTGAGGCAGGCGGCAAATGTCAGACTAAGGAAAGTATCTCCGACCCGGCACCAATGCATTAGCTGACTCTATACGGAGAGACTAGCAGGCGGTTGTCCCTACGCTTGAGCTCCAACGTCCACTGCAGATGCGTCCACACACGCATTACACTACCGTACGGTCCACAGACGCAATGGTTTGCGACGAGTGCACGACTTCTCCAGCCAACCGACTACAGGTACTTATGCTGTACCTACAAACAAGGCACAAGTGTCCAATATTTGTCCTCACCGCCAGGGCCTTTTGAAGTTGCGTCCATCCGTTTTTTTTTAAACATTAAAATGCACGACGTGGCATCCTGACTCGCGACCGGAGCTGAAGCCCATCGAGCTCCTCGTATACTTAAGTAAGAACGCATGTGCTAGATATTTAGCCCAAGCATTCCTCGGTAATGCCGCCACATGTAAATTCATAACAGACGTACCTTGAAAACCCAATCCAACGATACCGACGCTCTCTTGAGACCAAGAGTTCTATCACAGCTCCTGGCCGTGCAAGTACTATAGTATCCGGATCAGACACGAGACCGAGCGGGGTAGGCTCTATCCTCGCGCAACCAGTGAATGAATGGCAGCTCTCTGGTGGCTTACCGACAGCGCAGTCTCCAATTTGCTGGTACCCCACCCCAGCAAGTACCCGTTCGCCCGAATCGGACTTACACGATCAGTTAGACCGACCAGCCATGGGCAAAGACCGCTTCGTCGTCAACCCGTTCGGAGACCTCAACCTCACGGAAGCAGACAGACAGGGCCTCAAGGACTTCGCGTTGAATTTCATTGACCAAAACATCGTGAAGTACGAGGCTTTCATCGGCGGTGACCGCACCAAGGTGGACCAGAAGAAGTGGAAGCTGATCAAGACCAAGGACGATGCTCGAGTGTACCTTGAACGCGACCCGATGATCCGGACAACCCCAGACGGAGTGAAGACCGACCACCCGGAGTTTCTTCTGACAGGAATTACTTGGGGAACCGTCGACGACTGCATGTTCGGGGCTGTGAACCCGACGCTCGAGTCCATGCGGATCAAGGCGTCCTATGTGGAGGACATGAGCGGTGGCGCAGTTCTGGCCTCTCTCGAGGAGCCCACCGTGGATGAGCCGTTCAACTCCATGAACGTCAAGTGGATGGAGATCGATCTCCCGTTCGCAGCGACCTCGCTCGTCAAGAACCGCGACTACGTTTACCTAGAGTGCACGAAGATGGTTCGGCTTTCGAACGGTGAACGTGTTGGCGTCATGATCTTCCACTCGGTCGACTTCCCGCAGACGAAGAAGCTCCCCGCTCGAGTGCGCGCCAATATCACCGTCTGCACGATCTTCCGCCAGATTGGAAACGACACCATTGACTTGTACGGGTCGGGTATTGTCGACGCTGGTGGCGAAATGATCAAGTCCCTCGTGATGCCGAGCATTGCCACCGGTTACCTGTCGACGCTCAAGTACGCCCACTGCAGCAAGATGAAGAAGATGTCGTGGATGTTGGCCAAGCGCTACGAGATGGCCAAGGAACTGGGCACCCCGACTCGAGCAAGCGTCTGCGTTACGTGCACGGCTCCTATTTCCAAGCTTCGAATCGGCGACTATGGCAAGGGAGAAAGCAGTACCTGCAAGCTTTGCGTGGGCTACCTATGTCGGTCCTGCCGGATCCAGCGCAAGTTGTGCTTCGTCGCTTCCGACATGCAGCTGCAGATGCGGAAGGTCTCTTTTTGCGGACTGTGCCTTCAGCAGGTGAGGAGCATGAGCCCGCTAGAGGTGGCGAGAGAACACGCCGCGGGCATCTGCAAGCAATTGTCTTCTTACTGTCACATCGACTCGTCTTACGCCAGCACGATGTCCGATTGAGAGGCAGACTGGTTTGTAGTGCATTTTTCTCGTCGATCTCTGGAAACACAAGTGGTTGCCGATGCCTACTACGGTAGTATAAGCTCGATGGGATTGCATTGTACATAACAGAAAATAATGCAATGTAATGTATTCAGCTGACTCAATGGAGTAGAGCCTTAGTTATAGACGATTACCTATCGTTGTCAGATTCCAAAATTTGACGGGTCGCGGAGAAGTGTCAGGGGTCGCCTCCAAGGATCTCCGGATCGTTGGCCTCCCTGGGAGGAATCCTCCCTCGGGAGCCCAGGGAGGAGCAATACGACAGCAATGGCATCTTCCTTATTTTGCTCTTGCCCCCCCCCCCCGGCGCTACACAGTAATTATCCGTGGCACAACGTACCGGTATGTACGGTCTCAATTCTGCTACCGATTGCTGCAACGCCTGCTCGCGGCCTTGCTCCCATTTGAGCGGGGAATGTTGAAGCCCGTGGAAGGACCCTGGTTTCCGGCTACAGGTTCGAGGCGTCCCAACTTGGGACCCTAGTGCTGACAGCACGACACTCACTTGTGTCGAGCATTCGTAAGACAGTTTGACGACAAACCAAATCTAGTGATTTGATTGGCGAATAGTACGACTTGCCAATTCTGTTGGCACTGCCAGGCGCAGAGTGCTCGCAGGCTCTGCTAGGAAGGCCCGCGTTCCTCTTCGCTACTCTTTTTGATGCATTTCGTTGCACTTCGTATCCTGACTAATATCGGGCGCAGCATAGTAGTGGTAGTAATGATTGGCGGTTCGACAGAACTGTGCGGAGGAGCGCTGCGACACCAACAAACTCCCTCTACATATTTAAAACACCACGGCGAGCTTAGATCGTTTAGATTTCCTAGTACTACAGTAGCAGACCGAGCAAACTGGTAAGCGCCTTCAGCCGGGCTGATCAATTACTTTAGCTTTGGCATTTTTCATGTATTCCCGAGAAGTTTCGCCGCTCATTTGACTCTTAGAGGCCCTCACGTCGTTTTGTAGTTATTTGTTTGCGACACCACCAACAGCTTACCTACACGTGGCCGCGGGTGAGGTCGGTGGTGTCCACTACCGACGTAGGTGGAGCTGCAGCAGTGTGCGCCTCCGGGAGTAAGGTAGCCAAGCAAACCGCAACAAATACAAATACAAATACAAATACAAATACAAATACCAAGACTGGCTGACGCTGCCTTGTTGCTACTACAAAACAGTTCATTTCATGACTTTGGTAAGATCCCATAATGTATTGATTGTCTACTCCCTCGCGTCCTCCGACAACGCCTCGGTGCGGAGCATGTGTGCGCGCTCGTCGTGCACTGCTTCGCTCGGAGGCGTCCTCAGAGGACACGACAGGGTTCGTGGGCCGCACTACCGGAGGAAGAGGGGCTCTATTTGGTTATGCATTAACTAGAATTCACTATAAAGCCCTGAACGTTTTGTTTGTCAAGCTGGGCTGATGGTTCGGGTGCATTAATTTCTTAACCATTCTCAAACAAGCGTGTACATTGTAGTTGGCAGTAGGGCCGCACTACCGACTACATGTTCGTGCTTGTGAGCGCCGGCTCGACTGTAGGTGGCACGAGCAATTCAAAAACGGCAAAGCGGTTGTCCTCGGGGCTCAACGGAGGAACGCACGCAACGACACTACCCTCTGAAAGTTTTGGCCAATCGCATGGTGCAAATTGTTGTCCGACAAACTGTCTTACGTTTTGACGGACAAAATACAATGGAGCCACTGGTATACTAAAACGAAGATGTAGCCAAAATGCGTTGATTGCAAAACATAAGACGCTTTGTCTTACGGTAGGCTCTCTGGGGCTAAGTATCGTCTTACGAAAGAGCATGAATCATAGCGTGCACCGCACTAAAAAAAACATGATGCAATTGTAAGTGTGAGGCGAACGTTGAAGTTGCTACCCCTCGTGCCTCTACATTTCCAGCGTATGGTTTACAGTACAGATACTTCATGCACCAGCATGGCATCTATGATGGATAGATCGTTTGTCTTCCATTGGAGTTCGTAGGAAACCCGTCCCTTTGCCGATGCAGAGCCACGCAGCGGCATTGGTGGTGCGGAGCCTCGGGATCCCCAGAGAAAGCCCTTGCGCCGGCGCACCTTCAATTCGAAAGACGGGTCTGCACCGAAAAAAACTCGAAACAAAGCTCGAGCTCAGCTCAACGCCGCGATTCTCCGTACTCTGCGCGTCGTTGCCAGCGTTCAAATCCTCCGTGCGCTCCGCAGCCTCAAAGAAGGTCCTGTCATGACATCATACCCAGGAGAGAGAGAAAAGGATCTCCAACTCACCCGGGGGGTGACTCCAGGAACAAGTGCAACAAGTCTTTCATATGGTCAAGTTTGACTGCGCAACTCCAGTCTCCTCTCCTGCGGTCTTATCGCCTTCAGCCGGCGCCACCTCAGCGCTAAAGAAGGGGGCGAACCTCCCTGCTGTGGGGGTGTGTGCAGCGCCACCTGCTCGTGTAACTTATTATTTGTAAGTTTAAGCTTTTGCCAGCTTCTGGGCCTCGCTCGACTTCTAATTTCCAAGTCAAAATGGGGATTTGTACGGCAAAAGACAGGGCCTGAGGTCCTGACACGACCATGATAACCGCGGCGGGCAGCCCACCCCTCCCGCGTTCAGCTGACGTCAAGGTCGAGATCACTTGTCGATCCTCAGGCTTTCGCGCTGTGCCCGAGTCTCGGCAACCTCACATTACACAACTCTCGGCCATGGTCAAGGAGCGCTTCATCCCGAGTCCGTTCGGCGACCTGATCCTGTCGGACGCCGACAAGGTCGCGCTCAAGGACTTCGCCTACAACTTTTTCGACCAGCAGGTGAGCAAATACGAGGACTTTATCGCGCACGGGGGCCCCAAAGTCGATGAGCGCGAGTGGAAGTACATGAAGTCCAAGGAGGGTACGCGTGTGTACGTGGAGCGGAACCCCGTCGTGCGCGAGTCTCAGATGGGCTCCAAGACGACCGACTACCCGGCGCTGTTGATGACGGGAACCACGTGGGGCACCGTCGACGATTGCATGTTCGGTGCGGTGGCTACGACTACCGAAGCGATGCGTGTTAAGGCATCGTACGTCAAGGATATGAGTGGTGGCTCGGTGCTGGCGGTGCTCGAGAAGCCCACCGCGGAGGAGCCCTTCCGGTCGCTGAATGTTCGGTGGATCGAGCTCGACCTGCCGTTCGCGTCGACGCCACTGATCAAGAACCGCGACTACGTCTACGTCGAGTACATGAACATGGTGCGCTTGTCTAATGGGGAGCGCATCGGCTGCCAGATCTACCACTCGGTCAACTTCCCGCAGACCGGGGATCTGCCAGGCCGCGTGCGAGCGAACATGACTGTGTGCGGCATCTTCCGACAGATCGGCCCCGACCTCGTCGAGGCGTACGGCTCCGGCATCGTGGACCCGGCAGGAGACATGATCAAGACGCTCGTGGTGCCCAGTATGACGACGGGATACCTGACCATTCTCAAGTACGCTCACTGCAGCGAGATGAAGAAGATCACGTGGCTGCTGCGGAAGCGCCACGCTGCTATCAAAGAGTCCGGAGTTCGACCCCACCGCCCTCCAGCGTGCGTCACGTGCACGGCCTCCATCTCCAAAACCAATGGTATAACCAAGCAGGGACACTCGTGCAAACTGTGTGGAGGCTACTTGTGCCGTTCGTGCCGAGTCCAACGGAAGGTCGCGATCGTCGGCGTCGCCGGCTTCCTGGACCAGCACAAGGTGACATTCTGCGGCCGCTGTCTGCAGCAGGTGCGACAGATGAGTCCCGTGGAGATCGCGCAGGAGTACGCCACGGGCTTCGGCAAGCAGACCATTTCGGTCGCTAGCATCACCTCGTCCCTATCGTCGAGCTCCATGTCTGAGTAACAGAGATACCCACCCTCGACCAAAGCTGTGAGCAGCATCTATTGGCGACCGCCTCGACACGTGCAGCGAAGTAGGCCGATGCACGCGTGCCCAAATCGCCCACCTTTTATTGTTTCTTTATTCCTGTAACACTTCAAGATGGTCCAGTTGTCCTTTTTCCCTTCTCGAAACATTTTTCTCGAGGTGCTGGTCAACTTTAACACGCACTCGCCGCCGCTGCAATTCCTCTCTTTTGGCTCCAGGTATGGATGGGCAAGGCGGAGCCAGTGCTTTTGCCTTCGTTGCCGTCGTGCACTTGAGGCAGGCGCCTTGTGTTCGACTGGTGTTTTACGGCGCACAAACAAGGCTTTGAATAGTGGCACACCCCGCAACGTTAGACGATGGGGAGCATGGGGGAGCTCCTCACTTTCCCAGAACCCTCCAGGGGCTCAAGTGTAGGCTTGGACATAGGGAGACAGATACTGCCGCAGATACATGCCCCCACAGCACCGCGCCGCGGAGGCGGAGCCGGACGCGGCGTCCGCTGCCTTCCACGAGCTCCGGAGTCCGCGCGGGGCGTCCACGACCACCCAGCGCGCTGATGACGGAACGCCGCAGCCTGAAGAGGACAAGGCGAGTCCGCTGGACTCGGCCAATTTGCTGTCGGTCGCGACGATCTGGTGGCTGCAGCCGCTGCTCTGGCGTGGGTACAAGTCCCCGTTAACTGAAGACAGCGTGTGGGATTTACCCAAGAAGGACCAATCTCGTCGTCTGCAAGGACGATTCGATGACTCATGGACCAAACAAGAACTCAAGTTAAAGAACAAGAAGAAACAGAAACGCCCGAACGTCAACGTGGCGCTGTGGGAAGCCACCAAGGACAAGATCGCGGTGGCCACGGCGCTCTACATGGTCAGCGCCACGCTCACTCTGCTGCAGCCGTTCCTGATCAAGGCCATCCTTGAGAACCTCGAGGACGAGAGCAACTTGTTCGGCATCTCGTCGGGCTACGGTCTGGCCGTGTTTCTGGGCTGCGTGGCCTTCTGCGGCGCCACAGCGATCAATTCGGCCCAGTTCCTGACTGCGAGAGCGGGCTGCAACGCCCGCATGGTGGTGATCAACAGCGTCTTCCAGAAGATATTGAGACTCAGTGCGACGGCGAGACGCACGATGAACAGCGGAGAGGTCGTGACGCTGGCGGGGGTTGATAGCGAGCGCGTCATGGAGGCGTATACTATTGGGTTGTGGTGCATCATCTCGCCTATTATCCTGGTCGCGGTGTGCATCTTGATCGGGACGCAGATGGGGGTCTACGTGGGGCTGGCGGTCGCTGTCACGAGCGTCGCCATCATGTACGGAGCCTTCATGACGTCCAAGCACATTGGGATCTACAGGCGGCGGATCTCCAAGATCAGCGCCAACCGAGTGAAACTCACGAATGAGGTGCTGCTGGGCATCCGCGTGATCAAGTTTTACGCCTGGGAGAACTCCATTAACGAGACCATCCGGAAGATTCGAGACGAAGAGGTGGCGCTCATGCGGAGCTACAACTACTTGCGGCTGACCAACGCCGTGCTCATGTTCCTGGCGCCCACGATCCTGAACATGGTCTGCTTTCTCGTGTACATCCTGCTGGGCAACACCCTGGACGTGGCGACGGCGTTTGTGATCCTCGCACTCACAAACTCGTGCAAGATGGCCTTCAGTATCTTCGCGAACGCTTCGGTGGCTGTGTCGGAGGCGATCACCTCAACCGGCCGCCTATCGGACTTCTTGGTGTCAGGGGAAGTGGAAGAACGCACGCACGAACTCAATCTGGAGCACGACAAAGCCGTCGTATCCTTCCAAGACGCAGACTTCCAGTGGGTCGAGGATACGCCAGCTCCAACGCTCTCGAACATCACGTTCACGCTCAAAACTGGAACGCTCACAGTCGTGGTCGGGCCCGTCGGCAGCGGCAAATCCAGCCTCGTCAATGCCATCCTCGGTGAAATGCACCAACTGCGTGGAACGCGGGAAGTGCGCGGCGACGTGGCGTACGCGAGTCAGCAGGCCTGGATCCAGAACCTAGCCGTGCGTGACAACATCCTCTTCGGCGAGTCGTACGACGCGGATCATTACAGTCGCGTGGTCACAGCGTGTCAATTGCTACCGGACTTTGAGATGCTGGAGCAAGGCGACCAGACGGAGATTGGAGAGCGTGGCATCAACCTCAGCGGCGGCCAGAAGGCTCGCGTCGGTATCGCTCGAGCCATGTACCGCGCTCGTAACTTTGACTTCGTGGTGCTGGACGACCCGTTGAGCGCTTTGGACGTGCACGTGGCGAACGCGGTGTTCTCGGATGGTCTGATGGGTATTGCACAGGGAACGACGCGATTACTGGTTTTGAACTCGCATTACCACTTGTTGCAGTACGCAGATCGGGTGTTGGTGATGTCGGATGGACAGATCGTTGGCGATGGCACTCTGGAGCAGCTTAGAGGCGAGTTCTCCTTCCTTGCGACCTCACCACGAGGCAAAATAACTGATGCTTCGGAAGACACAGAGCAAGGAGAAGTGAAGAATGAAGGGAAGCAGCGTACGATTGAAGCTGCGTTAACAAAGGACGAAGGAGGAGCCGACGTAAAGAAGAGCAAGACGCCTAAGAAGCTGATCGCGGAGGAGGATCGACGAGTCGGCTCTGTGAAGATGAAAACGTACGTCAACTACCTGGCTGCGTCGGAGTGGAATGGCTACGTGTTAACCGCAACGATCTTCATCCTGTTCACAGTTGCCCAAGTCTCGCTGTTCTTCTGCGACTGGTTCTTGAGTCAATGGTCCAAGGGCGCTGTAGACCTCAGTCAGAAGAACTCGATGGCTGTCTACGTGGGGATTGTCGTGGCGTCTTTGATCTTGACGTTCATCCGCTGTGTGTACTACATGGAGATCTGCATGCGGTGCTCAGGCAAGCTGCACTTCAACTACATCCGTAAGGTGCTGGGAGCCCCAGTCACCACGTTCTTCGACGTGACTCCGGTGGGTCGGATCCTGAACCGATTCTCGCGAGATCTGGACCAAGTGGACAACCCGCTGCCGTATTTCAGTCTGTGGATGATGCTCTACATCTTCCAGATGTCATCGGCATTCATCGTGTGCGCCGCTGCAGACCCGTACGTGCTGATCCTGTACATCCCTGTGGGCTACGCCTTCATGTTTGCAATCAGGATCTACCAGTCCTCTGCGCGAGAGCTCAAGCGCCTGGACAGTACCTCCCGCTCTCCGTTCTTGAACCTCGTGTCGGAGACGATTTCTGGCATTGAGACGGTGCGGTCCTACAAAATGGTGGAGCAGTTCTCCGCTCACTGCGAAGAGCTGCTGAACAACAACGCCAAGTTCTTCCTCTTGTTCCAGTCGTCCTCGCGGTGGTTTGCAATGCGAACGGACTGGCTGGTGTCGGTGATTATCGCTGCGGTGGCGATTCTAGCGATTGCGACCAAGTCCAGTTTGGGAGCCGCGGTTGCAGGTTTGGGCCTCACGTACGCGTCGCAGCTAACCTCCAGCTTCCAGCGCATGACCACCTTGACGACTCAGGTGGAGAACATCATGACCTGCTTCGAACGCATTGCCCACTACGCCTCTCTCGATGAAGAAGGATACACGCGTGTAGCCAGCAACAAGGACTCGCTAGCTGCGGAGTGGCCCCGGACTGGTGCGGTTGTCTTCGAGAACGTCTCTATGAGATACCGTGACGACCTCCCTCTCGTACTAAAGGGAGTATCTTTCTCCGTCGCGAGTGGTGAAAAGGTCGGCATCTGCGGTCGCACTGGGTCTGGCAAGAGCTCGCTCATGAGCGTTTTGTTCCGCGTCGTGGAGATTCCAACGACTGGCCGCGTTCTCATCGACGGGGTGGACATCTCCACTATCACTGTGCACCAGCTCCGGACCAAGCTGACCATCATCCCGCAGGACCCGATGCTGTTCAGTGGTTCACTGCGAATGAACCTCGACCCCTTCGCTGAGAAGAGTGACGCAGAGCTGCATGAAGTGCTCCGCAAGGTGCACTTGTCCGATACAGTGGCTGGGTGGGGCAAAGGTCTTGACTACGAGGTAGCCGAGAAGGGCGAGAACCTGTCTGTGGGTCAGCGTCAGTTGCTGTGTATCGCTCGCGCGCTGATCCGAGACAGCAAGGTGATCGTGATGGACGAAGCCACCGCGAACGTGGACCAGGAGTCGGACAAGCTCATCCAGCAGACGATGAAGGAGAGCTTCGGCGGCGGAGACTGCACGGTGCTGTGCATCGCGCACCGCATCGAGACGATCATGGACAGCGACAAGATTTTGGTGCTGGATGGAGGGGAGGTGGTGGAGTATGATACGCCGTCGGCGTTGCTGCAAGTTAAGGGCGGTGTGTTCCAGTCGCTTGTGGAGTCCGGCAAAGTCGTTGGTGTTCTGGAATAATAATACATTGTAGATTTTGAAGATTCTAGGAACTCCTTGCTATGTAATCAGAAACGAGCCTTCACAGCGCTCGATATGATGAACGCGAACACTCCTCTTGGATCCCAAAGTATCTGAGACGGGGTGCACTTAGCAGAGCCGCACGTTGCTCAGTTCGATTCGTCAGTTGAGCCCCAAATGCCGTCCGAAGGTCGGTTGAATGAGTCCGATGCCAGCTATCGCGAGGTCAAGACGCCTCGAGTGAGCAATGACACGACCTCGACCCTGTCGGTACCGGACGAGAGTCGCCGCAATCCTTTGGACACTGCCAACATCTTGTCCATCGCGACGATCTGGTGGCTGCAGCCGATGCTGATGCGCGGCTACAAGTCGTCCCTGGACGAAGACAGCGTGTGGGACCTCCCGGAGGTGGACAAGGCCCACCCCCTACAGGAACGCTTCGACGCAGCGTACTTGGCGGAAGCTGAGAAGATCAAGACCAAGGCCCACAAGAAGAAGGCGACTCCGAAGCGACCGAACGTCAACTTCGCGTTGTGGCAGGCTACGAAGGACACGTACGTGACGGCTCTCGCGTGCTACTCGGTTAACTCGGTGTTGGTGCTGATCCAGCCGTTCCTGATCAAGGCCATCCTACAGAACATGGAGGGGCAGAGCAACCTCTTCGGCATCTCTTCGGGCTACGCTCTAGCTGTGTTGCTCGGCTGCGTGGCCTTCTGCGCGGCCACAGCGATCAATTCGGGGCAGTTTCTCACTGCGAGGGCTGGGTGCAACGCGCGCATGGTCGTCATCAACAGCGCGTACCAGAAGCTCCTTCGTCTGTCGGCCACAGCGAGGCGGACGATGAACAACGGGGAGGTCGTGACGATCGCTGGAGTTGACAGCGAGAGGGTCATGGAGGCCTACAGACTCGGACTGTGGACCATCATGTCCCCTCTCATTTTGATTGCCGTGTGCATCCTGGTCAGTACTCAAATGGGGGCGTACGTGGGGCTTGCAGTGGCTGTGGTGAGTGCCGGGATCCTCTGGGGGGCCTTCACCTCGTCCCGGAACATTGGCGTCTACCGTCGACGCATCTCGAAGATTGGGGCGAATCGCGTGAAACTTACGAACGAAGTTCTGCTGGGCATTCGGGTGATCAAGTTCTACGCGTGGGAACGCTCCATCAGCGACGTCATCCGCGCTATCCACGACGAGGAAGTCGCGCTGATGCGCACGTACAACTACTTTCGTCTGGCGAACGCCATCCTGATGTTCCTCGGCCCGACGATCCTCAACCTCGTGTGCTTTGTGGTGTACGTGCTGCAGGGAAACAGCCCCGACGTCTCGACCACGTTTGTCATTCTCGCTCTGACCAACTGCTGCAAGATGCCGTTCAGCATCTTCGCCAACAGCTCCGTGGCTGTCGCTGAGGCCATCACGTCCACGCGCCGACTGTCGGACTTCCTCACTTCTGGAGAAATTGAAGACGACTTCACCCCGAAGCAGCTCGCGACGGGTGAAGCGCCAATCATTTCAATTGAGAATGCCGATTTCCGATGGGAGGAAGACGCACCGACGCCCACGCTGTCGAGTATCAACCTGAAGCTAGGGCCCGCAACACTTACGGTGGTTGTCGGTCCAGTGGGGAGCGGCAAGTCCAGCCTCGTGAACGCCATCCTCGGGGAGATGCAACAAGTACGGGGAGTTCGCGCTGTGCACGGGAACGTCGCGTACGCGAGCCAACAAGGTGGATCCAGAACCTAACCGTGCGTGACAACATCCTCTTCGGCGAGCCGTACGATGCGGAGCATTACAATCGCGTCGTTGCAGCATGCCAATTATTACCGGACTTCGAGATGCTCGAGCTCGGAGATCAGACAGAGATCGGCGAGCGCGGGATCAACCTCAGTGGCAGCCAGAAAGCTCGCGTGGGCGTCGCGCGCGCGATGTATCGGGCTCGTAAGTCCGATTTCGTCGTGCTGGATGACCCTTTGAGCGCGCTGGACGTGCACGTGGCGAACGCGGTGTTCTCGGATGGTCTGATGGGTATTGCGCAGGGAACGACGCGATTGTTGGTTTTGAACTCGCACTATCATTTGCTGCAGTACGCAGACCGCGTGGTGGTGATGTCGGACGGCCGAATCGTGGGTGACGGCACTTTGGTAGAGCTGGAGAAAGAATTCCCCCTCTTGGTGACTGCGACCGGCGAGAAGGATGAACCGGTAGAGGACACGGCTACTGCTACTGCTATTGCTACTGCTACTGCTGACGAAGAGCACCAAACCTCGGAGAGAAAGTCCGCGGCCTCCTCCAAAGCGGACGCAAAACTCACCCCAGACGCTACTTCTAAGGGCAAACTCATCGTGGCAGAAGACCGTTTGGTGGGGTCAGTGAAGCTGAAAACGTACGTGGACTATTTGGCTTCTTCGGAATGGAATGGATACGTGCTGGCGGGGGTCATCTTCGCTCTGTTCACGGTGGCGCAAGTTGCGCTCTTCTTCTGCGACTGGTTCTTGAGTCAATGGTCGAAGGGCAACTTCGATCTGTCTTCCAAGAGCTCTCTCGCTATCTACGCAGGACTCGTGGTTGGATCAGCCGTACTGGTCTTCATCCGCTGTACGTACTTTATGCAAGTCTGCATGGTGTGCTCCGGGAAGCTCCACTCGAAGTATCTGCTGAAGGTTCTTCTCGCGCCAGTCACGACTTTCTTCGACGTGACGCCCGTGGGCCGCATCCTGAATCGCTTTTCTCGCGATCTCGACCAAGTGGGCAACCCCCTCCCGTACTGGGCGTTGTGGATGCTCTTGATGATGTTTCAGATGGCCTCGGCATTCATCGTATGCGCCGCGGCCGACCCGTACGTGTTGATCATCTACGTGCCCGTTGGTTGGGCGTTCCTCTTTGCGATTAAAGTGTACCAGGCATCGGCGCGCGAGCTGAAGCGCTTCGACAGCACCACTCGCTCCCCGTTCTTGAACCTTGTCTCGGAGACGCTGTCAGGTATCGAGACCATTCGAGCGTACAGGATGACTGAGGTCTTCTCGGCCCTTTGCGAACGGCTTCTCGACCAGAACTCCAAGTATTATCTGCTCTATCAGACCTCGTCTAGGTGGTTCGCAATGCGAACGGACTGGCTGGTCTCTGTGATCATCGCAGCCGTCGCAATTCTAGCGATTGGGATGAAGGGAACGCTTGGAGCTTCCGTCGCGGGCTTGGGCCTCACGTACGCTGCTCAACTCACATCCAGCTTCCAACGGATGACAACTTTGACGACGCAAGTCGAGCAGATCATGACCTGCTTTGAACGTATCGCATACTACAAGCGAGAACTCGCTGGACGAAGAAGGCAGCAGGTCGTTCCCCGTCAACACTGACTCTCTTCCAGCCGAGTGGCCTCGAACAGGAAGTGTCGTCTTCGAGAACGTCTCCATGAGATACCGTGACGACCTCCCGCTTGTATTGAAGGGAGTGTCTTTCTCCGTCGCGAGTGGTGAGAAGGTCGGCATCTGCGGTCGCACTGGGTCTGGCAAGAGCTCTTTGATGAGTGTGTTGTTCCGCGTTGTGGAAATTCCAACGACTGGCCGTGTTCTCATCGATGGTGTGGACATCTCCACTATCACTGTGCACCAGCTCCGGACGAAATTGACCATCATCCCACAGGACCCGATGCTGTTCAGCGGTTCACTTCGAATGAACCTCGACCCGTTCGCCGAGAAGAGCGACGCAGAGCTGCATGAAGTGCTCCGCAAGGTGCACTTGTCCGATACAGTGGCTGGGTGGGGCAAAGGTCTTGACTACGAGGTAGCCGAGAAGGGCGAGAACCTGTCTGTGGGTCAGCGTCAGTTGCTGTGTATCGCTCGCGCGCTGATCCGAGACAGCAAGGTGATCGTGATGGACGAAGCCACCGCGAACGTGGACCAGGAGTCGGACAAGCTCATCCAGCAGACGATGAAGGAGAGCTTCGGCGGCGTTGCTGCAAGTGCTGGGCGGCGTGTTCCAGTCGCTTGTGAAGTCGGGCAAAGTCGTTGGATAGCTTGAACAGGTGTGATGCTTGCTAGTCCTGCGTGGCTTAGCGTAAATTAAGGAAAGGGTAAGCCCGCCCTGTAATAAGGAAAAAAATGCCACAAAACATAAGCATCAACCGTGTAGCGTCTGCCTCGCGCAGGGATACTCCAACTGCACTTCCCAACGTCCTTCATCGTTCACAGCGTCCTGGGAGCTGTCGGCTCTCTGCCTGAGGAAGAACAACAGCACACCACCACTGGCATGGCGGCTCTACCTCTGCGCCACGCCCGGAATGGTTGGTCGCATGCCAGTAACGGATGGATACCCTGGAGTGCGCGTGTGGTATGAGCCCGGACCACGAAGGAAGGGAGTCTCGAAGTTCCTGCCCGGACGCCCTAGCGTTCGAGAGCAGCGGCCTTATCAGCCTGCGAGCTGCAAAGCGCCACGGATCCGCTCCTGCACACCCGATTTGTAGTGGTGATCTCCTGGCCGGCGCAGTCTCTGACCTTGTGCTTTGTGAAGTTTACGCCATAATAACACTCCAAAATACACTTCGGATCCATAAAAAATGCTCGTGTGTGGTTTTCGGAGTCCTACACGTATTACACCAGAATTTTGCTAACAGCTAAAATAATAACGTAAATTCCCGAATAATACCCCTTACCCGTATAGTACCCTCTAAAACGTAACCCAATGTGTATCCCAGGGTTACAATGTTAATTCCATACAAAGATCAAGTATATATTTATGAATTTATTGTCGAAAGCATGTTTATGTATGAAATACTGCGTAATATCCATAATTTAGCATATTTGTTTTGAAAATGGGAGGGTACTAATAAATAGTGCCCGGGGTATTATTCGGTCATTTCCGTTAGAAGCGCACACAGGCTGTGACACAGCAGAATGTCTTCACGCACAATCCAGTGAGCAGCTTGGCAACGATAGTACCAATATGGTACCGGCGAGCGCGCGTGATGAAGCTGCGGAGCCCATTCCTACCACTATTAATAGTGGTATTAGTGGTTAGTGGTATTATAATAATAATAGTGGAATATATAAATGCGTACAAAGTGCACCAGATCAATTAGCTGCCGCGAGCTCGAACGGCAACAAACGTAGCAGGACTCGACAAGTACTGTGATGATTAATATCGTGCCCAGCTTAGTTGCATTCGAAGCGACTGCTTCGTATCTTGTGAGCTTGCACTATAACCCTTGAATCAAAAAGTGGTTGATACTTTGCACCAGGTTTTATGATTTAGAATTGCAGAAACTGAAACGTGAAGTCCACCCCTGCAAGATGAAAGTAAGAGCAGAGAAGTAAGCAATACAATTTTGACGCTAAATGCAGAGTATCTTGACTGTACTCACCGAAGTGCTTGATTCTGAAGCACAGCATGACAATCACCCAAAAGACGAGTTTGCTCTGGACTAAAACCATCTGTGTCTCCAGCATGAACGCGAGCTGGTACAGCGCCCGCATCCCGCAATTCCGTTTGATCACCACTGCCAGCACCCAAAACGAAGCGACTTGTAGTAACCCGAACATGAACACGGGGAGTACAGTGGATCCTACGTTTTCACTTGTGACTTGTGCCATCTCAGTGTGATATTGGGCACTCTGGAAATGAACCATCACGAGCATGTAGCTGCAGTAAAATAAGGGAACGAACGTCTCCAAGTACGCAGTTGTGACAAGACACTCTGTCATGAAGAAGATCCCCAACGTATCGCGCAATACTTTATCGTTTTGAGCTTGCACAATGAATGAGCTTGGAAAAATCGTACGGAGGCTTTTCCGCAGCGTGAAAATAGTACGGAAGGTAGATGGGGCTGACGACTTACTGCGTCGAGGTAGATTCGGATGCTTGGGGCCAACCAAAACAGTCCGTGTAGACTGGGAATGAGACTCTTTTATCATGTTGGGGACTGTGCCTAGTCGGTCGAGAACGCGTTGGCCGTCTTCAGAAACTCGATGAGGTAAGCACGAGCGCCAGCGAAGACCGAGACAATCCTGCCTCTCGAACCCTTGCTGGTGTCGACATAACCAGCAAAGGATAACCAGCAAGTTGTCACTAGGCCAACCGCCTGGTGAAAAGTTGAGACACAATCGATAGTACGGCGCTGCAATCCGTACAGCATAATTATTGTTTGCAGTAGATCCGTTATTATCATGGCTGAAACTGCAGCAACGGATGACGCACTCTGCATGCACGTCGAAATGTAGATCGCGTTGAAATAGTCCACCGTAAAGATCACAGTCTCGGGCACCATATCCTCCAGGTCTGCAGAGCATCGTAGCACGATGTTCTTTAAGGCGATCTTTATAACTGGAAGAAGCAAAATGACGGGGAGCTGGTAGTGAGTCCCCTCTGAACGGCGAAACAGCATCTCGTACACAGGATAAATGACTGCCGGTGTCGTTTGAGAAGCGATCATGACAGCAAATCTGATCACTTGATCGCGCTTGGACAGTAAAAAACGAATAGCACTCGCCCCCAGAATGAATCGAAAGGTGACACATAGCACGAGGTAGAACGGGAGAAGCATGGCTAAAATGAAGAACGGGATTGGAAACACCAGGTACTCCGCCACAAGCATTGCTAGGGCGACGACTCCGCCCGATACAATGACGCAGAGAAGGAATATCTGACCCATCGATATTGTAAACCCCTCGATAAGGTATGTTGCCTGGAGCATCAGTGCTTGTATCACAACACACACGAGAATGGCCGCTCGAATCCACAATCCATAGCTCACACGCCATCCATCGCTTGGGTCTTGAAGCGGGATCGACTCCTGTGCGAAGACCAGAGCAACCATGGGCAATGGGGTGCCAATACACACCATAACTACATGCACTAAAGAAGTTTTATTGTTGTACTCGTCGAGAGCGATGGCGCGATGAATGGAATACTTGCCGCCAAAGTAGCTAAGCTGCAACTGCTTCCAAGCACTGAGAAGTTTAGTACTCCAAGAAGGTAAATCTCCATAGTCGGCCACTCGGTCTAGCTGCGGGGCGACGGTTGTCATTGCACTTGCACCGTAGATGGTCTCGACGACAATTAAACACTCTAAGACGTTCAAAAAGTTGGAGTCGAATTAGTAAGTCTAGCCGCCCAACACACAGCGCGATAGAAGTTGCCTGAGGTTGGGCTGGATGCTCCAACTTGGGACGTTCTATAATAAGTAATCTCCTACCTGGCTCAGCTTCCCAACGTTTTCGTAGGTAATGTAATGTTCTTAGGTTACCATCGCTATTTTTTGTGAGCTGCCATTCTGGTTTTCCCCACTTCTGCTGCGCAAGACCTTGGGCGAAGGCACGCGGGGCTGGAACATGTTTTCTAGATGCGGAATGATATCCTGTCTTTAGTGATCTTTTTACCGGAGTTAACCGAAGTTGAATTTGTACACAATTCGATATTCTACTGAAGACGCTGTCGCACCAGAATGGCGTTAGTGGTCAGATAAAACTCCTCGCTCTCAGTGTTCGCAGAACCAACTTTGCAGGAAAGCCTACTTGACTTAATCGATCTCGGATACGTTACACGCGACGGGATGGCGACATCAAGCATTTTTCGTTGTTCGTTTCGTACCGAAAGACTACCATCTAGCAACAATCGGAACCACATCAGGCATCATCGAAAATGGGACTGAGTTCGATAGATATTCGACATTTGATAGGATATTGGTCTAGTTCGTCCCCATTCTTCTTTTCTGTTGTGGATGGCACATCCACATCCCAGGTTTCTGGCTCCGCATTGACCACTTCTTCTTCTTCTTCTTCATCGACTTCAGAGCATCCGAGCGTCGTGGAGTTGCGAATGAAACCACAGGGAGTTATTGTTGCCACCAGGCACAAGCCGACACTACCCGGGAGTCCAGAAACTATCGTAGCGTTCGGACTTTTGAAGCACTGCTAATAGCACATGCAAACGATCGCTCAGGCTTTATCGGGCCACACTGTGGCCCAATAAGGTCTGTGGCCGCCACAGGTTTGGTTCGATTGAAGGCATCCAGCATAGCAGGTTGGCAACACTGCCGAGTTCAGATTTCATGCCACGTTTCACTATCAGTGTTCGACAGGGCTACTTCCAGCGCCGAGAATGGCCATGAACTAACTGGAGGACAGGCTGGGAGCAAGGTCGCCACAGGTTGCACACGCTGGTCGCGTGCGTGATCGGCTCTCATCGCTAAGACGTTACAAAACCTGGGGGGCGAAATCGGGTTCTTTTTCATTGTTGCTGAGTAGAGGGCGTCAGCAAACCACAACTTGACCATCCATTATTTTTCACTTTGCAGACGTCGGTCTGTCCCTAGGCGCAACCTGCAAGCGCCCAACGACTGCAGATACTACGCGTACGGGAACAGTGCAATCAGAGATACCGTGCGGTCGAAACGGAGCTCTGGGCATTAGGACGGTAGCTGTTGCACTGTACGAAAACTTCCATCTTACTGCCTTGGCAGTCGCAAGCAAAACGTGTGACCAGTTAAGGTACCTGCTGGCAGAGATTACCATCTCTGCCAGCAGATACCATGCGTGCGCGCGTGCAGCATGGCACGCTTCACTGCTGAATTTGCCGGCGTCTTAAAGCTCGCACTAGTTCATCGGGTTTCAAGTTTGAGTACTTTTGAGATCCTGAAGTGATGGCTCCGCGCAACGAAATCCTCGAGTCTGCGACGACAACGATCTCTGAGGCGGCTGATGACAGCACGGACAGCCAATACTTCTCCGTCTCGACGAGCAGGAACGCCAAGCGAGTGCCGACTGAAGTCTCATTTGATGAAGTTCACCAGAACAAGGAAAACCCGCTCAACACTGCCAGTCTTCTGTCAGTCGCAACGATGTGGTGGATCCAGCCCCTCCTGAAGCGAGGCTACGCGTCTCCGCTGGACGAGACTTGTGTCTGGGATCTTCCTACCGCCGACCAAGCGCGTCCACTGCAGGAGAAGTTCGACAGGTTTCACACCGCGCAGGCGAATCAAGCGAAGCGGCCGAACGTGAACAACGCGATCTGGGAGAGCGTGAAGCGGACGTGGGGGATCGCGTTCGTGCTGCACCTCGCGAGTGCGGGGCTGATGCTGTTCCAGCCGTTCATCATCAAGGCCATTCTCAACAACATGAAGGGCGAAGAGAACTCCCTCGGAATCTCTTCCGGGTACGCACTCGCGGTGCTTCTGGGCTGCGCTGCCTTCTGTGGCGCCACGACGGTGAGTGCAGGCCAGTTCCTCACAACTCGAGTGGCTTGCAACGCCCGCATGATCGTCATCAACAGCGCCTTCCGGAAGATTCTTCGGCTCTCGGCGACTGCGAGACGTACCATGGACACGGGGGAGATCGTCACGTTCATCGGGGTCGACAGCGATCGCGTATTGTCGGCGTACAAGTTGGGGATGTGGTGCATCGTCGCCCCGTTGATGCTGGTTGCTGTCTGCGTTCTCATCGGCACTCAGATGGGGGCTATTGTAGCGGTTGCGGTGTCGGCAGCGATGCTGCTCATTATCCAGGGAGCGCTTGTCCTGTCGAGGCAGATTGGCGTCTACCGTCGACAGATTTCACGGATCAGTGCCAACCGCCTGAAGGTGACGAACGAGATGCTTCAGGGCATTCGAGTTGTCAAGTTATACGGGTGGGAAGGCTTCGTGAACGAGCTGATCCACGAAATCCGAGAAAAGGAGATCGCTCTGCTGCGGAAGTACAACCGACTGCGGCTCGCCAACACGGTGCTCATGTTCTTGGCGCCGACGTTGCTGAATCTGGTGTGCTTCACCGCTACCATTTTGCTCGGCGGTAGACTGGATGTCGCGACGACGTTCGTGATTTTGGCTCTGACAAACGCTTGCCGCACCCCATTCAGCATCTTCGCTGATGCATCGGTCGCGGTCGCAGAGGCTGTCACCTCTACCAGTCGCTTGTCCGACTTCCTCGCTGCTGGAGAAAGTGCTCACAGCACCAGCGAAGGTGGACTGTGTGAGGGTTCACCAATCGTTTCACTCGAAGACGCTGATTTCCAGTGGGAGGAAGACGCACCGACGCCTACACTTGTCAACATCAATCTCACGCTCCAGCCAGGGACACTCACGGTCGTGGTCGGTGCAGTCGGCAGTGGCAAATCCAGCCTCGTGAACGCGATACTTGGGGAAATGCAACAAGTTCACGGTACTCGTACGGTCCGAGGCGACGTAGCGTACGCGAGCCAGCAAGCATGGATCCAAAACCAAACCGTTCGTGACAACATCCTCTTTGGCGAACCATTTGATGCAGAGCACTACTTCAGTGTGATTACAGCTTGTCAGCTCGCCACGGACTTCGAGATGCTGGAGCATGGCGATCAGACTGAAATCGGCGAGCGCGGTATCAATCTCAGCGGTGGTCAGAAGGCTCGAATCAGCGTGGCTCGTGCTATGTATCGCGCTCGCAAATGTGACTTCGTGGTGCTGGATGATCCGCTGAGTGCGCTGGACGTCCACGTGGCTAATGCTGTGTTCTCCGATGGCTTGGTGGGCATCGCGCAGGGCAAGACGCGCTTGTTGGTGTTGAACTCGCACTACCATTTGCTGCAGTACGCAGACCGTGTACTCGTGATGTCCGATGGCAAGATCGTGGGAGACGGTCCGTTGGCTGAAGTGCAAGCAGACTTCTCGTTTTTACTGAACTCTCCGCGGTCGCGTTGCTCTCGAAGCAACATTGCGAGTCAGCACTATGATGAAGAGATTCTTCATGAACAAGTTGACAAGCCATCGCAAGCTATCGTCGTGGTTGGTGGTGACAAGAAAGCCAACACGAAGAAGGAGCCATCCGGAAAGCTGATCGCCCAAGAGGACCGACTTGTCGGCTCGGTTCAGCTGCAGACGTACATCGACTACTTGGCCGCCTCGGAGTGGAATGGCTGGTACCTCTGCGGTGCGATTATACTGCTGTTCTCCGTGGCTCAGGTCACGCTCTTCTTCTCTGACTGGTTCTTGAGTCAGTGGTCTCAAGGCTCCATCGCATTGAGTCAGGACAACTCACTGGCCGTCTACGTGGGGGTTGTTGTGGGCGCCGCCCTCCTGGTCTTCGCTCGCTGCATCTTCTTCATGGAGATCTGCATGACCTGCTCGGTGAAAATCCATCTGAAGCATCTGCGCAAAGTGATAGCGGCCCCGATCACCACCTTCTTCGACATCACCCCCATCGGGAGGATCTTGAACCGATTCTCGAGAGACCTGGACGAGGTGGACAACCCGCTGCCGTACTGGGCTCTATGGCTGCTGCTGTGCGTCTTACAGGTGCTGTCCTCGTTCATCGTCTGTGCGGCGGTGAACCCGTTCGTGCTGATCATCTACTGCCCGGTGGGGTACGGCTGCTGGTTTGCGGCCAAGGTTTACCAGTCCTCGGCTCGGGAATTGAAGCGTCTCGATGGTGTCACCAGGTCACCGTTCTTAAACTTGATGTCCGAGACGATCTCCGGTATCGAGACCGTGCGCGCGTTCAAGATGATGGACACTTTTGCCGTCCGTTGCGAGGAGCTGCTCAACAACAACATGAAGATTTATTTCCTCTCGCAGACGGCGGCGAGGTGGTTCGACATGCGAGCAGACTGGTTCGTGTCGCTCATCATTGGCGTTGTCGCGGTGCTGGCCGTTGCTACGAAGTCGAGCGTTGGTGCTGCGGTGGCAGGCCTCAGTCTCACGTACGCGTCTCAACTGTCGTCCAGCTTCCAGCGGATGACCACGCTTTCGACTCGAGTTGAGAGCAGCATGACCTGCTTCGAGCGCATCGCCCACTACGGCTCGCTCAACGAGGAAGGACACGATCGGGCTGCGTCTAATCAGAAATCTCTGCCAGAAGACTGGCCCCGGACTGGTGCGGTTGTCTTCGAGAACGTCTCCATGAGATACCGTGACGACCTCCCTCTCGTACTAAAGGGAGTATCTTTCTCCGTCGCGAGTGGTGAAAAGGTCGGCATCTGCGGTCGCACTGGGTCTGGCAAGAGCTCGCTCATGAGCGTTTTGTTCCGCGTCGTGGAGATTCCAACGACTGGCCGCGTTCTCATCGACGGGGTGGACATCTCCACTATCACTGTGCACCAGCTCCGGACCAAGCTGACCATCATCCCGCAGGACCCGATGCTGTTCAGTGGTTCACTGCGAATGAACCTCGACCCCTTCGCTGAGAAGAGTGACGCAGAGCTGCATGAAGTGCTCCGCAAGGTGCACTTGTCCGATACAGTGGCTGGGTGGGGCAAAGGTCTTGACTACGAGGTAGCCGAGAAGGGCGAGAACCTGTCTGTGGGTCAGCGTCAGTTGCTGTGTATCGCTCGCGCGCTGATCCGAGACAGCAAGGTGATCGTGATGGACGAAGCCACCGCGAACGTGGACCAGGAGTCGGACAAGCTCATCCAGCAGACGATGAAGGAGAGCTTCGGCGGCGGAGACTGCACGGTGCTGTGCATCGCGCACCGCATCGAGACGATCATGGACAGCGACAAGATTTTGGTGCTGGATGGAGGGGAGGTGGTGGAGTATGATACGCCGTCGGCGTTGCTGCAAGTTAAGGGCGGTGTGTTCAAGTCCCTTGTGAGCTCAAGCAAGAACGTCCTGCCGTAGGTAGGGGGTCGGAACTACTAAGTTAAACGTTTGAGAATATTATTATAAGATGGCGCACTATTGTATAAACTGGAGTTTCACTCTTAAATTATCTACTCGCAGCGTGCTTGTTGAGCTCATTGTCACTATTTCGTACCCATGGAGAAACCCATTGAGCACCAGTTGCTGCGGCTTCATGTCCTTTTAGGCGATGATGAGCACCAACTGGATGAGGTTTACCAAGCTTTCCAGGAGATCGACAGGAGTGGCAAAGGCCAATTGAAGAATGTCGCGTACGTCGCGTATGGCTTCATTTGTGACGGTCATTCCCTGTGCAGCTAAACTTGTTTTTTATTTCATTCTAAGTGAACTTGAGTCGGTGCTCCGCGAATTTCTGTCCCCGAAGGATTTAAAGAAAATGTAAGACCCCGATACCTGCAAGTTTGTTCTATGACTGAGGGCTAATCGTACATTCGCTGTGGAATTCAGTGATGTCGAGAAGCTTTTGGCGCGTTTTCCTACCGCCAACAAGGGTTTCGACTATACAGCATTCTGTAAAGCTCTTCAGCAACCCCCTATACTCCAGCAACAGCAGCAACAGTCTGGTCGGCAATCTCCATCGAAGCGAAAACTTCGTAGCCCCACGAAGCTTCAACAGCGAGAGCAAGCTCGGATGCGGATTGACCAGCGATTGGAATCTCAGCGGCTGCTCATGGAGAGTGTTCGCCACAAACTCATCCGTGGAGTTGTGGGCGACGATAGCGACGGGTACCACGGGATTCAGAACGCCCTTCACCGCCTGGATGTTGCAGGTGATGGCTACTTGGACGCAAACGTGTTCATGAAAAAGTTCGTTCAGCGCCTAAAGTGCCCATTGACACGACCCGAACGAGAGTTGCTGCTTGAACAACTGCGAGCGCAGAGCACAGGGAAGGCAGAAGACGTTCTCGACTACGAGCAGGTAATCCGCGTACATTTTCCCACCCAGACCCTCACTTTTCAACTAATTGGTGGTCTTGCGGTACCAGTTAGGACGTATTTGCAACTTGAGTAGCGATGACTCCCTGTCAGAATCCGACACGGAGCATGAACGGCCAAAGCCACCGTCATCTTCAAAAACATCACAATTGGGGTCCGTCTTTCTAACAGCCGAAAAGCGCCTCACCGAGTTTCTTCGCTCTCCACTTGCCGCACGCAGCGTTTCGACTCCAAGTTCTAACCAAGTTGGAGATACCCCTCGGAGTGTGTTTACAGGTGCCGAAAGGTTTCTCGAAATCGCAGAAGGAATTGATCTCGAGAACACTGGATTGTTACCTGAAGAAGGTGCGCTTGCAGATTCGTTTTGGAGGTGAGGTTTACCAGTTACTAACGCTTGTCCTTCGCCCAGAGTTCCCGCGTATACTTGGCAAGTGCGGAATAAATATTGACCCCGAGCTCTTGAATGGCATGCTCTCACGCTTTCCCCGCTCGACGGACAATCAGATCAACTACACAGCATTTCTTCAGTAAGCACAACATTCCGTGGAGTATCTATCACCCAAACATGCCTGACTCGAGCCGGTGCTGATTCTGATGCTAGACGCTATGGGCAAAATCCGCAGTGCTCTCGGGGACGGCGGGAGTTGAAACAGCTTGTTCTCAACTTGCTGTCAAAGCTTACGGTCCCCACTGCGGACTGGCTGCGGTTTCTACTACATCGATTCGAGAAGTTCGACAAGAAGCTGCATGGCTCAATGAAAGGAGCACTTCCAACTGATGGTACGTAGTGCACATGTACCCCCCAACTATAAATCTCTCCATTATCACACACTGACGCAAGCATTCTTGATCTCACCAGCATTTCTTCGCGCAGTTCAAGGTCGCTCTGCTGTTCTGAAGCTGACCGTGGATGAGGCAGCACAGGTCACGTCGCTCTTCCTGCGGTCCTCTACAAACAGCTCACCGAAGCGTCTGCACTATCACGAGTTCCTTGTGTACGTCGCTACAATCCTAAACAGTTTGACCTTCCAGTCTTTCTAACCTTTCCATGATGTACGCTGCAGGTTTGTCAATGAATGCCACCGGACGCCTAAAGTTACAGCTCCACCAGCCATCGATACGAAGTCCGAGATTAAACAAATGCTGACGGCTCAACCTCCGCCACCAACCTCCCCTAAATCTACCGAGATCTCCCAACCCGAACGAGTATCTCCAGACGCAGCTTCCGAGCTCGACACTTCCGACATGTCAGTGGGCGACTACCTCATGTATCACGCCACCATCCAAGAACGACGCAACTTTGAAACCCTCATGGAGGTGCTGCAGGACTTCAAAAAGAAGGCGGCAAAAGGCGACCAAGACATTGCCATCCAACCCAGTGAGAACGGAGTCATGATGCCTTTAGGCAAAAACCTCCGCGTCAAAGTGCAATTCTCGCTGGCAGAAGCCCACGCCACAGCTTCATAGTGACAAAACAAAGTACACCCACAGCTTCTTTGGCTTCAGATGCCTATCCAACCCCACATCAAAATCTGATTATTCCTTACCTCGAGGCGAGTCGCCTAGCCCCATCTCCTCGCCGACACCCCTCCTCCTCCCATACTTTACGCCAGAGAATCTTCCACGACCCCCGTCCCACCTAAGAACACACCTCTTCATGTTTCTCCCAACTTCATTCTCGAACTCGCGCCGTCGGCCGCAGCGCTACCGCCCTCTATTATGGTGAACCAGCAGAAGAGCAAGTGCCAGCTGCGCCTCGAGGCGCGCTCGCGGCTCGCGTGCTGCACGCCGGCGTCGGCGTCGGACCTGGAGGCGCAGCTGCAGTCCCGCATCGCGCGCGCCGCCGAGGTCCGCGCCGTGCGTACGCGGCAACTTTCCGCGCGGGCGCGCGCGCGCGTTCAGCACGCGCAGGACGTGGCCAGGGGCATGCGCGTGAAGCGGCACGAGGAGACGCGCCGCACCCGCCAATTTTCCGCCTCGAAGCTGGACGAGGCCGCCAGGCGCCGCCACGAGCAGCTGGAGCAGCTTCAACTCCAGTGCAAGCAGCGCGCCGACCTCATCTCGGAGAAGGTGGAGCTCGTGCGCGCCGACCAGAGCGACCGCGCGGCCAGGGCGCGGCGCGCGCTCGCGGGGCAGCTGGACGACGCCGCGCGCCGCCGCGAGCAGCAGACGCAGCAGCGCGTGCGCCGCCTGAGCGCGCGCTGGCAGAGTGTGGAGAGCGTCAAGGACCGCGTGGCGCGCGCCAAGTTCATCCAGCGCTGGTTCCGGCGCCAAGTGGCGAGCCGCAAGACGGCGGCGGCGCTGAGGCAGGTGCAGCAGGACGTGGCAAAGGTGGTCAAGTGCTGGGGGCAGATGGCCACGGCGAGCTTCGAGCAGTGCATGACGCTGCTGCAGCAGCGCCCCGTGGTGCAGGCGGCGCAGAGGCTGCTCAAGGTGCTGACTGCGGAGGAGGTGCGGAAAGTTGCCTCCCCTCTCCCCGCCTCGCCGAATGGAGGAGGGCTAAGTTTCCGCGTGCTGATGATGGCCGGCATGATCTCGATCCACCCGAACGAGATCATGGGCCAGGACCCGTCCATGAGACTGCACTACGCAGCGAGTGTGATTCTGAGCGAGATGAAGAGCTTGTCCCAGTGTCTAAAGGTGAAGGATGATGGGTTCCAGAGCACCCAGGAGCTGACCAAGTGCGTGTCGAGGCTCTCGGCTAGGTTCGCGTTCTACATTGAAGCTTTCGCACGCTGGAAGGCGAGGGACGCGGAGCGGCTGGCGAACGAGTTGCTGGCGTCGTACAGGGAGCTGATGCTGGTGCAGAGGAAGTATGAGACGCAGGCGCAGGAGGCACAGAACGGCGTGGACGGAGTACACGAGCTGCTGCGACAGACGCAAGGGCAGTTGATGCAGATGCAAAGGGCTCTGGAGAGACTGCTGGGAAGGGATGGAGCGAAGCAGAAGGTGGAGGAGCTGGGGCAGAGCCTTAAGCAGGAGCAGGATGCTGGCGCTCAGTCAGTTGGGGCCGGCGTATCGGGTTCAGGTTCAAGTGGTGGAGGCAATAATGGTTCGTCCGATGATGACACGACTTTGTCTTCATCCCCGCCGATAGATTCAGGTGATGAAGGTGATCAGGGCAAGAAGGGGGATGATGACGAGGAGATGCAGGGCGATGACGAACCGGAAAGCAAGACGTCGAACGCAGTTCCGCCGAGTGTGAACCAGGCTCTACTGGCTGACCGGAAGCTGGTGCACGAGCTGATTTTGAACCCGCAGTTCCAGATTCCTCGGGATAAAGATGTCGAAGCGTCTGCAGCGGCCGTGGCATCGAAGCAGTCGGTGGCGGCGATGGCGGTCCGTGTTCGAGAAGCGATGACGAAGGCGTTCTGGGACCGCGTGATCGAAGCAAACGATGTAGAGACGCTTCTGGCTCGTACGGAAGAGCTCCGGACTACCTTTCGGGATGCTTTGGGAGGTGGAAGCGGCGCAGGTTTAGGCTCGGGACTTTCGGCGCTGGCAGACCAAGTGGACAGTGCATTGCGTCCGGACCAATTGCGAGAGCTGATGCAAGACCCCATGCGAAACGTTCACGCAATTCAAGCTCGGTGCAACGGTGTCCTGGATGCTATTGAGCGAACCGAGGCTCCGACCCGAGCCGAGTCCACGCGTGGATTCCGCTCCGACTGGGCCCAGCGAATTGCAGCTGGAGTCATGACACCGGTACAGTTGCTGGTGGCATTTTTGGCGTTCGCTTTGGATAAAGTGGATGAGCTACGCAGCGATGTACTTAACGCGCACCTGGGTCTCCTGGGTGCTTATCTGCAGCGGCACGGCGTCGAGTATGAGCAGAGACAACTTCAAGCGCGCTTGGCCGAAGCAGGAAGTTTTGAGGCGGGTTTCCCCATGACTGTGAAGTGGCTGGGTCTGGAGTTGGAAGCTTATCTGTCTCGCTCGGAGGTCAATGATGCAGAGCGCAGCCGACTGGCACGCTACGATGGGGCTGCTTTTGAGCGATTTGTGCGCGCGAGTATCTGGTCCCTCGTGGAGAAGCACATTGATGGTACCGCTTCACGTGCTTGGCCCGAGACTTTCGAGCTGGATATTCCTCGAATCCGTGCCTGGCGTGATGTACTTGACCGCATCGCTGTTGTGTCGAGTCTCCTGGCACTGGTGCAGGAGTACGTAGCTCGTCGCAGTCTGACTACACCTGTAGGGTTCTTCCAGGCAGTTGGCCAGCAGCTGAGCACCCTGCTTCGTTCTCCTGGTGTTTCCGGTGCGCAGCTAGCAGCCCAAGCGACCCAGGACGTTCGTCAGCTAGAGAGCTCCCGAAGTGAATATGCTCAACAGGAGCTCGAAGCTCTCGAGAAGCGTCTGCTCGGCTCATTCGCTGCCGACAACCCTGTCTTCAAGCTCTTCTTCTCGCGTGCGGCGCGTGCATTCGAGACTGCGCTGCTCTCAAAGGGAAGCAACTCGAACGACCTGCACCCGTCGCTAGCTCCGTTTGCAGCCGAGATCACCGAAGCGACCTCAGTGCTGCGTCACCTGGCCAAGCACAACGAGAGCGTGTACGCGTCACTGTACAACAGTATCATCAAGACCCTGGTACCAGCCCCCTAGGCTGCTGCTAGTTTTGGGCCGCGAAGCAACGCGGCCTCTTTGGACCGTTCTGTAGGTTTGGTCACTATTTGCGAAAAATATCTGTTTCTGGTCTTCTCGTCACTCTTTGCTCTTGTCTTCCTAGCTCCAGTCTACCTGTACGTCCTTGTCATGCCGCCGCACTGGCCAGCCTAACTGGAGAGACGTGCTCCCTGGACCGCCCCAGCGCCCACACTAGCGTCCGTGCTGATGTTGTACAGCAGCTGCGCCAGCCAGCGGCTAGTCGTGGCGTCCTCCTTGAGCGCCTCGTCAAACGTGTGGTTACGCAGAGCCTCGGGCAAGCACTGACGGAGCGCCTCCTTCGCTCTGTAGCAACACAATAAGCATTACCATAACCAAGAAAAGGTTAGGATAGTGTTAACCATGAGTAGAAAAGTTTTAGAATTGTGCGTATCGTACCGCGGGTTGTCCGAGAGGCGCAAGTAGCAGCGGATGATGTGCTTGAGCAGGCGAGGGGCAGGCGCCTCCACCAGCACCGCCACCATCTTGCTGAGCACCGTGCCCACGGCGTAGAACCGCTCGGGCGTGTGGCAGATGTACGTGAGCCCCATGTCGTCCAGCAGGATCTTCTGCACGATGAACGTGGCCACCGTCTTGGACAGCTCGCTGCCGGCCTCCATGATGCGGAGGCACAGCGGGATGATCTCCGTCTGCAGCAGGAAGTTGATGACGTCCGAGTCGTCAATCTACAAAACAGCAACACAACTTTAAGTTAAGCTTAACCTTCTCTCTAAAGTGCAACACCCCTCAAACTCTTTAAGTTTACCTTAACCAGCGCGCCAATCACGCCGAGACTCGTCAGCCGCAGATACTCGAACGGGCGATTCTTGCTCACCGTGTTCAGGAACGGATACAGGTACAGCGGGATGTGCGCTGCATGCAACAAAGGCAACAACGGTTAGCACTACCTTATCCTCCTTATCCTTCCCCTTAACCTGCAGGTTAGCACTAGCCTAACCGTACCATTGAGAAAGTGCGTGCGCGTCTCCGAGTGCGAGGCCACGCACTGCAGCAGCGCCAGCGCGTTGCACACGCGGTTGGAGGCGTGCGCCGTGAGCTGCGGGGGCGAGAGCAGCGGGTAGATGGCCACGATCTCCTGCAGCAGCGCCGCCACCGTGCCGAACGAGTGCCAGAGGATGGGCGCCAGCTCCGGGAACTCCTCGCGTTTCTTGCTCAGCTCCAGCAGCGCACTCTCGCGCTGCTCGGGCGACGACAGCTCCAGCACCAGCGCGTACAACTGCTCCTCCATGGTTTTAGGGTGCAGACGAATTGGCAACACGAAGGATAAAAGGATAGGGGCTCGGATTGTTCGCCACGTCAAGTTGAGGTGGTGTACACGAGGAAGTGTGATAGATCTAAATTAGATATACCTTTTTTTGGATCAACCGCGTCCCAGTTCGTCTCCTATAGTTTATTTACGAACATAAGAATAGACAGACTCTCGCTACCAAACCGGGACCATGAACGAGGTCAAGTTCTACGTCGTGGTGAGCAGCTTCTGGGGCATCTGCTCATCTGCTCGTCGGTCTCCCAAGCCCACACACTCAACGCGGCGGGGTGAGCGTATCTTCGGCTGTCGAGCCTTGGCCGAAGCCGAGTTCATGCTGGGGGCGCGCGGGTTCGTGGTGGACCCAACCGGAGGATTAAACCCCGACGACGGGCCAATGACGAGGATCCTGTGCACAGGGAGACGCTCATGATCTTCTCGGACAGTGAACTGCTCGCGAACGCGATGAATTGGTGGGTGATCGACTGGATGCGCGACCGCTGGGTCACGTCCTCGCGTTCTCCGGTCAAGAATCGGCTGCTGCTCAATACTCGTGGGAACACCCGGACAGTGCGCTTCGAGCACGTAAAGACTCGAGCTGTTATTAATACTGGAGACTGGAAGGCCAGCTTGATTGATATAGCAGGAAATGCGGCCAGATATGCTACTCGTGCGTTGGTGCAGAGCTCCAGGTCCAAGACCGCAGCTCTGTATGATGCCGGAGCACGCCGCAATCTTTGGCGGACCGCAGAATATCCGATCGTACAGAGATTGCCAGAAGCCGCGTGGGAAGGATCTGTCGGAGGGCGAGGACGCAGCAGCGGCCTGAGCCCTGCAGACGGAGGCAAGCCAGCTAGCGCCGTACCAAACAAGCCGGCACGACCACGTGAAAGAAAAACGTGGGTAACGAGGGTATTGCCACCTGCGCCACTTGACCCAAGCAAACGCGAAAGTGAAGTCAGCGCCTGTGCTCGCACATAAGAAATAAGTAAGACGTGATAGCATTGCTTAGGTTCCGAGCGATTTACGTACCGAAGTGTACCACTCGGGCGGCGAGTGTGAGCAGCGTCAAGCCATCAGCTTGTCTTGAATCAACGGCATGTGGGTCTCCAGCACAAACGCGAGGTGGTGTAGGATGCAATTTCGCTGTACGAAAACCACCATTACGAGGAAAGATAATAATTCCAGCAGGGCGTAAGCGAAGACCGCTTGAACCTTTCCTTCGACGTTGTCGCTGGTGATACCGGTCATCTCCAGGTGATACCGAGAACTAGGCAAGTGCACCATAACCATGATGTAATGTGCATACAAAAGCGGAGCGACTGCTTCCAAGTACTCCGAGAGCACCAGACACTCCGACGTAAAGAGGAGTTGGAGGAACTCCCGCGATGTAGAAGGCGTTAAAGAAATCCACTGTGAAAATGACCCCCTCTGGCATTAGGTCTTGCATCCGATGGAAGCTAAGCGAGACGATGTTCTTCATGATAACTTTCAATGCGGGAATGAGAGCAACGGCCAAAAAAAAGGTCGTACCCTTTATCAGAGGCAACTCGGAATAGTATCTGGTACGTTGGATAAATCACTGACATGAGTGTTTGTGCAGCGAGAAATACAGCAAAGTGAAACAACTGTCGTTTGTGCTGGAGAATCTTGCACACAGCTTGGCCACCAACCGCAAAATAAAACAAAAAAGCGAGAACAAGCAGATATGGCAGAGTCATGGTGATGCTCATGAACGGAATCGGGAAGAAAATGTGCTTGGCAACGACTACACACATTGCTGTATAGGCTGCCATGGCGGTGACCAAAATCGCGGCAAGCTGCCGCGTTGAAATCTCGACATCGTCAACCAAATGCTGCAGCTGGACAATGATCGTGTGGGTCACGACCCCAGCCACAACTCCGGCTCGGACCCAAATGCCAAAGTTTGCGCGCCATCCGTCCTTTGGATCTTGCAGTGGCACGGATTCTTGGGACAGAACGAGGATTATCACTGGCACTGGCGTTACCAAGCAGACGAACAAAACTCGGGCCAGCGAAGTGTTGCGGACGTAGTCGTCCAACGCAAGGAGCCGTTCAATCGAGTATTTACCACGATGACTGATTTGGGTGAACAACCACGCCTCCTTGACTGCGCCCAACACCCGCAAAATCTTCTTGGAAGTCGAGGGGATGCGGATCCATCCAAGACTTCACGTGCAGACATCATGGGGCAGTCTTGAGCTTACAATCAGGTGGCGGTGAGAATATGCTGTGACTCTCATCAAACTAATTTAGACGCGATGCCCACCTTCCAGTCTATTTATTATTCGTCGGCAGTCTCATCGTCACTGGTGTTAATACATTTCTGTCTTGCAGTCAGCGACCGTCATCATTTGTATCATGAGCTGATTGCAAACACACTGGACGGGTTCCCTAGGGAAAGATATGTCGGAGGGCGATTGGCTTTGTTAGTTAACGAGATAGTTGGCTTCATTGAAGACAAGCGCGGCATTTCGGCCCCCATAGCCACACAGTACTTTATGTCAAGATGTCCTTGATTACCGAGAAAAACCGCTGCCTGCGTGGTCTTCAAGTCTCCATGACTCCAGTCTCATGGTTCGATGGTTCAATTCCACGCTGGTGTAGAGATTTTTGGGTTTTAAGTAGTCGGGGCTTCTCACTTCACGCTAACCAAGCGAACTGGAATGTGAAGTCGAAACCTAAATACAAACAAAAGAAGGAGTTAGTTCATCATACAGATCATCGCACCATAGTCATACTGTACTCATACGAACCGAAGTGCACAACTCGGGATGTAAGCGTCAGAAGTGTCCACGTCATCAACTTATCTTGAATAAGCAAGGCATGAGTTTCCAGTACAAACGCGAGGTGATGAAGTATCTTTATGCCGCATCTCCGTTGCACGACAAGCACCATCACCAAGAACGATATAAATTCCAGAAGTGCGCAAGCGAAGACCGCTTGGACCTTTCCATCGACGTTATCGCTGGTGATACCAGTCATCTCCATATGATAGCGGGCACTTGGCAAGTGCACCATGACCATGATAAAGTTTGCGTATAACAGCGGAACGAATGATTCCAGGTACTCTGAGAGCACGAGGCATTCCGAGGTGAATAGAATTTCGAGTGCTTGGCGGAGCTCCGACCGTCGGAATGGGCCAGCGGTGAAGCCATTCGGCTTTGTGCCGAAACTTGAGCGCTTGTTTGAAGCGGTTGTTACCTGGATAGGCTGTATCGTGGCACTCCGCCGACTACCACAATGCCACCGCCGTTTTTTCGTGATTTTTGCGGTCTCTTTACTTGTCGAAATTCTGCCAGAAACGTAGCTGATCGATGATCTGGTGTGTGGCTGGTATCCTGGATATTTGGCGAGCCGTTCGAGAAGATCTTCACCTGCACCTGAAAGTCGATAAGCGAGGCAGGATCGGAGTTGGATGCCGGCGCAATTTTGCGTCTCGAATTCGTTGGAGTCTCGACAGAGTAAACACGCCGTGTGCACCAGGTCAAATCTTCTAGGGTCGTTGTTTTGCAGAGCTCCTGCCTTCTGGAGCAGCGCAATTATATTTACTACCCCCTGGTGAAGGCTGTCCATCGCTAGTACAGTATTGAACAAGTCGACTGCCATAATGACGATTACGGTCGTTGTCGATGACGCGTTCTGCATACTCGTCGCGGTGTAGAAGGCGTTAAAGAAATCCACCGTGAAGATTACCCCCTCCGGCATCAGGTCTTGCATCCGATAGAAACTCAGAGAAACAATATTCTTAAGGATGATTTTTAAGATAGGAAGCAGGGCAATGACCAAAATCTCCAGTCCACTGTCAGCAACAGCTTGGAAAAGGGCTTGGTGTGCTGGATACACTAGCAGCATCAGTACTTGAGCTGCAATCAGTACAGCGAAGCGGAGTATCTGTCCTTGATGGCGTAAAATTTGGCGGACGATCCTCCCGCCAACGACGAAATAAAACAAACAACCGAGAAGAAGTATATATGGTGGGGTCATCGTGATGCTCATGAACGGGATCGGGAAGAAAACCTTGTCGGCGACGACTATCGACGCTGCTGGATAGCCCAGCGCCATAACTGCTAAAATCACTGCAAGCTGTCGTCTCGACATTGCCACGTCGTCTACCAAGTGCTGAAGCTGACCGAGAATTGTATGTGCTACAACACCAGCCACAACGCCCGCACGGATCCAAATGCCGTAGTTCACGCGCCAGCCTTCAGCAGGATCCTGGAGTGGCACCAATTCTTGGGAAAGAACGAGCGCTATGACTGGTAACGGCGTCGTTAAGCAAACGAAAATCACCCGAGCCCACGATGCGCTTCGGACGTACTCGTCCAGCGCGACAAGTCGTTCAATCGAGTATTTACCGCGATGGCTAATCTGGGTAGTCAGCCAAGCGTGCTTTAATTTGGTAGCTACGGCTCTCCACCTCCAGGAAGACGGTGCCGTGTGAGAGGCGTACGAGGGTCCAGCCAAAACGTCAGGCGCATATGAAGAAGCGAGCATAGCGTTTTGAACGAGGTCCTTCTTGATGTCTTGTGGTCTTCATCGAAACTAATTTGAGCTTTCTATTTTGCACAAGTCTAGGTGTCGACTTCAGATTTGGTTGGTGAACCATAGCATCATGTTTAAGCCAGACTTTTAGCAAAAAGTAGTCCAGCGGTACGGGACTCTATACATCATTTTATGCTTCAAGTTCTTTCATGAAACTATGCTTTTGAAGCATGTCTAGACGAAGTGCCGTATAGCCTTCGATTTGTCACTTCTTAAGCCAAGCAAACTAGAATGAGAAGTCAACGCCTGGTTGCAAGCAACAGAGAGGGTTAAATTGGAGGTTTTGCTGAGGAATACGAGAGGAATACGACAATCTAATCAATGTACGTACCAAAGTGCACAACGCGCGAGACAAGCGTGAGCAGTGTCCACGTTATCAGCTGATTTTGAATAAGCCTCATGTGGTTCTCCAGCACAAATGCGAGGTGATGAAGTATCTTCACGCCGCATCTTCGCTGCAGTACAACTACCATCATCAGGAAAGATACAAATTCAAGGAGGGCGTAGGCAAAGACCGCTTGGACTTTTTCGCTGACGTTATCGTGCGAGATACCATCCATTTCCAGGTGATAACGGGCGCTTGGCAGGCGCACCATGACCACGATATAGTTTGCGTATAGGACTGGGACGACCGATTCCAAGTACTCGGATAACACGAGGCACTCCGAAGTGACGAGAAGTTTCAATGCCTCAAGGAGCTCCGAACGCCGCCGCGTTTTTTCTCTTGGCGTGATCACATCCAGACTTTTGCGCTTGGGTTCGACCTGGTTTCGCACAGTTGGATACACTACGGCACTTTGCCCGCTACCGCAATTTTCGCTCGCACTGTGATAAATTCTCTTCGCCAGTTTGTGGACTTTGCCTTAATTTTCGTGATCATCTTCCTCACGTTCTCCTTCATCGGAAACAGTTTATTCGGCAAGCAAGTGCTGCAGTTCTCCATGGCCTCTAACTCAATGGAGTCGTGTATGAACATGCTGTTTGGAGAATTTGACTACAACAGTATTCGATACATCACCGGCTCCGGTGTGTTCTATTGGACTTGCATGGTCGTTGTGAGCCTGATCCTTCTGAACATGATGTTGGCCATCGTCATGGGGTCCTACAAGAACATGAGTAAAGAAGGCTACAATGGCGCTGGGAGTCGGCTGCTCTTCAGCCGATTAAGACACGACCCACCAGATGAGCTGCGGGATTGGTTTCGTAAGCTGGGGCTTTCGAAGAATCACTAGACCAAGTGAAGACGACAAAGAGGCTGCGAACGAGTTTGACGAGATGGGCGAGTTATCGCCCTCACAGGGTTCTTCGGTTAGGTCGAGCGCATGGGGTTGCCACCTCTGCTCCGAGTGGAGATCGCCCGTGATTTCTTCCAGACCGCCGGCCTCTTCTTCGCTGGGCTCTTTGTGCCCGTGATCGCGTATTTGTCGGACTCGGACATTGGCAGCGGTATGCGCAAGATTCTGTGGGGGTTTAGCCGCTTCTACGACGTCTTCGTCGTGGACGTGTCGTCCTTCTTGCAGAACCCAATGACAGCTACCAACGTGTTCGTGGTGTTTCTCATCCTGGGGATTCTCGCAGTGTGGGTGAGCTACTTGTGGTTCTTGAAGACGGGAATGCACATGCACAGTCGAGTTGAGGAGCTGCGGCACGGACACGAAGCCACGATGTGGGCGGCGCTGGCAGTGAGGCAAGCCACGCGGTTCAAGATGTTCACGTACATCATCACGGCGTGCTTGACGGTGTATCTGCCGCTCACTCGGCTGTGTCTGGACGTGATCGCCGCCAGTGCCGCGCCCAAGATGGACTACGAAGACGCTCACTACGGCGCGACGGATCTGGTGATTACGAGGATGAAGGACGGCTCTGGCTGGTGGCTGGCAGTGACGATGGCCGTAGTGATCTGGGGTAGCTTTACATTTACGCTCCCTTGCATGGTCTACAGAGCGATCAAGAAGAACAAGCCCACGGGATCCCACGAAAACGCGAATATGACCCACAACTTGGACGGAGAGAAGGTCGAATTCACGGACAAAGTGTACGCACAACTCGTTGCGAAAGACCCCAGTCAACTGCGCTGTCCCTATCAATCACTATACGCAGGCTTTGGTCAACGCTCTAGCCACTACAAGGTCGTGCAGCTCGGTGTGAAGATTTCTTTGGCGTTTCTGATTGTGTGTACGACGCGTTCGAGCGCTGGGCTGCGTGGGGGTCTCATCTGCACACTCTATATCTTCGTGGTGATCTTCACCGTCAGAGGCAAACCCTTCACGGACCCCATGAACAACGTCCAGGAGATCAGTTCCAAGATAGCGGCCTTCACCACGTGCTTCTGCGCTGCAGTGATCATCGGTCCAAATTCGCTTCGAGGCTGGGGAGGGGTTGCGGTTTTCGTGCAGGTTTTGAACTTGATCGTCATGGTCTCGGTGATAATGCTCGCCATGAAGCGAACCCGACTCTGGATCAAGGATACAACCGGGTTCATGTCATTCAGCGACACTTCCCGAGGAATCGAAGACGCTCGAGCGGTGGACATCGTCCCCGAATGGAACCCGGACAAGGAGGTGAAGCATCGGGTGTGGCAGGCCTTCTGGCAGGCGACGCTGCTGGAGATAACGGAGCCGAAGCTAGGAAATGACTATTCGGGTGTCACCATTGCTAATCGGCTAGCAGACTTGGAGCAAGCGGTTGTAGCTTCAGGGGCTCATCGTGTTGTCTCGCACTGGAAAGGGGAAGAAAATCCGTACACAGTTCGTCCCGTCGAGCAGTTCTGGATGTTCTTGAAGGTGTGGACGTGTTTTGGGGAGATGTGGACGCCCCGCGTAATAGACACTCGGGTTTTGGCAAAATGTACGTCAAGCCGTACCCGTTCCACTGCATCATAGTCTACGACGACCGCATTCAAACTGCAGTGGGTGACGCTGAAGCAGTGGAAGGGGAAGCGTCGAAGGATGTGATAACACTGCGGGATGACTACGACCTAAACGACAGCGCCAGCACACACCGGAACTTGGCAAAATTATTTTTTCTTAACTTTTCACCAAGGATTATCACCAGATGTGAAGTGAGGCAGAAACTACGAGCACTTAGTGCGCTTGCCACCAGCATCCGGTTCCCCTTCGTCCAAGAAGAAGAAGTAACGCTAGAAGACGGCATCTGTGAAGTCAAAAGGTTCGGGAAAACCTACACGGAAACGAGGATGACCAAGGTCAAGTTCAAATGTTACTACACTTGGGGCGTCATTCGCGTCGAGACGGAGTGGGACGGCCACGGCAAAACCCCTCGCATTATGGCTGAAGAGTTTAGCATCTCCATGACGTATCGAGACGGCCAGGGGGATGCCGTGGCGCCAAACACTGGCATCGTCCACAGTCTCAAACATCGAGAGACCACGAAAGGCCCAGAACATATCGGACTCACCGCAGACATGGAGGAAAGTGAGGAACTACACCGAATTTTCTCGCAGACTGAGCCCGACTGGAAGGCTGGCGTCAACAAGCTTCGGTCTCAGGATCAGCAGTATCGGCGGCGACTGGAGGAGAAGCATCGGAGAGGAAACGAGACACTGAGCGACGGCTTCTGGCACGAAGTCTACAACCAGCCGCACCTCCCGCGTAGTAAGCTGGAACATCATTTGCGCGTTCGGGAGATACACCCCAAGTTACGTGGGCTGCCACGCACTCACGCTGATGCTCTAGACGCGCTTTATCTGCGACTGCGATACATTTATTCCCACCCGGCCGTCACGTTCTGGTATGTCTTCTGGGACGACGTGTATGCTCGCAATGGAGAGATGAAGCGGTTAAAAGACCACAAGGCTCTACTGGATCGAATGGAGCGAACTAGTTTGTGTTATCGAGTCATGAAGCGAGACGAGCTTGAAGCGTGCTTGGAGGCCCGCCGATTATTGGGGAGGAAGGCGTATTTCGTGCCGAGACTGCTTCAACTCCGACTTGAACTCGTGGACCCGACCAAAGTTCATCTGCCGCAAGGTCTCTTCGAACCGAAAATCCTCGATCTGCTGTACAACACGCTCAACAAACACATTGAGGCGGCAAAACAGGGCAAAACCACTTCGGAGATTGAAGGCGAACAGGCCAAGGAGAAGGAGGGCAAGTCGCTCGACATTCGGGAGCAAGTGCGAAACGTTTTCCATATTGGGGATCATAAGAGGATGAGCAACGAGGCGCTGCAGACGTTGAGAAGATAGGTTACTTTAATTAGTTTCATGCAGGTTGTTGCTGTCAACCTCTCCGATCAATGTGTCAGAAACAATGGACGGACCTTCATACCACGCTCCGCGCCCACCGCAAAGATCGGTATGCAGAGCAGTGAGTTTCGTGTGGCAGGCTATGCAATTCAGCCATCATGGGAGATATTCAATCGAGAGACTCATCGCGCTGGACGAGTACACCCGAAAGACCTCATGGGCTCGCGTAGTTATCGTTTGCCTGGTGACGCCACTACCAGCCATAATATTCGTTACCTCCCTAGAGACTATACCTCTACAAGATCCGGCTGAGGGCTGGCGCGTCAACTACGGAGTATGGATCCGAGCTGGAGTCATGTCTGGCGCTGTGTCCCATTCGGTTCTCGTCCAGCTTCAGCACTTGGTGGACGACGTGGCCATGTCGAAGCGACAACTTGCTGCGATTGTAGCCATTATGATACTGGGGTATGCAGGGATGTCAATACTCATCGCTGACCAGGTTTTCTTCCCAATTCCCTTCTTGAACTTCACGATGACTGTCCCGTTCCTCCTCCTTTTTGGCTGTGCATTTTATTGTGTGGTTGGTGGTGAAGGTGTTCGCCAGATCTTGCAGCATAAAGAGCAGCTACTTCGCTTTATCGTACTCTTTGCGTCCCAAACGCTGCTGATGGTCATTTATCCGGCGTACCAAGTGCTGTTCCAAGCCGCTGCTAACGGCGGATGCGAACTTTTGGTGGTAGCGCTTTCGCCCATTGTGAAGCTAATCATGAAGAACATCGTGTCGCTGAGTTTCTATCGGGCGCAACTGATGCCACAGGGGGTCATCTGCACGGTGGATTTCCTTAGCGCAATTTTCATCGCTGCCAGTATGCAGAACGCGTCATCCACAACGACTGTGGTCCTCATTATGGCTGTGGATTTGGTTAATACGATGCTAGCGTTGCGTGGCCTACGACGGCGTATCCACCTTAGTTGAACAACTCGAGAAGTGCTCTACGTCCGCCTCCCAGACCTGTATGGAGAACGGCAATCAACACAATGAAACAAGCGTTCCTGGCCGTGCAGGTTAGCCATCACGGGAAATACTCGATCGAGAGGCTGATCGCGCTGGACGAGTACGTCCGAAAGACCTCGTGGAGGCGCGTAATTTTCGTGTGCCTAATAACGCCACTACCAGTGATAATTCTCGTCCTCTCTCAAGAATCCGTGCCGCTGCATGACCCAGCTGAAGGTTGGCGCGTGAATTATGGAATCTGGATCCGCGCGGGAGTTGTATCTGGCGCTGTGTCCCATTCGTTTCTCGTCCAGCTTCTTCACTTGGTGGATGATGTTGCAATGTCGGAGCGACAACTTGCAGCGATTGTAGTAATGGTGGTGTTGGGCTACGCAGCGATGTCGATACTCATCGCTGACAAGATTTTCTTCACGATTCCGTTCATGAACATCACAATGACTGTCCCGTTCTTTCTTCTTATTGTATCTGCATTTTATTTCGTGGTTGGCGGACACGCCGTCCGCCAGGTTTTGCAGCACAAAGGGCAATTGTTTAGCTTTTTCGTACTCCTTACGTCTCAAACTTCGCTGATACTTATTTATCCAGAGTACCAAGTGCTGTTCCAGGCTGCTGCTGACAATGGATATGAACTTGTGGTGGCAATTCTCCTCCCCGTCTTGAAAGTCATTATGAAGAACATCGTTTCACTTAGTTTCTTTCGGAGACAAGACTTGATGCCCGAAGGGGTCATCTTCACGGTGGATTTCTTCAACGCCTTTTACATCGCTACGAGTATGCAGAACGCGTCGTCTACAACGACAGTAATCGTCATTATGGCAGTTGATTTATTCAATACGGCAGTCGCGTTGAATGGCCTTCAACGAGGAACATCACGAATAATTGCCCTACTCCACAAAGCAGGAATATTGCACAGCACCGACCCTCGGCACTTCGATTTGCTCCACTCTGCTAGTTTACTCTGTCAGAGCTCCGAGGAATTCGAGACGCGAAACCGCTCCGGCATCCGGCTGCGATCGTGTCTCCCTTACCGACTATCGACTGCAGGCAACCTCCTGGAACATCTTAGCAATTATCAAGGGTATCGAGCTCAGTCCGTGTCGTCAATAAGCCAAAGCTTAGCTCAAGTGGACAGTGTGCGTAAAGCCTCGAAGAAACGACGACACAGGGTGGTGTACGTCCAAGTGGTTTAGAGGGTGACGAAGTTGTTCAGCGCGTACGTGTCGAGGTAGTGCGTGTATTGTTAGTTAGTCAGCCGCGTCGGCTGCTACGAGTTTATCTAGTTAAATAAAATTGGTTGCGTTGCCAGTCGGGCACGCGCCGGCGGGGTATCGGAAGGTTCGGTACCAACGGCCTAACGAACCTTGGCTGAAGATCAGCACTGTGACGACCTAACTCTCGCGTGCGGAAACAACCAGCACGCTGCAGTTATACCACCCCTAGCTCGGTCAATTTCTCTGTTGCAGCGGCTGCATAGTGGCACAAAGCGGTGTCAATGATATCCAGTCCTTATTGGGCCAAGTGGAGGAGGGTCGTTTAATGTGGGCTTTGCCTGCATTCCCCACTCGTCTAAATCGTTATTGTGTAATGTTCGATTGGATGCTAACATCTAGTAAAATTTGATGTAGCAATTGAATGACCGTTCTGCATCTAAAGCGTTAGCACGAGCAGCAGCGCGTGCAGTTTCCGTTTCATGGTCTACATGTAGAAGCCTTCTCGAGTCTGCTCCGCATGCACACAGTATTTGCAGACGCTTTGTAGGCGGCGTGGCCTCCAAGAGCTGCATCTTTATACAGTATCCTTCCTAATCAACGTTGCGCTCTTGCCTAGTTTACTTGTACGAAGGTCGGCTGCGGATATTGGAGATAGTAGTGATTTCGAGGCACGCTTACCTCTCCTACATCTAACAACTAGTCTCAAACACTACGGCGACGGGAAAATCGAGCCACTATGGAGAAGCCGCAATGACATCATGTAAAGGGCCCATTTATAAGTAGGTAGAAGTTACATAGGTACATACACAAAAGTAGGTGCAGTCACACGGCTAGCGTGTCACCTGCTGTCATGTTCTGATTGGTTGAAAGTGGGGAGCCAGACCCATTTCATCCAATCAGGTGCAGACTTAGATTTGAGTGGTTTACAAGACTCCGTCCCCGTCCCATACATAAACAGAGTTGATTTTACCCTAAAGACAAGACTTGAGCTTATTATTGCAAGCTTCCTCGCAAGCTTCCTCTTATCCACAGTATATGCTAGTGACGGTATCTCTTACCCCGTTACACATCAGCGTACAGTCAATATCACCGTGTTATCCAGGGTTGCATACTAGCTAAGTTCGCAACACGAACTATGTAAACTGGAAAAAAATATTTACTGGCTCAGTAGATTCGATTGACACATCAGTGGGGGACAACTCAGTACATACCTACTGGATTATCCTGGTAGTGCTACTCTATAGTACAAGAAACCCAATAGGGATTAATTCGGGGCTTCAAATATGTGGTCCACAGAAAAGTAGGTATCGAGCCAATACAAATTTCAAGTGTAAGGGTCTTATAAATCTAATAATTTTTATCAAAAACACATATCGGCTGATTTACACGAGTTTTATTACAAAGCATCGCAGGATCCGATCGCTCATGTTAGAGACTATGGGTTTGAATTGTTAATTGAACGTTTACGTAGGTGTATTGCCTTACGAAGGTCTATTCGTTGAGGCGAGGCGGGTGAACGCCTTTATCGTCCAGGGTGTATAGCGCACTATGCCGGACCGAATGAATTCGGGTTCGGAGTACCAGAGATTGTCCACGCGATAAGCAGCCCACGGGACACTAAATGACCCGGGCCTGGAACCGCTTGGACGCACCGAATCGCACTAATGCGGCCCGGTGTTTGGCGTGTGTGCTTGTGTCAACCCCTATAGGTATCGTTTACCTTTGGCGGACCGGATTGCACCGAGTTGAGTTGTTGCGATACAGAATAAAGTCTGCTGGGTGTGTTCCTGGGATGAACCACACCGAATGAACAGAAGGTCAGACCGAATGAAAGGGACCACAGTTAGATCCGTAATTCAAAATAACCAACACACAGAAATAGAATGCCGAGCTGAACGTCACAAAATATACAGCCACCACTTGTAACAGGGTTACACGCACAAGTGGCTACAGTCACTTGTAACTCTAACCGACGCGACGTCTGTTAGAGGTTTGAAAGACTTTCTCGACCTCGGTGTAGACACACCAAATGCTACATACATTTAGAATCACCACGATGGGTGGTCCATAGAGACTTAGGATTCCTATTGGCTGAAAGCAGCATCTTTTAGCCAATCAGCGACATGCACAGCATTGGAATTCTGCCAACCAGCCGTTGGCAGATTCCTAGTTTAAAATATTACATTTAGAGGAAGTCAGAAACATAAAACAAAAATAGCAGTTCTCATTTTAACCCAAAAACATTATTTGGATCGTTTATTTAGATTAATCTATACTCGGAGGCCCGAGTATAATTAACTCTAATTTAAACTAAGCTACGCTTCCTCACATACACGCGCACACGTGTAAGCTAAAGTAGTGGGCCAAAGTAGGCCAATTACACCTGGTAGCACTTTGTAGTCCGTCCAACGACCGACTACCTGAGTTCGTACGTCACCGCACGAACGCGGAGCTGAGAACCTTCCCATGGATACAGAGGTGCCCATGGAAAGCTCCACTACGCCTGCAACTCACGTTGCACGCGCTGACTGTCCCCACCTGTCGGATCCGGAGTGGGAGGCCCTCCAACGACTGTCATCAGTCATTGGTGAGGCGGCTGTAGCTACGATGCTGCGTACGCTAACGCCGACAGAGCAACACGGTGTTGCTCAGGGTTTCATCCTGAAGGAGCAACGCGATGTTGCTGCTACTACCGCGGTGTCGTCCGGGACGACACCACGCGCGCAATCGCTAAAGCTCAATGTGAGTAACTATGTCGGAAGAGAAGGCGAGCCTCTCCTCCGTTGGCTTGTCGATCTCGACACTGCCATTGCGGCTCGACGTATCGTCGACCCGTTGTCGAAGGTTGCGTTCGCCATGTCATGTCTTGGCGGACGTGCCTATCTCTTCCGTGAGTACCCGAGTACTCTCGAAGCTGCAATTACTCTTGCAATGCAGGAGGAGTTTAGCCTGCGGCAGGCTAAGCTGCATGCACATGTGGCGAGGCCACAGCCACGCCCGGTAGTGAGGACGGGAGGCCCAGAACCCATGGACCTCTCGAGTGCTGCAACTGCTGGACCCCAGTAGTCACAGGGAAACAATGTGCGATGCTACCGTTGCGGTAGAGTCGGTCACTTTGCTCGGGAGTGCACGGCCCCCGTGCACCAGCAGGGTGGATATCGCGGCGGTGCCGGGCACCGTCGCAACCAAACAAAAAACGCTGGGCATCAGTAGACGCGGGGCGCCCTACTGGTAATGCAGTTCCGCGTGTCGACCTTGGACACGCGACACTGAGGACTGCAGCCCCCAGTGAGGTTCATTCTCACTGCAAGAACCAAGATGACAAGCCTGACCTTGTCATCCTGAACGTGAACTCGATGAGAGCAAGCAGCTCACTCCGTGCTTTGGTAGATTCTGGCGCGTCGAAGAACTTTGTTCAACTGCGAAGTCTATCAAGGCTTAACTTCGAGGATTTAAAGATACCTCGAAGTATGTTGGAGGTACGACTGACAACGGGTGCCGTCGTGAAGACCGAGAAGCGCATAGTACGCGTGCGCTTCACGTATAAAGATCAAGAGTTTGTCGAGACCTTTATCGTCCTGGATCTGGACGATAAGTTTGACATTGTATTGGGCATGCCGTGGCTTGCACGGCATGATCCGGTCATCGATTGGCAGAAGCGCACTCTCGTGCGCTTCGGTCGCGACAGCGGAACAGTGAGCGATGGCCCTGTTGCCGCTACGCACGCATCGACAGGTACGCGCGACTCCCCCCTCGAGACAGCGCCTAATACCGCTGTCCCGGAGCGCCCTGGGCGCGCGCGAGCACACGCCCAAGAGCAGCTAGCGTCGGCGTTGCCGCCGACAGCTAATGATGGAAATGTGTTGACCTCGGAGGTCGACACCCGCTTTTCAGCGAATCAGGAAGAGTCTCCGGCCTCAAGGGGCACGGATGACGCAGGCGAGTCACACGCCTCAGCCGTGGAGGCTGACGCGAATCTGATTGGATCAGGTCTGGCCAATAATAAGAGCCAAGGTGACGAAACGCCGTCGACTCCGGGAGTCGTTGGCTTGAGTGAATTTGATTCGTCGGCTCGGGGAGCCGACGCACCCTCCGTAATGGGGGTCTCCGCCAATGGTTGGCGTCGAGGTATTGAAGTCGCATCGATTCCGGGAGTCGATAGCTTGGACGAATTTGATTCGTCGGCTCGGGGAGCCGACGCACCCTCCGTAATGGAGGGCTCCACCAATAACAGGCGTCGATGTGAAGATGGCGTGTCGGCTCCGGGAGCCGACGCTGCAGGCGGTGCGGAAGGTTGCAAACGTCCCGCACCGGAAAAACTTGCATGCTGTCGTGCAGCCGGGCTGCACGACGAAGCGCCGGGCGACCACGCCGGGCTTGAAGTCGCTCGCCCGCGGGATGAACCCGCCGGCGGTACTGAAGAAGAACACCCGTCCACGGCTGGGCCTGGACGAGGTCAAGAACCAAGCGGAGCCGGGATCCGCAAAACAAGAAGACGGCGCATGCGAAGATCGCTGCGCAAGTCTCGTCCCGGGGCCGAGACGCAACAAGAAATGTCTGCCGGGCAGACGGAGGCTGAGAAGCCGGACGTCGAGACGTTGAACGTCTTGACGCGTACCTGTGCCGGGTTCCGGTACAGGGAGATGACTCTCGCTAACCCTCCGACGCATGCGTCGGAGTTGACTTCGCTTCCAGTCATGAGCTGGAAGCGCTTCGCGCGTGACTTGCACGATGGACGCATCGAGCAAATATGCATTCTCTCGGACGCCGAGAGAACGAAGAGCGAGAATGAAGAACCGAGGCAGTTCTTCATGGAGAGCACCACTGAGAGCGAGGACACTCTCAGTGCGAAGACGAAGAAGGAGCGCTTTGAAGAGCAGAGCTGGGACTCATTGAAGACGAGCCCCTACTACGAGATCTTACGGGAGTACGCGGACGTACTCCTGGAAGAGATTCCTGCGGAGCTTCCGCAGGATAACGCATCCAGCACGAGATTGATCTCGTGCCGGGCACGAAGTACTGTGTCACGCGGCAGTGGCCACTGCCGCGAGAGCTGGTCAAGGCGATCGACGACTTCTTTGAGAGTCGTCACAAAGCTGGACAAGTGCGGGAATCGAAATCCCCGCACAGTGCTCCGACGTTTTGTGTCAAGAAGCCACAGGGCGGCTGGCGCATCGTTCATGCGTACAACAAGCTGAACGATGCGACGATACCGGCGCAGACACCGATACCGCGAAAAGATGTCATCATCGATTCGATGGCCAGGAGCACTATCTACAGTGCTCTTGATCTGCGCGATGGGTTCTATCAGATCCTCATGCGTGAGAGCGACATCCCTCTCACGGCTGTGAGCACGCCGAGCGGCATGCTCTGGGAGTGGCTAGTGATGCCGCAGGGTCTGAAGAACGCCCCTGCGACCTTCAACAGGTGCGTAACGCGATTGTTGCGCTCGGTGCGCGACTTCACACCGAGCTACTTCGACGATGTGTTCGTCCACAGTCGGGCTGCGGACGGGATGAGCAATGTTGAGATACACAAGGTGCATCACCGGAAGCTGCTTGCGCTCATGCGCAAGCACAAGCTCTATGCGAACCTGAAGAAGTGCATCTTCGGGGCGAGCGAGATACCCGTGCTCGGGTGTCTCGTCGGGAAGAACGGTGTCCGCCCTGACCATGAGAAGGTCAGAGTGATCAATGAGTGGTCGACGCCGTCGAACGTCAAGGAACTGCGGCAGTTCCTTGGCTTGGCCACATACTTGTGCAAGTACGTGAAGGACTACGCAGGCATGATACACCCACTGTCACAGCTCCTGAAGAAAGACGCCGAGTGGGTTTGGGCTGCTGAGTGTCAGCAGGCCTTCGATGCAGTCAAGCGGGGCTTGACTGAGGCGCCGATCTTGGCGTCAGCCGACCAAGATCGTCCATTCGACGTTGTGTGTGACGCATCCGACTTTGCAATCGCATGTGCGTTGATGCAGCACGATCACGAGGGCCGTGATCGTGTCGTCTACTACCAATCGCGTCAGCTGAAGCCAGCTGAGCGCAACTACCCGGTACATGACAAGGAACTCCTTGCCATGAAGTACGCACTCGCGAAGTTCCGAGTGTATCTACTCGGAAGCAAACCGTTCGTGGTCTATACGGACCACGCGTCGCTGCGGACGGCTGTGAAGTCACCGCACATCTCGCAACGCATGGCGAGACGGCTCTCATTCTTCGCAGAGTATAACTTCCGGGTTGAGTACAAACCCGGAAGACTCAATGTGGTGGCCTACGCGCTCTCGCGTCGACCTGACTACGCCACGACTCAATGCCATTGACGCCATGCGATCGAGCACCCCGACGTCGTCACTGTTGGACGACGTGAAGGTCGCGTCCGCGTCGTGCGCGTACGCGAAGCTCTTGCTGACCTACGGCTCAGCGCCTTCTGACAAAGCTCGTCAGAAGCTGCCGAAGCATCTTCGGGCTCGTGCACACCGTTCCCGGGTGCACGGCGGGTTATTACTCTACAGTGCAGTCGACGACAACGCGGAGCGCGTTGTCGTGCCCAATGACCATTACCTGCGACTCAGGATCATGTACGAGTATCACGATGCACCGACTTCGGGACATCCGGGCCGTGAGAAGACATACCTTCTTCTCACGCGAGACTTCTACTGGGCCCACCAGTATAAATGGGTGCGCAAGTACGTCCGTGCTTGCGAGGTTTGTCAACGTGTGAAGCATGCGCCTTTCGCGCAGGCTCCCTTGCAGTCATTACCAACTCCACGGGAGTGTTGGCATCGACGTTTGTTTTCAACGCCTTAATCAGGAGACCAAAGTAAATGGGGATTGCTCCAAACTTCATGCAGAACCAAAAGAGGTCATTTGCTTTTGACCAGATACTCCGACCAAGTCGTGCAGGGGGCGCCACAGCTTACTCCAAAAATAATTAGCCAGATTCCCAGAGCGATGAAAGTCGCCCCTAGAGTGTAAGCAAACGCTAGGTCTTGTTCACGGTAGTCTGGTATTGCCTTCGTCAGGGCTTTCAACTCAATGGTTCCAGACTGTCGGAAGTCCATCTGAAGTCTGGTAATTGAAACCCCGTCCACTTCGCCATTGTATGCTGCAACTGTAACGAGAACCTGCTCGGTGTAATGATTTATTCACGTATCGTTTGCTCTCAGGTCCGAGATTTTCGTGATAGCCTCGGCTGAACTCAAGCCGATATCGAGGAACGTGGAAGACGCCGTGCCTGAATACATACCCCCGCAAATTGGATACAGTCTCACAAAAGTTTCGGTATTGTCACAAACCATTGGAACGACCTGGGTTATCTCCACGATCACGCCGCCCAGCACTTGGTTTTTACTTGCAATCAGACCTCGATGATCCATCGCTAGAGCTGTGCCATTGTAATCGGTCGTAAGGAAGACTGTCGGAATGAACGTCTCCGTTAGCCAACTGTAGACGTCATCGATGTTATCGATCTCTCGAAACTGCGTCGTTGTACTCGAGTCCCGGATGGACGGAGCGAGGGGGATTAAGCTTATTTCCGCTACTAAAAAGGTTGGAATCCGCTACGACTTATTGGTGACATCACCGATAAAATCCGATATCTCCGATAAAACCTCCGAGCTCGATAGCAATGCATTTATCTGAATAATGAGGGATTAGCCAGTGGACCACAGTCACAGTTTTGAGATGGAGAGGAAGCGGCTGATCCAAGAGGGCCTCGCGAAGAGAGCGTTCCCCCCTCGCGTGGCGTACCCGGAGCTCAGCAACCGTTGGGACGAACTGTCACCTCTCGCAGGCTTATTCGACCATCCTGTCGTAGTTTGGGTCCCCGAGGCTACGTGCCGTGGCCAGAAACCTGCGTGCGTGGTGTCGGGATGTCGCTGTACACCGGGCAGCGTGCTGTTGAGGACATCGAGGGAAAACAGGTCTTGCTGTACATCAAGTATCAGTGCGCTGGCAGCGCGCGAACATGCTTCTCTACGATTTCGCCTGAATATCTCCATTCTAATGTCGAAGCCATGGTGCACTTCTCGTATATATTAGGCTCCAAGTCCGGCTATTCCAAGCCGCTCCTAGACATGATTCACGACGGGATGATGTCCCCCAACCACCTGAGTAGCACCGTCGCCAACATCCGTCGTCGACGCCAAGCCCGCTACTACAAACTGTACACACTATTCGCAGATCGCGTTCGCCGTCTACGACTGTCTAATCCGGACTACGTGGCGCCAACACCACCTACTGTGGCGGAGTACTGCGCTTCAAAAGCTGTCGTAGACACCAAGGTTCTCACTGCGGCGTGGATGGAGACTACAGCCATGTATGGACCGCTCTGTGAGCTTTTGATGCAGAAAATGTCGGTAAGAAAGGTGCTTCGCGTGGACCATTCTGCGAAGTTCTGTAAGAAGTTGAAGGTTTGGGACGGGCTGGGGCAGCGTACAAGCATCTCGGACGCTAAGTTACTTCTTTTGATCCAAAACGAAGTTGGCCAGATTGTGGGACGTCGACTTACAAGGTCGGAGAACAATGAGGAAACTGCTGCGCTACTTGACGCTGTCAAGCCAACCCTGAAACCAGAGGATGATGAAGCTATCTACCTAGTAAGTGACAACGCCAATGGAGTGCGTGGGATGGTGCAGCACACGTTTGGCGGAAGAGTAGATGTGAAGCAGGATCCGTTCCATGTCATGATGCGAGTCAAGGAGAAGCTAGCCAGCGCAGCGAAGAAGAAGTGGATTTCGAAGGAGCTGATGAGCGCCATGTACACGGTGGAGCGACGGCTTCGTCCACCTGAGGAAATGGAAAAAGAATTTCGTCGTGTTGCGAGCCTCGTGCGCCTAGTGATCTCTCATGCTCGGAGGCGACGTGGCAGGGCTGTATTGACAGCAACGCCGCGCAGATCAAGAACGGAGATTTGTTTGTGGAGAATAACGACTACGCAGAAGCCCACACTACGACACGAGTCGTCGCTACGAGTCAGCTAGAAGGTTTTCACTCCGGGCTAAAAAAGCTTCTGAACCGCGCTCTCTCTGTTGAAGTTGGTCTGCGAATTCTGGATGTTTTTATCGTGCAGCACAACCTCCGGATAGGCGCCAAGTTTGGTAGGAATGCTGCCTTTGGGGACTTCGATTTTGTGTCTCTGGCACAAGCAGCAATTTTGAGTCGTGGCACCGTCCAGGATACACCTCAGCTCGCATTCGTCAGTCACATTCTCTCGGGCCAGATGCCGCACCCGCAGTACCGGTCAGGATCGTCATTGGATTTTGAATTTTCAGAGTGGCTCAGAAGGTTTGACAGCGCGCGCGTTGTGCCTGATAATGTCGAAGCTGCTCTTGCCCGACCACGGCGACATTGGGCAAACGTTCGCGAGTTACTTCTCCTGAACTCGAACAGTATGAAGAACCGCCGCCTCTCGCGCTCTCACTTCATGTCCTTGCTGCATTTGGAGCCACAAGACTCTTGAGTCGTCGGTGGGGTTTTCGCTGAAGGAGTACGAGCTGCTGCGCCAGGTGCGAAAGGAGCAAGCACGCGAGGAGCAAACCTGGTCGCAGTGTCCGCTAGTGTCCACCATCATGTTTAACATTGCCGTGGATGCAAACTCCAACAGCAGTTTCAAACTTCGGTAACGCAGCTACGCAACCATCGTTGCAAAATTGAAGGTCATTGCCGACGAGAAGAGCAACGGTGCAGTAAAAGCCAAGCCCGTCGTCGATAGTGCTGTCAAAACGAGCGGTCTACCAGACAGCAGCAGCAGAACCTCTTCGCCCAACTCTGAATCACCTGCAAAAACCAAGCCAGCGAAAGCTCTTCGCGTTTGATCACACTCGACCCGAAATCCCCGAGACCAATACCAACAAGCAAGCTATCCAGATCCAGCTCTTCAAGTTACTCCGCTCCTCAAAACTTTTCACCGGCAAGAAGCTATTCATCCCTATTTACAGCTTCGCAAGCTGCGTGTGCGACGGCATCTGGCCGAAAAGCGAATCAAACCTGACGCTTAGGTGGGGAGCGATGAAGCGAGCCGAGAATCGAGGAGCCAGCCTCAAAATTAAGCTTCGCCTGCACGATCGAGCAGCTCAAGAAACAGCAATATGCCGCTGCTAACGATGCAACCAACACGGCACTCAGCGTGAGCATGGATCCAGACGTGCTAATAGATGCTGCCGCCAGCAGCGACGACGACGCTTCCAGCACTGACAACTTCAATACAGAGCAGGTCAGCTGTGCCGCTGTCCCTGATCACGAAGCTAGGCCTGCATCCAGTGAAACCAGCCTCGAAAGTTCCCTCACAGGCGGCAGCAGTACACGTGAGCCAGCGTCAGGTGCAAGTCTAGGCGTGTTAAGCAGAAGTGTTGGTGAAAACAACGCGACACCATCAGCCGCCAGCCACCCTGCCTTCGCAATGGAGCAACCGCCTACGATGCTGACAGAAGATGATATTGAGCGCTTCAGAACGCTAGCAAACTCTATACCTCAAGTGTCAGGTAAATGGGAGTACCTGCACAATGTTTTCCTCAAGGAGCATCCTGATTCCCAGCTGAGTGCAAATGCCCTACGGTGCAGACTGAAAGATCGTCGTATGCGTGCTCCGAGCACTGTGGAAGCCGCGGTCCAGTTGACTACACCCGTCGGAAGGAAGAGATCTCGTGCGACATCGTGTGCAAGCTGTCAAAAGAAGCGAAAGAGATGCGGAGATACGAGTGTCAATCCGTCGTGTACACGAGCATCGAAGCCAATAAGCTCCTCGATAGATTCATTCTTCAGTACCTTATCTCAATAGATGGGCTTGGACACGACACCTCGATGCATTGGCTTTCTTCACCTTGGTAGTGTAGGAACTTTCACAGGACACAGGCACTGGCTGCACCGACAGTTGCTTGACCGGATGCCCGTGAGCACCGCGTCGCTCGAGACGCAGCGCATGATCTACACCGTACCCCACCGGTGCTTGTGCTACTCGAGGGCGCGGTAGCTAAGTCGGTAGCGACGCAAAAGAAAGCTTGTTCCGCCGACACCAGCACGCGCCGTTTACCGCAATGATGGGGGATCCGGGACAGGTGTGCGGGACGCACCGAGCGGACCGTTTGTGACCGCCTGTAGATCGGTGGGACATCCCTAGCATTTTCGATACACCTCCGCTACTCCGCTAAAATCGGATGCCTTTCGCTACTATAAATAGAAACGAGTACATGGTGCTTAGAAACGGTAGTGAGCATTCCAGCGAACGGACCCATTGCCGCACACTCGGAGTTAGTTTTCTTTATGCGGGGTCTGCAGTACACTCAGGGACGCACTTCACATGGCTCCATCTATTTCTATCCTGTTTCTTAATCGCACATAAACCCCGCGAATAGTATCGGATTGCATCTCACCTAACCTATGTATGTTTTCCATCCGTTTTTGTATAGCAAGTAAGCCGAGGGAGGTCGTCATAGCGGTTGACTGCGCTAATATTTGCTGGGTTGGTTTCTCCGACCCAATGAGAGATCCGACGCAGAAACAGTGACCAGGTGGCGGATAAAATCCACCCACAGTACGATATCGTCGAATTTGAGTGGAGGAATTACCACGATCCAGTAGAAAAGTATTGGATCGTCCCCCAGCCCGACAGCCATTTTCTTCATACAGTAAAAAAATCCTAAGTACGCCTGGCACGCCACTTGCGAACCTATCAACCATTTATGGGCTAAATTCGAGCTCTCGGTTTATTTGCGGGACACCTGAAATAGATACGTGGGAGGTAAGATTTCGAAGGCTAGTGCTAAATAAAAACCAAGTAGTCTTGAATAATGAATAATTCTCTAAAGGGTGATTCACAGCTATATTCTGCTGCATTGTGCAAATGTCCAAGTCAAGAGCAAGAAGCCCCCCAAACTACGGCTCTGCTCGCTTTTCACTCGACGTACCTGATCTCGAAGCTGCCAAGGAGTTGGGACTACTCAGGGACGATGTTGCAGTCGAGTCGACGAACCCGACAAGCTCAACGTATGGCTTGGCCTACCAGCTCCGAGAGAATATTGCCAATTCAGTCTTTTCTTTACAAAAAGCAGTCCACAGCAAGTGCAAAGATTTGGCTGTGAGGTGCGGCTTCCAGATTTTTGTGAAGCAGACCAGTGTGAAGGCCGACAACTCCGGTAATGCGAAATTTGCGTGCAAGACGCTCAATGGAACGCAATATTTCGACCGGACTACACCAGCTGCCCAACTCACGTGTCCGTTTTTCGTGAATGTTCACGGGAAACCGGGGAAGTGGAAGATAACCCAGGCAAATTTTGCGCACAATCACCTCAAGTTCGTTGGTATTGTCAAGGCCCCTTGTGTTGAAGGGTCCATCCCGTTGCCGTCCAAGCCCATGCGGAATACCACGCAGCAGATAAGCAAGCTGACAGCGATTGTCGAGACCGAGATGCTTCTCGCCCACGATGGATCCACGGCTTCTATGTCAGGCGCCGCTATCAGGAATTTTCTGAAATCGAAAGGAGCGGACGTAAGCGCTACATCGGTGTCCAGAATGAAGCAGAAAATTGACGACAAAATTCACGGCGACTTGGTAGAAAGTTACCAAAAACTGCGGGCGTACTTCGAGTTGATGGCGCACAAGAACCCCGGATCGGTTTGGAGAGTGGAAACTGCCGCGGACGGATCGTCGTTTGGTCGAGCGTGCTTCATCCCTAACGCTGGTATTCACATTGCCCAGAACTGCAAAAAGATGGTCGGCTTTGACGGGGTCCACCTTAAAAAGGAAATGCACGAACAGGGCATTTATCTGGGAGCTACCGTGAAAGACTACAACAACCACATCGTTCCAGTTGGACTCGCGCTGGTTTCACAAGAGGACAAGGCCAATTGGATTTGGTTCCTGGGAGCATTCAAGGAGGCAGTTGACTGGGAAAAGTTCACGATATTGTCGGATAGACAAAAAGGTCTGCTTCCAGCTGTCGCGACAATTTTCCCAAACGCTGGCCATACGATACTGCCTGCGGCATATCATAGACAACATTAACAGGAAATGTTCCAGATTGTCCCAGGAAGACCGTGCGTGGGTATGCCGAATGGCACGCAGCGACTGTGAAAATGACTATAAGCTGTATCGAAGTGAACTCGCCGTGAACAACCCTGCCGCTGCGAATTTTCTGGACGGAATCGAACGTGCTCACTGGGTGAAGTACAGTTTCCAAGAAAAGTTTAATCTCCCGACTTTCGACGAAATAACCTCAAATTTGTCAGAGCAAGCGAACAACTGGATGGGTAAAGAGCTTCGGACCGCCAAACCCTTGGACGAATTCCACTTGTACTTCTTGAAGCTGAGTCAACTGATGTCCAAAAGGCGACAATTGATTGTAACGTGGAAAAAATCTGGCGCACTCTCGGATTTAGTCCCCAAGTTGTTAGAGCGACGTACAGACCGCCAAGCTGCAGCTGATATGTGCGAGTTTACACCCCTTCTCGAGGGTGCGTACAGCGTCTTGTTCAAAGGCCCTGTTGCCATACCAGAATATGTGCACCCAGACCGGGTAGTGGATTTGCCAGCGCTGGAGTGCACGTGCGGCAATTGGCAAGACCAAATGTTCCCTTGTGTCCACGCAATTTGCGCTGCTTCAAAGGATGGCCGACGAATCGAAGACTTGTATGACGCCAAGCGTATGTCGATCGAGCACTTCCGTGATACGTACACATTCAAATTTCTCCCTTGGCCGACAACAGCAACCTTACAGCGGGACGACACAATTCTTCCTCCACAACTTGAACCCACTCCTGAACGGATTGGTAAAAGAGGGTTGAAGCCGGGGAAGAGGCCACAACACAAGCGAAAGATTGTGAAAAACGCGCTGTAGGGACAAGAATAAGCTTCGTCGGGCAAAGCCAATTTATACTTTATCGATCTGTATTTTTGACAAACAACACTTCATAATTAATAGATATTGTGCTTTCCGACAATTCTAACCAAATATGCAAGTGTTGCTGAGTCATATTTGGGTAAGGTATATTAAAAATCTAAACTGATAGATCTCTAGTGTTGTGCCCTAAGAACACGCGAGTAAAATATTTCGTGAAAATCTCTTAAACTCTAGAAGGAGTAGGAACTCTACGAATGTACCACTCCATGGTACACCCTTTTTGTATAATTTAAGCCGCAATGATGCAATATGCTACGTTGATCTGCAATCTGAATTTTGCAATTTAACTACGTTAAATTTAGCCAAATCACAACCTGACCTCCGGGCTGAAGTCTACTGTATTTATTTTAAGGCAACACTTAGAATAGAAATAGACTGCGAACTACATTTTCAGTGCTTCGGCAAGCCCCATTCTGCTTTGTGCTCAATGCCACGCCTTAACCCACGACAGCGCCACGCCCGGAACATCCAGCGCCGCCTGGACGGCTCGTTTTACCGTCTCCGACTGAATCCCGGTATTTCCGCTCATGACGTCAGCGACGAAGACACCGACGAGCAGGAAGAGGAAGAATCATCAGTCGGGGGTGGACTCCGAGAAGAACGACGTAGGGGTGGTGGCCTCTTCGCAAGCAATCGAAGGGCCCATAGAGGCGTGGATGGGCAGCTATATGAGGTAGAGCGAATATACGCGAAAAGGTGGATCAACGTAAGAGTATATTATCTAATCCAATGGGTTGGGTACCGGGAGCTTACATGGGAACCGGGAAGCCACGTTCCGATGCGCCTGAAGCTACGGTTCGAACGCATATCGATCGACTTCATCTGGGTCTACCAATCGACAAGAGGGAGACGTCGGACTCGCCATCGACGACAGAGACGACGCAGCGCAAGGATCCAGTCTCGCAGAGAGTAGGTAGATACGTCTTGATAAATACGCATCACGAACTTAGCAAATACTGTGACAGTAGTTTGTTTTTCGGTCGGCCTGGGGTATTTTTCTACTGGATCATGGTAATTCCTCAATTTGAGTGACACGAGCGCGTCTTCATACGATATCTCGAGTGGATAAGATAACCCGAGGCTGCTGCGGTTGCCTACGTTGTATACTGCTCCGAAGCGACTATTTAAGTCCTGCAGCCCGAGTTGTTGACATCGAATGAGCTGGACAGGTATACGCGGCGCGACATTAAGATCTTGGGGTTATTTGTTGCAGCCTTTCCGTTCGTTTACCTACCCTTTGTTCGACTTTGCGCAAACTCCATTTACTCCGCTGCTGCTTCTAATCACGCCCAGGGATTCTCTTTTACCGGTGAAGGTCCGAACCCGATCAGTATAGGCAACCCGGAGCGTTGCTCCGGGAGGGTACACAGGTCGGCAAATAGTTTCATGGACGATGATAACGGATAACAATTGAGTAAAGCCCAAAGTTGTGTTGTTTTTAATCTTTTTAAGGATTTTAAAAGAGCACTACCAGCCGCACTCTCTAGGTGATTCTAACGTGGGGCATAACACCCTGGTCAGCGTCCAATGGCTGCGTTGACGCCAGCAACGAGCTATTTCATTCCGTTTGCAGGTAAGGTATACTGTGTTCATTTAGTACTATGTTGTGTGCTAACGATCAGACGAGAGAGCTAGCGGAACGTAGAAGAGATGCATGGTGCGCTGATCTTGACCTTTTAACTTGAGGGTAAATTGCGGAATGAGAAACACGTTAATGTGCCAAGTCCTTGGAAGTGGGCGCTTCAACGCAGGTAAAGAAAGCCTAATTCAAACGAACGATGCTCGTGTCACTGTCGAGTTGAGCTGGTTGGTTTGGCGAAAGGCACGAGGTTGGGCATCTTCGGCTAAGTGATTGAGTATTGAGCAAATTGACATGTAAAAAATGCAGCCTGCAGCTAGAAAAGTCATATAGGTCATCTTCAGCTAAGCTTGGTCGATTATGGCGCAAATTGATACGCCTTCAGCGAGGCCATGACGCTCTCATAGTGTACTGGAGCGTCCGTAAGTGTTTGAACGCAAGTTTTGGTAAAGAATGAACGATTAGTATCAACCTTTGGTAAATAATGTGCATAAATCTAATCATTTATCGACGGGTACCCGATTCCGGCAGATATTAGCTTAAACATTACAATTAAGAAAGAGAGACCCGGTTTGGTACCCGATTCTGGAAAGTTACAAGTTTTTTGCCGGGGCCAAGCACAGGTCTTCGACCTGTGAATTGTCGTCATTATGGTGGGTATTACTGGCGTGATTATCGCGATCCCGTTCAGACTTTATAAAGAAAGCAGATCCTGCCGACCCGGATACCGACCCGGCGGAATTGATAATCTCAGAAAGGCTTACGATACAGATGGAGACTCGGTGCAGCTTGATGAGCATACATACGTGCAAATGTTTTCTCGCCACCCATTTTATCATCGATCGCCATACATCAAACTCCAGCACGGGGCCAAGGACAGATACTAAGGTCTTCTGCCAGTTTCGTGCCGTCCTTCGAACTTGCGGACTTGCTGTGGCATAACTTTTCATTGAATTGTCCATTCTGAAATCTGATTGCACCCGCTAAATCTGCGCGATTGGGCTGAATTTATGTACTTCACGCTGGTCCGTGTAAATTTTGCAGAACTTCTTGTTATTGTTATGAAAAGCTTGTTGATTTGGAGTGAGCTGCCAGTTTCCTGCCTCTTTTGATAGCATTTTTGTATGCTATGCAAATCCTAGGAGGCTCATCACTGGAAATTGCATGTGACGCTGGAAAAATCTACCAATAGACTACGAGAGTTTAACAAGGAGAAGATGCTAATTGGCTAAAACAAGTAGGCACGGAACTGGTTGTAGGCACGCAACTGGCACCTTACCTTACTTGTATCCTGTGCATAACTTGATCGTTAAGTGCGCACTCGTCGGTATGGTCGCAAGTGTCCCGGTCCTACCCTGCAGTGTAGGTAACCGGATTTTTAGGTCAATCCTACATTTTGGTCACGGGTCAAATCCTTACTTTGGTCACGTGACCTAAGCGAATGAGGTCACATGTATATTCGCAATGGATAGTATATAAATTCTGCTCCTGACAGATAGCGACTTCCGCACCATTATCCCGCGCTATCGTAGTCAAAAGAGTGATCTGGATGATAGTCTACTGTCTCATGATCCATCTCGGCATCGTCGGCCTCTGAACCCAAAGCACTATAGCAGGTTTCAGGGTCATCAGTGGTGATGGTAGGCTGCTCTCATAAGTCTTTGCTCTTCTCTGACCCCGCGGTGCCGCATATTCGTGAGAAATACCTTTTCGTGAACTACATTAAGCGATGGGGACCGAGTCATGTTGAAGTGTCGAGCTCGAGTGCTGAGCTGTGATGCGATAGGTTAGCTACTTCTAGGCGCGTATAAATTTTCTATGCTACAAAGTACGAAATAGAATCCGGAGACGATGGCGAAATTTCATTACTGGCTTCGCTTCCTGACTGTGTCGACGAAGTTGTTCATAGGAGGGTGTGTAGCCCTACAGTCTACTTGTACTACCATGCCGCACTACGAGCTGGCTGCCTCGCTATTACACCGAAACACAGACACAGATTACTTTGATATCAACCTCAGAGCTTTGGTTTGCTCGGAAGCGCTAGCTTCCCTGGTATAATAGTGTTCCGAAACCTACTTACAGCTCTGCCTACTTCGCTACAAATACAGTCGCCATGCCTCCGAGACGGCTGAGTCGCGAAGGCGGAGGATCTCCCCCGCTTACCGTCGCGGTGGACAATAGTGCTCGCGTCCCTCCAAGCCAAAGCTGGGACCGCCGTACATTCACTCTCACTGGCACACCGTAGCAAGTGTGCATATGCTGTCATCTGTCAAGGTAGGCAGATTGAATTGTAAGCGCTGGAGGATCGGGCATTTGCTAGGTCGTTATTAAGGCTAAATGACTGTAATGCACCTCACCTTGAGAAACGAGACGGCGAGTCGAGTGTGCGGCCAAATCTGTGCAGCATGCCCATGGCCTTCGGCAACGCTGTGATCCCAGGAACAGCAGGCGGCGCACTACTCGACTTCGACCTCGAGCGAGGTTACGCACGTCGAGCAAGACTGAAGGCTAGGTCTAGATAACGCTACGTAACGCTGAGTCCATGAGCTCAAGCGCTGAATGTGAGCGGAGTTCCGTGAGCACGAGTTGGTGACTTTGTACGGTGCTCGTAGTGCAACATAGTAAGTAGCACCACCTCCTCTATCTAGGTTATTGCGATCTGACGAGCATCACACACGCGTGGTAGCAGCTCACCGTTTAGCATAGTAACCACTGTCCGTGCACCGTGCATGGTAGGCGGTCTCTTGCAGTGTAAACTGGTAGAAAGCCCACATTTTAGCATGGCAAGGACTTGCAGCGCAACATGGTACTTTACTAGTAGCAAGCACGCTGTGCAAGATGATAGGCAGCCCGCAGTGCAGCACTTAGCCAACTTATACTGTACCACAGCAGCAACTCACGTCGTGTCCTGTAGGAAACCGCGCTGACAGAGTAAGAAAGCAGCTGAGGGAGGTGTCGTGTGTGCTGAGAAAACTTGTATGATGTCTGAATTCTTCAGGCTGAAGAGAAGTGGGCCCTCGTCCGCTTCGAAGCTGCATATGCATTTTGCTCTCATTCTCATGCGCATCTTACCGTCTACATCTGTGGGTGTGACCTGCTAAGTTTGGCCACGTGGCCTAGCGTCCGGATGTGTGACCTGTTTGACCATCATTAGTGTAGGGCGTTTTGCTGTTAGTAAAATTTTCTAGACACTAACTCACTGTTAGCTGTACGTTTGCTGACTGTTAGTTGACGAGTTAGTAGCAAGAGAATAATCATGATATATATTAACCTTAAGGCTGATTGCAGTTAAGTAGCCGAGCGCGGCCGCTACGCGGCGGTGAATTTTTTGCTAGTTGGCGCTTCGCTCGCAATGTTCGCTGCGCTATGAGATCAGGCTGCCTACGCTTCGCTACGGCAGTACTGGACCTGTTCCGATCGGCTCGTCGGCTCGCTGCACTACTCTCAATGTCAGGTTAGTATTACAGAGGCCGGGGCGGGTCCTGCGGCCCCGCAATATCGTATGAGGGGGCGGAGCCGCCTTCGCTGCGCTCGGCAGCTAATCGGAATTAGTAGGATTCGTACTTAGTGAATAAGCGTGGCTATCGTAAAACACCCGATGACACACATCCTTCACTACCACAGCAGGATGGCAAGGACGTCTGCCTCAAGTTCTTGTCTAAGAGGGGCTGCCCGTCAAAAGATCCCAGTGTGTGCATCTTCCAGAGCAGAGTTCATTTCTACCCAGCGGCGATTTCCGACCAGCTTCGCAACTTCATTTCATTCGCCGCAGGTTCGGCGGTGTGAACAGCAAGTACAGAAACAACTGATGGGTTCCAGGGCACACTGGTCCTCGTGACCTTGGACAGATTATTTTGGACCATCAGACGGTAGCTTCATCAATACAAACGTCTTCACAATACGCTTCGAAACGACCAGTTGTCGCCGACGCGCGAAGCACGGGAACGCAAGACGATCACGCAAGACACTGGCGACGTGCAGGTCGCACCTGCTCGGTGCGCGAGACTCAGTTCGAGTCACTGCATAACAAGCCACCTCGACAGCACGCGATAGCTCGCACCAGATTGGTCGACGAGGCTCAATTCGAGTCTCCGCCCAACATGCTGTCGGATCCGCAACAAGCAGGTCACACCAGTTCGGTGGACGCGACTCAGTTCGAGTCATTGCAAATGCACAACTCAAGAAAGGCCAGCACAAATACAGTAGTCGACAAACCTGCCACCAATCGGCCGTCGTCGCGTGCTTCCAGCCGAAAGCAAGCATCGCCCCAGAGGAAAGCCGCGGATCAAGCCTGCACCGAGATCAAACAAGTGCGGCCAACCCCCAGCTCGACACACGTCCGGGAATGCTTGATCAAACAGCTAATTACGCGGTCGTCCAGTCACGCCACTGCTATGAACGTCATGTGCACCCGGCTTGGTATTGCGCCCCCCAAGAAGTTTCCTCTACGGGACAGCAACCAACAGTGGCAACTCAATCTGGAAAAGCAACGTGTCGTTTCCGCTTTGGCACTGGAGCATCACATGAGTCTACAAGATATTGTGGAAGTAGTCCGCGCTCAATCCAGTAGTGATCCTCGTCCGAACAAAGCGATGTACCCATCCCGGTTCGCCAGCTTGCTCGACGGGTACAAGCACAAGAATCGCTTGGTACAGATCGCGCGCGAAGGGATTCAGCCATCGTGGAAGGCGGCAAACCCCATGCAAACGAATCCGATGAAAAACCACGGGTCTGCCTCTCGCCATCTGAACGGAGTACTCAAAGCAATTTGAAAAGGGCAAGATGCGGGGCAGTACCTGGTAGTGGACATCAAAGTGCTTCAGCTGTGGAAGAACATTTAGATAAGTCCACTTGGTGCAGTCACGAAGAAAGACTGCGATCCCGAAGAAGATATCCGGCTCATTCATGATCTTTCGTTTCGGCGGGGTACACGAACCGAGCGGTCACCAGACATCGAGTACAAGCATATCGCAGCTATTGCTCGGAGAATAATCTCGTGCCGATCAGTCTACAAAGGTGTGCCAGTCAAAATCATGAAAGGCGACGTCGAAGGTGCCTTTCGTCACCTCATGCTGGCAAGCCAGCACGTTCGATGGATGGCAGCTACCATACCAGAACGGGGAGTCCTCATCATCGACATGTCCGCTCCCTTCGGTTGGACAAGCTCTCCTGCATTTTACGGCGCGTTCGGTGGTGCCATTACGTGGTTAGTAAGCCGAGAGTGCCCAGCATCCATGGACCCGAGTACCAACGATCATGAGCCATTCTTCGCGTATGAATGGGTGAACGATCACGTCCTCGTTGAGCCGGAGCTCAACAACATACTACAGATAGCCAATGAGGCACTGCGGCTTTCCATGCTCGCGATTCTGGGTCCTGCAGCAATCAACGAAGAAAAGTTCTCGACGTGGGAAACTCAGCTTCAGGTGCTGGGGCTTGGGTTTGACACCAACGCCTGCACGATCTCCATGCCACGGGACAAAATAGCGAAGGCCCTCGGGAAAGTCCAGTCGCTGCAAGTACAAACGCAGACTACCCGGATCCAGTTACAGCAACTATTGGGCAGCCTACGGCACGTGTGTTCGTGTCTTCGCGCCGCTAAACCGTTCTACCAACGCATCCACACTGCATGCGTCCGGGCCCCCCGGTACGGGAAAGTTCCAGTCGACGAGGCGATCCGAGACGACTTACGATGGTTTGCAATGATACTCAGCAAAGGCCAGCTCCGCGCATTACCTCTTGCGATGTATACTTCAACCCAGCCAGTTGATGTCCACATCTACATGGACGCGAGCAACAGCGGACTCGCTGTACTCAACCCAGCAACGAGGCAGTACATCCAGGTTCAATTTGATGCGGAAGAACAGAGATTGATACAAAGAGCAAGTGGCTGCAGTGGCTTCAACATCAACGTTCGAGAGCAACTTTGCGTCGCACTAGCTGCATGGTCCTTCGGGCCTGCATGGGCAACTCAGCACACTGTTTTAATCAAGGCATGGTCCGACAACACTTCTGCAGTATCCTGGACAAACCGACTAGCAAGTAACAACCCGCTTGCGCAAGATTTGAACCGCGCAATCGGACTCGCTGAGGCTGTTTTCGGCTTTCGCATTCTGTGCGGGCATCTCCCTGGATCCTCCAACACGATGACAGATGCCGGCTCGCGTGCCTGGACACCACCTTACGACAAGCTGTGGACTAACCTATCGTCTGCATGGCAACAGATACCAGTGCCACCAAATCTACGCAAGGTCTACATGACCTTCTCGTCCACCTTCAGTCTCACGCGTTGGCCCCTGGCTCAAGACCAAAGTACGCGGCGACCTGGAAAAAATGGTCGACTTGGTGCTTGGAACACGACCTCCACCCGTGGTTACAAGCAGACATCCAACAGCACTCCCATCAACTCGCCTTGTTCGCCGTTCACTATTGGTGCTCAGCTACGAGAACGGCAGGAAAGCCACTATCCACAATCACTGTGCTGTCCGCGGTTAGCCACATCTCTTGGTATTGTATGCGCGAGCGAGGGTACTCCGTCGGTCTCCACGCCGGACACAAGTTCGCCGTGCGCGGGATGCAGAGGCTGTCTCCACTTTCTCACCAAAAGGAACCCGTCACACTCGCAATCCTGCGAGAGCTCCGATCACGATGCAATTTCCGAGCATCCCACGATCGCGTGCTCTGGGGGGCTGCGGTCGTGGGCTTTTTCTTCCTGCTCAGAAGATCCGAATATCTCGCGGACGGCAGCCGAGTCAAGCCATACATTATCCGCACAAAGGACGTCAAGTTTATCACCAAGCAAGGCATCAAAACCGACTCCATCGACATGACTGCTGCTGTGTCAGTACATTTTCGGGGTAGCAAAACGGATCAAGCGGGCTCAGGGACAACAAGAACGCTTCACCGATCCGGCTCGCCGTGGCTGTGCCGCATGGGAGCTAGTTCAGATTGCCAACAGCTTCGGCAGCAACGAAGCTCTCTGCTCAACTCCACCAAGCAAAGTGCTCGCCGCGACCACGCTCAGCAACGCGATCAAGCGGGCTGCACAAGCCATTGGGGCCGACCCGACGCGTTTCGGTACGCACTCAATGAGAAGCGGCGGAGTCACAGCAATGTTCACCGCCGGTGTCGACCGTCTCGCCATCAAGCTCTTCGGCAGATGGACCTCGGATGCGTTCGAGCGATACACAAGAATGAACGACACGGTCGCCAACTCACTGGCCCGAGACATGATGCAAGTGGCACAGTCACGTGTTAGCCCGGCTGCGCCGGAGGGGCTCCATCCACCTCAACACTCGAGCTGGATTCGCTAACACTTCAACATGACACGACTGCGCCCCCATCGCTGAATGTTATTGACGGAAAACTGGATAATGATCGCCGTCTCGAATTGCACATATTTCAGTGGCAGGAAGATCCTGTGCTTGCCAATTCATTTTGGCGCGACGTCTACAATTATCATCATTTGCCACGGGACGAACTGGAGCACTACCTGACTACTTTCGAAATCAACCCTCGACTTCGAGAATTCCCTATCACGCATCGCGAGGCGCTCGACGATCTGTACAATCGGCTACACTTCGTGTATTCCCACCCTGCTGTGACGCTATAGTACGTGTTCTGGGGTGACCTCTTCACGAGCAATGACGACGTAGCCGCCTTACAAAGACTTGAATCGGACCTTGATCCTCGGTTCTCTACATCGATCTGCTACAACGTGTTACCGCGCGCTGAGATGGAGACGTGGGTAACAGAGCGCAAGCTGCAAAAGCTAATCACCCACGAGCTCCTGGATCTACTCTACACTGAGTTAGCGAGACGTGGGGCGGTTGCAAAGTGATCAATGCTGGACTGGCTTCAAGCGCGGGTAGTGCAGGATGGTGTTTCCAGGTAGTGATGAAGTAGGCTCGAATTCATGATCACAAATACATTTTTCCCAGTAAGACCAACTTTACACCTACAGTATATGGTTCAACTGCTAGCACTTACGACAGCATTGCCCCCAATCAGAAAATACGGGGTGTCGAAATCCTCGTAAATGGGCGCCGTCTCCTCCTGGTCGTTCGGGACGCAGTTTACCATGCTGAAGTTGCCGGTGCTATCAGCTGAAGTAACATAAATTGTTGATGCGGCGCATTTTTCGGGCGAGCACCCACCCGAGCTCACTCGCTGTCCTCCTTGATGCTACTGAATAGAGGGAACCCACCGCATTTCGAGTCGTCTGCTATGCAGTACCGCGTGTAGGAGAAAACTCGGGAGTGGATAAGAGACAAATGTGTGGAAAATATCAGTGCCAAGAGGGTGGTGAGATGCACGTCTTGCACCAGGCAGAGCTCCGTGGCATCGACGAGCTCGTTTGAACACCGAATGAAAAGTGGTTGCATGACGGTCGAGCGAGACTGTCACTTGCTTTGCCTAATTCCGAGCGAAAACCGACGTTGTTGCAGGCTTTGGGAGGTTTGAAACTAGAGCGGAAAGAAATTGTCCTGTGGAGAGATATCTACAGCTCATCGTTAGAATTGTTCTCTAACGGCAACAAGACAGGAAGTGTGAGCCCACGACTGACTGAGCGACTTGAACGAGTTAATATACAACTGCTTTCAACGGCCAAAAAAAATCCGAGTTCAATGGCGTTGCTGCTCGTACGAAAGAGGTGCGTCACGGTGTCTTACATCAAAGTATTATCTGAAGCACTGCACTTAGTAACCATGCTATTTTGGCCCTTCTACTGTAATAGCGCCTCGAACTACTTTTTCATTAGTACACCTTTCGTGTTGAGTGGGCTTGCATAACTATTAGGTTAAGCCACTGTTTTGCCTCTCTAAAAGGCACAATTATACACAACTATTGCATTATTGCGAAAAGCGATTAGAATGTCTTAATGGATTGTTATTCCGCCGATTTAGTGGCTTAATAAGACCGCCGATCCCCGATTTGATAAATCCGACATCTTAATTAGATTGGGTACCTCGATTTATACTCAAGATTATTACCTAGGACGACTTACAGAGTCAGAGCATATGAGTCGGATTTACATTTGCTAATCGGCCGATTAAGCCAGAGCCGGCCGATTTGCTTGCTATTCAGACGGAATGCCCGATGTGCAACCGGCATTCGCTCCTTGTAGGCTAAATCAGCCGCCAGACAACAATCGCTGCAGTCGCTCTTGGCTAGGTAGTCAAGGCTACAACACTAACATCAAAACTAAGCAGGAAAAGCCGCACGCTATACATGTAATACATGTAACTGAGATATCCAGGCGACGCGGTGTTGCCGCTGCACTTGGCGAGTCTCGGGCCAAGGTACAGGCATGTTGATCGAAATTGCTAGGCTGCACATAATTACGAGACCGATGAACGATTTATTCTCCGATTATAATTGAAAGTAATCGATTTTCACATTATATTATATGATAGTATATGGTCAGGGATTGACAGTAATGCGATTTGCTTCCTACATTACTATAGAAGAAATGACAGGGCCAATTCAATTATACTATTCTGATTTATCCAATCTAGCAATCCCGAATACTAGAATAATATTACTATAGTAATTTAGATTACTACTGTCGACCACAAGATGTCTTCCATGTCGACCACCAAGGTATCCTCCATGTCGGCCACCAGGCGTCCTCGTTGATGCTTTTGTTCTGGAGCTGCATGCGACACATCGTTTTATTGTTGTCCTCCAACAGCACGCTCTTCAGAAGAGTGATAGCTTCATCAAGATGGCGAATAGAGGACTCCAACTTCTTCGATGTCTATCTTGTGGACAATCGCCATGATGCGGCACCATGTGCGCCCTCACGTTGGATGTGTGCTGCCAGCGGTGCAAGGCACCTTCCCACGCGTTGGGGCTTGCGTGTGGGTGGCAAGCGAGCTTTTGAGCACACAGCAGGCAAACGTGACTGAAAGCCGCTGCTTCACCACTATCCAAGACCACGTAGGGCACATCAAGTTGATGAGAAAGTTCCCACACGTCATGACGGCCGCGGTCCTGACGGTGGTGACGAATCTCGAGGAGGACTCCAAATGCGTCCGGAGTGGCTGAGGACACCGATCTTGGTGCTGCCATCGGCGGCAGCGTGGACGAGGGGACAGCTGGTGGCGAGGCTGGCTGGGTTTCCGGTGTCAATGATGGCGGCAAGTTTGTCGGAGGCGGCGAATCCAGCGTCTAAACACACTATTATTAGCCGAAAACACAACTACTATCTACTATAATAGAATATAATTAGCCGAGGAAAATTCTACTATTACTATAGTAGACTAATATTATTTTACCGATAATATTTAAATAATTCTACTACTGTTAATATCTACTATCAATCTCTGATAGTATAATAGAAACTATATTATGCTATATTTACTACTACTACTACTACTATAATACTACTCCGTCAAGTGGGCATGGGACTCCGATGTTCTCCTGCTGCGACTCGGCCTGCGAGCGTGGCACCCGCGCAGTGTGCCCTCACCCCGGCTCAGTCACCGCAGCGAGCTCGAAACCCGCGGGAGGTGTTGCGCGTTGCATGGGACCCCCGTAACGGACGTTGGCGGCAATGAATGGACCCCTCGACCGAAGCGAAAGCGAAACCCACGCGGCGGCTTGGGGCCATTTCGACTTTCGACGGCAAGACGCAGTGAGCAGCGACGACGATGGCGCCGCCCGGCCAGCGCCGAGGCTCATCCAGCTTCTTCGACCGCGTGCTGCAGGCCGTGCAGGAGCTCAAGCACGACGACGAGAGTGTCGGGGCTGCGACTGAAGCAGTTGCTGCCGCGGATATCGCTGCTGCTGGGGCTGAAGACGCTCTGGCGACGGACCAAGTTGCTGCAGTTGCAGAGGAGGAGGAGGAGGAGGAAGAAGAAGCAAGCGCCGAAGCTGCTGACAGCGGAGAAGGTGTACCCCCACCAAGTGCTGAGGCTGAGAGTGATAAGCTTGGAGAGGTCGACGACGCCGCTAACGGTGAAGATGACGCTGAAGTGACGGAAGATGCTGCTGCTGTCGTTGTCGCCGGGGAAAAAGAAGAGGAGGAGGAGGAGGAGAGGGTTGAGGCGGCGGTGAAGGCGGAGAGCGAAACTGAGGCGAAGCAGGAGGACGAGGAGGAGAAGGAACAGGATGTCAATGGCTCGGACCATGGCGACCCAGCTTCGCCACCACCTCGTGTCATCGTGATGCCGCCTCCTGAGCCCGTAGCGAGCAAGCCTGCTGCGACGTCTCCGCGGTCGCCGGATTTCTTTGGACGGCTCATGTCGGCGATGCGCAACGAGACGACGCCTGAAGCTTCGAAGACCAAGCGGCCGAGCTTTACCAGAGGCCTCTTTTCAAGCAGCGCGAAGTCGCCCCAAGCTGTGAAGGACGACGGGAAGGAGCGGTCAGACGCGTCAGTGACTGAGGCTGTCACTGCTGCTGCTGCCACCCACGTCGAAACTGAAGCACCAACCACGAGTGAGCCCATGGATGAGAAGACTGGCGAGCCCACCAGTCCAGAGACGGAGAAGGAGACGGATAGCATGGGACCGGCACCCAGCGAGACTGCCAGTAGCGAAGTTGATGCACCAACAGCCGAGACTGCGGAGAGTGAAAAGGAGTCTTCCGCCGAAGAGGATCTTGGACAAGGTGGCTCTGGGGCTCACTCTGAAAGCAAATCTAGCACTGCGGAGGTGGCTGAGGTGGCTGCCACACGGGAAACCTCCAGTAACTCTGAGACCAACAGTGGAGCTGATGCTGCAAGTGTCACTGTACCACCGCAAGAAGAGGAAGATGTCAAACCGGTCTCTAGCCCGCCACCTGAACAACCAAAGGCTGCAGCGAGCCCCCCACCCAGTTCGTCCCGGCTATTTGGGCGTTTATTGTCTGCTATGCGCACAGACCAGCCTGACTCCGGTTCTGGTTCAGGCACTGAGAGTCGTGAAGCAGGCAACAGAGCGTCCATCACCGGCAGCACAGCTGGAATCGTGGGCGGAAACAGCTCAAACGCCCCCGAGCCTGCATCGACCAGTCTATTTGACCGGTTGATCTCAACGGTACGCCACGAAGCTCCAGCGCCAGCTGCGAATGCCGTTGAGGATCCTTACATCCCACACGCTGAGATCACTGTGGACGACAGCGGCAGCAACGATAGCGGTAATGAGGTCGATGACGACGGGGCTGCCGATTCGGATGTTAGGATCCACGAGAGCCCGCACGAAGCAACTACGCACCATGCATCGGAGTCGCAGAAGGAGGAGCTGGAGGACGGTCTGCACGGGGAACTGGCCAAGGAAGCAGCCGCAATTGAAGAGATGGTAGAGCTTACGCTCGACGTGGGTGGTGATGATCAAGACGAAGGTGAAGCGCCCGATAACGAGCCCTCGGTCGCCAATGACAATGACAACGGAAACGAGAGCGAGACGGTTGTAGAGCACCACTCCGAGCCGCCCGTCACGAATGAAATCGACCACGTCGACGAGCATTACCCCGAGGAGATTCAGAACGCGATCAAGAGAGCAGGAGCTGCGCTGCTCGCTGTGCTCCCAAGTCAAGGGGCTGCTGGTATTTCACTTGAATGCTACACCGCGATTGAGCGCATGATGGACGACGGCGAAGTGTTCAGTATGGAGTTTGTGAAGGAGCTCGAGAGTGCTGGAGTGCTCATGACCTGTGCAAACGAGAACGCGGAGCAAAGTCTGAGAGCATCCGAGGAAGACCTTGCCGAGCTACGAGTTGCTGTCGCGGCGTGCTGCACTGGAAGACTGGCGTGGACTGCTGTACCTGAGTTGCTGGCTTTGTGGTCGATCATCCACACGGCTGTCAGTGATGGAATAAGTGACGAGGCTGGAGAGAAGACCGCTGTCCTGGAGCCGTACGACATCGTCCAGGCTGCAGAGCGGAAGGGGACGCTGCTAACCATGGCAGGTGTCGACCGAGAAGGAGTTGAGAAGGTTGACGTGGACAACAGCCTGTTCGACGAGCAGATTGCACATGTAGCACTAACGCAAGCTATGGCAGGACTACAAGGCTCCTTGTTGATCAGTCGCCAGCGGCTGGCAGCCACGCTGCAAGCCATGCGCGAGGGTCGTGCAGCTCTTGTGGGCGGATGCTTGGCGCTTGTGAACATTCCTCTACTGCGATTCGAGATCGGTCGTGATTTCTTCCAGACGGCTGGGCTCTTCTTGTCGGGTATGTTCAAGCCAACGCTGGAGTACTTCCAGCATCAACACTTGCCTGAGTACATCATGCAACTGGTTCGAGGTCTGCGCGCAGCGTACACCATCATCGCTATCGACGTATCGGCATTCGTGCAGTGGATCTCAAAGTTCAGCAACGCGGGCGTCTTCATTTCTATCGGCGTTGTCATCGTGATTCATTTTTTTTTCCTCCTGTGGCTGTACCGGGTCATCCGCTACATGCCGCGCGGGGCTGATAACGTCCGCCACGGACACGAGTCCATCACTTGGGCATCGCTGGCAGCCACGAACAAGCGCATGGTCATGGTTTCATCTCTCATGATCACTGCCAGCTTGACGGCCTATCTCCCGCTGACGCAGTTCTGCTTCTCGGTGCTGGATATCAATGCCCACAAGGGCGACGAGACAGAAAATATTGAAGGTACCGTAGCGTCGCACTTCACCAACAAGCCGTACTGGGGGCTCATCGTCACCGAGGCAATCTTGTTGCTTTTCACCTTCTCGATCCCGTTGCCGTTCGTGCTGGTGTCTTCGATTCGTGCTAATCGGCCTCGAGGCTCGTTAGAAAACGCCAAGGTGACGTATGACTTGGACGGAGAAGAGGTGCCGTTTGATGACAAGGTGTACGCACGCCTCGTGGCCAGTGACCCGAGCCAGCTGCGTTGCCCCTACCGCTCGCTGTATAATGGCTTTGAGCAGCGTTGGAGCACGTACAAGGTCATGCAGCTAGTTGCGAAAGCCGTACTCGCTGCAGTGGTCGTTGGATCTTCGCGCAACATATCGACTGGAGGCATTATCGTCTGCGGCGTCTACTTCCTGGTTGTGCTCCTTACCAGCTGCAGCCGCCCGTTTATCGACCCTGTGAACGACCTGATGGAGTCGAGTGCCAAGTTCACTGCGCTAGTAACGGCAGTTGGAGGTACACTCGGAGCTTGGGCGCAGAGGAACGACATCCACTCTAACTACATCCAAGGCTTCCTGGGCTTTGTTCTTATCGTGCATTTCCTCAACTTGTGGATCATGCTGACGGTGACGCTGCTCGGAGTGGCTAACACTAGAACCTTGATCAAGAACTGGCTGGGATGGCTCTCGTTCAGCGATACGACCCGCATGATCGACGACGCGCGCGCTGTGCATATTATTCCATTCTGGGACCTGAACAAAGAGGCTAAGCACCGAGTGTGGCAGGCGTTCTGGCGAGCAGTTCTGTATGATCTGACTCCTGTTCATCCCGACCATGAAGGCTCTGAAACCCACGTGAAGGAATCACCGGCAGCTGCTAGACTCATCGCTCAAGATCAAGCTGTGATCTCCGCCGGCATCCGTCGAGTAAGCTCGCACTGGCGCGGTAAGCAGCAGCGATATACCACCCGCCTACGCCAGGTAGTGAGGACAGCGCTGGAGGGGGTTGATGTGTACTGGAACGAAGAGATTGGCGTGCGCGACGGCCACCTCGACTCCATGTCCTGCTTCGGAAAGATGTACGTGGTGCCGTACCCCTTCCACTGCGTCATCGTGTACGACAACACCAACGACGAGGCCATAATTTGGGACGAGATCGACGAGAGCGCCCCCAGGGACAGCAAACTCCACAGCAACCTGGCCAAGCTCCTGTTCCTCAACTTTTCTCCAGCTATAGTGGCCAAACGCGAAGTCCGACAGAAGATTCGAGCGCTCGCCGACCTGAAGACCCCCGTGCGGTTCCCCTTCTCTCGCGTTGAGAAGGCGGTGGTCACGGACTACTACGAGTGGACCCCCATCGAGGGCTTCAAGCCCATGAAGGTCAGGTACAAGGCCGTGGTCGAGTTCACGTGCCACTACACGTACGGCGTGTTCAAGGTGAAGACGTCTGGCGACACAGTTATCAAAGGCGCGGCGAAGCGCCCCATGGCGGATGGATTCATCTTGACGATGACCTACAAGGACGGCCGAGGGTACGCCAAGGCTCCGAGAACCGGTAAGCGCTACGAAATCACCGGACGCAAGGCTGTTCGAGACTCGGACCACTTCGGACTGAACCCCGACATGGAGGAGAACGAGCACCTGAAGCAGATCTTCGAGCAGACTCGACCGAGCTGGGAGGCCGGTATCAACAAGATGAGGGCGGAGCACCGAGAGTACCGTCGCAGCCTCATCAAGATCCACGCGGAGGCCAACGACATCCTCAGCGACGACTTCTGGTACTTCGTGTACAACAACCAGTACCTTTCTCGCAAGGATCTGGAGCAGTACCTGATGACTCGCGAGACGAACCAGCAGCTCCGTAAGCTCCCAAGGACGCATGAGAAGGCTCTGGACGCGCTGTATCTGCGCCAGCGGTTCATCATGACGAGTCCGGCCCACAAGCTCTGGTACATCTTCTGGGACGACGTGTTCGCCCGCAACAGCGAGATGTCCCGACTGATTCCGAAGGGGGAACCGAAGCCAGGACGTGCGTGCAGAGCCGACTTTGACCCCAACAGCGCCACGTCCATCTGCTACAGCAAGAAGAACCGCGCAGACCTGGAGGCGTGGCTGGGTGAGCGCGGACTACTGAGCAAGGCGGGCATGTTCCACCCCGGTCTGCTGCAGCTGCTGTACGACGAGCTCAAGAAGCTCGAGGAAGCCTCGGACCCCAAGCACAACATGAAGGTCATGCCCCGAGGCAAGTCGTTCAAGCGCGGCTCCATGATCGCCTCCATGATTAACCCCAAAAGTTGATTCCAAACATCCCTCGAAAACTCCGCTAGCTGGAGGAAATATATATTCTGCTTAGTGCATACTACGTACTGTACATACATAGTTCTGCAAACGAGTGCACAGCCACGCGTATCATTTAAATCTGTCTTCGAAACTACCCTAACATTTTGAGAAGTGCAGACCAAATTAGCAGCACTATACGACTACTGGGTACAACGGACCAAACCTTCACTTCAACAAGCACTTGGTTCATCAGCAGGGCGAGACGCCATGGCTTCCGTGGTGCCACTGCCGGTGGGTGACGGCGAACTGCCAGCCCAAGTGTTGTCGATTACCTCCGACATCCCAAACACTGTTGCTGTCGACCCAAAAGAACTTCAAAACGCCGTCCAACGAGCTGGTCGTGCACTTCTCGATGTGCTGAGCTCAACTAACGTTTCGTCGGAATGCAGGGCTGCGTTGGAGCACATGGCGAGTTCAGGTGAAGCGCTCGCGCTGCGGTTCGTGGAGGAAATCAAGAGCACCGGAGTTCTGGCAGACGGCGCAAAGGCGCAGATTGGTCCGCTAGCGGTGAAGCAGTTGGCGGAGCTGCGAGAAGCGATGGCTGCGTGTGCGACTGTAACCTTAGCTTCCGCGCCTGCGGTGGAGTTGCTGTCGCTTTGGTCGGTGGTTCACGAGTCCGTCAGCAATGTCATCACGGAAGAAGCGGCGGTACTAGCGGCTCAGGTGACGAAAGCTGCCCCGGAAGTCTTGGAAGCAGTGGAAGACGTCACGGATAATGCCATCGCAATTGGCAAGCTACTCACGACCGCTCTCGCTTCGTCAACAATTCTAGCGTCTTCCGTCAGCCAAGAGCTTCGAGATGCTGTCCACCACCTTGCAGAAGCAGGAACACCGGTAGCAGAACATCTCAACGAGGAACTCCGTCGACAAATAGGCACCATCCGAGATGTTTTACCAGCAAAAGAGTGGGCAGAACTACGGTCTCGTTGCTCGCAGTCGCTTACTACAGAATGGAGGGCAGTAGGTGAAGCAGCAGAAAAACTATCGGGTCAAGCCGTGGACGGAGTAAAGTTGATGGCTAGCGAGGTGTTCGACTCGCCTTTCGCTAAGGCAATCGCGGCTCAGGGCTTTGCTGGTCTTGATGGCGCTTTAGGTCTGAGTCGAGAAGCTGTTGACGCCGCGTTAGACGCAGTTCGAGACGGTGGCGCGGCTGCGTTTGGTGCAGTCGCAGCCTGTTTGGCTCGATCGGGGCTTCCCCCGCTGTTGCGCGTCGAGATCGCGCGAGACTTTTTCCAGACCGTGGGGCTCTTCTTCACGGGGCTGTACGTGTCGGTGCTCGACTTCTTCGAGAAACACCACGTCGTTAGCGCTTTAAACAAGTTTCTCAGTGGACTACGAGGCGCGTACGAAGTGATGGCCATCAACGTGTTGGCATTAGTGGAAGAAGCCTCGCAGAACCAGGCACTCATCGCTGACATCGCATTGGCAGTGCTGGTTGGAGTCATTGGCGTTGTGTACGTGAGCTATCTGTGGTTCGCCTTCTCCGGTCGCCATCTACACCGTCGAGCGGACGAAGTGCGTCAAGGCCACGAAGCCACGACGTGGGCCGCTCTCGCGACCAAGCAGAAGATGCGAGTCAAGATCTTCACGTTCGTTATCACTGCGTGTCTTACCATTTACCTGCCGCTCACTCGACTTTGCCTGGATGTTGTCGTTGCAGCAGCTACGAATCGATCCACCTCGGAAGACAGCAGCAAAGCTACGAGTGCCTCGGATTTAGTGCTCTTACGCTTCCGTCACGACAGCGCATGGCCAGCGATTGTCGCTGCAGCGATCATTCTCCTGCTGACCTTCACCATTCCGCTGCCGTGGCTTCTGGTGCGTGCTATCGCTGAAAATCGACCCACTGGATCGCTTGAAAATCCGCTTCTTACCCACGACTTAGACGGTGAAGTCGTGCCTTTCGACGATAAAGTCTACGCGCGTCTGGTAACCCGCGACCCGAGTCAGCTTCGATGTCCATATCGATCCCTGTACGCCGGATTCGAGCAGCGCTGGAGCTACTACAAAGTACTGCAGCTGCTGGTGAAGCTGGCGTTGGCGCTCGTTATCGTACTGGCCGCCAGTGCAGACGCTCGCATCCGCGGCATTCTATCGTGTGTCATCTACGCTGCAGTCGTGGCCATCTCGAGTTATGGCACGCCCTTCAGTGATCCACTCAACAACGTCATGGAGATCAGCGGTAAGATTGCCGCTTTGACTACATGCGTCGGTGGAGCGTTAGCAGCATTCGTCGATATGCAGCAAACCAAGTCACGAACGCTTGAACTGGTTGCTGTGGTTGTCAGTATTGTGCACATCGTCAACCTGTTCGTGATGCTAGCGGTGTTACTGCTCGGCATGCGAGGTGCTCGACTCTTCTTGAAGAACTTGCTGGGCTGGATCACGTTCAGTGACACGTCTCGAGGACTGCAAGACGCGCCGGCGAAGAACGTGCTGCCCCTTTGGGACGTCGACAAAGAGGCGAAGCATCGCGTATGGCAGGCGTTCTGGAGGTCGCTACTGCTTGAGATGGCGCAGAATAGTAGTAACTCGAAAGCGGATGCCGACGAACTCACCGTTGCTCATAGATTGGAAGCTCTGGAGCAGGCGGTGGTGGCGTCGGGAGTGCACCGCGTACGCTTACATTGGCGCGGAGAGGAGAACGCGTACACTTCTAAGGTCCGACAGGCGACGCGAGCAGCATTGGAGGGGGTGGATGTCTTCTGGGACGACGCCAGTGGGGCTCGTGACGGGCATCTTGACTCCAAGTCGTGCTTCGGGAAGATGTACGTGCTGCCGTACCCCTTCCACTGCGTCATGGTGTACGACGACTCGAAGGATGAAGCGATCGTGCGTGACGACGCTGAGCCTCACCAGCAGTCCAAGCTAGCCAAGCTCTTGCTTCTCAACTTTACGCCGAAGATCATAGCCAAACGCACTCTACGACAGAAGCTGCGAGTATTGAGCAGCCAAGCGACCAGCATCCACTTCCCATTTGCACGGCAAGAACAAGCGACGGTCGAAGACGGCACAGTAACCAGGACCGATTCGGAGGGTAATGCGCGCACGGAGACGCGCTATTCGACCGTGACGTTCACGTGCCACTACACCTGCGGCGTCATCCACGTTGCTACCAAGGGGGACGCCAACAGGAGGATCATGGCGGAAGGGTTTGAGGTGAATATGACGTACCGAGACGGCTACGGAGACGCCGTTGCGCCTCACACGGGCAAAGTTCACCACCTCCAGAACCGCGTGGCAGATATGGGACCCGAGCACATTGGACTAACGCCAGCGATGGAGGAGAGCGAACAACTGCTGACCATTTTCGATCAAACGCGCGGGGTTTGGGAGCCAGGCCTAGTGCAGCTTAATGCTGAACATCAAGAGTATCGTCGAGCGCTTGAGCGCAAACATTTGGAGGCAAACGCGACGCTGAGCGATGCGTTTTGGTACTTTGTGTACAACAACCCGCACCTCGCTCGGCACGAGTTGGAAGACCATTTAAAGCGTCGAGAGGGGAACCCTCAGCTCAAGTCGCTGGTTGATACGCACCAAAGCGCGTTGGACGCGCTTTATCTCCGGATGAGGTTCATTCAGTCTCATCCGGCTGTCACCTTCTGGTTCGTCTTCTGGGACGACGTGTACGCTCGCAATGGAGAGATGAAGTGTCTTCGCAAGCTCAAAGACGACTTTGACCCTCGAGAGAGAACTGCGATCTGCTACCACGTCAAACGACGACCTGAACTCGAGGCCTGGCTGCGGGAACGAAAACTACTCAAGACGAGGAGGCTATTCCACCCTCGTTTACTCGATCTTTTATACATCGAGATGGACAAGACCCCATAACAGCAATAAAATTTAACCGTTTTATTTTACTTAGAGCAGTCCCTCTTTTTCTCGTAGAGCAAGTCGAGCAGTGCCGGGTTGAATTTTCTCCATTTGTGTAGCAATTTGCGCTGACGCAGCCACTCCTCCAGCTCTTGTCGCTCCATTGGCTCGCGGTAGCAGATACTCGTTGGGTCAAGCGCGTCAAAGTCCATTGGGTCGAGCTTCATATCCGAGTTGCAGGCGTAGACGTCGTCCCAAAAGACGAACCAGCACGTGGTGCGTGGATCTCGGAACGCCCACTTCTGTCGAGCGTACAGCGAATCCAACGCTAGTGTGTGCGTCTCCGGGAGTTTCTGAAGCAGCGGGTTCGACTCCTTCAGACGCAGGTAGCGCTTCAGCCTTTTGTACGACAAGTGTGGGTTGTTGTACACGTGCAGCCAGAAGTCGTCGCTCAGGGTCGCGTTCTGCTGGTGTGGGCTTGAGCAAGCCCCCGTCGATAGACTTGAACCGTTCTCCCAGATGTGTCGAGTCTGCGCGAAAATACGCGTTAAAGTCTCGCTTTCCTCCATTGAGGGCTTCAATCCAATGTGATCCGCCTTCATGATAGCTCTGCGCGTCATTTTGGCGATGTGATCCCTTACTTGCTGTGGCAGATCGTCCTCGAAATCGTCGTCGGATTTCGGTGCAATCTCACCGTCGCGGTATTTAATAGTAACCCTTTGAAACCATCAGCCATGACGCGCTTTGCACTATCGTATTTGAATTGGGATCCTTGCTGTTGCTGCTCGCCGTCAAGTTTCATCAGAATTTTCGCCTTGATATTTTGTACACTTTCGCTTTGAGCCGCTTTCCGTAGCAGAATCCTCAGCCATACCACGATTTTCGACTTGGCGAGTACCGAGCCCCACATCTTGGCCTTCTTCACCATGAAAAGTTTAGACAGAAGTGACGAAATCCCTCTCGGATCGCTGCTAGATCGCACACGAATGACGCCTTTCGTGTACTTGCACTTAAACTTGTAGTACCCCGGGAAGGTAAAGGTAGGAACGATCCCCCACTTAAGCCCTCGAAACTTCCGACCCACGAATAATTTCTCTTGGCGCGTAAAGGGAAGCGTAAAGGGCGTTTTGCTATGACTCAGCACTCGCAGCTTCTGCCTCAGCTCGCGTTTTGCCATAACCTCAGGCGTGAAGTTGATGGACAACAACTTGGCGAGGTTCGTGTGGCTTGTCAGGGGTGTAGCTTCATCACACTCGTCCCGGACAATCGCTTCATCGTTTGCGTCGTCGTAGACCACAACGCAGTGGAACGGGTACGGCACCACGTACATCTTCCCGAAGCACGAGACCGAGTCCAATTGACCATCGCGAGCGCCCTGCGGGTTGTTCCAGAACACGTCGACCCCTTCAAGGGCGTCACACGCCAGTTGTCGTAGCTGCGCCGTGTACATGTGCTCTCGACCGGTCCAATGAGATTTGATGCAGTCGATTCCAGACGCAACCACCGCTTCCTCGAGGGCAGCGAGTCGCCGGACGTTCCGCACTTTTTCATCGTCCACTTGCTTGACGTCGTGGTCGGGCTCCTCGGTTGAACTTTCAAGCTTCTCAGTGAGCAGCATCGCGCGCCAAAAGGCCTGCCATACGCGATGTTTGGCCTTTTTTTTCAGGTTCCAGAAGGGGATCACGTCTTTCTGAGGGTCGTTCTTAACCACTGCCATGGCGTGCCATGCAATGGCACTTTGTCTTGGCTGGATGGCACGATGGCACAAAAGTGGTTAGAAACGAAATGTGCCATTTTGTGCCATATCCTAATATTTCGGTTAAAAAACAACAAAACACAATTTTGCTCAAAAGGGAAACCTTGCCGAGATGGCGAAGCAGAACGGCAAGCGCGCGCGGGACACCTCGTGGGGCGCGACAACGAGTGCGCGCAAGCGCGCCAACACCGGACTAGCGAATATCATGATAGGATCCACCAATAAGCCAACGCAGGCGCATTTGAAGCTTGAATCCAGTCCGGTTACGCGATTGCTTCTCATCGACAGGGAGGTAGGGCTTTAGCTTTGCAGCGAGCGCCATGAAGGATGCATACGTGTGACGGGGTCACACAGCACAATGCACAGAGGAAGTAGAGGTTAACTTGGTCGTAATACAAACTACAAGTTAACTATGCAAAAGCCCACACAAACTCAAATGGTTGGCTTGCGGAGCTACTGGTACTATGTACCATGCACTCGAGAGAGTGACACCCGTCACTCTTCATGTAATGGGCACACTTGATTGTACCCCGTTACATCCTCCCCCACTTATCTGAGAATCACATCTGATTCTCCAATCAGCTTCAAGAGAATCCGAACACCCAAAGGTCAGATTCTCGGGCGCTGCCGCCGCAAGGCTGGCGCGCCTCATCGTCACGCCCACAGTGACTTGTGCCCGCAGCGGGCACCCCGCGCGGAACCCCCCTGCCCTCGGCGATGTTGGCCGCGAAGCCGACGCGTTTAGTGGCCGTATTCACAGCGCTAGCAGGCGCAGAGTGCCTCGGCACGGGATGCATGTGCCTCCAAACTTGCGGTGTCCCTCGTAGACAACCAGTAGTTGGCGTCGCATGGCCCTCGGGCCCCGCTGGCACGTTCGTGCTGCAGTGCCTCCCGCGAGGGACAGCACCTTTCCGGTCAGCGCGTAGCGTAACCATGGAGAGAGCTGTGCTGCTCATCTCCGGCCACGACAGCGGCCCGACAGGGCCCTGCTCGCACGGCGCGGAGTGTCTGTCGGCCGAATACGTCGGCTCGACCCATGGGCTATGGTCAAGCGCTGACCACAGCCATGAAGCATGATGCTTCAACGTCGTGTTTGCTTGAGCGACCATGGCTGCTTCCAGCAACCCGCTCATCATACAGAGCAACGCGGCGGACTTGTCTAAAGCCCTGCAGCGCGTCACGGCCATCACGTCGCCGACGCTTAGGTGTCTTCCTTCGACACCAGGGTACCGCAAGGGTACTTCATCGTGGTGTGGGGTGTATTGCCCTCCGTCACCGGCGATCGCATCCTGCGTCGCGGCGACCAACACCAGGTCGGTGTGCGTGCAAGACCGCATGGCACACAGTCCATACAGGACCTCAAGGTGTACGAGGGCACCACCTCATACACCAAAGGCACGTCGTGTATGGCACGTACCACGACTGCCATAAGTGCCTCGTGCACCTCAAGTGCCACGTGCACAAGTAGTGTCGCGTGCACTAGGGGTACCTCGCGTACATCAAGTGCCACGCGCACAGTGAGCGTCACGCACCGCGACTATCTCACAGGTAGTATGTGCCACGTGCACGCGTATGGCTTCGCGCCTTACAGATGCGGCATGTGCCGCGCCAACTGTGAATGTCTGCAAAGGCAACACGTTCGGGTTCTCCCCTCGTGGGCAACACCCATGCTCGGGACTGATGGCTACCTGGCCGGCAGACGTGCCGCACCCAGCGTAGCAACAGCCTGGAGCTTTGGCTTGGTGCTGATGGCTACCTGGCCGGTAGACGTACCGCGTCCAGTGTAGCAACAGCATCACGCTGCGGTATGGTGTTGCGCATGTACACATGCCATCGTCCGCGGACCAAGCCACAGACTGGCTGCCATGTCCTTGCCTGACCGAGGCAGCCTTCCAGCAGCGAGTGCGCGTGCCATCTTCGGCCCAGCAGCAAAAGTAGCCACTGCCAAGGTTGCTGGCCATTGGTCATCATGACCATGGGACTTGAGCAGCGATGCATCAGGTCCAGCACCTTCGTGCAATACTTCGTGAGTGGCTGCACTACACTGGCTTCTACGACGAAGCAAGTCTCATGCCAGAGACCTCGGTGAGGAAGGGCACTTCCGATCCCCTCCCCCACTTACGATTTGAGCCCCGGCGGGTCAGGCGGCAGCCGGCCGTCTAACCTCGCGCCGCCCTGCAGCACCGAGTCACTGTGCCAGCAGACTACGGTGGCACGGGCAGCTACCCTTCCTTGGCTCTGGGTCAACATCGTCGACCAGGGCTTGGCATCTACCAGCCTGGATGCAGTTTGAGCCTGCGTGACTTGACGTGTTACTCTGTTACCCACGTCTTCGGGCTATGACACCCATGACAGCGAGTAGTTTGTCCTGCATTCAGAGTAGCTGCATGGCATGTACGCATACTCAGACTCAGCCATCTCGGCACCGAGTCATGGACACTTGTTATCCCAACGCCGCACAGTGCTATCCGCGACAGACCGTACCAACGATCTCCCACGGCGCGTCGGAGATGCAGCTGGCGGAGCTCCAAGCAGCTATTGCAGCTTGTACCCTGGCATCCTTAGAGGCATCTCAAGCCCACGAATTGTTGGTGTTCTGGTCGTTGATCCACACAATCGGTCAACAGGGAGAATATTGCCGAAGCAGCCGATGAAGCTGCGCTTAACTGTTGGCACCAGCTTGCTGAGAAGAAGGTCACGGCAGGATCGTTGCGTTTGTCCAGAATTCAGGTTGTCGAGGACCAAGACTCCGACGACGACGACGCCGGCAATGAACTCGTCAACCCTATTAAAGTAAAGGAGGTCGTTGAAAAAAATCGCCCAAGACAAGCTTGAAGGACTGCAGAGGACGTTAGCTCTGAGTCGCCAAACGGTGGACGACGCATTGCAAATGATTCGCGAGGGGCGACAAGTGATGTGGAAAGAGGGGCAAGTGATATTAGCGGGGGCTAGTTGTGTCACGGCCACCACCTTTGCTCTGCCGCCTCTGTTGCGGATCGAGATCGTCCGCGATTTCTTCCAGATCGCAGGTCTGTTCTTCGCGGGTCTGTACGAGCCCGTGTTGGAAGTTTTGAGGGAGCAAGAGATTCCGAGCTGGATCTACGTCGGGCTTACCTGGATGCGCAGCGTCTACAACTGGTTGGTGAAGGACATCTCGCAGTTGATGCATTATCTGGACCTGGATCCAAACTTGTGGTCCAAGGTGAGTGTGGCGCTGCTATTGAGCGGCATCCTTCTCGTTCACTGGAGCTTCTTGGCCGTGGTCTTCCGCCTGTGGTGGACGATGCCTCGCACAGCGGATAAGGTTCGCCACGGCCATGAAGCCACGACGTGGGCGACATTTGCGTCCCAAAACGCTTGGACGACCAAGTTTCCGACCATTTTCATCACCATTTGCTTGACCGTGTACCTGCCGCTGACGCAAATGTCCTTCAATGTGCTCGTCGTGACACACAACCCGGCCGACTCTGAAGCAATGAGATCGGTTCACTTTGCCTCGCAGTACCGAGGCGGACCCTACTGGTTCTTCTTCCCACTCGAAGCCATCCTGCTCCTCTTCACCTTCACGTTATCCCTCCCGTTCCTGCTCGAGTGGTCGATCTGGAAGAACAGACCAAGTGGATCGCTGGAAGACGAAGACGTGACGTACGATCTCGACGGAGAGAAGGTCAAGTTTGACGACAAGGTGTACACGGAACTGGTGCCCAGTGATCCGAGCCAACTTGGCTGCCCGTACCGATCCCTTTACGCGGGCTTTGAGCGCAACTGGAGCACATACAAGGTGATGCAGATGGTGGCCAAGATCTTGATGGCGGTGATCGTCGTGTCTGCGGGTCAATCGGTTCAAATCGGTGGGCACTCTCATCAGCTTTTTTTACTTCTTGGTAGTGGGGCTCTCGAAGTACAGTCAGCCGTTCATCGACCCGTTCGATGACTGGATGGAGCTTATCTCCAAGCTAACAGCTCTCACAACTGCAGTAGGAGCCACCGTGGTGGCATACGCTTCTCGGGAGAAGGTGGAGTCGTCAACGACAACCCACGGGATCAGCGGCTTCATGGGGTTTGTAGTTGTAGTTCACGGATTTAACCTGCTGGTGATGCTCTCAGTGCTGCTGCTGGGTGTGCAAGGCGCTCGCGTTTACATTAAATGCATCCTTGGGTGGCTATCGTTCAGTGATACGTGCCGTGGGCTGGTCGACGCTCGAGCACACACCGTCATTCCGCATTGGAACCTCCAAAAGGAAGCCAAACACCGCGTACGGCAAGCTTTCTGGCGAGCAGTGCTTCTTGACTTGGCCGTCAAAGACGAAGGGGATGAAATGGAGAAAGTCAAAGGAAAAGCCAATGCCAAGAGCAAACACTCAACGAAAGTCACGGGGACTGCACGCTTGGTCTCACTTGAAGAAGCCGTTGTCGCCTCAGGTCTGGACCGCGTCAAGTCGCACTGGTACGGCAAGGAGCACATGTACACAGCTCAGCTGAGACGGTTGGCTCGCGAGGCTCTTGAAGGTGTCGATGTATTCTGGAATAACCCCCTAGGCGCTCGAGACGGCCATTTGGACTCCGTAAGTTGCTTCGGGAAGATGTACGTGGTGCCTTACCCTTTCCAGTGTGTTGTGGTGTACGATGACGCCCAAGACGAAGCAATTATCACGGACGAGTGCGATGGAAACTCCATTCAGACAAGTGACACGAACCTCGCCAAGCTTTTGTTCCTGAATTTCACGCCGTCGATCATGGCAAAGCGAGTGCTGCGGCAGAAGTTGCGAGTGCTAAGTGAGCGGCAAACCCCCATTATGCTACCGTTCACTCGGACAGAGAAGACGTTCGTCGGACCCAAGTTTCTGGGATGGAAGTGGCGGATCATCCCCATTTTTTCCAAGCCTGGGTACTACAAATTCGAGTGCAAGTACACTTACGGCATTATTCGCGTTCAGACCAGCAGCGACAAATCTGGTGTGTTGCTGCGGGTAAACAAGAGTGGGGCCATGAAAGTATTCAAGCGGTGGGTGGAGCGGCAATTCACTCGCAGAGGGCTCAAAGATTTAAAGCGGTGGACGCTAAAGGTGGTTAACAGCAACGTAGTGCAGTCGGCAATGAAAACAACGAGGAAAATGGCTGGGCACTTCCTCAGCTGCTCAAGGACTTGTTTAAGAGTCGAGGTGACACCAAGCGCGAAATGGCGGACGGCTTCCACGTCACCATCAAGTACAAAGATGGCAAAGGCGAGGTGGAAATCCCCGACACTGACAAGAAGTTCCAAGTTCACGGTTGCCGCAAGGCTGTGATGAAGGTCGATCACATCGGCCTCAAGCCGTCCATGGAGGAGAGCGACATTCATCACAAAATCTTTGAGAACACGCGCGAGCACTGGCAGGAAGGCCTGAAAGAGCTGCACGCTAAGCATCGCGACTACCGCCTGCGCCTCGCCATGATCCAAGAGGAGGAGAGTGCGGCGCTGAGCGACGATTTCTGGATCTTCGTGTATAATAACGCGCGTCTTCGGCGTAATGACCTCGAGCAGTACTTACTTGACCATGAGGCGAACCCAGCGCTGCAGACGCTGCCGAGGACTCGCAAGGCGGCGTTGGATGCGCTTTATCTGCGACAGAAGTGGGTGTTCCTGCACCCGCAGATCACGTTCTGGTACGTGTTCTGGGACGACGTGTACGCTCGCAATTCAGGGTTCAAGTGCCTCAAGCCAGAGGACTTCGACCCTCTCCAACCGACTGCGATCTGCTATCACGTCAAGAAAGAAGCCGAGCTTAAGGACTGGCTTCTCGAGCGCAAACTCCTCGGTCGGTGGGGCCTCTTCCACAAGGGCCTGATCAAACTATTGTACGAAGGAATGGCGAAGTACGAAAAGAAGGGAAAGATGAAGCGTCCAAGCAGCCAAAGTCTGAAGTCATATGCAACATTCTCAGCATGAATACAAGGGAATGATGCAGAGGCCTATGACAACCACTACTTTAAATCACGTTGAATATATTGTACTTCGACGTAGTATCTAGCAATCCTTGGCTATTCCTTTGTGGGGCAGGACGACACACAGCTACCACCTAAAAGCACCATCTTCACTCGATGGCGCTTTGATTTCTTCTTGCTTCGACCGCTGTCTGGCTGGGGGTTGGTAGTAGGCTCCATGTATCGTTGTGGCTGGCAAGGGCCGACGATCTTGTCCGAAAGTGGTGGCTTAGCACCAAGTTCCCTGAAAACCGCGACGGCTTCACTCGGGTATACGAACCAGCGCAAAGCCTCGTACATCCTGGGGATTTTCTCGTTCAGCGGGAGGCCCGACGAAGCAGCATTCATCGTGACCCCCAGCTTCACGGCCTGCTCAAGGTTCTCTCGCCGGTGAGCTGGGATGTCTTCAATACGCTCGACGATCTCCGAGGGACCCTCGTCCTTAAGTGCCGACCGCAGTTTCTTGCTCACGAACTCAACTTTGGCTCTTGAACTGTGACGCCAGACGCCATTGCGGACGTCGAACGCATACTGCGGTAGGAACTCCCATCCATGGTCGGCTACAAAGTGTACAGCGTCCAGAATATACTTAACTTCGTCTTCATCCGCGAAGTACGGGAAGCTGATGCGCGTGTCGCCAGGCTTGAGAATATTCACATTGGCCAGCAACGCGTGCTCCAAGCCTAACATATTCTGCTGGGTGAGCCCCAACACTCGAGCGCCGTACGGACCCACACATTGACACCCGCCACGAGCTTGGACACCGAAGAGGTCGTTCAGCAGCGCACATGGTGCAGGAAGCGGTTCCCGAAGTGAATGAGCAGCGAGAAAATCGGCAATTGATTCACGTCATCTCCCTGGCGCCCGAGCACCACAATATTCTTGTTGCGGCTGAAAGACTCTCGTACACGGCGTACATGCCTTCGTTCAATCTCCATGATGTTATGCGGACCAATACGTTGCTTCAGCTGGAAGGCGAGACCAAGGCGGATGCTGCCCAAAATGTCGGGAGTGCCGGCTTCCTCGCGCTCCACCGTGTTGTAGAGATAGCGCTGCGCTGTCGCCGTGACGAAGAGAACAGTGCCTCCACCAGGCATTGCTGGTACTTCATTCTGCATCAACTTCTTCTTGACCAGGCGAACCCGGACCACCCACGAACTTGTGACCGGAAAAGAAGACCGCGTCCTTGTAGGCGGCAGAATACTTGGGGTTCATGTCGATGTCGACGTAGGGAGCACATGTGGCGTAGTCCCAGCACGCCAACGCGTCGTACTTGTGCAACAGCTAGGAGACCTCATCGACGTCGAGTAACAAACCAGTCAAATTGGACGCTGCAGCGAAAGAGCCGATCTTGAGTGGGCGGTTTTTATGGCGCTGTAGTTGCCTCTCCAGCTCCGTCAGGTCGAGACCTCCACCAACAGCCTCAGGGATCGGCACCTCGTCCGCGCACAGACTCTCGCGCCACGGCAAGAGGTTCGAATGGTGCGAGAAGGGACACGTGAAAATCACGGGGCGTTTGCTGCTGCGATGTCGGCGACGTCCTTTGTTGATACCTAACACGGCGACAAGTTTGTTGATGGCGCTGGTGCAGCCCTGACCCGTGAAGATCACGACGTCTGACGACGGGCGTTGACGGCGTTGGCGATGATCTCGCGCGCTTCTTCCCGGAACGAGGTGGTCTGCAGTCCCGTCGCGGAGGTGGTGGTGTGCGTGTTGCCGTAGGTCCGCATGACCTGGTTGTGAATGAACCTCTCGATGCCTTCGAGCGATTTGCCGCTGGCTGTGTAGTCCGCGTACACTTGAGCTTTCGTACCGAACGGGGTGGTGAATGGAGAATTGCGGCCGATCATGTCGTGCGCGAGTTCTTCAAGTAGTTGCTTCACGTCGGAGCTCGAGTCATCGGAGTAGTGAGAGTTATAGATGAACGATGAAGAGAGCGTTGAGTTTCCTAGCAGACGACGGCTCTCTTCTTCTTCGTTTTTATCGGTAGTATCTACGGGTGTGGCGTGGGGGGTTGGCATGGCGGTCGAAATGCTCGTGAAAAAGTGGTCTTGATTTTCCACGGTATAACGTGAAGTCCGATCCGATCCCACGTGCGTAGTGCAGCCACCTGAAATGCGGGATTCGTCCTCCGAGTATCGTAACTTATGATTCATGTGCTACTCGTCTTCTTTTGCCAACTCTGCTCTACCCATGCATCACATTCTGTGCGGGCCAGTACTTTAGGTAATTTTAGCATCTGAATACCACATCACACAACGCTACGCGAGTGTACCCCCGCTCACTGATCCAACAAGTAATAATAAGCACTTCTAGAGGGAAAAAAAGTAGGAATGAAGCGCAGGTGTGCACGATTCATATCGTAAATGACTTGGTGGGCGCAGTATAATCAATTTACCGTTCTTCTCCAATGAACATACATGCCCTCCCGATTCGTCTTCAAGTTGCAGTCCAATCTATAACTTAGTGTACGTCACGCTATGCATTTAATTATGTGCGCCACTCCAAACGCCACCACTCAAACCATGTACGCAGGCGGAGGAGCCCACGAGGGCGAGCACCATGGCGCGGCCTCCTCGAGCGCCGCCGCGGAGGCCAACGACCTGGACGCGCTGGTGTTCGAGTTCGGCACGTCGCGCTGCAAGTTCGGCTACGCGGGCGAGGACTTCCCGCGCGTGTTCGAGCGCCCGCTGCCGCACGCGGAGGTGCAGGACGACGCCGAGGCCGCGCTGAAGCTGAACCGCCGCGCCGCGCAGACCGAGAGCGACCCGGAGAAGCTGGCGCAGTGGCTGTTCGACGCCGCCAGCTCGCGCCTGCAGACGCGGCTCAGCGAGCACCCGCTGCTGCTCGTGGAGCGGCCGTTCGCGCTGCCGGAGGACCCCGAGGACGCGGACAAGGCGGCGGAGGACGCGGATGCCGCCGACAAGCACAAGACCGTGGCGCAGACGCCGAGCGGCAAGAAGCGCGACCTGCGCGCGCGCGAGCAGATGGTGGAGGTGGTCATGGAGGAGCTGGGCGTGCCCGCGCTCTTCTGCGCCAAGAGCGCCGTGCTCGCCTGCTACGCCAACGGACGCACGAGCGGCCTGGTGGTCGAGATGGGCGCCACGTACACGAGCGTGACCTCGGTGCACGAGGGCTACGCCTTCGCGTACCCTAAGAGCCAGGTGACGCTGTTCGGCGGCCACGACCTGGACGCCTTCTTGAGGCAGAAGCTGGCCCCGCAGGTGGCCAAGAGCTGGGAGCAGAGGGCGGAGGCCACGTCGCTGGAGCAGGAGGTGGCCAGGAGGAAGAAACAGAGCTGGTCGTACGTGGTGGAAGCCAAGGAGAGCGGACTGTGCCGAGTGGCGGACGGACCCTTCGACGAGGTGCAGAACGCCCAGCTGCCGCTGATCAACTACGAGCTGCCCGACAAGACGGTGGTGGCCATGGGCACGGAGCGGTTTAGCGTCGCAGAGCACTATTTCCTGGGGGAGACGGTGCCCGCTACGGCGAGTACCGAGAGCGCTGGTGCTGTGAGCGACGGACCGGGCATGAGACTGCCCGAGTTGATTTGTGAGACTGGAGGACTCACGACCGAGACCGAGCTGCGCAAGGAGCTGTTCCAGAACATTGTGCTCACAGGAGGCAGCTCGTGCTTCGAGAACATGCCCACGCGCATTGAGCGCGAGGTGGTCACGACGTTGAGCGGTACGCCGCTGCCGCTTACGGCGTCGGGGAATTCAGGCGCGGCCGGCGGGTTTACGAGTAGTTTACGCGTTAAGGTGGTAGCGGCCCATGCTCAGGAGCGCCGCGTGGGGTCGTTCCTGGGCGGCTCCATCTTGGCGTCACTAGGCTCGTTCCACGAGATGTGGATGTCCAAGGCAGAGTACGCAGAGCATGGTGCCGCGCTAATTCACAAGAAGTGTCCATAAGACTGCAAGCCTAGGTGCTGCGGCGGGAATAGCATCCCCTTTTAGTGTTTAGTGACTACGTGCACTTGAGTTGTACCGATTGAGTTCCCGCAGGCATCAAGTTGAAGCGAGCCAATCTTATCGGCTCTGCCGATATATGGCACGGCTGATTTGTCGCGCGCTACACTGTACTCGAGTTCACGGAGGACATCCGCGGAAGGAGTTGGCAGACTGTGATGAGGCTGCGTAGGAATAAGGTTGAGTCGATAGCGTTCAGCCTCGTGCAGCCCGACATCTTGCAACGCGGCGGATCGACGTCCAAGCTTAAAGCCGTTTGCCTGTCTGAAGATGCTGTTCGCGCCCTCTAGGTATCAGCTCTACAATGCCGCGCAACAAACTTCAGCCTCACGCTACGCATAACACGCGCGGTCAAAGGCTGACACGGATCACCGCCGACTTCGAGTCTCGAGACAGTCCTCTAGGCTTGGACACAAATGCAACGGCGTCCACCTCTGGTGTGCCCGCTTCCTTCCTGCTGCGCAAGGCAGGGCTCACTGCTGTTGGAGCCCAACTTGGGCGGGACCTGCTCTCTCCAGGCAGCTGGCGCCCGGCGCAGTGCGCCGTCGTCGCGCCAGGAGACCACGCGCAGCTGGACGCCAGGACTGGCCATTTGCCTTACCGTTCGGGAAATTTGGATGAGAAAGCGTACCTCTGAAGCGTGGGACGCCCGGGCAACGGGTGGCGCTGCCTTGCCTGTGTCTCACGCGCTCGGAGGCTGCGAGGAGCTCTCCGGCCCTCTCCGTTTAACGAGCCAAGGTGGTGACAGTGCACGCACTTGTTTAAGATTTAGTTTTAAAAAATTATATACTTAAGCCCGGTGCGCGCGCTTGGTGCGTTCGAGCACGCTACTCCGTGAAATATCGTTTGCTAAATCTCGTGTCTTCATGCCGCGGCCGCTGTCCGTACGAACGCCTCGTGGTGCAGCACCTCTTCAATAGTCAGACGTTCGTTCGGGTCGCACTGCAGCATGCCCTCCAGCAGCTGCAGCGCGCGCTCGTCCAGCACGTGCGGCATCCTCCAGGCCGCCAGCACCTCGCGCACGCCCACCGCCTCGAAGGCGCGGAACGCCGCGTCCTCGCGTGTGGCCAGCGGCACGAGCGGCGAGCCCGTCACGAGGATGAACAGGATGATGCCGAGCGACCAGACGTCGGCCCCCTTGGGGTCGTACGCGGAGCTCGGTACCACTACTTCGGGCGCCATGTAGTAGGCCTTGCCCACGCGTCCCACGCTGAGCTGGTCAGCCCGCGCGGACAGCCCGAAGTCGCAGATCTTGCACACGCCGCGGCTGAGCATGACGTTCTCGAGACTCAAGTCACGGTGCGCCACGCCGAGACTGTGCAGGTAGGCCACTCCGGCCGCCACCTGCTGCACGACGGCGAGCGCGTCGACGCCTTGGAGGCGGCGGTTCTGGCCGCGGTTGACGCTCGAGAAGAGGTCGCCGCCGGCGCAGTACTCGAGCACGAAGTAGAGCGTCTGGCCCTCCACGAAGTCGTCCAGGTACTGCACGACGTGCGGGTGCGCGTCCGGCTGCGCGCGCTGCAGCGCCGAGAAGGCCTTCTCCTGGCGCGGGTCGTCGGGCGCCTGCGTCTCCGGCTTGCGCAGGTCCAGCATGTTGATGGCGTGCAAGAGCGACACGCTCTTGAGCGCGACGCGCCGCCGCAGCAGCTCGTCGGTGCACAGGTAGATACCGCCGTAGGTCGTCTGCGCCAGGCGCTGCACCACGCGATACCGGTTTCGGACGAGCGTCATGTAGGCGGGCAAGTGTTCGTGTGTTTTGTTCGCCTTGGTCACCTCGAAGCGAAATCCCAACTGGTCCGTTCAGTCCGTTTGAAGCGTTATCGCGAATCGCGCCGGCCAATCACAGGCGGGGATTAGCAGAGTACCAAGCTGGACGACTAAGGTGCGGGATACGTATGCTTTGGAGTTTGTAGCATGAACTTGGTCAACCTATGGGAGATTGCTTCGGTATTTTACTTCGGAACACGTCTTCCGTCATTGCGGTCGGCAGCACTTGACTGCAAGTCGGTTCTTAAGCGAGACATTAAGTCGTTCTTACCTGCACGTAGAAGGCGTCTTCTTCTCGCGGCGAAACCTAGCCGAGGCTCAATTTTTCTGGGGATATATATCTTCGATCGATCCAGCAACAAGATGCAATTTTTACAGGGCGAAGTCATGGACTAGGCCCCTTGATTTCGTTGAAGCGTGTAGCATCGTCTGCCACACTCCACATACATCTACGTGTTACATTTTGTTCTACAACTGCTGCTTCGAGCTCAGCGCGCTCTTACAAACGACATATCACTCCCAGGCTAGATGTACACAGCATCGGCCTACATAATTTGTCGAGAAGGCAGGCGCGACATGCAGAGCTACAACATCCTGGAGACGTCTGAACATCATTCTACTTTACATACGCCTTTTGGGCAGAACAAGAGCGGATGTGAAATAGTACAGACAACGACTTACAAAGCCGGCATGCTTAATGCCATCCTCCTATATAAAAGCAACGATAAATTCCCTCCCGTCAAATCTGTGAAACTGTCATAAAACACACGGCGTGTTGCATAAAGTACACAAGAAAGCATATAAAGTACACAAAACCAGATGGTATACAAAGATGAAGTCATTTGATTGAATCTGATTGGCTGGTTTGCTTATGTTAAGCTTTGCTTGACTTCGTCTGCCGGCTTTGTAAGTCGTTGTCTGTAATGGCCAACATGCGCCACCTGCGCTTCAGTATCCGTGGCCGGATCTTTTTGCATTCCTCCGATGTGTTACGCACAAGTTGAAGCGGTGCCTAAGCGAAGCCCTTCAAGCCCCAAGCAATTCGCCGCACCCAAGAATTGCTTGCTATTGCTGCTAGCAGCTTCAGCACCGCACCAACACGTCCGCCGTCCTCCTTGCCGGACGCGCTGCCGGTGCCCGCAAGCAGATCGCCACGCGCTCGTCGCCAATCACGGCGGCCGCACTAACGTTCTAATTTTTCTCAAGGCGCGATCGGCCAATCGGAGTCGGATCGGCTGATATGTTTGAACCGTGGCGTCCGCCTCACAAGGACCTCTACGGTATAAGATCACGTGTCTGCAGCGAATCAAAGTGCGGCATGGCGGAGCGTGGTTAATAGCGCACACAACGTGGCTCTGTAGGGGCGCCAGTGTCCACTATATTTTTCGAAAGGCATTCTACGGTATCAGCATGGACGATGGTCGGTCGCCCATCGGATGGACTCCATCCTTGGTCGACAGCGCTCGCGGTCTTGGCCACGTCGACGGGAGCTGCGGGTCGAATGAGGGCGGCGCTGGCGGTCTTGTGACCACGTGTGCAAGCCACAGCGTGTTAAGCTCAGCAGCGTTCTCTTACGCTGGGGTGGAAACTATTATCTGTGGTACAATCTTACACTCATCCACGGCTGACGTGGGCCCTTTCTGCTAGACCACGTTGCCTGCGGACCCTGCAGTCCCGTGTGTGGTGTCTACGTGGAGATTTGTAAGCTAGAAGCTATTCACGCGAAATCGCTCCGGCCAGCAACACTGACATATCCACACCAGTATTGAAAGGGCCTGGACGACTCACTCTAACGTTACTTCTCAATGGCGCCGGTCGTCTTCTAAGGGATGATGCCCCCGATTCAGATCACCAGGTCCACCAGCTCACCCAGTGTCCACGGCTGGCGTCCGCAGCACCCGATCTTGTCATCACCGTTCTCCTGACCGCCTCTGCAAACGGTCTTTTAGTTGACAACTTGCCAGGGACCAAGCAGGCCTCCTTCAAGCCGAGAATTTCGTAGAACCGAAGAGTTTCGTCATCCGCAAGCAATGGCCACCTTGAGCAAGCCGGAGCTGCAGCCTCCAGGTGCCCGGCCAAAAGAAGATTTTCTCCGTGCTGCATCGCGCGCGTACATCGTGCAGTTGGTCAAGTCCCAGATACTAAACTTTTTGCTCCTGTTGCAGCCGGCGGAGCCCACTTTTCGAGCATGAAGAGCGGCCGTCTCCACCGACGCTAACACGCTCGCCGTGGTGCAAAAGCTAGCAGCGTCTGAGCTGTGAAGAGAGGCTGCACGACAAGGCATTGTACGAGCGCGCGAGCGAGCAAGCCGTATGAACTTCATGCAACTTCCTGTGCGGTTAACTCTAAAGCTGGTCGCTGCACTTCGTTAAACGCCGTCGCCCAGTCCGGGACGGCAAAGAGTCCGCACCACTCTGCTGAATCCCACTGCGTTCGCCCTTGGCGAACTGATCCGAAATGCTCAGCGGCCTAGTGCTCCTTGTCAACTTCGGCTGACCGTGTGTGCTGAAGCTGAAGATACGTCGCGTGGCATTGCAGCCGGTGGGGACGACAGCGTCTTCAAGGGCTTCAGGTTCTGGAAGCCCCTGCTGAAAGTGGACAGAGGGTTTGACGACGATGGTGTCATGATGAGCGGGATTTTATCCCGAGTTGTTAGGGCGATAGGTGCAAATCACTATAAAAATATATGCTCCGCTATCGGTTATAAACGAACGGATCATTAACGTATCGGAACGTACCCGTTAACTTTAATAAACGCTTGGATAATATATTATCCAGCGGCGTGTTGCTTGAGTCTTTTAGGGTCGACATTCGCGTGACACGATCGATCGGATGTCGCTCGACCATGACTCCAAACATAACTACAGTTGTGTTTGCAGTACATGTATGTTCAACGATGTTACATCGGTGTCGCCACGTTCAAGTCATGGAACGACACCCACGTACACCCACGACTTCAATTTAAAGTCGTGGGTGTCGTTGAAGTCTTCAAACGATGCTGGTCTCGTTTCAACCATTCTGCACGTGCATACGTACCGTTACCGCCGCATTCAAGCCTTGACGTTGTCTGCATATTATTGCAAGATAGCTAAGTCATAGCGAGTGACCAGTACATGCTCGCGTAAGGGCTTGAGATAGTTGGCAGTGCATGCTTTCATGGTTTCGGAACTTGGTAGCAAACCCGAATAAAGACAAAAGCACCAACTGCTGAAATTTAAGGATACTTCGCTCTAACCAAGGAACCTCGGGTAGGCACATTTAAGATAAATTAACTTAGAATCAAACCTAGAATCAAAACTACATGACAAAGTCCAGAGCTTCTCCGTGCTTTAGCACGGCTTAGTATTAATGGGGTATGCCGGTCGCGTAGCTTCCTACTCTAGCGCTCCCCTCCCTCTTCTTTTGCCACGACATGACGGAGAACTTGGGGCTTCTTGGCACTGTGAGCTTCTTGGCTGGGTGTTTCTTACCAGTGGCGTCTGCGCCGTGAAGCTGCGCCGACGAGCGCTGAGGCTTGAGGTGAACCCCTTCCTCCCTCGAATCGGAAGACTCTTGGTGCTGCTCATTGCGGCTCATTCCGGCCAGCATGTCGTTAGCAGTCTCTGCTAGAGACTGGCCCGTGTTGGACCGTTGCGCTCGGATGAGCGAGTTGATGGAGCCCACGAAGGTGTTGCTGGTCCCGGAGTTCCTGGCTGTGAGGGAGCCATTGGCCGTCAACGGTCGAGGCTTCGAACGGACAGGGCCGGCTGAAGACACTCGACGCGGCCTCCCCGCTGCATTCGGTGCTGAAACTTGGTCCACCGGCTTTAGTTTCTTGCTTTTAGTCAGCAGCATGGCTGACCCCGGACGGTTCGAGCGCGAGACGCCACTGCACTTGTGACTATCGGACGTGTCGCTCCTTGGTGGGGAGGCAGGAGACGATGCAGAAGATGAAGAAGAAGACGAGAGGGACGACTCGGGGTTCCTGCTTTGCTTGGTTTGCCACGCCTGCGAGTGATTGAAGGACGTCGAGGTGGAGATGCCTCGTGAGGCGCTCACTGGGTCTGGCGTCTTCGCGGACACGGAGAGAGACGCGATGAGAGCTTTTGAGCGCTGACTTAGGGCGATGGCTGTCGCGATCGCATCCGTTGCAGATGCGTCGGCGTTTTCTGTAGCCTTTGGTCCTGGCGTCGACTCTGGTTTCCGTGTTGTTGTGTGTATGTGACCGTGGGCGGTTTGATAGGACAAACTCGTTCGAGTAGTTCGCGACTTCAATTCTTCAAGTGCTGTTGTTGGGCTGTTCACCATCGTGGAGGACTCCCCTGGCACAGAGCTGACAAGTGGGGGCTTGAGGTCTCGAGATCGAGCTGGCGGCTTGCACTCTTCTTCCTCCGGTGGTGGAGATACTCTTGACGTCAAACTATCTGACAGTAGAGAGGCTTGAGCTGCCACGACGCGAACGTGTTCGTGCTGATTCGAGACCGCGATGCCAGTTTCTTGCTGTTTCGGGACAGGTGGCTTACTAACGGCTCGTATACGCTGGCGATTCGATCCAAATGTGGCGGCTTGAGGTTGTCCCTGTTGAGCTGCTTCATTGTGCTGGTGACTTTGTGCTTGGGCTTGACGTATGTTCGTATGAAGTTTGCTGAGTCGAGTGCCAGAGCTGCCGATATTTGCCGTCGGTGTGGAGCTTGATGTCGCGTTGGGGGTCAATCCAGAGCGAGTTTTCTCAACTGCTGGACGGTGGTCGGGGGTATCACTACTGTCTCCTGAAGAGCTGCTATCGGCGTGTGCAGAGCTACCCCGAGACGTGACGGACTTGCGGTGGTTGTCCACCTCCTTTACAATGAGCGCACGCAGGTCCATCTTGCTCAAGTTCTTCAAGTCAAAGGAGAAGTCCGCGCGCATGGACGGCGGGGGGTCCACCCCTCCGCTGCGATGTCGGTACTTACGCTCGATGTCCTGCATGTACGGGTGGTCAAGCGCTTCTTGCGCAGATATCCGTTTGGCTGGGTCAAACTCCAGTAGGCGGTCGAGTAAGTCCACAGCGGCGTCACACGCGTTCGGGAACAGTGTACGGAATGGCACCTTCGGCTTCCTGCCTAGTGATCGTAAGAACCGCTGAGCTTGAGAACTCTGAATTCGCGTCGTGGCCTCAGGCGGGGGAGCTCCGATGACATCAAAAATGAGGGTGAGTTGATGCAGAAAGTTTTTGCCAGGGAACAACGCCTTGCGACCCAGGATCTCAGCGAAGATGCACCCGACAGACCACATATCCACGCTCTGGTCGTACAGTCCATCAGGCTGCAGCATCAGTTCAGGAGCTCGATACCAGCGAGTTACGACGTGTTCAGTCATGGGTGGTCGTTCCAAGATTCTGCTTGACGATGAGCCTGAGCTAGCTGCGGGTGCAGATCGAGGGCGCTCAAGGGTGCCGGAGGACCCCAAGACACGAGGAATCTTCCGGGCAAGACCAAAGTCGGCGATTTTGAGCTGACATGTCTTGCTCAGGAGCAGGTTTCCCGGCTTCAGGTCTCGGTGCAGCACGCCGTTGTCGTGAAGATACTTGACTCCACGCAGAAGCTGGTGGAGGAAATATTTGGCATGAGCGTCGGAAAGAGGCTGCGAGCTTTGGATCACGCGGTGCATGTCCGTGTCCATGAGGTCCATTACGATGTACAGCTCGTCGTCTTTCAGATTGGTCGACAAATTGTGGATCGATATAACCTGGCGATACAAGGGGATAGCTTGTTTTAGTTCTCTCTCAAGTATTTCACCCGACACACAAGACCGCGACAATCGTACATTCGGGTGCTTGCCGAGGAGCTGCAGCAGCAAAACCTCGCGAAGTGTGTGCTTGGCATCTACTGTGCGTTTGGCCATGGGGCTCACTTTCTTGATGGCCACGCATTGCCCTGTTTCGCGGTCTTTTGCGGCACTGAACAAAGGATTTAGTGATCGCTGTCAATTCCAACCAGGAAGTCAAGCCGTGCTACGTACCAAACTATGCCGTACGAGCCTTTGCCTAGCGGATTGAGGAACTGGTACCGGGAGCTCACTTTGAACACACTGCCGTACACCTTGAATCCAGTTGCATGACCACTGGAGCTGCTTCCGTGTGGGCCGATGCTACTAGATGAAGACGACGCCATAACCAAGAGCAATCAATGAGGGAAATCCACGGTTTTCTTATCACAAGAGAGGGCATTGAGCACTGCGTAGACGGAGATCAAGCTTCCTAGGCAACGATGCAAATAGAACTCCGCATTTGGCGCGCAGATTGCCAGTTAGATAGTTGATGTCCTAGCTTAGGTGACGTTGCCGTTCTGAACAACCCGCTACTTCATCTCTGTCGGCCTACAGACTGCAGAAAGACGATCATCTTTTCCTCAGGCATATCGGCTTCCTCGCTCGTTGCAGCAAAAGGCTGGTCAATCACCCCAAGCCACCGTCCTGGTCGTCCGACCTTCTGATGGCGTAGTAGTGAACATGGTGCAGCGACGCCAGTCTCTCTATCTGCTCAGCAGGAACCTCGTTCGTACTCACCTCGGAGCTTGAAACCACGAGGTGCACCTTGCTGTTCGTAGGGACCCCCTCCAAGATGTACTTGATCCTTTCTCCTGTAAGTTTCTCTTCGACCGATACGTTGGGGCTGATGATGATCATCCCCTGGCTGTCCCTTACTGCATGGCCAAGGTTTAGTGGCATTTCAAGCAGAAAACTTGGCCAGTTTGTATCGGGCATGGCAAGATACGGAATTGTCAGGTCCGGGCGCGGAAACGATTCGTATTTGCACGGGACGTGGGAATCCCGGACGCCAAGCTCAAAGAGTAAGCTCAACAAAAAGTTCTCAAACTGAACCCCAGCAAATCCGCCCCTGTGACTCGCCAACACCGTCGCTCCAATCACCAGAGACTCCAGTTATGCACTGCTACTCGAACATAATATGGGGCTTAACACTGACTTGGCGTCTTCCAGTACACTTTGGAATGCTTGGCGAAATGATACCAGCGGATACGGAGCAGCCTCGAATGGGTGGACCAACTTGCCACCCATCGCGCAGAGATACAGCAGCACGTCTTTCTCAACCTTCGGAAACACTGAGCTGCTAACGTTAGTCCAAGCCGCTGAATCATCTTTCACAAGTCTTGCGCGCGAATTGTCCGTCGATCCTCTGCCAAAGCCGCGATCTTGACTGGAAGGCTGCAGCTCACACGATACGTAGCGTAGATTGAACGGCTCTTCTTCCGACAGACACACAAAGTGGTTGTGAACCAGGAGACATTTTTCATCCTGGATATGCCTCGCTGGAAGAAAGAGACAAAGCTGGCCGACATGGAAACCCCAAGGGTTTTTGTAAGCTGGAAATTGACGCGCCAGTGCTTCCACCATCTTGTCCATATAGTCGGCTAGACTAACGCTACTGGACCAACGGCGGCGATTGACATAGTTCACCATCGCCTTCGCGGACAGAGCCCGACTGTGCTTCACCAGCACTTTCAACGCCGCTTCAATGGATGGATCTTCACTTTGTTGGGACAGCGGGAACACGATGCAACGGAGTGGCGCGTCACGCTCCAGCGACTCCACTTCTGTCGAAACCACGTCCCTCCCCGGCCCATTTCGAGAGCTCATTATGACTGTGAGGTCGAAGGACCGGAGCACATTCCGCATGAAGAGAATATACTGCGTCGAGGTGTCGTTCTTGGGGTCTGCTAAGAACGGAACCTCGTCCAGAAAGAATACAACCGGGCGTCTGCGTTTTTCCCGACGTGCTGGGATTGCATAGTAAACGTCTGAGCGTGCACGCACTCCGTACGTCGCCTTCTTGTCCATCAACAACGCGTAGATGAATCCGTAGGAATGGAGCATTTGCCTCGATATGATGTCAGCAATTTCAGGGCTGCGAACGTACGCGAGGTCCTTCTTCACACAACAACGGAATGCTGCAGACCGACCAATGGAGTCGCGATACACGGGCTGGTGCCATTCGAAAGGAGTCGTCCTCTCAAAAACAATGTAAAACACGTCCAAGTCATCACGCGCCATCAAGTTGAAGGCATTTGGGTTTTGCCGGTTCCTCTCGACCCTTCCAAGGATATGAACGGAGTCCCGTACTTCGTATCTTGAGCTCGATGGATTGCATCCACCAGTTCATTCACGTGGTCAGAATTTCTCAGCACTTCGGCACATTCTCGATACGGCATTGTGTGTTTGTGCTCCACTCTATCCTCGATTGTGATTAAGGTTTGTGCCCCTCTTCGGTGGTACTTGCACATTTGCACCAAGTCCGTCTCCGCCACCAAAATGTGGATGTGTAGTGGATCAATTCCACGCAATGCGCTTCCTAGCGTCTGCGTGGGATCGAGATGCTGTCCATACACTTCTTGAATCTCGTCCAGATCGGGAATTTCCATCTCCAGATCTTCTTCTTCTGGCTCGCCTTCAGCCAACCATCTACCGTCCTTCTTGGCGAGAAAAAGCCGTTGCGTTGAGGCATCGACCTGGAGAGTTTAGAGCCATTCTGTCACCAGTTGCTCACGGATTCCCGGACAAACGATCAAGAGCCAGCGACTACCAAGACAGACCGTGCCTATTTGCATAGTTACGAAGTTCTATAACTAGCAGGCCCTCCGGTGGTTTCTGAACTATCAGTGAGGACGCCTCTTCACTCTAAGAAAATTCATCTCCAGAGCAACGCTGTTGCTCGCTCTTGCTTAACTCCTGCTTCCGACTTCGCTTCCTCAGCTTACGGATTGTTGTTCACCCAGACGTGAAGCCTGTTTCAGGGGTGGGTGGCACCATATTGCAACATAGTAGCCTTCGTCAAGGAGCTACGGCAAAAATGAGCGACAGTAACATGGAGGAAAGTCCATGTCCAACCGAGCTTGTGCAGGCTTTAACAGCTGAAGAAGTGGTCTCTCTTCGCGCGATTCTGGCCGACCATCAAGGAATTCAAGCACAGCTACAAAAACTAAGTGTCGACAAAGTCGGGATCACGAAGGGGATGTCCGAGTACGCGTTGAAGAGCGACGAAAAACACCTAGCAAGTGCCCAGATCTTGAAGGACAACCAGCTACTACTCCAAAAGCTCGTCACGCAGACCCAAGCGGCATCCCAGCAAATGCATACATGACTGAGCACTCTGGAAACGCGGATCAGCATGATTGCAACTCAAGCGGCCGAGATGAGAAGCGAAATCAGCCTAGCAGTCGAGAACATCAACACTTTAAAGGACACCGTGAACAAAATTCAGCCTGGGACTCTAGTTTTCCCCTCCGAAGACTTGTACCCTAAGTGGGACGTCACGGGACCTGCTCCAGACGACGCCCTTAAGGAATTCACAACAGCAGAACTGGAAACCCGAATCGAGAAGTGCCTCAAACAGAAAGAGACACCCGCTTACAGTGGTGAGGATTCGGACGACATCGAAGTTTTCGCGCTTAATATGATCTCTTGGTACGCAGCGTACGGGCTCTATTTCAAAAATCCGCAAGTCGATCTTCGCGTGGCCCAGTTGATGATGAACCACACACGTGGCAAGGCAAAAACCTGGTATCTTTGTGGCTTCAAAGGCACCAAGACCTGGACAGCTATCGTCAAAGGTATGCATAATCGCTTCGTCACCAAGGCCAAGGAAGAAGAGCTTGTGGCTAGCTTCTTTGACTGTAAGCAGGGAACGAGATCTCTGGACGTGTACATGGAGGAATTTGTACGCCTTGGTAACACAGATGATGTCTCTGAGCAGTACAAGATGGTTTTGTTCAAGAAAGGACTCAAATCGACTAAGCTGCGTGAGCTTCTCCAAGTTCGTGAGTTCGACTCTTTGGACGATCTTCTAGATGGAGCTCGGGGCCTTAACCCCAAAGACGCTGATACTGGACCGGCAAGGATCAACGCCAAGCCAGCAAAGAAACCAGTAGCGGCACCTCCTCAGCAGAAACCGCGCACTCGCAACAGTCAGCGGTGTTCTTCTACTCGGTGTCTTGAAACCGGCCATACAGCCGACACGTGCTGGGCATTACACCCCGATTTGAAGCCGCAGTGGCTTCTAAACAGGGAGAAAGCAGGGTACAATAGCATGGCCGCGCCTGCACCGCCAATCCAACTGCCTTCTACGACCGACACTAAGCTGTGGGAAGTGCTCACCGCTATTCAGACTGATCTGTCAAAAATCAAAGCCAATTTAAACTAACCGGTCCTACGGATGGCATCCTAGGACCTGACGAAGCCAATGACAATTTGGACTCGTGGGTCTTTGACCCGGGAAAAACCAACAATGCGAAGTACTTCGTGGAGAATACCCAAGTCGCTACGGATTGGAGTCGCAACTTGATCAAGGAGGTTGGTTGCGTGTGCAATGGCGAGCTGCTGACTCGTGGATCGGCCTTTTTTGATGAGGGCGCCGATTTCTGTGGCGTTAGTGAGGAGTTCTTGCGGAAGAATGAGCTGATCGACTTTGTGGTCGACAAAGGGACCTTCGAGGTCACGTTTGGAAATGGAAAGACGGAGTCCATCCCGAATCGCACTATCTCTTTAAGTATTTTCGTTGATGAGATGTCTTCTTTTGACTTTGAATTCAATGTTTGCCTGATTCCGAATGGGTGCGATTTGATGATGGGGGTTCCGTGGAAGAGGAAGATGCAGCCGATTATTGACTAGGCGATCGACCGAGTGTACGACACCGATCACTTCGTTGGGCTCGTGTTGAAGCACGGAAAAAACCATCTTACAAGGCGGCGCTGCGAGAACAGGATATTGAACTCCGATCTCCTGTTTTAAAGATCAAGAACCGTCGTACGCAACAGCAAACCAAGATGCCGATTTTACGCGGCCAGAGTGAAAAGCAATTTCACTTTAGCAAAGTACACGGGAAGACCCGGTACATTTCGATTAAACAAGCTAGACGACTTGTCAAGAAAAAAGCCTTTGAATTTATGGTTGTTCTTCCCCAGGCCACGATTAATGCGATTCACGCTACGTGGAGTAAAGGAGGTGACTTTCTGGCGGTATATCTTGACCAGATCGCTCAGCACCAACAATTCAATTCGGTAGAAACCAAGACGCGCGAAAAAAACGGAGCGTCATGCAACAACAGATCAAGAGAGTTTTAGGTCGAATCCGGCGTTCCCTTTGATCAAGAAATTTGAAGAAATATTCCGAGCGCACTTACCAAAAGGGCCACCTGCACATGGTGAACATGAAATGGAGCTAACGCCTGGTGAGGGTGCAATTTTCCGTCCCCAGTGGCGTTTGAGCCCGGAACAAACTGAGACGCTACGCGTGTGGCTAAAGGAGATGCTAGCAGCATGTCTAATTCGGCCGAGCATCTCACCCCACGGCGCTCCCACTTTTTGTCAGAAAACCTGTGGGTTGGCGTATAGTCCATGACTATCGAGCCATGAACGAGCGTACCATACGACAGTCTACACCTATGCCGAGAAAGGATGATATCTTGGATCGCATGGCAGGATGCCGCTGGTATAGTTGTTTCGACTTGTTTTCGGGCTACTACCAGAAACGTATGCGGGAACGGGATATACCTTTGCAGACGGCCTCTTCGAATATATTGCTGTCCCCATGGGGCTTAGCAATGCTCCCGCTACGTTTAATCGCATCGTCACCGGGATTTTCAAAGATTTAGGGGACACGGTGGCCACCTACTTTGATGATGCTCTAAGTAGACGAAGTGACTTTGAAGTTGATTTTCTAGCGCTGAAGAACAAGCAGTTGTACGCTGCCAAAAAGGTCCCTGTGTTGTCGTTAATGGTGCAAGTTCGTAGAGCCCAGGTAACTCAGAAAGTGGTGCGAGAGAGCTTAATGCACAAGAAGAAGCTTCCAATAGCTCATGCAAAACGCTATCGCTATTCTGAAGTAGATGATATCGTTTACTACGACTTGAGCGGAGCGTCTCGCATATGGATTCCTTCCAACAGTATCGAAGTGCAAAATGGTGTACTTTGGGAACTCCGTGATAGTGTTCTTAGTGGGCATCCTGGGATCGAGAAAACTGTGCATGTAGTGCAGGAGAGGTTTTACTGGAAGAACATGGTTCGTCGAATTACGCAGTATATTAAGACGTGCCAGGCCTGCCAGCGAAGTAAAGGAAGGACTGGAAAAACTCCGGGCTACTTACGTCCGTTGGAGGTGCCTACAGCAAGGTGGGAATCTATTGGTATGGATTTCGTCACTGACCTTCCGGAAAATGAAGCGGGAAATGACGCAGTGCTGGTAATAGCAGATCGATTGACCAAGAGGGCGCACTTCATCGAAACAAACACGTCCATTTCAGCGGAGGAGTTCGCTGGTGTGTTTGTGAATCACTACGTTCGCTATCATGGGATCCCTCGTGATATAACCTCAGATCGAGACACGAAGTTCACCTCAAAATCTTAGCAGGAGTGTGCTCGCCTAACAGGGACGAAACTGCGAATGTCAGCAGCCTACCAGCAGAGAACTGACGGTCAAGTGGAGCGTATCAATGCCGTATTGGCCGCGTACCTTCGGAGCTACGTGAGCGGCTATACGAACAATTGGGGAGACTACTTGGCTCTTGCTGAATTCGCCTACAACCGGCACTACCAATCCAGTATTCAGATGACGCCGTTCTTTGCTGATTTGGGTTATAACCCGCCGATGCCAGTACATAACGACGTTCCTCGGCCAACGAACTCGCGTGACCCATCCGTGTCCTTCCTGCTGTACATGGAGGAAATTCTACGTGGTCTCCAGGCTAAAGTTCGGGAGGCAGCACAAAAGATGAAATTGCACTATGATAAGGGACGCCGTGACCAAACTTTTCAACTTGGAGATATGGTACTTGTATCGACAAAAAACTTGAGTGTGGAAAATGCAGGTGCGCTCAAGCGGAAACTAGCCCCGAAACGGATCGGTCCGTACGAAGTTGTTGAAGTACAACATGGAGGTATATCGTATCGTCTGAATCTTCCGCCTCAAGTCACACTTTATCCTGTTTTCCACACCATGAATTTGAAGCTGTTTCGGAAAGACAAGTCGCCATCTCGTATGAATGCAGTACCTACTGTCCGACTAAAGGATGGGTCCGAAGGACACCTGATTGAAGAGATCCTGGAGCATCGATTAGACAAACACGGTCTTGACGAGTTGGGTGGGCGCTAATGACGATATTACTTGGGAACCTGTTGCGAATCTCCCATCGGTTCCTGGACTCATTAAGGAGTACCTACGGCAGCTCAATGGTCTGAATCCCAGAGGATCAAAACGACTACGTGAACACCAAGCGTCGATGAATCACAGGAAATAGGAGATTGAGCTCGCGGAGGTACAGCCTACTATATGGCTTCAATTCAGTGAATCCAGCCTGATGTAAGTCTCTTTCAAGCGAGGTCGTGTCACCAGTTGCTCTCAGATTCCCGGACAAACGATCAAGAGCCAGCGACTACCAAGACAGACCGTGCCTATTTGCATATTTACGAAGTTCTATAACTAGCAGGCCCTCCGGTGGTTTCTGAACTATCAGCGAGGACGCCTCTTCACTCTAAGAAAATTCATCTCCAGAGCAACGCTGTTGCTCGCTCTTGCTTAACTCCTGCTTCTGACTTCGCTTCCTCAGCTTACGGATTGTTGTTCACCCAGACGTGAAGCCTGTTTCAGGGGTGGGTGGCACCATATTGCAACACATTCAGTCGCAATCCGATCCTGCAAGACTTCGATCGAGTCTGTGGTTGCCATCTTAAACGAAAGGAACCGCATCCCAAGCCCAGAATCAAACACCATCGTCGACTGTAAGTTGGATTGGCCTGTCTTCCGAAGCCGTGAAGGAACTGGTAACAAGGATGTGAACAAAAGGATCGTCCGGGCCAACGCGTCCTAGCACATTCCAGATCATCTCTTTGGGATGAAGGCACGTAAGAAGGTCTACACCTTTGCCAATCCAAGTTGGCAGTAGTGTAAGGCAAAGGAGAGTGTCCCGTAAGTAGGAATTTTATTTTTTTAGCAAAATCGAAAAGTCGAAATTTTGTGTAGACCGACATGGATTTAGTTCAGAGCTAAATCTACGTCCCGTATTCCATGGGTTCACTTCGAATAGCGGCCGCGACAGATAGCGCGCAGTGGCGTGCCATTTTGTTGACGAGGCGCATGTCGATACAGGGCATGCAATGCTCGGCGGCTTTTTCTAGCAGTTGCACGCGACGCTCTGCCTTCTCACCGTAGGGCACGTTGATCATCGTACCCTCAATTGGGTTACACATCGGCGAGTATGGGCCAAGACGTAACAGCTTCAAGTCCTCTCTGTCTTGGACCAGGTCCTCCGTCCGACAGTGGGCGGGGGCGTTGTCCAAGACGATGACAATGGTCTTGCCAACAAAGTCGTCGCGGTATACGTCGTGGGCTTTGCCCGCGTCGTACACCGCGTCCACAAACGCTGCGTTGACCTCCATCTTGATGCTACCACGACGTGTAACGTAGTATGCGAGCCCGACTTCAGGCGAGATCGCGCACTGCACCTGCAAGTTAGCGCCTTTAGAGGGAGGGAGCTTAACGACGGCGCGCTGGCCGATTGGGGTGCGGCCTTGCGTACGCTTGCAGTACAGATTGTTATTAGCCTCGTCATAATATACGACGAAAGACCCAGTACGCTCATGACGCAGCAGCGCTTCGCCGAGCTCCCTTCTCTTCGCGATGTTCACTTCGTTGTTACACGTTTCAGGCTCAACACGAACCTAGCACAATTACATACATACTTAGTACAGCGCATAGATCAAAACATAGTAATGAAACCCGACTGTAAGCATGTACCTGTTTAACAGTGTAAAGCTTATCACATAGCTTCTTACTGATAAGGGAAGTGCTGATGTGACCACCGAAGTCGAACTCGAGCATCTCTTGCATCTGCACGAGGGTGTACTGACAGTTGTCTTCGAGATAAGCGACAAGGGCTTCCTCCATTTCTGGAGTGCATTTCGTGCATGCCGCCCGTGCGCCGCCTCTCTTCTTGATGCCGGCAGCTCCACGCTCGACGATGCTGCGAGCAGTCGTGGGCGGGATGCCGTTGCAGTCGGCTACTAGCATCCAGTCCCGCCCTTACCTGTGCGGGTCGAGCACTCGCGTGCGGGTGCCGCCGGAGAGAGACTGCTACCGGCCATCGGTTTGGGCTTTGCCCTGGACTAAATTTGCATTGCTCTAAATGCTATTTTTCAAAAATATTTTTCGAAATATGGATGTTACTTCAGTTACTTCAGTCTGTTTTGCCTTACACTGCTGCCAACTTGGATTGGCAAAGGAGTACATTTTCGAAATCCTCCATCGTCAGCTCGTGCACCCTGGGCGAGTCGAGCGGAAGCCACCCTGCGCTGTCAGCTAGCTGAATCCTACAGTTTGCGAGTATGCTGCAAGTTTTTTTTAGCGCATCGGCAAGATCTCCGACGTTCCCCGACTCCTCCACATTCACAGCAAATGGAGGCACTACGACCAAACACTTCGGTCTCCACCGCAGGTTTATGAATACTAGTTTCAGGAGATATTGGATTGAGATGTTCGGACGGCACGGACAGTTCCTGACAAGCTGACAAGGTGTTCAGCTAACCATTCAAATCGAAAGGTAAAGTCGACACGTGCAGAGCAGGCTATTAGGCTTATTGTACGACTTCAGCTGGGCACGAAACGTACCGAAGTGGTCTACTCGAAAGCTCATGGCCATCAGCATCCATACTATCATCTTGGTCTGAATGAGCATCATATGTGCCTCCAAGACGAATGCAAGGTGATGGGCACCCTTACTCTACAACTGTGATTCATTCCGACAAGAAGCACAATGAATGACACAATCGTCAGCATCGCGTAGAGGATGAGCTTGTCGACTGTAGAGTTCACGTTATCTTCGGTAATGCCTGCCAGATTGTAGTGTCTCGCGACCCTAAGTTGTTTGCTTGCTTGGGGATCCGTGCTTGGAGGTAAATTGAATTCTGTATTGAATGGAATCAGTGCGGCTGACGCCGCGGTGGTTTCTGTTAGTTTCTCTTTGCTAGTATGCCTCCTGAGTATGCAATATACAAATGCTGAGAGTGCACCACGCTCTCATGCTTGCTCTTGCCGTAGGTAACGATGTCTGCTTGAACTAGCCAGTCCCAGGCGCCTACTACACCGCCCTCCAAGCAGAACTTCGCCCTCGAGCCCCCAATGCTGCAGCTTGTGGCTTTGCTAGTCGCTGGTCGTGACCTTGGCCTTGATCTTGGTCTTTGTGCGGCAGTAGCGTTTTGGTGCCGTTGGCTTCAGTTGGGTGGCGCTGGTGTTAGTGTGACGCGGTGTCGATCCCTAAATTCGGGTCGATGCACCTGAACCTGGGAAGTCCCAATGATGTGGAGCTTGGTGATACTGGATGATTTGGAGTCTCCTATAAAAACAAGGGTAATGTCTGCGAATGGACGCTGAATCCCGGAAGATAGATCAATGTGGGCGAGTTGATCCCGTTCTATGAAGTGCAACGGAATGCGAGCGATCCTCCCCAGTATATCTAAGTACGGCGGAACTCGACTCTGGCTTACAACCTGGGAGCTGAGGCACTTCTCAGATTCCCCGTTGTTTTCCTGGAATATCGATTCCCAGACTTCGCGTTCCCAGACTTACCTCCCACAAAATTCCAAGAACGACCTCGGCTTGAGGCGTTCCGAGGCTCCAAACCCAAGAACACTTGGTTTCACTATGACATCTTCCAAGATCCTAGGTGTACCCAACAACTCCGAGAAGGTATCCAGTTTGGCGACCCTTCAAGGCCAGACCAACACTCCGCAGAAAGGTCGCAGTCTCCGAAGGGTCGCTTAGGAAAGATTTCGTCTGCATGTGACCTTTAACCAAACAGAGTTCGTTTTGCTTCGAAGGGCACAAGTGCTTCTTTCACAGCCTGGAAGGCCGTTCTCCACGACAAAATTCAAAGTACTTTAGGTAAGTGATCCACTGCTTCGGCCTGGAAGTGATCATATCTATTCCATATCTGTATATTTGGCGGATTGCAGACCGTCTTTGTTGTATATTTGCGGTCTATTGGGCCTGTGTCGAACTGAAGAAGTTGGCGACAGGGTAGATCGTTTCCTCTCTCCGAGAGGTGGTGCGCGTCCCCAAGATTGATCAAGTGTCTTGGATTTGGACCAGTTGACTTGTATTTTGGCCTTAGCCTTGGGCCTAGAGAAAGAAGAGAGGGCAAAGAAGTATTTGTGTGATTGTATAACGTATATAACTCTATTTGGGTTGGATTGTTCTAGCGTTAGCCCGGCGTAGCTGTCTGATTCACGGGGTCGATACTAACCTCCTGGTGAAAAGAACCGCTACCCAAGGGATACACATCGTGCGCCTGACCAACAGCGTGTACTGGACAACACACACCCTGTGCCAGCCGAGACGGACCCAAAGCTCTAGTAGCCTGAGGTCTGTCAAGGAGGGCCTATATCTGCTTTCTGGGAGAAAACACCGCATCGCCTCGTCACATTAGTGTGCTTGTTGCGACGGAAAGAACGCGTCGCTTTCAATGTCGGCTTGGCACGTGTCGCTCCCTTCGGATGTGAGGTCAGGTTGAGTACGAACTGACGCAACTTGTCATCGTTCGCATTATCCACGTATGTCTGCAACTTGACCGGGACATCCTCACACGGGTTCCCAGGAATCTTCAATGTCCTCGAGTCCCTCCCACCCTACCTGTATTTCATAGGAATGGGTTGGATGCTTGCGGTGTTGCTTAAATGTCTCCACAGTTAGATAGACATCTTGATTCGCAACATGTTCCAATATTTACTCGTTGACATGAAGGCTGCTGTCCGCGTATCGTTTGAGACGCGATGCATGGACTGTCCTGGTTGCACCGGTCAACAGGTGCTCGATCTCAAATGAGTTGACGTTGGCATCAATTATACGCTATGGCCCAATCCATTTGACCGCCATCTTGTTCACATGTGTCTTCGAGTCGACACGAGACCATAGAACGTAGTCTCCGACATAGAAATTGACTGGAATTGCACGTCGCTGGTTCCTTTTGTTGCGCTCCGTTTGCTTCACTTTGGCGGTGACGATGTCGTGGTGTATGTCCTCGAGAGACGTTTTCAATTCTTTGACGGCCACTTTGATGTCCGGGGTAAGCTCGTTCACTTCCTGGACATTGGCTGCTATCGCCTCAGTAGCCACCAGCACTTTATGTAGTGGTGTCGTTGCCTTCGCGCCCGCAAACACCTCAGCTGGAGCGTGGTTAGACAGCGAATCCACTGGACGGTGATTCAGGTTCGCTTGTATCAGAGGAACAAGTGCAGCCCAATTCTCCTGCGCGACCTTGTACTCCAGTAGCATGACACGCAGTACTTGGAGAATATCACGATTAAGACGCTCAATACTGCCGTTGATCCACGGACAGTAAGCTAGAGTAAAACTCTGAGTCATTTGCGTCTTGTGGCACAGTTCTTCCAGCAGCTGGTTCTTAAAATGTGCTGCGGTGGCACTGATCAACAACTTCGGCATTCCAAAGCGGCTATTCCAATCCAGTATGGCCTTAGCGACCGTCGCAGCATCTGCGTTCGAACACTCAATCAACTCGCAAAAGTGAGAGAAGTCGTCCTTTAGCACCAACAGGTAGGACTTGCTGTCGTTGTACTCGCTGATGAACAAATAGTCCATGTGCAGCGCTTCGTTTCGTTCCTTGGCGCGGTAGGTTTCTGCCCACGGTCTCGGGATGATGTTGCCACCCTTCACGTGGCAGCACAACAGGCAGTGAGCACAGAAATCCCGCGCTTTACGCACTAGCTTCTCAATGCAGAAGTGTTCTTGGAGGTGGATGATCATTATCTTCACCCCCCCCCCCCCGATGGCCCATTGTTCCGCAGTGGGCAATCACCATCAACCGCACCTAGAGCATATCAGCGTCGGGCGGAATCCACAAGCGATTATTCACATCTCTCCACCATCCTCGCCTTCGACTAGCTGCGGTGGGCGCGTGCAGTTGCTGTTACATTGAGCCTCTACGATGTCTTGTAGTTTAGGCCACTCCGAGTCCGGGCCGAGATGTCGAAGCTGCAATGGTTCCTCACCATCATCTACTTGCCATCGCTTGATAACCGTACTTACTGCTGGTGGCGCCGCGCCAGCCCAACGAGAGGCCATATCCGCCCAAACGTTGTCTTCGCCAGTAATGTGTTCGATAGTATAGCGCAGCTCAGTTAACTTCAAACTCCGCCTCTGCAGTTTACCTCGAACGTGTTTTTTTATCTCCTCACCCGGCGCGAAGAGAAACATGAGGTTGCGGTGGTCCGAGAAAAGCCGAAAGCCCTTGGACCGGATGAGCAAGTAGTCCAGGTCAGTCGCAGCTTTGGTATGGGGAACGCCTCTTTTTCGGTAACGCTCCAGTGCTGTGATGCACCCTTGAAGGTGCCACACATGCAGTGCACGAGCTGGTGGTTCTGCTCCGTCACACTCTTCGCGGGATCCCATGTCGAAACAACAGTGAGAATAATACTCCAACCGAGATCACTAGCATCCGTGAGCAGGAAAATATCGTCAGAGTCATCCGGTATCACAAGTGTAGCTGCATTAGCAAGTAGATGCTTGACTTGAGCGAAACAGTCACGTTCCGCGTCCGTCATGGTGATGGGAATCCGTACCGCAGCGCGCTTGGTGCGCTTCGAACCCGCAAGTGCTTCTTGTAAACGCGCGTGCAGTGGTGCAGCAACCCGCGCAAAATCCACCAATGAGTTCCTCATCCAGCCGGCTGCGCAGAGAAATTGCTGCAATTCTGCTGCGGTTTCCGGTTGTGGCATGTCGATGAGAGTTTGGATCTTTGCGGGGTCATAGGTCACTCCATCCGGGGTGATAACACGCCCACACCACTTCGCATTCTGTGTGTACAGACAGATTTTGTCGAGGCCAAGGAAGAGGCCATTCTTCGCCAGAGTGCTGTACACACGATCGAGGACCGAAAGAAATTCGTCAATGGTGTCTGCGTACATCAGCGGATCATCTACCCAGGGTAGTAAGCTCTTGTACAACAAGTCTGCCTCACGCATGATCTTCTCCACAGATTGCTAGAAGTGAATAGAAGAATCCACCGATCCTTGCTGCAGCCTCGTCGGTGTGAAAATCCCGTCTTCGGTCATGTAAGACTGTGATTCTTGGCTGGCCACTGCAAGGGCCATCTGCCAAAAGCTCTTGATAAAATTAACAGTCTGCTTGTGCTTTTTGTTCTTGGCGTGCTGCAGTCGAGTACTCAGGCTCGGCATCGAACCAGCCAGTGGCAGGATCCGCTCATTTGTGCATCGGAAATCCACAGCCTGCCGTAGTTCTCCAGCTATCCCAGGCTTCTTGACTGGACGTGCAGGGCTGGCCCAGCGGCTGGCTTCGTTTCGATACACCCAACCCAGAGCAACGAGTGACTCATTAAACTGCTTCATCCATTCACGCTCTGCTGGAGCGTATGTGCGAGGTCGGCAGCGGATTGGCACAGTTCCATCCTTGAAGCGGATCTCGAAGGGCTCGATCTTCGATGGCGGGTCATTGCCAATTGCAAGACGCCAAATATCATACCGTGTCACTACTTCAAAAAGCTCCCGCTTCCTTTCCGCCGGAAATCCATTTGCCACAGCCTCGTTAATTAATTCACACAGACGCGCGAGAATATTCATCTTGTCGGGTGGATCAAAGCTCATCGGAATCGGCGACTCAAACGGGTCGAAATCAACGACTTCCCGATTCGCTAGGGCTGCTAGTTGTTTCTCAACATCAATGCCCAACGCTTTCAGTGTCTGCGTACCGAGTAAGAACTCTTCTTCCTCAGCCTCCGTGATTATGCAGGTCACATTGCGCAGACGGACCTTTCCAGCCGGAGTAAGCAGCTCCAGATCAAGTTGGACAAACTCTCTGCAGCGAATAATTGCACCACCGACTGCCTTACGAGCAATAGGTCGCGCAAGGGACTGCACCTTCATTCTCGGACACTTTCGAGCGATTTCATTCACAATGTATCGAGGCACGATGTTGGGCTTCGTTCCACTATCTGGATGATACAGCATGGTTACCACACCATTGAAAGCAACATGCTTCGGCTCAAGTTCATCTCATCACTGAGAACACGCTTCATTTTTGCTGCTTCAACCCCCTTGCGCTGTTCCATAAACGCTCGGCGGGCTGCTTTCTTCTGCTCGTCACTAGCGGTCGGGCAATCACTAACCCAGTGAGGCCCTTTACAGTGTAGGCACCCCTGGGCAGGAGCATCATCACGTTTGCGAGCTGCAGCCTTGGTGTCGCGTCGATCTTCACGCAGGAAACGCGGCCTCTCAACGCCCGATATCGTCGAACTTCCCTGCAAAGAGGTCTTCACAGCAGGCTTCGACGTGCTTTTATCCTTGTCGTTTGGTACAGATCAAATGACTACTGGTTCTTCAGGGCTTCGGCCTTGATAACGTCAAACAGCCTCGGGACATTGAGCTCCACAGTTGGATCCAGGTCCTGGTAGAGCTGGACTTGCTCTTTTAGACTCGCTGGGCGCAGATTTTCTGTCAGCAGTTTGCACTTCAACTTATCATTCCCGTCGAGAGCAATACTTAATCCATACTCCTCAACCAACTCGTCAAAGCGATCGAAATAATTCAGCACACGAGCCTGGACATCTTTCTGGCGCAGATCCATCTTCAAGTGCTGACTCATTATGGCGTGCACGTTGGGGATCTGATCGTTCATCATGCTCGACAAGATCTGACTAATCGCGTTGACCAACTTCTCGTTCGTCATCTGCTCCAATGGCAGCTTCAACTCCAGCTCACAGAACGTCTTCAGCAACCTGCGATTGATCGTGTTGACCGCTGGAATCATGACAGTTGCTAGCGATTCGCCGAACTCCTGGCACCGGGAGATCACGGCAGCTTCGTACAGTTCTCGCTCACGTATCCACTTGACCAGAGCTTCGTTGTAACGGAGTACAATCAAATGTACCCATTACATGAAGAGTGACGGGTGTCACTCTCCAGAGTACATGGTACATGATACCAGTAGCTCCGCAAGCCAACCATTTGAGTTTGTGTGGGCTTTTGTATAGTTAACTTGTAGTTTGTATTACGACCAAGTTAACCTCTACCAAAATACAGTCAGTCTTATAACCTACTCCTTTGCAGCAAACCGTTCCCTTTGAGGCCGGGAACTGGTGAACTGCTATTCACCTGGATAGTAATATCCGCACGCACTTCCTCTGTGCATTGTGCTGTGTGACCCCGTCACACTTGGTAGCACTAGTAGTCAATCTTACGCCTACGCGGGTTGATTGGTCTACCTGAATCCTCGGTGGCTCAGGTCTGTGAGCCACGATGGACCGAAGTGAGTTTCCTCACTTGACTGACTCGCAGTTCGAGTCGGTGCGGAAGATGGCGGGCATCTTCGGAAGAGATGCCCTCCGGAGCTTGGCGGCGGCGACGCCAGCCGAGCAGGTCGAGCTGGTGAGCGCGTTTGACGAGTACGAACGCGGGCTCATCGCTCATGTGCAATGAAACCTGTTGGCTCAGATGAGTGAGCCCAAACGGGTGCAGCCTAAGCCTCTGCGGCTAGCTGTGCCTCCGTTCGAAGGGAAGGAAGGTGAGAATCTCCACTTCTGGATCCGGGAGACCGAGATTGCAATGAGCGCAGGTCTCATCTCGGCCGAGAACCTTCGAGCCGCCTTTGCGCTATCCAATCTTGGCGGACGTGCCAGGACTTGGGCGTATACGCGCGAAGCGATGTCGCCTGGATGTTTCACATCCTGGGCTCAGCTGTGTGAGCAGCTTAGAGCCGTTTTTCTCCCGGCGATCAACGATTTCCGCCAGCGCTCGCGCTTCCTTGCCTGCAAACAAAGGGAGCGCGAGCTGTACGCGTACGTACAGGAGATGCGCACGTTGGCAGCCTCGCTGGTGGGGAACCCACTGTCGGAGGACGTCAAGATGACAGTCTTCGTGGACGGCCTGAAGATCGGTCCTGCGCGCACGCAGTTGTTCCGCGTGCGCACCGCCACTATGGAGGAGGCTATCCAAGTCGCCCTCCAGGAGGAGTACAGCCACAAGCAGGCTGGTGCTCTGGCTGTTGTACAGCCTGTGGTCGCTGACAGCGAACCAGAACCCATGGATCTGAGTTCAGCTGAACAGTATTCTGTCCGCTGCTTTGGTTGCGGCGGCCTTGGACACTACCAACGTGTCTGCCCATCGCCAGGGTCTGTGAAGAAGACCTACCCGAAGACCAGAGGGTCAAGGGGGCGCCGACGCCATGCACCGTCAGGTGCTCAAGGGGGACACAACCACTAGTAAGGACGAGGGCCTTGCTGGGGTTGGCCCGAGTCTTTGTGATGGGTGTACGGAAGGCGTACACCACAGAGACCCGGGGTCCCTTGCGAGCACTGACGCTCGCATTGGTGAAGGACAACGGTGGGTTGTCGGTAGTACACGTGAGTGTACGGGGGTAATGGTATCCCTAGACATGATTGAGTCTGGGACGTCGCGTGGATGTTCCCACGTCGCCAGATATGTCAGTTGGAATAACGACACAAGTGCCGAAACTCTGCGAGAGAGTCTAAGCACAAGGTCAGGTCTCATTGACTGAGGCTGGTCCGAAGAAGAACCTTGGGGTCCGCTGTGACCCTGGCTGCCGCGCTCGAGGGCGCTGACAGCAATGGAACCGCACATGGTCCCGGACATGGAACCGTACATCGTCCCGGACATCGTGCCGAAGCCGGTCCTGGGCATGGAACCGTATATACCCTCGGCTTGAGCAAGTATGACTTGGCGCTGAGTGCGCCGTGCAAGCTGCACAGGCTCCCGGTCGAGTAGCGCGACAACGCCTTGAGGCTAAGTCGGCCCTTTGTGTCTGACAGAGCATTGGTGAGTCATGTTCCCACCTCTGGACAGACACAAGGGCGTCCGATGGGACCGCCTGGGCGCTGGATGCGTCCGACAAGACGAAGAAGAAGAAGGGAGGCATCATTGACATGCTGATCTCCATGAAGAAGGTGCAGTGTATCTGCAACCGAGGGCTGTTATGCCTGGCATGTGGAGCTGCCTCAACAAGCAACTCCAGTGCTGAGAGTCATTGCTCGGCATGAGCATTGACAAGGGTGGTGTTCGATGACACCACCAGGTGGGTAACCAAGGACCACTGACTAGCGGGTAACTTAGTTCCGCACAGAGCATGTAATGCTGAGGAGGCCGCTCAAGGCACCTCCGGCGTGGGTAACCAAGTACCACGGACGGTCGCCCAGACCTTAACTGAATAGGAACGCGCTGCACGCGCTTCCTGTGTGGGTAACCAAGTACCACACCCGGTCGCCCAGACCATAACTGAAGAGGAAGGCGCTGCAGGCACTTCTTGTGTGGGTAATCCAGTTCCACACCAGGTCACACAGACCTAAACGGATGAGGAAGGTGCACCCTGCACTTCCTGTGTGGGTAACGTAGTTCCACACGATGCCGTAAGGCTCCGCATGAGCCGAAAGGAGTCGCTCGAAGCGACTTCAGCGTGGGTAACTTAGTTCCACGCACGGTCAGTATGACCAAGACTAGTGATCAGGTCACTTCGGTCTCCTCGCGTGTGGTGGATGACCACACGGAGTTTAAGAGGCTCGTGACACCGTCATGATGTCATAGCCGCACGGTCCTCTTGAAGGCGCCGCGAGGCTTTGATTTTAAGCGGGGGAGGAGTGCGCGGAAGTACTTCCTTCCTCCAAGGGCTTGGCACCCGGTCATCATGGATGACGTTCGACTGGGTGTCGACCAGCGCAGCTGTGGCCATGCGCACAGATGACGTGGCTTGGGTAGTCGACGTAACTGCGGCGATGCATGTTGCGTCGCCGCCGACTCGGCGAGCATGGTCGATCACGACTGGAACGTGTCTGCCGGAGGGCGACACCTCAATGACCACGTGGAGGAGCATGCTCGGTCTGAAGGCAAAGGCCGCTGCGCAGCAGGGATCGTTGGTACGGTCTGTCGCGCCTAGCACTGTGCGGCGTTGGGACAACAAGTGTCCATGACTCGGTGCCGAGATGGCTGAGTCTGAGTATGCGTGCATGCCATGCAGCTACTCTGAATGCAGGACAAGCCGTACGCTGTCATGGGTGTCATTGCCCGAAGACGTGGGTAACAGAGTAACACGTCAAGTTACGCAGACTCAAACTGCATCCAGGCTGGTAGATGCCAAGCCCTGGTCGCCGATGTTGACCCAGAGCCAAAGAAGGGTAGCTGCCCGTGCCACCAGAGTCTGCTGGCACGGTGACACGGTGCTGCAGGGCGGCGCGAGGTTAGGCGGCCGGCTGGCGCCTGACCCGCCGGGGCTCAAATCGTAAGTGGGGGAGGGGATCGGAAGTGCCCTTCCTCCCGAGGTCTCTGGCATGAGACTTGCTTCGTCGTAGAAGCCAGTGTAGTGGCTGCATGGTGTAGCCACTCACGAAGTATTGCACGAAGGTGCTGGACCTGATGCATCGCTGCTCAGGTCCCATGGTCATGGTGACCGATGGCCAGCAACCTTGGCAGCGGCTACTGTCGCTGCTGGGCCGAAGATGGCGCGCGCATTCGCTGCTGGAAGGCTGCCTCTGTCAGGCAAAGACATGGCAGCCAGTCTGCGGCTTGGTCCGCGGACGATGGCATGTGTACATACGCAACACCATGCCGCAGCGCGATGCTGTTGCAACACTGGACGCGGTACGTCTACCGGCCAGGTAGCCATCAGCACCACGCCAAAGCTCCAGGCTGTCGCTGCTCTGGGTGCGGCACGTCTGCCGGCCAGGTAGCCATCAGTCCCGAGCATGGGTGTTGCCCACGAGGGGAGAACCCGAACGTGTTGCCTTTGCAGACATTCACAGTTGGCGCGGCACATGCCGCATCTGTAAGGCGCGAAGCCATACGCGTGCACGTGGCACATACTACCTGTGAGATAGTCGCGGTGCGTAACGCTCACTGTGCGCGTGGCACTTGGTGTACGCGAGGTACCCCTAGTGCACGCGACACTACTTGTGCACGTGGCACTTGAGGTGCACGAGGCACTTATGGCAGTCGTGGTACGTGCCATACACGACGTGCCTTTGGTGTATGAGGTGGTGCCCTCGTACACTTTGAGGTCCTGTATGGACTGTGTGCCATGCGGTCTTGCACGCACACCGACCTGGTGTTGGTCGCCGCGACGCAGGATGCGATCGCCGGTGACGGAGGGCAATACACCCCACACCACGATTAAGTACCCTTGCGGTACCCTGGTGTCGAAGGAAGACACCTAAGCGTCGGCGACGTGATGGCCGTGACGCGCTGCAGGGCTTTAGACAAGTCCGCCGCGTTGCTCTGTATGATGAGCGGGTTGATGGAAGCAGCCATGGTCGCTCAAGCAAACACGACGTTGAAGCATGATGCTTCATGGCTGTGGTCAGCGCTTGACCATAGCCCATGGGTCGAGCCGACGTATTCGGCCGACCGGCACACCGTGCTGTGACGAGCGGGGCCCTGTCGGGCCGCTGTCGTGGCCGGAGATGAGCAGCACAGCTCTCTCCATGGTTACGCTACGCGCTGACCGGAAAGGTGCTGTCCCTCGCGGGAGGCACTGCAGCACGAACGTGCCAGCAGGGCCCGAGGGCCATGCGACGCCAACTACTGGTTGTCTACGAGGGACACCGCAAGTTTGGAGGCACATGCATCCCGTGCCGAGGCACTCTGCGCCTGCTAGCGCTGTGAATACGGCCACTAAACGCGTCGGCTTCGCGGCCAACATCGCCGAGGGCAGGGGGGTTCCGCGCGGGGTGCCCACTGCGGGTTCAAGTCACTGTGGGCGTGACGATGAGGCGCGCCAGCCTTGCGGCGGCAGCGCCCGAGAATCTGACCTTTGGGTGTTCGGATTCTCTTGAAGCTGATTGGAGAATCAGATGTGATTCTCAGATAAGTGGGGGAGGATGTAACGGGGTACAATCAAGTGTGCCCATTACATGAAGAGTGACGGGTGTCACTCTCTCGAGTGCATGGTACATAGTACCAGTAGCTCCGCAAGCCAACCATTTGAGTTTGTGTGGGCTTTTGTATAGTTAACTTGTAGTTTGTATTACGACCAAGTTAACCTCTACCAAAATACAGTCAGTCTTATAACCTACTCCTTTGTAGCAAACCGTTCCCTTTGAGGCCGGGAACTGGTGAACTGCTGTTCACCTGGATAGTAATATCCGCACGCACTTCCTCTGTGCATTGTGCTGTGTGACCCCGTCACATTCGTGGAAGAAGCATACAATCTGGGGCGGCTCCATCGCCGTCCAGAGCTTGTTTGTAGCGGGCGTCGCAGCGTCACCATCTTCTCCAGCGGTGTTCGCGCGACTGCGCTTCTGCTGGGGCCGACTCATCGCCCGTGCTTGGATCGTTGTCCACAGCTTAAGTTAATTTTGTAGTGTCTCGCGACCCTAAGTTGCTTGCTTGCTTGCTTGAGAATCCGTGCTTGGAGGTAAATTGAATTCTGTATTGAATGGAGTCACTGCGGCTGACGCCGCGGTGGCTTCTGTTAGTTTGTCTTTGCTAGTATGCCTCCTGGGTATGCAGTATACAAATGCTGAGAGTGCACCACGCTCTCATGCTTGCTATTGCCGTAGGTAACGACTCTGCGAAGTGTCTACTTGAACTAGCCTGTCCCAGGCGCCTACTACACAGATCGATATGGTATTGAGCGCTTGGAAGGTGCACCATCACCAGTACAAATACCCCATAGGACATTGGGATAATTGCCTCCATGTACTCAGTCAAGATGACGCACTCTAACGTAAAGAATACTTCGAGGGCTGTATCGATTAATTCCAGCTGATCGATCGACGAGGAAGAAACAAGCGTGTGGGCTCGTGCTTCGGTTGATACGCCATGTTTATTTATAGGCACTTCTCGGATTTGGCCTAAATTCACCAGTAATTTGGAATCAGCAGCAGACAGCTTGTGGTTAATACTGGAGTGACGTCGAAAACTGCTTAGCTGCGGGCCGATGTTTTGTGGTCTCCGACAGAGTGAGCTAACCCATAATAGGTCCGAGTCAGACCCATCTAGAGCTTGAAGTAGCTGGGTGTTAATCTTGGCTGCTTGTTGGAGGAGTAGAACCAATGTCCGCACTACCTGCGCCAAATCCATGAATACTATCACCACCATGGTCGCGCTAGATGACGTACTTTGCAATAATGTGGCCAAATAGGTAGCGTTGAAGAAATCCGCGCCAAAGATGACTGCTTAAGGGATCATATCGACGTTGTCAATCGTGCGTGCGATGATATTCTGCACGACGAGCTTGATCACTGGGAGCAGAAGGATCAACGGGAGCTCGTACCTCGTGCCAGTAGCAGCATGGGTAATAATTTGATAAGCGGGGTAAACGAAGCACAAACTGGTGAGAGTCGTAAAATATGCCATTAGTCGAAGAAGCTGCTTGCGGCGAGCCAAAATCCCAGCGCAGACTCGGCGGCCGAGAATTATCCGGAATGAGAAAAAGAACACTGCCATTGAAGGTCCCGTTATCACAAGGGTCATGAAGGGGACAGGAAATACGATATACGCAGCAACCAGTATGGGCGTTATGACGAATCCCAACGCTGCGCACACAGAGATCTTGAAAAGATATGGTGAAGCCGCCTAACAGATGCCTTATCTGCACAATAAACGTATTACCAATGGCACCACCGAGGAAAGCAGAACGAATCCAAAAGCCGTATTGCACTTTCCACTCGTCTTCAGGATCTGCGACTCGCAGACTGCGAGGGGCAGCGATTCTTGAGAAAGGATCACCAGGACCATTGGTAGTGGCGTGGCAATGCACACCAGCAGTGGACGCCAAAATGGAGTGCTCGTCAAGCGCCAGAAGTCTCTCCAGAGAGTACTTGTAGCCATAGTGACTTACTTGCAGCCGTGCCAATGAACGGCGAAACTCCGATAGCCAGAGCGGACAACGAAACCTCGGCACGTTGAGAGACCCTGAATTGGGCCCTGGTAGAGGCGATGGCGCCACTGACATGTTTGCAACAAGCTGTGCACACTCCTCAGCTCAAGACGCGCAAGCTCAAAAGTAGCTATTGGTATGATGTTTCGAATTTGGAGACAAAACCGCCGAAATCCTTGACTTGAACTCGCGTCTCGCACCACCTTACTGTAGCTGTCGGAGTATACTACTGTGTGTTGCCTTGCTTTCAGAGGCTTCGACTTCTCATCCCAGCGTCACTCAAGTTCTCGAGCACTACACACTTCACGTATTGTATTGTGAATTCTGGCCAATATTGCCGATTCGGGTCGGTTTACCATATGGGTTGAAATCGCTGAATACAAATTTCAAGTCTTTTGGAATCAACCGTTATTTCGTACTTTATTACGTACATAGTAAACTTAAGTCAAATCAAAATCTCGGGCGGTTTGCTGGCGATTTGGCTCGGTCGATTCAATCAATCGACTTCGGAAAGTTCGACAAGAACGCGCAATATAGATAAGAAACAGAAATAAGGCCCATTGTCGCCGACCTCTATACTTGGACACTCCACTCAAACTTGCCGAACCTCAGTTGCTCAGTCTGGAGCTCTGTCATCATGCCCACGAGTGTGACGCCGTTTGCTTCCGGACCGCCTGAGCCAAGTCGAGTTAGCATCACGCGCGTTCCGCTCGTCGTTTTTCGTACCGGGATCTCCAAACTGAAACGGGCTTGGCTTGCGACTCAAGTGAGTCACCGCGGCAAATATTCCATCGAGCGCTTGATCGCACTGGAGGAGTACACGCGATCAACGTCTTTGCTTCGAGTGGTGCTCGTTTGTCTGGGGACGCCACTGCCGCTCATTATTCTGGTCATCCTGCAGGAATCATTGCCACTTGAGAGACCGGAAGATGGCTGGCGAGCGAATTGGGGCTTTTGGATTCGGGCCGCCATCTTGGGCGGAATAACTTCCCACGGAATCACTGTTCAGCTCAACTATCTTCTGCAAGGCATCAACGTATCGCTGCGCCAGTTCGCCTTCCAGTTTGTGTTCATGGCAATAACTTATACCGCTGCCTCTGTCATGGTTGCCTCACTCTGGGTGTTTCCAATCCCGTACATGATAATCGTAATGACGCTCCCATTCCTCCTGCTGATGGTCGGCTCAATGCGCGCCATTCTTGGACCATCGACCTTCCGCAGCGTGCTTGCAGATCGAGACCAGCTACAGCGTTTCCACAGAGCAGTCTCCATTCAGGTGCTGATGGTTGTGATGTATCCAGCGTATCAAGTGCTCTTCAAGTCGGTCTCAGGTTCTGCGTATGAGCTACCCGTATTTCTGCTGCTCCCTGTCGTCAAGATGGTGCTCAAGAATCTCGTATCATTTTGCCTTGCCGACATCGCTGATTTAATCCCCGAGAACATCATCTTCACCGTTCACTTCTTCAACGCCGTGTACCTCGCTACATGCATGCAGAGCTCATCGTCGTCTTTCGCCGTCGTGGTGATCATGATTATCGATCTCGCAGAAACAGGGATATCCCTAAAAGGTATCTACTACTCGTCAACGAGTATCATGAAGCAGCTTCACCAGACAATCGATGTCGCGACTGTGGGAGATAGCCTCGTCAACGCGGCATGCTTGCTGTGTCAATGTCACGAGGAATTCACAGTGGAAGAGCGTACGCAAGTACAGGTTCACTCGTTCTTCCCACACCAATTATCGGTAGCGGGCAGGAGAACTCTCAACAATCTTGACAACTATGCCGTGAAACCCGGTCCTCGCTCATCCAACACTCAATCTATGCCGACAGTGCAGAGCATCGCCTCTGCGGCAACCGATCTTGCTCGATTTCGCGTGTTGTTCAGTCAGCAATGGGGCGCAATGATTCACCCAATCGTGCCCACCAAGACCATTCCAACAAAGTTGGTGAAGACCAAGCGGGGCTCCACCAAAAATATTGTGGCTGCCATTCCATCCGTTCAGCACATCGCCAGTCTCCGAAAGACGCTCTCGATATTATTCACGGTCGAGTGCATCGTTCTCGCAGAATACGTCGAGTGTATCATCCCACTGCTGTACAGCAACTACGTTGTCATGATGGTGCACCTCCCGAGCGCGCGATACCACACAGAGCTGGATGGTGTCACAGAGGTCAACGTCAGCTCGACGGTGCGAGCAGTCTTCATCTACGGGCTGCTGGAACTTGGATCGTTCGTGCTGTTTGCTTTCATCGTCAAGAAAAGCTGTGGGATACGAGCACTGTACCACCTCGCCTTTGTTCTCGAAACCCAAATGCTGTCGATCCAGAGCAAAATAATGGGCTGGATGCTGATCACACTAGGTTTTCGAGTTGTACATTTCGGTACGCCCTTGATTTGTGCTGTCGTTGAGGAACTGCAGCTCACAATCTTAATTTTCTGTGTAGGAATCGACTTCACGTTCCAGTTTGATTGGATTCGCGCCCAAAACGCAAGCGATGGCTAACTTGGGTCTCGTGGGCTAAATCGATACCAGTCCAGATTGTGTCAAAACGTCTACTTTGGCATCGACACACGTCCTCCAGAAATACCCCCCTAGTACAGCCAAGTGCAAGCGAGTGTTGTGCGTGAAATCGCGGCACGTCTTGGCGGACTCTGTCAGAAAGGAAATCGCCGCCGAGCTGCACATATCCCAATGGTGTCGACAGCGTTGCCCACCGAGATGGATCGGGTGAGAACTCGCTACTACTCGTTCGTAGCCACAGAAACCGGAAAACATTTACGACCCTGGGCAGTTAAACTCAAGAGAACCTGGTTCGCCATGCAGATCAGCCACCGTGGCAAATACTCCATCGAGAGAATGATAGCGCTGAACGAGTACACCCGAACCGCGTCGATCTTGCGCGTGTTGTTCGTTTGTGTCACTACCCCAATGCCGATGATAGTGTTGGTACTACTCGTTGAAATGATACCGCTGCAAGACCCGAGCGACGGATGGCAAGCAAACTATGGGATATGGATTCGTACGGCACTTCAAGCTGGCGTCGTCGCTCTTGCAGCTGCAGACCAAGCGAGGCATTTGCTGCATGGCGTACGGTTCTCGGTATTTCAGCTTCTTGCACTGTTTGTCAGCATAGCCGTGAACTATACTGGTGCTGCGATCGCTGTGGCTGCATCCCTCGGCTTCCCAATCCCGTTCATGGCAATAACGATGAGCACCGCATTCTTCACAGTGCTCATTGCATCTTTTCGAATTGTCGCGGGCAAGCGTGTTTTCCGTGAAATACTCGCACAACGCAACCAGCTTTACACATTCATTGGGTTCCTCGCAGCACAGATGCTGCTGTTGCTCGTGTATCCATTCTACCAAGTTCTCTTCCAAGCAGCATCCGACAACGTTGAATACGAGCTCGCCGTGTTGCTGTTGCTGCCTTTGATCAAGAGCGCAATGAAAAATCTCGTGTCGCTCACAATCGCCCGAATGGAAGACTTGGTACCCGAGGCTGTTATTTTCACTGTGGATTTCTTCAACGCCGTGTACCTGGCAACCAGCATGCAGAGTGCGACTTCTTCCATCACAATTGCAACCATCATGGCGGTCGACGTCATCCAGACAGCGATAGCTCTGCAAGACCTCTATCGACGAACTGACAACGTACTAGAGCGTCTGCAAGAAGTCACAGGGATCCCATCGACCCACAAGAGCGTGCTCGACAACGCATTGGCCTTGTGCCAGCGAACCGACACCTTCACGCAGCAGAAGCGCACGTACATTCGACTGGCCTCCTGTCTCCCACACGAGCTCTCCGCCTCCAGCAGAGCGCTTCTATACCAGCTCCAACAGCACCCTGGCAACAGCCACGGTCTCCCCATCCCCAGCGGGGCCAGCACGGACGTTCCACCGCGCGTCCGCATCTCCCGAGCTCTCCGCAGCCTTCCCTCCAAAATCAAGTCCACCTGCAGCTCTACTTCCAGCATCCACCCAGCCGTGTCTGTGATGCCCGTGCCCCCGAGCTCCTTGTCCGAGCCGCTCTCAGAGGTTCTAAGCGAGACGCTGCGTCTCCTGTTCACGACCGAGTGCCTCGTCCTGTCCGAGTACCTCGAGTCCGTCATGCCGTTCCTGTACGGCGGGTTCATGCTGGCCATGGTGCAGCTGCCCAACGCCCAGTTCCACTCGGAGCTCGAGGGCGTCGACGTGCACAACGTGCAGCGCCGCGTGCAGTCCATCTTCGTCTACGCGGCACTAGAGCTGTTGTCCATGGCGGCGCTCGTGCTGCTGCTGCACCAGCGCGGCGGCTTCCGGGCGCTGCACCAGGTGGCCTTCGCGCTGGAGACGCAGCGCTCGCTCGTGCAGGGCAAGCTGCTGCTCTGGATGCTCATGGCCATGGGCTTCCGCGTCGTGCACTTTGGCGCGGACTTTACCTTCAACTTCAAGTGGCTGCACCAATGAATGGAGACCGTACTTAGTCGAAGGAATTGCACAAACATTCTGGTGGTCCCATCTCATTGGCTGATATTCTTGAAGCGGTGTGCGTCACACGATTTTTCCGCCGTGAGTCAGCCGCGGATGTAAACACGGCGGTTCAACCGTTTCAGCCATTTGACAACCCGCCTCCACCCGCAGAGAGACCATCACTCTGACAGCCATGGCCGCCGCAGCACCGCTCAAGCAGATCGCCCCCGCCGACGTGGCCAGCTTCGCGTACGACCCCGTGGACCCGGCGGCGCTGCAGGACGCGACGGCCATCGTCAACGACGTGCGCGACAACGGTGAGCCGGCGCTGCACAAGCACGCGGCCCGCCTGGGCGACGTGCCGAGCGAGGACGCGCCGCTGCTCGTGGGCCAGGACGCGCTCAAGGCCGCGTTCGACGCGCTGCCGCTGAACGAGCAGCAGGTGCTGCAGCGCACGGCGCAGCGCATCAAGGTCTTCGCGCAGGCGCAGCGCGCGTCCATCGGCAACTTCGAGCAGAAAATCGAGGGCGGCTTCGCGGGCCAAGACGTACGCAGAGCATGCTAGCTCGGCTGCGGTGATTGGTATGAGTGACTAACTTGTTTTTATTATGCTGTGTAGGTGTCCCCCATGCACGCGGCTGGTTGCTACGCCCCCGGCGGCCGCTACCCGCTGCCGTCTTCCGTGCTCATGACGGCCGTGACCGCGCGCGTGGCCGGCGTCAAGACGGTGGTCGTGGCCTCCCCGCGTCCGGCGCCTGCTACCCTCGCGGCGGCGTACCTGTCCGGCGCGGACTACTTCCTTGCGGCGGGAGGCGCCCAGGCTATTGCTGCCATGGCCTACGGCGTGGGCGGCATCCCCGCCTGCGACATCATTGTGGGCCCCGGCAACAAGTGGGTCACGGCGGCCAAGTCCCTCGTGTTCGGCAAGTGCGCCATCGACATGCTGGCTGGCCCGTCTGAGTGCCTAGTCATTGCCGACGAGAGCGCCGACGCCGCCACCATCGCCGCTGACCTGCTGGCACAGGCGGAGCACGACACGGCTGCGGTGCCGATCCTGGTCACCACGAGCCAGAAGATCATCGACGCCGTCAACGAGCAGCTCACCAAGCAGCTGGAGACGCTGCGCTCGGCCCCGACTGCCAGCGTGAGCGCTCAGAACGGCTTCGCGGTGCTGTGCCCCGACATGGCCACGTGCGTGAGCGTGTCGGATGTGCTGGCGCCCGAGCACCTGGAGATTATTACCAGCAACGCGCGTGAAGTTGCCGACCAGGTGTCGAACTACGGCGGACTATTCGTTGGTGGCCGCGCGGCCGAGGTTTTTGGTGACTACGGCGCCGGCCCTAACCACGTCCTTCCCACTGGCGGCACCGCCAAGTACACTGGTGGACTCTCCGTTCACACGTTCCTCCGTATCCGCACGTGGATGCGCATCGACGATGCAGAGGCATCGCAGGCACTCGTGCAGGACTCGGCACTACTGGCGCGGATGGAAGGACTTGAGGGCCACGCACGCGCTGCCGAGAAGCGCCTGCTGTAGACGTTGATACAACCTGAATAGCGTGTGCGCATGCCCGCAACACCATCCACCACGACAAATACAGAGACTTTAGTTGCATGCATGCATGTTTTGTTATTGCTGATGGTTCTAACGTTTGTTGTCGCCTATTCCCACAGAGTGAAGAACTGGGTCAGAAGATCTCGCGGCGCTGCGAGCACCTGACGCACCACGTTAGCTTCGCGTGGCATCATGTGTGCTGCAACGGAGAACAGGTTGATGCTGTAGTCCTGCCACAACACCCAGACAAGGAGACCAAACATGACGAAGAAGAACGCGCGATCCAGCCAGGCGCTCTTGCCGCTGCCAGTGTAGCTGCTGGGTGCTCTTCCAGGCGTTTCAACCGCGTCCATCGCTTCCTGTTTGGCTCGTCGCACGAGTTCCTGAGCTTTGTCCTTCTCCAGACCGAGCAGTTCCTGCAGCTTCTGGACCTTTACGCGCTGGGCCGCCTTCTCGATTTCAGCGATCTGCTGCTGCTTCTGTGGCTGTCCCGAGCTGATTGCTGGTGTAGCTGCCGTGCTTGGAGATCCTTGTTCATTCTTGGAGGCGGGAGTTGACGAGGAATGGTCACTAGTGTGGGTGCCGTCGGCTGTGTAGTCGAAGGGCCCACCAGGATAGAGCGTCAAGAAGGAGACAAGTACCAGGCCAAGCGCAACACCAATGCCCACACTCTGGAGCTCGTCCATTATCACCACTTCTTCGTTGTTAGCTCAGCGTCGCTTTGGAATATGGGGTCGCTGAAACTGAAGACACTGGCTGCTTGGTGAAAAAATGTACTAAGAGTCTACGTTGGTACACTTTCCAAGGCTACTCTTTGCACTTCAGGCTAGCCTCCCTGGTTCATCCAAGCAAACTTGAAGGTGAAATCAACACCTGCAACAGAGCACAATGTTAGAAGATCACCCTAAACAAGGCATGAACGGGCTTACCGAAGTGTTCCACGCGAAAACTGAAGCTCATGAGCACCCAGGTCACGAGCTTCACCTGGATGAGAAGCATCTGTGTCTCCAGGACGAACGCGAGGTGGTAGAGCGCTTTGAGGCGGCAATTCTTCATCATCATGAAGACGAGGAAAATGAATGAGGCAAACTCGAGCGTGGCGAGGATGAAGATGTTGCTGACTGTGCCCCCCACATTGTCTGGAGTGATCCCGACCAGATCCTTGTGGTACCGTGCGCTCGGAAGATGCACGACCAGCAGCACGAAGTTCCCATACAGCACGGGGATGATGGATTCCAAGTACTCTGTCAACACAACGCATTCAGTAGTGAAAAGCACCTCCAGGGTCTCACTAAGAATCTTTTTGTGCGGTGTAGCGATCATATCAAGCCCGCCTTTGCCCTCTTTTGTGCCCCGGCGGAGTGGTTTGACGCTTGTTTGAGTGACGGCGCTGCTGGGTTCAATTTTTTTCGAGCTCAAGCGTCGGGATTTCCAAAGGGACTTGGGTGATGTGTGGGCGCGGGCTTTATCGAGTTTTGACCGGAACGAGTCGCGCAGCTCTACTACACTGAATCGAGGAATCGAGCGGACTCCGTTCCCTGGTACACTCTTCAATGTCTCGAGCAGAGTTCGGCCTTCAGCGGACAATTTGTGAGGCAGACACGAGTCAAGAATGACGTTTTCCCGAGCTTGCAGTGCAAACTTTGTGGTATCACGACAAATCGATTCGACCGCTGGCAGCAGACTGCCGCAGCCTGTAATGGAGCCATTCGCTTGTTCTAGTCGTGCCACAATGGTGCTCGTCTTGTAGTAAAGGCTCCGTAACTCGAAAATGGTCTGCGTGATGTCGATTGCCATCATCGTAAGCACCGTCGTGATCGAGGACGCGTTCTGCATACACGTAGCAAGGTACATGGAGTTGAAGAAGTCCACGGTGAAGATGACGGCCTCAGGGGCCATGTCTTTCATGTGCACAATGGTCCGAGAAACCAGATTCTTCATGATGATTTTGATGATCGGGAGCAGCAGAATCACTGGCACCTCGAAATGGGTGTTTGCAGCGTGGTCGAAAAGCACCGCGTAGAATGCGTAGACGAACGCCATCATGCACTGTGAGCCGCTGAAGCTGACTGCAAGAATGAGTTCGTCGGTATGCTTCCCCATCTCGCTTATGACGTCTTTCCCGACAATGAGCCAGAAAAACCCGGCGAACAGCGTCACGTACAAACTGATGATCGTGAGGATCATGAACGGAATCGGGAATACCCACAATGCGGCCACAAGCATCGCAGCGAAGGGATAGCTAACCCCTGTACCGATGCATAGCAGGGCAAGCTGCAGATTTGACAGCACCACCCCCGGAATCATGGAGAGAGCAAAAGCAGCCATACCGACAGCCACGATACCTCCAAGAACACCTGCGCGAATCCAAAAGCCGTAGTTTGCGCTCCAACCCTCTGACGGGTCTCGCAGTGGCGCACATTCCTGCAGGATTATAACGATGGCCATGGGCAGCGGTGTGCCGATGCATACCAGCAGCACGCGAGTGAGCGAAGTGGTTCGAGCGTACTCTTCCAGAGCTAGTAGTCGTTCGACGGAGTACTTTCCACCGCTGTGGCTGATTTGAAGGGAATTCCAAATACGTTTTGCCTTGGCAAGGAAAGCAACGACGGGGTGTTGGAGTTGATCGCTCGGTTGAGGCAGTGGAAGAGCCTCAGTGTCATCGCTACATGGCGCGATTGCGTTGGGAGACATCGCCGCGATAAACTGCGGGCACTTTTCCACTCGGCTAGGCCTTGTGACGCTGGTGGATGGTGGAGTTCTGAAATAAAGGCAACTCCAGCGCGAACGTGATGATATTCGTCAGCTAATTGCGGAGAGTGAGATATACTACGTAGTAGTGGCTGTTGTCGAACCGAGTTGTGCGGATCAGAACGACAAGTTGGGGTTTCCCCGAGGCGTCTATTATTTGCTTTCGCTTATTCATACCAATTGATATGTTACTGGTGGACTTGTGCGGGATTGGTACCTTACCCGGTCAGAAAGTAACGTTAGGATGTTGGCAACAACTCGTCTATTGCTGGTGTGTTCGACGACGTTGACTCAGACAACAACGTAAGCAGCAGGAGGGCATTCTACTATCTTTCGTCAGTCAGTCGACACACTCCATGTTCTGGCATTTTGGTCGGAGCGCATACAGTGCGTGCAAACGTGCATGGTACGCTCTACACGTTGAACACAAGGGGCTCTACTCGTTGGACCGACTACAAATGCTGCATCACTTTCTAGAGCAGTAACAATCCTCGAGTGCAGTGAACTTCCTGGTAATCGCAACCATACCTCTCCCGTGCTTGATCATTGCGCTGGTCTCCGACGCACTGCCGCTTGTTCCGCCCGAAGAAGGCCCTCGCGCTAACGGCATGTTTTGGGCTCGCACTTGGCTCATTATGACCTGCTTCACGATCGCTGTGCTCGTTCCACTGCACCACCCCTCGCTAACGTCAATCCCCGAAAAACCAGTTTGGCTGGTCACCATGTCTGCTATGATCGCAGCCATCTACACGGGATTCCAGTTCGTAGCAGCGTTGACAATCGGCTTCCCCGTCCCATTCTCGTACTTGACGCTCAACTTGGTGTGGCTCTCGCTCATCCTTTCAGGCTTGTGGGCTTACATGGGTCCTGGATGTCGACGTAACCAAGTAATCCGGCTTCAGCTGAAGCGCCACGGTATATTCGCCAACGCGGTCACCAGCCTTGCTGTGGTCTATCCATTATTTTACTACGCGTTCTTGTCCGCTGGCGAATACACTGGAGCTCAACTCGTGCTGAGCTCATTCGCTTTACCATTGATCAAGATGACGGAGAAGCAGCTTCTGTATCACGTAACCCAGCACGCACCTGACCTTCAACCAGCTTTTGTTGCCTTCGACGTGGAGGTTTTTAACGCACTATTCGTATCCAGCTGCATGCGCAACGCAACGTCGTTGGCAGTCACAATTTCCCTTATGGCCGCAGATTTCCTAGGCTCCTGCATCGCATTGTACGGATTGCGGAATCTTATGTTGCGTATTGACGAGTTGAGCACCAAAATGGGGATTGGTGTCACACGGGCTAATATGATCGACACGGCAGTGCTTATTACCATCCAGTCGCGCTAGTGCCAAAACCCAGCGAAAGGCAAGCGACGTTCTCCTTCATCGACAATCACAAGAATTCGAGCACGGATCCCGTGCATCAACCTGAACCCTCAGTTACCAATCCCTCTCGATCCTCGTCAAAGTTTGCCTGGGGTAAGGCATCCGCTCCGGTTAAGCAAAATTCGGTGATGCCAGCTGAAGTCACCGACACTGACCCAACTAAACAACTTTCGTTCAACGAAGATATGGCCGTCAAGACGATGGAACAACTCTCACTGGATGATAAGCAGCAATTTGTGCGGGAAACTTGTCGTGTTCTGAGGCGGGTGGAGTTTCTGTTGCTGGTTGAGTACACGGAAGTGATGGTCCCAGTTCTCTACGGTAAGCGTTAGTCACTGTGGCATTCAGCCCCGTTTCTCACTTGTTCGTATTATAGTCATCTACATTGCGGCAGTGTACCATTTTCCGAATCGCAAGTATTTCCCCCACCTCGACGAAATGTCCGAGGCTGAACTTCTGACAACGATACGCAGCCTGCTGATCTACTGCTCGTTGCAGCTACTTTCGTCCGTACTGTTGCTGGCTGTGCTCCGTCGTCGATACAATCTAGTGTCGGAATCAATTCTGAGCTTTGTTCTCAAAACGGATTGGACAGTTGTCCAAGGGCTGCTGGTACTTTGGATAATTTACGTACTCCAGTCATCCATTCAACACGTTGGTACGCATACTGGAAATGCCATTTTAGGATTTCTAAGGCATTGCCTTTTGTATAACCATCCTCGCTTCTGTTATTCAGGAACGGATTACACCTTTAAGTTCCAGTGGTTGCACACACACGACAATAAATGAGCTAGCACATATCTTCTTTTTGTGCCTCTGCTAGTAGACATGGCAGTTTAAGCTAGCTGCCGTAGTTCATATTAGGTCTTCATCCAGGAAAACTGGAAAGTAAAGTCCGCGCCTGCAAAGAATTTTAAGCGTGGTTTAGACTACAAAGAAAATATAGCAAAGAGACCAGAACCCCCAAGCTCATGCTGGGACGTACCAAAATGAACTACGCGATAAGTCAACGTAATCATAACGTAGAGAACAAGCTTAGCCTGCACAAGGTGAATCTGTGTCTCGATCACAAACGCGAGCTGATGAAGAGCTCTGATTCCGCAGTCCCGGTACATGATGACCGCAACAATTGTACATGAAAGCCATTCGAGGAAGCCGTACACAAAGATCCCCTGGACCATACCGGCAACGTTTTCCTTCGTGACATATGCCATTTCAGTGTGATACTGCGCACTCGGCAAGTGAACCATCAACAAGACATAGTTCCCATACAAAATGGGGATGACCGTTTCCAAGAACTCTGTCAGAACGAGGCATTCGGACGTGAACAGCACCTCAGCTACGTCGTGGAGAAGCCGCGCACATTCCACTGTCTTCCGCTCGGCAGAGTTATCTGAAGCTGAAGATCTTGATATCTCCTTGTTGCTTGGTGGAGTTGCTACAGTCGACGCTGGGTGTATCGTCGTTCGAAAGCTTAGCAGGAGTTGAAAGACGTGGTTTTTGCTTGAGGGCGGTACCGGACTTTTGCGAGATGATACTACCTTCTGGTTGTACATTAACGCTTCAAGTAGAATCTTGCTCTCAGCTGACACTCGGTGGGGAACACTCGAGTACACTTGGACACTCGAGAAATCAGCGTGTAGCTCACTTTTGAGCTCCTGACAAAGTGCCCTAGCAGCTGTAAACAAATTCCTATCGTGAAGTCCCGTGACTTTGTGTAGCCGAACGAACGTACTGCGGGTTTTCCTCCGTAATTCACGCAATTCGACCGCACTCTGGATCAGATGATGACATACGACCCCTATAACGGACGTAGTTGACGAAGCATTTTGCATGCACGTGGCCAGGTACAACGCGTCGAAGAAGTCGACGATGAAGATGACTTCCTCCGGTATCATATCTTCCCGGTGCCTGATAGTTCGGACCATTAGGTTTTTCATAACAAGCTTCATGATAGGCAGAATCATCAAAACCGGGACCTCCCATCGAGTATTCGTAACAAGTCCAAACAAAATCTGAAAGGCTGGATAGGCCAATAGCATGGATATCTGCACCAGTACAAAGTTCTTGAACGCCAAGAGCTCACCTCGTCGTGCAAAAACTTCACGGAATACAGAGCCTCCAACGACGACCCGATATAACCCGATCAATATGAACATTATAAACACGTTCGTTGAAAAAGCCTGGAATGGAATCGGAAATACCAACCAAGCTGCCACTGCGATGTTTACGGCAGTGTAGCTCATCGCCACTCCTACGGTGAAGAGCGCAAGTTGGCGACGAGGTAATGCTGCTCCGTCGATCATATACCCAACGTACGTTGCGGCTGCGTACCCCACGGCGGCTCCAAGTAAACAAACGCGCACCCAGAAGCCATAATTTGAGCTCCAGCCTTCATAAGGGTCTTGTAAAGGGATACTTTCCTGGCCAAAGACTAGTAAGATCAGCGTAGTCGGTACGGCAATACATACCAATACCGCCCGGTAAAGTGGCGTTTGTTGGATGTACTTGTCCAGTGCTAGAATTCGCTCAATCGAGTATTTCCCTCCGTAGGTCGTTAATTGTACTGCCAGCCAGGCCTTGGAGAGTTTGAGGACCCAATCGTTTGCCCGTACGACTTCGGTCCTCGTGTGCGTAGCTGGTCTTTGTTGCATGCTGGGGGCCCGTTCGGAGGCATCAGGAGATACAGAGCTGGTCATTGCTAAATGAACTGTCGATAGTGTGTGCTGATGCGAAACTTGCCAGAAATATACCAAAGCTTATAACGCGATTGGGACGAAGAGTACCATCACAGCCACGCTATGAATAAAATTGGACTGGATGTTTGCAAAACTCTACAGTGATCAGACCTGCCTTAACGAGCTATGTGCCAATATCGTTGGAACACACAGTCAGTTGAGCTGTGAACGTTAGTGTAAGATTCGAAAGATTTTTTTTCTAATGCTACTACTAATGGATGTTTCCTAAGTCTCAGCGCGTCCAACCGAATTTGAAGGTAAAATCTACGCCTGAATTTTGGTCATAACAACGAATCCGTCAAACCCAGAAGAAAATATGTGCATTCGTCTCCCAAACGTACCGAAGTGTACAACCCTGAAGCATAGTGTGATCAATGCCCAGGTGACGTGCTTGGCTTGGACAAGGATCGTTTGTTTCTCGAATACAAACGCCAGCTGGTAAAGTGCTTGTACGCCGCAATACTTCAGCATCACAAGGATCAGTACAGCCAGCGATGCAAATTCCAGCACAGCATAGACAAAGATACTCTGCAGCTTCGAGTCCACATTGTCAGCCGTTGTGCCTTGAAGCTCGATGTGATACTGAGCACTGGGGAGATTGACAAGCACTTTCACGTATAAACCATAGAGAATGGGAATCACCGCCTCCAGATACTCGGTCAACACGAGACATTCGGACGTGAAGATAACTTCTAGAGCTTCGCTGAGGAAGTTGGGTTGATCGGTTGCTGGAGATTGTTTTGGCTGAGCTTGTATCGTATCGACCGGCGAAGACGGTCTGACGGACATCTGAATAGATGCAAGTGGCTGCACCGATGAGCGATTTCGAGACAAGCACTTGTTAAGAATCTCAACGACTGCAGCTTTTCGGTCTTGGCCGGATGCATTTGACTTGGCCCTGTGCTCGATCATGCTCGAATCTGGGGACGTCATTCAGGTGGTTGTCTCGCTTTCTCGCCTCTTCTCGAGATTCCCCAGCCAGCCGTTGTGCTGCGTTTTCAAGATCGAGTTCGAGCGCAGTCGAATTCCAGGAAGTAGATGCGAGTCCAGTTTATCCGGGGATTCGCACACGTTTTGTACGGCATTGAGCAAGACCAAATGGTTCAGGTCGCCGGATCCAATCGCCTGTTTCACCTTTCGAGCGATACTTCGAGTACGGCCGTGACGACGGTATAACTCGAGCACGGATTGTGAAATGTCGAGGGCTAGAATTGTCGCTACTGCGCTAGTGGAAGACGCGCTCTGCACACACGTAACCAGGTAAAATGCGTTGAAAAAGGCTACGACGAAAATGACCTCCAGCGGGAGCATGCGGAATAGTGAGCGACAGTAAGTTCTTCATGGTAAGTTTTATCACGGGGAGGAGGAGGATCACGACAATCTCGTAGCGTTTCCCTGCTGCGGATCCTGGAGGGGAATGAGCTCTTGAAGAAGAATCACTGTAATCATCGGCACCGGTGTGGCGATGCACACCAGCAAATCACGTGTCGTCGATGTCTTTTGCGCATATTCACTCAGCGCCAGGATCCGCTCAACGGAATACGTGCCCCCGCGATGACTGATCTGAAGTTTCGACCAGCGACGACCGATTGCTCTCAGCAAAGCGCGAAGCCGATTTCTTGGCCGCGTAGACGGCGCCATGGTGTCTGTGCTGGTGTGCAATCTCTCTAGTGACAAGTGTGCGAACGCGATTGCGTAGATGTCTGACTGACTATTTCGAGGCAGCACCAAACACGAACTATAAATGTATCGAGTTAGAAAGTTGGGTCTTCTGAATTGAATCTCTTTAAATTTCAATTTTATTTAAAGAGCACTAAGAAGTGCTCTGTTCGGATGAACCAACATTTGGATCGAGTGGTTGTGGGCTAGTGCTCGGTTCAGAGACTTTTTTCAAACAAACAGTGTGCGATATCCTTTACCCAGTTGGAACTAAAATCACTTGTACGCACCCACACACCGTGTCCAACGAAATAAAACATATCACAGAGGAACAACAAAAGTATACCACGGTAGATAGAGACACGGAACTTTGACACTGTCTGGATTTTGCATATTTATCGGATCATGTTAGCCTCCTTGGCTACGAATCCAACTGAATTTAAATGTGAAATCGGCACCTGAAAGAGGCAATCAATGGGGTATTAGCAAATGGTCTCGTAGATTTAGATCAAGGATAGAGCTTACCGAAATGCACGACCCGATATGATAGCGTGACCAGTACCCAACTAATTAATTTTGTCTGCACCAAGGGCATGTGCGTTTCCAACACAAACGCAACCTGGTAGAGGGCCTGTATCTGGCAATTTCGCCGTATAGAAGCACCAGCGCCACAAATGATAGAAATTCCTGAGCGGCATAAGCGAAAACGGTCTGCACAGTGTGGCTGACATTTTCACGAGTGATACACTGTAGCTCCGTGTGATATTTTGAGTTGGGGAGCCGAACCATCATCAGGATGTAGTTCCCATAGAGCATCGGGACAGCAGATACCAAGTATTCAGTGAGTAGGCACTCAGAGGTAAATAGCACCTCAAGCGTGTCGTAAAGAAGATGGCGAGATCCTTCGCCTTGCTGCCCGCTTGGCAGAATCTTTCGGGATGAAAACCCTCGAGCAATAATAGGGCTGCTAGCTTTATCTGTTGGACGCGCGAGATGACCCGGTTTACGTAGTCCGACTCCCAATAGTAACAGCCTTAAGGGATTCGAGTAGGTTGGGCCGAGTGATCCACGATTCTGTCTTCGCTGCATCGCCCATTGGCCCGTGAAGTCTGCGTAACAGCCCAGATCCAGACGCGGTAAGGCGATGCGGCATGCACGAGTACACACGGATCACTCCGCGAGCTTGCCTTTTGAGCTTCCTTGGATTGTCGCACAGAGCATGAATTGCACTCAGCAAATTCACGTTATCGGTATGATTTTCATTCTCCATAGTTACACGGAGCTCCGCCAAGATCCTACACGTCTGTCGATCAAGGCGATGCAACGCAAATACGGTCTGTAATAGATCAATCGCCATGATTATCGCCATCGTAAAGACGGAGTTGGCGCGTTGCATGCAGGTTGCCAGATACACCGCGTTGAAGAAGTCGACCGTGAAGATAACGGTCTCAGGAACCAAATCCTCCATGTGAGATACTGAATACGACAAGAAGTTCTTGAGGATGATCTTGAGAACGGGGAGAAGAAACAGCACCGCTAGCTCTGACCAAAAGTCTGTTGTGTGGTCGAACAAGACTTGATAGGATGGACAGATCACCGTCATCCCAACTTGCAGCCCCAGGAAACAAAGGTACCGAAAAAGCTTCTTCCGACGTGAAATCAGCCGGTAAAATGCTTCAGACCCAACAATCTCGAAATGAAATTACCACGATAACAACGAAGACCATGTTCAGCAGGATCTGAACGAACGGAATCGGAAAGGTCCAGTACGCTGCAACAACCATGCAGACAGAAATCGTAGTTCCTACCACCGTAACATCCAACAATAGATGCTACAATACGGATAGCGAGGCCCCTCCGATCATGCACGTCGAATGTACGCCCATTGCACTAGTTAAAACTGCCACCAAGAGTCCCAACCGAATCCAGTCCATAGTTCAAACTCCAATCACCACTCGGGTTCTGTAGTGGCACTACCTCTTGTATCACCGTGACTACAACGATAGACATTGGCGTTCCGAGGCACACCAGTGCCACGCGTAAGAACGAAGTGCGTTGTACATATTCATCCAGCGCGATAAGCCGCTCGACGGAGTATTCGCCTCCATGATGACTCAGCTGGAGTGAAAACCAAAAACGAGTCAGTCGGTCGAGATAGGAACGTAGAGAAGCTCCATGTTGAGCGTGTGTGCTGTCTGGGACTATCAGCGTCGAGTCCGCCGGTCGAACCATTTTTGCGGCAACCATTTGCCCTGCGTTGGCGCTGCTAACTATAACCGAAGTCGCGACGGGCATACTTTTGCATGCATTTACACTATTCATGTCTGCTTCCAAACCGAGGCGCAAGATTTAATCTCGGTACGAAAAGCGAAATTCGTACAATCGTATGAATGAGTTGTGATCTCTAAAAGCACGAAAACTTAACGTTGCTGTATACTGTCGCCAAAGCTTTTTATAAATTTTTGAAATCAAGAGCGGTTATTCTTCAATTAAGCTCGTGCAATCCCTCACCTGACAGTCCATGCAAATTTAAAGGTGAAGTCGGCGCCTAGTCGTAGACAGCACGTGGAGGGATTAGGTACATCCTGACTGTCATTATAACATAGTGTTCTCTTACCAAAGTGCGCCACCCTAAAGGCCAAAGTCATCAAGATCCAAATCATTTGCTTGCACTGAACCAGTGGCATGTGAGTTTCCAGTACAAACGCTAGAAGATGGAGTGCTTTCAGTCCACAGTTTCGCCGCATCAGTAGGATCACTAGAACTAGCGATACCAGTTCGAGGATACCGTTCAAAAAACTCCCTTAACCGTACCCGCCACATTATCAGCGGTGATCCCGATCAGCTCCGTGTGATAGGGAGCACTCGGTAGGTGGACTACCATGAGGATTATACTGCCATAGATAAAGGGAACAACTGACTCAAGGTACTCGTCGAGAATCACGCACTCGGAAGTGAATAGAATCTCCATGGTTTCTTCTAAAATAGCCAACTCCGAGGGTGCTAATGGGATACTTTTGTGCGCACTTGATGCGGCTGGACTTGTAGCTTCACTCGGACGGATACTTGCTCTGGCGCGATGTCCCAGATAATACACAATACTTCGGATACTATCCGTTGTACGCGTGGATAAGTGTGATCGCATGATACCAGCAGTGAGGTCTGGGCTAGATTCAGAAGTCGGATAACAGTTGTACGCTAAACATGATCGCACACGGAAATCCTTCCACGCTTCGTTGGAACTCCGCTTTAAACCCAGGCAAAGGGGCTGAATGGCGGTCACAAGTCCATCTCCAGTATTTCCCACTCCTAAAACAGCTCCGAGTCTCGCCAGGTTGTTCTTCGTAGCATGGTGAACTTCGAACAGATCCACGACAGACTGGGAGAGATCAATTGCCATGATCAATGCTACCGCACTGAGTGAGGCTGCCTTTTGCATGCAAGACACCCCGTAGAGCGCGTTGAAGAACTCCACTGTATAGATCACCGTTTCAGGAACCATGTCGGGCATGTGGTTGACCGTGAGAGCGAGGCCATTCTTCATAATGAGCTTGATGAGAGGTAACAGGAAAATGACTGACAGCTCGTAGGGTGTTCTCTGCATGGCGTCAAACAGCACCTGGTACAGCGGGTAGATGATCGCCATCACAATCTGGACTGAAATAAAGAGAATATACCTCAGCAGTCTGCGTCACTGCGCCAATATATCTCGTAGAGTCTGCCAGCCTACGAACGTGCAAAACCACACCACAATCCAGAACACTAGAACGAACCAGAGTGAGATGCCCATGAACGGAATTGGGAACGTCCAGGCAGCGGAGATACCCATGGCGGAAATCGAATAGGTCGCTCCAACGGCAACAGAGGTCAATAAAAACTGCTTGAACGAGAGCTGGGCACGGTCAATCATGTAGGAGATATATACAAGCAACGCGTACGTAACCGCAGCTCCAAGAACCCCCATTCGGATCCAGAGCCATAGTTTGCGCGCCGCCAGCGGTAGGGTCTCTGAGTGGGATGACTTCTTGCGATAACACAAGCAGAACCATGGGCAGTGGGGTGCAGAAACAAACGAGCAGCACGCGCCAAAGTGGAGTATTTTGCGTGTATTCGTGGAGAGCCATCAAGCGTTCGACGGAATACTTACCGCCACTGTGACTTAGTTGCAACTTGAGGAAACATCGCGAAGCATTGAAGAACCACGATTGCAGGAGCGGCAAGGATGTTGCAGTACGCGTTCCTGTGGAAGGTTGATGCGCTTTTGTCTTTTCTGGTTGTGGGAGAATTGGTGTCGATGAATGAATCATAGCGCCTCTGGCTCGGTCAGGGAAAGGTGGACGTCCAGGCCTGCTTCGACTTTAACAACCTTTACTAGTAGTAACAGCAAGTTTCACGATATTTTTTAATTATAGAACGTGGATCAAGAGATATTGACTAAAATACAATCTGTGGGCTGATTACAGGAAGCGATCGACCGACAAGTATCTCCATTCTTCAAAACTCAGTTATTAATCCATCTCTGGCCCACGTTAGCCACTAATCCAATCGAATTGAAATGAGAAATCAACGCCTGGAATCATAATCCCCACACATAAGACATTGGTCCTTGCGTCGCGACCCTACCAGTAACGTTGAACATACAGATCTTACCGAAGTGAACTACTCGAAATGCCATTGTCACGAGCGCCCATGTCGTAAGTTTATCTTGAACCAGCAGGCTTTGAGATTCCAACACAAATGCTAACTGGTAGAAGGCCTTCATGCCACAATTTCGCTCCATCACGACTACAAGCACCAGAAACGAGAAAATTTCTAGCAATGCCAGGATAAAGACACTGTCAACAGTGGAAAAAGCGTTGGCCGTTGATACGCCTCTCATGTCGATATGATATTCAGCGCTGGGGAGGCGAACTACCACGAGGACGAAACAGCCGTAAAGCATGGGGATGAGCGCCTCCAAGTACTCGGTCAGAACGTGGCATTCCGCCGTGAAAAGTGTCTCCAAAGTGTCTTGTAAAATGCACGTGCTCTGGACAGCAGACGCTTTCTCTAGACGAACTGGCCCCTCCGTAGGTGGATTGGTTCTCTCCGCGGGGTGAACGCTCCCGACTCGCTTTTCCCACTGATGAGAGAAGAGTCTTCGATACCAAGGCGTTTTGGAGGGGCTGGGATTTCTTGCGGTCATACTCGGTACTTTATCCAGAGTTTCAACCAAAGCTTTGTTTGCATCGCTTAGTCGGTACTGAATAATCGCTCGAACTTTCGACCCTGCTCGGACTTGCTTCTCGAAAATATGCGTCTTCTGGCAGAGAATGCTGACTGAGGTGAGCAAACTCGTTCGGTTCCGATCTCCAATTACGCGGTGTATTCGATCAAGAATGTTACTCGTTTGCCGGTAAAGCGCGAGCAAACTCATGGCAGTGCTCCCTAAATCAAGCGTCATCATAATGGCGATCGTGGTGAATGACGACGTTCTCTGCATGCACGTAGCCACATACAGAGCGTTGAAGAAGTCTGCGGTGAAGATCACAGCTTCGGGCATCAAGTCCTCCATGTGCGTCGTCGTGATCGAGAGCAGGTACTTCATGAACATTTTGATGAGGGGCAAGAGCAGAATCGCGGCAAGTTCGTAGTCGATATCCACTGCAAACGTGAACAGTACTTGATAGCAAGGATAAATCGTGGCCATCAACACCTGGGTAGCAATGTATGTTATATACCGGAAGGTCTGACTCCAGTCTGCGGCCATGGCGCGGAAAATCGCGATCCAGCAATGACAAACAGAGATAGAAGAAGCAGCGGGTAAAAGAGGGGGACGCCAGTGATCACGATAAAGGGAAGAGGGAAGATGCTAGCAGAAGAGATCCCCATTGTGATAATCGAGAACGAGATACCAACCAACCCTCCAATTGAAAGTCGCTGCATGCGAGACAAGTACACTTGATCCACGTGGTAGTGCGCTTGAACTGCTGCTGTATGGGCGATGACAGCCCCCAATAAAGCCAAGCGGACCCAGAAGCCGTGGTTTTCTCTCCACCCTGCACTCGGTCTCTCCAGAGGCAGCAGTTCTTGCGCCATCGTCAAAGTCATCATCGGTAGTGGCGTACCTAGACACACAATGAGCACTCGAAGGCCAGACGCTGTCTTTGTGTATTCCTCCAGAGCCAGCAGCCTCTCAATAGAATACTTGCCACCTCGATGCGTCACTTGCAACTCCAGCCAGCTTTGCAGCAACACTTTACCACAGGAGCAGATGCAGTCGAAGCAAGAGGAACGGGGAACCATCGAAGTATAAGCGCTAGACCTTGGTCGCTATGAGAAACGCGGCAAAAATAGGGCTGGTTAGTTGAGCTCCTCCGTCCCAGACACCAAAAAGAACGAGAAGGAACAGCGAGACACACTGAGGAGAGTTCCACTGGACTCGTCCCAATGTGTTTACCACGTCCGACCTAACGGTGGCCAGCAAATGATCTCTCGTCTCGATCTTGAATCAGTTTTCGATTTGCTGGATCTAGGACTAACGCAGCCAAGAAAACACCCCAACTATGCCGCCTCCAATGATATGCACGACGAGTAATGGGGCCCCGATGCCTCGCTTCGGGCTGACAGCGTCTGCGACTGCCGGGTCGACGGGGCCAATTCTGCTTCAGGACTTCGAGTTCATCGATCATCTTTCGCATTTCGATCGCGAGCGTGTGCCGGAGCGCGTTGTGCACGCCAAAGGAGGCGGGGCTTTTGGCTACTTCGAGATGACGCACCCGGAGATCACCGAGTACACGTGCGCCAAGATGTTTTCGGAAGTGGGCAAGCGCACTCCTGTGGCTGTGAGATTTTCGATCGTCACCGGGGAGTCGGGCAGCGCCGACACGATGCGGGACCCACGCGGTTTCGCCATCAAGTTCTACACCGAAGAGGGCAATTGGGACCTGGTCTGCAACAACACGCCTATCTTCTTCATCCGGGACCCGATCCTGTTCCCAAGCTTCATCCACTCGCAGAAGCGCCTGCCAGCTTCGCACCTCAAGGACGCCAACATGGTCTGGGATTTCTTCTCGCTGCGTCCGGAGTCGCTACACCAGCAGACGTTCCTCTTCTCGGACCGCGGCATCCCGGACGGCTACCGGTTCATGAACGGCTATGGCAGCAACACGTTCGCCAATGTGGACGCGGAGGGCAAGATCACGTACGTCAAGTACCATTTCAAGACGGACCAAGGCATCCGCAACATGCCCGTGGACGAAGCCGCGTTCCTCGCTGGAGCCGACCCGGACTACGCCAACCGCGACCTGTTCGAAGCCATTGAAGGCGGCGAGTACCCGACCTGGACGCTGTACATCCAGACCATGACGCCCGAGCAGGCTAAGAAGAACAAGTTCCTCGCCTTCGACGTGACCAAAGTGTGGCCACACGCCGACTTCCCGCTGAAAGAGGTTGGGCGTCTGGTACTCAACAAGAACCCGCGCAACTACTTCGCCGAGATCGAGCAGCTCGCCTTCGCGCCCTCGCACATGGTGCCGGGTATCGCGCCGTCGCCCGATAAAATGCTGCAAGGAAGACTGTTCTCGTACCCGGACACGCTGCGCCACCGACTGGGCAAGAACTACCAGCAGATTCCAGTCAACCGTCCGTTGAACGAGCCCCAGACATACCAGCGTGATGGTCCTTTTGCTGTGAACGGAAACATGGGCGATACGCCAAACTACTTCCCGAACAGCATGGGGGGACCGCAGGAGGTTGAGTCGCTGCGCTACACCACGTACGACGGGGAGCACACGGTTGTGGACAAGTACTCGTCGGCGTTCGATGACAACTTGACTCAAGTGCGCGTGTTCTACCGCAAGGTGCTGGATGAAGATGCCCGCGAGAGACTCACGGACAACATCGCCACCTCGCTCGTGAACGCGTCCAAGCCCGTGCAGGAGCGCACGCTCAAGAATTTCAAGGACGTGGACGAGCACTACGCGCGCCGCGTGAAGGAGAAGATGGACCAGATGCTGACGGCCAAGGAGTCTGTGGCCCAGTCCAAGAAGCACATTACGGCGCCGCTCAACCCGCCACGCAAGGGGTTCACGCCCGTGGCTCCGTAAGCTGGCGTTGGTATTTCTACTCGGTTCATGTGAAGCAGCAGATTTCAAGTATGTTGGAAGAATCGGGAGCTAGCTTCGCAGTTCATGTTGTGTCAGCTCAATAGCAAGTTGATGCACAACTTGCATGCAAAGAGTGTTCAATTTTTTCAGAGGGACTGCAACCTACAATTCTCTGCATGCAATAGCATGAAACCAGGCTAGATCGAGAGGAGTATATCCGTGTAAGTGTACCGAAAAGTTAACTTTTTGCATTCACTATCCGCCTAGGTCACGAGAGGCAAGCAAGACCTTTGTCCTCTGCTCCGCAGAACGCTTGGCGAGACCTCAGCACGGACGCCCGAGACAGCGACAAAGACAGAGAAGACAAAGACGCTGAAGACGCCTTCACAGGTCGAAGTCGGCGGGTTCCACGCGCTGACCTACTCAACCGCATTCTGAGAGCCCAGAACGATGCGCAGCCTGTCGGTAACGGACGCACTGGTGCTGGGGTGGAAGACGCGTGGCCAACAGGAAAGGGCCCAGTCCGCACTGACCCCGCACGTCCGCACTTTAGCCGCGAACCAAGCGTGGAACGTACTTGTCCGCGTCAAGTTGGAGGCTGTCTTGGTCCTTATGTCCCCTCGGTCTTGTCCACTCGATCGCCGGTCACCAGCGCCGAGGCCCCCGCAGCATTCCGCGTGGGCAGAGGGGTCTGGCTTGGCAGTCCAGGAGTTCGGCCGTCTTGGTCCGAGGCGGAAAGCAAAGTGAGCATGCTTTCGGCGTCACTACTTGCACTTGAAGTGCGTAATGACTCACTACCATGATAATGAGTCATTACTATCATGGGGTCCTGGAATAGCTCCAGGCTCTAGCTGCAGCGCTGACCCGAGTATGCCCGGGGTGAAGAAGCCGTCGATCGATCGAGAGGAACGTCGTGCATGGCTCGGTGAGCAGCTTCAAGAGCGCCAGAAGCAGCGCGACCGCGACCGAGAGCAGCAACTTCAAGCTCTGGAGCTCGAGAACGAGCGACTATGGGCCCCATTCGCTCAGGAGGCCAAGCACACAGGAGAGCTCAACATCGCGTGGAAAGAGGCCCGTGGGTTCTTCACCTGGGAGCGGGTGATGCCCTTCCGTGACCTCCTGGCGCTGAGGATCACGGGCCACAACCTGCTGGAGCTGCCCGAGAACTTACCAGCAGCTCTTCCGTCGCTAGAGACCCTTTCACTAATCGCAGACGGACTCGAGCGACTTCCAGAAACCATCGGAGCACTATCACGCTTGACGGAGCTGGATCTGACCAAGAACCGACTGCGGGAGCTGCCCGACTCTCTCACAAAACTCACGGGGCTCACCGCCCTCAACTTGTCCTGCAATGCTCTGGAGAAGCTTCCCGAGGATTTCGGAAAACTTGTCAAGCTTGACAAACTGTGGCTCGAACGCAACGCCTTGACGCAGCTTCCAGTGTCCATCGGGGGCTGTCGAAGTGCTCGATGTGCCAACTTCAGTGCCAATAAACTCACGGAGCTGCCAGAGACGATCGGAGAGTTGACCGCGCTTACAACGCTGACGCTCAACTTGAACGAGCTGCAGGAACTGCCGGACGCTGTGGTTTTTCTGCCCAACTTGCGGGTGCTTCACGCGTCTCGGAATCAACTGCTCAAACTACCGCGAGCTATTGGCGAGATGCAGGCGCTTCGAGAGCTGCGACTGGACTGGAACTGCATCCAAGAGCTTCCCTTCTCCTTTCGTGCGTTGACGGGCTTGCAGGTTCTCTGCATGGAGCAGAACCCGCTGCGCTTACCCACCAGCGACGTCGTAGCTCGCGGCGTCCCCGAGACGCTGCGCTTCATGGAGAAAGCCCTCGTGGAGTTCCAGAGAAGCAGCAGACGAGAAGTTGTCGAAGCCCTACAACAAGTCTTGGCCTTCGCAGCCCAGCTCATACAAGACGACGAGATGAGAGAGGCACAGCCAGATAATAGCAACAACACTCACCGCAATGCCACCGTTGACGATGATCTTCGAGTCATCACGTCGTTATTCGAGCCCAACTGTGATCGTTTAGCGCCACAGGGCACCAGCAGCGAGCTCAAGTTGTACGGCATCGTCTGGGAGAGTTTCTTCTCTGAGCTGCTCCCGGCCATCGAACGCAAGCAAGCGCTCGCAGTGTCGGCCGCCCAGCAGCCACAAACGGACGAGTCAAGGTCAAAGCAGCAAGCACCTCCAACGCCCTTCTCGCAGCGTTTCTCTCCTGAGGAAGTCGAAGACGCACTCTTGAACTACGACGACGAGTTCGGCATGGCTTGTGTCGCTGGCGGGGGAGAAGTTCCAAGTGTCCCCATCGAGTTTCGTCGCTGTGCGTGTCTTGATCCAGTGGCTCTGTGTGAACGAGGCCAGCGCGTCCGGAAGGTTTGTCTGCCGAGAACAGCGCCGTATCGATGTCAACGCCCTGGGAGACTGCTGCGCGCGCAGATGCTCACCAAAGAGCAAGCTCAAGACCAACTCGCCAGCATCTACCTACGTGCCAAAGTGGCTCGCCTCGTCCAGAAGACGCAGAGACGCGCTATCGAGTACATCAACTCCACCTTGGGCGTGGCTCACTTTGAGCGTACAGCTCGCGTTTTGGCTCACGAAATGGTTCAGCGGCGTAGACGACTGCGTAAACTCTACAAGAAGTACATGAAGAACCAGCGGCACGTCGACGCTCGACGAGAGAAACTCCATCGGAAGATTGAGGCCTTTCAACGCGCGAAGGAGGCGCGGATGAAGACCACGCGGGATAAGTGTTCACGGCTTGAGAAGGATCGAGAAGCGCTCGAGCGTGAACGTGACGCCGCCGCTGGCAAAGACAAGGGAGGCGCGTTGGCAGCAGCGAAGACCAAGAAGCTGAATAAGCTGGACAAAAAACTTTCCAAGTTGAGATCCGAGCTGGAGGACGGGGAGGCAGAGCTTGGGCCTGAGAACGGGAAGATCTACGAGCTTGAGCTAGCGATCGAAGGCCTTGACATGGAAGAGCAGAAGCTTGTAACAGCCACGGAGAAAGCTCGAGCGCGCGAGATGAATGCCGCCATCGGAGGTGACGACGACGAGGAAGAGGAGGAAGAAGAAGAGAGCGAAGGAGACGGTGACGACGATGAAGCTGCAGACTCTGATGAAGACGATGACGACGCTGACGCTGAAGATGATGAAGACTCCGAAGAAGAGGAAGAAGAAGCCCCGGAGACGGAGGCCTCGCGCGTGAGCTCATCAGCGCCGACCGAGGCTCCAGGCACCTCGTTCTTCCAAATCGACATGCCGGATCTGAGCATCGACGACTACCGCATCGCAGCCGTGAAAGCAGTGGATCAGGAGCTTGAAAAGCGCGCCATCGAACTAGAAGAACAGAACCCCAAGAGCCAGAAAGAGAAGGTCAGCGTCACGGCCGTCGTGAAGAAGCCGAGCTTCATCATGCCCCTGGATGTCCCCGAAGAGGAACTGTTCGAGCTGTTCCAGACGCAAATCCGAGACTCGTACGTGGAGATGCAGTGCACGAAGGTGTCGCAGCAGGCCACCAAGGAGTTTCTCCAGATGCGCGCCGTTCTTCAGAGATGGCGTGGACTTGGTACTCGAGCGGTGTTCGAAGCTTGGCACGAGGTGGCTCGAGCCAGTCGCTTGGACGCCAACGCCGTGAAGGCCCGTCTCGAGCGGAAGAAGCTGCTGGAGAAGCAGAACCGGGAGCTTGAGGAGCAGCTCGCACGTATCGAAGCCAGACGTTGGGTCCTGCGCACCGACATGTACACGGACGCCATCTACTACGAGAATGAGACAACCGGTGAAACCCGATGGGAGCCGCCGCAGTTCTGGGCGGAAGAGCAGCAGAAACAGCAAAAGGAGCGACAAGCTGCGAGCTTCGCAAACGTACCTGTGCTCAAGCTTCCTCCGATCTAGGGATGCACTGAAGCGATCGATGTAGACCAGTGGCTCAAAGCAGAACACTTGGTATTTTTTTGAAAGTATATCCATCGGTCCATGCTAGTACGAAAGTCTCACTTCTTGCCCTTCTTGCCCTTCTTGTCTCCTCCCTTGCCCTTGCCATCCTTCTTGTCGTCCGCGTTGAGCGCGTCTGCTGCGGCCTTGCGGATCTTGTCGCGCGTGTCCTTCAGGCCCGTGATGACAGCGGTGAAGTTCTTGAACTTCTCGTGGTCCTCAGCGAACGTAGCAGTCTGGCGCGACAGAGCACCTAGGAACTCCTCCTCACGCAGCGGGCGCTTCTCCAGACACTCCACGCGTCGAGGCGTCAGCGTGTTCTCTACCGCGCGCACGATGCTGCCGGACGAGTAGCCTTCCGAGATGTGGGCCAAGGTCGAGATATCAATGGGCTCCCGACGTCGGTGGTCCTGAATCTGTGAGGCCGAACCTCCACCTGAGCCTGAAGTGGACGCTGACGAAGACGCAGCAGCCAGTGCCGCTGCTGTAGCCGCTGACGACAGCCCCAACGTGGCCGCGTGAGCTGCGATAGTGGTGCGCAGCGCGTGCTTCCAGAGCAGCACGCGCGACGCGTAGTCCGGGTACGGCACGTGCAGGAACTTGTCGAAGAAGTTGCGCAGGTCCTTCACCTCGGCTGCACCTGGGTCTGCCGACGTGCCGATAACTAGCACGCGGTCCGAAGGCTCCAGCGCCGCCTTGATGTACAGCAGGAGGTCCTTCTTGAACCGGACGGGGCCTTCCGAGTTGGCTGCAGACTTGCTCTTCTTGCCGCCGCCGCCCGCGAAGATCTGCTCGCAGTCGTCGATGTAGATGATAATGGGCTGCAGCGCGGCCGCCTTGGCTAGCACAAACGCCATGTGCACGAGCTTCGTCGGTCCGGTCTTGCCCGCGAACTTACCAACGAGGTTGCTTGGCGACAGATTGAGTAGCAGGGCTCCGGTCTCGTTCGCCAGCGCGCTCACCAGCATCGTCTTCCCTGACCCACGAGGCCCGTACAGCATCATTGATCGCACAATTGGCGTACGCGCTCGAACAAACGGCGATCCAAGCGGAAGTACACCATACTCCGTTAATGACTGGCGTAGTTGGGCAGCCGACGGGTCTTGAGGCACCCAGTTGCCGAAGCGATCGCGCCGCTCGCAGTGCTGGTAGACGGTGCCCAGGAAGTTAAAGCTGCCCACGAAATCTCGCACGCGCACGCCCGGACGAGGCGCGTGCACGATCTGGTGCTCCACCAGCACACTCAGGAACGAGTCCGGCGCACGGCCCTTAAGCTCCGAGATCTTCTCGCCAGGGAGGGGCTTGCCCTTCTTCTTGCCGTCCTTCTTGCCTTTCTTGCCTTTCTTGCCCTTCTTGCCTCCCTTTTTCCCTTTGCCCTTCTTACCCTTCTTGCCAGCCGAAGCGGCCGCCTCGAGCTGCGCCTTGATGTTCACGAGCTGCAGCACCAGCATCTCGTCCACCTGCTGCCGAACCTGCACTTCCACGGGCCCGCGCACCACGTCCTTGGCCAGAGCGACGTCGTACTTCTGGTAGAAATTGTCCAGATCCTCGCGCTCGAGCCACACCTTCTCGTACTGGGCCACCCCTCCCGCCAGCTTCTTGCAGAGCTCGGAAGGCCCCGTGAGCGGGGGCGGCTTCTCGGGCGCTTCCTCCTCCTGCTCCTTGGCATCTTTGCCTTTGCCCTTAGCTCCTTTGCCTCCCTTCTTCTCCTCCTTCTTGCCCTTGGCCCCCTTAGCTCCTTTCTTGTCGGCAGCAGCCTTAGCCTTGGCCTCTTCTTCCTCTTTAGCCTGAGCTTTGGCCAGCTCCTCGGGAGTCATCTCTCCATTCAACGCCGCGTAGAAGCCCGTGAGGTCTTCAGGGAGCTGGCCCGTGGCCATGACATCCGTGATCCAGCGGCGTCTCTCCTCCAGCATCTTCTCCTTCATGAACGGTCCTTCCTCGTTGGTGACGACTCCGTGCAGCTCAATGAGTGCGCGCTCGTACTCCTCCTTGTTCTCAGCCTGCTCGACACGGCGCTGGAGACGCGCGTCCGCCAGGCGCTTCTCCAGTGCGGAACGATCCGTGGCGGGCGCCTTCATGCCGATGAAAACCAGCTCCGCGTCACGCTCGCGCGCTGCCGCCGCCCGCGAGAAGAAGCCGCGAAACATGCGCTGAATGTTGGCAGCCGCGATGTCCGGGTCCATTTCAGGCGCGCCTTGGGCGGCCTCGTAGAGCTTGCGTTGACGCTCCTCCTCGCGCAGTTCCTGGACCAGAAGGCCGCGTTGACGGCCCTGCCGACCGCGCTCGTTGCGCTGGATCACTGCAATGGCCTCGTCCAGCGAAAACACGCCCACGCCGCTAGCGAGCGCGGACTGCGCGACTTTGATCGCGTCCAGCGGGATGGAATCCACGCCGTGTTTGAGCTTCATGTAACCCTTGACGAGGCGTTCACGGCGCAGCAGATCCTCCTGCTGGTCGTCAAGGAACGACTGCGGCACAGGCACTTCGAGCGTCTCTGGAGGCAGCTTGAGGTCCACGAGGATGTCGTCCAGGTTGACGTATTCCCACGGGAAGCTGCGCTCGGGCTGCGTCATGACGTCCGGGTTGGGCGGGTTCCATTTGACCAGCAGGTGCTTGAGCTCCACCACGCGCGTGGCCACGACCTCGATCACCTGCTTGACGTCGATGCGCTTCTGCGGGTGCACCATTTGGTCGTAGCACTCGGACAGGCGCGACAGGATCTGGATGTACTTGATGTACAGGCACGCGTAGTGCTGGAACGCCTCGACGATGGTCGCTTGGGGCGGCTGCAAAGCACAAGCAAAGAGTGGTTAGATGGGCTAGTGGGTAGGTAGCTTTAAAGCACAAGTCTGATAGCACGCACCGCCTCGTTGGGAGCGCCTTCCTGGCCGTCCCCGAGCGTGTGGTCCTCGATGTGGACCTGCTCGTTGAGCTCCGACATGGCCTCCTGCCATAGCTGGTCGTACGTGCTGCGTCACGCACAGACTACGTCAGACACAGCAACCACGTGAGTTAGCATCGGCAGTACTCGAACCTGCTAGCCATCTTACGCTCCTGCTGCCGTCTCGATGCTAAACGGGCACTGACCGTAGCAGAGGAGGCGCCGACTCATGAAAAACGATCGGGCCGTTACAGCAAGACCCCAACCAAGCCCTGCAGCTCAAGTGCTCTCTTCTCCTCACCGTCGCCTTCGTACTCTTCGTACTCCCTCGTTGTTCGTCCTTTTTGTCGGCATGGCAGCGTGAGCCTGTCAGCTTCAACCTCCACGTACTCGAAGTCCCAAGATCGCCACTGCAATTCAGTATCTTGTTCAATCCCCACTCAGTGTTCCAACGCACGCAGCGACAATGAGCAATGCCACCGCCAACCCCCGTGCCAATCGATTCCGCAAGGTTTTCAGCCAGTCCTTGTTGCTGCCGCCTCCACTGCCTCTCATCAACCTGCCGGAGGAATCCCGCCTGGCCCGCACGGGCATCCAAAGCCAGCGTCCGATGCACCTGCCAGTGCGCAGACACATCCCCAACCCGGTGGCCGTAGCCGCGTTGAAAGCCAAAGCCGACGGGGGTCCTAAGAGTCCCGAGGACTTCGACCATCTCCAGCCGCCCAAGCGCGAGCCGATCCTCCACGAAAGCCGAGCGCTACTCGAATGCGAGGACGAGGGGTACGAGGAGCTCGAGGTACTCGCGCGTCTCCACGTGTATGAGTACAACCAGCCCGACGTCTTCCGAGACAGCAGCGCTCCAGATGACACGCTCATCTTCGACTCGTTGTTCGAGGGCGGCAACCTGCAGCGCGCCGAGCGGATCTTCCGCAAGACGCCGAAGTCCGGCTCAGCGTCTCACATGCCCCTGCAGGAGTACGAACTGCTCATCCACCCGGACATCAAGAACGGCGCCTACCGTCAGTGGTTCTACTTCGAGGTGCGCAACGGGAGACCGGGGACCACCTACCGCTTCGCGCTCGTGAACCTCGCGAAGAGCGGAGCGCTGTTCGGCCAGGGACTGCAGCCGGTGGTTTACTCGGAGCACGACGCGGCAACAAAAGGTGTCGGCTGGAGGCATCGAGGCACGCACGTTCGGTATGACGTCGCCACATCTCCCACAGCCCAACCAGGAGCCAACGCGTTGACTTTCCACTACGAGTTCGAGCATGAGAACGACTGCGTGTACTTTGCCTGCATCCAGCCGTACACGTACACCGGTACACCGTTCGCTAGTTGCTTGTTGTCCACGAAATCGATGTTCACGTCCACTTGTATGCTTGTGTTGTGCCTTGGCCCGTAGATCTGATGGACTACCTGGAGCATCTCGAGCGCGATTCCCAGCGTTCACTTACGTGTCGTCGAACTGAACTTTGTCAGAGTCTGGCAGGGAATCCATGCGACCTGCTTTCCATCACGTCTCCAGCGAAGGACGGGATCCCCCACGACGAACGCCGGAGTGAGTTGCCATCATCGTCATCTTCGGTCAAGTACCCTCCGTGTTCTAATACGCCTTGGTGACGTTGTGTCCAGTCATCGTGTTGTCCGCGCGCGTGCATCCAGGAGAGCCCAACAGCAGCTGGATGATGCAGGGCATGATCGATTACCTCACAGGACCAAGCAGCGGCGCAACGATACTCCGCCGCAACTTCATCTTCAAGATCGTGCCGATGCTTAACCCCGACGGCGTCATCAACGGCAATACCCGCGTCAGTCTGGCTGGCTGGGATCTCAACCGCAAGTGGAGCAACCCCATCGAGCAGCTCTTCCCCACAGTATACCACCTCAAGCAGCAGCTCGCACACTTCCAAGCCCACGGCCGCGTGGCCATTTACTGCGATCTTCACGGGCACAGTATCAACCGCAACATCTTCACGTACGGCTGCTACACCAGTAAGAAGAGGCCCAGTGGCTCCGACAGCGCTAAATCTTCCGCTGACGCAGCCACGGCCACCAGTCCTGCCAGCAACACGGTAAAGACCGACCCGCGCGTCTTCCCCATGATCGTCGCGCGCCACGCGCCGTGTTTCTCCTTCGCTAGCTGCGACTTTAGTGTCCACAAATCCAAGCTCACCACTGCGCGAGTCGTAGTGAACCAGGAGCTGGGCGTGACCAACAGCTACACCCTCGAAGCGAGCTTCTGCGGCCCAGACTTTGGTACGCACAAGGACACCCAGTTTTCCACCTGGGACCTCGAGGAAATGGGGCGATCGTGGTGCCAGAGTCTGCTCGTGTACTATGGACTCACCGCGCAAGTCAAAGCATTGGATGCAGAGCGTGAGAGGCAAGCAGCAGTCGACGATCGAACGCAAACCTCGATCGCTGTGCCATCTCCAACTGGCCGACGAACGCGTCCTGAGAATGGGTCACTTCGGATGGAGGCTGAAGACGAAGAGAGTCGCCTTGCGAGAGACCTCCTACTTGACTGCGAAGCGGCGATCTCGGCGCTGTTCGCCCATTCTGGAATGGACATCAGCGACCGCGTAGGATCGGAAGACGATGCGGGCGGTGGAATGGACTCGGATTTATCTGGAGCTGAAGAGGAGCCGATCCCGCCGAGTCCAGACGGCAGGACACAGCAGCGTAGTCCGCGAATTCACAGTGAGCGCAAAAAGCAGCCCGATGACGATGGTCCCGTCGATGACGAGGGATACTCAAGCGCCCCAGAAGATTTCCCCTCGCGTAAGAGCCGCACGTCGAAGTCTGGCCACAATCAGAAGAAGGCTCGGAGACGCAAACACACACGCACCAACGCAGTAAAGCAAAAGTCAGCAGCCATCCCGACGTCCAGAAGAGGCGAAAGCAAAAGCAAGAAGAAGAAAAAGCGCAGCAGCAAATCGGAGCTAAGACGCACCACTTTGCCGATAGCGGCATCGTCGCTGGGTCCGAAGCTTGAAGATGCAGCACCTTGTATCGCCAAAGAACCTCCGGATATCGTCGTAAGAACTCCACCCGTTGACGAAGTGTTGAAGACGTTCCCGAAGAAAGTGGTGACCACCTCGCGACGCTCGAAGAGCAAAAGTCGTCCGAAGAGCTCTTACGAGACCCCACGAAATATATCGAGCGCAATCCTGAAAGCCACAATGAATGTCGATCTCGCGGCTTCACGGGCCAGTTTACGCCTTCGCCCAATGCCCGAGTATCCAAACACACACAGTACGCTTCTGATGCTGCCGAGTGTCTTGGACGGGGGTAGTCGAAACAGCAGCGTTCGAGTACTGAAGACAGCTCCATCCTACGATCAAGAGTATGTCGCACTTGAGGACAAAACCCGCTTCAGCTTAGCCCGTGTGCGCTCCGAGCTCCCAGTGTTGCAGAACTCTGGTCGCGACGAGGATCAGCAGCGGCATTCGCGGCTTCGGGTTCAGGAAAACGACGACATCCGATCTGACGAGGGTTCCGATGCTAGTTGCGAGCGATCCGAACCAGAGGCGTACACGTCCAGCTTTTGACCCACCTAGTAAGCGTCACCGAAACACAACACTCAACACACACACGTATCGCGAAAAATAGAGCTGCTTTGAGTGCAAAGATCATCGTGTCCAATACATGCAGACAATCTAGTCCAGCGCCGGCGCCAGCAGCTCCGTCATGCTTACAAGCTGGCGCTGCAGCTCCTTCACTCCGAAGCCCTCCTTCACGCTGCACACCTGGATGATCGGGTTCATGCTCTACCAATTTAACAACACAACGTCAGCCACCACAACGACCCAATCGACATCCACGCGTCCCACCTACCATGCGATCGGCGTTGAGTGCGACATCCTGCGCCTTCTGGATCTGCTTCTCCAACTCGCTCCGCGTGACCGTGTCCGCCTTGGTGAACACGACCTGGTAGAGCGCGCCCAGGTCGTGCAAAAAGTCCATGAAGTCGTGGTCCGCCGGTCCGAGCCCGCGCCGCGCGTCGATGAGCAGCATGGTCGTCTTGAGGTTGTTGCCGCGCCGGCCCTCGACGTAGCCGCCCACCAGCGCGTGCCACTCGTCCACGACCTTCTTGGGGGCCGCGGCGAAGCCGAAGCCGGGCATGTCCACGAGCGCCAGGTCGGGCAGACTGCCCTTCTTGCCGCCCACGCTGAGAAAGTGCAGCTGCTGGGTGCGTCCAGGCGTCTTGGACGTGCGCACGAGCGACTTCTGGCCGGTTAACGCGTTGATTAACGACGACTTGCCCGCGTTGGAGCGACCGGCGAATGCTATTTCAGGCACGTCCCACTGTGGCAGGTCGGTCGGGTCCGATGTGGACGTAATAAGAGTGCTGTCCACCTTGAACAGCCGGTTCACGATGTCCACCTCATGCGGACGCAACTGCGGCGGCGCCGACACACCAGCGATTGGCCAAAATACGGGCAGGTTGGCCAGCCGAGCCTGCTTCTTGCGGGTCTTCTTGGGCGGCGAGGACGGCGCGCGCGGCGACGACGAGAAGGTAGCGCACGCAAAAGTCGATGAAGAAGGCGCACACGGAGTCCGGAGGCTGGAGGCGCGGCATGGGGAACGCTGCACGCCGCGCAAGCTCGTGCATCGCCGCAGCAGCATTGTGTGGCCGATGTGGAATGTTATATATACTGCAGCGAACTCTAGGCTGGGATAGTCTATACAGTAGGTTGCCAACATAAAACGTTAGTACACTAGCATTTTAATATAGTAATGTTAACACTAGAACATTCCAATAACAATATAAACACGAATACGTAGTATACTAACATTACATATTAGTAGTAGTATATAATGTATCAGCAACAATCTCTACAAATTAAAAAAGCAAGAACACATAACGTCATTATACTAGCATTATAATATAGTAGTGCTAATATTAGAATAATTATAATAACAATATATAAAAGAATATGTATTATACTAGATTTATATTGTAGTAATGATAGTATTATTTGTTTATTCATGTTGCTCTTACTATTTTGTATTAACGGAAATGACCGAATAATACCCCGGGCACTATTTATTAGTACCCTCCCATTTTCAAAACAAATATGCTAAATTTTGGATATTACGCAGTATTTCATACATAAACATGCTTTCGACAATAAATTCATAAATATATACTTGATCTTTGTATGGAAGTAACATTGTAACCCTGGGATACACATTGGGCTACGTTTTAGAGGGTACTATACGGGTAAGGGGTATTATTCGGGAATTTACGTTACTTTAAAAAAATAGGTAGACCAATCAGAGCCGTACAAAAATCTTTATCGTGCTAAAAGAACAACACCAACGTTAACTTCGGGAAAAGGATTGGCTCTGAGGGTATTTTTGTGCCGCCCTAATTTCGAACCAACAACATGTGAATCTTGCCATGTTGAGTGGCAACGTTGGCGAAGATTCTTTCGCCAGGCATACGCGGAAGCAATCGGACGCCGACCTCAATTTTAACAGATCTCGCAGCTCTATCATGCATTTTCCATGGAAGGATTAGTCGACGCAATTGTGGATCCTTTAACCCCAACTCTTTTTGTCCTAGGATCTAGGACCGAAACTCACTTAAGTACGCCGTATTTAGCAGGGTTTTGTGCTAGAACCAGCAATTAGGACCAAAAGTGACTTGGGGGTTGTATGGAAGGAAATAAGATCCAGGTAAGTACGAGGGTGTCATGTATAACAAAGACAACAACTGTTCGAGTGGTGTAACGGCTGAAGCCCTATACTGAACTCAAGTCATTTTAAGGAATTTGTCCTAGAATCCAGGACAAAAATGAAATGTAATATGTTATTAATGACACCTTTCAACTGTAGCTTGTGCCGTTATGGATAATGGTGGACACTACGCATCACAAAGGATTAAAAGTGGGAATCAAAGGCTTTCTCTCCGTACTTAAGTACCAATAAGATGGCTTATCTTTCAAAAACAAAGCCAGCGTAAGCTTCTAACTTTTGGTCCTTGTTTTTGTCCTTGATTTGGCGGGTGTTGGGGTTGACCTTGCTGGTTGAGTCCAGGGAAACCCGAAACCAGGCGATTTGCCCGCAGCTCCGTAAACTGTGTTCAGTTCGGCTTTCTCCTCTTGGGGTTGATCTCCATGCGCTCACCACGCATCGGGCTACTCCTACTAATTCTGAATGGGGTCTCATTGCTCGCAAATTGCCGCGCGCTACCGGCCTCCGACCAACTCCAGCGCGTGAGGGTGGTTTCCTCCGACCTCGCTCCGTCGGCTGAAGCCCACACGCGACGATTAAGGTCTTCTAACGTTATGGACGAAGAAGATGGCGGTGCCACAGACGAGGACGAAGAGAGACTGCTCAACCCGTCCGCCACCGCCAAGTTGAAGGCGGAGCTGGAGGCGATCAACATGAAGCACAACTTCCGAGACTGGTTCCAGGTCAAGAAGACGCTCGAGCAGGTGCGCTCCTTCTTGGGGCTTCCAGCAACGGGCGAGGCGGTCAGCCACGCCAATTGGGCGGCATTCCAGAACTACCTGAAGTACGTGCAGGAGATGGAGGAACATGCTGCCAAAGTGGCCAAAGCGGCGGCTGCCAAGCAGAGGCTGGACTTCAAAGGATGGTATCTCGAGGGAAAGTCATTCAAGCAGGTACGCGCAATTCTGGGGCTCCCTGAAAAGGGACCTGCGCCAACCAACCCGAACTGGGAGACTTTCTTGGACTATTTAAGGTTCTTCAAGGAGTACTCGCAACAATTCCCCCACTAGAACGCTGGGACCTCTCATTGTTGTGGCCCAATTGTCTTCTGAAAAGCTACGAGACGGCCATGGCGTAACAAAATAGATGTTATTCTTGGAGTCGATCTCCCTCGCAATGTTACACTCGGCCATCTACGCCATCGATGCGTCTTGCCTCGCTATCACGCTGGCTGTCGAGCGCTGTTCACGCCTGGAAACATCTCCAAGTCAGCTACTACGGCGGCAAATACTCCGTCGAGCGGCTGCTTGCCCTCGATGAGTACACAAGGAACACACCGCTATCGCGAGTGCTGCTGGTGTGTATCGGGACGCCTGTCCCTATGGCGGTGCTCGTTAGCGCTCAAGCATTATTGTCACTACAAGAGCCAGCAGACGGGTGGAGAGCAAACTCCGGGTTCTGGATTCGCTCGGGAATTTTATCCTTCACGGTGGCGGTCATTTTGACAACGCAGGCGATTTATCACATTGACGGAGTCACAACATCAACGCTCCAAGTATTGCTGCTGTCCGCGCTCACATCCCTTCTTTTCACAATTGGAGCCCTCGCCATCTCAGCCGCTCTCATCTTCCCCGTTCCGTTCTTCGTGCTGACGCTGTGCCCAATATTCTACGTGGCGTTAATTACTTCGTATCGAATCGTGCTGGGAGATGCCATTTTTCGACAAATGCTGCAGAATCGAGACCAAACCGTTCGATACATCTACTTTGTAGGGGCGCGGAACGTCATGGTTTTCACGTACCCGGCCTATGAGACTTTATTTCGCGCCGTGAGAGGGTCCGCGTATCAACTTCCCGTCATTCTCATCCTTCCGTTCATCAAGGTCGCCATAAGAAACCTCGTTCTGCGCTGCATGACTCACTTGGAGGACATGATGCCAGAGGCAGTGATCTTCACGGTCGACTTCTTCAACGCCATATACGTGGCGCGTCCTCTGCCACTGCCATCGTCGCCATCACGCTCACGGATCTATCGCAGACAATCGTTGTGCTCTTTAGTCTTCACCATCGCACCGCGACGCTTTTGTCCAGGCTTCGCCACAATGTTAGCAATGATTCGGAGGCGGAAAACTTACTGAGCGGGCTCAGCGCATTATGTCGTGATCCCAACAAGTTTCGAATACATTCACAGGCCGAAATCCGCTTACGCTCATGCATTTCTCATGGCTTAGCTACTGCAGACAGGGATCGCCTAACTACACTGGAGAGTATTCCAAGGAGAGCAAGCTCCGAGCTCGTGAAATCTCCCGGGTTGATCAAGCTTGCGTCATCGCCGAGAATTGCTATCCCCAATGCCAAGCCTCCCAGGTGTAGCGCCAGACGCTCCATCCGCAGCATATTCGTCCAAAAGAGCAGCGAGACCATTTATCCCATTACACAGCCCGCGGGGGAGGTGACGCCCCGGTCTGACAGAGAGAGAGGAAGTCAACGTGTGCTGGCGCAGCGCCCCGTGATTCTTCGTGAAGCGCTCGAGGCTCTTTTCACTACCGAGTGCATTGTTGTCACGGCCTACCTCGAAGCTATCATCCCTTTCTTCTACTGTAGCTACATGTTGGTAAGCTCACGCTATCACACGGAGATGGTCGGAGTCACGTCGGGCAACGTGGTGAAAACCATTTTGCCAGTTTTCAACTTTGGAATCCTGCAGTTGGCAACGTTCTTGGTGCTGGCAGCAGTCATCAAGCGGAACTGTGGGATGAAAATGCTGTACCAGCTCGCGTTTGTGTTGGAAACGCACATGCCGCTGATTCAAGGAAAATTTATGTTCTGGGTGCTTATCGTGTTATGCTTTCGCATCGTGCACTTTGGTACGTAGAGCAACTCTAGGCGGTTGGAGCAGTGATTCATACTAACTACAACTTTTTGTGGTTGCTACAGGTGTTGATTTCAGTTTCCAGTTCAAAAAGGGGTTTTACAGCTAGCAGTCACCTAAGGGAGCGTAGTGCACTTCCCTAGTGCCGACGACACTGCGTCCTCCACATTGAGGTCTCCACATTGGAACGTACTCAATCTAACAGTAACAAAAAATAACATCACACGCTTCAACCTTCATGTAAACGTGTACGGAGTCTCCATCATGTGCCGTTAGATGGAGCCAATCTAGTTGCCAATATGTAAGTCCGAACTTTGTCGATGTTGTCACCAAAGGACAGTCACCCACTGCCAAAACGGTCATAAGGGCCCGGAGTAAATGCAGCAGATATGCTCGGCATAAGCCTCGTGAGACCGGAAAATCGTCTCGATAAACTGGCGGTTATGCCGTGTACCCATCTTAACGACTTACTACGACTTTGTATTGAATATGTCGACCATCATTCTTGTGAAGATCGCCTGTCAATGACAGGCTGTCAAATATCTTCTTCCACCAGCCGCTTGTGAATCGCGCGTCGAACAGCGCCCAGGTCCTTGTTGTAGCTCACGTAGACCTCGCACAGAGCGTCGCACGTGTCATTCTGGAGCTCCATCACCACGGCAGCGTGGGCAGAAGAGCGCTGAATCGTAAATGAGCATGCTGAGATAAACTGCAGAAAGATCTAGCCATAGGAATGTCCGGAGCAAAGTGACGCTGTAGGGCGAATAGAGGTGGTACTTGGACATTTGTAATCGGGCGGAGTTGTTGTCGATAACCATGTTGTGGCGGGTGCAACTAGGCTATATGTCGACATATCCACCCGCATATCTGCGGTAACTATGTTAGGTCCTTATGACCCTTTTGGCAGGCACCCAGTGACCTGGGCTAGAATTCCCTATAAAAGCCAAAATAGGAATATCTGCAGTATACCTAGCTATTGTTGACGTGATATCGCTTTATTTCGAGCAGACCTCTGCTTTCCATTCTCGTTGCATTCGTCCTCGACTTGAGATGGCCCCAGTAGCTCCAGCGTTGGAGCGGGGCCGCGACTTGACAGACTCGGCATTGCAGGTGTCTCGGAGAAATCGCTGGCAGATATGGGGGTTCCGCCTTGCAAGGACGTGGCGGCGCATGCAGGTCAGCTACTACGGCGGCAAGTACTCCATCCATCGAGTGCTCGCTCTGGAAGAATACACGAACAAAACTTCACTAGCGCGGGTGATTTTCGTTTGTCTGTGTACGCCATTTCCATGATGGTTCTTGTCTTCGGTCAAGAATCCATTCCGCTCCAAGATCTCAATGAAGGCTGGCGGGCAAACTACGGAATGTGGATCCGAGGCGCGGTGGTCGTGTGTGTTGTGACGTACGGGATTGTGGTGCAAGGAATCTGCCTCATCGATGAATTCACAGTCTCGGCACATCAAATGCTTATACTTCTGGTGTGTGTACCGGTGGCTGTGGTGGCTCTTTCGATGCTCATCAGTGAGTACTTGGTGTTCCCAGTTCCATTCTTCGCATTGCTGATGATGCCCCCGTTCTTTATCATCTTGACATTTTTTCTTCGAGTGGTGGTAGGGTCCACCGCTATTCGGCACATGCTGGAGCACCGAGATCAGTCGATGCACTGTATTCGCTTCGTATGCGCTCAAGCCTCGACAATTGTGATTTTTCCAGTGTACGAATTATTTTTTCGAGCCGCAGCTGGATCGCACTACCAGATTTTCGTGATTCTACTTCTCCCAGCTCTGAAAGTCACGACCAAGAACGTGGTCTTGCACTTCGCCAAGAGTCTGGAGGACATGATTCCGGTTGAAGTGATTTTTACAGCTGATTATTGTAACGCCGTTTACGTTGCTACGTGGATGCAGAGCTCGTCTTCAACTACCTCTGTAGTAGCCATCACACTCACCGATCTATCGCAGACGATGTTTATGCTTTACGGATTGCACCGACGTACTACCAGAATCTCATCAAAACTTCGCCAAACTGTCGGTGATGCTGATACTGATCATGGCAATATGCTGAGCATGATTTGCTGGATATGTCGCCATCCCGACCGCTTTGAGAGGCAAGCACACAGGGGGATTCGAAGACGATCGTGCCTGCCTCATCACATATCCTCCGTGAATACACGAGTACTTGACAGCCTGAACCAAATTCTAACTGAACCAGACCCACAACCTCACGGCTCGCCCCAAGTCTCATCCCTCCCCATAATTTACCAAAGGAAACCCGCATAGGCATCTTGTCTTCGAGCCATTTGTTCACGGAAACGCATCAAAGCCATGCATGCTATTGCACCTGAAGCTCGGTCAGTTTCTATGCATCGACCTCCGCCACCCCAGACCCCAACCTACAACCCACGATCGTCACCCCAGCGTCCAACGATTCTTCTACGATCGCTCGAAGCGCTCTTCACAACTGAGTGCCTTATCATTACGGCGTATCTTGAGGCGTTCATGCCTCTGTTCTACTGCAGCTACATGATGGTAATGGTGCATCTACAGAGTGCTCAATATCACAGAGAGATGATTGGTATCACTCGTAACAACGTCGTGACCACGATCGTCCCGCTCCTTGTGTTCGGGATTCTCCAGATCGCGTCGTTCGTGGTATTAGTGCTGCTGATCAAGCACAACTGCGGCATGCGGGCGCTTTACCAGTTGGCGTTTGTCTTAGAGAAGCAGAGGGCGCTGGTTCAGTGCAAGATGGTGCTCTGGATGCTCATCACCTTGTGCTTTCGTGTACAGCATTTTGGTGCGTTGTCCCTGGAAATTGATATTGTAGAAGGTATGCTCATTTTTCTTACTTGTGTACTAATGACGGCTCAGGTGTTGATTTCAAGTTTGAATTTGTTCGTCTTGGGGCTCCGAGGTTCTGGATACCACAAGGGTAGAATAGAATTGTAGCATGATAAATAAATAAAAAAACATCACGAGCAACTTGCAATTACAACTTCGTGATTCGGAATCAGGGCCTCCGAATATGGCATTTTTATTTAGTAGGTTGGGCGTTGCTGAATAAATTATCCCCTGACGCTCCTACCAATACAACAGTACATTATGGCATTGCCCCCAACGTACCACAATAAATAATGCCATTATGAAAAGCATGAAGTCTATTAACAAGACACCAGTTAGCTTATCATCTAGCTCAAATTGTCTACAGTCGTTGCATCCCAGTACGACCGATTCTGGCGGAGAAACAAATCGTCTCAAGCGTGCGTGGCAGCAGGCCATGTCGTTGATGACCAAACGTCACCCGAGCAATGCTGAAGAAGCGTTCCACCACGTGGGATGCTCTTCAGCTGCTCAAACTTGACACGGTCCTGTGCAAGCCGCCGGCGCTTCCGAAGACGCTCCACGAACGACGCGGCTGGATCCTCCTCCTCTTCACTCGCGGCCGCGTCGTCCGGTCTGGCAGCTTCGAAGGGCTGCAAAGCGGCCTTTTCAGCACGCGTCAGCCGCTGCGCCTTCCCGCGGAGAACGCGTACACACCCAGCCTCAAAATCTGGGGTGTGCACAATGTTGGCCCGAGGCCCTGCAAAATAAAAACCATTATACAATTGTTAGTGAAAATATTAAGCACAAATTCAACAGTTACAAACTTACCAATGTAGCGCCCATATTGTGGCCTGACAGCGATCAGCTCGTCGAACCACTCGTGAACGTCCAGCAGGTCGACGTCGTGGCCTTGAAGGGCCTTCGAGACCGACTCGATGTCCCACAGCTCCTGGTACAATGCCCGCAGTCGCTTGTTCATCGCCGGCGGCGGCAGCAGGTCCATGAGGTCGTCGTCTTCGGCGTCAAGAAACTCGAGGAGCTGGAGGTAGCGCCGTACCATCTCGAACGTAGAGCTCCAGCGCGTATCCTGGCGAATGACAGGCCGAAGTGGCGTTTTCGATCTATTTTGTAAAATGTTTTACAAAAGTACACAAATTGTGTTAGAAACATATTGACACACCACACATACACATTGGCGCTTACCGTAGTTTGGCAGATTTGGTGAGAGTACGCAATTTTACCATGAGCGCCTGCACAGCAGTCAGGTCCTGCTCATGCGACGCCATGTCCGCCTGAACAGCAAGGTTCAGGCGGTGGCTTGCGCAACCAACAAGCAGCACACTCATAAGAGTTGCCAGCCGCCGGTTTACGGCGCAGTTGTCAGCTACGAGGAAGCGACACTGCGCCAGCTGTACGCCGTAATCGCGCGGCAGCATGGTCGCTAGAAACTCGAGATGGCCCTGCGCGGAGAGATCGTCGTCCAGCGCGTCCAGCAGCGAGGCCATGCTGAGTAGCGTTGTCTTGGGACAGCCGTTCACCTCATAGCACGCGAACACGGCGATGTAGTGCTCAGATGCGTGTGTCCAGCCGTCGAGCATGATGCCGAAGCGTGCTGGGAGCTCAGACGCAATCGAACGCTCGACGGCGACGACGACCCCGTCCATGCCAGCCCGCAGCGTTTCCTCCGAGATGGGGTCCAGGCTGGAGTAGCTGAATAACATCCATAAAGTAAAGTTGTTAGTTTCCGTAGTAATGTAAACACAATGACCTTATGCATACACGTACCGCCGAGCTTCTCGGCTCTCACAAAAAGAGAGTGGCAGGTTGCACATGACAATCCAAACCATCCAGCCGTGGAGGTTGAGCGCCGAGTGGCGGACGAAGTTCACGAGGGAGCCTGTCTCCGCCGTCGTAGCGTCGAGCATGACGGTCTTGTAGTCAGGGTGCTCCCGCCTGATATGTTGCATCAGGTTGGAGTACCCGTTCCTATGGGTTTGCTTCCGAACCGTGCCGCAACGGCAACGGAAATACTCGAGAATCACCTCGTCGTTCTCGTCGCGACACGGGCGGAAGTAAAACCCCGAGACTTGGGAGTTCGCGTAGGTAGGGCGAGGGGGGCGGATAGCGCGAACCATGCTGGATGAGGTCTTGGAGGCTTGAGAAGTGAAAATTGAAAAGTGAGCGCTGCCAAATGAGCTGCAACTAGCAACGCAGACAACCAGTGATTCCAGTTCTTCTGAACGACTGGAAGCGAGAAGATGGCTGGTAAAACGCTAACATTATTATATAAAGGTAACTGTCATAAATTATGTAATATCACAAAGCACATCAATAAATTATCACGGTAGATGGCTGAACCCGCCGAAATGCGTAATTTATTGTTATTTTCTGAAATAGTGTTATTGACAATGCTATTTTCGGAGACCCTGTTCGGAATGGAGCACATCAGTCCACACGAATACACCCACCCGATATATCGGGAAGCGCCAGCTTTGTCGAATAGTTTATTTGGAGCCATCCAGCAACAACTCGCTTTACAATTTCCTTAGCTCACGATGGCAGTCATAGCACCAACGCCTAGTGACTTGATAGGCGCGAGACCGCGCACGACGTGTCGGAGCGCTTCGACCTCGGCAGTCCTACGCTTATGGCAGCGCATGCAGCTCAGCTATTACGGGGGGAGGTATTCCATCCAGCGAGTGCTAGCTTTCGACGAGTACACCAAAAAAACTTCGCTCACACGAGTCGTGCTGGTCTGCTTTACGACGCCACTCCCCATGGTCGCTCTTGTCTTCGGACAAGAACTGGTCCCGCTTCAAGAGCTAAGAGAGGGATGGAGTGCCAACTACGGCATGTGGTTTCGAGCAGCGGTGCTGGTGGGCATCGTCACTCACGCTTTATTGGTGCAGGGAATGTATCTCATCGACGACTTCGTGGTTTCCGTGCTTCAAATGCTGCAACTTTACGTGATCATGCCGGCGATTATCGTGGCGTTCTCGCTGGTGGTCTCGGCCTACTGCGTTTTCCCCATTCCGTTCTATATCATGTTCATTACGCCCCCGTTCTACTTGTTGCTGGTCGTAATGATTCGGGTGGTTGTGGGTTCTCACGCCTTCCGACAAATGTTGACCCACCACGACCAAGTGGGTCGATGTGTGCGCTTCGTTTGCGCTCAAACGTCGACAGTCTTCATCTTCCCAGTCTACGAAATGCTGTTTAGTGCTGCTGAAGGAACGAAGTACCAACTTCCTGTGATTTTACTGCTCCCAGTGATAAAGGTCGCGCTGAAGAACCTTGTGCTTCATTTCGCTAAAGCGCTGGATGATATGGCCCCCGTCGAAGTCATTTTCACAGCCGACTTCTTCAATGCGATATACGTGGCTACCTGCATGCAGAGCTCGAGCTCGCCCATCGCCATCGCGGCGATTATAATCACCGACTTACTGCAGACTATCACAATGCTCTATGGATTGCAGCGTCGTACGGCCACTATCCTGTCACGACTCCGGCAGACTGCCGCCGACGCGAAAGAGAGCGATGACGTGTTGTCAATGATGTGCTCACTGTTTCACAATCGAGAAATGATAAGGAGGTTGAGCCACTTGGGCCTTCGCAAACACTCGTGTCTTCCTCACCAAATCTCGGATGTGAATAAGCGACTGCTCGATACTCTGGATACAATCCTCCCCGCACCAGGGCCTGAGCGTCAGAGTCCGCAAGAAGCATCGACGGCTATTGCGGGCCCTGGCGTCTCCAACATCCCGCCAGAGTCGTCCTACTTCCGCTTCACCTTCACCCAGAAGCCGGCCAACAGTATCTATCCAGACGTCGCCAAACCTACAAATCCGCACAAAGCTCGACTAACGTTTTCTAAGAAGGCGCTGACATTCAAGCACATGACGTCCAAGAACCCCACCATCCTCCTCGAATCACTGCAGATCGTCTTCACAACGGAATGCATCATCATCACAGCCTACTTGGAGACGTTCATGCCGCTGTTTTACAGTAGCTACATGATGCTGATGGTGCATCTCCCGAACGTCAAGTATCACGTGGAAATGGAGGGCGTCACGCGCGACAACGTCGTATCTTCCGTTCTTCCGTTGGTCGTATTCGGTTTGCTCCAGATCGCGTCCTTTGTTTCCTCAGCGCTAGTGATTAAGCGCAACTGCGGGATGGAGGCGCTGTACCAGCTCGCGTTCGTGTTGGAGGCGCAGAGGTCGCTGATTCAGTGCAAGATGATGCTGTGGATGGTGATCACGCTGTGCTTTCGGGTGACCCATTTTGGTACGTGCTATCATAAATGCGTGTGTGTTTTTTTATTTGTTGCTAATGGCCGATTGTGCAGGTGTCGACTTCAAGTTTGAATTTATTCGATTGGGCTTTCCTAGGATCTGGTATCCACAGGGATAGAGCTACATAGACAGCTCTATAAAGACACAACAACTTTGTAGTATCCCCTCCGGACAAAACGTGAAATAGTCCACTATTCTGAAACACTTATTACTTGAGATTTGTATTTGCAAATCATATGGTGAAAACACAAGTACCCACATAATGTCAATTCAGTGCAGTTTTATGCAGAATGAGCTAGCCAGGTGTATTCTCCACATTCTAAGCTTTCGATTGCTACCTCTTATGTGTAAAACCGTACTTAGTCGAGACATTGGCTCAACTTTGTATGGGACCTGCAACAGGGTGTGGGCAATAAAGGTGCCAAGCGAACATTGCTACGGACTTTATCTACTCTAGATGGATGTTACGGCTCTAACAAAGGCTAGTATGATCGATAGAGAGAGTGCGAAGCCGTAGGGGGTAAGTAACGAGCCGGCAACGACCTCGGTTGGATGGGAGCTAATTCTACCATATTAGACAGCTAAGTGACCCTTAAGCATATGCATGTGGCCTCCAATGCTTTTATATACTTTGGTAGGCTGCTTCTAACTACTAGTACATCGTCTAATAGTCTATAGACGTCCGGTAAACCAAATATATCGTTTTTCCTTGTGTTTCACATTATGTCCTGGTTGCCTTTTCTAACAGTATCATGATCACTATGGGTCTCCTGTCCGTAGCGTTAATGCATTCAGTTTTTGGTATGCGGCCTCGCTGTTGCCGCGGATAAAATCAACGCCATCTCCTCTAGCCCTGATGTGCCCTAGCGGCCGCGAAAACATTTCGATTTGGTTTCAAGGTCATTTTTGCAAGACCCCCCAGAAGTGTTTCATAATATGAAACATAATATTATTATGTCCGGAAGGGATAGTACTTCGTAGTGGTACTTAGCCATTCCAACTACCATTGTTTTCTTTTTCTCTTCAAGTGATTTTCTTATCTTTTCGAACCCGTGATAAGTCGGCCGTGGTATCATGAATTAAGGTTTCGGTGGTCTGATCATTGGCTCGTTGAGCGGGCCTCGTGCTTTCCGAATTTATGGAGTCGATATGTGGGCAGATATGGGCCATGTACATGAGTATTTCGGGAATGCTAACGCTCCTTGCGTTCTTGAGCTTATCCTTCAGGAAGTGCCAATGCCAGTGTTCATAGCGAGTGTAGCGCCAATACCCGCTGCGTTCGGCGACAGCACTGGTACTTCAGCACAACCTTGGAGTGAAAAGTTGTGGAAACCATGCGCCACGACACTTTTGACATGTGGAAGCAGAGGCAGGTCAACTATTACGGCGGCAAGTACTCCATTCAGCGACTACTTGCTCTCGACGAGTACACCCAAAAGACTTCTCTCTGGCGAGTCGTACTGGTGTGTGCTTGCACCCCACTTCCCATGGTCTCCCTCGTCTTCATACAGGAGTCAATCCCGCTCCAAAACCCTCTCGACGGCTGGAGCGCAAACTACGGGCTGTGGATCAGAGCTGTGGTTCTCGTATGGGAGGTGATAAATGGCCTGGTGGTTCAAGCAACATACCTCATTGACGACTTCCATGTCACGGTGCATCAGTTTATCTTGCTGAGTGGGAGCGTCTCGATTGGAGTGGCCGCCGTCACGATGCTTACGGCGTCGATCTTGATCTTCCCCATTCCGTTCTTCGTGCTAACCACAATGCCCCTCTTTTACGGCATTCTGATGATATCGTTTCGACTGATCATGGGCGGTGTTGCTGTGCGGAAACTTATCGCTAGTCGTGATCAAGTAGTGGAATACATTCAATTGGTCGGTGCTGAGACCTCCCCGTTGGCATTTTCCCACTTTACGAGCTCTTGTTCCGCGCTGCGGGGAGAGTGGGCTGGCTATCAGCTCCCGGTTATCATGGTGCTCCCTCTTATCAAGTTGCTATCTATGTACTGCGGTATACACGAGTGAATAAGGATATGGTCCCGGTAGAGGTTATATTCACCGTGGATTTCTTCAACGCGCTCTACGTGTCCACGTGCATGCAGAGCGCAACGTCGATTGCCGGTGTCATGGCCATCACGATAACTGATCTAACACAGACGTTTGTCATGCTTTATGGGCTGCAACAGCGCACTAGCAGCTTATTGTCTCGCCTTGAGCGAGCCGTGGACATCGGCACACCTTTCAAGGATAGCAACATTCTGACCACGGCTCGCTCCTTATGCTGCAACCAGGAGAGTTACGAGTGACAGTCACAATTCGGAATCCGCACGCGCTCAAGCATGTGCCTTCAGCTGTCTCCGATGAGTCAGTCCGTGCTCAACAGCCTCGGTGCAAGCCCTAGTGCCGTAGCTACAAAATCTCACAGGTTACCGAAGAAAGCGAGCCGCCGCTTGATATTTTGCTCTTGGCGCTTGACCAAGAGTGGAACGAGAGCCATCCTGCCTCGACAAGAAGCACAAGCGCAAAGTGCTGCACCGGTAGTGCAGACTGTGGAAGAGCGCAGGCCCTCTCTCAACAAGTACCACACAATTTTGCGAGAGACTCTCGAAACCGTGTTTACAACCGAGTGCATTATCCTGACTGCCTACTTGGAGACCCTCATTCCGTTCTTTTACGCCAGTTACATGTTGGTGATGGCGCATTTACCGAGCGCTTTTTATCATACGGAAATGACTGCTATTACGCAGGAGACTGTGGTCTCAACGGTGTCCCCACTACTCGTTTTTGGACTTCTCCAAGTCGGAACCTTTGCCATGCTCGCTGCGTTGATCCGACGGAACTGTGGAATGTCAGCTTTGTACCAGCTTGCATTTGTGCTTGAGGCGCACATGCCTCTAGTCCAATGCAAAATACTCCTCTGGATGATTATCACACTGTGCTTTCGGGTAAAACATTTCGGTAAGTAATCGCAACCATATTTTTTTATATTTGTTGTTAGGAAATGAGTGCTAATGAGGCATCTTGTGTGTTGTATCTCTTTAGGAGTCGATTTCACTTTTGAATTCGTTCGACTAGGTTTTCCTAAGCTCTGGAGTCCCCCGTGACTATACCGCGACCCCGTTCGTCGCCTCGAAATATTTTCTTAGACTAAAAGTGAGACGAGTTCGCATTCGGTGTCATAAAGCTTAGCATATTTTTCGAAAAACACGGTGCACTGAGCATCCGAACTGATAGACCGAACGAGTCGAAGAATGCCTCGACCATATACGAAATATAACAATGGCGCGGAACCTTGGATCCTGCCGGGGGTCATTATTTTGGAGAGCAGGGGGGGCATTTTAGTAAGAAAATCAGAACAGAGTCTACCCTACTAATTACTCGTTTCTGTTGACGATAGAGCATGTTGTCCTGCATCAGTATAATACAAAGAAGAAGTAATAAACTAACGCTTCGTCTATTTTTACTGTTTGATTCGTCTGTGGCTACTTAATCCAAGCGAACTTGAACGTGAAGTCCATACCTGTGAACACATCGAGAACAAAGCAACGGTTAGTACGAGCACAAAGCTCAGCAAAAGAAGAAAGCTGAGGACGCACCGAAGTGTACAACACGACAGCAGACCGTGACTGCCATCCAGAGGGTCAACTTGCCCTGAATCAGCGGCATGTGCTTATCCAGAACAAACGCGAGATGTTTGATAGCGTCCATCCCACAATTGCGCTTGATCATGCGCACCAATAGCCTAAACGATAAAAGCTGGAAGAGCCCAAACAGAACAAGAGGAACCACTCGCTCTTCTACGTTTTCAAGGGTAATTCCAACCATTTCAGTATGATACTGGGCGCTTGGGAAGTTTACCAATAGCAGCATGTAGCAACAGTAAAACATGGGGATCGCGGCTTCCAAATACGCTGTGAGGAGGATACACTCAATGGTGAAGAGCGCCTCAAGTGTTTCCAGTAGAATTGTTGGGTGGGCCGGATGCAGGAGAGACTGTATACTGGCTCGGGTGGAAGCTCGTCTGTCCACAGCTACTAAATTCTGTGCATTCGGTGCAACACCATGCATGTTGTAGGTTCTTGGGACCGAAATCGTGGGATCCGTAGATATTATTTTTGAATTGCTGGCGTTATTTCTCAAATTTTGAAGAATGTATTGGTCGTCATCGTCCAATTTGTGAGGAAAGCAGGACCGTAGCTGAATCCCAGCTCGAACCTGCCGCTTAAACTTCTTGACGTCTCGACAAAGTGTGCACAGCATAGCCAGCAAATCATTACCCTCTGAATCACTGCCCACAGCCAGTCGAAGCTTCAATTGCAGCGTGTTCGTGCGTCTGTGTAACCCGTAGAGCATGGCGCTCGTTTGCGATATGTCTAGCACCGTCATGGCCACAATCGACGCGTCCGAGGTGGCACTCTGCATGCAGGTCGCCATGTAGATGGCATTAAAAAAGTCGACGGTGAAGATGATCGCCTCGGGGATCATATCTTCCATGTGCTTCGTGCAGCGAAGTAAAATATATTTTACTGCCAGTTTGATCACAGGAAGCAGTAAAATGACTGGAAATTGATACGGAGAGCCTTGGACTGCGCGGAATAGCGACTCGTACAGCGGGTAGACCATTGCCACCATAACCTGCGCGCCAACGAAGATAAAGTACTTGAGTAATTGGTCGAATTGTGCCCATATTTCGTAGACTTGCTGGCGGCCAACCATAATGCAAAAGGAGACGACTAGGAGCACGAAAAACATCGGAGCCATCGTGATCACAAAGAACGGGACCGGAAAGGTGATTTGAGACGCCACCAGCACGGCAAACATAGTGAAGATGACCGTCGTCCAGGCGCACAGCAGTACAACCTGGCGCTCAGATAGATCCACCGCGTCGACGAGATACCTCGCCTGGCCAGAATTCGTGTGGCCGACCACAAACACCAGGATGGCTGTTCGTATCCAAAAGCCGTAGTTTCTTACCCACCCGTCCTCTGGCTTTTGAAGCGGGATTAATTCTTCAACAATGACGAAAACTACAGTAGGAAAGGGGGTGCCTAGCACCACTAGCAGCGCCCTGGATAACGAGGTTTTCTGGCTGTACGCGCGCAGAGCGAACGCGCGATGGAGAGAGTACTTCCCTCCGTAATAGCTTACTTGCAGCTGCTGCCACGCACGAACAGGGTCGAAAGAGAGCCTACGCCTTGTGCTACCAGACTGGTGAACGTTGGAAGCTGGGTACACTCGCGTGGTCGTCGCCATGTGATCGAGGTAGGGAGAATACGACTAACAGAGACTTGCGTGATTATGCAGATTGGAGAAAACCTTCGTCTATCCAAACATAGCTGAACCACGATCACCCAACTCTTTTTCCTATTCTTGTCGAGTGTAAACTGATATATCGGCTGCTTCCAAAGCTAGAAAACTCCGGCTGGCCGTTTCCGAAAATTCGACGGCTCCCTACCTACTCGCCACCTTAGTCGTCTCTTAGCATAAGTATTTTCACATTTTTTTCTCGATGGCGGTCCGTCCTACCTGCTACGTGCTTGCATGAATGTTCGTTTATTTATTGTGTACAAGCCGAGCGGAGCCCCGCAAGGCGGGGCTCGTAGTACACGGTTTAGCCGAGTAAGTGGGGCTGCCCGCCTCCCTTCGCTCGGCGGGGAAGACTTTCCCATTTGAAATTGGGCTTTGAATTGGTCTGTGGTCTGAGTCGACATTCATTTTAGATTAGTACTATTGTCCAGCTTGTAGTAGCGCGATCCAGACTTTGCTTCCAGTTTTGGGTCGCTAATATTGAGCTTCACTGAAAATTAAATGCATCCAACTCAATTGCAGGTAGATCCCACGTAAGATCCCACGTAAGATAAGGTGTGGATCATTAACTAAGGAGTATTGGCTCCTACTGGTTAGACAGATGAAGCTTGGGCACTCGGTACTATAGGTGCCGTCACACAATACAGTAGGATATGCTACATTGGTGAAGCGCATACTTGCTATTTAGTATTTCGGTTTGTTGTTCGAGGTGGTCAAACAGAGCAATCTACGCTGAAAACATACGCCAGCAAGTGTCTTACAAACCCAACGCATTGAATACGTTTACAGAATTGTAAAGCTGTCGCGTTGAAGTAAACATTAAGATTGCCACAGAGTACATCTGCCTCATTGATATAGAACACTACTTAGTATACTGTAACATACAGATCTGGGCTCTATGTACATCAATATTGATCATTTTCCTATGAATTCACATTGGTAAAACTGCATCACATGGCGCTGAACGCAGCCGTACAATATCATAATGGAAATACAATGTATGGTGTATTCCTACATATGTTCGCGGACTCTTATAAGGGTCGAGTCGCTAAATTATACATAGCCCAATTATAGGTGTCCACGCATGCGCGAGAATGCTAACCTAAATATATCAAGCTTACACCTTTTTAAGGCGCATCGCCACCATTTCAGTGCAGGTTTGGACCATGCTCAATTTGTTTTGGCCGGGAAATTATTCTGGGTCTGATCGCAATTTCTGACTCACAAACATATACATCAACAGGTTTCAAAAAAGTTGGTGGTGAGATCTGCTGTGGCGAGCACCATTTTCATCGAGCATACCTACTTACCGCAACTCGAGGTTAGTTTTCGGATCTGGGTGTGCAACTCCAGCACCCACCTCAGTACTGCCTGCATTTTAACTGGTGTATCGTTAAGGCGTTCATGCATTTTAGTAGAATCGTTAGGGACAGTTATTCTTAAGCGGGTGCATGAAAACATGTGAAGTACCATGTGCACATGTGCTGTTGGTTTACGACCGAGTCTACAGGAACATCAAAATTTGCACAGCTTTACAGAAGCTGAGGTGAACAGTTTTCGGGGATACCCGTCAGGCATCCTATCGATACACAATGCTCAACCCCCCGGCAACCATATTACGCGTTCTAACACTCTTAAAGGAAAAGGATATGTAACAACCCCCAGTTGCGTAGTTAATGGCCAATGTGCATCATTCCGGAGACGCAATCCACATTTGGTGTACGTATGCCATTAATCCCGTCCTTCGCTCAAGTGGTCTCGATGGAGCAGGAGACGATGTACTTTCGCAGCTTTGACGGCGGAGAAGGATGTGTACAGCGGCCAACGGCGCTTCGGTGCACGGTTAAGGCGGCGACGGTGAACAGGTGCGGCCGCCAGTCACTAGGCAGGCGCCCAGGGGTCGTCACGACAGTCGCCAATTTCGTGCTGGGCCAAGTGGTTCAACTGGAGGAAGACAAGGTTACGGTGGAGTCTGACGGGACCCAGGTCGAAGCTCCCATCGAGGCCGTCATTGAGGTGGCTCCCGTGGTGGCTTTACAGCTAATGAATGTCGTGTTCGGAAAGGAGGAGTGGAGTTTTGAAGAAGTCAAATCAATCGGTACCCAAGTGCTTGACCGAATTTTAGGACGGAGTGGTTGCAGTTCCACAGGAGACATCGGTGAAGTGTTGGGTGGTCCAGTCTCTGCCGACCGCATTCCAGATGCACAGTCGGCGCGGGAGTGGATCGACCCGTCCACCGGGTTAAAAGAGACATTTCCGCTTCAGCACACCGTAGACTACGCATATTACGTCGACGGCGGGATGGACTCCGAGTCCGCCACCACTGGCGCACTGTTTTGCAGAGCACCACCGTCGGGTGGTGTACAAGAACGTCCGCATCCAGCACCACCAGCGTCTGATACTGGGTGTCACATATATGATCCTTACGCCGAGGATGTTGTACAATTTTCGGATGAGACGGTGCCAGCACCGCGGCTGTCGGAAGCGCGCGTCCTCGGTTCGTCCAAGCGCGCTCGAGGAATATCCACACCGCGGGAGCTCGCGGAACCCTCGTCACGGCGCGCTAGACTAAACGAATCGAGCCCAGATGTCGACAAGGATGCCTTTATCGTCGACAAGCTCTAAGGAGATCCTGTACTACTCAACCGGTTTCTTCAGCTCCGTGGCAGTTCCCCGGCGGACGAAAGTGTACCGATGATGCAGGAAGAAGTTAAACCACCAGCGCTCCCGCTTGTCGTGGCTAAGCCTCCAAAGTCGTCAGACACGAAGACGAAATACGCGTTTGCTCCCTCCGCAGAGTGAGCGCTGCATGACAAGCTGACCGCCGACCGACACAGAGGTAAGGACCCTGCGGTATACATATTCAGCCAGATACGTTTCGAGGCCGTGTTGTGCAAGTCGCTACCTGGAGTGTTGACCAGAGCATTCGATTGAGAATTTGGAGTCGAATGTCTCTCAATTACGTATTTCAAATTTATGGGTCGAAGACAACGGATGCAGTGGATAAATTCTGGAGGTGCCAATTTCGCTAACTTCTCGGCGACAGCCGACTTCGAGCCAGCCCCGCACGTCACAACTGTACTCGAGGTAGTTGACGCTGCACGCGTTTTCGCAACATTTGCTCGGGAATTCTGTGTGCCGTCCGCAGCAGAGCTCGTCGATACCATTGTCGCATTCACTGAGTCGAAGATAATCAGGCTTTGGTAAGATCCAGACGACGTGATGGAGTTTGTGTACTGGGTCAATGATGTCCCCGAGAACTTTCGCTCCGCTATTGATGGGGGTTCAGATATGCAGCCTTCTCAAGTTCGCAGCCAATGTCGCCTCGGCGATCCTCTCCTACGAGAAATACTACAAGACATCCATGATCAACGTGTTCTTGAGCTCGAGGAAAAAGCAGCAGCGGCCACACGGCAGGCGCACCAGTAGGGCGCCCAACGACTCGACCTACACCTTCCCGAACTCGGGGTACCAAGAAAGGACTTGGTCCGATCCCTCCCAAAGTGCTCCAAAATTTGTCTAAGCAACAGGATGCGAGTTCGGGCGTCACTTGTCGACTCTGCATCCGGTTCCTATCGGTGTCAGGATGCCAGTCAGAAGATCGGGGAGATGGCCACGACGGTAGAGCGCACTTCGTGCCTAAATCACTCGAGCCCCTCGTGAAAGTCGAAATCGAGAAGCGGTTTGAAGGTCTGAAGCCGCAGTACAAGGATCTCTGACTCTCCACACAGATCTGCAACGGATCGGCTTGTGAGCACGACCCTGGCGGTGCCGCAATTCCAAACTCCTGTCGTAACTAAAGATCAATCCAAGCCAATCGGCATGAAGAGCGATGTTGCGGCTGCTATCACGAATCTCAAGTCTGTCGGTATGCATGCGACGTTTAACAACGAAAGCGACGACGCTGTGGCGGAAACGCTCCGTTCAGACCCCAATTTCCTTGTACACGGCACTGGTCTTTTGATGAACGACGCTGAGCCTGCCCTCTTGGCAATGTGAAAACAGCGCCAGCTGAGGATTCAAATGTGGACGCTGCAGAAAATCTCCGTTCAAGCACCATAGAGTGCATGCCAGCCGGGCAAACGAATGACGCTGAGCCTGCCCCCGCGTTCTCTGAGCTCGATTGTGCCAATGCGCTGTCGACAAAAGGGAGTGTAGTGGTCGCCGCAGAAAATCTCCGTTCAATTGCCAAAACACCATCAACCCACTTCGCACAACGAGGTACTAGACGGGACATAATGACGGGGACTGTGAACGCTTTCCGATGTAGTGCTGGAAGATGCCCTCAGAAATCGCCAATAGATCTGCCGACTTGAGGTTGGCAGCTACTATTCAACTCGCTCTCGAGGCAGAACTTCTTCGCGAAGAAACAAGGATTTCCCAGGCGCACAAGATCGGAGGGTACGAGCGGATGCGACGCTGTAAAGATGTCTACACTATTGATCAAGTCGCGTGCAGCACACTGTCAAGTATTATCCGTACTCAGCGGCTAAGTATTGAAGACTCAGGCCGCTTTGTCCGAGGCTAGACGGATCAAGATACCAGGCCGAACAAAGCACTAGATGCAACTAGACTGGCCAAAGATTTTCGAGGATACCCTCATCTCGCAGCTCTGATCAAAATTGTGAGACTCATGGGGTTGAAGCGGAGTGGTCATGCACACCACCAGCGCGTCGACCTCCCCCCAAGAATCATGGGTCGTGCCGTCGCCACTTACGTGCAGTCACTTAAAGCATTCGGGAAGGCCAAGACTGTGGGCAGTACATGGTTGTCGAAGCCGACATCCTTTCTAGCTGGTCATCGGTGATATGCAGTCCATTGGGCGCCGTAGAGAAAAAAAGGCGTCGACCATCAATCGAAGTTAGGATGTAGTGGGCCTACCTTGGCTCACTACTACGGCTTACACGTATGCGCACGTGTATGAGGAAGCGTAGGTTTTCTTTTACTTGAGTTAAGTATACTCGAGATCTACGAGTATACTTTAAACAAGATAAAGACTCCAAGTGGCGGGTTTTGGTAAAGAGATGAGAGCTGCTATTTTGTTTTATGTTTCTGACTTCCTCTAAATGTAATATTCTAAACTAGGGATCTGTCAACGGCTGGTTGGCAGGATTCTGCTAACATGCAAGTCACTCATTGGCTAGAAGATGCTGCTTTCAGCCAACAGGAATCCTAAATGTGTATGAACCACCCGTCGTGGTGGTCGTAAATGTATGTAGCCATTGGTGTACCTTACACCAAGATCGAGTAAGTGTTCAAACCTCTAAAAGACATCGCATCTGTTAAAGTAACAAGTGACTGTAGCCACTTGTGCGTGTAACCCCGTTACACAGGACAATCGATGATCTGTCTTACCCTGAAGGCGAGTCGACCAATTCCTCCTTCAAGACAGAGTCCGTACCAACGATTAATTACGAGCCTATCACTAAGATTGCCCGACGAATTGAATATCTCGCGAAACAGGGAGACCCCACTTGCATCCGAATTCTAAAAGGCGGCGTACGTGGTGCTTACAGACATCTTCGCACGATTGCTTCGCACGTATTTCGGATGGCCGCTTTCATCAAGGAGCTAAACATCTTCGTTTTTGACTTGACAGCGCCTTTTAGTTGGGCCGGCTCTCCTCCGTTTTACAGCTTGTTTGGCCGAGCCATATCTTGGCTCATGTCGACTAATTCTCCGGCATCAGTATCTACATCTAATGACAACGAGTCTTTCTTCGGATACGAATGGGTTGACGATCACATCTTAGTTGAGCTGGATGTAGGTGGCCGGCTACATCGAGCTGAATTTACGTTGCGTCATGCCATACTCGCTGTGCTCGGCCCGCGTTCCATTAACGAAGTTCTCGGGGTGCTGCTCGGAATTGGTGGCGCTAGGATTACTGTGGAATACAACTGATCAGACTGTCTCAATTCCAGCTGATAAGATCGCGAAAGCGCTTCAACGGGTCAGTGTCATGCTATCGCGACGATCGGCAACGAAGAAGGAGCTTCAAAAACTTTTTGGGTCGCTACGTCACGTTGGAACTTGTGTCCGCACATCAAAACCTTTTCATCAGCAACTTCATTCGCTGACAGCAAGAGCCCCTCGATTTGCGCGGATCCAGTTATCGGAAGGCGCCCTGCAGGATTTACTATGATTTCAGAATATTCTAGCTCATGGTTATCTAGCAGCACTCCCCGTCAGCATGTTTGGCAACCTGCCAGCATCCAACGTTGAGTTGTACATGGATTCGTCTAATCGTGGACTTGCGGTTCTCAATCCAGCGGTCGACAACTTTATTCAGCTGAAGTTCAATTACGAAGAGGAAATTCTCATGGATACCCGCACCTCATCGGACAAACAGTTCTCAGTCAACGTGCGTGAGCATTTGGGCATGGCTCTAGCGCTCTGGACATGGGTCCAACCTGGTACGAATCCTCCGGCGGCAGTATGGTGCATGTGACATGCTGGAGCGACAATATCTCGGAGGAGCAATAGTGCAATCGGTTGCACTCAAATAACGAACTCAGCCAAGAGATTAACAGAGCTATTGGTCTCGCTGAAGTGTACGTCAACCTTCGAGTCTCAGCCGATCATTTGCCTGGGTCAACTAACTGGATGGCGGATGCAGCCTCACGAGCCTGGACGGAACCTTTTAAAACACGCTGGGCTAACGTTTCTGTGTCATGGCAGATATCACCGGTGATCCCAACCTTACGCAAACTCTACATGAACTTTTCAGCGAACTTCAAGCCAAGTCATTGGCCGCGACGTCGGCCACCAAGTATGCCGGCACCTGGCACCAGTGGACGAAGTGGTGCCGACTTCTCCATTTTTCCGAGTGGCTTCCACCAGAGCGAGAGCATCATTCATATCAACTCGCCCTCTTTGCTACGTACTGCTGGAAGTTCGGTTGGGGTAACTCAAAGGCAGGCAACTCAGCGTCAACCGTGCTCGGCAAGATCAGCCACGTGTCGTGGTATCATCGGCGATTTTGCGGATACGGCGTTGGCCTTACCCCAGGACGCCAGCTTGCCATCACTGGCATGCGCCGAGAAGATCCCCCGCCAAACCCGAATTACCCATCACTCTACAATTCCTCAAGAGACTGCATAAGCTCCTCAACTTCGATTTCGCCCAGCACTGAGTCATATGGGGGGCTTCGGTACTGGGCTTCTTCTTTCTGCTGCGGATATCAGAGTATTTAGCGGACGGGGCTAAATTGCACTCATACGCAATCCGAAGAACTGACGTTCGCTTTTTGGATAGTAAAGATCAAGAGCAACACGAGCTGAAACGAATTGAAAAGGTTCAAATTCGGTTCCGCGGCAACAAAACGGACCAATTCGGGGAAGGCACCAGCAGGACACTGGCAAGATCGGGTCTGAAACAGTGCTGCCCCGACCTAGCGTGTTGGTACCTGGTACAGCACCATCGTACGCTAGCCGTTGACGCGGACACGCTACTCTGCAAGGTGACTGCGTCACTAAACTTACAGACCCGAGATCTAGTTGGTGCCATCATGGGTGCTGCGAAAGCCAACGGGGATGATCCAGACCGATTCAGCTCCCATTCGCTGCGTAGTGGTGGCGCTACTGCTCTATTCAATGCTGGATTCGACAGTCTCGCTGTGAAGCTGTTCGGCCGATGGGGATCCAACGCGGTGGAGCGATATACCCAAATGGATTCACACCTAACTTCTCGCATGGCCTACGAAATGGTTGCAACAAGATCATTGCAGCGTTTTAAAGGGGGTTCCTCCACGCCACCCCCTGTCAGCGGAAGCGCTGCAATGAACTGATTTCCTCTTTGTGCCCTCGTGGCACGCCCCCAAACGACGACGACAGCGAGTGAAAAGGGGTATTACGTGTACGTACGGACTTGTACAATACTAAAAAAAAAGTAAACCAGCACGTCGTGCCCCGTTTGGGAATCTGATGACAAGACGCATAAGCTTAGAGATTAGAGTTGAAGGTCGAACGACAATTCATGAAAGATAAAGCACGTACCTACCGGTACCCTGCAGGCTGCAATGCAGCCAGGCGGTACATCATGTACTACATGCACTGTATTTGCATGCATGTGCACGTCATGATTTCTTACTGCGGTATTTATTAAAACTTTCTGAGTAGTACGTTCCAGTACAGATAGCCATACAATATTTCTTCGGCAACTACATGCACATGTATTTGGATGTAATGTACTTGCTCTACAAACCCTTTCCAGTGATCCGTCATGCAAGTAGCCAGCCCTGATCATTAGAGACAGCTCCATATCTACGTATATACAGATCTGGAGGGGGGTCTACTGGTAACCGCACCAAAGCTTATCGCTGATGTCGCACAATATGGCAACAGGGGGATAATCCTTGGCGACCAGTTTGCTAGTTTACCAGCACAAACTTAAATTCGTACATGTATTCCCAGTTACAAGTAAAAGTCGAAATCGCAATTATTGCAGACGAAGCCACGGCGGAGAACGCGTGAAAAACACACAGCAAATCAGGGACCTTCTAATAAAAGCATTCTGGGGGTTGCACCCCCAGACCCCCGCAGTAGAAAAACTAACTCCGAGTTGCTGCAATGGGTCCGCTCGCTGGAATGCTCGTCGCTGGGCCCGCCTCCGCAAATACCGCGCGGCCCTGCTTCGCGCGCACCCGTGCGGGTTTGCTACGGCTACGGCTACGCTCCTCGCAACCGCTCACTACCGCCTTCTAATATGGTGGACCTACCCCTAAGGCTGTGTGTTTTTCAGACTTTTTGTGTGCTTCTACTATTTACTCGCCACGGCGGCAACATCATTACTCACAAGTTTAAGTACAAGTATTACTTGAAGTACGTAATAATTAAACTCTGCAAAAGTTGTTCACGCGCGCATTGCTCGCATTACTGGGGCAAAGCTGGCGTAGTAATAAGAATCAGAATTTGAATGTTTGCGGTTATATCAACTGCCAGTGCCGCACTGCATACCCCATAAGAGTGATTGTTAACATATTAACATACATGTACAGTATTGCAAAACGCATTTTTAACGCGTTTTGTTATATTTTAGTTACAATTCCCCCCCATAAAAAGTCATGGGAAATGTAAAGTATCGAATTGATGATTTTCTTAAGTAAGTGAGCCTCGATCCGAATTATAATTCAACGTTTCGTCTCTTTTTATGGCGACGCACAGGAATAGGAATGACGTAGGTGTGTGCATTTAGTACAAGTTAGGTCGCCGATGTATTCTTCCTCTCTCGACCACAGCTTCATTCTTCAAATGCTAGTCCTGCCGTCTACCAATCCATCGCTGAAGAATGCCCTAGCCGACTCCACTCTTCTACAGTTCAGTATCCGTCGACTACAAGCTGGTGCAGTGAATCTCTTTAACCGCTGGCAGTCGCTGCAAGTGAGTTACCGTGGCCACAAGTGCTCGATCGAGCGACTACTAGCGCTAGATGAGTACACCAGGAAAACCTCATTCTTGCGCGTCATCACGGTGGTCGCTGGAGCGCTGGTGCCCATGGTTATCCTCGTCGTCTCGCAAGAGTCAATACCGCTGAACGATCCCTCTGCTGGGTGGCAACTAAACTACGGATTCTGGCTGCGCGTGGGCATTCTCGCTGGAGTCGTCAGCGTCACCGTCGCTGTTCACGCGAAGTACATGATAAAGTCCACTGCACTCATGCCGAGTCAGCTGATCTTGCTCTTCCTCTGCCAAGTCGTAAGTTATCCGTTTGTGGCGATGGGAATCGCATCATTGGTCGGCTTCCCCGTTCCGTTCTTCGCGTTATCAACATTTCCCGTGTTTTTCGCGCTGCTGATCGCTTGGTCCACTGTAGTCTTTGGGCGGAAAACTGTCCACAACATGCTGAAGCGGTCGGATGAAATGCGGATCCATTTACGATTTATCTGCGCGCAGATGCTGTTGCCTGTGGTGTACCCCATCTACGAGGTTCTCTTTGTCGCTGCGTCGAATACGCACTTCGAACTGCCGGTGATTTTGCTTCTTCCGATAATGAAGGTTGTTGTGAAGTACATTATCACGCTTTCCCTAGCGCCAATGGAGGATATGCTGCCTGAATCCGTCATTCTCACAGTGGATTTCTTCCACGCGGTCTACCTCGCAACCTGCATGCAAACCTCGCGTTCGGCCGTCACAGTGACGATTATCATAATTGTCGATGTCTCTCAGTCATTATCAATGTTAGCGGGGCTTTACCGGCGAAGTCGCACCACATTGGCACGAGCTCACAGAGCGGCGGGGATATCAAGCGGCAAAGCATCACTGGTGACTTTACTTCGCCTAATTTGCAGCAGTTCCGAGAAAATGGACAGGCAAAACATTGCCGGGATTCGAATACGCTCCTGTCTCCCGCACGCGTTATCTGCAGGTAATCAGCAGGTGCTTCTCAGCTTGGAATTACTTCGGAGGAGAAGATCAGCTCGATCAAGCTCACGAAGTTGTTCACGCGCTTCTCGGTCATCACTCCCACGGGTTATTCCTCTTCAGAAACCTACCTGTGGCTTTCGAATATGCGCAAGAATGTGCTGGAGACAGCGACGAACTATGATCCAGCCTTTTCCATCGACTCGCACCTCTATTCTCCCAGCATCGGCATTAGAGACACAGTCAGGGGACAGAAGGAGCTCTCGACGGAACTCGCTGATGTATCGACGCTCCAATATTCTCCGAGAGGGGTTGGAGGCTCTGTTTACGTCGGAGTGCCTCGTTCTTGCTCCGTACTTGCACACCAGCATTGCGTTGTTCTACGCGAGTTTTGTCGTCGTTATGGTTTACCTGCCTAGCGCTCGCTATCACACGGAACTCAGCGATGTTACGCCCGACAACGTTCAAGACACGGTCAAGTCTGTCTTCATCTTCGGGGCACTCGAGTTCGTTTCGTTCGGTCTCCTCGCGGTCATGATCTACGAGAAGTACGGCATGCAGGCGTTCTACCACTTGGCGTTTGTGTTGGAGACGCAGGTGGCGCTCTTCCAAAGCAAAGTCATGATGTGGATGCTGATCATTCTGGCATTCCGAGTGGCTCACTTTGGTAAGTCTACAGTAGAGGTCTTGAATACTTCCATTCTGATGATACTGACAAGTTTGCATTGGCTTCAGGTGTCGATTTCACATTAAAGTTTGCCTGGATGAAGGCTGAGGATTGATTCGGTCACTACATTTGCCTCGCCTTGGCAGCTTCAGTGGTGAATGGGTATTTCGGTCGCCGCACTCAAATAGGGATAAGTGTGGTTCACTGTTGCTCAGCATCGATCCGGCCTGCTCACTCTTCACATCGGTCGGTTTATTAACTCATGACGAGTTCAGCATCTGCAGTTGACGCAGCTCAGCTTCCCGATGGAGACACAACAGCCAGTGTTTTGTGTTGTGGGCGTGTTCGTACTGGTTTGGCACGGATTCTCAAGCTCTGGACGTCGCTGCAAGTGAGTTACCACGGCGGGAAATACTCCATTGAGCGTGTATTAGCACTGGACCAATACACACGAACTACGTCGCTGGCCCGCGCACTGCTGGTGTGCATCGGGACTCCAATACCAATGGTGATTTTAATATTCCTCCAGGAGCTGCTGCCTCTGCAGGACCCCGCGGCAGGATGGAGCGCCAACTACGGCTTCTGGGTGCATCTACTGATGCTGTCGGCTGTCACGGCCAACACCTTCCTCATCCACGGAACGTACATGGTCGAGCGAGACGTTCACGCTTTCGGTACGCCAGCTTGTAGCCTTTATGGTGGGGCTCTCCTTGATCCACATATCTGCCAGTATGACGGTCGCTACCGAGTTGGCCTTCCCGATCCCGTTCTTCTACATCACCATGACCCCGTCGTTCTACGTCCCGCTGTTCACGTTGCTGTATTTGTTTCTTGGACCACGCAGCAGAACGATCATCGCATTCGTAGCCGCTCAGAAGATCATGGGCATGGTCTACCCACTCTACCAGATCCTCTTCCACAGGATGGTCGACACACAGTATATTCTACCCGTGGTGCTTCTCCAACCAACCATCAAAATCGTCGCCAAGAACGCCGTTCTACGGATCACAAAGCACTTGGAAGACCTGACGCCAGAAGCTGTGATTTTCACGGTAGATTTCTTCAACGCGCTCTACCTGGTGTCCTTCATGGAGAGCGCTTCAACGCTCAAAACCACGATAATCCTCATAGGCTCGGAAATCTCACAGACGGTTATGATTCTGCTCAAGATGCATCGGCGAACAGCAACAATTCTGCAAAGACTGCGTCAAGCCACTGGTGCGTATTCAGATGAGAATTTGCTGGAGACTTTGTGCTTGTTGTGCCGGAATCCTCAGAATTTTCAAGCTCAAATGAGCAGGAGCGTGCGCGTGCGCTCTTGCCTCCCCCACCGCCTCGCTCCGACAGATAGCACGCTTCTGTCAATGTGGGAAGAGGCTGCGACGGAAGCATCGCGGCCAGTCCGTAGCTGGTCAACGAGTGAACCACCCACTTCAAGCACTTCCTTCAAGTTGGAAAGCCCCAGGTCCCCGTTGAAGAAACTCCAGTTGTATTTTGCTCGACGCAGGACGACTGTGGTTCATCCAGCTGAGCCGATCAAGCAAAGATCCGTGCGGCCACAGTACAGTGAGGTGACTGCTTCACGAGTTCTGTCGAGAAGTCGAACTCAAGATGCAACCATTCTTCGAGAAACTCTTGCGATGCTGTACACTATGGAATGTCTGGTGTTGACGGCGTACTTGGAAGCGCTCATCCCGTTACTATATGGAAACTACATGCTGGTCATGGTGCATCTCCCGAACGCAAAGTATCACACGGAGCTCAGGAACGTCACTCGACAGAACGTGAGCTACACGGCCACGGTTGTTTTCCTCTTTGGGCTGTTGCAAGTGGCGTCGTTCGTTCTGTATGCGGCGCTCATTCGCCGCAGGTGCGGCATGAATGTGCAATACCAGCTTGCGTTTGTGCTGGAGACGCAGATGTCTGTAGTGCAAGGAAAATTGATGATCTGGATATTGGTGACTCTAGCTTGCCGCGTTGTTCACTTTGGTACGTCGAACCGAATTGAAGACCATGATTCGAGTGTGCTTATCTGTTTGGATTTTGTTACGTAGGAGCCGACTATTCCTTCAACTTCACGTGGATCTCGAAGGCCTGAAGTTATGGGGCATTTTGGTTTTGCTCCTCGGTTCTACAGTAGTTGGAGCGTCTCGTTTGGTACCATGCCATGGTATTTGTAAATCAATTAATAAGAATTGAAGATGGTTGTCCGCTGACAAAACAAGATGAAGTGTATTTTGAAAGGCATAACGCTCCTGCACTTCATTCAGGAATAGCTGACGCGTTCTGCTGTCTCACACGCTCCACTGACAGTCCTTCTACCCGCGTTGACTTGTACTTTATTGGAGTTTTACTTGGTTGTTGAAGAGTTCTGTTGATGATTCATCCGTCCCCGGAAGACGCGAGGCTCCGAAGTGACTATGCCCACGCTCCCAAAACCTGCGGGGGTCGCGTTGTGCTGTTTTCAACCGTCTTGCCCGTCTCTGGGCATCAATCCAAGTGAGCTACTACGGCGGGAAGTACTCGATCGAGCGCGTGCTCGCTCTTGACAAGTATACTCGAAGTACGTCGTTGCTTCGTGTGGTTCTCGTCTGCGTTGGAACCCCCTTGCCTATGGTGTTTTTGGTCATGCTGCAGGAGCTCTTGCCCCTTCAAGAGCCAGAAGCAGGTTGGCATCGGAACTACGGCTTTTGGTTCCGCGTCTTCATGCTCGGAGTCTTTGTCTCTCAGTCCTACCTCGTTCAAGGGAAGTACATGGTCGACGACTTCGCGTATTCATCACGGCAGCTTCTATGCTTCGTATTGGGAATATCCGGCATCTACACGGGTGCTAGCATGGTCGTAGGCGCGAATCTCGCGTTCCCCATCCCATTCTTCTACATCACGATGACGCCAGCGTTCTACGTGCCGCTGCTTCTCTTACTCTACTGCATTTTGGGTAAGAGCAGGAAGCTCACCAAGTACGTCTGCTTCATCGCCACGCAGAAGATCATGGGCATGCTGTATCCGATCTACCAGCTACTGTTTCACAAGGCCTCCACCACCGACTTCGTGCTACCGGTGATCCTTCTACTACCTGTGATCAAGATCGTCGTCAAGAATGTTGTGTTGTATTTTACTCATCACTTGGAAGACTTGACGCCTGAGGCTGTCATATTCACGGTGGATTTCTACAACGCGCTGTACCTGGCCACGTGCATGGAGAGCGCCTCGACGTTCCACGCCATGCTGATCTTCATCGTCACGGACTTCGCTCAGACGGCGACCGTTCTACTCGGAATGCAGCGACGGACTGCTACGATTCTGCAGCGATTGCGAGAAGCAACTGGCATTCGGGATAGCGACACTGTGTTGGACGTCCTGACCTCGATGCTTCAAGCTCCAGCTATACTCCAGACCCAATATCGGAGCGGGGTCCGAGTACGCTCCTGCTTCCGGCACAAACTGGATCGAAAGGATCTTCAACTGCTCTACAGACTCGAAAGACTTCCAGGGGGTTCTATCGAATGCCCCAAGCAGGTCTACCACTGGTCCAGCACCAGAAGTGTTCTATCAGAGACGCGGAAGCTCACGAGTCTTCGCTTTACGTCGCTGTCGAGCAGCTTTTCGAGGGTTGCTTCGAGTCGAAGGCTGGCTGCTATTCACCCCACTGCGCAGCCGACTACAGTCCCCAAGCGACGACCAGGGCGTGTGGCTGGTGGAGGCCCTGAGGGCATCCCCACAGACTTGATCGAGCACTCGAATATCCTCCGGGAGACACTCGGCGTGCTCTACACGACGGAGTGTCTCGTGCTGACGGCCTACCTGGAAGCGTTCATCCCTCTGTTCTACTGCACCTACATGCTGTTCATGGTAGAATTGCCCAACGCCAAGTACCACACGGAGTTGAGGAACGTCACCCGCCAGAACGTCCAGTACACGGCTCGAGTTGTCTTCTTCTTTGGCTTTCTGCAGGTCGGATCATTCGTGCTGCTGACGCTGCTGATCCGACGCAACTGCGGGATAAAGATCCTGTACAACTTGGCGTTCGTGCTGGAGACGCAGATGGCGCTCGTGCAGGGGAAACTCATGGTCTGGATGCTCGTGACGTTGGCCTGTCGCGTCGTTCACTTTGGTAAGTCAGCCCGTTCACTTTGTACTTGGTAGTGGTCTGACAAATTCGTGTTTTGGTTCAATTCATGGCAGGTGCCGACTACTCTTTCGAGTTTGCGTGGATCACTGGACGGTAGTGCATGCTTGTGGACTTGTAAAAGGCAAAGGTTTGTGCTGCTGTTGCACTGTTGTGTACAATTTTCAACCCCATAGTTAGCTTTTGAAACCCCTAAAGTGTTCATCTCATTCTTCGAGCATCACACGACCTCACTCGATTTAGTCTCCAGAATCGCCAAAATGGTAGCAGTAACCACCCACCACAAACTATCGTGCAGTATTTCCAGGACTCTGGCGATGACCCAGCGCGTCGCGACGTCCCCATAGACTGACTACCCAGTACAGACAGCTCAGTCGATTAACGAGCGCTCCCATCCATGACAAGAACATCCACGCGAGTTTCCGTGAACACTTCCACGGGGGTAGACCCGAGACTACAACCGCCGGAATGGCGCGGCCCCTTTGGGAGGATACTACGATTCTACCGTCGCAGACGACGCGCGCTGTTCCTGGGGATGGTCATCGCGGAATTATTCTACGTCTTCACATCAATCCCTCTACGGATCGGCTTCCTGTTCGACCCGTACTCCCCCAAAGACTGGAAGACTGGCTGGACTATTGAGCTCACAGTGTTCACAACGTTGGATCTACTCGCAGACGCTGCAGGTTTTGCTAGTTTGATGGATATATTCGCTTCACAGCGGAGGGAGCAGGCGGCACTCGCTGCGGACGCCACTGGGGCCATTGGAGCCAGAAGACAACGGGCAACAACCGGTCCCAAGCCCGTGGAGAGGAAGTCGTCACTATTCTCCAGAATGCGCGACTCGATGCTCGTGACCTGGTCGCTGAACACCATTATCCCAGCTAGTCACAAGCACCACGGCATCGGCAAGGCCGTGCTACTAGAACTGACGTCGATGATCCCGTTAGAGCTTCTGTCGATATCCTTACAACCGAATTCGCTGCATTTGCTGCGAATACTCAAGATGCTGCGCTTGTATCGAGTGCCAGGTTGTTTCCGCGAGCTTAAGAAGATGTACACAGGCTCAACCATCGTGCAGATGCTCGAGTATACAGGCAATGCAGTACTGTTCAACACAGTCGTGCTGGGGGTGGCTTGGAGTCACTGGATCGCGTGCGGGTACATGGCAGTCGCACATCTCGAGTGCGGCATCGACTTTCGCCTCTGCTTAAAGGCGCACACAGTCTTCACTACCATACCTGAAGCTGGAGAAGGCGGGATACCCGAAGGGATTGCTGGTGTTTCGCCCACTGGAGAGGGATCTGGATACACGTGCTGGGCCATTGAGGACTATTTAGTGGGCACGGGCGTGCCGAGGCAGTACGGACGTGCCATATACTGGGCCGCGCGCTCAGTGGTGACTGCGGGCTTCTACGACGTGGCTGCAACTACCAATATCGAGACGCTCTACGCGATCTTCGCGCAGATCGTGGGCGCCATCTTCAGTACGGCCGTGTTGGCCACGTTCCTCTTCATCTTCCGGTACAGGAATGCCAGAATGCAGGAGTTCATGGCCCACGTGGACAGCGCCAAAGAGTACATGCAGATGCGGCACTTCCCCGAAAGCGTAAGGGAAGGAGTGCTGAGCTACTACAAGAACGTGTGGGCTACCCACCATGCACTTCACCACGACGAGGCTATCGAACGGCTACCCGGTCATTTACGCGTGAGTGTCTACAGCGTTCTCAAGGTGCACCGCATCCAGAACGTGGCCTTCTTGGCCAAAGAATGCATCGAGTTCATCAACACGTTGGCCCTGCGCATCGAGTACTGGGTCTACTCGCCCAAAGACTGGATCATCGAGAAACTACCGGACGGAATGTATTTCGTGCTGCGAGGGAGCGTTCAACTCGACGGTCCTAGCCATCCACAGGTAACGTTCGCCAAGGCTGGAGACCATTTCGCAGAGGGATGTTTGCTCTTCCCCGGCCGCTCGGACGAGCGCGCGCGGGCTCAGACCTACTGCGACCTGTACAAACTCCCGCAGGGCTCCTTCCACAAGACCTTGAAGATATTTTTTCGCGAAAAAGCACCACAACACTTGGAGGACATGCGCTCGATGCACGCGCGTCACGATCAACAAGAGCAGAAGATGAAGCGGATGCTCGGACGCTCCGCAGACAACGACACGGCCAGCATCAACTTCAGTCAAGGCTCTGGCCGACACAGTTTAGTGTTCGGCCACGACGCGCGTGGAGTCACAATCAAGAAGATCCCGTGGCGGATGCCCGGCTCCAACTTCCGCAAGTGGTGGGAGCACGCGCGCTTGTTCTCGCTCATCTTTGTGGTGTTTGAAGTGCCGCTCTACTGCGTCTTCGATGCGGATACCTTTCCGTTCGGCAACAAGTCCATGTACTCGGTGCAGTCGATGGTGGCTGTACTCGTTGAGGCGTTTTTCGTGGCGGATTTCGTGTTGCGCGCGCGGTTCTTCGCGTACGTGGACCAGCTCGCACTCATCACTGTGAGTGACTCGAGCTACATCTTTGACTTCTACCGGGAGAATGGCTTGTGGGTCGACCTACTGGCGATTGTCCCGCTTCCGCTGGTAGTGGAGTTTGTTGTGCGTCGAGGCAACGGCTGGACCATGTGGCTTCACGTTACGAGGCTTGTGCGTCTCCTTCGAGGCCGCTACCTACATCAAACCATCCAGGAATTCGCGCATATCCGCGGGCTTTCCTCGAAGATACAACAGGCGGGGACGATGTTGCTGTATGTGACGTTGACACTGCACGCAGTAGGGTGCTTTTGGTTCCTCATGGCTCGTTTCAGTGTCTTGGAGCGCGAGTTCGAGCCCATCGAGGAGGAAATCACTCGTGACCGATGTCTTCGAGACGCTGGTCTTCATGGGAATTGTTCCTGGACGTTGTATGACGCTTATGGTCAAATAGGCACGACGTTCAAGGTGCAAGACTCGGACTCGATCTATACCGTGAAAATGGCCTACGTGCGCTCTATCTACTGGGCCATCGTGGCGCTTACGACGGTCGGGTACGGTGATATTGTAGCCTTTTCAACGTATGAAAGCTACTTTGCAGCCTTTTGGGTATTTGTCGGGGGTATCATCAACTATGGCGTCGTGGGGGCCATGTCGAACATCATTTCCAACCTTACGGCAGGCAGCCGCCACCACTCGGAAAAGATGAACGAGGTGAACGTCACGCTCGGTCACTTCCGCATCTCCGAGAGCGTCCGCGCGCGCATCCGCCAGTTCTACCACCAGCAACAGTACGTGCAGAAGGTGACGTCCGAGGTGCAGCTACTCGACGGACTGCCTAGCCAACTGCGTCACCGAATCTCCAGCATCCTCCACGCCGAGTCTGTGCGGAAAGTGCCTCTGTTTATCGATGCGCACAACGAGCGTCTGCTGTATGAACTCACGGGGCTTTTCCGGCGCCAATTATTCCAGCGTGGAGACCCGTTCTTCGCGGAGGGAACGCTGTGCGAGCAAATGTACGTCGTCGTGAGTGGCAGGGCCAATATCTACAGTAAACGGGTAGGGGCTGTTCCAGTCGGAGCTCTGTCAGCGGGTGACTGCTTCGGCGTATGCGAACTTGTGTTGCAGAAGAGCTTCAGCACAACCGTCATTGCTGCGACTGTAGTAGATGCGTCGGTTATCACGTACAAGGCCTTCATCTCGAAGATTGAGCGCTACTTTCCCGCAGAGATGGAGACGCTGCAGATGGAGGCGACGCAGCAGCACATTTTCGACACGTTGACGCTCGAGGCGGTGATCGACAACATCAAGTCGCGCTCGACCTTGTCCAAGTTTACGGAGCAGTGCACGAGCATGTTCGAGGAGAAGGAGAACTGGGGCCAGCAACGCATCAAGATGCGGATTCGACTCTATTGGGACCTGGTTGTGCTGGTGCTGGATATCTACAATGCCTTCCAGGTCACGTTTCGCATTGGATTTCTAGCGCACCCTTCGAGTGGCCTTCGACTCGGACTCATCGTCTCCGACTTCATTGGTGACGCGTTGCTCCTCGCCGATATCTACCTCAAGCTCTATTACTTCGAGTGCGAGGGCGTTGGGTTGGGCAATCTACTTTCTCTGGACGAGCGGAGTACGACCTACACGGGGCATGAACTACGCAGCGATCTACTCAGCAGCCTCCCGCTCTACTACGTGGGCAGCAGTTTTCTAGCCATGAGTTTATGTCGATTGCCACGGCTGCTTCGACTGCACCAAGTGCCTGGAACCATCGACTCGCTGATTATGCGTCTCCAGCAGCGCTTCTCCGCTGGTGGCAACATTTCAGCCTACTTGAGCCCCATCAAACTCGTGCTGATCCTGCTCTTCACAGGACACTTGGCTGCCTGCGTCTTCTACCTCATCTGCCATACAGACCACAACCCGAAGAACTGGACCCACCACGACCCCATCGTTCACATGGAGCACGAATCTGTGGGCGTGTTGTACCTCCGGGCCTTTTACTGGGCCTTGACCACGGTAAGTCGAGCTTTTACTTGTCATTCCTGGTACTTTATCCACTAAACACGCGTGCTTTCTTGGTAATTTGTAGCTGACACTCGTCGGATCTCGAGAGATTGTTCCGCTGAGCATGCCTGGTACGCTTTGGGCCACGTTCACGTGCTTGTGCTGTGCGTTTATCGTGGGTCACATTGTCGGAGAGCTCTCGGAGCTCATTCTGGAGATGGACAAGACTAAGAAGGAGCTCAAGGAACGCGAAGCTCACTTCGACCAGTTCGCCAAGGACCACAATCTACCTGCAAATATTCGTACGCGCGTGCTGCACTACCTGAAGTTCCAGCACCACTACCTCAAGGGCATGGACATCTACGCCACCTTCAGCGATTTGTCCCCCAATCTGCGCGTGCAATTGATGATGGATCTCCATGGGGATACACTAGAGAACGTCTGCATCGCGCCCTTCTTGAACCAGACGCAGATCAATGGACTGGCAGTGCGACTGAAATCCGAGCTGTATATCCCTGGAGACACGATCATAGTGGAGGGCGACCTGGGTCACAAGCTCTACATCGTCAAAGGGGGGACTGGTATGGTGCTCTGGAAGTCCACAGGTACAGTCGTGGCCACCCTCACAGCCGGCAGCCTCTTTGGAGAAGTGGCTTTCTTTCTGCGGGGTCAGAGGCGAATTGCGTCCGTGCAGGCCACGACATGCAGCGAGATTCTCGTGTTAGGTCGACGCTCCTGGGAGGAGCTGCTAGCCTCGAGTCCGCGCGAAGAGGCTGAAGCAACTGAACGCTCATTGGTGCAGTGGGTGCAGTTCTGCCTTAAGGGGTATAACATCATGACAGTGGAGATCGTCAAGGACATCAAAGCCGGGGGTTCTGCTCGCACGAGGTCCACCAAGCCGAAACTAATCGACGAGCTCCGAAGTCTCAGCACCAAGTCGCACGTTCATCAGACTGAAGTAGTCGTCGATCCAACGCGGTATGTCTCGGCCTCGGCACTAGAAGAGAAAAGAGTGCGCCAACTACTACGAAAGACGGCAGGGTACGGTGGCAGCACGACCTCTGTTGAATTGGGAAGTGATTCTCCAAGTTCGCTGTCGCTGGTGCTCCGCTGGTTGAGAGACCATTTTCTTCCTGGGGGACGGAAGTCGGTGAAGTTCGGCAAAGTCTATGCGGACAATTCAACAGTACCGGATAGCGGAGGACGTCCAACGATGGCAGCATTAAGTCCTAAGATGGACAGTCGAAGTCTCTTGTCCTGGCACGCGTCGAGGAATTCGTCTGCAGGTCTGGCCCTGGTCAAGTCCAAGTCCTTCAAGAACGGCACCTCGGTCCAGATCAACCCTGTCAGCCGCAGTATGCGCGAGTACTACCGAGACGACCAACTGGCTGAAATGGAGGAAGAGTGCTGGCGTCGCTACAAAGTCTCTCTCTTCATGGCGGACGCATACATCGGTGAAGTCGTCCAGAAAGCTCAGCCTTCACCGCAACAACAGCTCTTGCTCCAGCCACAGCAAATCCAAACTGCTGCTACTCGCACTCAAGGAACTGCTCGAAACGAGGAGGAAAGTGCTCCAACAGCCTCGAAAGCTGCTCAGAAGATCCGAGTGTCTCGCAAAACGTTTTGTGGGACAATGATGCCTGGAGCAGGCCCACAACGGGCCACGCGCAATTTGGTTACGACGGATGGTATGCGCTTCCTAGCCAACTACGAGTCTCGCAACCGACCAAGTCAACGCGGTCTACGGCAGAAGCTTCAACCACGCGGCAGTGTGGCGATGCAACAAGCTCCACACGGTACAGGCCACGAACTCCACCAGTCGTTTGGTCTACCAATGCTGCCATCGGGAGCAGCTCGAGCGCATCGTCGACAGCGGAAGCTCAAGCGCAGTCAGTCCTTGCCACTATTCGACCGACACTTTAGTCACATGATCCGCGAGGAGCTACGAGATTCCAACGCCAAAGAGTCCGAGAGCAAGCTCAATCTCGGCTTTGAGCTGCTTCAACGCTGCCGCCAATCCGAGTTTTCGTCACTGTTCAGGGTGTATTTGGTCTGGATCAAGCGACGTGATCGATGGCTGGACTGGTATAACCAGCAAATGCAGCGGTTTGAATGGTACAACAAGCTGTCGTCGTCGCGCTCGAGTCAGAATGAGGCCGGGTCCCCCAGAGTACGCGGCGTGTCCTTCTTCCAAGAAACCAAACACCGTCGAGGCTCTTCTTCTTCCAACTCGCTGATGCCTGAAGCTGACTCCAGCAGCATCTCCACCAAGGCCGAACACTTTATCAACCTGCTCTCGCGCTGCTACCGACTTTGGGAGTGGATTATCGTGTTTGTGGGCGTCTTTTACGCCGTGACGACCCCGTTCTTCGTGTGCTTTGCCTCAGATATGGTGACACTCGAAGGCAACACACCTGAAGAAGACGACACGGCGTTGGATCATTGGGAGCGAATTGTGCTCTGCATCGATGTGCTCTGTCTCGCAGACCTCGCTATCAAGCATTCAGCGTTTCGGCGTGTGCTGCGTCTCAGTGCCGGGGGCAGCACTGACATCCCTGCAGCAGCGAAACCAGCCGCAGTCACGCCTCCGTCCCTCTCATCTGCAGGTAGTATGCGCTCACTGAATGCTGATGTTGCTTCACTGAAAAATAAGGCGAAGAAGTCTCGGCGTTGGTGGCGACGAAAGGGTCATTTCTGGCTGGAAGTGGCGACCTCCATCCCTCTCGACTTGCTGCTGTACTTGCCGCCGCTGTCGACGTCCTCGATGGTCGAGTATCGCTGGTTCTACCTGTCGCTCCTGCAGCTCAACAAGCTGCCGCGAATCTTGGAGGCGATTGAAGTGAGCGAGCGCTTGACGCAGTTCCTGGGCAGTGACCTGAACTTGTCCTTCAGCGAGAGTCGACTGCACTTCATCCGCACCGTGTGCGTCTACCTGCTGTCTGGCCACTGGATCGCGTGCCTTTGGTTCCGCTTGGGCTTGCACGCCTACGAGATCTACGGCGACTCGTGGCTGTCCACGTACAAAATGCTGCCAGTCGATCGCTTCGGTGCTTTGAGTGAGATCCCCACGTCGCGGCGCTACCTCCGCTCACTCCACTTCGCCATCGGGTCGATCACGACCGTCTTCTACGGCGACGTAGTCAGCATGAACGTGGTGGAGACTGTAGTCGAGATCGCCTTCATCGTGGTCTGCATCTTGATCTTCGGCGTGCTCGTGGGCGCCCAGGGCGAGCTCATCGAGTCCAACTACAAGCACAAGATGCTGTTCGAGCAGAACCTGATCGAGCTCTACCACTTTCTCCGGAACAACGACGTCCCGCGCGACGTGCGCCAGCGCCTGCGGCTCTACTACACCAACACGTGGCTTAAGTATCACGGCCACGACGACTTGGAAGGCATCCGCGGGCTCTCGACGTTGCTGGTCGAGGACATTATCCAGTACACGCTGCGGGACTTCGCCAACGGCGTGTCGATCCTCAAGAGCTGCGACGAGAGCTTCCTGCGCTCGCTGCTGACGTGTCTGAAGCACATCATCTGTTCGCCCGCCGAGGCCGTCGTGCGCAAGGGCGACGTGGACCGCAGCATGTACTTCATCGCCAAGGGCAAGGTGCTGGTGCAGGGTCCTGGCTTCGAGCTGGTCAAGCACGAGGGCGACTTCTTCGGAGAGCTGTCGCTGCTCTACGGCATCCCGCGCTCGGCCACGTGCTCGTCGCTCGGCGTCTCGCTGCTCTACGTGCTCGAGTGGGAGACGTACGAGCGGCTGCTGGCCGACTACCCGGAGAACCGCGAGCAGAACCGCCGCGAGTGGGTCATCGTGAGCACCGTGCTGCAGACCGGCGAGTCGCGCTTCCGTTCCATCATCGACATCGTCGCGCGCATGGAGAAGGCCAACTGGGTGCTCGTGGACGAGATCATCCGCAAGGCCAAGAGCCTCAAGTAGACCAGATTGAAGGGCAAGTTGAAGTGGACCGCCCAAAAAATGTAGCCATGAACCGGTTATTGCTCCCTCCATTTGACGTGCCGCACATCACTGACCTCTGATTGGTTTACACAAGCGGCACCCAAACCGTTTGATTGGACTCCGCTTCAACCGATCGAAACGATTGCTCCATTCATATACGCTGCTCCTTCTCTAGTTGGTGCAGTCATTGTCGTACACTATAGCTGACGCCGCCAATCCAAAGCCAAGAGCTCCGTTCACTCCTTCACTCGCCTTCCGTCGCCTTCAGCTGATCATGGCGCGCTGCTCGTCCTCCGCCTTCCGCGCGCTGCGCCGCGGCTTCTCGTCGTCCGCGTCCTCCGCGCCGCTCAAGAAGACGCCGCTGTACGACCTGCACGTGGCGCTGGGCGGCAAGATGGTGCCGTTCGCGGGCTACGCCATGCCCGTGCAGTACAAGGCCGGCGTGCTGCAGTCGCACCTGCACACGCGCGAGCAGGGCTGCGCGTCGCTCTTCGACGTCTCGCACATGGGCCAGCTGCGCATCACGGGCGCCGACCGCCTGCGCTTCCTGGAGAGTGTCGTGGTGGGCGACCTGGAGGCGCTGGGAAGCGGCGAGGCCAAGCTCAGCCTCATCACCAACGACCAGGGCGGCATCCTCGACGACTGCGTCATCAGCCGCTACGACGACCACCTGTACGTGGTGGTGAACGCCGGCAACCAGGACGCCGACGTGGCGCACATGCAGCAGCTGCTCGAGAACTTCCAGGGCGACGCGCGCCTCGAGCGCATCCCGGACCGCGCGCTCGTCGCGCTGCAGGGCCCCGGCGCCGCGGACGTCGTCGAGTTGCTCAAGCCCAACATGAACCTCAAGGACCTCGAGTTCATGCACGGCGTGTTCACGCCGCTCACGCTCAAGAGCGGCCAGACGCTGGACGTGATTCTCACGCGCTGCGGCTACACGGGCGAGGACGGCTTCGAGATCTCGGTGCTCAGCAAGGACTCGGAGACCTTCGCGCGCGCGCTCATTCAGGACGAGCGCGTGCTGGAGGCGGGTCTCGGAGCCCGCGACAGCCTGCGCCTTGAGGCGGGTCTGTGCCTGCACGGCCACGACATCACGCCCGAGATCACGCCCATCGAGGCGACGCTGGCCTGGACCATCGGCAAGCGCCGCCGCGAGGAGGGCGGCTTCCCCGGCCACGCCATCATCATGGACCAGCTCAAGAACAAGACGGCCACCAAGAAGCGTGTGGGCTTCGTGGTGGAGGGAGCGGCCGCGCGCGAGGGCGCCGAGCTCTACGACGCCGACGATAACGTCGTGGGCCACGTGACCAGCGGCACCTTCAGTCCGTCGCTCAAGAAGGCCATCGGCATGGCCTACGTGGACAAGAGCCTCGGCAAGCTCGGCACGGAGCTGCACGTCAAGGCCCGCAAGAAAACGCAGAAGGCCGTCATCACCAAGATGCCTTTCGTACCGGCCAACTACTACAAGAAGGAGTAAGCGCACCCCGCCGTCAAGCTTCTCTCCACTGGCACTGCCCGCCGCAGTCCCGGAGGTGAAGACGCAGTCAGCAGCGTAAATGCAATGCCAGTCTTTACATCTTGGTTTCCACATACGGGAATCGACTAAATACTGTATCATTTGTTTGCTTGGGTCTGTTTCGGTCACAGGCTGTGACTCACAGCAACGACTACGTCGACCTCGCTCTGCTCTTACGACGAACACCGTTATCTCTGATAATATCTGCGGGATATGGAATGGTCCCTCTGCGATGCCGCCGGTACCTCGCTGTCTACAGAAGAATAAACTTGAGACTGAGCTGTTTGCTGCCACCTCGCGTGAGCGCCGACTCTGTCGTGGTGCCCTGCGGATCCAGACCGAGCTCGGAGAAAGGTGAGATCAACGCGCCCTCCAGCAACGTGGCCACATCTTCTGCGTTTCCCAGTAGCTGGAGGAAAGCACCTGCAAAATCGACGTGCTGATCCAGTTTCGTCACCTTCGCGTGCGCGTCGAAGTGAAAGACCACCGTGAACTCCGGCTCGATCGTCTGCCCCACGATGCGCTGCGCCAAGTCGTCGCGATGCCGCAGTACGTGCGGGTACACGAGCATGAGAGTGTCCCGCGAAATCCTCAGGCTCACGGAGCCGCGCGCCTCCACGACACAGCTGAGCTTCTCCTCTTGGGCTTGTGTGTCCATCTCCTGCGTTGGCGCGTGGACCAGCTTCACGGTGCCCGGCCGTATCTCGAACGTGCCATGGTACGACGTGTACCGCTTGAGCTGCAGCAGCAGCGCCCCCACGCCGTCGCTGGTGGCGCCCTGTGCAATGATGTCCGGCGCGCATACAAGGCGCACGAAGCTCTCTTGCAGCGTGCTGGACTCGGTCGAGTGCAGTGCGAAGCCTGCCCGGAACGCGCGGAGGAAGTGGTTGGCCACCAGCACAGGCCGCGGGTCGTCCCAGACGTCGAGTGTTCGCGCCTGCACAAAGTAACCGCGTAGGAAGTCTCGGTAGTCGCGCAGGTCCTGCAGGTGGTCGCCCAGCCCCTCCGTCTCCAGCGACAGCGTGCTGATGAGCCCGCGCTGGCGAGCGCGGTAACGCCGCTGGTTCAGCTTGCACTGCGCCTTACGCCGTGCCTTGCGCTGCTCCTCGTCCTCCAGTATGCGGCGTCGGCCTCGCCGGGGCTTCTCCTTGGGCGGCTCGTTCGCTGGCGCTGCAGCCTGAGCGGCCGCAGCGGAGGGCTTGGTTTTGGCAGGCCGCTTGCCCTTGGCGCCGCGCGTGTTCTTGGGGGGTGGCGCGGAGGCGGCAGCGGCAGTGGGGAGAAGCTCCGGAGGCGGCCCCGGCGGCTTCTCTTCGTGCAGCGCCATCGCTAGCGTGGGCATGGAGGTGGGCACAGGGTGCTTCGCTCTGTCCGGAGAAGTTGTGGAAATGGCACGCTCTATCGGTTTTTCCTTCAGGCGGTGAGTGATCGAAAAAGCAAAAAAAGCATTAATCATTTCTATTAGAATATCGATTATATTTAGAACATAATAGACTTACGGAACGGTACAAAACCGTCTTACTACCCTCTATTTTGTAGAATCCTGATCATATCACCTCTATATAGAATCCTTTAAATAAGCATAATGTCATCATTGGACCATCAATGAAAGTTTCGAGTTAATTGAGGCACTCATTTAACTTGATGCGAGTATCTGGCTTTTTTAATTATAAAATAATGCAATGTCCTAGTCCACATTCATACTTGATCGCTAAACTACGTTGAAATGAAGTTTATAATGTATGTGGATCCTTGCAAGTAAAACATGTTTTTGTTTGTGTTTTTTGCAGCATGCTAATATATTGACTCCGATAGCAACGTGGGGGGGTATCGACATACCCTGAAGGCAACTCATTACAGTATACTGTACGCTCGCGACAATGATCTTTGGTGGGAGAGTTCTTGCAACACTACCTGCCTAGACTACTGCTACGTAGTATGTCAGCATGCAGATGTATCAGCTCAGTCAAGAATCTCGACTCGAGATTGTCGGTGCAGAATCTACCTGCAGAATGCCTGCCCACCGACAATTGAGCAGAGTATGTGTCCTACAAGGCCACAATTCCTCAATTAAGATATTGAAAACCTCAAACAAAATATTTTACCTCAATAAAGCATCTCCCTTAAACCGGATGTTGTTTCGCCTAAACAGGCATAGCCCGTCCAGTACTCTCCGATTGGCTAGATATTTCGCGTCACCACAGAGGGACAGTGTCACGCTCCAAGGAAAGGTCCGCCAAAACCTGAGCGGAGATCCTGTTGCAGTGCCTATCTTACCAGAGCTGTCGACGTCCGGTGTTATCGAAGGTTAACACCCAGACGTCAAAAGTCGCCAACGGACGCCTGATCAACGCCCCCTTGACACCACCCGCTTGGTCACTATTTCGAAATAGTGAGATGCCACTTGTGGGGGCTGCTTCATTGCATATGGCGGCTCGCATTCTATTTTGTGGCATGTTAGCTCGACTACCGTAGTTGACTACATGCTCAGGAACGCTAGATTGCCACCTTCTCAGGGATCGGATTCTCTACCCTTAGGCCTACGCGCCGATAATACACAGGTAGTCTCAGATAGCAGAACTCTCTTGATCGTGTGCTGTGCCGCTTGTCTTGTGGCCTGATGCGTTGTCAGCGAACTCACATCACCTCTAGGTTGTATTCCCGTGACTTGCAGGAAGGCTACAACTTCGTGGTGACAGACACGCCATACCTAGCTGCCAACGTGGCCAAGTTGATCGTCAACTCAGCTGACCCCTCCTCTGAGTCGGCCCGTACATCGTGCGGCAATGACCGACAGTCGGCCAGACTAACCAGTCTCGCGACACTGAGCGGGAGGAAGAGAACGGCTTCACAGGTCCCATTCTCCCTCATGGAATCGGAAGCCAAGTCCATCGACGACTCCAGAGACGCCTGTTCAACCATCGGCTCGTTTCGGTCTAGATGCTGCTGCTGAAAGTGCGCAAGAGCGTCAAGCACGTGGACGCACTCCCGGCCGGCGTGAAGCTCATGGCGACGCTCGAGCACGCGCGCAGTGTCCCGTTCGCGGGCATGGCTTGAGACTCACTGACGGACTTGTGCACCGTCTCGGAGATTATGGAGGGCGGCGACTTACGTGCGTTGCTGAGTGTGTGTGAAAACACCACAGGCTTCGATCTCAGCATGTTGACGATCGCTCGGAACGCGGCGTACGTGCTCACGTACCTCCACTCGCTTGAGACTTAAGTACTGCATCGAGACGTGAAGTCGATAACGTCCAGCTCGCCTCCAGCCTAGAGACCAATCTCACAGCTAAGCGAGAAGACGACGAGATGACGGCCGGCGTTGGCTTGTCGCGGTGGATGGCGCTGGAGGTGGTGTGTGTACGTCGACATGTTCTTGGTCAGTGTCGTACTGCCCGTGTTGGATCAGCATGTCATTTCGTATTCACACGCAAAAGGCTGCGGGGATATTGACTCAGACCACAAAGTCTCTGAGGTGGTCATCATTTAGATGGTGGCGCTGGTTAGTTTTCATCAGGTTAGTTCAATCGATGCCGGACTTGTTCACGGTTTGTGTGTCTCTGGATCCGACGGAGTGGCCCAAAATTGCAGAAGCGCTCTACCATCTTCATTCAATACTATCGCAGAAGCACCATTGAAATGAGTTACATACGTGAAGAAGTTTCGTTATGAAGACGCATACAAACATTATACATGTTAGTTACAGTGTTGTCATCACGAACTAGATACATATCATGCTGCTCCATTTTGAGCCATAAACACCATATCCCGAACTGTGCTAGCCTTCAGCGAACAACGTCGTTTTGTAACTGTGTTACCTACAGTGGAAAACGCGCGCTCTGAGGGCACCGATGTAGCGATGCATCCAAGCCACTTGCGAGCAAGAACAGCAATAGTCGGAAATTTTGAATGGTTCTGCTTCCACCACGACAAAGCCGATGGGGGATGTCGGGATCTTTGACCTCCGCCTCGCTCGACTGCTTCAAGTAGCTCCTTAGCTCCCACTCGCAGTCAGTCTTTAACTTGTCGTCCATCGCAGCTGCCGATTTGACGTTCTCGATCCGTACAACATCTTTAGGAAGCTCTGTCGAGCGCGGTCTGAAGCATCAGTCATTCGCTTTTCAGGGCTTTGAGAACGAGCTGCGTCGTTGTGAACCAAAGCAGACTTCTTCTTTAGCACGAACATCTCATCGGCAAACTGCTCCCGCGCCTTCTCATATTCATCCGCAGTGAAAATCGCCGAATTCGTCATGTTGGGGTCAAGCAATATCCACAAAAGGTCGGGGTCTGCCTCCTTGTCAAACCGCTGCTTCAACAAGGCTGAAAAGCTTCGGCGGACGGATTGCATGATGGATAGCACTTCCATTGCGTATGCCTCCTTCTCGACACTTGTATAGAGAACATCAAATATTTGTTGGTTGTCCAGCGATCGTTTGAGTGAAGAGATGAAAAGATGAAGAGATATCAGCGTAGGATAGGTCTCTCCATCGAGCATAGTGGTGGCAACGCTGAACGGGGCCAACAGCTCGACCAGGCACTGAATCATGAACCACTGCTTGGTACTTGGAAGCTTCAACTTTTTTGTAGATCGATCGTTAAACTCCTTCTCGCCTTCTTCCGACTTAATGTACAGGGAAAAATCTTTCACCACAGGCTGCAAATCCAAAAAGCGCTGGAGCATAACCATTGTGCTGTTCCATCTCGTCGGGCAATCGAACAACACTTTTAGGGGCTCTTTTCGAGTAGACTGCAGCTCATCTAGTCGATTACGAGCCTTTTGTGAGCGATGGAAGTAGTCCGCCAGCTTTCGGAACATTCGAACCGTTTTGCGAACCAGCTCCATATCAGCCGAGCTAATTTCCATAGCCGCCGATTTCTCGGCTTCTGCAACAAAACTGGCAACTTCCCCACAAAGCGCATCAATATCAGCATCACTAATAAACTCTTCGTCTTCACCGTCGTCGTCCCAGTCCGGGCTATTTTCCAAGGCATCCAGCTGCTCATCTATCCACTGGGTTTCGGTTTCTACATACTGCTCACTGCGCACACAGACGACGTTGCCGAGAGTACTGCCAACTTCGCCACGGTGCTGGCTCCATCAGTAACTGCTATCGCCTTCTTTCGTTCATCTCCTTTTTGCAGAAGCGCCGCGGCTACAACGAGGTGAAGTGAGTGCGCTGCGCATGATCGATGATTGAGCCCAAGGAGGGTGCATCCACGTTTCATTTTTGACGCAGCATCTCGTAGAAATCGAACACACTTCTTGGTGTCCAGACGCCACCACGCAAAGCAACGTAACAGTACATCTGCAATGGCTTCTCCATCGTGTTTTCCAGGAATAGAGGTAACTTCAAGTGTCCACGACTTCATGTTGAACAGGCTGTCAAGGTAGTGAACCGTTAAGCTTATAAAGCTTTCACACTTTATCGAAGTCCAAATATCCGACGAGGCCGAATAGAAGTCACATTCGTCGTCGCTCACCAGCATCACTCGCAGTGACAAACGGCGCTCTGAAGCATTCTCGTGGACACGGAGCGCGACCGTTTGTCTCGACGGGATCTCAAGAACAGTGGTTGCGCTGTTTGCAAACCTTATCGCCTTCGCGAATCCTCTGTCGCCGATGATACTTGTAGGTCGCAAATCCGTACCCACCCATTCCGACAAAATGCCCTCGAAGAAGCTCTGTTCCGATTCATCTTCTCGTTCAAACAAGTTCACCAGTTGGTTCGATTCTTTCAGGGCTGCTTCATGCCGCTCATTTTCTTTGAAAGCCCGTAAGGCCTCGATGTGGCATTTCCGCATGTGGGGGCCAACCAAACTCTTTCCCTTCTTGATGGAAGCTCCTCCTTGCATCCAAAGCAATAAAAGCTTTTGGCGTGGGCGCGGGTGAGGTCTTGCCTTGGAATATCTTTGTACTTGTCGTCTACCACACATACGACGAACTGCCAGTACGCCTTGTCCTGCTGCTTAGGGGCCTCAAATGCCCTTCCAGCCGGGCAACTCGTGACGCCTTTGGCGGTCGGGACCTGTTGAAGTTGTTCGTGTGAGCTTGGGCTGAAAGCTGAATGGTTTAACCGGGCTGCATTTTGCATGCGGGTTTCGGATGGCGCAGTCAGCCTTGCACGCGTTGGTCCCGACGGGGTACTTGTCCTTGAAAGAGCTCCTCTTACATTTAATTGCAATAGAAGCACGCCATGCTCTGGCTGTCGACGCTGCGCCCCGCAGCCAGCTCCAGCAGCGTGGCGCGTCGCTGGGCGCCTCTCCAAGTCCCCAATACGCTGCTCTTCCCCACCCTCTTCTCGCCCAGCGACTGCCCTGCCAAGTCCAAGCAGCAGCGCACCGAGGTGGAGCTGCGCGAGGCCGACCTGGACGAGTCGTTCGTGAAAGGCTCGGGCAAGGGCGGCCAGAAGATCAACAAGGTGCGCAACTGCGTGCTGCTGACGCACGTGACCACAGGGCTGCAGGTGCGCTGCCAGAAGACGCGCTCGCTGGACGGCAACCGCCGCGCCGCGCGGAAGCTGCTGCTGCAGAAGCTGGACGACCACGCGAACGGGGCGCTGAGCAAGCGCAGCGAGAAGATCGAGCGGCTGCGGCGCAAGAAGGCCAGTCGCAGGGCCAAGTCCAAGCACAAGTATGCCAAGTCAGAGGGAGAGCAGGAGAAAGATGACGAGCAAGAAGACGTGTCTTCTTGCTCGAGGATGAAGACGATGATGATGACCTCATTGACTTGGAGCAGCACAGGTTCAAGGCCAAAAAGGAAATAACTAACTACCAGAAACGCACTAACATTTCTCTTGTCTAAAAGGCCAGCGGGTCGTGTCCGCTGTTCGTTGTGTTGCTTCCGCAGCTGCTGGAGTTGTTGCTGCTACTGCGGGATCCTTCCGGTGGCAGGTGGAACTTCTCGATCTTGAGCTTGCGCCGCTCGCGTTTCACCCCGAAGCGCGTGTTGCTCGGTGCGTGGCAGGCCAACGCGTGCACGCGCGGCAATTTGCGCAGAGTCAGAGAGCCCTGGAACTCGAGCAGCTCCTCAGGCAGCAGGTCGCGCGTACCAGCGAAGGAATTCAGTGTCAGCACCATGTCGCTCAGGTGTCGAAGCTCGTTGACAAACGCAGTCGGGAAGGTGCTCAGTGCGTCGCTCCCGAGAAGCGCGAGGCACACAGCGCCCTTCGACTGGCTGAGCAGAGCTCGCAGCCGCCTGAAGAAGGAGAACAGCGCTGCCATGTGCGCAGCGTCCGGAGCTCCCAGCAATGATGACCCCAGCCCCAACATCCCCACTCGAATCACTTGGCCGCCTCCACCTTCCTTCTGCTGCTGTACCAACTCTTCAATTGCGAGGTACAGACGTTCGTACACGTCGCTGACACTCTCCGTCATCCAGGCCAACGGGTCAATAGCGACTGGCTCATTGGCGGCCAGCATCTCGCGGTGCATCGCCTTGGACAGGTCGTAGCTGTGGCAGAACCGCTGCTTCTGAGTCTGCTTCTGTTGCTGTCCGTACTTGCCGTACTGCCACGCTATAGTCAGCGGGGCGTCCTCGGTCTCCTTCTCTGTGTCTGCGAGCTGCTGCTTGACCTGTCGTTGGGCGAGACTCAACTCCAGAGGCAGTTGCGCAGCGATAAAGTCCCTTGCATCGGGGGCCACAATTGCAACGCGCTGCTTGCCGTCCGCGACGCCCTCAGCCGCGAAGTATCGCAGTAGGTCAATCGCCAGCGCTTCGGAGGCCCCAGCGCCCACGTCGAGACTCGTCGACGCCCCGTCCGATGACTCAGCAGGCGTCTCCACCACATTCAGAGTGTTGACCAGCAACCCGCCACCCAAAGCCGCGTCCAGCTCGCTCAAACCCGACGACACGAGCGTTTGCCCATTGAGGAACGGCTTGGTGCCGCTGCGCAGCGAAGATGCGGCTGGTGTCTTGCGTCTGAAGCTGGCCATGCCTATCCGAGACCGTGGCCAGTGATTTTCTAATGTGAATTTTACAATAGAAAGGGCGGAATAACGGGAAATGTTGAGTTGGAAGCAAGTTGAAGTGCTCACGATCGGAAACTAAAGCCGACACTTGCGTGCAAAACCAAACTATTCATCAGTCAGGAAAACGAATACTACCGGTGCAGCAATAGGATGAACGTATTATACCCTGCCCTCCGTGACTTTGACGCTGCCTCTGGCGAGGAAGTAGAACGAGTCGGCCGGTGTCCCTACGCTGAAGAATTCAATACCGAAGTGTGTCACGCGAAAGCACACTGTCATCACGATCCAGAACGTGATGAGCGATCTCAGCGTCTCGAGCACAAACGCGAGCTGCTGGAGATCTCGTATACCGCAGTTTCGCTTGATCAACGCCATCAGCAGCATAACGGATGCGATATGCACCACTTCCGAGCGATTGAAGACGATGGTAAGTGAAAAAAAATGAAGAAGTGAGTTTTTTTTTGCATGTCAGGGGCTAGTCTGACTAGTTCCACTTGAACTTAAAGGTAAAATCGACGCCTGCGTAGATGCAATAAGAAGTGAGCAGAGCGTCAACAGGTCATAATGAGATAAACCTCAAAAGCGTACCGAAATGCTCGACGCGAAAGCACAGGGTAACAACAGCCCAGAACATTAACTTGCTTGTCACTAGGGGCATTTGTGTCTCCAACACAAACGCCAATTGGTACGGTGCTCCAATTCGGCAATTGCGTTTAATCATCCGTGACAACGCCATGAAAGACGTAACTTGCAGCAGCCCAAACAAAAACACCGGAAGAACATTTGAGCCCACGTTCTCACGATTAATTCCAACCATCTCCGCGTGATAGCGCGCACTCTGAAGGTGAACCATGACGAGAATATAGCTGCAATAGAAGAAGGGGATGACTGCCTCCAAGAACGCGGTAAGGATTAGGCACTCTGTCGTAAAAAGCATCTCGAGAGCTTCCCGCAGTATTGTGGAGTGATTCGGCAGGCTTTTCGAGAGCGATAATGAGCTGCCACAAACATCTTGACTCTTTTCCGCCCAAGCAGCGTGAGGGACAACATCCATGCCGGGGTGAATTGGCAGAATGGAATTGCTCTTGTGCTTTCGGCAGCTGAGGCAGTGGGATCTTCCTTCTGTAGCTGGAAAAGGTGGTCCGGCCTTAACCATTAGCGGGACTTTGTCTAGCTTGGAGATCAGATCTTCGTTCATGACCGACATATTGTGAGCGAGGCAAGAGCGAACGCGAATATCTGAGCGCACTTGCTGCTCAAACTTCTCAAGATCGCGGCACAGTAAGGTAACTCCACTGAGCAAGTTGTCGCACGGCGACGATAAATAGAGTGCCTCACCAAGTCTGGGTAGTATTGTTGCAGTACGATTGTTGAGGCCGTATAGCACGACAGCAGTCTGAATGAGGTCGGTGGCCGTTATGCAGTAATTGACGTCGCGCTTTGCATGCACGTAGCCAAGTACAGAGCGTTGAAGAAGTCTACAGTGAACATCACGGCTTCTGGGGTCATATCTTCCATATGCGTCGTAAAGCGCAGCATGGTATTCTTCAAACCGACCTTCATCAGCGGCAGAATAAAAATGACCGGAACCTGATACCGAGAACCTTGCGCAGCACGAAACAAAGCCTCGTAGGCTGGATACACGAACACCATCGTGGTCTGGACTGACGCAAAATTCATGAACCGTAGCAATTGATCTCGATGCTGCAGTATTTGCCGTAGAACTCGCGTCCCCACCACAATGCGAAATGAGATGAACTGTATCACGGAGCTCACGGGAGAAATGACCACCATATAGAACGGGACAGGAAATGTTGGGAGAGAGGTGAGGCCCATGGAGCAACCCGTAATGCCAATCGAAGCGCAAAGCAGCAGTGACACCTGCCGACACGGCGGGATCACGACGCCATCGACAAAGTAGGTCGCTTGGACAATTATGGACCGACTTACTGCGAACGTCACTATGCTCGCGCGAATCCAGAACCCGTAATTCTTGTGCCACCCCTCTTTTGGGTCTTGCAGGGGGATCATTTCTTGGACGAACACCAGGGCTACCATGGGCATGATACTTTTTAGGCACACAACAAACACGCGGAATAGCGAGGCGTTAACCGTGTAGGTCTCCAGCGCAAGTGCGCGGTGGATCGAGTACTTCCCCACGTAGTAGCTGACCTGAAGCCGCTTCCAGCCGCGGAATAGGTGAAGTGCGTATGAAGCAAGCAAGGAGACCATTCGTTCTTCGAGTTGTTGGTGTGGACAGTCAACAGATAGCGCCCGAGAACAATGCTGCTCATGAAATCTATTCGTAGCCCGAACCAGGACGTCCAAACTGCTACCTTAGTCAAGTGTAGACTATTGAGCTTTAGAATACATGTAGCTTTAGAAAGCTCAATAGCCCAGACTTGACTACGGTAGCAATTTGAAAGCTCTTTCTTGGAGCTAGCGTGAATGTCAAAAATGTTGCTGCGTCCTAGGGAATCTCGGGCTTATACTGCTTCTAATAACTATGTAGTACCGGTACTTGCCGCCGCAGTGATCCGGAGTCATCGTCATCTGAAGCTTCTGAAGCTAGACGGCGGCCTCGTCATACAATGCGCCTTCACGCCCCCGAGATCGTCGTCATACCTCAGCATGCCATCACGGGGGAGGTTGCAGTGAGGGTAGAATCCAATGTTGCGGAGCTACTAACTGGCAGCTTACACTGCCAACGATGTGTCCTGCACGCTACATTTTGTTTGTTGGGTTCACAAGAGACGGCAAAATGGACTACATACATGTAATCGAGGTAGCCGCCATTCGGCAAAAGACCGAGATATCCTGGTAGAGTGTTATACAAGTGGTGAACTTTCGAAGTGTGCACTCCATCCGTAGTTCAACACGATGCTGGCTGTGGGACTCAAGTCGGGATCAATGTCACCAACGCCGTGAATCATTTTATCGACTACCGCATTCGTTGAAAAGCTGGACCCCCCATTTTTCATCGAAAAGCTGGACCCCCGTCTCGGTTTTCCTATATAACGAAAAACGCCAATTTGTATACCGCATACTATTGAATTGAACACTTGTCAAATTTAGAAAAATATACAAATAGGAGGGTATACTACCAAAGTAGCTCCGACGCATACAAGTCTGGATATTTTGTATACTGTAGAGCTAGCTACGTTCTGCAAACCCTCTTTGATGACACCCTGGCAATGTATGTACCAGTCTTCAAACCATGGAGACATCCATAGGTTGCGCAGAGTTGGTTCACAACGCCTGTCATGCCGTTAGATGTAAGCAGAACTTAGACCAACAACCAAAACTATTTTGCTTTGGGTGCCTTGCGGTAATTTTGCGTAAAGTTCCAAAAATTGCAAACAGCACTGAAGACAAGTGTCAGTTTTTAACCCCAGTCTAAATTTGTCCTAGGAAAAAGGACCAAATTGGTTTTTGGTGTGGCGTACATAAGCCGATTTGTCCTACCTCCAGCCCGGTAGGACAAAAAAAGACTTGACATTTGTATGCCCGCCTTATGGCTCACGCATTTGTATCAGAGCTAAAAATAGCAGTGTCCATACTCAGATCCAGTCAAATCCTCAATTTTGTCCAAGCAGCTGGGATAAATTCGTCAAAGTGATATGTTATTAGAGACAATTTTTAGATTGCCTTTATGTCTACAAGGACAATCAATTAAGTGAAGCTGATCCGTCAACAGAGAGATTAAGGAAAGGGTTTTCTGCCCATGCTAAGAAAACTTCATATTCATGTGTAGTTTTATGACAGCAGGGCGCCAAAGTTTTGGCCCTTTCGTTTGTCCTAGGAACGATCTGAGGGGGTTAAACTGTGGTCTTCAAAAAGATAAAACAACTTGCCGTATTTGACAAAGTAATACTTACAGGTAAAATATAAGGTGATTTCAATTTCAAGACATCTCTTAGCCAATCAGATGTTAACATGCTAAATTTCACATAAATTTGCAGTTTCAAGAAAATTATAAGTACTCAACGTTCTATACGGTTCGGTTGAGGTATACAAATTGGCGTAGGTACAATAGCTTTGTATACTGAGCACATTCTATCAGATTTGAGAGGAGGTATTCAATTCGGGAAGGGTACACTATTTGGCGCTATCCGTGATGGGCCAGATTTGAAGGGAGAGCTGGACCCATTTGTTATATTTTGTCCAATCACAGTCGAGGTACGACTGACCCTTCCTGATTTGCAGCCAATGACATTAAAAGCGACTGTTCAGCCCTTCATCGAGAGAGAGAGGGCCCCAGGAACTTGACTTGGTGGCGTATATTTAGGCACTTATTTCGGACCCTGCTGGAAGCTGGCACTTTGACGTCTAAGTGAGTTCCCCTAAACTATTCCTAGTTGATCGATTTCCCTTCCTGAGGTCGTGGTGAGGCGGCGGTTTGAGGAGATGCGGTTGCAGAGGTTAATCGGGAGATCCATTAGGGTGGGTGACTTAGGGGGTTCCAGGGGATGTAGTGATGGAGGTAGTCGGGGGTCGGAAATAGACTTACGTGGCTTTTGTATCGGAATCGCTCCGGGCGAGACTCGAACCCTCAGTGGAACGCTTGATCTTCGTGGGCCTTACCCACAGGGACACTAGGAGCCCACAGCCCTTCATCGATAAGCTGGACCCCTTTGGCGATGTGGGTCCAGCTTTTCAACGAATGCGGTAGCGGTGTACTTACCACATAATCAAGCACGATTAGATCAGGGAGCAATCATAATTCAACTCATTACGCTGCAGTGGTGCTGACTCCGGAAATGTACTAAATGTACTGAGATATGGTGCTCGAGACCAAGCAGAAAAGTGTGCACATCGCGGTGACTTTGCAAAGTAGATTTTGACTTCGTTTGACGGCTGACATAGCCGACGATTCGATAGCTACATCCGTAGTTGGCCGAGTCACTCCCGAGAGTGTGTTGCAGTCTGGATATTTTCCTGGAGACCATTAGGAGAAAATCCAATGCGTGTGCCTTCATAGCATGTTGCCGCGGTAAGGCTTCCCTGAAGCGATACCAGTTGTACTCATGTTACAGTGTTCCCTCCGTGTTCCGATACTCGACGTCGACCCGTGCATTATTCATTCCACCGCCGCGACAACAAGCCACCACAAAACCACACCAATCCAGCCTCCAGCCGTCAGACATCCATGAAGAAGGAGGTCGATTCCGCCTCATTGGCAGCGAACCGCACGATGGTGGCGCACATGCGCACGCTGCTCTGGAAGAACTACACACTCAAGCGCCGCCACCTGCGCGCCACCGTCTTCGAGATCACTCTGCCGTGTCTCTTCGTCCTTCTATTGGGCGCGCTCAAGCACCTCGTAGACGACGTCGACGTCCCTGCTGGTTGGAGCGATAGCTCCGCCGGAACTTCCGACAACCTGTACGACCCCACTGGGTTCTCACTCTCAGCCATCCCCTCGGAGCTGCCCAAGTGGACGCAATACGAGACTTCCGTCACGGGTCTGCTTTGGTACATGGCCCGCCAATCCGTGACCGACGGAGTGAGACTCCACGAACTGTCCTCCAGCGACTACACGGCCTGCACCGTCGGCGTTGCGCTGAACGGATACGTCGACACCAACTCGTCGTCAGCGTCCAGCGTGCCATCGGAATGTGACGGGTGCGTTGTGCCTTACAAAATCGCAGTGGTGCCCGACAACGCCTTCACGCGCGAGTATTTCATGCAGACAATGGAGCTCTGGTACCTTCGCGTGAATCTGGTGAACGGTTCGACGTCGCTGCAGTTCGCGAGTCTTCGGGAAAGTGTGGCCTTCTTTGGCTCGGAAGACGCGCTGGAAGAGTACGTGAAGGGGAAGAGCTACGGCTCCAGTCTCGACAGCCCGCGCATCTACGGGGGAATTGTGTTCGACAAGTACCCGAATGGCAGCGACATCGGCTCGTTCTCGTCCATTGAGTACACACTGCGTCTCAACTCAACGGAGACCAACAACGGCGTGCTTGGGCTCATCCCGCCGACAAACGGAGATGCGTCAGCGCTCTATCCTTCGCAGAAGTCCATCAAGACCGACTACTACACGCGCTACACGCTCACGGGCTTCATGACGTTGCAGACGCTCGTCACGCGCTTCGTGACTTGCATGCCCGAATGGGATGCAACGACGCAGACAACAACGGGTCAGTGTCAGCGAGCACAAGCCACTGCATCCGCGTCGGACGCACTAGACAAGCGGCTACTGAAGTCGTTGGAGGCCGATGCCATGCTGAAATCAGCTCTGAGCGAGTACGCGACAGCGTCGGGTGCCTCCAATACGTCGTTCTCTTCTATGCTGTCGCTGTTGTCGACTAGCACGAAGGAGGCGCTGCTGACGCCGCTGCGCCAGGCCCCGCAGCCATATCTCGGGTCTTCGGTGTCGCCGTTCCCCATTGAAGCGTACACGAGCTCTCCCTTCTACGACGACGTCTCGGGGGTCTTGGCCATCATCTTCATCCTCTCGTACCTGTACCTGACGTCGAGGATCCTTGTGGTCTTCATCCAGGAGAAGGAGCTGCGTCTGCGCGAGTACATGAAGATCTTGGGCGTCAAGGAGCGCGCGATTGTCGCCACTTGGTACATCACGTACACTCTCATCATCTTCGCCGGCGCCGTGCTCCAAGCTCTCATGGGTCTCGTCGGGCTATTCGCCAACAGCTCGGTGGTCGTCATCTTCCTCTTCTTCTTCCTGTTCGGAATGAGCGTTCTCTGTTTCGGGTTCTTCATCAGCACACTCTTCAGCAACGCCCGCACCGGGTCCTTCGTGGGGATGATCGCCTTCTTTCTCATGTACTTCGTGGCCCAAGCGTTCACGGACGACTCGCCGGAGCAGGACATCTCTCACGCCTGCATCTTGCCACCAGTTGCGCTTTCGTTTGGTCTGTCGACCATCGCGGACTTTGAATCGTCCGGTATCGGCGCAAATTTCGGAAATCTGGACACGCTCAACATTAACTTCCGACTCGCTACAGCGCTGCAGATGTTCCTCGTGGACTGCGTGCTGTACACGCTGCTGGGTCTGTACTTCGAGAGGATCATCCCTAAGCAGTACGGCACGTCGCTCAAGTGGTATTTCCCTTTCTCCCCGTCGTATTGGCGAGGCCGCAAGAAATCCGCGACTTCGAATGGGACTGAGACGCCTACGGACTCTTTACTCGACAGCGTGGCGCTGGATGTGAACCCGAACATTGAGCGCGTGAGTGCCGAGCTCCGTGAGCAAGAGCGGCGGGGTGAAGTGCTGTCCATTCAACGTCTGGGGAAGGTGTTTGAGGTTCCAGGCGGTCAAAAGGTGGCACTGAAGGGGCTAGACTTGATCACGTACAAGGACCAGATCACGTGTTTGCTCGGCCACAATGGAGCTGGAAAGTCGACGCTGATCTCGATGCTCACAGGCATGACGGCGCCATCGAGCGGTGACGCGAAGTACCGTGGTCTCTCGCTGAATCAAGACATGGAGGAGATTCGCGAATCGCTGGGTATTTGCTTCCAGCACGACGTTCTGTTCGAGGACTTGACGGTTGAAGAGCATCTTCTAGTGTTCGGACGGGTGAAAGGATACAGGAATGAGGAGCTGCAGGGACTCGTGGACTCACAGATCCGTCAGGTGGGTCTTACGGAGAAGCGCCACGTCCTGTCCAAGGAATTATCCGGCGGCATGAAGCGGAAGCTTTCGGTCGCTATTTCTCTCCTGGGTGACAGCTCCCTGGTGTTTCTGGACGAACCGACCTCGGGTATGGACCCCTACAGCCGTCGTAGCACGTGGGAGATCCTCCTCAACAACCGCAGTGGCCGTGTGATGGTGGTGACGACCCACTTCATGGATGAGGCCGATATCCTGGGAGACCGCATCGCCATGCCATCATGGCAGAAGGCGAATTGCGCTGCTGCGGGTCGTCGCTCTTCCTCAAGAACCGGTACGGAGCAGGCTACAACCTCACTATCGTCAAGGACGACGCCAGGTGCGACGACAAGGCCGTCACCACGCTCATCAGGTCGTACGTCCCCTCTGCTGAGCTGCTAAGCAACGTCGGCAGCGAGATCGCGTTCCAGCTGCCTCAAAAGAGCTCGCCGATGTTCTCGGTCATGTTCACCGAGATGGACAACAATCTGTCCAAGCTCGGCTTGCTCTTGTACGGCATTTCAGCCACGACGCTGGAGGAGGTTTTCATCAAAGTGGCGGAGGCTGACGATGAGAACCACCAACACACTTTGGGCCATCGCACGCGCCCGACGGAGAGCGAGGCTGCTCCTGTAGCGGCGTTGCAGACATCCGGTCTGTTCTTCTCGCACTTGCGCGCTCTCCTTCTCAAGAGGTTCCACCACGCCAAGCGCGAGAAGAAGATGATCATCTACACGACGTTCTACCCGATTCTGCTGCTTCTGGCAGGTCTGATTATCTTGAAGAGCAGCAGCACGACGTCCGATGACCCGAATCTGGCGCTGAACACGAACGCGTACAGCTCCGACAATTCCACACCGACCCCGTACTTCTGCCAGGCTGGAGGTGAATGGTGCAGCGATGTCATGGCGTCGTATTTCTCTGGAGCAGAAGCTCAGGAGCTCGCGATTGAGTCTCCGGCTTACGACTCAAACTCTCCGACCGTCTTTAACGTCACCTACTCGGACCCGGAGATCAACGCGACGGACGCTACCGGCTTCGGGCTTCGAATGGGCCAAACGCTGTACAACAGAGGCTACGGAGCCAACAACACCGAAGCGGTTGACGATCAGTACAGCGCGTTCATGGTCTATGGAGACAGCGACGAGCAGATCTTCAGCTACAACCTGTTCACCAACACTACCGCCACGCACGCGCCCGTCATATTCAAGGCGTTGATGGACCAGGCGATCTATCGGTTCTTCGCTGCCAACTCGAGCGATTCGACGGTGGATCTTACGGTGAACAACCATCCACTACCGCTCACAGCGGCGGCCAAGGCGCTCTTCGGCTCCGTTTTGGCCTTCAGCGCGTGCGTCTTTGTCTGCATCTCGTTCTCGTACTTCCCGCTGCCGGTCGTCGTGTACCTGGTGAGGGAGAAGGAGGCGAGCCACAACTCCAAACACCAGCAACTGGTCTCGGGCGTCTCGCTCACTGCGTTTTGGCTCGCCAACTACCTCTGGGACCTCATGATGTTCGCCGTGCCCTGCGTCGCGGCCATCGTCCTCATCAAAGCGTTCGATATCTCGGCGCTAACCGGCAACTCCGAGTGCTCGAGCTGCACCTCCGAGACGTTTCCGGCGGTGATCCTTCTCTTCATCCTCTTCGGCTTCGCGATCTGCCCGTTCACCTACTGCCTGTCGTTCCTCTTCAAGGAGCACGCGGCGTCACAGACGTTCACCATGAAGATCAACTTTCTGCTGGGCGTCGTGCTCATGATCGTGAGCTACATCCTCGACGTGATGGAGTCGACCGAGTCGGTGAATTCAGTGCTCAAGTTCATCTGGAGACTGTCGCCGCTCTTCGATCTAGGCAACGGACTGCTGTCGCTGGTGTTGAACGAGCTCGACACGCTGCAGGACGGCACGACGGAGAAGAAGAGCCCGTTTAGCATGGACCTCATGGGCGCCGAGATGATTTACCTGGTGCTCACGACGTTCCTCTTCTCGGCGGTGGTGCTTGCCATCGACTACGGCGTGAAAATCCCCGGACTCCAACGCAAGAACGCAAGCGCTCAGGGCGTTGACGATGGGAAGTTGGATATCGACGAGGATGTGGCGAAGGAAGCTCAGCGAGTCGCTAATGGGGCTGCGAATGAAGATGCAGTGAAGATTGCTGGACCGAGGAAGGTCTACCCTGGTGGCAAGGTGGCCGTGAGAGACCTGTCGTTTGGCTTGAAGAGAGGCGAGTGTTTTGGCTTCTTGGGCATCAACGGCGCCGGCAAGACGACGACGATGAAAATGCTGACGGGCGACGTCGCTCCGAGCTGCGGGACGGCAACACTCAACGGCTTCGACATCTTGACGCAGCAGATCGAAGTGCGCCGACAAATCGGCTACTGCCCGCAGTTCGACGCGCTGTTTGAGCGGATGACGGTGCGCGAGCATCTCGAGCTCTTTGCGGCGATCAAGGGCGTGGCTCGAGCCGACATGGAGGCAGTTGTGACGGAGAAAATTCAGCAGCTGAACCTCGCAGACTTTGAGCACAAACTGGCGGGAAGTCTGAGCGGCGGCAACAAGCGCAAGCTGTCGGTCGCTATCGCGTTGATCGGCAGTCCGCCGATCATCTTCCTGGACGAGCCCTCCACCGGCATGGACCCGGTTTCCCGGCGGTTCATGTGGGATGTGATCGCCGATATCTCAACGCGAGGCAAGGAATCCACGATCGTCTTGACAACGCACAGCATGGAGGAGGCTGAAGCCTTGTGCTCTCGAGTGGGGATCATGGTCGGCGGTCGTCTTCGCTGCTTAGGCAGCGTGCAGCATCTCAAGTCTCGGTTCGGTGATGGCCTCGTATTCGACACCAAGTTCGAGTCTGTGGCTGCAGACGAACTTGATCGTCTAGTGGAGAGAGTCTTCAGTGACGGCAACGCCTACGTCACACCAGCAGATCTGGAGGACAAGTGTCGTGCGTTTGGCAACGTCGATCTTGCTAGACTCATCACTGCCGCACACCCGACGGGTTACAGTCTTGCTGCAGCGCTGGAACGAGACGGATTCATTCGCGCCGAGGCATTCTGCGCGTGGTGCGTGGAGGAGACGCGATTCAACGAGCTCAAGGAGTATCTTCAGCAAGCGTTTGGAGCCGGTGGGGTTGTCGTACTCGAAAGGCAGAGCGACTTCTGTCGGTTCAAAGTGCGCGGCGGCCCCAGTGACGTGAAGCTCTCCAGGATGTTTGCATTGATCGAGGACATTAAATCCACCATGCACATCCGCGAGTACAGCGTCTCGCAGACGACGCTGGAGCAGATCTTCAACTCGTTCGCTAGTCAGCAGGAGGAAGAGCAGGGTGTGGCTCGAGGCGTCTTCCAGGCTGCTTAGAACATGAAGCTTTAGACCCTAGCGGCGTATCAACGCTGAACGAACTTGAACGTGAAGTCCACACCTGAATAACATCGATACAGAACAATTCGCATTAAGACAGTCCTAGGTAGCATCAAAAGCCTCCCAACCGTACCGAAATGTGCCACACGAAAGCAGAAGGTCATGGTCGGCCAGAACATGAGTTTGTCTTGAATCAGAGGCATCTGCGTCTCCAACACGAATGCAAGCTGGTGCAAGGCTTGAATCCCACAGTTGCGCTTGATCATAACTACCAGGACGACGAAGGACAGCGCTTGGATCAGCCCGTAGATAAATAATGGGAACACGGTTCCGAGCACATTTTCTAGGGTAATGCCAGCCATCTCGGAGTGATAGCGGGCGCTTGGCAGTCGCACCATGGCCAAGATGTAGCAGCAATAAAGCAAGGGGATCACAAACTCCAAGTACGCAGCGATGACGAGACACTCCGTTGTGAAAATTGCCTCTAGCGATTCCTGCAAAATGGAGCCATGCGCTGCGGATATTTCGAGACTGGGTCCTGTATTGTCCGGCATTCGACTTTCAACGTCTTTCTCAGAATCAAGTGGCGCCAAAGCAGCAGTGGTCGGATGGATCGAGCTTCTGGACCTTCGTGAGCTACAACACCGCAGCTTTTTGCACTTCGAAAAACTGGTTGATGTTTGAGCCGAGGCGAGGTAATTCACATTGATACTCGCGGACTTGCTAGGAATCTTGTCGAGCATCTCAAGCAGCCCCATGTCTTCAATAGACAAAACTTGAGGGAGACACGAGCGCTTCCGAACCCCTCGCTGCGTTTGCTTTTCAAACTTCTCTGGGTCTTGGCACAGCGAGCAGAGCCCACTCAGCAGATTGGTGTTCTCCGGCTCAGCTCCGATGGTATCGCACAATCGCTGAAGAATGGTTGTAGTCCTTCGATGCAAACCGTAGAGCATGGTTAGCGATTGCACCTGGTCGGTGAGAGTTATGACGACAACTGTCGCAATCGACTCGGAGCTCTGCATGCAGGTTGCCATGTAGATCCCGTAGAAGAGGTCGACCGTGAAGATGACAGCCTCCGGCATCATGTCTTCGAGTTGCGAGGTGCACCGCAGCACGATATTTTTTATACCAACCTTTATTACCGGTAAGAGCGGTATCACCAGAAGCTGGTACCTTGAGCCTTCTGTAGCGCGAAACAACGCCTCGTAGGCAGGGAATACCAGCGCCATCAAGGCCTGAGAGTTGACGAAGTTCGAGTAGTTGGCCAGCTGACTGCGGTGCGTTACCATGTTGCGCATGACTCGGCTGCCTACGATCACGCGGAACAGTACGAGGTGCACTACGCACCCTATGGGTGCAGTTGATATGATGAAGAATGGGATGGGGAAGATCACGTTCGAGGCGATGGTCACGGACAAAGCTGTCATGACTATCGAGACGCACACTGCCAACAAGAGCTGGCGTCTTGTGGAGATTTGCACGCCGTCGATGAAGTAGGTGGCTTGGACAGTCACAGTGCGTACCCCAGTGGCGAGCAGGAGCGTAGCGCGTATCCAGAAGCCGTAGTTGACACGCCAGCCACCACTCGGGTCTTGGAGCGGAATCAGTTCTTGAACGAGCACGAGAGCGACCATGGGTAGTAGCGTCCCAAAGCAAATGAGGAGGACGTGCAAGGGTGAGGTGTTTTTACTGTGGGCTTCCAGAGCGAGAGCTCGCTGGATCGAGTACTTGCCGCCGCAGTAGCTGACTTGGAGCCGTTTCCACGCATTAAACACCTTCCTCCCGGGGAGCGCCAGCATGAGAACGCCAAGTTAAGCTTACCAAAATGGAAAATGACAGTCAGAGTGGATGAGCTTTTATAGGCACACGTCTATTGTTGACCAATCTACCTCTGTTAAGAACGCCCCTCAGGGTAAGACGCAGCACCCAGCACCAGTATGTGCTTCAAATTAAGGAGGCGATAAAGTCGAATCGAGTGCTATCTACTCGTAAGGTCCTCTCACACCCAAGCAAACTTGAAGGTGAAGTCCACGCCTGTTGCACGGACACCAATTCATTAGCATTCGGATACTCTTTCGCCTAGCTTTGAAGGAACGTACCAAAATGCACCACGCGAAAACTCAGGATAAGTACAATCCACAACATCAAATTCCCCTGGATAAATGCAACCTGGCCGCTCAGCACAAATGCGAGCTGGTGAAACGAATTAAATCCACAGTTGCGCTTGGCCAGCATTGCCAGTACGGCAAGTGACGCAATCTGCAACAGCCCAAGCAGTAGAACAGGGAGGATAGTCCAGTTCACATTATCCCGAGAAATCCCAGTCATGTCTGTATGGTAGCGGGCGTTCGGGAGGTGGGTCATGACGAGGACGTAGCTGCAGTAGAAGAACGGGACGACGGCCTCCAAGTAGGCCGTGGCAACCAAACACTCAGTCGTGAATAGAGTCTCAAGCATCTCACTCACTACTGCTTGTCGGTTTGAAAAGGTGACAAGGCGCGAGCTGGGGCCTTCTGTGAGTTGCCGTTTATCGCCTTGTGTTGGTACGATCAAGTCTGAGACGCGAGGGTGAATCTGTTTGCGGCAGCTCTTAAACCAAAACGAGCATTTTCGTGCTTCCACGTGGGTACCAGCTTCCGTGGATGACGTCCATCCTAACGCAGCAGCTCGTGGAGGGGCAACGTCATTTCCGCCAGAAAACTCCCCCAGTCTCGCCAACAGATTCGAATCTGCTGCTGACAATTTGTGCGGGACATTTGAGTAGATTCGAACGTCCGTGCGAGTCCGTTTCGTGAAATTCTTGGTATCTCGGCACAAAGAGGACAGTGCCGGTAGCAAGCCGCCGCTTTCGGAATGTTGGTCTAGTTGAAGCTTTGAGAGTAATTTGGCAGTACGACGATGAAATGTGTGCAGCATGGTAGTCGTCTGCACTAGATCCGTGAGTGTGATCGTGGCAATCGTAGTACTGGACGACGTGTTCTGCATGCACGTGGCCATGCAAATCGCGCTGAAAAAGTCGACCGTGAAGATAACCACCACTGGCGTTATGTCTTCCTTGTGAGCTGTGCACCGTATGACCACATTCTTCAAGCCGAGTTTGAGGGCAGGAAGCAGCAACACAACTAAAAGCTGGCAGTGAGACCCTTTCGCGAGGTGGAACAGTGCCTCATAGGCCGCGTATATAAACAACAGCGAAAACAGAGTCGCCATAAACTTCAGGAATCGAATCGTTTGGTCCCGGTGCGCAGCATGTGGTTAATTGCTCGACCCCCAACTATTAGCCGGAAAGAAATAACCAACGATATTTGAACCACTGGGGCTGTTGTTACCAAAACAAAGGGAATGGGAAAGCATGAGTAGGAGGCAATCGCTGCGATGGAACAGGTGAGGACGATCAATGTGCAAGCTGCCACGATAAATCGACGCCAAACTGCAATTTCTAGTCCGTCGATGAAGTCCGTGGCATGAGTCACCACCACAGGGATGGCAACAAGTAAAATAATTGCTGTTCGAATCCAAAAGCCGAAATTTCTACTCCAGCCATCGCTTGGGTCTTGCAGCGGCACCAACTCCACAGCAAGTACGAGAGCAACCATGGGCAGCGGCGTCGCGAAGCATACGGAGGTCACGCGTAGTACGGAAGAGTCTCTTGTGCAGGCCTCTAGGGCCAACGCACGTTGATTGGAGTACTTGCCCCCGTTGTAGCTCAGCTGCAATCGCTTCCAGGCGTCCAGCAACTTTAAGCACCAGATAGTTAGCGCCGACATTTTCATCAAACGCTGAAGAGAAGGCACACTATTCATGGCGGACATCTTATGCCGTAAGGAACGTTATATTTTCCGACAAACTTAGGTGAGCACTCCACCAACGTTGGCAAACTTCAAGTATTGCATTATCTCTCAACCAACAGCGCGCTGAGCATTCAGGCGATCTTCGCCCGCTTCACGTCATCCAAATTGTACTTGGGCATGGGCAGCAGAACGCTGGTCGTCGCCTTGTACTCCTGGTAGGCCTTGGTCTCGCCCCAGCGCTCTTCCGCCTGCTTCTCCAGTGGCGGAATCCCCGACACCGTGAACAGCAACAGCATCACGAACAACGGACTCACCGCGGCCCAGCACTGCAAACCGAAGCTCGGCAGCGTGTGCGCCGTGACCAGGAACACGCCGACCCACATCATGATCTCGCCGCAGTAGTTCGGATGGCGGCTGTAGTGCCAGAGGCCGCTCTGGATGAACTTGTCCTTGTTCTCCTGGTTGCGACGGAACTGCGTCTTCTGGTAGTCCGCCACCACCTCCATCAAGTAGCCGACAACCCACAGACCGGACCCGACCACGTCCTGGGGCGACACTTGCGGGTCGTTGACTCCGTGGGTCAGCGCCAGCAGCACCGGCAGCACCGTGAGCAGCACCCACAGGCCCTGGATGTTCCAGACCGAGAAGAACCGCAGCGGATTCACGCGGATCTCAACGAAGCGCTTGTCCTCGCCGCACTCGCTGATGCGCAGGAAGAGGAAGGCGCCGAGGCGGACGCACCAGAGCCACACGAATGCCGTCAGCAGCGACCCGCGCCAGGACACGGGGCTGTTCATCACGTATGCCAGTAGAACCAGCAGCGCGTACGTGAAGGAGCCCGTGACGTCTAGGAACCGCTCGGTCTGCTTGGACACGGCGTAGAGCGACGACACCCACTGGATGCCAAAGCACACCAGCGCGTAGAACTGCAGGTCCGTGTAGAACGCCACAACCGACGCCAACGAGACGCTCACAACCGTCCCGACGACGTTGCGCAGGAACCCATGGTAGAACGAGGAGGGGGGGGGGGCTTGATCCCAATTAGGAGAGTTTGGAAATGAGCGTTTGACGTTGACAAGCATCCGAGGAGACTGCAGTGCCTACGATAGCCCCGATCTACCAATACCGAGTTCGGTCCTGTTCCTCGTGGGATGTAGAGGATCAAGGCGAAGCAGTTTCAGGCCTTGAAGGAGACCAAGAGAGCTACGTGAGTGCAACTACATGTACATTTGTCACCATTACCCTCTCCATCTGAGACCGTCCATCGAGTTGAGTGGGCAATTAGGCGAACTTGGCGCGCGGCGGCTCCGTCGTGGGCAGCTGACGCTTGGGCATGGGCACGAGCACGCTCGTCTGCGCCTTGTACTGCTGGTACTCCTTGAGGTTGCCCCAGCGCTCGTCCGCGGCCTCCTCGAGCAGCGGGACGCCCGAGCGGAAGATGATGAGCAGCGTCATGAAGGTCGGACTCACGGCGGCGGCGCACTGCAGCGCCAAGCTCGGCAGCGTGTGCACGGCCACGAGGAAGACGCCGATCCACATGAGGATCTCGCCGAAGTAGTTGGGGTGGCGGCTGTAGCCCCAAAGGCCCGAGGTGATGAACTTGCCGTCGTTGCGCTTGTCGTGGCGGAACTTGGTCTTCTGGTAGTCGGCCGTCAGCTCGATAACGTAGCCGATGACCCACATGGAGGTACCGATGATGTCGAGCGGCTTCACTTCCGGGTCGTCACTGCCGTGCGTGACGCTGAGCAGCACCGACAGTAGCGTGAAGAAGACCCACAGACCCTGGATGTTCCAGGCCGCCAGGTAGCACAGCGGGTTGACGATGATCTCGGCGAAGCGCTTGTCGCTGCCGCACTCGCAGATGCGCCAGTACAGGAAGGACCCGAGCCGCACGCACCAGAGCCACAAGAAGGCTGTGAGCAGCGTGTCGCGCCATGACACGGACTCGCTCACGCAGTAGGCGAGCATCGAGACCGTCGCGTACGTGGTGGAGCCCGTGAGGTCGAAGTACCGCTCGGTCTGGTTGGGGATGCCGTAGAGCGCCGAGAGCCACTGGATGCCCACGCACACGCCCGCGAAGAGCTGCAGATCCGTGACGTAGCTGACCGCCGCCACCAGCGAGAGGCACGTCAAGAGCTCGGACAAGTCTTGCGAGAAGCCCATGAGGGTTGCTGTTGTTGTTGCTGGAGCTGAAGGACGAGGCAAGTGGAGCTGAGAGCGCGAATTGGAAAATGATTTCGAGCGTGGCGCGAGGATTTGGCTTCGGCACGAGGTCTCGGCTGGTATCTTCAATGCAGACTGGCGCAAGCATGTTGCAGTGACCCCGACCCGGGACAGTCGAGCAGCTGGGATCTCAAGATGGTCGGTCACGGCCATATGAACGCAGACTTTCTTACGTGTTGGCAAAAATGGTCACGAACAGCGGGATGGCTTTGGTGGAGCACCAGACTCCGCAGTGCTCTTGCGCACTCCTCGTCAACGAAGGAAGGAATTCATGGCATACAGTACATGCGTACGATAAGGGCTGGCAGAGGTTTCGTACATTTACGACGTTGAAGCCGCAGCGCAGAGATTAAAGCGCCTGATGCTGTCAAGTTGACAGCGCCAATGTGTACATGTACCTCACCGAGGTCCGGGGCCGGGAAGGCCTGATGACGGACGGCGGGATCGCGATCATGAATTGCAGCAGAAAAGACAAACAGTCACGACGGGATCACCAAAAACTGGTGCTGATTTCCATACAAGATGCACCTGGTCTTTTATGTATTTATGTAGCATCCCAATCTGAAAAACTCTACACTGAAGTACAGAATTCTGTAAGCCGGTTTGGACCGGACTTTGGAATTTCTGGCAACGATGCGAAACTGACCCCCACTGTGGGGGTCAGTTTCCCACTGTGGGGGTCAGGAAAGCGAACAACCAGCATGTGGGGGCCCCACATGCTGGTTGTTCGCTTTCCTTGAATATCGTGTTCGCAAAATTGAAATATGGCTTCCATCGCCTCGTCGTCTTAGCCCAGTCCGTAGGACAAATGGAAGGACCAAAAGTTAGGCGCCTCGCTCCGTATAATTAGAAACAAATAGTGTCATGTGACTACATGGGCACAATCCCCCGTCCTAGCTGTCTTGGTGGTCTTATCGGTTTAGCGTCCTCCATTGTCCTTCTCGAGATATAAGCCGTTGAAAACTTGTCTCTTGTAGCTTCGAATTTTGCTGATTTGTCCTAGCCTAGGACAATTTTGACTTGATTTCAGTATAGTATCAGCTATCTTTAGCGCCGATTTCCCTGCCCGATGCGCCTTATAAGAGACACCTTTGGGGGGTCAAAAACACCCCATACAAATGTCAAGTCAGTTTTGTCCTTTTTCGGGCTCCCTAGGACCAAATCGTGGTTTGGTGTGGCATAGAGCATTGTCATGAACAGCTCGAGGACTGCTCGTTCAGCTAAGCGTAGCCTTCACTCCGAGTACCTGCAGGGGGCACAGCGATAAGGAAAAGGATTCGGCGCTTTTGACAGCTTTTTTATCAATCAAAGCCGGTGAGAAGTCAATATCTCCATCGGAGCCTATCTGTCTATGTCTATGATATCGACCCGCAAGGACCTCTCTGCGTGAATGAAATATTAATTATTAAGTATTGTTTTTTGGAATCGGCTTCCTACCACTCAAATATCTTCCCATTGTCTTCTCTGCTAGCCACCGCCAACTCGCACACAGCACTCACTTGGGAAAACTTCTCGTGTGTGCGGCCGGTCGCGGGGGAAGCTCTGCACAAACCGACTTCTCAATTTGAAAAACTCGAGTTTTCCAGGGATAACTTAGTACTGTGTCAGGGATCGTTAGTAGTGGTATTTTTGGGCTACTAAGTGATGCTAATACTAATATCATACTTAACATTAACCCACTATCACTGTCAGTGATACTAATATTAACATCTACAGTCAAACCTGTTTATATGATCCTCTCTATTTGAGCCATGCCGTTTATTTGATGCAGGCTTTGTCGCTACCAAATATTTCACTTAGTTTTTGTATGATCTCTGTTTATATACATACAAGGTATATGAGTCACATTTTTGGGTACCAAATTAGGTCTCACCTGTTTATTTGATTCACACTGCTCACGGCCACACACTCTTCAAAGCACCACTGCTCAACCCTCAACGCCTACCGCAAGCTTTCTTCGCTCGCCATGTCTCCTCGCACCTGTCTGACGCTAGAACAAAAGCTCCAAGTGCACCTAAAGCTCCAGCAGAATCCTGGCATGAACAACCCCATGCCCGCCGAGTGGATCTACGCAACTTTCAAGGCCCGGGTCAGTCGTGCCACACTCGCCCGACTGCGCAACCTGCCTTCTTCCTACTTCAGCCACGTCGACCTGAGTGCGACCAAGCGGCGCCGAGTGAAATTCCCTCAGTTCGAGCGGGAACTGAGGGAATTTTTCTTTCAGAACGAAGCTAAAACGGCGATGGCGGACGACGTGCTCCTGATGAAGGCGCATGAGCTGGCGGAGCGCTTAGGAGGAAGAGGAGGAACAGGAACCCGCAGTTCAACCTGCCATTGCTCTGAGACACTGCATGGAGCTGGCTGCATTTCTGCTGCAATGCGGAGAGCAGACTGACAGAGAACGAAGAGCTTTACAGACCGTGACCGCTTTGGTTCGAGAGACTACGGTGAAGGCAAAGCGGCAGCGAACTATGCACGATTTCTTTACGTGCACCACATAATTGTTTTAACTGAGTCCATTTTATATGAGTCATTGTAGTAGATGGTCACCAACAGGGCCTCATATAAACAGGTTTGACTGTATGAACCACATATATTAATACTAATACCCAGAAAATGAGCGATAGTACTAATAGTACTAATAATACTAATATTATCACTGATATTCACAAGAAGTGCAGCTTCCGATACATATCACTGTTTCGCCTCGCAGCGTTCATGGCGCATTCCTGGGGCCACGGAGAAAAGCCCATACAGTAAACTGAAATCGATGCAGCTCTTAGTTTTCTCTTGTCTGACACGTGAGGGGACGGGACTGATACGACGGCGGAGACTTGATGCACTCACCAAATCAGGCTTTGAGTTGAGTTAAACTATGAGTTGAGAAGTCGGATAAACAGAAATGTCAGCGGATACAGAAGGTATAATCTCGCAGTCCGTGCTAGCCCTTCGATTTATGCACCAGACCATAGACACCAACAAAAAACGTGTGACTTACAATTCATTTTTTGTTGAATACGACGTCTGTGGAGGCCTACTACACAATCATCGTCTTCTCCCTCCCCCTCCTCCTTCTCCTCGAGGAGTCCTCGATAAGCCAATCGTCGTGTTGGTATTAGTACTTACCAGACACGACTTGTATACATTTCGGGTGCATGGTTTGTTAAGGCACCACATTGCCGACGAGATTTTTTTTTAATACTGGGATAGAAAGCGACGAAGTGCTGATAGCCCAGCCCAAACAGGATTAATTCGGGCGCCAATCGCCACCGGTGATGGACCGGTAACATGTTTTAGGTCAATTTAAAGTAAATGATGTCGATTGACCAAGTGTTTTAGACTTCTCAAGAATGATGGAGGCTGGTCCAGTTCATTTGCAAATTCGTCGAGTTAAGATTCGTTTTATTGATTTTGCTCTAAAATCGGCTTTACGTCGTGATACATTGTCGGGCAGATTCTGCGGCTGCGAAGCAGGCGCAGGAGAAGGACGCTCACGTGCGGATTGAGTTTATCAATGGCGGTCAAAGGTGAGTTAACCAGTCCTATCCCAGCCTTTGCGAAGCCCTAGTAACGTTGAGGTGTATTGAGTTACTGGCCATGTAGCCGAACTTCTAATCCCCCTTCCATCCTCAAGAGCAAGAGGAGTGGGTTTGATATGTAAAATGTGCATGTCCCTACTTAGTATAAGCTAAGCCGTGGTTTCGCTTAGAGAGAAGAGGGCATGAGGATTTCTTGTCCTATGTTCGTGTCTGCCCATTTCCTGTAGTCATTCATCAAGAAACTGAGAAAAGCCGACGAGATATCCATACGCTGTGTTAATTAGTACGTTAACCTAAGATTTTTTGAAATCTATCAGCATCTAGTCACCAAACGCTAGCAAGATCAAGCCTCAAACGACACAACAAGTCGGAATTAGGGCCAGTCAACACCAGCCGACTTGGTGGTTAAGTATACTGTACGAACTGCTCGGCTTGATGTAGTAGTTCGAAGAACTCTCTCTTTACTGCCAAAATAGGTTGTTTACATTAGCAGCCGATGATGGGACCATGCCTAATACACCGATGGACGAGGATTCAAAGGCCAAATGAAGTACACAGTAAGTGTGAATATGGATAAACCAAGTTCTAGTAGCACCAAGTACGACGCCTTGGTAAGACCGTGCCTGATGCAGGCAGATCGACGCAGACGTAGCAAGGAGACGTCTCCGCGGCGTACTTAAGTATCTTCGGCTACAGTGGTCCTATAGGGTACTATTTAACTTATTGTGCTTTGCAGATAAAATGTCGCCCCGTTTTATGGCCTAGATCGAGGAAGGCCGGTCCACAAATCAGGGTACAAAACAGAGGCGGTAGCTCGATTTACTTAGATCGACCTCGAATTGCGCTTTTGAAAACGCAAAAGGGATCGATTTACCGTAGATCGACCTCATTCTGCCCAGATCCACCAGGAGATCGACCTCGAGCCCTGATTTGGATTGTCGTAGCTCGAGTTATTATTAGCCGGCCTAAATAGATCGATCTGTCCCTTTCTTTGACCTCGTTTTATTAAATCGACCTCGACTTAATGATAAATCGAGGAGAGCTCCAAGTCAAAACGACAAAACGTTGACGGTGCCAACAGTGGCCGATAGTGTCGTGATTGGTTGAAATAAGCATTTAGTTGAGCGGTTAATCTATTGGCCAAATCATTTGACTCAAATGTCAATTCCAAGGTGCACGCCAGGCCGCAAGGACGGCGGGTGGAAGGAGCGGGGATGGAGGAGCGCGACGCCATCAAGGAGGGCGGCGAGCCGAAGGACGTCGGCGGAAAAAAAGGGGGGCTGCATGGTTCCGCCTGCCAAGATGTGGGTGGTGTCTGGGAGGACGGCGGTAGGCTGCACGACGGCGGGCGAGTGGTCCGCGGTGGAGGCTAGGAAGATGGCGCGGAGCACGACGATGACGGTTACCTGAAGCAGGGCGGTAGGCACCAAGATGGCGGCGCAGGACAAGACGGCCGCGCCGTGGAGGATAGACGGCGGGAAGGAGGAGGAGGAGAACCGGAGCGAACGGCAAGAGGCGGCGGACCGGAGGTGGGGCGATGGGGAGGGTAGCCGCCAAGGCGAGGGCGGTAAGGACATCGAGCGGAGGGAAACGAGCGCAAGGGCGCAGCGACCTGCTGGGAGGCGACGAGCATAGGGAAGCGTGCAGCAGGAGGAGGGCGTGGCTGCTGTGGCTTGCTGCGGCTTGCGTGCTGGTGTTGGCACCAACAACACGACGCTGGTGGGGTGCTGCAGCTGCTGTGTGGACTGGCACTGTTGGTGGGGTAGCTGCAGGTGGAATGCTCCGCAGTCACACCCCACCACTAGCGTCTAGTACTCTTGAGTAGGAATAAGCTATTGATAATAAATGGAATAAATTAATGGTTTTCTTGTATATGCTGCATTGGATCCTAGCGCTTCGCTCGTGCGGCATGCAGCAAGCTCCGCCTGAGCGACACTCCTGAATGAGCAGCTCTCACTGAGTGCTGCTTGTTCATGTGATGGGTAGGTCGATAGGCGTGCCCAGGAAACTCGATTGAGTTCGTGATAATGGTTGAATCGCTATTGCAAACGGCTCAAATCAGCTCGTCAAAGGCAATACAAAAGCTAAGTAACTTGTCGGCAGCAGAACAGATATGTATATTATACCCTTATTACTTAGATTTCCTATGGGATGAATACATATTTCGGCCGCGTTGCCGACATTATACGTCGGCATAGTGTCGGCAGCAAATATACCTAACCCTAACCATGTTGATTGGCCTAAATAGGGATCTACCGGATGCTTATTCGCTGAAAAAACGTATTGGTCATCTGATTGGGCCATGGCCGCCATACAGTGGCCAAGTCAAGTTCTTGTATGTCGGCACCGTCACGATATTCATCCATATGGGTTGAAATCGCTGAATACAAACTTCAAGTCTTTTGGAATCGGCCGAGACGGCCTGAGCGACTTCTTATTTCGTCTTTATTGCGTACATAGTAAACTCAACTCAAATCAAAATCTTGGGCGGTTTGCTGGCGATTTGGCTCGGTCGATTCAATCAATCGACTTCGGAAAGTTCGACTAGAACGTGGGCAATTACGACTAGAAGCTACGAATTGTTATTGCATAAAATTCAGGGGTTGTTTGCTAAATATCACACTAAAACGTTCTTCCGTAAACTTTTTCGAGTGCAAGAAGTTCATGAGCGGGATGTAATACAAGAAAGTTATAGCTAACGTTAGTTTGTAGCGGTTTGCTTGCGATTACCACTCTCGATCTCCAAGAAGTGACAACCAGTCAATGAAGGCATGCCACCAATGTTTTCATTGAAGAGATAATACTTTCTGATAAGGCCCCGAGCGTTTGGCGGCATTAGAGTGTAGGCATTGTTTGAGAGCTCTAAGTCTGGTTTTGTTCCTTCTGAGGCGGCTACATTTTGAGCAAATAACGTTGGGGGTACTCTTTTTGCATTGACTAGAAACTATTGGGTCCCGGTATCGCTGAGAGTAAATTGCCCCAAATCGAAAAATGAAACAACGTCACTCTACGGTCCAGGCGCGTGTGTCATTGAACGACATTCTCGCCACTTTCGCGCGACATACCCACTTCAACTTGCGCTTAGCGGTATAGTGAGATGTCCGGATTCTGAGCACACCACCCAAGCCTAAGGCGTCATGCACTAGTTGTGCCTTCAGTGAGGCAGCGATAAATTGTGAGTTTTTACTCAATTTCACCGTTATTTTACTTGATGTGCGTACGGGGCAAGCACTTCGGCTGCGAAGCAGGCGCAGGAGATGCCTGCGGATCGTAAAAGAAGTAATTCCTAGCTCAAAAACTAACAAAAAAGTCGAAGTACTCGTATTCCAAAATCCTCCTATCTCAGCTTCGCTGAGCCCTGGTTGTGTTCAAGTAGTCACAGACTGTGACTACTTAAAAGCAACTGTGACTCACAGTTGCTTTTTTGCAGCTAGTTTATAAACCCGCGTAGAATGATTTTGGCGGGTCTATCCGTGTTGTCGGAACTTCGCGTTGGTATCTTATTGCTCCTAAGAACTGCGAACAGTTCGGGTGCCCCGAATAAACACTTGTAGTTGGGGTGTAGCATTCGCGCGAAGAAGTACGAGGTACGAGCTCATCATCGGGCGCTGGCAAGATGAAATGTCTGTAATCCAGAGGACGACGATCCAGATTACGACGCAAGTACGCGGGCGGCACTGCTGTCTACCTTGTTATCCAATAGGTCGAGGTGGTACAGATCCGCCTTCGTCACACTACATCCACGAGGGCTTACAGTCCTTGGTGACGAAGGGGACTGGAGAGCGCGACGCTGGTTTCTGGAGAGAAGGACTGGCGTATCATCATCATTGGTGAGTCGTACGCAGGGTGGCACGCTCGAGACACAGCGAGGGAAACTTGTGCCGAACGGTGAACGGATCGCCGTGTTGACTTGATTGCGACTGCAAGCTGCCTATACGCGGCTAATAGCCTCAGTTTGGCACCGTTGGATTGCGGCCACCACCAAACGTGGCGACGGCAGTGAAGAGCTTCAACATGTGTCATAAATTGCCGCCGTTCCGGTGGGCAGCCAATCAGAGCGAAGAGCAACCCCTCGTCGAAGTTGCCAGCAAATCAGCGCATTGCTGAAACCCGCGTCGATCCGCGGCGCCGTCCATCCTTCAGCGATGATATTGCGCAAGGCCAGCCACGTAAACGGCCCCAACCGACCTAGCTACCTTATTGCTGCAGTGCTTCCCGTACTGCTTGCAGCGCTGCTGAAGGCCACTCGATCGGCGCGCCGCGCAGAGCACACCATCCTTGTCAAGCCATTTCGGTAGTCAGCTAACCGTTATGCCGCGTCTCTGTATAACTGGAGCATACAAAAACCAATATGAACCGTCGAAAACGACCCGTTAGGTTTAGGTTAACCACCGATTTCTAACTGTTAGATATCCGCTGGCTCGGTCTCAGTGACTTTCGAGCAGCCATTCCCATTCCGCATTCCGCAATCTGCTTCAGGAAGCCACGAGCGACGGCTTGGCTTCGCTTCTCGGCAGCTATGAGCGACACCCTCTACGCGAGCGTGGGGCAGGACGACCTGGAGTGCAACGACGCCGCCGCCAGCCGCGTGTTCTCGCGCGGCCCGGACCACGATGAGCGCCGCGCGCTGGTCAAGAAGTTCGTGCTGGGCGCGCTGGTGGTGATGCCCTATCTGGTGCTGCTCGCGCTCTTCGCGGGCGTGGGCGCGCCCTCCACTGGCGCGCGTAGCAGTCCGGCGGTGGCGCTGTCCGACCTGGCCAACCAGACGCAGGTGGACCAGGTGTGCGCCGACCAGCGCCTGCAGAAGCTCGACATGCAGCGCAACGTGTACTACGACTCGTCGCTGCTGTCGCGCCCGCAGCGCTACGCGGCGCTGCAGCAGAAGGGCGCCACGCTCTGGTTCACGGGCCTCTCGGGCAGCGGCAAGAGCACGGTCGGGCGCGCGCTCGAGAAGGAGCTGCTGCACCGCCGCGTGCACACGTACCGCCTGGACGGCGACAACGTGCGCATCGGACTCAACCGCGACCTCGGCTTCTCTGAGACGGACCGCGCCGAGAGCGTGCGCCGCGTAGGCGAGATGTCCGCGCTCTTCTCCGAAGCCGGCGTCATCACGCTCGTGGCGCTCGTGTCCCCGTTCCGCGCGCGCCGCGATGAAGTGCGCGAGCTGCACAAGAAGATGGACATCCCGTTCTACGAGGTCTTCGTGGACGTGCCCGTGTCGGTGGCCGCGGACCGCGACGTCAAGGGCCTGTACAAGCGCGCCATGAAGGGCGAGATTAAGGACTTCACGGGCATCTCGTCGCCCTACGAGGAGCCGCTGAACCCGGAGATCCACCTCAACGCCTCCAGTCAGTCGCTGGACGACGAGGTCAAGATGATCCTGGACAAGCTGGAGGCTGAGGGACTGCTCACCGGCGTGGAGCAGCCTCCTAGTGGATATCCCGGTGTGGCTGTCGCGGACGGCGGCAACGCTGTCGCCACGTTCCCCACGCTGTTCCCGGACCAACCGAAAGCATCGCGCCCCGACAACTACGACGAGCTTCCTCGCGTGCTCCTTCGTGATGAGGACGTCCACTGGCTTCAGGTGATTGGAGAGGGCTGGGCTGCGCCTCTCCGCGGCTTCATGCGCGAGGGCGTGTACCTGCAGTCGCTGCACTTCAGCAGTGTGCTGTACGATTCGGACAACCTTACGGACAACCACTTGGCCCTCCACAAGCCTACCAACTTCTCGGAATACTCGAGCGAGTTCGTGTCCAAGGGCGAGCGCGTGAACATGCCTGTCCCCATCGTCCTCCCCATCAACGACGCAGCCAAGGAGCGCATTGGCAAGTCCAAGCAGGTTGTGCTGGTGAGTCCGTCTGGCGAAGAGTTGGCGCTGCTGAACGACCCAGAGGTGTATGACCACCGCAAGGAGGAGCGCATCACCCGCACCTTTGGCGCCATGGACAACGGCCACCCGTACATCGCGGAGATCCTGAAGTCGGGTGAGTTCCTGCTCGGTGGCGAGATTGAGCTGCTGTCCCGTATCAAGTACAACGACGACCTTGACCAGTACCGCCTGACCCCGACGGAGCTGCGCAAGCGCTTTGATGACATGGGAGCCGATGTCGTGCTGGCCTTCCAGACTAGAAACCCGACGCATGCTGGACACGCGTACCTGATGAACAACGCCCGTGAGCAGCTGATCGCGCAGGGCTACAAGAACCCAGTGTTGTGGCTCTCTCCTCTTGGCGGCTGGACGAAGGAGGACGATGTCCCGCTTGATGTGCGCGTCCGTCAGCACGAGGCAATTCTGCGCGACGGCATGCTGGACAAGGAGAGCACGGTTCTCGCTATCTGGCCGTCTCCGATGATCTACGCCGGACCTCGTGAGGTGCAGTGGCACGCCAAGAGCCGTAAGAACGCTGGCGCTAGCTTCTTCGTTGTCGGACGTGACCCCGCTGGTATCAAGCGCTCCGACGGCGACAAGGACGACATCTACGCTGGTGACCACGGCCGCTTTGTGCTTCACATGGCTCCTGGCATGGAGGACTTCAACATCTTGTCCTTCTCCAAGGTATACTACGACGTTCAGGACCACAAGATGAAGCCGATGGACAGCAGCCGCAAGCAGGACTTCCTCTCCATTTCGGGCTCGCGTATGCGTAAGATGGCGCGCGAGGGTCTTCAGAAGTGCGAGGGCGACAAGATCCCCGCTGGTTGGGAGGACAAGCCGACGTGTGTGCCTCAGGGTTTCATGGTCAAGTCTGGCTGGGACATCATGATCGACTACTACCAGAACATCGACAGCCCGCGTTGGATCCCGTTCGCGACGCAGTTCTCCAAGCCTGTCGTGGACACTTCGCGCTCGTTCTCGTCCGAGGGCACGTTCGGCCGCACCGACTACAAGCTCCACTTCAAGAACGACAAGGGCGAGAAGATTTCTCCGTGGCACGACATCCCGCTGCACCCGGCCGATTCCAAGGACAACAGCTCGTACAACTTCATCGTCGAGATCCCCAAGGGCATCGCGCACAAGATGGAGGTGAACAAGGAGGACCGGTACAACCCCATTATGCAGGACACGACCCACAACGGCACGCGCGGCCGCGACTACCTGTACGGCGTGCCTTTCTTCAACTACGGCCTGTTCCCGCAGACGTGGGAGGACCCGAGCGTGAAGGACGAGAACGGCAACGGCGGTGACAACGACCCGCTGGATGTGATCGAGATCGGCGCCAAGCAGCTGCCCATGGGCTCCGTGAACCCCGTGAAGATCCTGGGCAGCCTGGAGCTCGTCGACCAGGGCGAGGTGGACCACAAGATCGTCGTCATCGCCCTCGCCGATGAGGACGCCGACAAGATCAACAGCGTGAGCGACCTGCAGAGCGTGAAGCCCGGCGTGTTGGACGCTCTGGTGGACTGGCTCAAGAAGTACAAGATCCCGGAGGGCAAGTCGGAGAACGTCTTCTCGCAGGAGAAGCCGACGTCGGCCGAGGCCGCTGTCCAGATCGTGGCGGAGACGCACGAGCGGTGGCAGAAGCTCAAGGCAGGAGAGATTAGTGTCAAGGACGAGTTCTGGCTCAGCTAGGCCCGCCAACGGAGCCCCAAGCTCCTTGTTCGCGGACGTAGCTCAGCCTCATTGATTGATGAATAAATGCTCTGTTTGAATAGTTCGTTGGTGGAGAGTGGTTCGTGTTAGTTCATTTCTTCTTCGTGGCTTTGAACCTGTGCTGCTCCAAGTCGATGAAGTCGTCATCGTCGTCCTCTTCGCCCTCTTCGTCGTCATAGCCCTCTTCTTCGTCTTCTTGCTCGTCATCTTCCCCCTGCCCTTCCTCTGGCTTGGCATACTTGTGCTTGGACCTGGCCCTGCGGCTGGCCTTCTTGCGCCGCAGCCGCTCGATCTTCTCGCTGCGCTTGCTCAGCGCGCCGTTCACGTGGTCGTCCAGCTTCTGCAGCAGCAGCTTCCGCGCGGCGCGGCGGTTGCCGTCCAGCGAGCGCGTCTTCTGGCAGCGCACCTGCAGCCCCGTGGGCACGTGCGTCAGCAGCACGCAGTTGCGCACCTTGTTGATCTTCTGGCCGCCCTTGCCCGAGCCTTTCACGAACGACTCGTCCAGGTCGGCCTCGCGCAGCTCCACCTCGGCGCGCTGCTGCTTGGGCTTGACAGGGCCGTCGCTGGACGAGAAGAGGCTGGGGAAGAGCAGCGCATTGGGGGCTTGGAGAGGCGCCCAGCGACGCGCCACGCTGCTGGAGCTGGCTGCGGGGCGCAGCGTCGACAGCAAGCGCGTCAAGAGCATTGAGGCGCTCGCTCTGCCGACCGTTTATGGCCACACGCTCACTCGTCTCTTGTTCCAGGTATGGCGCAGCTTTGGCGGCGCTGGCATCGACGCTGGCATGGCTCCGTGCTGGCAGCGCTGCGCTCGTCTCGCTGGCCGGTGGAGGCGCTGGCGGATCGGCAGCAGCCCGCTCTCAGCCGCGTCTACGGCTGGATCATCGAGCACACGCGCCGCAGGGAGGCGAGTCACGCGCAGCGCGTCGCTCCTCGCCGCGTCCCCGTGCTGAGCGTGGGGAACGTGACGTTCGGAGCCACGGGCAAGACGCCGTTCGTGCAGTTCCTGGTCGACTACGTGCTCAAGAACGGCGGAGGAGACCGAGTGCCGCTGCTGCTCAGTCGCGGCTATGGCGACGACGAGTGGCGGATGCTGGCCAAGCAGTTCCCGAGGTGCGAATTGGCGCTGGGAGGTGATCGCTTGGCGGTGGGGAGGGCTAAGGTGAAGGAGCTCGGGGGAGACGCAGCACCTTTAAGCTGCGTGGTGCTGGACGATGGTCTGCAGCAGTGGAGACTGGTCAAGGACCTGGAGATCGTCATGGTGGACGCCTTGCATCCGCTGGGGAACGGACTGTTACTGCCGTGTGGAAGTCTGCGCGAGCTGCCACGTGAAGCCCTTGATCGAGCAGATGTGGTGGTTGTGCACCACGCGGATGCACTGGAGGAAGAGCAGACGCGGGCGTTGTTGACTGGTTTGCGGGCGCTGATGAATCCGCACCGGAGTCCGATTGTTGCCACCTCTCGGATGAAGGTGGTGAGGCTTGTTCCAGCTACTCAACTGCTGAGTGGAAGCAGAGGTGGTGATGCAGAGCGAGTGTGCTTGGATGGACGCGCTGCTCTTGTGGTGTGCGGCGTGGGCAACCCAGAGTCCGTCAAGTTGGTGGTGCAAAAGGTGGCTCGCTGGGCCCATACGGAGCTCAAAGCGTTCCCTGACCACCACGCATTCTGTGAGGGAGATGCCTCTGATGTTGTGAGCTGGGTGAGTGAGCTGGAAGCTGATGGGCATGCTGTGGTGGTTGTAACCACGGAGAAGGACTTCGCTCGATCGCCTGTTGTCATGGAAAGTCTCGCGGAGAGAGTGGATCTGCGGGCGCTTCAATGTGAACTCGAGTTGATGCACAATGGTGAACAGGTCAAGCAACGCATTGACTCCCTGCTTGGGTAAGAACGATCACACCCTGATAGCGGGATCAGCCACGATGAGAGACGACTTGACAAAGTGACAGGGGGGAGTTAAGTCATCCACGAATAGAGCAAGACAACGCACTCCATCCTATCAGTCCACGGCTTCATCGATAATTCTTGGACGATTCACGACGCTCATGGGATCTACGATAGCTGCATGGGGCTTGCAGCTCTTGCGCTTCTGGAAGCGGCTGCAAGTCAGTTATTACGGCGGCAAGTACTCGATTGATCGTGTGCTGGCACTGGAAGCCTACACGAAAAATACCTCGCTCCTGCGCGTATGTTTGGTATGCGTCGCGACCCCGATACCGATGATTGTGGTCGTTGTAGCACAAAAGTTGGTGCCTCTACAAAACCCCAGAGATGGCTGGAAGGCCAACTACGGCTTCTGGATTCGAGTGACGATGCTGATTTTCGTTGGAATTCCCCCACTGACTGTCCAGGCAACGTATTTCATTGATGGCATTCACATCTCGGCGTGTCGGCAGATTTTACTGTCACTTTGTGTATCATTGGGCGTGATCTCGTGCGCCTTGCTCATAGCAGCTCGCCTCATTTTCCCCATCCCGTTTTTCCTGGTGACGCTGACTCCAGTTCTCTACGTGGTGCTGCTGATCTCCTTCCGGCTTGTTGTGGGTAAACGAACGCTGGATCAAATGCTGGCGCGTCGGGACAAGCTGGCCCAGTTCGTGGCTTATATCTCTGCCAAGTTCATCCCCGTGTTCCTCTACCCAGCATACGAGTCACTTTTCCACCTTGCAGAGGGATCCCCTTACCAGCTTTTCGTCATTCTCCTCCTCCCGCTGATCAAGTTGGCGCTGAAGAACATCATGCTGCGCTGTACCGCCCACATGGAAGATATGACGCCCGAAGCAGTCATCTTCACTGTCGACTTCTTCAACGCGGTGTACATGGCCACATGCATGCAGAGCTCGTCTTCCGTTACCACGATCACCATTATCACGGCCACGGACTTGACCCAGACACTCATCATGCTGTACGGGCTTCACCGCCGCACGTCCACAATCCTTTCAAGGCTGAAACAGGTTACTAAAGCTTCATCTAAGGACGATGGGTTGCTCGTGGCTGTCTGCTCGTTATGTCGAGATCCTGAAAAGTTTGTGAAGCAAAGAAGCACTGGAATTCGCATACGCTCGTGCTTGCCGCACACTCTCTCCGAGGTGGATAACCACCTTCTTAAGCAATTTGACCCGTTAGCTGATGCGGTTATTCTACCCCCACGAACCAGCTCCTCAAACCGACGTCCGCGGTGCTTTTGCAGCCTCCGAAGCCAGAACAACAGCACAATTTATCCTGTACTCCCTATTCAGGTGAAAACCGCGCATGAGACTTTTACTGACGCGAACCACTTGGTATCGAAAACCTGCTCGAGCCGCACCATGTCTAGCAATCGCTCAAAGATTTTGGAAGAAACCCTGAAGGCTCTGTTCACGACGGAATGCCTCGTTATCTCGGCGTATTTGGAGAGTATCATTGAATCTCCCCAACGCGCGCTATCATTCCGAGATGGGACGGGTCTCTAGCGACAATGCGGTCTCTACCGTTCTACCGGTATTGACGTTCGGAATCTTGCAAGTGGCGTCTCTAGGGGTTCTCGTAGCAGTGATCAAACGTAATTGCGGGATGCGAGCGCTGCACCAGCTTGCATTTGTCTTGGAGACTCGAATGTGGCTGATCCAGGTGAAGTGGATATTCTGGACAGCATTGACTTTGTGCTTTCGCCTCGTGCATTTTGGTGCGTTGCCTCATTTACTTTGATTCCTGCCGTGGCGTACGTATGGGCTAACAAAACGGCGTAATCCATGTTGTAGGTGTGGACTTTACATTTGCATTTCTCCAGCATTTGGGATGAGTTGGAACCAGCAAAACATTGAGAAGTGGTGCTAAGTTATACACTCTGTCTCTTGTGTTCTTGAAAAGTAGTGTGCTTTTTGGATATGCACGTCACGATGCGCGCGTCGCAGGGTTGCTGTGCTTGAAAATAGCCGATCTCTCTTTTGCTATTCCTGTCACCAGGACTTCTGTCCAAAATACCAGCGGCACCTCCATGACGTGGAACACTTCCCCACTCTCTCAAGTCGAGGCGTAATACCCATGGACAAGCGCTGGAAGTCGACCATCAAGCCGGGAATGGGCAACCGCGCCAAGGCTGTAACTCTGCTGCTTCGAGTACGTCATGGATTTCACAGTTCAGCCCCCCCCCCCCCCTCATTCATTTCAAAAACTAACAGCATCTTTCTTCATGTTTTGTCAGGAGGAAGTGAAGAGTGACAAACGACAAGCGGTGGCGGACGCGCTGGCGGCCAAACTCACGGCCAAGTATGCCAAGCAGGACCCGGTGTTCGCCAATTCCATCACCAGTATGGCGAATCGTCTCTTGTTGCACTCGCAGAAGCGGGTCATGGAGGGGGACATTGTGGCGCTGGAAGCAGTGGTAAAGAAGATGAGTATGGAGCGGCAGAAGGGCAAGCAGCCAGGCAACAACAACGATGGCAAAGGAGGTAATGGTGGCGTAGGTGTCAACGGGGAGACAACTCGAAGTTCCGCAAGTGCCGGAGCTCAAATCGGAGCCAAGAGTCCACCCGCTAACTTGGACGCTCTCAAGGGACAAGACGAGTGGGTGCTGCTGAACGCCCTCACCCTCGTGGAGTTTGAGAGCGACCAGGAGAAAGAAAAAGCCAAATATATCGAGAAGAAGCGCATGCAGAAAGCCTGGCTGGACGCTCAGCAGCAGGAGAAGGCCAAGTGCCGCGACAGCGAGAAGAGGATGAACGACGAGGCCTTCCAGCACCAAGTGCAAGATCTGAGCAAGTGGAAGGAGCAGGAGAGCTCCAAGCTGCAACGCCAACACGAGAGCATCATGAAGGTGCGTCGAGAGCGCGACGAGCAGCTCAGGCAGCAGAAAATGGCTCTGGAGCAGCGTGAAGCGCAACGCAAACAGGACGAGGCAGCCGAGGTCGAGCGCGTGCAGGCCGAGCTCAAGTGGCTCGAGACTGACGCGCGTCGTCGTCGTGAGACTGAACACGCTCGAATGAAGAAGCTGCAGGCTGAAAACACCCTCGTCCAGCAACACAAGAGCCGCGTGAAGCTGCAGGAGCACCAGGAAGACGTCGAACTCATGGAGGCGTATGCTCGTCGATTGGCTCGTGAAGACGAGGAGCGTATGCGCAGACTGCAATCGAACCTCCAGCGTCGCGATCACCAGCAGATGGGGATCGCCGAGAGTTTGCAGGCTCAAATGAAGCAGAAGGCGCTGGACGACGAGCGTCGTGCCGAGGAATACCAGAAGAAGAAAGATGAGGCCGAGTTGCTCAAGCAGCAGGAGAAGCAGGCGGCGAAGCACAAAGAGGCTCTCGAGCGGCAGCAATTTCTGCTGGAACAGCGAGCCCATAAGAAGCAGCGAGAGCGTCAGGAAGTGGAGGACGATCTTACATTTGCGCGTCAGTATCACGCCGAGGGTCGAGCTGCTATTGAAGCGCAGCAGCGCCAGGCTCGCGGTGTGCGGCAGCGGAACAAGAGCTTCCAGGAGAAGCTCATGGTGCAAATGGCCGAGCAGAGGCAGGGCCAGCCCATGTCGCCGCTCCACTTGCCCCGCACACTCATGAACAGCCGAGAGAAGCACCTGAACGCCAAACTACTGCAGAAACTCGAGGATGCCGATATGGGCCAGAAGGTGCTGGAGAAGCTCAGCCCTGCGAAGGAAGCGCCGGTCATTAGCACGAGCTTCTACTGATCAGAGGTTCCAGCGCTTAAGTAATACTTGAAACTTGATATGACAGCTAAGCTTACACGTGCATTCGTGCTGCATGTACGGTAGAACGGCCAATTGATAATCATCAGGACGCCTACAAATGGCGCGAGTTCAAAGGAGACGTAAGTCAACTTCGTCACACTATACAGTAGACGTGAGCCACTCCCAAATGATCTCTTCTCAGCTCGAGAGTATTCGTGCTTACCAGGGGTCTTTCCATCGAGCGTTGACCCCTGCGAGATCTTGCAGTGGCCTCCTCCAAATTAACACCATGGATTTTGTTCATAAGTTTCTTCGGCTTGGGCTTCTTGCCCTGCGTCACCTCGGTCTCTCCACGATCTCGGTCGTCTCGCATTTCAATTCGGCTGGATCGCAAGCGAACAAGCACTCAGCTGCAGCAAAAATCTCCCTTCACGCCAATACAATGCATAAGAATCACGGTCCACCTGACAGCCCAACAATCTGGTCTCCCCTCACATGTACAATGGGGGCCACAAACCGTGCTTGGCCACCAGCTCGTTGTAGTACTGCACGTGCCTCTCGTCCAAAAACTTGCGCAGGAAGATCTCGCTGTACCGGAGCGGGATCTGCACGGCCTCGTCCCCATGACACTTTGCAGTCATAATTCTACTCCGCAAGTCGTCAATCACAGGCAAGTGCTCGGAGCAGAAGACCCCGTGGTATTTGTACGTGACGTTGTCGTCGTTGCAGTCCACAAAGTTGCACACTTGGGTGCGACTCGAAAGCTCGTTCTTGGACTTGTCCACCGCGTACTCGGCCGCTTTGTCTTGGTCAATGCGTCCAGCACTAGAACGGAGGTTAGGTGGCGGCGGCAAAAGAAATCTTGGGCGTAAGGGCTCACTCCGGGCTTCTTACAACCAGGGAAGGCGCACTTATGACGACGAATGGGTTCTGGAGTAGCGACCACAGGGACGGGAGCTGGTTGGGGGGGGGGCGGCTGAAGGGCGAGAGAGCTGCTCGAAGTGGGCCGCACACACCCGTCGCCGGTTGAACTCGAACTCGCCGGGCTTGGGGCAGTTGAAAAGCACGCATGGAGGAGTTGGAGGCAGGGGAGGGGTGCTGCTCATTGCTACGGATGGTTTTACGCTGCAAAAAAGGAGAGTTTAGGGTAATGACTATTGTGCTTTGCACGAACTTTGGCATGCGATTAAGGGCTCTAAACCAACGAGCAAATCCTTCCCGGTGATCATATCTCGCAGCCTAACTCTAAGTTTGAGGAGGTTCAGACTATGTTATGAGAGTGTCTGGAATGTCCTAAGCCAGGTGATCAGCGAGATGATTCCGGTGGCTGTACGTGGCGCCTCTGGTCGAGGTGCCTCTCTTGGTGTCCGCTGGAAGAGATCCAAACAGATAAGTAATCTTGTGCCTTGAACTATTGTCCTTGGATTTCCGCGTTCCCTTCGTGCTAGTGCTCGTAGTTGCCGGAGTCCAGCCTGTTGGAATGCTGCGACGCTGCTTGCAATGGTAACCTGGCCCCCATTGTGAACCACTTGGTTTCGTTGGGTCCATAGGACTGTCATGCATACTGTGCTCATAACCCACCATATCCGTTTCTATTCACGCGCGTAGTCGTCGGTCTGATCGGGAAACGCGATGCTAAATCGACGACGCAGGTCTGTTGTAAACGGTGGTGGTACTCGAGACGCGCAATTCGCCGTATACCGAAGAAGCTGCTGGCCATCACACCTTCGTCTACCCCAGCAGCTGATAAGATATTTCCAGCATGCTTGGGCGCCCGGACACTCCCAAAGTAGGTGCGTGAGTGTCTCCTTTCGGTGCTGACAGCTTTGAAGCTTGCGACAGCTTGCATCCATTTCACGGCCGTCGAAGAAGAGATTGAGTTGCTTCGTTGCCGCTCTGTAACTTACCCATACTTGATATTCCGTAATCGAATTCTTGTGAGCCCACAGTTGCTTCGGTGTTTGTTGCATAGCTCCGCGCTGCCATGGATCCGCCGCTACAGTTGTTTCCAAGCGTGCGACCACAGACCGTAGCTCGCGTCCTAGTTCTTGCTTGAACGCTTTGAATGGTAGTTTCTTGATTGCAGACAAGACATTGCAGTTTGACACAGTTTCCAAGGGAAGCGGTGGAACAAGGGGTGAGCTTGAAACACCAACCCTCTTCTACCCGCTGCTAATTCATCGTATTCGTCGGCCATCTTGGGTGTTGGGGTATACGCTTGTTGGATAGCCCAGTGAACGCCGTTCGGTTCTGGTTTTAGGATAAAATATCCTCCGTCGGTGCCGTCGGTTCCTTCTGGGACCCGTTCGACGAGTTTAGTGTCTAGGACTTTCCAATGGTAATGATAGTGCAGATTCGGTGGTTGCCGAAGCTCCACCGTTGACCGCACCTGCAGTTCCTCTGCGATATCTATCGGTGGGGACCCTGCTATAATAGCCAATGCCCACCGACACAATTTCGGAGCCGTATGATGCGTTGTTGCGTCCGACGTCAATGAAATCCGGAGCGTATACGCCGCCAGTCCTATTCGCTGAATGTGCAACTCCTGTAGCGTGCAAACGCGGGTCCGGTTATATTTCTTGGCTGTCAGCATGCCCCCGTTTGCTTCTCGAATCCATGGGTTACTGCTCCACTCATGTTGAAGGGCAACTTCAACCTGTACGCTACCGTCACTCCCGCAAGCAGAGCGTGCGGCTGTGCCAAGTGGGGCCCTGCCAGAGGCAGGGGCTGCTCCCACACGGCAAGATGCTCGTCTGCAAGGCCCACGCCGTGCTGCTGGAGGAGAAGGACCGATACAGGTATGTGGGCCAGAATGTCTTAGCTTCAGTCGACCACTCCCGTTGCCAACGAGGAAGTTCCTCGTAAAGCCTGATCTGCAGTGTATTATCGTCCCTCCAACAAATGGCCTGGTCGGCTAACCGGGCCAGGTCCCGTGTACCTTGCCTTAGTAAAGTCTCCTTCTCTTCCTGTGTGGGTTGAAGCCACCCGCCTAGCAGCTCTTGCATCCTTTTGCAAGGTGTCTTCGGATGTCGTCGCCCGGTTTCCGTAAGGGTTATTGTATTATCACTGTCGGCCTCCCCACCCCTGAATGTCCATGCTCGCCATGCTGCGGAATACGTATCCTCTTGCTGCATTAGCCAGAGCATCGCATGTTTCATTTTTTGAGATTTTACGGCCACCTCAATCGATACGAGCCCCACGCCTCCGGCGCCTCGTGGAGTGTACAGAAGTCCAGGATTGACCTTATGCCTGCTTGCTTCCGTTTCTATCGAATGGCGCCACAGGAATTGCTTCTGCAGGTGTCGAAGTTCCTTGCCTGCCCACGGTGGTATATCGAACGCTGCGGCCGTGAACAATATTGCTGGTAGCATGATCACATTGAGGATGGTTACCCGGTGATATACACTCGTAGCCATCTGCGCCGCCGTTGCTAATCTTCGTTTGATATTGCGGATCCGGTGGGCCCAGTTGTGACCCGATAGCTCCTGAGTTCCTACTTCGTAACCTAAGTAACGAGTAGTTTCTCCATGCCCGAGTACCGGTATTCCATATAGCTCATTCATCTCCACCGCCGTATTCAGAAACATTAACTTGCTTTTCGTGGGCTGGACACTTAGGCCCGACAGTGCTCCAAAGCGCCGAATTATATCCATCACCCACGGGAGCTGCTTGGCTTCTTGAAGGAACACCGTCGAGTCGTCCACAAAGGCCGAGAAGCGGTGCTCAGCATCCGGTTTGCCCGGTACGTTGATCCCCTGCAACTGTGAGTCCTGTGAGATAGCTAGCGCCAACACCTCTGCCGCGATCAAGAAAAGCAAAGGCGCCAGTGAACAGCCTTGGCGACTGCCTGATAGCACCTCTGTCGGCTGCGAGAGTTCCCCATTTACCAGAAAGCGAGCTGTAGTCCCATCATGCAGTCGTCGTAACATATCTACGAATTCTTTCGAAAAACCAAAGCGTAATAGCGATCCGTTTACTGTCACCAAATGCCTCCTGTAGGCGGAAGTGCCGTCCGAAGGCATCCGAGGGTACAGTGTCCATGGGCACCAAACCCTCTGTGACTGCGCTGAAGGAGAACTTAATTCTGGAGAGCTAGCTGCAGCTCCTCCCTCTCGAATGTCGAGGTGAAGCAGCTCTCCACAGCTGCCCAGTTGATTTGCCGGTCTGCCGCATAATACGCAGCTTTGTAACTCTCGATCTTGTCCAGGGCCGTAAGGTGACGCCGTACTTGAGTTGGTACGCCGTTCTCCACGTCATCTTCCGTACCAGTGATCGCGCGAATTTCGGGATCGTAGATAATGGCGCACAAGATATGTTGAGCGAGCTTGAGTGTATGGCCGAAATCGCATTGCTGGAGTAGCGAGTCATCACCGTACGCTCGCGAACGCATTCGCTTCCAGTCATCGCAGTTGTCAAACGGCGGGGCACGCTTTTCCTTTGTAGGTGGTTCCGCTAGCCGCTTAGTCCAATCATCAAGCCATGTGTGGATCGACTTGTCGGTAGTCCGACCACGATACTGGATTAAACCCGCTAACATACAATCTTTCCGCCAGGCCGTAGTCCATGCTATTAGAACATCATCACTCACAGCTTGCAGCACGTCGGTTGCAAACGGAAACCGTGCAACAAGTCGGATCAGTCGTCGTGGTTCCAGTTCGGCTGCTCGTTGCCACTTATCGTTGTTGCTCGTGGCCAACGGGAACGGCGTCTGTGCTCCTTCCGCCCACTCCGGAGCCAAGAATTTCCAGTGGTGTTCCCAGTCCGGTCTCGCGACGACTGGCGCTGACAATTAAACGGGTTCTGTCACTTCACGCTTTCTTTTTTTCCGCCCGACTGCGGTAGGTTTGGCACTGTACAATGCGCCGAGTTTGTTTGTCACAGCGAGAGCAGAACGGTGATCCCTCTTTTGCATTATCTTCTTGGATCTGTGCCTCAGCTTCTTCTGCTGCTGCCTGTACGGTTTCCGCCGGCTTGGTTTGCTGCTGACCCTGTCACCGGATGGGACGTAGGCCTCGTCATGAGGATCCGTGGCGCTACCTGTTGATTTCTCACTATGGTCCTGTATCTGATCTCGTTCTCGGTCCAGCGCTCCTTCCTTGATCTCCCGCACATGGGTTTGCCATTGCTTCAACGCTACTAAAGGCACTTGGTGCCGCTGAAGGAATTCCCGAACGGTTGGGCTCGCTTCGTCCTCCAGGGCGGCGCTCAGGAGACGGTTTTGCTCTTATACTGAAAGTTTCGAGACGGTATTGACTAGGAATCCCAAGAGTTCATGGTATCGATCTGCCTCTGCTACCCGTAAATATGTTGAATTTCACACTTGAGCTCGTGTGGTATCGTCATGCCTTGCAGCCGGTGGTGCAGTTCATCTAGCGAGCCACCCCATTCGTCCGGATTCCATGGCTCCGCTGTGGCTTCGGCTTGCGATCGCGACGACCCGTCCTCGCGACCGGGAATCCTCTCTGTATCCTCCATTTCAAAATCTTCCGTCTTCGTCCCCTCCCGCTTCCCTACATCTGTGCCTTGTGGCTGTACGTGCACGAACGCCGAGTAGTGACGCCCCCAAAATCGTAGGACTAGTGGTGCTGCGTGTGCTTTCAGCTTGTCCTCCCGAATACGTTGGACGCAATCCTGGACTGTCAGCATAACCTGTTGACCGGTTTCGGAGACCTTTTTGAATCGCGTCCGCGAGCTTGGTCTATACATCACGCAGTTCCACGCTTGGTCACCTTGCGTGTTGTGCGCGAATACATAGATTGATCGTTTGAGAAAGTTTACTGCCATCGCCATCAGGTCACTGCCACCCCAGTTGAACCCTTCAACCATGGTGTCTCTGTCAGAAGCACTTCCAGCGTACTCCTCCAAGTACCACTTAAACTGCTTCTTGGAATCACCTGGCGGCATGTTTTCCCACCCTCGCTGCACATTCACTAATGTCAATGTCCTTGCGTAGTGATCGAACTGGTCACTCATATGAAGCTGTCCTGCGTGTTTGATGCCTCGCTTGATTGAGGTGGTTGCCTTAGTCAGAACGTCGTCATGAGCGGCGAGATCGTGGTTGGCTACTGCTTGCACGATAGCGATCGCCATGCAATTGCCCGTCGATGGTGTCGTCACCTCACGTATATGCAGTAGCCGTTCGACCACTTCAACGTTGTCAATCGTGGTGGGGACCACCGCATCCCATGGAATGTTGAGGAGTTGCTTTGGTAGCAGCGGTTCCACCACAGTTAGTAGCTCCTGGCGTTCACGCTGTTTTAAAGCCACTAGTTGCGGGGCTGTCGGCACCGCCGGCGGCGTGCGTCTCACTATGTGCAACAGGCTCTTTTCATCTTTGGTAAGATCCTTATAGAGACGCTCTTTTGGGGTTTCTTGCGACGATCCCGATGAGATATCGATGATTTCCTGGTGTTGATCTGCCGGTGGCTCGATTCCAGCGTTCCTATCCTCCTCGTCATCTTCCTCATCTTCGTCCTCAGCTAGGACGTCATATCGCGAGTGCGCTGGCCTTATTTTCTGGTCCAGGGCTGCCTTGTGGGCGAACAAGGTCCGTCCTTCTTTCAGCTTGACTGTTACCCATTTGGGTTGAGGCTTGGGCGTAGGTGCCTGCTGTTGCTGGCTGGCTTCTTCTCGGTGGTGATCTCCTTTCGGCTCTCCTGCCTGATCGGACGCCGGTTCGAGATCTCGCTGCGGTCTTCCGAGCTCCACATCGTGGCCATTCGCCGTCGGACTCACGGCTTCTTCCTCTGCTCGTTCCGCTTGCTGGTGCAGGCGCAAACGTTTTGCTGCTGCCTCCTTCATTTCCTTCATGCTGCCGTACGGATTGGCTAGGTCCACGAGATTGATCACCTACTCTTCACAAGCCACCAGTCCTCCTTGCCCTCTTAATTGGTCGTCCGTGTAGTTGCACCGCGCGAGAGTGTGTCCTAGCTGCCCGCAACGTAGACACTACAGGCGACGACCTACAGCCGGGTGCTTGATCACAATGCTTGCCCCAAATCAAATGATTCGTTGGATTCCCCGCTGGAATTCTGGGCATCCTGCTAATTTGAATGTTACTTTCCACAATGTAGAAGTGCGAGAGTTCGGCGTGCAGGCATCCAGATCCTCGAAGTCGATTTCGACCTGACTGTGCTTTTTAAAAAAGGCTGTCAGTCGTCCGATGTCCATGAAGCGCGTGATGTTTTATAGACGGACTTCGTATTCCGTTGGCGGACTCATACTAACACCAGCGCGTCCTAACTGGCGCTCCCACGGGGTTCCGCGGTCGGGCCCGTGTACGTTCATCAAGCGGTACACTCTTCCTTTGAACGGCACTGGTGTCAGTGCATGCCTCGCAGCTGTCGCGCGATCAAAAAAGAAGAAATGGATTGACTTCTTGACTCTGTTGAAGCTTATCGTTTTGGTTTGACTTAGCAACCCATGCAGCTCCGTCAAATTCACATTAGCCCGCTCGGCTGCGAGCAGAATGTCTTCTTGGAGCGCACGTGTGTGCTGGCGGCTTACGCGCACGCCCGTATAGCCGTTCAAAACAAACATGAGCTCCCCTTCAACCTGCGCTTGAATCGTGCTGTACAGACGCAGCCGCTCTTGAGAGTCTAGAATACTTCTGATGAAATCCGGCAGACGCCTGCTGACAATGCTGCCTTCTGCTAGACCTTGAATGATTTTCCATTCATCATCGGAGCCCTCGCGCAGCTGGTGCTGCGCCCTGCCGGGTTCTCTTCGCGTGCATATTCCCTTGAAGCGTTCGATGTCATTGCTTGAGTACTTGCCTGGATTAAACATGAACACTGGGAATGCCTGGGGGTCCTCGCTTGTCGCTGGAGCTGAAGAGCGATCGGACCCTTGCTTCACCTTTGCCGCCCACTGGTTGAGCACTGGCGCTCTTGCCCACCGAACCTTACTGAGGACGCTTTGCAAGATCGTGGTAAGGTTCCAGCTTGTATTGTATAGATCTCGGCTGATCACTGTCGCGTATGTGGTCCATTCGGTGTAGGATCCCTGACCCGTAACACACACCGCTTCGAATACCTTGAGCATACAGGACGCTTCATCTCCTTTGAGCTTGGGGTAGCGCTGCTTTCCAGGCGGTATACGCTCCGTTTTCACCTCAACCGTCTTGAAAACCGTTGCGAATAAATCAGCCACGGTCAACTTCCACGCTTCCGGCGGCGCTACTTCCGGTGAAGCTCTCATGTCGTTCACTAACGCGTCGAAGATTTCTTCTGGTTGGACGTTCAGACCTCCCTCGATGGGTGACCACTCGGGATGATGTCCCGCTTTCTCGTTCTTCGGCCACACAGCCTGGGGCATCTACGCTGCTGCCGGTCTCTGGTTCTTGTCGTTCTGGCTTCTCGCCCCGCGCTTGACTGGGAGCGTCGTCCTCTGTCCGCTCGTAAGCCTCTTCCTGTGAAGGCGGCGTTTCCGCGACGATCGAATCCATCTCCTCCGAGTCTGCGTCGCCGAGCGCCTGGTCATCTCGGCGGGGCTTCCCTGGGTCCGGTGGCTTGCCGTTGTCGGGCGGATCCCCATGCATGGGCGATCCCATGTTTTTGTATGTAAAGCCAGTGCCGTGCGCACACTTTGCTTCCAATCCCTCCAGCTGGTACACTGTGCTGTCGGGGCCTCGCCTCTGCTCTGCTAAATTGAAAGTGGCCTAACTCTAAGTTAAAGTTAAGCTAATCAACTGCCAGTACCAAGCACATCGCAGTGCAAGAACGGAGCGGCTGCCACTGCAAGAATAAATCGGTTGTCGCTGCAAGAAAACAAACTGATAAGGTCCCTGATAGAATGGCGCCAACTCCTTGCATAATAGTAAGCACCGATTTCGGCGGGGACGTTTTCTTTCGCTCTCTTCGTCGTGGCCTTGCGCGTTAAACCAAGCTCGAATTTCAGAGCACGGCATATATTAGCAGTAGAAAATTTCTTCTAGAAATGTTTTGTAGTGCAGGAAACGCTGACTTTAAAGCTGCTTGCAGCTCCTCGATATAAAAACAGGGATGCTTTTCAATATTGTAGACGTAGTTTAGTACGATAGATCGCCAACGCATGTCAATCATCGACTAGAAAGCAATCATACAAAGCGAGCGAGTTAGAATTAAAATGTCAGGGCCGTAGTATTGTCGGATTTACTCCAGCCATTCAACGAAAGTGAGCACATAACTCAACGTTAACTCGTTGTCTTAGCAGCTATTCTATCTTAAATCGACGAGTTAGCCTCCTACCTCAATGATGGGCTAATCACCGTGATTTGCTAAAACAACGAATTACGCACAATACATTTTGAGTCAGCATTTTTCTTACAACTTCGATGATCCCCTTTCTGTATTTCTCTGAGAGTAGGGCGTTGTATTGAGTAGGTATATCATAATAATAGTTGGCTGTGTTTCGATCTCGTACGCCCTCGATCATGCTTTTCATGGCAAATTGACCCTATTTTTACTCTCACTCACGACAGCGCTTTCAAGCGCGTTTGGCGTAATGGCCACTCACACTGCTCCGACGCTGGGGCTTACCGTGCAGTCCATTTCCTGGTGCAATCGGGCCGTCAACTGGACGAAGAAGCTGGTTCAAGCATGGTATAAGTTGCAGGTGAGCCATCGAGGGGGGAAGTATTCACTGGAGAGGCTGCTGGCGCTGGAGGAATACGCTCGAACTACCTCGCTGTCTCGAGTCCTTATCGTACGCCGCTGCCTATTACGTTTGTGGTTCTCGTACAAGAATTGATTCCACTGCAGAAACCGAGCGAGGGCCCGCTTGCCAACTACGGCTTCTGGATCCGAGTAGCTCTCTTGACTGGCGTCGTCGCTCACACTGCAGCAATACACGCACAATTTCTCGTGGACCGAATTAATTTCTCGAGACGACAGCTTTTACTTAATTTTTGCTGCGTTGGCGTCACGTTTTCAGTAACGATGATGGGGATCTCATGTGCAGTGGGGTTTCCTATTGCCTTCATTTTGGTGACAGCTCTTCCTGTATTCTACTTCATCCTGCTGGTTTCGCTTCGGATAACCGCGGGTTGGCGCTTTTTCGAGGACATGGCGAAAGACAGGGTTCAACTGTTAAAATATGTCTCCTTTATTGTCATTCAGGGCCTGATGGTCATCGTATATCGAGCCTACCAGACACTGCTTACTATTGTGATCGACACGCGCTATGAAATCCCCGTGATCCTGTTTCTGCCTTGTATCAAGATGATGATGAAGTATTTATTGTCGATTGGGACCACCCACGTAGAAGACTTAATGCCCGAGTCTGTCATCTTCACGGCGGAATTCTTCAACTCTCTTTACGTGGCCACATTCATGCAAAGAACTACGTCTCCTGTCACGCTCGTTACGATGGCGACGTTTGATATTTGCCAAGGAGTCATCCATCTGTACAATTTCTACCGCCGCGTAAGTTAAATCCGCGCTCGACTCGATGAAGTGCTAGGACAAACTACTTCGCACAGTTTGCTGGGATTGATCAGGTCACTCTGCGACAACACGGACACGTACAGAACTCAGACGAAAGCAAGAGTAAAAATACGCTCGGTTCTCCAGTACCAACTTTCCGACGCGCTAAAAACGCTGCTGGATACACTAGCGGCCACTCCGTGCAACAAATCTGCGGGTTTTAGAAGTGGATATCGTGTTAAGCCCGTGAGGCGGCACACGGATACCGCATCAACAAGTTTCAATGCAATCGGCAGTATAACACCAAAGGTTAATCCTTTTGGACGGTCAAAGCGCTCAGCATAGATTCAACCACTCGAAGAAGCCAACGCCAGCTTTAGCAATTCAACGAGAGGAGCTGGGTCGCGAAGGAGCATTCACAGCAAGGAATCGCTCGTTTTACGTGGCACGCTTGAAGCCGTTTTCAGTACCGAATGCCAAATTCTGCCGGAGTACTTGGAATCGTTAATTCCGGTATTTTACTGCTGCATGGTTTTGACAATCATCCGCCTCCCGAACGCGCAGTATCCCATGGACCTCGACGGTGTGACGGTGGATAACGCACTTGCATCCATACACGGTGTGCTTACTCTGGCGCTGGTAAAAATAATTTATTTCGTAATTTACGTTGCAGTTCTTCACCATGGCTGCGGATTGTCGGCTCTGCATCAACTCGCATTTGTGCACGAGACCCAGATGCTGCTGGTTCAAGATAAAATCGCTATTTGGGTATTGGCGACTTTCGCATTTCGGGTAGTTCACTTCGGTACGTGATTCGTTGTGTGGTGCGTTTTCGTTTGGATCTAACATTCATGACGTCAAATGCTCGCAATTAGGGGTCGATTTTACCTTTAAGTTTTCCTGGCTCAATTCCTGATCGTTTGCCATTGATTCAAAAGTATTTACTTCAGAGAAGTAGTTAAAAAAACTTACTGACCTACACTAGGAATCAAGAAAAAGTCGTTTCTCCTTCTGTATCTTATAGAAGTCTGGTTTACCCAATTCCTAAGAATAATAGTCGAAGTGGGTTAACAATAGGTCCTTGTGCATTGCTGACTCAGATTCAGATTTATAATTACTTCAGTAGTAGAAAGAAAACTTCCGACAACCACTCGAGCAATGTCTTCGCAGCAGCGAATACTCCCTGAACCAACAGACACGCGGGATTCGAGTCACGGCAAGCACAGTTGCTTCAGACAGGTAGCGTTAGCGTTAATGGATTCGTGGCTTTCCGTCCAAGTGAGTCACTACGGCGGCAAATACTCACTTGAACGCGCATTGGCCCTCGAAGAGCAGATTCAGCGGACGTTTTTTTCTCGAGTGCTCTTAACGGTTGCGTGAGCACCTGCCCCAGTCATTCTGCTGGTGTTGTATCAAGAATGCGTCCCCCTCCAAAACCCTGCAGAAGGCTGGAGAGCTAACTACGGGTTCTGGATTCGTGTTATCATTCAAGGGAGCGTAATAACGTGGTCGGCATCAATTCATGCAGCGTTTTTTCTCGGTGAGACTTCTCTTTCGAATTCAAGGCTTGTGCTTTGCTCTATCTGCGCTGGGATTGTGTATACGGGTGTAGCGTTGGGAATTGCTGCAAATTGGCTCTTTCCTATTCAATTCCTACACCTGCTGCTGATGCCCGCGACACCAGTTCTACTTGTGCTCGTTTTTGGTGCCGCTATTGGGTTCAACAGATTTCGATTATTAATAGCAACTTCACGTACAGCTCAGCTTCACCAGCTTGGAAAAATGTTCGCCGTGCAGCTCCTGATGACGATCTGTATGAAATAGCGTTCCGCTATGTTAGCGGCTCTGTGCTGGAGCTGCCTGTGGTTTTGCTCCTGTCGCTCGTCAAAATCGCAATGAAGAACCTCATAACTTTCAATGTGTGGCATATGGAAGACCGTGTGCCCGAAGAAGTAATCTTCAATGTCGAGTTTTTCAATGCGGCGTACATGGCCGCGTGTCTTCGTCTGTCACAACTGTACTTGGAGTCATGGCGGTTGACATGGTCGGCACCGTCATCGAGTTGCGCTGCTTACACCAACGAACTCGACGTATTTTCGCTCGCTACTGCAGCTCGAGTGATGTTAGCCAAGAACTTCCAACACAAGTACGAACATGGGCTCAGCATACGACTCCACATGCAATTCGCGGTGTTATTCAAGTGATGTCGTCCTGTCCTCACCGCGTATCAGATAGAGGGAAGGCTCTTCTTGAAAATTTGCAGATTTTTCCCGATGACCCAACGGGGCTCGAACTAAATACACCCGAACAACCGACTCACCATTGTACGCACAGAGCGACACCATGTAGGTGCGATATACGCCGAGCAGTCCCCGTGCATCCAGCATCAATGGCGAAGGATTTTCTGCGTCGAATAAGTGCCCGCCATTCGAAGCAACAGGACGGAAATTCGCTCAGGGAGCCGTTAGAATTGCTGTTCACTTCCGAGTGCCTCGTGTTGACCGAGTACCTGAAGACTATTGTTCCTCTGATGTACATATGTATGGCTGTGGCATTTTCATGATTCCTGCCGCACAATATCATTCCGAGATGGAAGGCATCACTCTGAGCAACGTGTATGGCAAGTTATTGGGAGTTTTTGCCTACGGGCTACTGGAGCTGGGATCTTTCGTCGCGCTAGCCGTTGTTCTACGGCGAAACTGCGGTATCAGTGCCCTTTATCAACTCGGATTCGTACTCGAGACGCAGATGCCTCTGGTTCAGGCCAAATTTCCACTCTGGGTCGTCATGCTGCTGGCTTGTCGAGTGGCTCACTTCGGTGCGTTGGCACGCGCTGAGCAAAATATTCGAAAGAAAAGCTCATGAAAACTTGATTTCGTATGTGTGCATTGGTCAAATTGCAGGTGTTGACTTCACTTTTCAGTTTGCATGGGCATCCGATACCAGTAACTAGAATCCGAGATAACGTTATGATAGCAAATAAAAGTACATGAACCTATGAATATGACATGGTGATCAACCAACCACGCAAGCGTCCGAAAGCCAGAGATATTTTTGTTTCAGTGGGAAAAGCACCATCACCGGATGTGCGGGCCGTGTGAGATTCCCTGCAACCCTCGACTTCCCACGTGAACTGTGGGTGACACGAATCCGTGCCTAGCGACCAGCTCATTATAGTACACAACGTGTCCCTCATCCAGGAACTTCCGGAGGAAAATCTCGTTGTACCGCAATGGGATCTGGATCGCTTCGTCTCCGTGGCACTTGGCCATCATGATGCGGTTGCGGATGTCGCCGATGACCGGCAGGTGCTGCGCGCAGAAGACGCCGTGGTATTTCTGCGCCACGCTCGTGCTGGAGCAGCCCACATAGCTGCAGACCCGCGTCTGACTCGCCGCGGAGTGCAGCGCGTAGTCCTGAGCGTTGCGTTTGTCCACGAATCGCTCCTTGTGGAGCAGCAGCAGCGAGTGGTCTTTGCACACTTTGAGGCCGCCCGACAGCTGTTGCCGTTCCTCGTGCAGTGGCCGATTTGACAGAGCTGCACGACGCGTCCGCCGTTGTTGACCCTCGTGCGCGGCGGGAGCCTCTGGCCGGCCACGTGTGCGTCAAGCACTAGCAGCCGCGTGAAGTGCTCCCGGCAGAAATAGTCGCGGCCATGCGCGCACAGGCCGCTCTTCTTGCAGCCACGGAAGGCGCACGTGTCGCTCTTCTCCGCCTGAAGTTGTGGGCGGCTTTCCGGCGGTGGGAGGGGTGGAGCTGGCGGTGCTGGAGGTTGCGAGAGCTGCTGCAGGTGCGCGCCGCACACGTTGCGCCCGTTGAAGAGGAACTCGCCTGCGTACGGGCAGTTGAACATCGAGCAGAAGGGGAGCGGCGTCCAGGCTGGCGGCGCGTACATCGATAGATGCGCCGATGGTGAATTTGTATGTGTTTTGCCTAGTTAAGCAATCTTTCAGCGGTCTTCTGTCCTCCCGCAACTCCAACAAGTTGGTCGCCCACAATTCCCACCACGGGTGCGACATATCCATGCTTGGCCACAAGTGAGTTGTAGAAGTGCACATGGCCCTTGTCCAGGAACTTGCGCAGGAAGATTTCGTTGTACCTCAGCGGGATCTGTACCTCGAAATCTCCGTCGCTCTTGGCGGCCATTATCTTACCCCGCAGGTCGTCGATCACCGGCAAATGGCCGGCGCAGAAGAAGCCTCGGTACTTTGCCGTCACTTTGTCTCGGTCGCACCCTACGTAGTTGCATACTGGCATCGCTAAGTGGCTTGCACACTTTCCTCTGATGTAGTCCCTTCGAACCAGGAATGCAGCTTGGCTCTGGTCCACGAACTGGTCCTTCTCCCTTAGTAGCCGCGCGTGGTCCTTGCATACAAACTTCTCGTCCACCGTTGTTCGACCTTTCTTCTTACAGAGCCCGACCTGGCACAAACGCACCAAGTTCCCATGGACGTTGACGCGTTCTCGAACCGGCAGAGCTTGGCCCACCACGTGCGCGGTCAGCTCCATGACGTGCGTCTTGTGGCGCTTGCAGTAGAACTCTTGGCCATGGGCGCGCGCCCCTTGCTTGCTGCAGTTCGGGAACGAACACTTTCTGTGGACTTGGCGGTGACGTTCGCGGCCGCGTGGAGAAGAAACCGTTGGCGGTGCTGTACGGACAACTCAGCTCATCGAAGTGGGCTCTGCAGACGTAGCGGTAGTTGTATTGGAGAGCGCCAGGCCGGGAACAGTTGAGCAGCTCGCACGGAGGAGCTACCTGAAGAGGAGGCGGAAGCGGGGTGTTGTTCATCTTTTGGTCAGTTTTACCACAACCAATCATTGCTTCTATGTCAGTAAGAAGCAGTGATTGGTTGTGATAAAACTTTTCGCGAGGAGTCATTTATCCGTTTTAACCGTTTTATAGTTTAACATGTAAAAACGTTGCAACCGAAATTGTCACGTGAGAGTTAGAAATGCCAAAAGTAACATGTAAAGTCAAAAAAGGTTTAAACGCATAATTTAAGCATCGGGAGTAGAATCCTCAGTGAGCTCAAATCCAGCTGCCTTCCAACGCAGCAACCGCCTTGAAGGTTCTGCGGGGCGGGTTCAGCGGCTCCGTTGCGAGTTCCTTGGCTTTCTGGTGCACAGCTTTGTTTTTTTTTCAAGTTCTCCCAGCTTCTCCTGAACCCTCAGTCCATAGTCCGGGTCCGCCTTGCAGAAGTTGGCAATGGCGCGAGCTTGCACTGGTTTGGACGCGTTGACCAGCGATCCGGCAATGTTGTCCGTGAGCCGCTCACGTGCCGCGGTGTCCAGCGTCTTACGGTAGAAGTCCCCACTTGGGAGAAGTTGTCGTCGTCCGCCGTCGAGAACTTGTCCACCACCGAGTGATCCCCTTGGTACGCGTGGTAGCGCAATGCGGGGCTTTCAACAGGTCCGCCGACGCTGTTAGGGAAGTAGTTGGGCGCGTCGTTCATGTTGCCGTCGACCGTCATGAAGCCGTCGCGCTGGTAGGTCCGCAGCTCGTTGAGGGGTTTATTCACTGGGATCTGCTGGTAGTTTGGTCCGAGTCGGTGCCGCTGCGTGTCCGGGTACGAGAACAGTCGTCCCTGCAGCATTTTGTCGGGCGAGGGCTCAATACCGGGCACCATGTGCGACGGCGAGAACGCGAGCTGCTCCACCTCGGCAAAGTAGTTCTTCGGGTTGCGGTTCAGCACCGGTCGGTTTGGTGCTCCTGCAGCGGATACGCGCTGTGCGGCCAGACCTTGGTGACGTCGAAGGGGTTCACGCTCTCCTTGGCCGCTTGCTCGGGCGTCATCGTAGCGTCCAGGTGGGGAAGTCCTAGCGCTCGATGGGGGTGTACAGGTCGCGGATGGCGTAGTCCGGGTCGGAGCTCGCGAGAGCGGCAGCTTCGTCCACTGGCAGGTTGCGGATGCCCTGGTCCGTCTTGAAGTGATATTTGACGTAGGTAACCTCTCCCTGGGCGTTCACGTTGACGTACGTGTGGCTGCCGTAGCCGTTCATGTGGCGGAAGCCGTCCGGGATGCCGCGGTCCGAGAAGAGGAAGGTCTGCTGGTGCAACGTCTCCGGACGCAGCGAGAAGAAGTCCCACATCATGGTATCCTTGAGGTGCGTGCTGGGCAGGCGCTTCTGCGTGTGGATGAAGCTCGGGAAGAGGATCGGGTCGCGGATGAAGAAGATGGGCGTGTTGTTGCCCACGAGGTCCCAGTTGCCCTCCTCCGTATAGAGCTTGATGGCGAAGCCGCGCGGGTCTCGCACCGTGTCGGCGCTGCCCAGTTCCCCTCCGATGGTCGAGAAGCGGACGGCCACGGGCGTGCACTTGCCCACGGAGGAGAACAGCTTGGCGCGCGAGTACTTGGTGGCCGTCTCGTGCGTGACCTCGAAGTAGCCGAAGGCGCCGGCGCCCTTGGCGTGCACGACGCGCTCAGGGATCCGCTCCCGGTCGAAGTGCGCGAGGTGGTCCAGCAGAGCGAAGTCCTGCAGCACGATGGGGCCGCGCGGGCCAGCTGTGGCCGAAGCGGTGAGCCCAGAGGGAGGTAAGGGGGCTCCGTTGCTCGTGGTGGCGACTGGCGGGGCAGCGGGAGCCATGATTTGAGTTGAAGTTGAAGTTGGTGGAGTGTTGGTCGTAGTGTTGGTCGCTTGACGAGGACGCCGCAAATTGAAGTGAACGATCCCGGAGGCGAAGTCATCGGCCATCAGAGCTAACAGGACCCCTTACGTGGGTGCATTGCCAGCCTTGTCGTACCCCCGGAATACAGCGACATGATAATTCCTTGTCCGACCTGGTCTCATCTTAGCTGAGCAAGAGCTTCTCATCCCTCTATTGATGAGGCTTGATGAGTATTTGCGATTGGTGCCGTTGTCTTACCTCCACGAGAACTTGAAGGTGAAGTCCACCCCTTTAGCATCAGAGATGTTAGCGAAGAAAACATGGAAAATGGTGCGAAATTCCTGCTAATCTTTCTTACCGAAATGCGTGACTCGGAAGGCCAGCATCATCATCACCCAGAGCGCGAATTTGGCTTGCACTAGCGGCATCTGAGTCTCGAGAACGAAGGCCAACTGGTACAGCGCCCGGATGCCGCTGTTGCGTCGGATGATGGTGGCCAACACGCCAAACAATATCAACTCCAGCAGACCGTAGGCGAAAATGCCCAAGACCTTGCTCCAAACGTTGTTGAGCGTGATACCGTGCATCTCGGAGTGGTAGTGAGCGCTGGGGAGGTGCACCAACACCAAGACGTCAAAGCCGTATTATACATGAACGGGATTATTGTCTCCATATACTCGGTCAAAATCAAGCACTCGGAGGTGAAGAGCAGCTCGAGCGGCTCACTGAGCGTGTTGAAGTTCTCGTGCATGCGCGAATGGAAGCTGCCGTGAGAAAGTGTCCGACACTCGTCGAGAGTGGGGGACGTAATTGGCTGGACGCGGGTACCAGCACACACGCTCCATCTGCACAATTACATCCATGTCTTCTGTGCGATATCCGCCGAGCGGATAGCCGAATCACGGAGAGGCGGCTGTAGCTTCTCAACCAGAACTCTCGCGTCTGCTGATAGCTGGTACGGTATGCAGGATAGCACTTGAACTCGTCCCTTAACTTGGGCTCGGAGCTTCTTCAAACTCGTCCGTTGAGCCCAATTCCGGACTGACGTGACTAGGCTGCCCTTGCTATCGCTAGCTGCATCCTTGCGGGTATATCGGCCCAGTATGTTGTATGTGCGCTGATACAGTTCTCTCAATTCGATCACGGAGTCAGCAGCATCGATCGCCATGATTACTAGGATAGTCGTCGCTGATGAAGCGGCCTGCATACTTGTGGCCAAGAAAACTGCGCCGAAGAAGTCGACGTTAAAAATGACTTCTTCGGTCCATCTGCGTGATCGTGACTCGCAGCAGGTTCTTCAGGGCGAGCTTGATGATAGACAGTAGAGTCGCTTGCCCACTTGGTATGCTGGATAAACGACAATCATCAGAAGCTGGACGCCGAACATTTTTTTGAGTTGCTTCAGCTTGGCTGACTGCAATGATACGTGCTGAAATACGCTTCTTCCTATGGCAATGCGAAAGCACCCCACTACCACGACCGAAATGCGGTGCAAGGATCATGTGCAAGAACGGAGTAGGGAACACCCAGTTCGCAGCAATTGCCAAGGCGATACCAACGTAGATGACTGCCATAGTAAGTGTATACAGAGCAAGCTGTCGATGAGAAAGAGCAGCTCCGTCGAGGAGGTGGCCGATGTGAATCGCTGAAGCAAATGCGATGACTGCTCCCTGAACGGCGACGCGAACCCAAAAGCCATAGTTGGCCTGCCAGCCTTCATCGGGACGCTGCAGAGGGACACTTTCTTGGCAGAAAACCACCAGCTCGGAAGCGACGGTGGTATCTAGCTCGTTACTTTACTTTAGTAGTTTAACGTGGCTTATACAGGCCTCAACCTTTGAAACTGAAGAAAACCACCGCAACAATCGGCGCTGGGGTGCCGACACTAACCAGCACAACACGAGAAAAGGGCGTGCGCTCGATGTACTCCTCGAGTGCCAGCAACCGCTCCACAGAATACTTGCCGCCGTAGTGACTGAGTTGGGTAGAGAACCTGATATCCGTCAGGTATCCGTCAGCTTTGTGGCCCAAGTCTCGAAAAGTCTGCGCTTGCGTCCTTTTGTACGGTGTCGTGCCGGATCATGGAGAACGGGGGGCAGCGGTGATATCATTTACTGGTGCTGCATTTGTTCGATGTCTCACAAGTAAACCTACACTAACTTATCGTAAACGGTTTTAGGTGAGTAAACCAACGAATAATGAATATGGTCAATGCCGAAGATAAGCTTAGATCAAGTGCTACACACAGATACGAAAGTGAACTTGTCTTTTCAAAAGCAGAGCAGCACGTCAAATCCAGTTGCTACCAATCTTAAGGCTCCATCACTGGCGTGAACACGTCGAAGAAGCTCTCCCCAAGCCAATACGCCGTCAAGTTCGAGTACAACGCGTCGCCCTCCTCCCAGTTCACAGCATCGTTCACATCACCAGAGCCCGAGTACTTCGCCACCGACGGATACGGATAAGCCGGACGCGTGCGGTAGAGCGTGCTGGACGACCCGGACGTCGAGCTGGAGCCGCTCTCCTCCGTGGACGTCATGATCTCGTGTGGAGCCGATCCAGCCTCCACCCAGTCCAACATCGGGGTCAGCAGGTCAAACGACGTCATGCCTTCGCCGCTTCCACAGTGCCACACACCGGGGAAGAGGTACATGCGGTTGAAGTCCTGGTCGGCGTCAGCGCCCATGTTGTCGATCAGCTTCTCGTGATACTGGATCGTCGTGCGCGGAGAAATGTGCTGGTCAGCCCAGCCGTGCCAGAGAATCAACTTGCCTCCAGCCTCACGGAAGGCGGAGAGGTCGGGGCTCACAGAGTCGAGGAACGGGTGGTGCGGCTTGAGCAGTTCAATGGTCGAATTGGCAAACACCAAGTCCTGTAGTGTGTAGTTTGCTCCAGGGGCATCCTTGAAGATGAGGTAGCGAAGCGTTGACAGAGCCATCGCCTCGCTTGGAACGCTCCCTCCATCGGTGGCGAGCACTCCAACGTCGATCCATCCGTTCTCAGAGCCGAACTGCATCTCACCAACGGTCAAGTGCTCGCCGCTGGCCTCGTCGATAGGACCAGAGTAGAAGTTGATGGCCACGTGGGTCTCAGCCGCGGTGAGGCATGTGGAATTGTCGGCGTCGTCAGCGCATTGAATTGTACGAGGATCAAACGAACAGATGCGAGGGTCAGTGGGGAGACCGTCCTCCACGCCGTCCAGGGAATTGCATGCAGCCACCACGCCATCGTGAAGAATAGGAACTCGCGACGGGTTCAAGATGGGCTCGTTGTTCTCGTCCAGGTTACTCAAAGCGTCCCAAGCGTGGTGGAAGCTGTTCTGGAACTGGAACAGGAACGCAGGGGCACCAGCCACGATGCCGTTGAAGTCTTCCGGATAGCGGAGTGCCGACATGACAGCCTCGCGGCCGCCGTCCGAGCACCCGTTGAAGTACGCGTACTTCTGCTCCTGGCCGTAGTACTGCTTGATGAGCGTCTTGGCGACCTCTGCAGTGCTGTGCACGGCCAAGTAGGCGAAGTCGATGAAGGCGTCTTCGTTTAATGCGAAGGACCCATCGGTGGTGCCGTCCATGTCGGTTGTCGCCATCGCAAAGTGTCCATTCTCGTATTGGTCGGAGCCCTCCGCTGCTACGACCGAGAGAGAGAGACCATCGACGGGCCACACAACCCGTCACAACCTGCTTGCAGATAGCGTTGCGTCCAGGTCGAAATGGGCAGCTGCATCATCCACTTAGCCTGTGGGGGCAGGTAGCCTTCCACGTAGCAATAGGACACGCCGTCCACCTCCGTTTCAGTCGCCTCCGTGATGTTGGTGCCGGCGCCACCGATGGACGTGAGATCCACGGACAAGAGATCCGAGCCAGAGTCGGAGCTCTTGGTCGAAGAGGCCGTTGTTTGCGACGAAGTCTCGGTAGTCGAGGTGCCGGTGGAAGTGGCATCTGCACACTCGTCCGCGAAGACGGTGCACTGCGCGAGCAATGTCGCTACGATGAGAGACGCGTAGAAGACCTTCATGGGCTGGGCTCTCGTGCTGGTGTTGCTTGATCTTCTGGTGCGCGATGCAAGGAGAAAGGAAGAATGAACCGGGCTCCATATTGGCTCAACAGGACTGCTCGCGCGCGTGCCATCGATGAGCGAGGCCTTAGCGCGCCGGTCGTAGCAGGGAACTGTGCGCACCCACGGGGTCAACCAAGCATGCTGCAACCACGTACATGTACGTGAAGGCACGCCCGGCGCAAAATCAGTTCGAGTTCATCACACTCAAGCGAGTTGAGCCCCGTGCACTTCTCTCTTTGATTCGAGGCTTGAATCAGCGGGCTGCGCGAAGATAGTTTTCTTTGAGAGGGGATCGATGACTTTGCTGCTGGTGCTCGGTGTCTCGTTGCAGTCACGTGTACATGTACTTGATTCTTGCGCTTTTTGGCCTGCACAACGCGTTGAGCTTGAAGTCGGTTGATGTTCATCCGATTGGCGAAAGATGATGAATTGGACACTATGATCAACCTTGGTGCAATTCTTGATCTGTCATTCGCAAAGTACGCAAATCGAGTCAAACTCACAACACTATCCTTGCATGAACGAACCTCTCACGACTGTATGACTTTTAGGAAGCTAAAGACTGCAAATGAAAACAAACGCTACCGTTGAGAGGGTCAATCTAAAAGAGGAGGGACCTGCGGGCCACCCACCTGCTCTACCATGCGCATAGTTTACTCGTCGGCAGCCTTGGTCTCCTCCAGCTCCTTGAACATGGCGATGGCCTCCTCGAGGGTCTTGGTACCCGTCACCTTGTTGTCGCGCGTGCGGATGTTCACCGAGCGTGTCTCCTTCTCGTGGGCGCCCACCACAAGGATGAAGTTGTAGTGAGCCATCTGGCCCTCGCGGATCTTCTTGTTCAGCGTCTTGCCCGTGTCATCGATGTCCACGTCGAAGCCGGCGCGGAACATAGCGTCCTTGACCTCGTAACCGTAGTCCACGAAGGCAGCGCCCACCGTGACGATGAGGACCTGGCGGGGCGACAGCCAGAAGGGGAACTTGCCGGCGTAGTGCTCCACCAGCACGGCGACAAATCGCTCCAGCGAGCCGTAGATGGCACGGTGGATAATCACCGGGCGCTTGAAGTTGTCCGCGTCGTCCGTGCGGTACTTCAGGTTGAAGCGGATGGGCAGCTGGAAGTCGAGCTGCACCGTGGCGCACTGGTGCTGGCGCTTTAGCGCATCCGTGATCATGATGTCGATCTTGGGGCCGTAGAAAGCGCCGTCACCGGGGTTGACCACCCACTTGCCGGCACCCACGAACTCGTCCAGAGCCTCGGCGAGCTGCGACTCAGCACGCTCCCACTGATCCAGCTCGCCCATGGCCTTCTCGGGGCGCGTCGACAGCTCCAGGTTGAACTCAATGCCGAAGACGTCGTACACGTACTTCATGAAGGACAGGAAGTCCAGCACCTCCTTCTTGATCTGGTCGTCACGGCAGAAAATATGGGCATCGTCCTGCTGGAAGCGACGCACACGCGTCAGACCCGTCAGGGCACCGCTCAGCTCGTTGCGGTGCAGCACGCCGCAGTCCGCGTAACGGATGGGCAGCTCACGGTACGAGCGCTGGCGGAAGTCGAACATGAGCGAGGCGGCGGGGCAGTTCATGGGCTTGAGCGCGTACTCTTGGCCCTCCACGTCGAACACGAACATGTTCTCCTTGTAGTGCTTGGCGTGGCCCGAGATGTTCCAGAGCTCCATGTTGAAGATGTTAGGCGTGATCACCTCCGTGTATCCGCGCGCGCGGTACTGCTCCCGGATGAACTTGAGCAGCTTGAAGTAGATGGCCGAGCCGTGCGGCAGCCAGAAGCCGCTGCCGGGGCTCAGCGAGTGGAAGAAGAAGAGCTCCTCGCTCACGCCGAGACGACGGTGGTCGCGCTTGGCGGCCTCAGCCTGGAAGTGCTTCCACTCTTTCATCTTGTTCTTGTCCGGGAACGAGATACCGTAGACGCGCTGCAGCGTGTCGTTGGTGGTCTTGCCCAGCCAGTGCGAGCTCGAGGCGCGCGTGACGGCCAGCGCCTTGATCTTGCCCGTGTGGGGCACGTGCGGGCCGCGGCACAGGTCGATGAGCGGGCCGCAGCGGTAGGCCGTGGTCTTGCCGCCGTCCGGGATCTTGGTCGAGATGATCTGCGTCTTGAAGACGTTGTCGGCGAACATCTCGAGGGCCTCCTCCTTGGTGAGCACGATGCGCTCGAACTTCTGCTTGTCCTTGACCACCTTCTGGCAGGCCTTCTCGATGACGCTCAGGTCGCTCTCGGGGACCGTCTCGGTGCCCATGTACGAGTCGTAGTAGAAGCCGCCCTCGACGGGGGGGCCGATGGTCAGGTGCGCGCCCTTGAGCGTCTCGAGGCTCTCGCCCAGGATGTGCGCGCTCGAGTGCCAGAAGACCATGCGGCCCTCCTGGTCGTCGAACTTGAGCAGCTCGAGCTTGCAGTCGCCGATGAGCGGGCGGAACACGTCCCAGAGCTCGGACGAGTCGGCCACGGCGCCGCAGCAGGCCTCGCCGGCCTTGTCGCTGGCCTCGTTGCCGTCCACGTCGGCGGCCGTGACGCTGAACGGGTCCTCGGGCTTGCCGCGGTACGTCACGCGGGCCACGACGACCTGGTCGGCCAGGCCCTGCGAGATCTCGAGCGCCACGTCCAGGGGCGTCGTCTGCCAGGCCACGCCCTCCTTCACGGCGCCGTCGGGCAGCGTGATCTTGATGGGCGTCTGCTTGGCGGCCAGCGCCTCGAGCTGCGCCTTCTGGCCGGCCATGATGCGGTCGTACACGGCCACGCGCGCCGCCACGAAGGGCGGGTTGGGCGTCAGCGTGAACGGGCCGCCGATCTTGGCCTCGCTGGCCGCGCCCGTCACCTTGGGGCCGCTCTCCTTGGTCAGGCGCGTCTGCACGCGCGCGGGCTCGCTGCTCATGCTGCTCGCTCTCTCTCTCTCTCTCTCTCTCTCTTGGGCTCTGGGTGGGGGACGGCGCAAAAGCGGAAATGCCCAGCAGCGACTGGATCGCACAGCGGGTGTACCTGGCGGGAGCTCGCAACAGAGCTACAATATAGGTTTTGACAGGTTTGAGTGTGGGTCATACCCTTTGTAGAGAAGGACCGTGGAATTTTCGACCACGTACAGTTTACGTGCGCAAGTTGGACCTATGTGTTCGCATTTGGTTCTAGAGGTACTGGAGGACTGGTGCAATTTCAGAGCGGCCGCCACGTACACACGTCATGTAAGCGAAAAGAAGCGAGCGGGCCAAGCGATGTCCCAAGGGGGCAGACCTCCAGCAATCACGGAGACGAAGGAGCTTGGCCCCACCAGGAGAAGTTTCCAAGCAGAAATGCTGGGGCCGCGTGCGTGGCGCGGCGTGGCTTTCATTCAGTCTATCATTCTCTACAGAGCCCAACACCGGGCAAAGCGAAGTGAAGGTCAATCGGAATCCGCGGCCAACAAGACTGTGGGTCGTCGTTGGGTGCTGCTTGGGAGGGGAGGCAGGCAGGCGGGTGCTTGCTGCAGCCACACTGGCCGCCCGTCCGTGTCGTTGCGATTGTCTTCTTCTTCCTATGTACTGGCGTGGGGTCTGGACGTTTGCTGGTCGACTGCACTACAGCGACGCGAGCGCGAGCTGAGCCTGGAGCTGGCGGACCTTCTCCTTCAGCTGCAGGTTCTCGCTGCGCACGCCCGCGAGCTCCGAGTGTGCCGAGCGCAGCTCACCGTTGAGCTCCTCCTGCAGCGACTGGAACGACGCCAACGTGTCGAACATCTTCTCGCGCCGGGCCTCCAGCTCGAGCACGCGCGCGCGCAGCTGCTCTTTGTCCATGGCTTCCGTGATGATCCGCGTGAAGATGCTGAAGATGTCCGACTCATCTGTGTAGTTGCACAAACACAACACGTTAGCACGTAGATCAGAGCACAATAAGGCACTGGCGATTGGAGTGGCCAAGTGGGGACACGCACCATTCGCGTAGTCGTTGTCGACGATGTTGACAAGGTAGTACGTGTCGAAGATGTGCTGGATAACCTCGCGAGAGCGCGAGTCCGCAGGGTAGGCCGACGCCCACTGCGTCTGCCACAGCTCGAACGCCTCGTCCTTCCAGGCAGCGAACGAGTCCGAGTCCACAACCGTTGGCTGCACGATCTCAGTGCCGGGGAAGACCCCCCACGTGACGGCCGTGACACTGTGCAACGGAGTGTTGCGGTGCTCGTCGCCTTTGCGGTTGAGCGCGTGGAAGGACAGCTGCGGGTAGTCGCGGCGCATGACCTTCACGAGGTGGGCCATCTTCTCGGGGGAAACGAAGAACTCCACGTAAGCCTTCTGGAACACCACGCCGTCGTCACCACCCCAGCCGACGGACGGGTCGCTGGAGGGAGCGCCGTTCACGCGCGGCTGACTGTTAATGGTCAAGAAGCCGTTCGAGTTGAGCCACTGGAGGTTCTCGCGGATGGCAGCACTCTCGAGCGACAGCGCCTGCTCGCACCACGGCAGCTGCTTCACGTGGCCGTCAATGAAGCGAACGAACACGTTCCACACATCCTGCTCAGTCTGCGGGGTGCCCCACAGGTCAGCGCGCTGGAGCTTCGGGCGCTTGAAGGCGAGGTAGTACTCCGACAGCTCTCCGTAGGCCGGACTCGTGCGGTCTCCCCATCGTCCGTTGGGGAACTCGTCCCACGCCGCAGTACGCGCGATGTAACTAGCTTGGCGGTTGGACCAGAAAATGGGGCGCACCTGTTCACCTTCAGCCGTCGACCGTTGCAGCGTGGACTGCCACGGCAACTCGCGCTGGTTGCGCGCGGGGAGCATCTTGAGGCCCTCCAGCACCTGCGTCACGGTCGTGGCCAGGTTCATCGTGTAGAAGTGCAGCGAGTTGACGCCAGCCGCCAGCAGGCGCTGGCACGTCTCCACCGCAAGCTGCGTGCCGTAGCGGCGCACCGCGGCATCGTCGTTCTTGATGGCGTCCAGGGCAGTGAGCACGCTCTCGGGCACGCGGGTCTTGCACCAGCTCGTGAACTTGCAGAAGGAGCTGTAGTTCTGGATCGGCAGGTAGCCGGGCAGGATGGGGATGGTGATGCCGGCGTCCTTGCAGTCCCCGATCCACTGGATCATGTTGTCCACGTCGAAGAAGAACTGCGTGATGATGAAGTCTGCTCCGGCGTCCTGCTTGGCCTTGAGGCGCTGCAGGTCCAGCGCGCGCGCCTCGTTGGAGGGCGGCAGGTCCGGGTGGTTCCACGACTCGGTGTGCACCTCCGCGTAGCCCGCGCAGGCGATGCAGAAGTAGTCACCGTGCTCCTCGCGGATGAGCTTGATGAGGTCCACGGCGTTGCTGAGCCCGCCCTCCACGGGCGCCCAGCGCTCGGCGCCGATGGGCGGGTCTCCGCGCAGCGCCAGGATGTTGCGGATGCCGGCGGCGCGCGCGTTCTTGAGGATGCGCTTGAGCTGCTCCGTGGGCAAGTGGCACGTGAGGTGCAGCAGTACGTCCAGCTGGAACTCGTTCTGGATGTGGGCGCCGATGCGCAGCCACAGCGCCTCGTCCTTGAAGGCCGAGCGCCACGTGAGCGTCACGAACGTCGGCTGCAGCGCCAGCCCCATCTCCTCCACGCGCGTCAGCAGGTTGAACACGCCCGCGTTCGTCTTGGCGGGGAAGAACTCGAAGGACACGGTGGGGCGCGCAGACGCGTCGTCCGCGCGCGCCGCGTACGCGCTGCCGATCGACTCGATGATCTTGCCCATGGGCTCCCTTCCCTGTCAAACGCGTAAATGGCTTGCAGCCACCGCCCTGCACCGAGAGAAAGTGGCGCGAAGGTTGCGTGAGTATTTGACATGTGGTGTGGTGGACACCACGCACAACATCGCATATGTTGAAGCTGTTTGCGCTCGTATTTTGTGTTGGCGTTGCTATCCGTCGTAGTTGCAGATGAAGCTGTTGCTTGTTAGCTAGAACAATACATTACCAAACTGGTCATGCAGCAGCATCTGTAGCGAATCTATGGGGGCGCCAAGCATGCGAGGGTAATGTCAGCCACCATGGTATCCTAAAAACTCACAGGCACGACAACTCACTCACCTGATAGTTCGTAGACTGACGAGATCTTGCTGTCGAAGAAGACGTACATCTCGCGGTGCGAAGTCTCCGACTTCTTGGCGAGCACCCAGCCAGCGTGGCGCGTGCGGATGCAGATTTCGCGGTTGCCTGCGCTCGAACACCGGTGTAACTCGGCGTGCAATTCGTTGACTATCGCCATCGTGGAAGATGGAAAGTAGTGCGCCAGCAACTTTGCAGGCACCGGGAAGAGATCGTCGTCCTTGCTTTTGAGCAGCCGCGGCACCTGTTGCATTCTGAACGCCAGGTTGACGCGGTTGATGTACAGGAAAGGCGGCATCGGATGAATGTTTGGCGCACTACAAGAGCATTGGCATGTTAGTCTCAGTCAAAATATTCCATAACATCCACAAGCAATAGGGATGCATACTTCTTCTTGGGGGCGAAGGTGGCGTTGTATCGCGAGAAAACGAGCTCAGCCAGGCTCTGAAACCGCTGCTGGCCGTCAAGATAATTTTCCAAACGCTCAAGGGTGCCGGCATGGATGCCTTTCGAGTCTGTTTCAGTTGCACCGACCATCATCGCCTCGGTACGCAAGACAATAACCATCGTGAGGTCCGCTTCGTGCCACACCACAACTCGATGACCTGCTCTCTGCTCGATATCAACATTGGGATCGTGACTGGAAGAGATTGAAGCATCGAGCGGAAAGATAAACGGACTCCATACTGCCTCTGTTTCACTGGGTACCCCCGTTTCAGGTATCCTGGCTCGGTTTGCAAGTTGTAGCTTGGAAAAGCAGCCATTCTTCAGCAATAGCCCAGCGTTGCGGAAGGCGATGGAGCGAGCTCGCGCCTTGATGGCACTTTTCGAGCTGCTCGGGCTTGCCCCGGTACTCCGCGGTGGGGCTAACCGTGACGATGCCGCGGGTGAATGCGACGGTGACCCAAACGGTGAAGAGTCAGCGGCAAGAGTAGAGGAGGTGGGAGCTCCACCTGATAAAGGCGGCACTCCTGAAAAAAATGTTGATAATGAGACCGGGTGTTGCTTATGCAGTGACCGGGCTGCTCGGCGCAAGTGAGGCGGTCCGTCTTGTGAGTGAGCGACTGCGTCGCATTCCGCATACGAGAGCTTACTTGACCAAACAGGGAGGAAAGTGTCATCGTACGCGTTGGACATCCACAGTTGAGAGCTATCCGTATCCGGCGTGTTTCGTGAGTATGGTTCATCAAAAGCTTGGGCGTCATCACGAAGCATGGTCATCCCGCGCTCTTCGCGAAGTCGAAGGAAGTTATACAGCATGTGCATTGTAGTGGTTTCCATAGAGCTCCACAAAAGATTCCCCTTGAAAAACAGCGCCGCTTCCTCAGTGCTTGTATCTGAAAGCTCCAATTCGGCTTGTAGACCGTTGACGAAGGTCTGAAGCGCCAGAAACGTGGGCTGATCCATCGGGAAGTAGCCAAGACCCTGCAGCTCGGAGAACCCACTCGCCCCGCGAACATCCAGGGCTTGCAGCAACGTGGGGAAGAAATCGGCACACTTTTTCTGAAGTCTCGCTGCTGGAGACCGAGCTAACAACAGCTCGAGTTTTGCTTCCACTGCTTGCGCTTCTTCTAGTAGCTGCGTCATCGCAGCAGTGCTCTCTGTTCCGCCCTCGTCGGGAGCACCAAACGACTGGTTATGGGAATGTGAATCGAGTGCAATGCGAAGCTTCCGCAATCGTTTTCGCGTCGCAGCAATGTCCATCAGGAGATCCATCCCGTCCATGTACTTCCGCATCTCCAACGGGACCTCACCCTTGTCGGGTGCGTTGTCAAAACCTGCACCTTGTCGCGCAGGTGCAGGAGAAAGTAAGCGCAGATTGCTACAAACAGAGATAGCATCGAGTTATCACTGACAATTGTCATGGGTAACAAAATGCAGTGCAGCATTCTCACCTGTCGATGCTCCCGTGGAACAGTCGGAACATGCCGTACATCTCTCGGAGCAGAGCTTTATACCCCGGCCCGTGGTCTTTCTGCCCGCGCGAAAGCAGGAAAACAGTTAGCACTATGGCACTATACACACTCCAGACAGCAACTTGTTGGGGCGGTACACACCATTTCAACTGTCGGATGCACACCCTGCAGCAGAAGCGCACAAACTGTCAGCCCCTCAACTTCACCAACTCCAACATCGTCCAGGGTAGGGTATCCACCCTACCAGCGCCATGAAGATCTGCGGCTCCACCTCGAGGACGAAGAACCTCCTCCTGGACAGCGTCACGCTCGCCCACTCCGGCGTCCACTGGGCGGCGCTCGTCTCGGCCTCGTCGTCTTGGCTGCGGCGGCGCAGCATCCGCACGAACGTCAGCAGTCCCTGCGCCAGGTGCAGCCGCTGCAGCAGCCTCTCCTCCCCGTGGTGCCCGTCCTCCTCCTGCGCGTACAGTACGCGCGCGCAGAGCTCGTCTTCCGCCGCCTGCTCGTCGTCCGAGCCCAGCGCCTCGTGCCACAGCAGCAGCATCTTCAAACAGGAAATGGGCATCGAATTGGGCTCTACTGTATCCATAAGACCCATTAATCCATTGTGTTCACTTGACTAAAGTATGGGTAGCACCAAATCATGTACTCAAATTTCCATGGCCATCACTTCCGAAGCAGACCGAGACTATAATGGGCAAGAAGCGCGTGGACCGAGGCCCGCCGTCGCGCAAGGAGCGCGGCCGCGGCAAAGGGGCGGGCGCCGCGCCTGCGCGCGGAGAGGAGGAGAGCGAGACGAACTTCCGGCGCCGCGCGTTCCCCGTGACGCTGCGCATGTGGGACTTCCAGCAGTGCGACTCGAAGCGCTGCACGGGGCGCAAGCTCTGCCGCCTGGGCTACATCAAGAGCATGAAGCCGGGCGCGCACTTCCGCGGGCTCGTGCTGTCCCCCGCGGGCGAGAGCATCGTGTCCCCGGCCGACAGGGGCATCGTGGAGGGCACGGGCATCTCGGTGATCGACTGCAGCTGGGCCAAGGTGCAGGAGCTGCCCTACAAGCAGCTGCGCTCGGGCGTGCACCGCCTGCTGCCGTTCCTCGTGGCCGCCAACTCGGTCAACTACGGCCGGCCGCACAAGCTCTCGTGCGCCGAGGCCATCGCCGCCACGCTCTACATCGTGGGGCTCAAGGACGAGGCCGTGCAGCTCATGGACGAGTTCTCGTGGGGCGCCGAGTTCCTCAAGATCAACGCCGACTGCCTCGAGGCCTACGCGGCCTGCGAGGACAGCGCCCAAGTGGTGGCGGCCCAGGAGGCCTACTTGGCGGCCTGCCAGGCGGAGAACGAGCAGCGGCTGCAGCGCATGATGCTGCCCAGTCTGGAGAGCGACGATGACGTCGACGAAGAAGAGAGCGAAGAGGAGGAGGAACCGGAGCTCGACCGCTTCGGGAACATCATCCCTCGCGAGAAGCCCGCGGCTGTGGTAGCTGAGGAAGAGGCTGCTGCTGAGGAGGAGGAGGAAGAGGAGGCGCCGACCAAGGAGCAGCAACTCTACAAGAGCAAGACGTACGCGTATCAAAGCGAGCAGCCCGACTCGGACGAGGAGATGGCCAGCTTGACCAAGAACTTGCACGTGGCAGCGGACTCGGTCAAGAAGACCCACGAGATGCGCGAGGAGATGCGGAATGCCCGTGCTCTTGATGGGGACAAGGAGACCTACGCCTTCTCTTCCATGGAGGACGTGCACCAGCAGCAGGTGGCGACGGTGTGTCTAGAGCGAACCGCCGTGGCTGTGTCTGGCGATGCAGTGCTGCAGATGCCCGAGTCAGTTTACCACCAGTGGGCCAAGGATTCCGAGAAGCAGCCGTCGAACGAGGACTCAAAGCCTTAACGCTAGTAGAGAGGACTGCGCGCGTGTGCTTCTGTTGGTAGGCCTAGAGAGGGCACCACAGGTGTGTTCCTGCTTTTCAGGGTGTAAGACAATGTATACAGACTGGCTAACGGGGTCTTTCATTTGCTTCTAGCACATGCCTAGGGAACTAATCCAGCGACTCTACTGCTAGGCTCCAGCGTTAGAAGTTATGCCTTCGTCGGCGTGTATGGGTTGAAGACGTCCTCGCCCAGCCAGGAGCGGGTCTTCTTCGTGTAAAGCGGCTTGCCCTTCTCGAAGTTCGCAGCGTCGTTCACGTCGCCCGTGCCCTTGTATTTGGCCACTGCGGGGTACGGATACACGGGGCGAGTCACGGTCGTAGCTGCCGATCCGGATCCAGACGCTTCCGTCTGCAGCATGCGCCTCGAAGGGGGGCCCGAGGGGGGCTTTCCACTGCCGGATTCCGACTTGGCCCATTGGCCGAACTTGCTCTCGCCGGTGTTGGTTGGTGTGCTTGTTTCAATGGCGCCAGGGGCAGTGTTGGACTCCACCCACTCGAGCATGGGGGTCACGAGGTCGATAGCGGAGGGGCCCTCACCATTTCCGCAGTGATACACACCAGGTAGCAGGTACAGACGCTCGAACTCGTTCAGTGTGGCCTCGCCCATGTGCTTCTGCAAGGCTTCGTGGTAGGCGATCGTCGTTCGCGGGGAAATGTGCGGGTCGGCCCAGCCGTGCCACAGAATGAGCTTGCCGCCAGCCTTGTGGAATTCGAGAGGTCGGAGCTCACGGCGTCGAGCAGGTGGTGACGCGATCGCAGCAGGTCGATGGTGGAGTTGGCGAACTTGAAGTCGCTCAGGGTGTAGTTGTCGCCCGGGTACTCCTCAAAGATCAGGTACTTGATGGCGGCAAGCGCAGTGTTGGTGCTCATGATGTCGCCGTCGTACGTTTCGGACACGAAGACACCGGACCACGCCAGCTCCGAGCCGTACTGCTCTTCTCCGACCGTCAGGTATTTGCGACTGTGCGCGTCCACGGGTCAGCCTCCACTTCAGCTGAGGTGAGGCACGGCACGTGGAGTTGTCAGTGGCGTCTTTCGCGCACTGAATCGTCGACGGGTCAAAGTCGCAGAGTCTCGGGTCCGATAGCAAGCCGTCTTCGATGCCGTCCAGCGAGTCGCATGCTTTGATAACAGCATCGTGAAGAATCGAAGCTCGGTCAGCGATGACAACGCGGTTTCCTTCGTCGTCAGTGTTGCTAACCGAAAGCCAACCGTGGTGGAAACTGTTCTGGAACGTGAAGAGCATGGCGGGCGCCCCGGCAATGATTCCGTCGAAGTCGTCCGGATAGCGGATCGCCTCCATGACAGCCTCGCGGCCACCGTCCGAGCAACCGTTGAAGTACGAGTACGCCGCCTCCTGATCGTGGTAGGCCTGGATGAGCTTCTTGGCCGTCTGCGCGGTCTGGTGGACAGCCTGATGCGCGAAAGCCGCACGTTTCTCCTCGTTGAGACCGAACTCTCCGTCGGATCCGCCCGCCATGTCCGTGGATGCCAGCACAAACTCGCCGTTGGTGACCTCGACAGATCCGTCCGAGCTCCCGGCTGTAGGCTGATCTGGCCACACAGCCCTCCGCACCCGACTTGCATGTACCGCTGCGTCCAATTCGCAACGGGAAGCATGACCTGCCAGCCAGCAGTGGACGTGAATTCACCTTCGACCGAGCAGTAGGTGATGCCGTTACTGTCGGTCTCTTTGGCAGTGGTGACGTTGCCGCCAATAGCGGTCATGTCGACGGCCAACAGATCCGAGCATGCCGCCACAGGCGCCACGGGTGCCAGACTCGTTGGCTCGGTGGACTGTTGAACGGTTGACGACGATGTCTGCGTGGTGGGAGATGTCGTCTTCGTGGCCGCAGTGGTTTTCAGGCTCAAGTCGGACTTGAAGTCGATCGCGATCGCGACAGCGAGGGTAGCCGCAGTGAGCACCAACGTGGCCGCAGAAGCTCGGTGGAGTTTCATTCTTTCCTGTCTTCCCACTGGGAAGTTCCCAGACGAGCTGCGCTTGAGACGTAAATTCAGGAATAACGAGGATTGAACGAAGATTGAACGAAGATTGAAGCCGTTATGAACGAACAGCACTCTACCGGCACGGTGCCGCGACTATCCTTCGCAAATCCAACGATTAATGAACACGACCAGAGCACGGTTGCTGCCATGCGGTACTGTGTACACTGTACTGTACACTGTACGCTGTGCACTGACTTTTTAGCGTAAGCCCCTTCGTGTTCGTGTTGATGCCACCAATCTGCGCTGAATTCGAAATGCTGAAGTCGGGCGCTCAATCACGAACGCCCGGCTCCTTTCATCTAGAACCCAACTGTCAAGCCGTTGGGTCGTTACAGTTAGTGCATTTGCATTGCAGCCTTTGCTGAGCCACTTTGAAGCAAGAGCATGGCATCTCGCACGTTTTGCAGCTCAAGTAGACTGGCCGAGGCGTCTTCGAGCAGTTTACCCAACTGGTCGTGTAATTCGCATCGCTCAACCTTCCACTGCTGCTTCACGGCTTCGATTTCAGCCGCCATCTCCATGCTGAGCATTCTCAATAGCACGGTTACGATTCCTTGAATGCGCTCGAGGTCGTCCACCTTCTTTCGATGGTGTATCAAGCGCTGGAAGACGTTCTTGCTGTGGTAGTTCTCCAGACATTTCAGGAAGTCGAGCACGACGTTCTTGTACTTTGCCAGTGCGCCATTCGCTGCATTCCGATTCCGCATTTCCACCGCCTGGATCGCCTCGTAGACGACTTTCACCTGCGTTAGAACGCGCTTGGAGCTTCTCTGGCTGTCGTTCATTCCTGACCAGCGCTGCTGTATCGCATTGAGCACCCGCGCCCTGCTACTAAAGCCCGAGTCGAGCTTCAGCATCGTCGAGCTACCAATCAGTTCGCTCGCAAGTCTCTTGTGAATATGTTTCTGCAGGTGCTGTACGAGTCGACTTGTAGATTGAGAAGTGAGGAGCGTACTGGACGCTCACCTACCATTATCGCACGACCTCCTGCCGTCCTGGTTTAAATGTCGGAAAATGAGGCAGTCCACGCGCACGTGAGTGTCACGCCATGTCGCGCGCACAGTAACGAGCTCAATGGTCCTGCGCCCGTAGTTATAGCGAGTAGTAATGAGCTGCTTGTGTTGCTTACATTTACTTTTGCCAGGCCAAGCTGACCAGTTCCAGCTTACATTTAAATCTATATCGTCGCCCTGCGGATTTATTTGCGCGTTCTTGCAGGAATACTTCGTCAAATACCAATCACTCGGCGCGAGTTGCGTTTCAGCCTGATGTTACGGTCTCAAATTTTTCAAAATCTCTGGTAGTGAAAGAGTTCACTCTTTCACTACCATTACCCTTAAAAGAATCCGCTCATGTCCGCTCTTCAAAGGTGTTAGCCAAGTGCTTCAGTACAATCTACTGGCTGCACGCATCCCCACTTCAAGCGAAATAGAATATCGCTCGTAGAACGCATCAAATTTATTCCGTCGCTTTATTCGAGTATCGAGGTGATTTCCCATTCAATGGTACATCTGCTGTATTTTGGTGTGACTCAAAGAAATGTGCAGCAAGTCGAGCATCCAAAATGTTCCTCTGCTGGGTTCATCAATCGTCGTAGTGGAGCTTTAGAGAGGAATATACGCTCTCGTGAGTTGCGTAAAGCTGCTGAACCAGAGATTCATTCTGCCAAGGATCCATTGCCCCATCATGCTGCTCCACATTTACCATTCTCGGGGATTTTGAATCGTTGCATGTCTCCTCTTCAGAACTCATGAAGTCCATTAGTCTCACAATAACCCGAGAAAGGGAGAGTCGTTTATCAGGATCGGTCATGGTCATTTCGGCCACGAGTGTGTAAGTTTCAGCGCTCATTTTGGATGGCTTGTCAGGCATTTCTCCTCGCAGGAGTCTGTCGCGCACAGTATCATCATCCAGCTGCCCAAACGGCGGTTCACCGCTCAGAGCCTCGATGATGCACATCGCGAGTGAGTAAATAACGGACGCGAAAGTGCGCCTTCCTGTCAAACACTCCGGCGCTTGCCATCGTACTGCTCCTGATTTCAGACGGGAAGGCCTTGATCAATTTTTCGTCACCGCCCCCAACCCGCAAATCTTTGCGTGGCCTTCGGAATCGACTCGGATAGTGGTCAGCTTGAGATTCCCGTGCAAAACCTTCTTGTTGTGAGCATACCGGAGACCAAGTGCCGTTTCGTACAGCAATCGCCACATACTTCCAGCGTTAGTCGAGTCCGCGAGATATCCAGCCACGTTGTACTTCACCTCCTCGTAGATAACTAACGGCGGGGAGCTCAGGTGCGAAACACCTAACATCTTGGCGACGTGTAGATGGTCAAGTCCGTGCCATCGAGTAGTGTATCGCTGAAACCTTTCATTTGTTTGCAGACTTTCTCCAGTACCGTCATTCAGACACATGACGACCACGTCGGTACCGTTGCAGGCTCCGAGGTGCAACGATCCAAACGATGCACGGCTACAGGGTTTTGGCTCATACGTGACCTCTGTATCGGGCAGAAACCATTCGGGCAAGTCCAGCTTCCTGGGCAACGGTGTTTCCGAAAGCGCGGAGAAAATCTGAGTCTCGATCATCTGCATTTCCTTGGACTGCCACTTGCTGTTCGACATCTGAAGGCTGGTCAGCGTGCGGGACAATTCATCGTGCAGGTGCTTTTTCGCTGCCCCCTGCGAGTTCTGGTACGAATACAACAAGGAAAGAATCTTGTGCATCGTTTCGCGGTACCCTAGTATCTCCTTTCGAATGATCGAAGTGTCGGCCGACAGTTTTGCCAGTTCCCGTCTTTGCTCGCGCTGTTCGTCCTCGAATCGGAGTTTCAAGCTGGCCACCATGTCCGCGGTCCCCAAGTTAAGCATCCGAAACAGCATCTCCACATCGCTCTGGATCCTCTCGAGCTTGCTGGGCAGCTTGCATCGCTCTTTGAGTTTTTCCAGCCCTTTCTTGTCTTGGTGGCGCTCCAAAAACTCGGTGAAGTCCATCAAAACGCCCACGTACTTCGTGATGGCTTTGCTACATGTAGACGGAATCCGCTGTCGGCTCTGCAGTTTCATGATCTCGTCGAATATGTCGTGCAGCTGCATACTGATGCGCTTGCAGGCATTCTTGCTGTCGTGTATTTTAACACAGATCTCCTTGATCTTCACGAGGACTTCCCCCACAGCACCGAATCCAGGCACGACAAGGTCAGGCAGCGTCGCGACCATGCCAGACGAGTGATGAGGCCGACGTGGGGTCACGCAGCTACGTACTGTAGTCGGAGTCCGGCAGCCTTCTGGGGGTTGACGCGTGACTTGGGAAAATGGGTGGAAAACAACCTGATCGTCAAGCACAGCGCACGGGGTTCCTTACATATTTTCTCTCTCGCCGGGAAAATTACTTGGATCTGGAAGGCAGTCTGCCGTGGACACATGCGGTCAATATGGTACTGTACGTTAAAAACGCAGAGCCTCTATCGTTGCTAACAGCTTCGGACGGCGTTACTACAACATAAGCGCAACATCACGACAGCTCTTGCGGCAACACAATAGCTGTCAGGCAACACAACAGGCACCACAAGAAGCAACATGAAATGGAGCCAGCCGTAATTTTCTGTCGATATATGACGGCAAATGTAAAAGTTACCCATTACATTCGCGAAATATTCTAGAGGAGAAGACAACACGACCAGCGACTGTCATCGCTTCCTTTCGCCAGACTCACGAAGGCGCCGCCACTACCTTTCGGTTCTGATAATGTATCTATGCCGCGCGCGCCTGCAAGGACCTCTTGTCGTTCAAGATCCCCGAGCTGCTTTGGGTGTTCACTGCCGCCAAGACCGACGTGATTCTCGACGACCGCGAAGTGAAGACCGATCATACGCAACAGCGCGCTCAAGGGTGTGGCTGTGAGCTGCCGCAGCTGATTCCCTCCTTGGCGACCACAAGGCGAAATTGGAGCAGCGGCTGGAGCTCGTGCGCGGACCAGCCGACCTCGCTGATGCTGCGCGGGCTGCAGCGCATCACGTGTCCGGTGGCGCTGGAGCTCGTGACCACCAACGTCGTGGCGGGCAAGCTCCCGCTGCTCTTTCAGTGCAGCGCGCTGCTGGAGAAGCCGGCGTACTACGGCGGATCCGCCGTCACCTTCGTGCTCATCGTGTCGTTCACTGCCATGCTGTACACCGGCTTTTCCTGCTGCTGGCGTTTCGGCTGCACTGCGCCAGCATGCCCGCGCCTTGGGTCTTCGGCGTGAACGCCATCCTTACCATGACCTTCGACAACATGCGCTATCGCGACGCGCTGGATGTTGTGCGCTGCACGCTGACTGAGGCGGACTTCCTGCATGGCCACAAAGAGGTCGTGGTTGTGACCTCGATTGGACCGGACAGCGCGTTCTTCAAGGGATACATGTACAATCCAGATCCGAAGTCGAAGGAACGCCAGCCACCATTATACACAAGAGCCAATGTGCAACTGAAACCGTGGGGTTACGTCTAAGCCAATGCGCATATTCATCATAGACTAGCTTACATCAATAAATGTTACTGTGGTCTTTATGTCGTGATCGTTGCAATGAGCTCGATGTCGGTTGACTGGACAGCTTTAGCGACCTTGTTTGACGTTGTACTCTCGTCAGGCTGCATGAGAATCATCCACATGACGCGTAGACGCATGACAGCAACATCATCCCGTGAAATAACAGCTCGCACGAAACGAGAGCTATCCTTCAAAATGGCGTACGCCTGAGCGATACACAGCACACCACGTATCCCAAGCTGCTTTCACCGCGCGCTGTACGCTCCGAAGCGATTCCATGCCGCGATAAAATTCCTCCTCCAATCCAGCCATCACCACAGCATCCCATCGTGGAGGTACGCTGGAGGCCGGCAGCTTCTCAAACTTATGCACATACTGCGCAATGTACATCAGATGCTGGCACGGCAAGCTGTAGCTGCTGTCGAAGAGGCACGAACACGACCAGCGGAAGTCGTTGCAGCGATGCGTGTTTCCCCGAGAAGTCAGTTCCCATTCACCCACCTCCCGTCCCCGCATAGAGCAAGACGTGCTCGCCGAAAATACCATGTAGTAGTCCCACTGGCGTCTGACGTGAGCTAGCATGGTATCACCCAGGCGCCCCGCCACAAGCGACAGGTAGTCCGGAACGCTACCCGGTGCCCGAGATGATGCAGATGTCCTGCGCATTGCACTGAGCATACTGTGGGCAATTGTTGTTTGGTGAGCAAGTAGCCCACTAATAGTCACCTCCAATCGCGGCTTCTTTCCAATCAACAGCTTCACCTGATTCCAGTTCGACTCAATCCGGTTCGTAGTCGTATTGCCCGCAGTGAAAAACTTTCCCCTGGCGTGATTCGCCCACATATCGATACACGACGCCCACTTCGCCTCAAAATACTCCAATAGGTCGGGACACTCGTCTCCACAAGTTTTAGTGAAGGTGGACCGCTTGGCGTCAAATGCCGACTGGGTGTTACTATATGGCAAATCCAAGCAACACACGTAGCAACACAGGACAAGCAACACACAGAACAACATAAAGAGAAACACAGTCAGCAACATAATTCAAGAAATCCCATAGCAACATCCAACTAATCAGTAAATTAGATTTGCGAATGCAGATTTCCATGGCGTCCCGTTGGTTCATGCTCAGGTTGAACTTTGCTCTTGCACAAACCTTGCGCCAGTATGTCAGCGCGTGGAACTGACATAGGACGACTTTGGCATCTGGAAACGCCCGATCCAGCACTCGCCACTCCATAAAGTCCTTATTAATCACAACGGTCTACATTGTTTTCCAAGCAGGGTTGTTGCGCTTGAAAAACTCAACAATCTGCGTTGTCGTCGGTGCTTTTTGATCGAGCGACAGGAAGTCGACAACAGGAATCCCCCTTCCTGTGGCTGAGATCACAACCAGACTGCCTATGATACACACAGTTAAATACACACCGCCGATCATACAAAATAATACTGTGATGTTCTCACCCAAGTGGTACCCCATGTTATTCGTGTCATGGGTCCAATCTATCACCAAGTTGTCCCCCCGCTGCTCAAAGCAGGCTTTTGCAGAGCTGTCTGCATGGCAATAACGCAGCTAATGCCCATCTGATCTTGGACAAGCAGAACCTCATTCTCCGCGTCCGCAGCGGCGAAGCTATCTAATATGACTTTGGTCCGTTCCAACGTGGTGCTCCCCAATACTTGCTGCATGATGTTTCTAGTTTGCTGTGGTGTAAGCATGATATCTGAAAGCAAGCGCAGTGAAAATTAATTGCAATAAAGAGTTAGTCCGAAAGCAGAAAATAGCTACATGTAGCCTTAAGTTCACCAGTAGCACCCACCCAGCTCATCCGACAAGTAGCGGCTGATGTTCGGGTTACTCGCCCGCATTTCTTTCAGTAGTCCAAGCTCCTTGCGGACTTTCGGGGGGAGTGGCATCGACTTCCCACGACTGTATGAGTCGTAGATGATTTTGTTAGTGGGATGGTTGTGCAACGAAATCTACAAAGCATGAGACAAGCCCGCATAAGTTAAACCTTACACAACAGCACCAGAGAATTCACACATCGTCCTACCTCTGTGTCGGGGTCCACTTGCACGATCCACCGAGCTATGCCATCGACGACGATCTTTTGAGAACGGACATCAAATGAAGCCTGGCAGCCAGTGTAACGCGAGCCGTGCTCACGAAGGCCGGCCCCTCGTGACGCTTGTGTCGATCCATGCGTGCAACACATCTTCTTAAAGTTGTACGCCATCTCATCCGGCAACGGCACGACGCCACGGCGACTAATAAATAAGCATAACAACAAAAAACACAATTAGCAAAGCAAAGCACCATTAGCTTGCACAATTAGCAAAGCACCATGAGCAAGCAACATAACAACGAAGCAACATACGGCCATACCTGTCGTGCTTTTCTTTGGTTTCGGAGCTGCGGACGCGGAACTTCAAGTAGTTTGCTTTCTCGTGCGCTTTCAGCGCGGCATCAAACACATCCCAGTTCGCGTACTCTTTATCAGGAAGCTCGGGGACAAGATTGTCAACAGCGTTATGCGCGAGAATGACCTTCTCTCGGTCTTCCCATATCTTCATCCGGCGCGTGTACTTTGTTTTGGTAGCAGCCTTCGGTTTGGACGTAGCAACAACGGCACTGTTGCTGGTCCGAGGTACTTTAGCCGACCGACACTCCGTGGTCAATACCTTATGCTGCCTCGCCCTCTTTTTTGTGGGAGCTGGAAAAGGGTCATCAGGTTGCAACATAACCAACATTATTAACAAAAAGAAGCAACATTGACAACAACATAGCCAACATATCAGTGACTTACATGAGCTACTGGTAGTGCCCGCATTGCAGTCCTGCTGCTCGTCGTCGTCATGCCCGCCGGTATGGAGCACTACGTTCAGGGCAGGTACACAGCCAAACTGTGAGCAAACTCCGGCCTCACCATCCCGCCCACCCTCGAAGGCTGGCATATTGCCGACCGGCACGTCGTCCTTGGCAGGCGCCGCGTCGTCCAGCAGGTCATCTTTGGCGATCGCCGAATCGTCGAGCATCACGTCCTGGCCGGGCCCCGAGTCGTCCTGCACCACGTCCTGGCCGGGCGCCTTGTCGGCCAGCACATCGTCCTTGTCGGGCGCCGAGTCGCCCGGCATCGTGCCTTTGCTGGGCGCCTTGTCCTCCGGCGCATTGGCCTGGTTGAGCTCCGGGGCGTCCGACGCCGCGTCCTTCCCCAGCCCCTCCGCTTCTAGCGCGTCGTGCTGGTCGAGCGCCGTGTCATCTGGCACCTCAACCTGGTGCACAATGCCGCTCGGCGTAGCGGCCTGTACGGGTAGCACTTTATTCGGCATAACGCTCGAGTTGACGTTGCTCCTCGTGCTCTGGTTGGGTCCGTCGGTGCCCAGCAAGATGTCCGAGTCGTCCAGGTTGTCCACGAGGTCGGGGCCGTCGTCCCGGTCGTCGACGCCATCGTCCGGGTCGTCTTCAGGACGATAATCATCATCACTGGCGTGGTCCTGGACAAAACCCAGCACTGCACGGAGGTAGTCAACGGGTTTTCGCGCTCGTAGAGAAGCACGTCGTCCTATTGTACAGGAAGTAGCAGCGGGTATGTGAAATAAAAGCAGTTAGTGCCCATTAGAGCCACCTTGTTCAAACCATATCGTTTTTGCTTACCCTACGCTGGTCTTCTTCACGGCGCTGTTCGCTCACTCGAGCACCTTACCGACTCCCTTGATCCGCTTGTCTAAGCAGTAGCAACGTTGAGACGTATTAGATCAATTTGTGACAGTATTCACAGCATTATTTGCACTTACCCTTCACAGCGGACACTGGCTTCTTCGCCTTCGTCATTTTTTTCGCCTTCGCGGGCGATTTCTTCACCCCTTTCGCACCCGTGGGTTGCTTCGTGGCCTCTTCGGCCGGCATCCGGAGATTCGTACTTTAATGGTATGGAAATATCTTGGTGAAATTTCAACTTCAATTTGAACTTCTTCGAAAATTAAATTGGGCATAAATTACCGAGCAACACAACGCTGTACTGTGTTGCTCTCATTAAGATATCGTGATGTTGTAGCAATGTTGTAGTAACGACTTCCAAACAAGCTTCTGTTGTCCCGAATACAGTTGAGTCGAAGATGTCCACCTCACGTGGACTTTATCGTCCTGTGGTTCACACCAATAGATGTGGTTCACACGACGCCTCGCCATTTTCGACGCGACTGCGAAATACTCGTATCATGGCGACGCACTACGGGCGGCACCTGGAGCGGCTGCAGCGCGGCGAGCACCTGGAGGGCAACGCCGTGCTGGCGCTGTGCGAGCGCGTGAAGGACCTTCTGGTGGAGGACGACAACGTGGTGCGCGTGGCGTCGCCCGTGGCCGTGTGCGGCGACATCCACGGGCAGTTCCACGACCTGCTGGAGCTCTTCAAGCTGGCGGGCCAAGCGCCCGACACGAGCTACGTCTTCCTCGGGGACTTCGTGGACCGCGGCGCCATGAGCGTGGAGACCATCTCGCTGCTCTGCGTGCTCAAGGCCAGCTACCCGGAGCGCGTGACGCTGCTGCGCGGCAACCACGAGTCGCGCCAGACGACGCAGGTCTACGGCTTCCAGATCGAGTGCATGAAGAAGTACGACGGCGACGCGCGCATCTACAAGGCCTTCATGGAGCTCTTCGACTTCCTGCCGCTGGGCGCGCTCATCGACGACCGCCTGCTGTGTCTGCACGGCGGACTCAGCCCGGCGCTGCATCATCTGGACCAGCTGCGCATGCTCGACCGGTTCCAGGAGATCCCGCCCGACGGCATCTTCGCCGACATTGTGTGGTCCGACCCGGACTCCAAGACGCTCGGCTTCCACATGGTGAGGGCGGAAAGGAGAGGAGAGTGAAAGGAGAAGAGTGTACTGATCGGTTGATTCGTGGTTTGCTTGTGGTTTGCTTGCAGTCGCCGAGAGGAGCGGGCTACATCTTCGGAGAGGACGTGGTGGAGAAGTTCCTGCACACGAACAAGCTTTCGCACATGGCCCGAGCGCACCAGTTGTGCATGGAAGGCTACCAGGTGCTCTTCCGAGAAACCTTTTCGACAGTCTGGAGCGCGCCCAACTACTGCCACCGCTTCGGCAACTTGGCCGCGGTCATGGCGGTTAATGATAACCTTGAGGTGGGTGGAGGTTGTCTTGTGTTTTTGAGTTGCAAGCGATGACGAGTTGCTTACTGGTTGCATGGTTGTCTTTCATAGCGCACATACAAGACGTTCAAGGAGGCTCCGTCGTCGAGGAACATTGGCGTGTTGGACAGCAAGGGCACGAGCTCGGACGCCATCGACGCCGGCTACTTTACCTAACATGCGTTCAAGTATAACGATGATACACGCGATAAGAACTACTACTACGAGACAAGGAGGGTCGATAGATTTTGTACGCTGGAATGGAGTAATGCACGTTGACGTGGACAACTTAACTTCCCTTAGTGATGCCGGCGCTTCTTGTCCTTGCGCTGCTTGGAGCGGCGCTTGTGGTCCTTCTTGGCCTTCTCGTACGCCGCTGCGATCTGCTCCATCGTCTTCAAGTGCAGCGGCTTCATCTTCGTCTTGACGCACTTGTCGATCTCCAGAGCGTCGTATACCACCAGCGACTCGTGATGGTTGTAGAGCTGCGCGTTGCTGATCATGAGGTTGAAATCGGCTTCAAACTGTTCGTGCGACGCGTAGTAGTATTTGTCGAGGCGCGTCTTGATGGTCATCAAGTCCATCGGAGTCTTCACGATGCCGTAGTAGTCAGGGTAGTCCACTGGCGACGGCTTCTCCACGTACAACTCGGAGCGTAGACGTCCTGTGGGATCTTTGAGTTTGGTAACGGCCTCGTAGACCTTGCGGTAGTAGTAGCACAACATCTTGCGTTCGCGCCGACCCGCGTCGTCTTCATTGGGGTTGTCTTCGTCTTCAACTTCATCAGCGGCAGCAGTATCCACGAACTCTTCGTCCTCGTCGCGCTTCCGTTTGCCTTGCTTGGAGCTCTTGGGACTCTTCGCCGCAGCCTTCATCTCGTCCTCATCGATTCCATCCTCGCACATCTTAACGAACTCAGCATCGGTAAACTGATCGCGGTACGACATCTCCTTGCGCTTGCGCGGTTTGCCTGCAACGGTTTCCATGTCAAAGTTCCAGCTGTCCTTGTCGTGCTTTCCGGTGGCAATGTCGTGCTCCATAACTTCGTTGGCTTCGCGCAGCCAAGCCGGGGCATCCTTCTCTGACATCAGGCGAGAACGGGGAGTGTGCGGGACATGGTATTGCTTGCAGTACTCCTCCCACTCCTTCGCCTCACGAGCCTTACGCTCACCATCCAGACGCTGGTACAAAGCGAGCTCTTCATCGGTCAGCGCCATCATCTCATTAATCTCGTCATCCAACAGAACGTTCGATGCGTCATCATCGCCGTGAGCTGCGTGTGCTGCCTCCTCCTGCTCCATCTTGATGAGACTCTCGAGCATCGCACGTCGTTCTGCCTCCTTGGAGCGGTTGTTGAACTTACCAGCCTCCACAACGAGATTGTTCATATTCATCTTGTCGGTCGCACGCGACAGAATCTTCTCCTCCACAGGACTGTTGGTGACAAGTCTGAAGACGCGCACTTCATTCTTCTGACCGATACGATGCGCGCGATCCTGGGCCTGTGCATCCATGGCAGGGTTCCAGTCACTGTCGAAGATAATGACCGTGTCAGCTGTCGCGAGATTGAGTCCGAGACCACCAGCACGAGTACTGAGAAGGAAGATGAAGAACGGTGAGTCCGGCGCGTTAAACATGAACATTCGCTGTTCACGTTCATCAGCACTTGTGGAACCATCCAGACGGAGGTAGCGGAAGCCACGATAGTTGAAGTAGTCCTCCAGCACGTGCATCAATTGCGTCATCTGACTGAACATCAGCACGCGATGACCTGCAGCTTTCAGCTTCGGCAGCATGCGATCCAGCAACTCGAACTTGCCCGATGACCGAACGATGTCGAAGTCGATCTGGTAATCATTTGTCTGGAACAGGTAAGGGTGGTTGCACACCTTGCGCAGCTGCATCAACACGTTGGAAAGACCCTTGGACGTGTACTTGGTCTTTCCCTTCTTCTTACCCGAGCCGTCTGTCGTCTCCATCAGCAGCGCGCCACCTTCTTGGATGCGTCGGTACATGATCTTCTGCCAGCCAGAGAGTTCACACTTCAGCACCTTCTCCACCTTGTCCGGAAGCTGGTCGAGCACAGACGCCTTGACACGACGCAGCAGGAACGGACGCAGAACCTGGTGCAGTCGGTTAATGATAAGCATTCGCTCTTCGTCGGACAGCTCGTTCGAGTCACCATTCCCAGAGAACTGAGCGAAAGGCTTGCTAAACCATTGCTCGAACGTGTCAACAGACTCGAAAATTGTCGGCAGCAAGAAGTTTAGCAGAGCCCACAGTTCCGGCAGACTATTCTGCAGCGGAGTACCTGTCAGCAACAGTCGGTTGCGCGACGTATACATGCTTCCAAGGGTCATTGCGAACTTGCTCTGTGCATTCTTCATACGATGACCCTCGTCGACGATAATGTACTGCCAGTCGTACTTGCGGAGCACATGCTTGTCCTTCATGATGTACTCGTAGGTCGTCAGAAGCACATTGAACTGGCACGACGCCATTTCCTGCCTGTGCAGTTCCTTACGCACTTGCGGTGGGCCCTTGTACACCACGAGCACGAGATCAGGAGCCCACTTCTTGAACTCGTTCACCCAATTCGACAATGTGGAAAGAGGCACGACCACCAGGAAAGGGCCGTGGTTGTGCTTAACCTCCGTCACATACGTGAGCAGTGAGATAGACTGGATCGTCTTACCCAGACCCATTTCGTCGGCCAGAATACCATTCAGGTGGTTATCGTACAGGGACACCATCCACTGCAAACCGCGCAGCTGGTACTCCTTCAGATCTCCACCAACGAGCATAAGAGGCTGACGAGGCAGCTCTCCCTTCGACGCAATCTCCAAGTAGTTTAGGTCGTCATCCTGGTCATCCTCGGCGTTCGTGTCCTTGCCACCGTCGTGGTGCGCGTCGTAGTGCGCCGTGTACTCGTCCACCACGTGGTGCTTCCGCTTGTGCTGACGCACCAATTGGCGAATGCTGTCCAAATAGCTGTTTGTCTGACTCAGCAGATACGTCAGACGCTCGTTCTTGGCTTCGGCCACCAGCTTGCCGTACGCCTCCATATCGTTCGCCTTCAGAGCCTTGAGACGAAGCTTCTCTTGACGATCTTCCTCACGCTCGGCCTTGGAGTTCTTCTGGTCGATGAAGCCCTTGACCGCCTTCGCAGACTTGCTCGCCTGCGCCTTGACGTTCTTGTGGTACGCGAAGAACTCGCGCGAGTGGTTGAGCACGGCCTTGAGGTACATTTGGTGGTCTGCGCGGCGCTTCTTCTCCATGGCCACGGACTTCTTGCGCTTCTCGCGCTCGTCGCCCTGCAGCTCCACGCGCGAGACCGGACGCCGACGTCGGAAGGACTTGCGGTCGACCGCAGACGGCTCTCCAAGCAGCGCCAAGCGCGTCGTGTGCGCCTTGGCCACGTGTCGCTGCAGCTTCTGTTGCAGCAGCACACAGCGCAGGTCTCTGAGCGTGCGCAGCTCGTTCTCGTCCAGATCTTCTGTGTGGCTCTCCAGCTTCTCCAGACTGGACGTCAGGAACTGCTGCAGCGTGTGCATGTACCGCATCTTGAGCGCGACGTCATTGGCGCCGAGCCACGGGGTGCAGACGTTGAACGGCCCGAAGGCCGAGTTGCCCTTGTTCTCGATGCCGATGAGGTCTCCGTCCAGGTAGTTGGGTCCAATGTACAGCAAGTTGCGCGACGCGCGCGTCCACTTGGGGGTCAGCAGCTCCAGCACAGGAGGGTCCACGGCCTGCGTCTGCTGCGGGAGCGCGCCCGTTGCGCCCGCCATCATATTGGCCGACGGGCCCGTGGGCTGCATGGTGAGCCCCGCGGCGGTGAGCTGCTTGGCCTGCGCGATGGCCGTGTCCATGGAGTGGCACAGCGCCTTGTAGGCGCGGATCTGGTTGTGCAGATACTCGAGCTGCTTGTCCGAGAAGAGCGTCGTCTTCTGCTGCATGAACGGGTTGGCCGCCACGTCCAGAGGCTGCATGGGGGCCTGTGTCTGCTGCTGCTGCTGCTGCTGCATCTGGACCTGGCGCTGCCGGTGCTGCTGCTGGTACTGCCGCAGCAGGGCCACGATCTGCTGGTACTTGGGGTGGTTCTTCTGGCCCGCGCGCTGCATGCGCAGGGCCGCGTCCATGAGCTTCTTCACGTCGGTGGGCGTCAGCGACATGCGCGGCGCCTCGGCCGCAGGCGCAGGCACGGACGCGCCTCCCGCGGACTCCATTATGGGCGAAGGATTACAGCAGGAGAGGAGGCACGCGCTTTTCGATTGAGGTTGGTGGCGGAACAGCGGTTCACTTGGTTTCAGTATAGGAGTGGTGTGTGGTGTGGTACACATTGTTTTGTGTACGAAACGTAAGGTGGTTGAAGGGGGGGGGGGAAACATAGGGAAACATGGTGCTGCTACTTCAATCATCATCATGCTGTCTGTCTAACAACTGCCTGCTCTGTCATCTCCCGGCCGAGGTGCCGCCGCGTAGCTGGAGAAGCTACGCAGACCACCGTCATAATCTAAGAGAACGACGCGCGGTCGAACACGTGGAGTGGGAGCGACTTGGTCATGAGCCGGAAGTACGCGAGCTGCGAGTCCGTGGGCTTGTCTGCAAAAGACAAAGCGAGAGATACAGCAAACGGTCAGACAACGAACTAAACACGGTCTCAATACATTGACAGGCAGGGACGCACCGTGCAGGAAGCTGACTTGGTTGTAGTACGACACGACGGTGGCGAGCTCTTCGGCCGAGTACGTGTGCATGGTGGCGCGGATCTTGCGGTAGTCCACCTGCTGCTTGAAGTGCACCTTCGTGGGGAAGTTCTCCGTCACGGCGGCGACGAAGAGGCCGTTCTTCAGCTTGCGCGACTCGTCGTAGCCCTTGGCGCCAATGTCCTTCAGGGCGGCGATCACCGAAATGTCGTCGGCCTCCACGTCCTTGCCCTCGTAGCCGAAGACGGTCTTCTGGAACCACGTGTTGTAGTCGTCGATAGCGATCAGCACGGAGAATTCCGTGGTCTGCGCCAGCTCCTCCTTCAGGTCGCACACGGCCTGGCACGCAAGCTCCTCGTCACGGATACCGCTGACAACCACATCGCGCAGCGTGAGGGCGGCATCCTTGTAGTCGGCCTCGCTCTTGGGCTTGGACTCGTACTTGTCCGTGGGGTAGTAGCGGTCGGCGTACTTGCCGCGCACGGGGATCGAGCGCAGCTGCTCGCCGTGGCAGTGCAGGAAGTGCTGCAGCAGCTCCACGCCATACACGTCGATGTCGAACTTGTCCTCCTGGTAGGGCGACTGCATCACGTACGGGGCATCGTGGCACCACGAGCGCGGGTTGGGGATATAGAGCACCACCCAGTTGCTCTCGCGCGCGTACTGCACGATCTGGTGCAGCGCGAAGCTCTTGCCCGTGCCGCGCTCGCCGTCGATGAGGTAGGCACCAGCCGACTCGTTCTTGGCCGTCTCCCAGTCTGCAGACAACAAACAAGCAGCGATCCCGTTAGCTTCTCCGCAGCCAGAGAGCTTAATATCATTGCATTGATCGCACCCTTCATGGCCGAGATGATCTTCAGCGTCGTGTCACGCAGCATAATGTGGCGGTGGCCCACCAGGTCGAAGGTCTCATCCATGCGGCGGCCGACGCCCTCGGGGAAGAGCTCGTCCTGCTGCTCCTTGGCGAACGCAAAGAACTTGAGGCGGTGGTCGGCCGTCACCTAGCGTAGCACCATACAATACAGTTAGACCACCCAAAGAATTGATCTATTGGCGACTGTAGATCTGCCTACCTGCGAGATCGGGACGCCAGCCAGGTTGCCTAGGTCCTCCTGCTTGATCTCCTCGGGCTTCTCAACGGCGGCAGACTCGGCCGCATCGGCAGCAGCCGCGCCGGCAGCAGCCGCGCCGGCGGAAGGCGCCTCCGTGGACAGCGCACGCAGCGCCGAGGTCTGCAGGCGGCGCACAGGCAGGCGCTTGGTCAGCACACGCATGGCCATCATGGTGTCTTGGGGGCCGTCGATATGGTGGTGGCGGCGTGTGGCTGGCAAAGCTCTGGCATACAGAGACCAAGACACTTAATTCGTGACTAATTCACCCAATCAGCTAGTGAGACGGAATAAAGCGGGGTTTTAACGAGTTTTTGGTTGCACACCAAATATACACAAAATTTGATCACGAAGCGACGCGAGCCAAAAACGGACTGCAACTTGACCCTCTCAGGCACAACTCGGCTCAATGGGCGCAGCGGCATCCACAGCCAGGGACAGCTTGGGGGCCGGCGCAGCGGACGGCGGCAGTGGACCTCCTCTAACCTGCAAACTCAGCGACGACCAGGTGGCCGCGTTCGCGAGCAGCTCCAACTTGACGCCGGACGAGGTGATCGCTCTGCACGTGCACTACGACCTCATCAGTTCTGCGAAGCGAGATGACGGACTCATCGACCGCAGCGAGTTCCAGACGGCGCTGGGCTTCACCGTGAAGGAGTCGCTGTATGTGGACCGCATCTTCCAGCTCTTCGACACCAACAACGACAACTTTATCAGCTTCGACGAGTTCCTGCAGAGCGTCTCGGTGCTGTCGTCGAAGGGCGGAACGGCCGAGAAGATCAAATGTGCGTCCGCTACTAATATGCGAGCGCTGCTCTACTGTACAAAATCGCTCAGTGGCCTGACTTTTGCGTTGTCGTGGTGCAGTCTCCTTTGACATTTTAGACTTTGACCGCGACGGGAAGCTGTCCACGCAGGAGCTGCTGAGCATGCTGGAGGCATGTATCCAGGAGAACGGCATCAACATCCCCTCCGAGTGCCTCGCCACGATAGTGGCCAAGACTATGGAGGACGTGGATCTCGACAAGGACGGCTTCATCAGCTTCGACGAATTCCGCGTCATGACCGAGGCCAACCTGCAGATGCTCAACCACGTGACTTTCAACGTGTCCGCCATCATCGCCGAGTACATGCCTGCGCTGCGCGTGTTAGTCGCAAGTCGAAGCTAGCTCGACCACCGTAGGGTTTATCTTAATTATACGATCGAACTTCTCTCCTTGCTGCTATCACCGAGGCTCGTAAGCTAACGCGCTGAGCCATCATCCGTCCAGGAAGGAACAAGCCGAGGTGAGAAACACGGCGAGCGGTCAGCGAGCTGATTCAGCAAAACGAAAAAATATGCTCAAATAAGGTGCCCAGGAACTATTCAACGCGTCCAGAACGCAGCGCTGCGATACGAATCCGTGGAGCCGCATCGAGTCGAGTCGAGCTGAGCGGCTGCGAACCGTTTGCTTGTTGAAGGAAGACCAGGCGTGAAAACGGGACGCGCGGGGAAGGGAAACCCCAAGGGCAGAGACAGCGTCCACGTCGGAACGCGTCCTTCATGACGATCGCGAGTAAAGTCTCCTTAATGCTGGCCGAGCTGCTGGAAGGAGGCACGTGTTGAGTGTGCTCGAAGCACGGTCACCGATAGTGAGCCTCGCGCTCGTGACCACCAAAAAATATCAGTTTGCATGGATCGCCGCTCCGAGTCGGATTCCGACGGCGTTTATGCTGCGCGGACACTCTCAGCTGCCGCGATTCCCACGCAGCGCATTGCAGCGCAATGCGTCGCTGGGCTGGAGTCCCGCGAAAGCTGTTCGCCGCCACCCAGAGCTCCTGGCGACGCCATCGAGTCGAAGCCCTTGGCCGAGAGATTCGTGTGTAGCCATGTGTCCTCTCCAGCTCAGAGACCGCTTGCAAAGGTACCTCCCAATCGTCATAAGCGATTGATAAGGATGATTAAAAAAAGCAGGTAAAACGGAGCTTCAATCCTTAAGTTCGCAGCCGACTTTGAGAGGTATATGCGTTATCAATACCGCTCCGAAACTGTAGGGAACGTGCGGCGAAGAGCTCCCATCCCGCTCAAGTTGGCAGTCACAACTCAAACCGCGAGGAAGCGCGCGACAGAGAATAGCTCGGGTCGGTAGAGAAGGGAAGCAGGGCAGTCCGGATTTGGCGGGCCGTTACGCAGGCACCCTGGAGCTAAAAGCGGCGACTAGCAGTAGCAGCAGTGCCATGCTGGGCCGCTGTCTGGCCGCGACTTTCTGCGTGAATGAGACCGGCGCAGTGACCGACCGCCGCCGCGCCCTCCCGTCGAGTCTCGAGCACCCGCAGCAGAGCCGCAGCGCCATGTCGGGCAACCAGCGCCAGACGCTGCTGGCCGGAGAGTACGCGCAGCGCCGCCCGCTGCCGCACAAGTCGCCGCTCGCGGCCTTCAAGTCGCAGCTGGAGGCGCAGCAGCCGCCGCCCGCGCCGCTGGACGCGCAGCTCCACCAGGAGCAGCAGGAGCAGCAGCAGCAGGAACAGGAGCCGGAGCAGCCCGAGCGGCAGCAGCCCGAGTGGCCCGAGCAGGAGGGCGTCGACGCCAAGCTGCTCTTCGAGGTGGAGCCTGCCGCCGTCAAGATCGGCCGCGAGATCGGCAAGGGCGCCTTCTCCATCGTCTACGCCGGCGACTACAGCGGCCAGCACGTCGCGGTCAAGTGCCAGCCGAAAGACGCAGAGGGCAACATCCCGGCCTTCGTGCTGCGAGAGGTGCAGGTGCTGCGTCAGCTGCGTCACCAGAGGCTCCTGCAGTTCGCAGGCGCCGCCGACAACGTCCGCGCCAAACAGGTCTGGATTCTCAGCGAGTACCTGAACAACGGCGACGTGGACCTGTTGCTCAAGGCCATCCGCAGCGGCAAGAAGCCGCACATTGGCTGGCACCGCATGGTGCGCATTGCACTGGACGCTGCGCAGGGCATCGAGTTCCTGCAGCAGCGGCACATCGTGCACCGCGACATCAAATCCTCTAACATCTTGCTGGATGACCAACACCGGGCCAAGCTCTGCGACTTCGGCTTCGCTGTGGAGATTAAGCCGGTGGAGGTCACCACGCATGAGACGGACGCGAGCAAGCAGCGTCGCAAGTCGTACTGCGGCACGGACGCCTACATGGCGCCAGAGATGTTCCTGGACGAGGACTACGACCAGAGCGTCGACATCTTCAGTTTTGGTGTAGTGATGATGGAGATGCTCTGCTGTCGCGTTGCCAACGCCGATGGGTTTTTGATGCGCCTACCGCAGTACAAGTTCCAGGTTCTCCTGCCAGAGTTCCGTGACGCCCTGCCCGCCTCATGCCCACCGGCGCTCTCAACGCTTGCGGAGAAGTGCGTGTCATTCGAGCCAAGTGAACGCCCAAACATCGGTGTCATTGTGCGGACCCTTGAAGATGTGCTGAAGCAAACGAACAGCTCCCTTCATGACAACGTCGAGCTTGTTCCGTTTACGCCAGATGAGCGTGAGCCGCAGATTGAAGAGGACGACGATGCATACTACGGCGAGAATGATGAAGACGATGACGACGGCGAGGACTATGGGGAGGAGGAGGAGGAAGAAGAAGAGGAGGAGGAAGATACCAGTTACAGCTTACAGGCGAATGGCCGTCACAACACAATGGGCATGGATTCGGACGAGGACGACCGCAACGTGCACTCGCAGGTAGTTGACGACCCCTTCTTAGACGACGAAAGCGTTGATAGTGACGTGTTGGCGCAACCCGCGTCACCCGCTCCTTACCACGAAGGGGTGATCCTCAAGCGCAGTCGCCGTGGAAAGCGCTCGTGGGTTGAGAAGTGGTTCATCGCGGACCACGACCAGCTTCACTACACAGACGTGCCTCCGCGCTGGAAACAGCAGCAGCAACAGAATGCGGAGTGGCGCTGCACACTGCCTCCCATCTCTTCGCTGTCGCTGCGCGAGTGCCGGATCTGGAAGACCATGGAGATGCCTGAACTGCGGTTCAATGTGATCGACAGCAACTGGAAGATCAAGCGCGAGCTCCAGGCGGTATCCAAACGCGACCTTGAGCTATGGATGGAGCTCATCAACCAAGGCATCGACTACGCTAACGAGCTGTACGCGCGTGAGCACGATTTGCCGAACAATAGTACCACAGGAACAAGTGCGAGCAGCAGCAATGCAAGTCGCCCCAGCCGCAATAAGTCCAAGCAACAGTCGCAGGGCCAGGCATCGTCTACTCCGCAGGAGCAGAGGCCGAAGGCAAAGTCAGATGCTGATGCCCCACGGAAGATCAGGCGCCGAAGTAGTGCTACAGCCAAGTTTGAAGAACCACCTGAACTGCCCGAGACTGACGAGGACCGTGCTGATGAGGTGTACCTCTGGCTCAAGCAGATCGGGTTCCAGAGATATACGCCAATGCTCAAGGCGAAGGGCTTCGACTCGCTTGACTTCATCCGCGAGGTGCGTTGCTTCAGCCATAGCTCTTTCGTGCTCATGTTTATTCAGTTGCTAACCTGTGCGACTTGTTTTGCGTAGACTGGCATTGAAATGGAGGACCTCAACTTCGTGGGCATCAAGGAGCCCGTGGCGCGCAAGGCAATCCGATCAGCAGCTAGAACACTGCGCGGTGATGATGACGATTGATTTAGCGGACGAGATCGGTTCTTGTATCTTGGTGGCCTCATGCATGCGGCGTAAGGTATTCTCGTGAGGCCTGTTCGCAGTTCATTACGACGATTTTCTCTAAAATATAAGTATGCAAACGCCAACGCATCCTCCATACTTCATTTATTTCGTCCATACTTAGCGCCGTTCGCTGCAGGAGAGCACCACTACGGGTTAATGGACTTGATCATAAGCGTCCTGGCGCTCGATCCTGAGCAGCAAACAACGCCCAGCGTACCTAATATCAGAGCAAATAAAAACCGAGACAGAAAAGCAAGTGCGTGCATGCATGCATACCGGGAAGCCAGCAAGCCTAGCATCGCAGCATTGGCCACCGAGACAGAGCCTACACCAGTGGTGCGTTGGATGTCAGACCGTCCTCAACGCCCGTGAGCAGGTTGCGCAGGAACGTCTCCGTCACACGCGTGTAGTTGATGATCTCCGAGCGGTTCATCTTGTCCAGCGGCATCTCCGATAGCCCGGTCAAGTGCTCAGCGTTCTTCTCCAGGTTCTCCTGCAGGTACTCGAACAGGTTCTTCTCCTTTCCAGGCGGCAGGTAGTAGCCAAACACGTACGTGTACTTGAGCACTCGTCGGCATTCAATCAGCTGCTCGGTAGCGGCGTTCAGGAACTGCACGTCGATCCACGACGAATCGCCGTGACTGGCCTGGAGCTCGATCATACGATTCTCTGTACCTTCTCGCATCCGTTGGGCAAACTTTCCAGCCTCGGAGTGGTTCGCGAAACGCTGGTAGTAGTGGAGGTATCTGTCGAGCTCGGCCTTCGCGCGAGCTGCATCGTTGTCGGCCGTCTGAGCGTCTGCGTCGTACCGGTTGCACTTGTAGTAGCCTCCAGTGCCCGATCCGTGCTTGTCCCAGCCTTCCATACAAATCCAGCAGAACTCGTAGTTGCAGCTCCGGCACGTCATGTGGTTACAGCCCTGGTTCTTCTCGATGCGCACGGAGCACTTGGGGCACTTCTTCGTGTTCGCAAGGATCCAGTTGGCCGTCTCGGACTCGTTGCGGCACTTTTCCTGCCAGGACGCCAGTTGCTCGCACGTCACAGGTGAGTGCGCTTCCTCGCCGCAGCGGAGGCAGAACACGCATCCACACGTGCACGTAACAGACAACAGTCCACCGGCACTCGTGATAGCCTTGCTGCACCCTGCGGACGGGCACCATTTGACGCCCTTGTTGATGTCCACGAACGACCGCAGCAAGAAGCGCGCGTACTTGCGGTAGTCCTCCGGGCTGACGATCTGCTTGAAGATCTCGTCGCTCACCACCTGATAACCAAAAGCAACAACGATTAACAACAAGAGCAACACCAAATTACAGTATCGCACACGAACTCACCTCCTTGCAGCCGTGTGCAGGGCACGTCGTGGTGATGCAGATCGGTCCCTCCTGGATCTTGAGGGACAGGTAGGGCTTCCAGCAGTTGAGACAGTACAAGTGTCCGCAGCCCATGCCGAAGATCTCGTTCGCCGCGTACTCGTCGCAGCAAATGTTGCAGTCCACCTAACGGTAGCAGCAGCAAAGAACGTGAATATAAGTATCAGCCCCCTGCGCATAGCAAAACTCATTCTCTCTCTACCTTCGTCCCCTCGGGGATGACCGGCGCCGGCTTGTCCGCGAACTCGACGCCCGCCTCGTGCTGGGTCTTGACGGGGTCGGCGTAGTAGCCCTCGAAGAGCTTCTCCTTGTTCCAGCCGAAGTAGCGCAGCAGCACGGACGCCACGGGCGCCGAGATCTCCAGCACCTGCGCGATCTCCGCGATGAGCGCGCGCTGCTCCTGCAGCAGCTCCGCCTCGTCGATGACGTGGTACTCCTGCTGCTTGTGGCTGCCGGCCTGGCCCAGGCCGCTGGGGCTCAGCCGCTTCTTCTTGGCGGCCGACGCGCTGCCCAGCGGGGACAGCGAGTCGGCCGCGTGCTGCTTCTTGGCGCCGGTGTTCGGGGTGGCGTCCGACTGCACGGAGACGACGTCGTCCTCCTCTTCCTCCGAGTACTGGTACTCATCCTCCTCCTCCACGTCGCTGTAGTGGTACTCGTCGTCCGAGAGCGGGGAGAGCGGGGGCTCGACCGTGTTGGCGCTCATGTTACGGGGCTCTGAGGGGGGTCTACGGGGTCGGGGAGGCGGCAAGCGGTGCAGCAGATGCAGGTGAAGGCGGTGAGAGGCTGCGAGCAGCTCGGGGGCCGGCGGAGACGCGGCTGCACGGCGAGGAAGAGTGGCGGCCGCGGGCGGGGCTTCCGGGCGGCGTTTGGTACGGAAAATGCCAAGAAGAAAACAGAAGAAACCCGCGCGGCTATAGAAGCGAATTTAGGTGGCTGAAAGGAGGCTATTAATGTAATTTATGGGGAACTAAAGTATAGGGCCACTTGGAAGTTTTAGTGGGAGAGCGATGGTTAATGAATCATTACATGTAGCGTTGTTTGCAGATGGCTATAGAATGAAGCAGTGAGCTGCCTGCCTGGGTGAAGGTGCTGCTGGCAGCTTTGACCGTATAGGAACGTATCGGGTCTCGATATACACTACGCACTGGTGCTAACGCTGCGCCCATGTCGCCCCGCCGCCGAGTTTTTTTTTTTTTGGTAGCTGCTGCCTGCAGTGCAGTGTGTGTTGGGTGTATCCATACGCTCTTCGGGCCTTGATCTGAAGAAGCACGCTGGCAGCTTTGACCGAGTAGGAACGTATTGCGTCTCGATATACACTCCGCACTGCCACTAAGGTTGTCTCCTGTTCGCCCCGCCGTCGATTTCTTTTTTTTTATTGGGCGGTTTGCTGCTGCTGCTGCTTCTACGGCTGCAGTGCAGTGTAGCGTACGTTGGATTCATCGGGTCTTGATTGAACTCGATCATATGAAAGCGCGCTAGCTCTTGGTTCTCCTGCGAGCTAACGCATTGTCCGCCTATCATCCAAGCGAAATACAACTAATAAAGCGATGTCGTTCACGCAAGCACGCCGCCAGGCTCACGCTGCATGTCTTTCGGTTCGTCATACTACCAGAGTCTGGATTCCAGACCTCAAATCGCCTCGGGAGGTGCAATAGGTCCTCCCCCGTCGCTGCTCGGACCCAGCACACCGCCCTCTTCACAGCGACGAGATTTTTCTTCCTCGTCGATAATAATGTCGCTGTTCATCGTGTACTGCTGCTCCTATGCAGCATGAGCAAGCAGCGCCACTAGCGACTCGCTGCTAGCGAGCATTGCACGCTTGCTCGATAGGATCTGATAATCGCTGGACCAAATGCGGAGAGCTAACGTTAGCAGCAAACGCCACTAGCATTGCCCCTTATCAACGACAATAATGGCAGCGAAACGACCACCGGCCGTTATAGGCAACTTCAACCAGGCTCACTTAACACAGCCACGCGCGCAACCCTGTGCTCGGCTTGATCGGAGTTTCTCGCAGCCGAGTTTGCGAGCAGCTCTCAGTGAGAGCCTCTCACCTTGAACAAGCCACCACCCGAGCCGGCAGGATTTGATGGAGAGGCCTACAGGCGCCGCGGCTCAGCTCCTCAATATGCAAGCAGTACCAAGCATGTCCGGGAGGGAAGACACGCTCGTCCAAAAACGGTTTTGAGCCCGCGATTCAATCGAGACGGCGCACGTCGCCCCGCCGTTTATTCAGAAGATGCGCGTTTGACAGGAAATGGGCACTAAATAAAGCGTTTGGGCATGTTGAAGCCGTTGAATGAGCACACAGTCGCATAAATGGGTCCTACTCCATCAACAATGGCTTGTTTATGACTGAAAATGGGCGCAAAAGGCCGAGAATGGGTCGTCGGAGCCTGTCCCTTTCGCGAATCGTCGCAAAGATCAGCATGGCCGAATCCTCACTTCGACTTTGGCCGAGAGCTCCGCAGATCAAACGCTACGAGCGCCGCCGCGGCCACGACGACTTCCACCAGCCCGGGACGTGCATCGCCATGGGGAGACCCAAGCCTATCGCCGCCTCCAACGCGCCAACCGAGCCGCGCAACTCCGGACTCGAGACCATCGTCGCGGGCGTCGTGTCCGGCTGCGTCACGCGCTCCTGCACGTCGCCTCTAGACGTGCTCAAGATCGTCATCCAAGTCAACGGGCCCGCGGGCTCCGCCGAGGCCTCCGTCGCTGCGGCCACCACCACGACGTCCCCCAGACCAGCTATGTCTACGCCGTCCACACTCATGGCCGCGCGCGCCGTCGCCTCGCGGCCGTCGGCGTCCTCCGCCATCGCGCGCACCGTGCGTGAGCTGTATGCGCTCGACGGCGTACGCGCCTTCTGGCGAGGCAACAGCGCCGGCTGCTGTCGCCTCGGGCCCTACGCGGGCCTCAAGTTCTACCTGTACGACTCGCTGCAGTCGCGGTTCGCGGCCAAGGAGGGCCGAGAGCTCAGCAACTGGCAGCGCGCGCTGTGCGGCGCCGTCGCCGGTCTCATCGCTACCATGGGCACTTACCCGCTGGAGGTCGTGCGCACCCGAATGATCTCGCAGACGACGGCTCCCGCCGCTGCCAACAGCGAGATCCGCGGCGTGCTACAGGGCGTGCGCCTCATCCTGGAGCGCGAAGGACTGCGTGGCCTGTACCGTGGCGGATGGTCTGGCGTCGTGGGCGCCATTCCGTTCGAGGGCGTGCAGTTCGGCTGCTACGAGTACATGAAGCTGACAGCCATCCGCCACCAGTGGCCGGCCTACCGCTGGCCCGAGGGAAAGACCGAGATGGACGGACTCGACTACTTCGTCTGTGGCAGTGTCGCCGGGGCTATCGCCCAGACGGTGGCGTATCCCTTCGACACGGTGAAGAAGCGTCTCCAGTCCCAGCAAGTGCACCTGAACGTGTCCTCTGTGGGGCCACTGTCGGCTGAGGGAGGCAGCCCGTCGACGCTATACTACCGCGGCATGGTGGACTGCTTCCGCAAGGTCATCCGCGACGAAGGTCCGCTGGCGCTGTACCGCGGCACGGGCCCCAACCTGGCGCGCATCGTGCCGTACGCCGCCGTCATGTTCTCGACGTACGAGACGACCAAGAAGACGCTGCGCGTCCTGAGCGGGCGCGAGTGAGTGGACGTGAGAGTGAGTGAAGTGAGAGAGAGACGAGAAGCCCCCCTCTTGATATTTATTAGTCCCAGTGAGTAAGTGACGCCTCTGCGAGCCGGAGGCCCAGTGAGCTGCATCCTGTGCCAACCTGCGTACGTTCTTGTATTTCTAGGGCTTGATGGAAAAAGCAAACGCCTATAACAAAATAATGAAACAAAGCAGCATGTCGAATGACTTATGGAGGAGAATACCTCTAGCTTTAGCTTTCTTCGCTTCTCAATATGGCGTACAACCACCAAACAAAAGCTCGGCATCCTCCCCAGGTGAACGGGCAGCCATCAGAACGGGGCTATCGTTCTCGCCACGAACTCGGGGCCCAGAGCCTTGTTCTCGCCGCTGATGCTGTACAGGCAGCGGAATAGCAGCGCGCAGTGGTCTCGAATCGTCTGCAGCACGCCAGCATTGAGCGGCTTGACGTCACTGAAGGACTCGTCGTTCATAATCGGCTGCAGACGTCTCGCAATCCACTCAGCATGGCCTCCGTCCATGTGGCCGCAGAGCAGGCGGATGAAGTACGGCGCCTCGCTGTGGCCTCGCTGGAGAATGGGGAGAAACTTGTCCCCATCCAGCAGTAGCAGATTCAGATGCACGTATCCCTCGAGCAGGCTGTAGTAGTAGCCCGTGTAGCCCAGACCGCCGAATGGCTGGATGCCCCACATCGTTGGGTCCAACGAGTTGCCGTCCTCGTCCGTCGGCGGCCGCTTGTCCGTCGCCGCGAACTCCTTCAGCGCGTCCACCAGGCAGCGAGCGAAGTGCGCCACCTGCTTCTCCATCGCCTCCGTATGCATGTAGCCGTTCTCGCTCGACGACACCGAGATGTAGATGTCACCGAGCGTGGACGACGGCAAGCGGTGCGCCAGGTGCGTCGCCATGCTGGCAAATCGGAGAGTGAAGGTGGTGGGCGGGTCACGCGAGCAAAGCCCGTCTCTAGAACGCTCGCTCGAGTCGACGGTTCATGGACTCAACAGAGCTGCAACCATTGACAGGGTATTGGGGTGGCGACTCGGAGTCGCTCGGATGAGGAGCTGCGCTCAAGGAAGCAATGAGTCATTGAATGACAGATACGAGTCGGTGTTCCCGCAAAAAGGGAGCGTTCAAACTTGGACCGTGGGCTCCGAGGCCAAGCTTCCGAACTGCAACGTGCCGTCGAGATCAGTGTCGGCAGTGCCGAGTCGGCACGTCCTGCTGATCCCTTGTCGCGTCGACAATCCAGCGGCAGCCGTGGTGGTGGCAACAGCCATGTACATGTACAGCCTTGACGTTCATCTTGAATCACCGCTGCGAACGCTGCTCAGCACGCGACAAATCCGAGTGGCACAAGATACTCTTGCAGAAACGCGCATTTCGATGGGGCAGCTCCAGGTTTAACTTGAAGCCGCCGCTTCAAGCAGCAGCACCAGCTTCGACATGGCTTCTGTCTCCACAGCAGCGGTGCGTGTCGACTTGCCTCCATCAGGTCTGGTTGTTGCAGCAGCAGCACCTTGCTGCTGCTTGGGTCACTGATGAGTGGCTGGCGCGGATCCTTCCATAATTCGCCCGCGGCCTCTCGGCGGCCAATGGCGCGTCGCATGGGGGACGTGCGTGCGTGGCGGGAGCATTCCTCGCCGGGCCGAGCTCAGTAGGAAATCCGCCGGCCCGCGCCCACATCGATCGACTCATCGGCCCCCAGCCAACTGCAGACCATGGGGAACGCCGCCGCCAAAGAAGCCGCCGCGCCCCCGCCGGCGCCAGTCAGCACCGCCAAGCAGCCCGAGACGCCCGAGCAGCCAGCGCAGCAGAAGGAGCCGTCCTTCCGCGTGCTCTCGGCCGACCAGCGCGCCATCACGTTCGACGAGCGCGTGCACCTGCGCACCGGCGCCGAGGCGCGTGCTGACCGCGTGACGCTCGGGCTGGGCGCCATGTCGGGCTTCCGGCCGCTGCAGCGCGCCGCCACGTTCGACCCGCGCCTGCGCTCGCAGAAGCAGCTCCTGACGGCGTCCGACGTGATGCACCGCCGCTACTTCAACGCGCGCGAGCGGCGCGTGAGCCTGTCGAGCGCCGAGCGCAACCTGTTCCGCATCGCCGAGGGCGAGCGCGAGCGCCAGGAGGCCGTCGTGGTCGTGGACCCGTACTCGACGGGCATGACCATGGCGCAGAAGGTCATGGAGCGCGGCTACCTCTGCATCTGCGTGTACTCGGACACGCTCGAGGTGACGCAGGAGCGCATCGCGCACGTGCCCAAGGACCTGGCCTCGCAGTTCTTGGCCATCATCTACCACGACGGAGAGGTCGAGCGGAAGGACGAGGCGCGCGCGCTCGAGGACACGGCGGCCGCGCTGCGCCGCGTCAAGAACGTGGACATTCTCGGTATCTTTGCCGGTGCTGAGACGGGCGTGCTGCTGGCCGACAAGCTGTCGGAGCACTTCAAGCTCACGACCAACGGCACCAGCGGCTCGGCCGCGCGCCGCAACAAGTACCTCATGGGCGAGAAGGTGCGCGCGGCCGGATTGCGCGCCGTGGCGCAGGTGCAGGCCACCAAGTGGTCGCAGGTCGAGAGCTTCGTCAAGAAGGAGCTCGTGCCCATGCTCAAGGGCGGAGACTTCAAGGTCATCGTCAAGCCCGTGGAGAGCGCCGGCAGCGACGACGTCACGCTGTGCCGCTCGATGGACGAGGTGCGCGCGGCATTCGGTAGCATCCAGGGCAAGATCAACGGTCTGGGGCTCGAGAACCAGGCCACGCTGGTGCAGGAGTACCTGGACGGCACGGAGTACGTCGTGGATACGGTCAGCCGCAACGGTGTGACCAAGGTCGTGGCTGTGTGGGAGTATGACAAGCGCGCTGTGAACGACGCGCCGTTCGTGTACTACGGCGTGCTGCTGCGCGCAGCTCCTGATGATTCAGTGCTGGCCAAGGTGGCCGACTACGTGCTGAAGGTGGTGGACGCGCTGGAGATCGTGCACGGCCCTGGGCACGCGGAGGTGAAGGTGATACGAGGCGAGCCGTGTCTTGTGGAGATCGGCTCGCGCTGCCACGGAGGCTCAGGCTCGTACTTGCCTATCGTGATGCCCTGCCTTGGCTACAACCACGTGGATGCTGCGTTGGACTCGTACCTAGATGTCGAAGCGTTCGAGCGCCTGCCGGACCGCCCTAGGGAGCTCAAGTCGCATGGCTGCGAGGCGATGCTGGTGTCGTACGAGACGGGAAAGCTGGCGGGATACCCAGGCCAGGAAGAGCTGGAGAACCTGCCGTCTACGGTGTCTACGATGTGGTTCACGCATGCTGGAGAGGAGCTGAAGACCACGGTGGACATGTTCACGACGCCCGGCAGCGTCATTATGGTCCACGAAGACGAGGAGCAGCTGAACCGGGACTACGCGCGCATCCGCGAGTTGGAGCACGAGGGACTGTATGCCTTGGAGCCCGAAGAAGAAGTTGAGGCGCAGCCGGAAGGAGCTCGCGGCACGGTGGTGGTCGTGGACCCGTTCTCTACGGGTGCTGTGCTGGCACACGAGCTCATGGTCCGAGGCTACGAGTGCATTTGCGTGTACAGCGACCGTCTAGAGAACATCGAGAGCGTGGCGAGCCTGGTCCCGGAAGGACTGACACTGGAGTTTGCGGCCACCGTTGCGTACGAAGGCAACTTGGATCAGACGGTGAGCGCTATTCGCAAGGCAGCCAAGCAAGTTGCGGACAGGCAGAACAAGAAGAAGCAGGGCGCTAAGACAAATGCTGCGGTGTGTGCCGTCTTCGCTGGTGCTGAGCTGGGCGTTAAGCTGTCAGATGCGTTGACGGATGCGCTCGGACTGGAGGGCAACGTTTTGGAGCACTCGAACGCGCGTCGTGACAAGTATCTGATGGGCGAAACACTGCGTGCAACGGGGGTGCGTGCCGTCAAGCAGGTGAAGGCGAAGACGTGGGCTGAGGCTGAAGCCTTCATCACGCAGGATCTGAAGCCGGAGCCCTTCGAGGTGGTCCTGAAGCCACTGGAGAGCGCGGGGACAGAGGACGTGGTTCTCTGTTTGTCTTTGGAAGAAGCGAAGCGCACTTTTGAGGGCATTCTCGGCAAGATCAACGGTCTGGGACTTCAGAACGAGGCCGTGCTGCTGCAGGAGTACCTGGAAGGGGATGAGTACGTGGTGGATACGGTCAGCCGCAACGGCGAACACAAGGTGACCGCTATCTGGAAGTACGACAAGCGCCGTGTGAACGATGCTGCGTTTGTGTACTTCGGCCTGTCCTTGGTGCCTGCAGAGGGCATCGTCAACGACATGATCGACTACCAGTTCCAAGTGCTTGGTGCGTATTGACTTTAGTATGATATTTTGGTGTAAGGAAGCGCTCTGACGTTGTGTTTATGTATACTGTAGATGCACTGGGCATTCGCAACGGACCTGCTCACGGTGAAGTCAAGTTCTGCCGTGGTTCCCCTGTATTGATCGAGGTTGGCTCTCGTTGCCACGGTGGTGAAGGAGCATGGGTCCCCATTGCGAACACTTGTGTCGGCTACAATCAAGTGTCAGCGGCCGTCGACAGTATCTTAGATGGCGAAGCGTTTGCCAAGCTGACCGACCGACCCAGGAAACTTCTGGCGTACGGCTGCGAGGCCATGCTAGTGTCGTACAAGAACGGCGTGCTGAAGAGCACACCAGGCATCGCGGAGATCGAGAAGATGCCCGCCTTCCTCAAGAAGGAGATCTTCGTCGCACCAGGAGATAACGTACGCCAGACGGTGGACATGTTCACCACGCCTGGCAGCATCATGCTCACGCACAAGGACCGTGACGTGCTCGAGGGAAACCTTGCACGTATTCGCGAGCTCGAGGTCGAAGGGCTGTTCGAGCTGGTTTAGACCAGTACAAGAACAAGAGCAACGTCACGCTTCGCGTGCACAAGTCCTGAGGCAGTGGTCGTGTTGGTGAGCGTCTCCTTTTCTTGCGTATTATCTAATGGATTTGTTTGGTACAGCTAGTTGTCTCCTGTCATTTGAGAACCTGGTGCTTGAGGCAGTCGTTGATCTTGCAGGACCGGCCTTCGAAGACACACCTCTGGCAGTATCCCGATCGTTTGTTCGGTGACGTGCTGCCGCCACCGGCTCCACCGCCGCCTGCTTTATGGTGTCCATGCGCGTGATTCCTGTGCGTTCGGGAAGGACTCGACGATTTTGGTGGGCTGGCGTCGGCTGAGGGAGGTGCGGCTGGCGTCTTCGTAAGTGGAGCAAGCAGGGAGTTGTTGCTGCCCCCATCCGCCTTCTTGTCAGCTCCATTTTCTGGTGACGATCCATCACGAGGTGAGTGCTTTAAGCGGTGTGTGTGTGTCTTGGTCAATTCAGTGGTGTGACTGTCATTGTGAACTGCGACTAAAGGTTGTGGGGGAAGAGTTGGAAGCGGTGGAGATGGCGGTGGCGACGTCTGTGACGCTGCGTCGCGCAGCTTTTTGGGCTTGTGGTGATGGTGGTGGTGACGTGAAGATGGAGGCGGCTGGGCATAGATCAGTGCTGCAGCACGTGCCGAGGATAGCGGTGTTAACTCGAGCTCAGCTGCAATGGAGGATTGTGAGGTGTGCTTTTCCAGCCTTGAGCTTGTCTTGGAGGGAGTACGCGAGCTGTCACTCACGAATATGGCCTCATCGAACCGCGGTGTTTTACGAGGCGTCTTGTGATGGTGAAGCTTTGTTCTTCCGGATAGCGGTGCTCCTGGAATTCCAGGTAGAACCAACGGTGGCAATGTTGTTTGCGGGGGCTCTGGCTCCGAACAAAGTGATCGCTCGTCGCCTAAAGTCACAGCTGGAGGTGCTGAAGACGGCGAGTTGTCCGTGGATGGTGCCGTTCCCAGTCCACGCTTGCTCGTAATCGGGCTCTTCCGTCTGCCGTTGAACGAACGGTTAGTGGTCAAGCGAGCGCAGTTAGCAGGTAGCGGTGGAAACTTACCTTGGAGTAGCTTTGTCAGGTGGGGTTGCTCTTACTGAGAGGATTACAGGCGGCACAAACGGAGTTTCTGGTTCTGGTGACCGCGTCGACGGCAATGGCGATCGTGTCGGCGCATCTTCAGCGGTTGGAGTGTTGATGGGAGTGTAGTCGTCGTCATATACCTCCTCGTCTTGAGGCTCAGGTGGGCTGACAGGAACCGCTTGGTGGAGAGCCGACGCTACAACTTCGTTTACAAACGGAATCGCGAGCTCGGCCACAACCTCTGAGGACACAGGTGCTGCACTGGGTAGTTGGAGCGCCGGCAAATTGACCGATTCTTCAACCTCTTCTGTTGATGGAGAGGGTTGCTGCTGTGGTCGCTCTTGCAAGTCCGTGGAGTCCGCCGAAATATTATCTGCCTCAACGACTGGAAGAGTGCTATCAGGATCAGGGGGTGAAGCGTCTGCTACAGTTTGTGCGACCAGCTCACCACGGACGGCCTGGGCGAGCCATGTACTGGCAAGGCCAATTGCTTGAGCCACGTTTTCACATGCAATACCGACAGCCTCTTCAGCTGTGGCTTTAGCAAGCTCTCGAATGGCAGCGACGGGAACATCGTCTTGGAACGAAAGCCGAGGAATGCTATGAGCACGCACAACTTCTGGAGTATCCGGAGGCTCTTCATCTTCCTCGATAGCGGCGTCGATGGACGGAGAGGCGTCAGCCACAGCGTGAGCAACCAGCTCACTGCGCACAGCTTGGGCGATCCACTCGGTGGCATTGTGGATGGCGATGCCCTCGTCAGGGTCCATGGTTTCGGACACCAGTTCATTCTCCACGGCTTGGGTGATCCACTCGGTGGCCTTCTCAACGGCTCGTACGACCTCGTTGACCGCTTCTTGTGTCGCCGCATCGACTGTCGCTTTCGCGACCGCGTGGATAACAGCGCTCGGAGGTCGGGTCAACAGCGGCAACGGCTTAACGAGGTCAGGTGGAGAAGCGGTGGCATGTTTGCCATCCTCCTCGACTGGGTCAGGGTCAGGAGGGTCAGCAGTGATCACCGCCTGGGAAATGAACTCTCCACGCGCGGCGTCAACGAACCACTGCGTCGCGCCTGCAACAGCCTGAGCCAAAGCTTCCACTGCTTCCTGAACGACGGCGTCAACGGTGGACTTGGCAACGAGACCGATGCTCAGAGTAAGCGTCTCATCGAGCGGTGAGTTGTTGCCGGGATAAAGAGGCGGAACTCCAGGCGTCTCGAGCTCGTCGCCGCTACTCCCGACACTCATGATGACTTTGTCTGCGCCGAAATGAACTCGCGGTGATCATCATCGCACGCAGCCAAGCTCAAAAATACTTCGACCAAGAAAAACTCCGAGGAGACCAAGCGAACGCTCATTTTATTATTATTATGGCTGACGCTCTCATGCTTGAGCGAGGCGTAATGTCTTGGGGGACTGAGGTCTTCGCTGCGGTTTGTAAAGTTCTCGTGGCGTTCGAGCTCTTGGAGGCGATTTACTGCTGGGTCTCAGAGACCCTTGGGCTAGGATGGCTCGCACGCTGTCGATGAGGTCGCTCTGGAGCTGGTAGCGTTCAGCTACAGTGACCACGAGCTCGTACTGCCGCCATGCTGCGTCGTGGTCGCTCAGATGCTCCAGCTCCACTGCGAAGTTGTAGTGGGCCACCAGCAGTAACTGAGAGACTTCGGCGCTTAGATTCTCGCTGTCTCCTTCAGTGGTTGACAGCAACGCCACGGCCGCTTTGGCGTGTGCAGCGGCTGCAACGTGGCGGTGGAGCTGCGAGAGCACAGCACACAGGTTGAGTCGATTAAGAGCGATCTCGTGGTCCGGAATGCTCGAATCATTGCCCTGAGACTTGATCTGCAGCTTCAACGCTCGCTCGAGGAAGCTGACCGCCGCGATGGGCTTACCCGTGTGCTTGGCGTGACAGGCGAGGTTGTTGAGCGTGATGAGGCGGAACGCGCGCCGGTGGTTAGTGTGTTGTGCTTCAGGGATACTGCGCAGGTACCCCGTGTGTCGAGTGTGCTGCTCTGCTCGAAGGAGCAGGTCGCCGCATTGTTCACAAGTGATGATATCCTCCGGCGTCGAGCGCTGCAGAGCCTTCATCGCGAGCGTGTTGCTCAGCAGTAGAAACTCCTCGCAGCCTTGCTGGAAATGCACCGAGTGCACGCCGAACTGCTCCTTGTGGTGGAAGATGAGGCGTTCGACGTCTTCGAGGGCGCGGTGGACAGTAGTGAACGGAATTCGAGGCTCAGCGTCAAGTGCGCGCACTTGAACCAGAGCTTCCGCCAGCGCCACGATCACTTCTCGTTCATCCATCAGATACGTTCAGGTCTCCCAGCGGGATTTCGAAGGCAGTTTGCGTTCCTACTTGCAAGATAAGACACGTGAAGTTGCGCTCGCATCGAAATAGCAGGAGAATGGAAATAGCAAGATGAAGAAGAAGTACCAAGTTTGACTTCAGCCTCACCACTGCTGAACTATAGCAGGCAGAGGCAATTGGAGACGAGCGGCAGACAGCAATGGACGTCTTGAAGCGATTGAGAGAGCTTGGCTTCAAGCACGGGCGATACCAAAGGTGCGATCTTCTCTTGTCGTCTTGTGTGTGGAGTGGAGCTCATTGTCTGAAGATTCTCGATGATGCACTACCAGCAAGTTTCGAACGCGCCATGAGCCCAAGACCAGGCGCACGAAGAGCATCCGGCGCCAATTGCCGTGGGAGTCACTCTTCATGCGCAAGTCTCGCGCCGAGAAGAGAGTGCGTCCCGGCGTCACACAGCACAACTTGAGAGTTATGAACAGGTGCTCATATTCTAGTTGTTTTCTTGCAGGAGATCATCTTGAGGCCGTGGGAGTACCCGATGGCAGCTCAAAACCTCTCGGTCATCCTCATCCAGAAGCGTGTGCGAGGTATGCTCTGCCGAATGCGCCACTCGTCGAAAACAGCCTCAAATCGACCGGCAAATGACCACACGACGAAGAAGGCCAAGGCTCGCATTCGCAGTCCAATGCAGCAATTCGTCGCAAGCGGTGGGAGCTTCTCCGACGAGAGTGGCTTTCGTAACTTCGTGGCGACAAAGCTGCAGGCTTGGTTCCGGATGGAGCATCTGCGCTGGCGCGGAACACTCGATCGCTTCCCGCTGTACCACATCGCAGCCCTGCAGCTCCAGTACGCGTGGAAGGCGCACTACCAGCACAAACTGTACCAGCGCCAAGCTCGCGGCGCTCGATCCGCCGCATTGACGCCCGCGAACCGCGCCGCGATCTGCATCCAGAGCGTCTGGAAGAGCTACACGCACCGCCGCATCTTCCGCTACTACCGCGATCTGCTCTCGTTCCGCAGCACTGGCGACCCAGCGCGCATGCTCCGAGCCATCAACCCGTCGGAGGCGTCGCTGCTGGATGCGTCCATGGGCGCCCAGGTGCGGTTCCGCCTCGGTGGCCTGGCGTTCCCGCCCACCATCTACTACAAGATCTTCACGCGCAAGCCCGTGTGCGACCTGGGCGCCTTCAGCCCCAAGGACTACGCGGTCGCGCGTCAGACGGCTCCAGTGAGCCACTCGCACGAGAAGCGCCGGCCGGGCCAGTCCGTGCGGACCACGTACATCCGCGTGGGCAACTCGTACTACCGCGCGCGGCAGCAGGCGGAGGACACGCGGCTGTGGTACCGACGACTGGAGAACAACGGCTGGCGTCCCGTGACGGCCAAAGTGCTGGCCGAGGCCAACGCGGACCCCATCGCGCAAGCCACAGGCGGGCGCCACACCGCGAGCGGCTTCCACTACTCGAAGCTCGTGCGGCAGCAGGACCGCGAGCGCGCGCGCCGCCACAAGAAGCGGCTGTGGATGCAGAAGCTCTACACGCAGGGCCTGCTGACCGCAACGGATCGGCCCGAGCACGAGCAGGAGGAGGACGAGGAGGACGAGGAGGACAACGGACAAGGGGAGAGGCAGCCGCGTGTGCTGTTCGACGTGGACTTTGACGACGAAAACTGGGAGGCCGAGGCCGAGGACATGTTCCAGTGGGCCGCAGCGCTCGACTTCGACGAGTACGTGGACAACTGGCACGAGCTCGGCCGCACAGCCGCCACCGACGACGAGCTGCTGAGTGGTACAAGTTGAAGTGCCTTTCGGAGCCGGTACAGTGTACCGTATTTCTAACGAAGTCCAACATTTGGGAGCAGATTTTTTTTGCTCCCATTTAATGATTTTACTATTGTACATTTCGCCAAAACTGTTTCCACCTTTTCGGATGGGTAGTTGTAATTGTTGCTTTCTACGTGTACTATTACACGACCATCACTCGACAATCGACCGGCCCAAGGATGCTCCGCCTGCAGCGTCGAGCTCGCGTGCCGCCCGCGCACCTGCGGCGTCTGCAGCACACGGCCGCGGCCGCCACTGCCACCTCTGCGTCCTCCACTTCCTCCACCTCTTCCTCCTCCACGGGCGCCGACTCGTCCAATGGCGGCAGCGGAGAGGAGCCGCCCAAGTACAAGCCCGGCTGGTTCAGCCGCAACCCGGGCGTCACGCTGGGCGGCATCCTGCTGGGCAGCGGCTGCTACATCTACCGCGGCTCGCGCGGCAAGAAGAACTTCGAGGCGCTGCAGACGCCCATCGCCGAGGCCGCCATGATCTCGCCCTACGAGGCCTGGGAGCTGCGCAGCAGCAACAACATCACGCCCGAGACCTTCGAGGACGTACGCGGCGGCGTGGCGCGCGCCTTCCCGTCGGGCAAGGCCTCGATGCAGCACTTCGACCAGTACCTGGGCTTCAAGCTGGCCCAGGCCTGCCCCGCGGGCGTGAGCAAGGCCTACCACCTGGAGCGCGTGCTGCTGAGCCTCGAGCAGGACACCGACCGCAAGAGCGACGTGGACGCGCAGATGGTGGCCTTCTCCATGGCCGTCAAGGGCGCCGTGGACGAGCGCCTGCGCATCCTCTTCAACTTGGCCACGAACGCGCCGCCCGGCGAAGCGCTCAACGCCAAGAGCGAGGACGAGAAGAAGGAGGAGGCGGACACGCGCGAGATGACGCAGGAGCAGCTGGAGCGCCTGCTGCACCTGCTGCTCGAGACGTACCAGATCCCGTCCGAGAAGCGCGTGCTCGCGGTGGAGGGCGCCAAGTACCCGTTCCAGGAGTACGTGGCGGCCACGCCCTCGGACATGCTCAAGGCCGCGGTGCAGGCGCAGGTGGCCGACAAGAAGATCACGGAGGAGGAGGCGCGCGAGCGCCAGGCCTACACGTTCGAGGCCTTCTCGCAGATCATGCGCGGCAAGACCGTGTGCCTCTGGGGCGAGTGCTTCTCCAACAGCAAGAAGAAGATGAAGAACTAGACGGCCACGCACAGCAGCAACAAGAGCACTCTTACTCACTGTTCTTCACACTTTACTCACTCACTCTCTCTTACTCACGGTACGCTCGCCCCTACTGCCGTCGAGACCGAAGTGGTGTCCGCCCGCCGGCTCTGCTCCATGTAGGCGAGCCGCATCATCGGGTGCGCCTCCACCTGGTTCATCTCCTGCAGCACCGTGGCCGCGCTGTGGCGTAGCTGGTGGAACTGTCGGAGTGGCACGTGAATCGTCCGCGTCTTGCCGTCCGACGTCTGCAGTCGCACGAGGATGCGGCGTCCAGCGTCGTCTCCCGTTGCCACCTTCCAGTGCAGCTGCTGCACCCTCGGCAGCGAGAAGTTGGTCGTCTCGGCGGCCTGCGTGAGCGTCGCCCAGTGACGCTCCAGTAGCTGCCGGCAGCGCAGCTGGAAGGCGTCCGGCAGACTCTCAACGAGCGCCTGCTGCCTCGCCAGCTCCGTCTTGAGCTCCGTCCTCTTCTCCGCTGCAGGCAGCAGGAACGTCATGTGGCCGCGCACGGCCGCCTCCAGCAGACGCCGCAGCAGCATGGCCAGGGCCAGGAAGTCCCTCAGCTCGGCGCCGCTGACGGCCGCGGCGGCGCGCTCCGCCTCTGCGTCCTGCTCGCACTGAAGCGCCACGGCCAGTTGCATGGCGGCGTCCAGGTGCTTGGCCACGAAGACCTCGCCCGCCTCGCGCAGCAGCGCCTGCCACTCGCGCACCGCCTCGGAGAACGCCTCCATGCTTTGCTTGATATGATCTGCGAATCTGGGGAGACTGGAGCCATGTACCGGATATCAGGTACCATGTCGTCGGATCGAAACGACGCGAGCCAAACGGCGGCCGATCCGACCCAGAGAGAGGGAGGAGACCACGACAGATAGGAGGCCAGGTCGGGACCATGTCGCTGGACGACGTGACGCGGCGATGGCTGCGGCGGCTCGTGTCGCGAGCATTGGATGTCGAGCCCGCAGTAGTCGACCAACTCCTGACAGGAACCAAGACCGCGGACAACCAGGCCGAGCCTTTTGCTGCTGATCTAGTGCAGCTGTTCTTTTCTGCGAAGGCTGAAGCCGGCAGCGTCCTCTTCTTCTTCAAGGGGGAGGAGCAGTACGAGCTTGAAGAGGAGGTGGAGGAAGAGGTCGAAGTCACTCGAGAAGCCTCACCCACAGGTAAGCATCATCAGGCAGCAACATTCTCTGGTTGAGTGAGGGTCTTACTCACGACCTCTATCTTATGCTCCTGTCGATACAGACCCACCGAGTGAAGAAGCACCGACTGAGCCGACAGACGAGCAGTTGTTCCTCGATGCAGAGGCTCCACCACCGCAGACGGAGACGGTCAAGAGGCTGGTGAAGCGCTCGCGGACGGCTACGCGCCAGGTGTGTCACGCCTCTTTGAATACGCTGCCCGCGGACTCCTCCGAGTCCTCCACCGTGTTCTTGATCAAGGTGGCGGCAGGACCCGTCACAGTGCAAAATATCGTGACGGACGGCCACGAGAAAGTCGCTCACTCGAATGTCGAGCTCGGCTGCTCGACTGGAGACTTGCTCTCGAACTTGGAGGGCATCATCTGCCACGTATTCATGCCACTGCTCGACCCGCAGCTTTCAAGAGCCGACTATATGTCTAACGGACGAGGTGAGGGCGACGACGCGGGGGCCAAGAACTCGGCAGCTGCGCACCAGGCTCTGAAGGTGATCGACGCGGTGCGTAACGAGTTCAAGAGCAACTTGGTCAAGTTTTCGTCGCAGATCTCGAACGCCATTCAACAGATTCAGGGCGACATCCACTTGAATATCCCCGACGTCGTCATCACCAAGCCCGAGTCGCATCTGGATGACTATGAGCTGATTAACACGCTGGAGCAGGCGCTCGAAGAATGGTCCAAGAGCGTGGCCAGCGTTGTGGAGCAGGAAGCCCGGAAGACCCCCAAGAGGAAGGGGCCACTCGCTGAGATTGAGTTCTGGAGGGAGCGTAACGCTACACTCAGCACCATCTTCGAGCAGATTAACATGCCCACGGTCCAGAAAATGCTCAAGCTGCTGGAACTGGTGGAGGCGAGCATGCTGCTCACGTTCAAGTATCACTTCTCAGAGCTGAGCAAGCTCTACGTGGAGGCGAAGGACAACGTCAAGTTCCTCACGACCTTGGAGCGTCACTTCAAGAACATCGCCAGCGGCTCTTTCTCCGCGATCGCCGATACACTGCCGTCCATGATGAACGCTATCCGCATGGTCTGGATTATCTCGAGGCACTACAACACGGACGAGCGGATGGTGCCGTTGATGGAGCGCATCGCGTCCGAGATCGTGGACAAAGTGGCAGTGGAGATCAACGTCCACACCATCCTACGGAAGAGTCCGGAGAATGCGCTTCACGCCATTGAGGAGGCGAAGATGGTGCTGGAGTTGTGGCATTCCACGTACATAAAAGTGCGCGAGCGTATCGAGGCCAGCGGGACTGATCACCGCTGGGAGTTCGACCGCAAGCGGCTGTTCGAGCAAACCAACTACATGGCCAAGATCTGTGAAAACCTCCAAGAGGTGGCGACGGTGCTTGACCAATTCAACAAATTCCTAGGACCCGAGCTCAAGTCCGTGACCGGGGACTCCCAGGGGATTGACGAGGTCATGGCACGCGTCGAGAGTCTCATCGCTCCGTTCGAGAGCGTCCCGTTCAAGATCTTCGACCGCGGCTACAAGACGAGCTGGGAGTCCGTCATGGTCCAGTTCCGCGATAAAGTGAGCGAGATCGAGCACATGACACGGAAGTTCATTGACACGTCGTTCCAGAAACTCCGATCTGCTGAAGGCGCGTTCGACCTGCTGCAAAACTTCCAGAACATCCAGTCGCGCGAGTCCATCAACAAGCAGATGATGGAGAAGTACAAGGACATCCTCATGCAGTACACCAAGGAGCTAGAGAAGCTGGAGGAGCAGTTCCACCGATACAAACACCGGCCGCCAGTGTACAAGAACCACCCGCCCGTTGCAGGCGCTATCAGCTGGTCGCGCGCGCTCTACCTGCGCGCGAAGAAGCCCATTCTGCGCTTCCGAACCATGAACGACCTGCTCAAGAGCCCGCACGGAGAAGAGGTGAAGGACAAGTATCTCGTCTTCGCACGCGCCGTGGACGCCTACATCAAACAACTCCACAAAGACTGGAAGGAAAAGGTGCCCGCCCTGACGAACGAGTGCCTGAAGCAGTCGATCCTCGGCCCAAAGTTGATTGAGGCGGGCAAGTCGGAGACCGGCGTCATGCTGTACAAGCTGCCTCCTCCGCCGTTCTACGCCAACTTCTCGCCCGAGCTGGCCATGATCATCAAGGAGTCGAAGTACCTTGATCGCCTCGGGTTTGAGATCCCGGAGGAGGCGCTTAACGTGACGCTGCAAGAAGACAAGTATCACCAGTACGTGCAGGAGCTGACGCTGATGCTCCGACGGCACGACGCGCTTCTGGCGGAGCTCACTCCGGTCGAGACGCACCTCTTGCGTTCACAGCTCAAGGCCCTGGAAGACGTGCTGCGCGTGGGCTTTTCGCCTCTGAACTGGAACTCGCAGCGCGTACTGAGCTTCATCGAGAACTGCAACAAGTCGCTGAACCAGTTCGCGAACCTCGTGAGCCAGATCCACAAGAGCAGCAAGATGGTGGAGGAGATCGTCATGGATATCGAGAACACGCTGCTGATCAAGATCGAGGACTTCGAGGAAGGTGTCGTGACGGAGGTGGGCGAGTTCTACGAGCTCGTCGAGCGCAACCGCATGCAGCGCATCGACGAGCTTGTGCAGAGCTACCGCTCGATCGGTCCTCTGCTCATCAAGGTGGAGGAGATCGTCGCGGGTGTGAACACAGGCACTAGCCCGAAGATGTCGACGTACTACATGTACTGGGAGCGCCGCATCTTCAACGCCATCACCAAGATGATCATTGCGTCGATGACGACGTTCCAGGCGCTGCTCAACGTGCACACGAAGGACATCAGCAGCGCCGTCTCGGTCATGGGGCTTGGAGAAGGAGGGAAGCTCAAGCGCCCGCCACTGTGCAAGGTCAAGGCGACCATGAACGGCAAAGACATCATCGTGACGCCGTCCCTCTCGGACATGTACAAGTACCTGAGCAAGTCCGTCAAGCACATCGTCGAGAGCGCCAAGGCGTTCATCCGCTGGATGCACGGAACGTGTCGAGAGACGCAGCCGCTCATCGTGAACGAGGACGAGGAGCCGATCACCTTCACCTTCTACTCGGACATCTCGCAGAACCCGTACGTGATCAAGATGACGCTGTCGCTCAACCAGGAGATCCACAAGGTCTTCAACATCGTGAACCGCTACCTGGATAGCTGGCGGCGCTACGACACCGTGTACAACCTCTGGAACACCAAGCGACGAAGCGCGCTCGAGAAGCTGGCGGACAAGAAGCCCCCTTGCGTGTACTTTGACACGCGCATGGCGCAGTACACTCGCCTGGCTGAGTCCGTCCGCAACCAGCCCACGGAGAAGGACACGGACTTCTTGCAGATCAACTGCCTCCCGTTGGCCATCGCCATCGCCAAGCAGGCCGAGATGTGGAAGGACGACTACGGCAAGATCCTCCTCGAGGTGTCGAACAAGAAGCTCGTGGCCATCAGCGCCACGATGGACCAGCTCGAGGCCGAGCTGGACGCGACCCCAGAAGACCTCGATTCGCTCAAGAAGGTGCTCAACACGGTGGCCAGCATCAGCGACATGGGCATGGAGATGGAGCTCGAGTACGCGGACATCATCGAGCGCTACCGCACGTTGCAGACGTTCAGCATCGCTGGAGACCCAGCCGAGTTCAAGAAGGCCTTCTCGCTCAAAGAGAGGTGGCGGAACCTCTTCCTCGCGTCCAAAACCAAGGACCTACGCCTCGTTAAGGTCAAGGACCAGTTCCGAGGCGTGACCAAGCAAGACGCGATCAACTTTGCGGAGGACTGCAAGGCGATGAAGAAGGAGTTCATGGAGCGAGGACCGGGCACGTGCTCGCTTGATCTGGACGCGGGCCTCGAACTGGTGTCGGTCTTCCAGAAGAAGCTCACGGTGTTCAAGGCCCGACGACAAGAGCTCGCGAACGCTGAGAACCTCTTCGCCTTGTTCATCACGTCCTACCCGGAGCTGCAGCAGATCGCGGAAGCCCTGGAGAAGCAGCAGGTCATTTACGCGCTCTACACGGAGCAGAAGGAGTTTATCAGCAACCTGTCGAGTATGCTCTGGGCCGAGCTGGACGTGGCGGCCATGAACAAAGGCATCGAGGAGCTGGAGAAGCGCTGTCGTAAGATCCCCAAGGACCTCAAGGCCATGTCGACTTTTGTGGAGGTGGAGAAGCAGATCCTGGCCTTCAAGGACAGTATCCCGCTCATCCAGAGTCTCAAGAACGAGGCCATGAAGCCGCGCCATTGGGAGGAGCTCATGACCGTGACCCAGGTGCGCTTCGAGATGAACCTCAAGACGTTCACGCTGGGCAACCTGTTCGTCATGAAGCTGCACCGCTTCTCGACGGAGATCGAGGAGATCGTGAACGCCGCCATGCAGGAGCAGAAGATCGAGCAGGAGATCCTCAAGATCGAGGACTCCTGGGCCAAGGCGGCGCTGGAGCTGGTCAAGTACAAGAAGAACGGCACCGACCGCGGCTGGGTGCTCCGCGCCGCCGACGAACTCAAGATCACGCTGGAAGACCACATGCTCAACCTGCAGACCATGTCGGGCTCGCGCTTCATCGCCAACTTCTCCGAGCGCGTCCGCAAGTGGGAGAAGCGTCTGGGCGTCGTGAACGAGTGCCTCGATATCTGGTTCGTCGTGCAGCGCAAGTGGATGTACCTCGAGAGCATTTTCGTCGGCGCCGAGGACATTCGCCAGCAGCTGCCGGAGGAGGCCAAGAAGTTCGACGCGATCGACAAGGCCTGGAAGACCATCATGGGCGCCACCTACAAGAACGCCAACGCCGTGGAAGCCTGCACAGCGGAGAACCGGCTGGAGACGCTGCACTCGCTGTCCGAGCGGCTCGACAAGTGCCAGAAGTCGCTGAGCGACTACCTCGACACGAAGCGGAACTCGTTCCCGCGGTTCTTCTTCATCTCCGACGACGAGCTGCTCAGTGTGTTGGGCTCTTCCGACCCGACGTCCATCCAGGTTCACATGCTCAAGCTCTTCGACAACGTCAAGTTGTTGACCTTCGTACGCAACAACAAGAGCGTCGGCGCCATGGAGAGCGCCGAAGGAGAAGGCTTCCAGTTCCGCACGCTGTCTGCTGTGGAGGGCCCCGTTGAGTCGTGGATGACGGGCGTCGAAGACGAAATGCGAGTGACTCTGCAGTGCATTGCGAAGGAGGGCGTGTTCCAGTACGCCAACATGGACCGCACCAAGTGGCTCGAGCAGGTGCTGGGCATGGTGTCGCTCGTGGGCAGTCAGATCTGGTGGACGTGGGAGGTTGAGGACGTGTTCCATCGAGTCAAAGGTGGCGACAAGTACGCCATGAAGGGCCTTGAAGGACGGCTGACGGAGCAACTCAACAGTCTCGTGCGGCGCGTGCGGGAGCCGCTGGATAAACTCACGCGTAAGAAGGTTAACACGCTGCTGATCATCGACGTGCACGCGCGCGACATCGTCGACTCGTTCGTTCGAGACAGCATCCTGAACGAGAAGGAGTTCGCCTGGGAGTCGCAGCTCCGGTTCTACTGGAGGAAGGACGTGGACGACGTCGTCATCAGCCAGTGCACGGGCAACTTCCGCTACGGCTACGAGTACATGGGCTTGAACGGGCGACTGGTGATCACGCCTCTGACAGATCGATGCTACATGACGCTAACGCAGGCGCTGACGTTTAAGCTTGGAGGCTCTCCTGCAGGCCCTGCGGGTACGGGCAAGACGGAGACTGTCAAGGATCTGGCCAAGTCGCTCGCGTTACCGTGCTATGTGATCAATTGCGGCGAGGGGCTGGACTACAAGGCCATGGGGAGTATCTTCTCGGGGTTGGTCCAAGTCGGCGCCTGGGGCTGCTTCGACGAGTTCAACCGCATCAACATTGAGGTGCTGTCTGTGGTCTCGGCCCAGCTTCGAGCGATCCAGAACGCGCTCAACTACGACAAACCCACCGTCGACATTGGCTTTGGCCAGGAGATCGCCATCCACCGCACGGCTGGCTTCGCCACCTGCGGGTTCTTCATCACGATGAATCCAGGATACGCCGGACGCACGGAGCTGCCAGACAACCTCAAGGCGCTGTTCCGACCCGTGACAATGATCGTGCCGGACCTGCTGCAGATCTGCCAGATCATGCTCTTCTCCGAGGGCTTCGAGAACGCCGTCTCGCTCGCCAAGAAGATGACGGTGCTGTACAAGCTCTCGCGCGAGCAGCTTTCCAAGCAGTATCACTACGACTTCGGGCTGCGCGCGCTCAAGAGCGTGCTGGTCATGGCGGGGTCGCTCAAGCGCGAGTACAGCGACATGAACGAGGACCTGGTGCTCATGCGCGCGCTGCGAGACAGCAACATGCCCAAGTTCGTGTTCGAGGACGTCCCTCTGTTCCACGGACTGATCAACGACCTGTTCCCCGGCTTGGACTGCCCCCGTGTGGGGTACGCAGCGCTGAAGGACGCTATCGAGGCAGAGCTCGTGGCTGGCGAGTACAACACCACCAACCCTGCCGTGTACAACGAGCAGATCGACAAGATCATTCAGATGTACGAGACCATGCTGGTGCGGCACACGACCATGATCGTCGGCCCCACCGGCGGTGGGAAGACCCTCGTGCTGAATACGCTGGCGGCCGCGTCCAAGACGGCTCTGGACGAGCAAGTCAAGATCTTCGTGCTGAATCCCAAGGCTCAGCCGATCGCAGAGCTCTACGGCACGATGGACCCCGTTACGCGTGACTGGACGGACGGCGTGCTGTCCAAGCTCTTCCGAGAGCTCAACCAGCCTCTCCCCACCGGCAAGGAGAACGAGAAGCGGTGGCTCATCTACGACGGAGACGTCGACGCCGTGTGGGTGGAGAACATGAACAGCGTCATGGACGACAACAAGCTGCTGACGCTGCCCAACGGCGAGCGCATTCGGCTGCAGACTCACTGCTGCATGATCTGCGAGACGTTCGACCTCCAGTACGCGTCTCCAGCTACCATCAGTCGCTGCGGGATGGTCTGGGTCGACCCGAAGAACCTCGGGTATCGCCCATACTACGAGCGGTGGCTCAAGAAGAAGTACCCGCTAGTCCCCGTCTCGACAGATACCCCTCCGGGCCCCAACTCGCCGCCTCCTGGATCTACTGCGATGTCCACCCCACTCGAACGCACGCTGTTGCTGGAACTGTTCGACAAGTACGTGCCCAAGTGCATCGACTTTATCCTGGAAGGCGTCTTCGGCGCGGACGAGATCGTGGCCAAGTGCCAGCAGGTGATCCCCATCAGCAACATGGAAATGTGCAAGCAGCTCTGCATCTCGTTGGACGCGTTCCTGCCCACGGACGGCTCGTTGGATCCGACGTCGGACCGTGCGAGCGTTGAAGGAATCTTCTTGTTCAGTGTAGTGTGGTCCCTGGGCGCTGCGCTGCTCGGTAGCAGCCGTGCTCGGTTTAACGAGTTCCTCCGCAAGATCGCAGACTGCTCCCTGCCGGCCACGAGCCTCTACTACAACTTCTTCGATTTGGAGACCCGCAAGTGGCAGCCTTGGGAGTCGCGCGTGGTTCCGTACGCCGAGCCGGCTCCGTTCAACTTCTCGCGCGTGTTTGTGCCCACGACCGACTCGGTGCTGTATAGCTTCATCCTGGCGAGCTGCATGCGCACGGAGAAGCCGATCCTGTTCGTGGGCGAGAGCGGCACGGCCAAGACCGTGACGATCCAGAGCTACCTCCAGGACCTGGACCAGCAAACGTGCTCGACGCTGAGTATCAACTTCTCGAGTCGAACCAGCAGTCTGGACGTCCAGACGAACATCCAAGCGAACGTCGACAAGCGGTCCGGCAAGATTTACGGCCCTCCAGCGGGGAAGAAGCTCTTGATCTTCATCGACGACCTGAACATGCCCAAGGTGGATCTCTACGGAACGCAGCAGCCGATCGCGCTCCTGCACTTTGTGATGAACCGCGGCAGCATGTACGACCGCGGCAAGGAGCTGGATCTCCGTATCCTCAAAGACTTGCTGTTCATCGGCGCCATGGGACCTCCCGGCGGCGGTCGGAACCAAGTGGACCCTCGGTTCGTGGCGCAGTTCAACGTGTACAACCTCACGCCTCCAACGAAAGAGGTGCTCAAGCACATCTACGGCTCGATCGTGACGACGTATCTGCGGAACTTCAGTGAACCGATCCAAGCCAAGGGCATCAAGCTGACGGAGGCTCTGCTGCAGTTCTTTGAGTTCACGCTCGAGAAGCTGCCACCCACTCCGTCCAAGTTCCACTACATCTTCAACCTCCGCGATCTCGGGCGTGTCTGCGAAGGGATCTGCATGGCCACGACGGACAAGTTCGACAGTCCTGGCAAGATCGTGAGGCTCTGGAGGAACGAGGTGAAGCGAATCTTCTGCGACCGGCTCACGAGCGAGTCCGACAACGCGCTGGTGGACGGCGCGATCACTCAGATACTGCGTGATACGTTCCCCGACGAAGCCGAGGTGGCATCGGCCGACCCGCTGATCTTCGGCGACTACGCGGACTGCATTGGCCGCATCACGGGCCAGGCGTCGGCCGAAGACGCGCGCTTGTACCAGGACATGGAGTCGTATCGCCGTATTCGCGGCATCTTCGACGAGGCGTTGGAGACGTACAACCTGGACAACAAGCCCATGACTCTGGTGCTGTTCGAGATGGCGTTGGAGCACTTGTCCCGCATCCTGCGTATTATCCGGAACCCGCTGGGCCACGCGTTGCTGATCGGCGTGGGTGGCAGCGGCAAGCAGAGCTTGTCCCGACTGGCGGCGTTCACCGCCGGGTACGACCTGTTTGAGATCTTCCTGACCCGCGGCTATGGCGAGGCCGAGTTCCGAGAGAACCTCAAGGACCTGTACCGCATGCTGGGCAAGAAGCCCGTCGTCTTCCTCTTCACGGACGCGCACGCAGTCGAAGAAGGCTTCCTCGAGTTTATCAACAACATGCTCACCACTGGCGTGGTGCCGGCACTGTTCGAGACCGACGAGCGTGACGCCCTTGCGAGTTCCGTCCGAGACCAGGTGAAGGCTGCGGGGCTGGTCGAGACCAACGAGAGCTGCTGGAGGTTCTACGTGAATCTGTGTCGCCAAAACCTCCACGTGATCCTGGCCATGTCGCCTTCCGGTAGTACGCTGAGGACCCGCTGCCGCAACTTCCCCGGTCTCGTGTCTGCTACGGTGATCGACTGGTTCTTCGCGTGGCCCGAAGACGCTCTGCGCAACGTGGCGCAGTACTTCCTGGCCGAAGAGGCCATCCCCGAGGAATCGCGCGAGCAGGTGACGAATCACCTGGTGCACGCGCACTTGCGCGTGGTGCGCGTGGCCCATCGCTTCGGCGAGGAGCTGCGTCGACACTACTACGTGACGCCCAAGAACTACCTCGACTTCATCTCGAACTACCGACTGCAGCTCAAGGAGAACAAAGTCAAGGTCACGGCAAGCATCGCTCGTCTCAAGGGCGGTCTCACGAAGCTCGTGGAAGCGGCTCAAGCCGTGGACGTCATGCAGGTGGAGCTGTCGGAGAAGAAGGTCATTGTGGACGAGAAGACGCTCGCGTGCGAAGCTCTGATCAAGACGATCGAGGAGAAGTCGGCCGTGGCTTCCAAGCAGCAGGAAGTGGCTGCCGCGACGCAGATTGAGTGCGAGAAAGCGTCCGTTCTCATCGCTAAAGAGAAAGAAGAGGCCGACGCTGCGTTGCTCGAGGCTCTTCCAGCTGTGGAGGCCGCCGCTGCAGCGCTGCAGGATTTATCCAAGGCGGACCTGACGGAGCTCAAATCGTTCGCGTCCCCGCCGCCATTGGTCATGTCGGTGTGCATGTGCGTGTTGATCCTTAAACCTACGGGCCAAGAGCTGGATCTCGACTGGAAAGGAGCCAAGGTCATGCTCAGCAACGCCAACCTCATCACACTCTTGAAGGAGTACGAGAAGGACAAGATCTCGTCCAAGATGATCACCAAGATCAAGACGTTCTTCAAGAACCCGGACCTCAACATCGAGAACATGAAGTCCATCTCTAAGGCCGGCGCAGGTTTGCTCGTGTGGGTCGTGGCCATCGTCAAGTACCACGACGTCGCCAAGAACGTCGAGCCGCTGCGTCTGAAGGTCAAGTCAATGGAGAAGGAGCAGACCATCAAGGAGCAGGAGCTCGCAGACCTCAAAGCGACTCTGGACCGGTTGAAGACGGAGCTCGATAACCTGTCGACGCAGTTCCAGGAGGCCAACTCGGAGCTGCAGGGGCTGAAGACACAAGCCGACCAGATGCAAAAGAGGCTGCAGGCGGCCAGCAAGCTCCTGGCAGGTCTCGGCTCGGAGCGCACGCGCTGGACGAAGGACGTCGACTCGCTCAACCTGCAGAGCGAGCGGCTGGTGGGCGACTGCTTGCTCACTGCGAGCTTCCTGAGCTACGCTGGGGCCTTCAGCTTCGACTACCGCTCGGACCTCATTTACCGCGACTTCTTCCAAGACATCGAGGCTCGCAAGCTGCCCGTGACGAGTCCATTCCGCCTCGAGAACTCGCTCACGGACGACGCGACCATCCAGAAGTGGGTCTCGGAAGGCCTGCCCGCGGACGAGCACTCGGTGCAGAACGGCATTCTGACCACGAAGGCGAGCCGCTTCCCGCTGTGTATCGACCCGCAGCAGCAGGCGGTCAACTGGATCAAGAAGAAGGAGGAGAAGAACAGCCTGACCGTCAAGACGCTGAGCGACCCGGACTTCATGAAGCACTTGGAGCTGGCGATTCAGTTCGGCAACCCGTTCCTGTTCGAGAGCGTGGACGAAGAGCTGGACCCCATCTTGGACCCGGTGCTCGAGAAGAGTACGTTCATGGAAGGCTCGCAGCGGCTGATCAAGCTCGGCGACAAGAACGTCGAGTGGGACGCCAACTTCCGCCTGTACTTCACGTCCAAGCTCGCCAACCCGCACTACTCCCCGGAGGTCATGGGCAAGACCATGATCGTCAACTACAGCGTCACGCAGGACGGCCTGGCCAACCAGTTGCTGAACGTCGTGGTGGCCCACGAGAGGCCCGACTTGGAAGAGCAGTACAGCGACCTCGTCACGGAAATGTCCGAGAGCACGCAGCTCATCGTGGAGCTGGAAGACACGCTGCTGCGCGAGCTCTCGAGCAGCTCCGGCAACATTCTGGACAACGAGGAGCTCATTGCCACGCTGGACGAGACCAAGAACAAGGCGACGGAGATCAGCGCCAAGCTCGAGCTGGCCAGCTTCACCAAGGACGAGATCACCAAGGCTCGCGAAGTGTACACGCCTGTGGCTCTGCGCGGGTCGATCATGTACTTCGCGATGGCAGCGCTCGCGACCATCATGAAGATGTACGAGATCTCGCTCGCGAGTTTCCTCACCGTCTTCCACACGGCGCTCGAGACGGCGAAGCGCGACGTCGTGCTCGAGAAGCGGCTGCGCTTCATGGTGCAGTCGATCACCGAGATGATGTACGACTACACGTGCACGGGCATCTTCGAGCGGCACAAGCTCATGTTCTCCTTCCAGATGACGTGCATGATCATGAGTGCGGCGGGCGACCTCAATCGCGCCGAGCTCGACTTCTTCCTGAAAGGCGACACGTCGCTAGAGGCCGCGTCACAGCCGAAGCCCGAGGACCTCACGTGGGTGTCGGGCGCAGGGTGGAAAGACCTGCTGTGCCTCAGCAAACTCGGCGAAGGCAACGGAGACGGAGGCGTCTTCGGCTCGTTGATGTCGGACTTTGCCACCAAGACGAGCGAGTGGAAGGCCTGGTACGACCTGGAGGTGCCCGAGCTGGCTGATCTCCCGTGCGGCTACTCGGACACGCTGTCGAGCCTACAGAAGCTGCTGGTGTTCCGCTGCTTCCGCCAAGACCGCGTGTACAACGCCATGAAGCTGTTCGTGATGACCGTGATGGGGGAGAAGTTCGTGCAGCCGCCGGTGCTCGACTACGCGCGCATCTACAGCCAGAGCGCGGCGATGTCCCCGATCGTGTGCATCCTGAGTCCGGGCGCTGATCCACAGAGCGACATCCAGACGCTGGGCGACGAGTACGGGTTCTCCGGCCATCGGTTCAAGTTCCTGGCGCTCGGCCAAGGTCAGGGGCCTCTGGCCGAGCAAATGCTGGAGGCCGGAGCCACGCGCGGCCACTGGGTGCTGCTGCAGAACTGCCACTTGCTCGCGAGCTGGCTGCGCACGCTCGAGAAGATGCTGCTGGCCATGACCAAGCCGCACAAGGACTTCCGGCTGTGGCTCACGACGGAGCCCACGGACCGGTTCCCGCTTGGCATCCTGCAGCGGTCGCTCAAGGTCGTGACGGAGCCGCCCGACGGGCTCAAGCAGAATATGCGGAGCCTCTACTCCAAGCTGGACCAGAGCATGCTCGAGGAGTGCCCGCACGCCGCGTTCCGGTCGGTGGTCTACGTGCTGTGCTTCCTGCACGCGGTGGTGCTGGAGCGGCGCAAGTACGGCAAGATCGGCTGGAACGTGAGCTACGACTTCAACGAGTCGGACTTTACCATCTCGAGGAAGCTGCTGAGCCTGTACCTGTACAAGGCGTACGAGGACCGCGACGAGCAGCTCCCGTGGGGCTCGCTCAAGTACCTCATCGGCGACGCCATGTACGGCGGCCGCGTGAGCGACGACTACGACCGCCGCATCCTCACGACGTATCTGTCCGAATACATGGGCGACTTCCTGTTCGACGACTGCCAGCGGTTCTACTTCAGCCGCTCGGGCTTCGACTACGTTCTGCCTGGCGCGTTGGACGGCGACTCGAGTCCGCTGGCGCTGCAGCTGGACGACTACGTGGCCACGGTGGAGACGCTGCCGCTGACCAACAGCCCCGCGGTGTTCGGCCTGCACCCGAACGCCGAGATCGGCTACTACACCAACATGTCCAAGAGCGTGTGGAAGGACCTCATCTCGCTGCAGCCGCGGTCGGCGCAGTCCGGGGCCGGCGTCTCGCGGGAGGATCACATCGGCAACGTCGCAAGCGACATCCAGTCCAAGGTGCCCGAACCGGTGGACGTGGACCAGATCCGCAAGAAGCTGGGGCTCACCCCCACGCCGACGCAGGTCGTGCTGCTGCAGGAGCTCGACCGCTGGAACCTGCTGACGGCGCGCATGCGCGTGTCGCTCGGAGACCTGCAGAAGGCGCTCGTGGGCGAGATCGGCATGAGCGACGAGCTGGACGCAGTGGGGAACGCGCTGTACGACGGCTTTTTGCCGAATCTGTGGCGCTCGCTGTGCCCCAAGACGGAGAAGCCGCTGGGGAGCTGGATGGAGCACTTCACCATGCGCTTCAGGCAGTACATGGACTGGGTGGCGCACGGAGATCCGCGGGTCATGTGGCTCTCGGGCCTGGGCATCCCCGAGTCGTACCTCACCGCGCTGGTGCAGGCGACGTGTCGAGCCAAGAACTGGCCGCTGGACAAGTCGACGCTCTACACGCGCGTCACGAGCTACACGCAGGGCTCGCAGCTGCCCGCAGCTACGTCTGCTGAGGGCGACACTGCGTCTGGCTGCTTCGTCAAGGGGCTCTTCCTCGAGGGCGCGTCCTGGGACCTCCAGCGCGGCTGCCTCGCACCGCAGCGGCCCAAGCAGCTCGTCGAAGAGCTGCCCATTCTCCAGGTCATCCCCATCGAGGCCAGCCGACTCAAGCTGCAGAACACCTTCCGCACGCCCGTGTACGTCACGCAGAGTCGGCGCAATGCCATGGGGGTCGGCCTCGTCTTCGAAGCGGACCTGCACTCGACCGAGCACGCGTCGCACTGGGTGCTGCAGGGCGTGGCGCTCGCGCTCAACACGGACTACTAACTAGTATAATTTGCGTGCTAAGTTACCACCTTAAGGCGGCTTCGCAATGAATGCATTGAATGTACATTCTACAGCGCTATGAAAACTCTTTGGTAGATGCTGGCTATGCTGCGCATGTAGTGTACCGTGATAGTTTTGCTGGATTCGTTCACCCGGCCCATGGATCACGGTACACCTGAACAAGGTATCACACGGCCGCTTCAAATAGTACCATTCACGCGCTCGCTCGATCTCATGTGTTCATGGCATTCTGGTGGAACCAACCGCACTGTCAACGTCTCAAAAGCTATTGCTGCTTGCAGAAGAAAATGCCGCGCGCGTTGCTTCGATGCCTCTTGCTCTTGCATGGCACTTCTCAATCTGCCCAGCTACAGCTACAACTACCCACCACCCCAGCCCACCAGCCTAGTTACTGCGCCATGTTCAAGCCTGTCGTCTTCGCGCTCGCCTTCGCTTCCGTTGCCCATGCGGCGTGTCCCGACGGAGAGGAGGAGATCAGCGTCCAGGGGATCGACAGCTACTTCTGCGTCAACGGCGAGGGCTGTGCGGGCTCCAACTCCCTCGGCCTCTGCCCGGACGAGCAGGACGGCTTGGAGTTCGGCTCGTACTGCGACCTGCTCGAGACGGGCGTCTACGGGTGCAAGCCGTACTCTGACTGGGACACAGCGTCGAGCACCGAGTACGACGCGCCGCTGAACTGCACGGGCAACATCGCGGGCGAATTCTCCGTCAGCGTCGAGGGACGGCGACGGCACATTCTGCTCGGCCGGACCCGTATGCTCGGGCACCATCGCTGGCAACTGCCCCAGCGCTCAGGACGGACTGCCCGACGGCTCCGTGTGTGTCATCATCCAGACCGGCGTCTACGGCTGTGTGCTTCCCCCGACGGTGTAGCGGTGACTCGAAGACCGAGACTCACAGATCTCATTAGCAACTATGAACCTTATCCACTTCTTACAACTTCTGAGGCAGGTCGCTTACACGATTCATGGTCGAGCAGATAGTGGTGCGGCGATCTGTAGTCATCCAGTACCGATCATGTTAACAGGCGAGCTAGGCAACCATGCCGCAACCTCAGTTGAAACGGTGGTACCGCCACACAACCAGAGCATGGTGCTTTAGATCCTCCAGTACACCAAACGATGACACTCTATCCCCCGAATTTGCCAATCAATCGCTCCAACTTTTGTCTCTGTCGCACCGCACTTCTTGCAGCCTCAACGATAAGATCCCACCATGAGCGGGTACGGGGCTCACAGTGCATGCACGGCTTGCCTGCGTTCGGCTCGACATCACAAAGCACATGGAGCCAGCTAGGATAGTGCGAGTCGAACGCGTCGAAGACGACGGCGACCTACGTCGCGAGCAAACCCGTTGCAAGACGCGGCGCAAATCCTCTAACGATGTAGCCATCTCACAACTGTAGCCATCTGTCGCGCGTGGTATCCGTCCATCACTTCAACTTCGTCAGTCGCCGTCATTTCCCGATTCGCCTCGTGCCACGCAAGCCTCGCAGGTCGCAGTCGTCCACGGCACTGCAGATCCATCCTCTGGCCCATGCAGTCCCCCAAAGACGCTCCACCACCACCAGCAGTAGCAGTCTCAGTCGCAGCCCCCACCAGCCTCACAGACTGCGCCCCATCCGCGCTGCACGAGTACGTGGCCTCGTGTCTCGAGCGCGCGCTGGGCCGCGCCCTGCCGCACATGGAGATCCGCTTCAAGCGCCTGAGCGTGACGGCCGACGTGCCGGTGGTGGAGCAGACGAGCGGCCTCCCCACGCTCTGGAACGCCGTGCGCCTGGCGGTCGCCGGCGTCGGCCGCAAGCCGCGCGTGGTGCGCAAGGAGATCCTCAAGGACGTGAGCGGCAGCTTCCGGCCGGGCTCCATGACGCTCGTGCTGGGGCAGCCGGGCTCGGGCAAGTCGGCGCTCATGAAGGTGCTGAGCGGCCGCTTCCCGCTGGCCAAGAACGTGGCGCTGACTGGGGAGATCACGTACAACGGGGAGACGCAGGAGCGGGTCAGGGACCAACTGCCGCAGTTCGTGGCGTACGTGACGCAGCGCGACAACCACTTCGCGGTTCTGACAGTCCGCGAGACGCTTGAGTTCGCCCACAAGTTCTGCGGGGGAGAGCTCATCCGACGCGGCGAGGAGCTGCTGACCAACGGCACGGAGGAGGAGAACGCGCGCGCTCTGGAGGCCGCGCGCGAGCTCTTCGATAAGTACCCGGACATCGTCGTCCAGCAGCTCGGACTGCAGGACTGCCAGGACACGATCGTGGGCGACGCGCTGATGAGGGGCATCTCTGGAGGCGAGAAGAAGCGGGTCACGACGGGGGAGATGGAGTTCGGCATGAAGTACGTGACGCTCATGGACGAGATCAGCACGGGCCTCGACAGCGCCGCCACCTTCGACATCATCAATACCCAGTGCAGTGTGGCGCGCAAGTTCAACAAGACGGTGGTCATCGCGCTGCTGCAGCGGCGCCCGAGGTGGTGGCGCTGTTCGATGAGATCTTGATCCTCAACGCCGGAGAAGTCATGTATCACGGCCCCATGCAGGAAGTGGTGCCGTACTTCTCGGCGCTGGGCTTCGAATGCCCCACTGGGCGTGATGTGGCGGATTTCTTGATGGATCTGGGCACGAAGCAGCAGGGTCAGTACCAGGTGGAGCTGTCCACACGCAACTACGTCCACCCTAGAGAACCCAGCGAGTTCGCGCGCGTCTTCCGCGAGTCGCAGATCTACCAGGACACGCTTCGCAAGCTGGAGGAGCCGCTGCAGCCGACGCTGCTGGAACACGTCGACCAGCACATGAACCCCATGCCGCAGTTCCACCAGTCCTTCTGGGAGAACACGAGGACGCTGCTGCACCGCCAGGTCCTCATCACGGTGCGAAACAAGCCGTACATCTTCGGGCGCGGCCTCATGATCACCGTCATGGGGCTGCTGTATGCCACGTCCTTCTACCAGTTCGACCCAACGGAGATCCAGGTCGTCATCGGTATCATCTTCGCGGCCTCGCTCTTCCTGTCGCTGGGGCAGGCGTCACAGCTCCCGACGTTTATTGCGGCTCGCGACATCTTCTACAAGCAGCGCGGGGCCAACTTCTTCCGGACGTCGTCGTACGTGCTGGCCAACTCGGTGAGTCAGCTGCCGCTGTGCGTGGCTGAGACTCTGATCTTCGGCACGCTCGTGTACTGGATGTTCGTCTCGCACGCCAGCGAGTTCTTCCTGTTCCTGCTCGTGCTCTTCCTGACCAACGTGAGTCTTGGATCCTTCTACTTCTCGCTAACTGCAGCCTCCAAGGACATCAACATCGCCACGCCGATCTCCATGGCTGCCACACTTATCATCATCATCGTCGCCGGCTTTGTCGTCTTTTTGTCGTCTTTTTGGCTATTTTTTGTTTTTGCACGGATCTCCGTGTGTTTTGCAGTGGGCATACTCAGCGCCAGTGCGGCGAGGGGGCGCAGCAGGGCGCATGGTCCCGTGCAGGGCGCATGGATACTGGAACCAAGTCCGACCGGCAACTTGTGTTTTTCGAAAGAACTCCGAGTGCTTTCGAAGAGCACTCGGAGACGCGCAAAACGCTACAATGCCCAGAAATGCACGACTCCGTCCTTCTCCTCGTACTCGTCCGCGCTCTCCTCCTCCTCGACCTTCTCCTCCTCGTCCTTCTCCTCGCGCTGTGCCGCCTTCTTCTCCCAATACCTCGCTTTCCCCCTCTGGGGCTTTTTCGAGGCACTCCTCACAGTACTTGAAGAACCCTCCCCCGTCCCTGGCCTTCGCGGAGTTCCCGCATTGCCTGCACTTGCCGGGTCGGCGTGGACGCTGTTGCTTTTGTCGGATCCCGTGCGAGGCGTTGAAGTCCAGCTTGGCCCGGCCTCGGACGCGGCACCAGTCACACTCTGAGTAGAGACCGCCGCCCTTCTTCGGTGGTTTAGTCGCGCACGGCATGTGGCAGTGTGAACACTGTCCGGGCGTCTTCTGTCTCTTGATGCCGAGTGCGGCGCGCTTGGCATCGCACCTCTTGCTGCTTTCTTGTGCGCGTTTGCGGCATAGGTTGCACTTACTGTAGAGCCCACCGCCAAGCTCTGCAGGCTTTTCAGCGCAATTTCGCTTGAGGCACGTCCCGCACTTCCCGGACTCTCTCGACTGGATAGCCTCGCTTCGTTAAGCAGCGTCCTTGGCCCTGCATGCAGCGCACCTGGCGTGCTTGTCGCTTGCAGGTTTCTTCTTGTTGCAGTTGCAACACCTGCCTTCCTCCTGTCTCTGATAATACTGGAACTGATTCTTGTGCCGGCACGCGATGCACGTGCTTTCGCCGTCGGCGAGAGCTCCAGTCCTGCACTGCACACAGATGCCGGCCAGCTTCAGCCTGTTGTAATCGGCCGCGTCCTTCTTCTCTTCCTCGATGATGGCGCCCCCCTTCCTCGTCCACGAACTCCCCGAGAACCAGCTCTTCGGGCGCGAGCTCCTCGCTAACCAGCTCTTCGGGGGCGAATCCCTCGCTGGCCTGGGCGGTCGCCAGCTGCTTAGCGGTCGTGGTGAGGGCCTCTTGCTCCCTGACCCACTCGTCGTCGATCTCCATGAACAGGGCCTCCTTGGCCTGTGACTCTTCGAGATCCTTCCGGACTACATGTAGCGAAATCGAGCAAACAGGTTAACAAACGTACACAAACAAAGAGTTAACACATCACAAGTTACCGGCATCAAGCATGAAGTGGTAGGTGATGCTCTCATAGGACCGGTTCAATCCTTGGAAGGAAGGGTTGACGGATCCACTCGACGACATGACATCGTCCACAATAATCAACTGCAATAACAGAGTTAACACAAGACAACCAAGGCAACTTTAAGAGAGAGCATTACTTGCCTTGATGTGTTGAACCTTGCTCCGCTCCTTCGGCACGAGGATCCTGACCTGGGCCCCTTTCTTCTGCTCGGCTAGCAGCTTCTTCACGAGCGGCAGCTCGAACGTTGCCATCGTCTGCCTCCAGTCGAGCATGAGCGTGATGCAAACCTTCAACTTCAGCAGCACCAAGAGGCGCCCCAGCACCCCAAGGGCTGTCAACGAGAACGCCTCGATGCGCAGCATGTATCGCGGTAGCTGAAACTGGAACATATAGTCCGGGCAGAACTGGGGGTTTTCACGGGAGTAGTCCGTCCGTTCAGGCGGCAACGCCTCCACCTTCTTGTAAATGGAGTAGAATGTAGACGGCTTGATGTCGAGCCAGAGAGTAGGGTCAGATCCGGCTTCTTGGCGAGCAGCTTCTGGAGCTCCATGTTGACCCGGATGGGCTCGTGCTTGGGTTCCGGGGCGGGCCCGCTCTTGCTCCATGGCTCGCCCTTCACGTACTTCTCGTAGATTTTCCGCACTGTGCGGTAGTCGCGAGTCGGCTGCAGATGAGCGGCCACTTCCTTGAAGTCGGTCGACGTGGGGGCCCGCTCGGCGCGGATGAGGGGCATGAGCTTCCGAGTGATTTTGAGGCGCTCCGCCGGAAGGACGGGGGGCGCGAACTGCACGCGCTTCTTGCTGGGCCGCTTGCCCGACCCAGTGCTCACCTTGCGCCATCTTTGCGCTCCGGGGAATTCGATTGTGAGCCGCCAAAGAGCCGCCGCCGGCCAAATTATTTGAAATCGGTGCCGGTGAACGCGCTTCAAGGTGATGGGCGGGTTCGTCACGTTCTTCCAGACTCCGGTCTCGTGGACGCTGCGCGCTCTAGCTGTGATCGAGTACCGCTCGGCTGACATGGACGTATGCGAGTATGGAGGCATCAACTACTGCGACGAGTTCGGGGGGCTTCGGATGGGCGAGTACTATCTGCAGCTGTTCGACTTCAAGACCGAGAGGATCTGGATCGTGTACTGCGTGGTGTACATGGTGTTCTACGTCGGGTGCATGACGCTAGGATACTTCTCGCTCGAGTACTTGCGATACGAGGCGCCAGAAAACATCGCGGTGTCCGACTCTCCCGTCGAGGAGGAAGATGTGCCGAAGGATACGGCGACTCAAGACCGGTTGGAGTCTGCGTACGCTCTGGCAACGACACCGAAAGCTCTGCCCAAGCCAGGCGACAACGCCATTCTAGACGTGGTCCCAGTACCAACGTCCTTCACTCCGGTGGCGCTGGCTTTCCGCGACTTGCACTATTCCGTTCCGAAGCCGTCGAACCCGAAGGAATCCATTGAGCTCCTCACGGGGTCAGCGGGTATGCGCTTCCCGGACGGATGACAGCATTGATGGGCGCGTCGGGGGCGGGACGTCATCGCCGGAAAACTGGAGGCTCAATCTCGGGGCAAATTCTGCTGAATGGGTATGAGGCGAACGACTTGGCCATTCGACGGTGCACGGGATACTGTGAGCAAATTGACATGCACTCGGAGGCGGCAACCATCCGCGAGGCTCTGGCGTTTAGCGCGCTCCTTCGTCAGGGCAGTGACGTTCCAGATAGCGCCAAGTATGACTCGGTGAACGAGTGCTTGACTCTGCTGGATATGTGGGACATCGCAGACCAGATCATTCGTGGTAGCTCAACAGAGCAAATGAAGCGCCTGACCATCGGAGTAGAATTGGCAGCCCAGCCAAGCGTGTTGTTCCTGGATGAGCCCACGAGTGGCCTCGATGCTCGCTCTGCCAAACTTATCATGGATGGGGTGCGGAAGGTGGCGAATTCCGGCCGCACTATCGTGTGTACGATTCATCAGCCGTCAATGGAGGTGTTCTTCCTCTTCGACAGCTTGCTGCTGCTCAAGCGAGGCGGTGAAACCGTGTTCTTCGGGGACTTGGGGCCGAACTGCCAGCAACTTGTCGACTACTTCGAAGAGCTGCCCGGGTTAGCTCCGTTACCACCGCGATACATTCAGCCACGTGGATGCTCGAGTGCATCGGAGCTGGTGTGCTGAACGACGTCCCAACCGATCTGGATTTCGTGGCTACGTTCAATGCCAGTGCGAACAAAAGTCAGCTCGACGATATGGTGAACCGTAAGGGCGTCGGTGTTCCATCGGCTGCAGCTCCCGAGATGTTGTTCGCGAAGAAGCGAGCGGCTTCGTCGATCACGCAGTTCAGCTTCCTTACCAAGCGGTTCCTGGACATGTACTGGAGGTCGCCGACGTACAACCTCACTCGCGTGGGGATGGCAGTATTCTTGGGGCTTCTGTTTGGCTTAGTGTTCCGTGAAGCCAACTACAAATCGTACCAAGGCCTCAACTCGGGAATGGGCATGATCTTCATGGCGACGCTGTTCAACGGCATGATCTCGTTCCAGTGCGTGCTGTCAGTGTCGTCGGCCGATCGCCCTGCATTCTACCGAGAGCGCTCGACGCAGACATACTCTGCCTTCTGGTACTTCGTCGGCTCGTCAATCGTGGAGATTCCGTACGTGTTTGTGAGCGCCTTCGTGTTCACGGCCATCTTCTTCCCTTTGGTGCAGTTCACGGGCTTCGGGACGTTCTTGCTGTACTGGATCAACACCTCGTTCCTCGTCCTCATGCTCACCTACATGGGGCAGATGTTCGTGTACGCACTGCCAAGCGAGGAGGTGGCCGCCATCATCGGAGTGCTCGTCAACTCGATCTTCTTCCTCTTCATGGGCTTCAGTCCCCCAGCCAACCTCATCCCGTCGGGCTACCACTGGCTGTACACCATCACGCCCCAACGATTCTCGCTCGCCATCCTCGGCGCGCTAGTGTTTGCAGACTGCCCCGATGAGCCCCTTTACGACGAAGCGACCAAGACGTGGAGTGGCGTGGACTCTCAACTGGGCTGCCAGCCGTTGGAGAATGCTCCGGTGACTACGGGTGCCGTCACCGTCAAGCAGTTCACCGAAGATGTGTTCGGGATGAAGCACGACGAGATCTGGACCAACTTTTTCGTCGTGCTGGGCTACATCGTGCTGTTCCGCGCTCTAGCGCTGCTTGCTTTGCGATTCATCAACAGCCAGAAGCGCGAGAATGTTTTTCTCAGTTTGTCCATAGTGCCAATATCGCTTGGTCACGAAATGATACCCTTCTTTCCAGTACTATCGCCATTCCACACCACAACGGCATCTTTCATACCGCGTCTGAGCCCAAGAATTGCTGCACTCGGTAATTTATCACGACTTGTACACATCATCGTAGCTTTTGAGGAGCACTGGCTTGGCTCCCGCAAATAGCTCTCAGGCCCGAGAAAACTGTTTTTGCCGAGTTTGGCCATTCCAAGACACCCCGTTGATAGCGCATTCGAGCAGGACGAAGGCGAAGGTGATCGGGCATGTCGTTCTTCACGATCGACACGTTCCAGCAGTACCACCAGGAACTCGGTGCTGCGATGGCGTCCAAGCTCGAGTCGAATCCAGAGTCTCCATCCACCGCGAAGACCACAGCGAGTGACAAGCAGGAGGAAAAGCGGCCGTCTTCACCGAGTCGATCTGCGAATACGAGATCCTTATCTGCAGAAGCCGCAAGTGAGCTCGACCCTCTGTCAGCGTTAAACCTCGCGCGAGCTGCGGATCCGTGGCTTGGGAACTCGCTGTTGACTCCGACGGCCTGCAGCTACCTCGACAGTACGGAAGGAGCGTCGGCATCGGCTGTCGCAGCAACGTCGCTCAAAGTTGTGGCCGTGGATCATCCGAGTGACGACTGGGGTGACTTCGTCACGTTCGCACCGAAAGACCGACAACATAAGCAGCTCGAAGGGAGAAGCACTTCACCCGCCAAACGTGTGTCTCCACCGCCACGGCATCTACCTGACCACGACAGCCACCCGGACAGTGACGATGACTCCGACAGAAACAACTGCGAGCCAATGCTTGGAAGTGACACGTCACGCCTTGATCGCGAACGCACCGGATCTGGTTGGGGTGTCACCTCACCGTCCATGGAGATTAGAAACAATACTCCAACCCACGCTACGTCCACCGCTCTGGTCCGCCAGCCCTTCCCGAGTACAAGAAGTGGAGAGAGCAAAGGTTTCGCTGTCACGCTGCTTGACTGTCTCCTCTCACTCGGAAGCTCCTCTCCACGTCCCGGCACGCCCAACTCGACTCTTCCTGCTGCACCAAGGCGAAACTACGATTCATATGACGTCACGTTTGACCACGGACCTGTTGGTCTCGATCTTGAGACGGACTGGTACGGGCGGCAGGCTGTGGTGAAGGGTTTCCGCGCGATCAACTCGGCAGGCGACGATGGACCAGCCAAGCGCTGCGGACTCATTCGAGTCGGAGACGTCCTCACTGCGATCAACGGGGAAGCGTGCCTCGAAATGAACTTCCAGCAAACGTTGGAGGCGCTTCGTCTCGCTGGCAAGTCGCGCCACACTCTCCACTTCAAGTCACTGGAAGCTGCTGGAGACTTGAGCGTCTACGCTAACGACAAGGACGTCATGCAGGCACGTAAGTTCATCCACCAGCACAAACAGCGATTCTACCGACCGCCTCGCGCCACTGGAGGGGAAAATCCTCACGAGTTGGTTCTGGGGTGCATCGAGCGCCTGCGAGGAGAGTTCGTGACGGCTCTGAATTTCCATCGCGAGGAAACGGGCGAATTCTTGCTCGCTGCGTCCTGCGCTAGCGATGGTTCCGGGCCCTTTATCTTTCACACAATGCGCGATTCCCACCTGCGTACGATGCGCGAGCTCCCGCAGAGCGAAGACTCCGCTGTGTATCTAGGACGCTTGGAGCCCAGCTTCCTCGGTACCGAGTTCACACTATTCGATCATCACACGAGCTCCAGCCAACAGCACGACAACGAACTCGCGTTCCTCGTGTACACCGCCAACGTTCTCGGCCGTGTGCCCAACTCCCTGAAGTGTGCCGTATCCAAACCTGTCGAAGACGACCAAGACGACGAAGAGCTCGAGAACCCCAAAGGTTCTAACAAGTCAGGTACGCTTCGTCAGCAACGTTCAGGAATGGGCATCGACGGCGCCATTTTCAACACACACCCTGCCCGACTCGGCCGCAGTGCGAGTTTATCGGACCGATTCAATCGCCAGCAGCAGTCGCGCACCATGTCGATCGCTGAACGCCTGCGAGGTTTCACGCTGGAGGATCTGGATCAACGCCTGGAGTTCGCGGCGGACGGAGCTCTCAGCTGGCTGGACGATGACGACGTCGAGGGCCACGCGCGCTCCATGCGCATCAAGAAGGCTCGGATGCGAGGCGAGCGCACCGCCTCGATGGGGCAGATTTCGTACGGAGCCGTCGAGCAGGAAGAGTACGAGAAAGACCTGCTCGTCTTCGAGACCAAGCAGCCGGCGTGGAACGAGGAGCTGGGGGCCTGGACGCTGAACTTCCAGGGCCGCGTGAAGGTCGCCTCGAAGAAGAACTTCCTGCTCGTTGGCAACGAGACGAATGAGCATGGTGACGAAGTGGAAATTATGGCGTTGCGCTTTGGCAAAGTGTCCAAGACCCGCTTCACGCTGGACTACGCGGCGCCTCTCGCCCCCATCCAGGCGCTCGCTGTTGCCTGCTCCGCCTTCGCCAACAAGAGAGCTGTCACATAGGCACAGCACAGTCAGTCGTTAGGGTCAGAGGCCTCACAGCTATTCACTCCCCACTCCAAAACACGTTCCCCTTGCATCCTTCGATCGATCAGCTCGAGCCTGTTGATGAGGAATAGCTCAGTCTTCTATCTAGTCTATGATCTTCACAAGACCCATTCATTCACATATGCACAGGCAGCCCCATGCCCGTGAGCAGCAAATTGCCCGCGTCCTCGTCGTCAATGAACCTGCGGACTTCAGCCGCCGGGATGAAGGCCACGTGGCCCGCCAGCGCCTGCCGCATCTGCCAGGCCGCGTGGGCCTCTCTGTCGTGTAGCGACGGCTCGTCGTCCCCCTGTCCAATGCTCGGCACGATGCCCTCCACGATGCCCACGCACTCGTCCCCTGCTGCGTCGATCACCGCTCCGCCGCACATTCCCTCCTCCAGCAGCTCCCGACTCCATGCGAACTCCTGGCCGCTGCTGCTGCGCCCCACGAAGTGTCCGTCCACGCCCTTGGGCAGCTGCAGCCCCTCCTCCAGCTGCCGGTGACCCGAGAACAGCAGCGCGTCGCCCCGCTGCGCCGGCGTCTGCTGCAGCGTCAGCGCGTGCAGCCCCAAGCTCTCCTCCGCCTGCTTCCAGGCGTCAGCGTCCGCCAGCGTCAGCAGCGCCAGGTCGCGACTCTCGTGCGTCTGCACCTTGCGGGCCAGCGGCAGCTCCAGCAGCACCTCGGGCTTGGGCGCGTCCACGGCCAGCAGCTGCAGCGAGTGGCGCACAAAGTCCTCGCTCACGAACTGCAGCCAGTCCCACGTGGCCGTGAAGTACTGAGGGAACAGCCAGGGACACGCCACGTGCTGGCACGTGGCGACGGCCAGCGAGGAGCTGTCCGAGGCGTCTTGGGAGCCGCGCAGCACGACCGCCGAGCCGCTGTGAGATGAGATATGACATTCAGAGAGGGAGGTTTAGTGTGCTTGTGGGGCGAGTTGGAGGCTGAGAGGGGGTGCGTTGCAAGCGTCTGACGCAGAGGAATGTGGAGCTGTACCTGCTGAGGTAGTCCAGCGTCGCCATGCCCTGGTGCGGCAGGCAGAAGCGCGTCGTCAGCGACAGCACGGCGCGCCGACCGCCGGACGCCATGATGCTCCTCTCAAGATGGCTACAGTGCACTTCTGCTACTGAGAATTTCTGACTAGAGCCCCGAACCAAATTTACACTCAGTTGAATATCACCGAAGCTATAATACTTTATCTGCAAAAAATACGGTTTTCAAAATAGGTTACCGTATTCGACACGAAAAAAAAAATTCGCGTGATTTCGCCTCCCAACGACTGTGGCTGGGGCAGCATCATTGCTGTCGGTCGCTGGTGCCAACTTCTCTTCCGTTGCTGCTGTCCGGACCTCGCCGCCGCCAGCAGTGAGTTGCAGTGAGGGTTTGAAGGGGGCATCAGGTTGCCCTGAATGAGGGGGAACGAAGAAGCAAACGAGCAAATGCAGCTCGGTGAAGACGATCATGTTAGTGGCGGTGATAAAAGTCACCACACTGTCCTTGGCTGCTTGAACGCTACTTGAAATACGCAGACACGTAGTGGTGTGCCGTGGACCTACTGCTCAGTGGCAGTTGCGCCATGAAGCAGCGTCAATTAGAGATTGCCGCTGCCGTGCTTGGTGCAGAAGCCTCCGCCGCGGTCCTCCCTGGTGCAGTCCGAGTACTGGCAGAAGCGGAAGCCACCGTGGTCGGCGCAGAACCCTTCGCGCTCGGGGTCCTTGCTGCATCCCTCCTTCTCGCATCGCGGGCCACGACCGTGGGCGCGGCAGAAACCTCTCGCCTGGCTACTCTTGGTGCAGCCGACGCTCTGGCAACCGCCGTGGGCCTTGCACAGACCGTTGGACTGGGACGCCTTGGTGCAACCGGGCTGCGTGCAGCGCTTGCCTCGCCGTGGCGGATGCAGAGGCCCCTGCCTGACTTCCACGCTCGCAGCCGTCAACCATGCAGCGGGTGCCGCCGCCATGGGCCTTACAGAGACCCCTAGAGCGCACAAGTTTCGTGTACCCGGGCATGGTGCAGAGGCGGTTGGGCTTGAGCGGCTCGTTGCGGGCTCGAGTGGCGGCGGCGGGCTTGACGACAGCGGTAGCACCAGCAGCAGTTTGTCTGGACGTTGGTGACGCTGGTGGGGGACGCGCTGGCGGACGTGTCCGTGGTCTTCATCTTGGGCGCGAGTTGCCGAACAATGAAGCAGCAACTTGCCTCAAGAGGATGAAAAAAGTACACCTGATAACGTGTAATTACGGGCAGTCTCGAATTGTGGTCCACAGAAAAGTAGGTATTGACTCAATACAATTTTCAAGTATACATGTATATATATTTTTAGCTTAATGAGTCAGCTAACGTTTTATAATGACCTATTATTGGCTAAAAAGGGGCAATGGCTGTTATTTGCATGGGGTCTTCGTTTCGACAAGAGACCGGGTCCCGGACTCACTCTGCGGAAGGGCAGATAACCCATCATTATGCAGGGTTACTGGACCCGGCGTGGACAACAAACAATGCCGGTTGATCTTTTGTTGTCCATGAATGCTCTTAATCCCGACAGTCACCTTGCACTTTTTGACTAAGGTTGAATGCTATTTGTAAACGAAGCACAAGACGAAAATACACTTATTTTTTTCCAATTCATTGTTTGTGTGAGGCGCTTCAATTGCCAACAAGTGCTGCATCCTTCGTAACGCGCCATGAGGCACCGTCAATCTCGGGTCGTCCCGGGTTCTTCTCTCCGTCAACCTGAGCAAGTGGAGATGAATGCTGGTAGTCGATTCACAGCATCATTCTGGCATCGGACTCAAATTGGACATCGCAGCGAATACTCCGTCGAACGGGTGCTCGCCCTCCGGGACTATTACGAGCGCACTTCAATAACCCGCGCTGTTGCAGTTTGCCTGCTGACTCCTGTTCCTGTTTTTCTGCTGAGCGTTCTGATCGACTGCATTCCGTTACGAGATCCGTCTCAAGGCTGGAGGGCGAACTACACCTTTTGGATCCGTGTTTTTTTCGACTTGTTTGCGATCTCAATGGGTACCGCCATCCAAGTTCGAGCGGTGATCATAGCAAGTGCCATTTCAGCCACTAAAGCCATTACGATATCGCTAGGAAGCGCTTCTAGCTACCTCTTGATGTCAATTGGGATTGCAGCAGTGTGGCGATTTCCGATTCCATTTGGATTAATTTTCCCAATACTGATCATCTTCTTCATTGGCCCCCGTGCCGTAGCAACCTCACCGCTACTTCACAGCCAATTAAAAGCGATCGCGTTTATTAGCTTCACCCAAGGAATCGTGGCAGTGCTCTATCCCCTCTTCACTGCAATATTCAATCGGCTTTCGGGGATCCAACAGACCGCTTTTGTCTTCACCATGCCTCTGATCAAGTTTACAGCAAAAGCTATCATCGCAAAGGCTGCCGAGGGGTTTCACTGCTACATGGGTATGATGGTGGTATTCTCTGTGGACTTGTTCAACGTACTGTACATTGCGATTTGTATGCAAAGCTCGACTTCAGTTATAACGACAGTAGTGATGGTCGGTTTGGACTGCTTCCATGTCATTATTGGCATTCGGGCCATATTCCACCAGATTAACATCGCCAGGAAGAGAGGAAGATCTAGCAAGTCGATTACTGAACAACCAGTCGAATGTTTTGAAGAGTTGTCGACTATGCTAAGCAAGTTGCTCGTGGAGCCGAAGACACCAAAAACCAGCCAGCTCTCGCATTCAAGTGTTTGCGCCATTTCCCCTTCTGCTATCCGACGACAAGTCTGCGATGCTAAACAAGTTCGCAGTCAACGGCATGCAGATCGTTAATTACCCGCTGTCGAAGTCCAATACGTCAGCAAAATTAACATTGAAGCCAATTCGCCATCCCAAAAATCGGATTATTGTGCTCCGAAACCGGCTGCGACTGAGGTGAAAAGTGTCAATCCAATTCTCGGTTCGATTGCCCCACAACAAGTTGATCTTGCCATTTCAAAAGGAGCTCTCCTTTCTCTTTCGCTTCAAAGCGTGAGTACACGAAGAAAATTATCCACCCCGAGGAGACTTTTAAGACTAATGGACTCCAACACAGCAATTTCAGCGGAGAAATTGCGCGCTGCGTTGTCGTATAACCAAACGGAAGCTGCGGCGTGGGATGTTCTTCAAGCCCTGTTCCATTCCGAATATTTACTAATCGCCGAGTACATTGAGTGTACGCTGCCGATGCTCTACGGATTGTATTTGCTAGTTCTTTCCCAACTACCTGCGGCACACTATTATCCTCAGACGGCATTGCCATTCGACAAGTTGATCGGATCTGTGATCAACATCGCCATCTTTGCCTCGGTGGAATTTGTTGGGTTTCTTGGTCTCCTCGCTCTTTTGCGCAAAACGCTTGGAATTTCGCCACTGTATCAACTTGCCTTCGTTTTGGAAACTCACGCTCAGACTGTCCAAGGGCATCTACTGGTGTGGACCATATTTATTTTACGACTACAGTTGAAGCACTACGGTAAGCGCATCATGTTCATGCGAATACCCCGCATTCAGACCTAACAGAGTGGTGTTTGTGCAGGAGTCGTAGATTATATTCATCGTCCGTAACGAAAACTGCATTTTTCACCGGCCAGTGCGTTGGATCGGGCATGGGTGCTGCTCTTCATGATGTCATACACCGTCGAAGTCGTCGCTATAATAGTCGTAACTAGCGACGTCATACTAAAAGGCCCAAGGCCAATCTTCTACTGCAAAATTAGACTCCTCAATTTGAATGTTCACCTTGTTCGTTCGTGGCTTTGGTGTGTGGCGTGTTCGTGGAGAGTAGCATGTAACGAGAACATCTGGTTACCAACCTTAGTTGATGTGATGTTACGCATAATCATCCACCACGCACCATTATCGGTTGGCTCGCGTCGACAACTTAGCGATGAATGGACAATCTGTTGTCGTATTATGGTACAATGTCGCGCAATCTCGAAGTGCTCTGGCCACGCGTGTTGAGCTCGCTCACGCATGTCGTGTCCCCACTTTGACTTTCACTCCACCAGCACCAGCACATTCTGAATGCCTCAGTTCGATTCCATCGCCAGTGTCCGCGTGGCAGTCCACGAGAGCTACTTCGCAAAGCTCGAGCGCCGCCGAGAGCAGTGCCGCGAGAACCAGGCGCGATACCGCAGGAGGCAGCACGAGCACCTGTTGAAGATGGAGACCGACACCGCTACGCTGCGCGTGCAAGTGAAAACCTAGCGAAGCTACGCCAAGATATGACGTAGGGTGTCCGTACGCAAACTGTCTGGGGCGTGGCAGCGGAGTTCCTAGGCCTCTTCAAGCACGGTATTTCCACCGCCACCGTAGCGACTTTGGGGACTACTGGATACCATAGTCTCGAGGCCTCAAACGCGCAGCTCGACTTTCTGCGGGCCATGATGACACCAGACGTCACCGACGGCAGTGTATATGGGATCGACGCACTCCTGGAGCGCTGGCGGCTCTACTCGCTCTACCACAGCAATCTTGACATCGAGCTCGAGCGCCTGGAAATGGGCGCTCCCAACACCGTCATTGCAACGACTCGAGTGAGCATGACCATCACCGAGAGCACGCTTTACCACGCGTTTCGCCACCTATTCAATGGGAACGCCTCGCACAGTGAACGTCTTGTTGCGAAGCTGCTGGGCCAACACGTAACAATGAGCGGCTCGGTACGCTTCGGATGGGACGACACATGCGGCCGAGTCCACAGTCTTGAGCACTCTGCAGATATGCTGACGCCGATGCTGAAGCTGCTGGGCAACCTTGAAGATGTTGCATTCGTGTTCAGTCGAGCACGTATCACCCCCGACGACAATGTTCTGCGTGACGAGCAAATGCTGTGGAGTCAGGACAAGCGGAGAACGAGGGTGGGTTGTAGCTAACGAATGGCTCGTGTCATGAAGACTGCATCATCAGTACCAGAAAACAAAACCCCGTCTACATCCGTACTTGTAGTCGTCACTGCTTGGTTCGCCTATTAGTTCATCCTGCATCAATAGAATTGATTCAATACATGTAAGCTTAGATTCAGAAAATGATATTCCCGATAACTCCCGAGTGACGTTACCGAAATTGAGAATAAGCGACTATGGCTGGGCTGTGGCTAGACGGACAGAACACAATGGGTGTTCTGTACAGTGTTCTGTCATAGCCGGACAGAACATTGGACAGAACAGTCTATTGGAACCAGCAGTAAAAGCACCAAGTGCCACGGATGAACATACTTGCCAACAACCCTCGCGCATCGTGCTCAAACGATAGCGTTGTTTGCTTCACCACGCCATGCACACTGATAAAGCTCGCGTTGATTATAAACATCGTGAACTCAAAGCTAACAGTGCTGTAAGTTTCATGCGCTTGGGCAACCGCCACCGACAAAGGAATTTAAGTTGCTAGCGACCGGATACAGTCGCGCAGAAGTGCTAAAGACTGAATTCAGTATAAAGCCCCGTAGAAGCGTTTACATCAAAAGCGCATTGGGGGCTAACAAAGCTTTATTTACTTTTACACAATAGATCACCGCAGCTTTCATGCCATACTTGCTGCGCAGCTTTTGTGCCATCATGGCTATACTCAACAATTAATGCGTACGATATCCTTGTTGGAGCTGCGGATAGCTGTCGTGGCATACGTCAACACTTCACCCGACTGATACTCTGACTTGTCGCCCTCGTCTTCTCCGATGTGTCGCTGCACAGCAGGTTTCCTTTGCTGAAGGCAGCAAGTCCATGTAGACTTCGTCGAGTAGGGCTCGACTCGGACAGTAACTCTTCTGCCTACGTCGAAGAACCCGTACTTGGAACCTCCCCGCCTTGGTCTTCAACTCACTGAGCTCGAGCTTGATGCACAGGTTCCGCCATGAACTCGCATGAAATGCCCCTCGTGGAAGAAGGCTTCCGGGGCCGACACGTCAAAGATAGCCGCAGGAGCACAGCCTTGATGCACGACTAGGCACTGAGAGCGCCGCCGTTGGTCCGACACTGCGGAAAATGAAGCGCCAGCGGCATACACGCACCCTGACGCAAGCCAGAGCCCGTCAGACAGGTTCAACAGCAGCTCATCCTGTACACCAGCATGCAGACGCGAGCGTCAGTCATTACAGACAGCGAAAGCATTTACATCATTCGTTCAAACCTGTACGTGTGTCAGCGCCATTCTTGCATTGTGCTTCGTGGGCGTCGTATTCTAAAATGAGCGAGGAACACCTCGGAGCGTTTCGGTATAGGCGACATAAAGTTGTAGAGTCTGAGTATCAAATTAAGGAGGCTTGGGCGCCTCAACTTGGCCAGCGCAATTCGTCCGAAAGAGCTTACGTCGCTCCACCACTACAAACTTGTGTAGCTGCTCGCTACCAAGACCACCGGGTCCTAGATGTAACTTGGTCTAACTCGTACATCTACCTAGATCGCATTATCGAGTTTTGACAGACACAAACGTTGAGGCCGGAGTGACTAAAGCTAAAATAGATCAAACTTACGTTATCCAATGGCCCGGTCCTTTGGGTTCCATGTATTCACACAGCCGAAGCAAGCTACGTGCTATGAAGGCGCAGCACTGCGGATACCCCCGCTTTCGATTGTACCAACGAGATCAGCATCGGCTCGACATTGCAGCGGACGTCGGTCCCGCTTAGCTTTTCACCCTCATGACATCTTCGTCGTCGTGGCATGGCTAGAGCAAGCCATGAAGGCTGTGGGCGCCAATGAGTGCAAAATGCGGGACAACGATCTACAGTGACTCTTCAGGGCACTAAACACGTAAACGCAGAGAACCTGCACCCGCTTGCACTTGGCTTAGCGCGGGAGACAGGCAATTGATTGTATGGCATTATGTCATTGGTGTGGTAGCCCACGCTCTTGTCCTCGAGTTTCATCATGTCGAAGCAGCTTTAGCAAAAGCCGTGGTGGTTGCGAACGACTTATTGATCTTCTAGTCGGTGCTCGTGAAGGCCAACGAATGGTACTGCAGATAGAAACATCACTAAGCCTACAATGAATTTGCCTTCGTATGTCTAGCTGCGTTGGCATGTATATACCGTGTACTTATTGCTACGTACAGATCCGGCATCCCACGATAACTAGGCCTGGTTTGGTGTACGTTGAAAAGGACCACTTTTCCCGTTGTACCATGCCACAACGAAGGTATTTGGGCCGATACACGCTCCAAGTGCCCCGTGGCTGCGGGGATGGCGACCCCGAGTATTCTTCACCAAGGCCGCACCACCCACGACCAGTTCTAGGACGCCCAAGCGAGCGGAGCCAGCTTTGCCCATACTACCCAGTGCAGCGCAGCGCCGCTGGACACGTGCCCCAGTACTGTCCATTGTGTGTGCTGCAACACGGGAACTAGCTCCAATAATGCGATAGATTCACGCGATTCGCTTTGGAAGCGTGCGTGATAATTTTTACAAGGTAATTTATAAAGTAATACAGGTAATGTTCTGTGCATTGTTCTGTATGAATTGACAGAACCAAGGACAGAACGTAATCAATGTTCTGTCCGTCTAGCCACTATCCTATGGCTGAATCACAGGTTTTCACTCCAACGTAATAGCAAGCATTGTTTTGTTCTCTATCGGAGGAGCAGAGGAAGGAGACAAACGTCTTGGGCGCAGACGAAACACGTCCGCTCAACATGAGTACAATGATATGACACATCACATGTACACGTACATCAGTACCGGTACTTGCACTGAGCACCTCAGACTTCACGTGTTTCTTCTTTTGAAAGCGTTTGGAGGCTTTTGTAGAGGTGTAGACAGCCTTCTACTTTACACCGTAGCTGACGGTGGACGGGTTGGATGTACAGGATCAATGCTGGAACTCATCGGCCATTAGCAGCAAGGCATCAACCGGTTAGCGTTGCTGTCGCGTCAGAAGTTATGCTCCCCACCCCCACTTGCACGTACTCTCATCGCAGGGCAACCGGGAAACATTTACAGCTCAGCACAGCACAGAATGCACTTGGACGAAGCGAGTGAGCGGCAATTCGTTGTGACAGGACGGCGAAGCTGCAGAGGATAACATGGCGCCAGGAAATGCTGTGCGGATGGCGTGCGCATTGATAAGATGTATACGCCCTTGGAAGCTGTATGTATGCCGCCCAATACAATGGCAGCGGTCCGGTCAGTGTATTGGGTTCAGATGCGCCCCAGGGACCGACTCGCTGACGGCTCGCCCACATGGGTTCTGTAGGCGATTGCCACACTGCGAGTGATCTAAACACTATCCATAGTTTAGCAACAACAGTCCTCGCGAGTTTACGCGCCAGGGACTTTTGGCCAGTGCTGCGCCTTTGTTGTGTTCTCGCGGGATCTCATACGAGAGTGATGGCAATTCATTCGGGGGATAACCTGGACTCGAGTCGCCCATCAGCCAACAGACCGACCGGCCCCGCGCGCCCTCCTAGCCGAGAAAACCGCCCACTCCTCCCTCCCCACTTTCGGTTGAGCTTCTCAACACAAAACCATGGACCGCATTCCCAGCATCTTCGCGCGCTATGAGCCAGACCACGCCTTAACATCCGACGTGATCGGCCACGTGATGCCGCGAGCGTATGCCCGACGTGGCGGCGCTGTGTTTCACCAAATGAGACCTCCTGTCTGCAGTTCACCCGCGACGGCCAAACAACACAATGCACGTCTGACTTCGATCACAAGACGCCCGCCCATTGCTACAAACACGTCGCTGGAAATCGCGGACTCGGCCTCGGTCGCGGTACAGCAGAACCATCTCGACGATGAGAGGGAGGCCTACCTCGCTCGAAAGGTGGATAACGTTGCTGTGAGTAGGAGCGGCGAGCCCCGCGAAGCACCGGCGAAACACTTAACATCTTGGTCGCCAACCTTACAGCAGCCACCAGTGTGTCCTATCGACCGCACAGCTAGACTGCTCCCAGAGACTAGAGCGATGCCTTCGGTCACAACGATTCAAACCACCGACCCAGAAAACCCCAAGCCCGTAAGCGCATTCGACTCAAAACAGCACGGCGACGCGAGCAATGTCGCACAAACCAAGCGCGCTACCGGAAGAAGCAGACCGAGTACGCAAAGGACCTTGAGGCCACGGTGGTGCGGCTTCGACACGAGATCCCGCTGCTGGAGACACAGCACAGCCGCCTTGTTTCCGGCGCCAAGTCGAGCGCGTGGTGCGTGGTGATGGAGTACTTCCACATCTTCCGTAATGGGGCTCGGCCTTTCGCTGAAATCCCCTTGGGACCTGAAGCGTGGCTGCAGAGGTCCGAGGCCCAGCAGCAGCTATCGTTCCTGCAGTCATCCATGTCTGATGACGTCGTGCTGGGGGAGCAGCGAGGTGTCAATGCGCTCCTCGAGCAGTGGAAGCGGTACACGACCAGCTTTGACGATCTGCAGTTCCAGGTGGAGCACATGACTCGAGTCTCCGAAGACTTCTTCATCGCGGCCACGGCCTCACTCAACGTGACCATTTCCGAGCAAACACTGCAGTACGTCTTCCCACACTTCGTGGAGGTGGGTGGAGACAGATGTAACTCACCGCAACAAGATAAAGTAGCGCTACTGAGGTCCAAGTTGCTAGGCCAGCGGCTATCTCTTCCGTGCCAGCTCTGCTTCGAGTGGGACAAGAAGAGCAAACGGGTGGTGCGCATGGAGCAGGCTGTGGACTTCTTGACGCCGCCGCTCCGGGTTGTAGGTTCGTTAGCAGACGCAGCGTTTGTTTTCGAGCATGCTCGAGTCAACCTGGACGGCGTCATCGGCGAGTTCTAGTAAGCGCGCAGTGAAACCACAAACGAGTAAAGACATACAGTATGAGCTTCTTTGGCAGCGTTCCTAGTTACACTTATCTAGTATTTAACGCGTTATCTAGTTCATTCCATGTGAAGGTGCTCCTGGCTTTTGAAGTCGCTGAATGCATTCGACAAATGCATTCAACAAACGCCTTCGAAGCGAAAAACTATTCGACGCCAGGGCATCACTCACGACACGATACAACTTACAAATTCAGGTACTCACTTACTTTTTCACCTACAAAACCAGCCTCTCCAATGGAACCTACAATTCTAGCTTGCGCTAGGTCTCACATTTCTAGGAGCCGCGGCCACATCACCAAGAGCTCCAGCGCCTTCATTGACGCCGCCCCCTCTCGCCCTCGCCGCGCGCCATGGACAAGTTCTCATACCCCGAGTACTACGACTTCCCCCCCTTCTTCACGTGCGTCCTCCATCGAACTATAAAAATTATTATGAACATAAATAATAACAATTTGCTTCCTCTCTCTCTCCGCGCGCAGGCTGCAGCCCGTGCGCGCCACGCGCGAGAAGCAGCTCGTGCTGTGGCAGCAGCTGATCCTCGAGTACCACCGCGCGCACGACCTGCCGCTCTTCCAGCCGTACGCGTCGTCGCTCTTCGAGAACGTCAAGATCAGCCGCAACATGGCGCAGGACGGGCGGCTGGCGGTGGTGGAGCACCTCATCCGCTGCGGCCACGGCCGCTGGGAGGACGACACCAAGACGCGCTGCCGCATCATGTGGAAGAAGCCCGCCGAGTGGGCCGCCGAGATCTACGACTTTGTATGTGGCGCTTTGTCTCTACGTGTACCGAAATGATTGCAGATCATGTGACAACATCTGTGACCGTGTTTGGTGCTGTCATTGCAGGCCAAGGAGCACGGCATGCTGGGCAACGTCTTTACGGTCTACGAGCTGTACGCTGGCGAGGAGACGCTGGGCACGAGTGAGTAGAAAGAGGGTGAAGCTGAAGGTGCAGGTGCAGGTGCAGGGGACTGACTGTACCTGGTGCTATGTGCTTTTGTGTGTTAGACATCCACGGGATGGAGCCCTGGCTGCTGCGTGAAGCGCTCAAGGTGCTGGAAGGGGAGGGGAAGGTGCGTAGGGTGTGGAAGTTTGCCTGGTGTTCTGGCTGCTCATGGTCGATGCTGTTGCGCGATGCAGGCTGCGGTGATTGCCGGCGAAACGTGCGAGGAGGACGGAGTCAAGTTCCTCGCTACGGAGTGAGTTTTGCCGCCGTTGCATTGATAGAGCACAAAAGTGAGGAAAGGTACGATGGATGTCGTGTAATGATAATGTGAAGCGATGAAGATTTTTTTGTTTCCGTACAGCTTCGTGGAAATTTCGTGATGATGTCAATGCAACGGGTTTTCTTCGCTGCCCTCGTCGCTGCTTTTGCCCCGTTACTCTTTTCCCACCCACTGGCAACCACTTTGCTTTTGAAAGGGCTAAGGAGAATGGCTGAAAAGAGCCAGGACAGCACCAGCGGCGAGGCTTCTCGTCATCCTCGACACCACCATCGCGGCAGCCGGCACCGCCACCAGCATGGACCAGGCGAGCAACATTGCAGTACCAAAACCTGTGCTGATTGGAGAGCCTTGCGTTGAGGCGACACCCGAGCTGGATGGGGCGGGCTTGCAGGTCAGTGTCGTTTCAACCCGAGGCTCCGCGGAAGTTGTGGATGCTTTGGCAACGACGTGCTGCAGTGAACTTCTACTCAAGGGCGTGGAGAGCCACAAGCGCAGGTCGCTCTGCCTACGGAGCTTCCGTACGACCAAGCAATTGATTGTCGCAGCCCCAGTGCATCTGGATGCCATGGTCGTCGTGGGATGCTTGGCGGAAGGAGATCCGCTCTTTGCTGCGGCTGATGCAGTGGCAAACGCGTGCATGGCGGTGGAGTTGGAGACCAAGACGCCGGTGATCTACGGCGTGCTCAAGTGCACTGATATGGCCCAGGCTCGTCAGTGCGCTGGACTGACGCCGAAAGCGAGGAGCTTTGGAGTCGAGTGGGCGCAGACTGCCATCAGCGTGGCTTGGATGAATCGTGACGGTAGCAAGAAGTGAGTGAAAGTTCACCCCACCACTGTTCGAGCTTCTTCGAACGAGCACTGTAGGTACATGGTTCTAACGGTGCGACACAATACGGATTTGGCCGTGTATGTTTTTTTTTCTGTTGCTGACTTCAACTGTTTATTTTTTCGTTGAACAACTGCAACAAAGTGACCACCACTCTGCCAATCTGCCAAATCGGGCGTGCTGCAGTTCACACCCGATAATTTTAGCTCCGTGTTCAAGGCTCTGTGGCTCAGTTGCGAGTTCCTGTCAGCACGTCACGCTCGCCGCGCATGCGTCACAGCCGCACGCGTGGGTGGGGTGGAAACAAGCAGCACGAGCGATGAGCGACGCCAGCGAGATCGCCTCCTATTCGCACGACGAGGGGCTGATTGACGCCTTCCGAGACAGTCTCCGCGATGGAAATGTGTGTGCCAAGCTGCACGGAGCGCGAGGGGAGCCGACGAACGGCGACTTGAAACTGCTGGAGGATAAAGTGACGCTGGTCTGGCAGCCCAAGGCGTTGCCGCTGCAGAGCTACATGCCGCCGTCTCTACTGGCCAAGATGGTGATGAACAGCGTCAGTGTCGTCATCACAGACGCTAAAAGTGTGCGAACGGGGCGTCAGACCACCAACTTTGTCCGCACGATCAAGTATTTAACGGCTGATGAACTCCCAGAGAGCGACGAGAGGTGCTTATCGCTGTGTTTCGCGCCCCGGACACCCCCAAGTCCTCCCACACCAGCCACAACAGAATCAGAGACAACGACTGAGAACAGTTCACCAACAGAAGAAGAGCACCACCACACGAGGACAGCTGACACCACAGTGGAGACCTTTGATTTAGAATTCCAAGACGAGCACACGCGCGATATTGCGCGTGCTTTCTTCCGACAACAAGCGGGACTGGAAGACGAATCGAGCCCCGAGTCGGAAGATTCTGTCACGTTCAGTGACATTCAGCTTCCGACGGGGCTGCCAACTCGCTGCTACCAGGCCATCGCGCATCCGTCTTTCGAGTTGGCGGTGCTGGTGGCTGTGGTGGGCAGCATGACGTCGGTGGGATGGCGGTCGTTCCGGTACGTGACGAACATCAAAGACGACGACGAAATCGCCGAGGTGGCGAGGTTCGGGATGACCGTCTTGGAGTACTTGCTGCTGGTGTTCCTCACCATTGAGCAGATTTGCAAAGGTGTTGGCCTTGAGGGGATAATGCCGCTGCTGCGGAGCAAGTGGGACGCGTTTGACCTCTTCGCCGTGACGATCAGCTGGCTCGCAGTGCTGCCCTTCTCGTCACTTGCAGGGTTCAACCTCTTGTCGCTGCGTGTGTTCCGAGGGATGAGGATCTTCAAGCGCTGGAAAAGTTTCCAAGAGACGATGGAGACGTTCCTCGTCTCGTTACCCATGGCGGGAAATGCGGTGCTGTGCTATTGCTACTACCTGTTCCTGTTCGCGATCTTGGGCATGTATCTTTTCAACGATTCACTCTCTCATCGCTGTGCGATTCAAGCGGATTCGGACATCTTTATCGCCCCAATGGCTGCTGGAGAGTCTAGTAAAACGTACGTGGCTGAAACTCCAGTCCATTTCTGCCGGATGGACGACACTGCGTCGAGTTGCAAGTCCAATATGGAGTGCGTAGCCATGCCACCGCCGGACAGAGGGTATACCGGCTTCCACTCGTTCGAAGCGTCCTTCCTCACCGTATTTTTGATAACGCTGCGCTCGGGGTTTGGACCATCACTAGACGGAGCTCAGCAGGCCTCGTCATATCTCTCCATCATCTACTTCATCGGGCTTGTGGTGTTTGTGAGCTACATGATCCTGTCCTTGTTCGTAGGAATCGTTCGTGGCAGCTACATCACTGTGTCGATCGTGCGCGCTGCGAAACACGCGGAGGCGGAGAAACGAATGGAGAAATACCTCAAGAAGGCTCGAGTGCAGTTCCCCAAAGGGACGGAAGCTTTCCCAGACGTGATGCAAGTGGTTGATGCGCAGTGGCAAGTGTACCGAGCACGGTTCAAGGAGTGGTTACTGCAGTCTCCTCTCTTTACAAGGTCCGACGGCACGTTTTTAAGCTGGTGCAGGCTGCGTCAAGAGCGGATATTTTTCCTTATCGAGCCTGGGAGCTCCACCATGGACAAAATTTCGTCCATTGCCGAGTCGTTGGCGTTCGAGCACTTGATGAACCTCGTGGTCTTCTTCAATTCTGTATTGTTCGCGCTGGAATATCACGGAATGAGCGAGAGCTACGCGGCTCGGCTGTACCTGATCGAGAACTTCCTTATGCTTGTGTATGGCACTGAATTTATTATCATCGCAGCCGCTGCTGGTGGACTTTTCAGTTACTTGCAGAACCCGTGGAACCGATTGGACTTTGTGCTGCTCGTGATCGCGTGCGTCGAGTTCCTTCTACTCACGTGCTCCGTTCTCCTCTATACGGACAGCTACGCGCGCGGGATCTTCGTGCTGCGGTTGTTTCGCCTAGTGAGGCCGTTCAGAGTCGTGCGTCAGAACAACAAGCTGCTGCTGGTACTGGACGCGATTCTGTCGAGTGTTCCCGCGTTCTTGAGCTCCATTGCGTTCCATCTGCTGCTCAACAGCGTGTTCGCTGTAGTCGGCATGAATCTGTTCGGAGGCAACTTCCCGCTCACGATGCAGTCACACTTTAACACGTTCAGTGACAGCATGCTCACGCTGTTCAAGTTCTCGAATGGTGGCAGCATTTGGCCCATCTTCCACGCTTCGCTTCAGGCGAGTTCGTTTGGAGTCGCGCTGCTGTACTACCTCGCGTACGTTGTGCTGTGTCGATTCATTGCTCTCAACTTTATGCTGGTTGTACTACTCCGCAACTTTGCGATGAAAGGGGACGAACGCAGGAAAACACTGAGCGAGTTGTTCCAAGACCGAATGTTCGCCATGCAGCGGATTCATCTCTTCGACATGTACACTTTCGTCGAGGAGTTTAGCAACCTGTACCAGGGGGATATCATGAACGTCAGCTTGCCAGGAAGCGCGAAAAAGCGCGCTCAGCGAGCTCTCTCGGCTTCGGAGGCGTTCAAGGCGCGGTTGTTCAATGTCCTGCCAACGTCCGACTTCTTAAAGCTCAAAGGGTACTACGGGACGACGAAGACCCAGCAGGACCGCAAGTACTTTCAACTCGAGCCCCCCACTCCAGCCCAAGGAAAACAGAAGAACCAAGCGAGTGTAGCTCCGATCGAAGATGGGACTACTACTGCTACTTCTGCTGCTAGTGCTAGTGCAGTGGTTGTCCCTGCTTCGGGACCCGAAAGCCCGACAGATACCCAAGCTTCTGACGAGTGGACGGGGTGGACTTCTTCGGGCGGAGCAACGGGCTATGTGAGGCAGTTCTTCGACGGACACTGGCTCATGGCGGACGTGTCCTTGTTCCTCTTCCCTCCGCAGTCATGGGTGCGACTGAAAGCGCGTCGACTCGAAAAGGAGACGGAGAAATACATCTTCGCAGCGATTGTGATCCGAACCGTCATGCTGACAGTGCAGTCGCCTCTGTACTCGTCGCTCATCCAGGAACTCACAACATTAAGCGACGTGGTGTACGCTTTCGTGCTCTTCTTTGAGTTCGCGCTCAAGGTTATCTCCCGTGGATTCATCTTCACTCCCAAAAGTTATCTCTCGGATACATGGAATCAGATCAATATGGTGGTGCTCATGGCCTGTTCCCTCCTGCTGCTATTGCCCCACTCGACAATGATCTCCCTCTTTCGACTCGGGCGAGCATTCGGCCCGATCCGAGTATTTTACCGCGTCAGAACGTTCCGAGTCATCACGGAAGCTCTAAAACAATCCGCCAGACCGATTTTCTACTGCGTCGTGCTCTCGATTTTCCTCTTTTACTCGTTCGCGACGCTGGGGATGCAGATTTTTGGCGGGAGATTCGCGTACTGCAGTGATCCATCCGTCGACACGGAAGACAAGTGCGTTGGGGTCTTCTGGAACAGCGCGACGGGCATCCTGACACCTCGAGTGTGGGGGAATCTTTCTGGGTTACATTTCGACAACATCACTGGGGCCATGTCATCCATTCTGTTCCTGGTATCGATGAAAGGCTGGCTGCCAGTTGTGAATATCGCCATGGACTTTGCGGATGATACGGACGTCAACAACGACCACCAAGCGGCAGCCATTGCCTCGACGTACTTCGCCGGATTCTTCGTCGCTTTTCTCTTCTTCACCAGATTTTATCTGCTCAAAGTATTCGCAGGGATTCTCATGAACAACTTCCGCTGCTACAATGGAACACTTCTACTCACGAACCTCCAGCTCATCTGGCTGCGTAAGAAGCAAGCGATCGTAGCAATGCGCCCCAAGTATCCGCTTCCGACGAGCAAGTTCATGCTACTAGCTCAGGTGTACATGCAAAAGCGCTCGTTCCGGGGATTTATCAGTACGGTGGTCATTCTACACACGTCGCTCCTCGCTTGGTATCGTTCTCCCGTTCATCGCGGGAATGCCGATGGAGACGTGGATGTGGCGGCTGGTGTGTGGTGGTTCCACTACATTTTCTCCCTAATCTACGCATTTGACGCTGTGCTGCGCGTCGCCGCTGTCGGGTGGAGAGACTTCCTCATGAAAGGGTTCACGTGGAGAACGTTCAATAGCTGCACGGCGTTCATCATGTTGGTGGGCCCCCTCATCTCCGACTCGCCCGTGCTGCTCATCCTGGGCATGACCCGTGCATTCGACTTCAAGCATCTTTCCCTGGTACTCGAGCGGTCTCGCGCTCTTCGGACATTGTTTCGGACTCTACTGGCGAGCGTCCAGCTCACCCTCAAGGTGACGCTTCTGCTGGGGTATGTACTCTTCGTCTTCGCCATTGTGGGCGTGCAAGTGTTCTCACTTACGCGTTGGGCGTCCGGATTGAACTCGAATCTCAACTTGACAACCTTTCCCATGGCGTATTCGGCTTTCGTAAAGTTTGCTGCGGGTGAGGACTGGTACGCTACGTACTTGGCTTCCAGTGTCGCACCGCCTCAGTGTGTACTATGGGGGCGCTCCTCTAGCGACTGCGGGTCTCCGACGATCAGCGCTCTGTTTTACAACATTTTCTACGTGCTGGTGGTGCTGATCCTGCAGAATTTGTACGCGTCCACGATGGTCGACACGTACGTGCTCATGTCTGCCAGAGCAGATGATAAAGACCAGCTCTTGGGCTTCCAAGCGGAGCATCTCAAGCGCTTCCAGATGACTTGGAGCGACTTTGACACAGATGCGCTGGGACTGTTGCACAGGAAACACTTACTGGCACTGCTCACGAAGCTAGAGCCTCCGCTTGGACTTGGTACCCACAACGCAATGATGGATAGCTTAAGGAACGAAGACATGAAGCCGGAAGAACTGACAGCACTGTCTATTGTAGTACATCAACGACGACGTGAAACTTTTCACGACATTGAAGCTCGTATCGCCGAGTTGACGTATCGAGTGCGCCTCGGTCTTGGGAGCTACGACGGTCTTAATGGCAGTGTGAACGTCAGTGCGAACCCGGATCACTTGTGCCCACCAAACATGTTCCGATTTACGGATCTGCTGCTGGTTCTCACGATGAGGGTTTTGCCTCTGGAAAGCCTCACAGTCCAGGAGAAGGTGGACGAGTTGGCTATGCGTGGATACGCCTTCCGCTGGCGCAGGGCCATCGTCATTCAGTCGACTTTCAGGATGTTCCGAGTGCGACGTCGGATGACCAGTAGGATACGAAGAGCCAAGCGGGACAGCGAGATTAAGCGCTTGGAGTCGGCAAGTGTCAAGACGAAAAAGTCGGCGAATCATGCACGGTTTGAAGAAAGTGTTGTTAAACCAGCGGAAAGCGATGGCGAAACGAGAAGAACCAGGAGCAGTCTATCGCTGAATCTGTCCTCTCTCGCGCTTCCGGCGATTCTGTCGTTGCGAACCGCAACTTCCGAGCGATTACGAGCCCCCGCCTCAGTCGCGCCGATTCTCTCGGAGCACTTAGAGCTGCAACCAGAAGCGAGCGACGGGAGGAAGTGCTCAATCTAGAAACACTATATGCAATGGAATTTGACAAGAACATCGCCTTGAGTGTGTTCATTTCAAACGCTGGTATCGGTACCGTGTATCGATCATGCGGTGGTTGTGCGGCAGGTCGATCCAGCGAAGTCCTCATCACGGAGACGCGACTTGCGCGTGATACCAAGGATTGGTGGGAAACGTGTGATTATGCGGCTGATTGATTAGTCCGATTGGTGCTATCATTGCAGACCCAGGTGTATATGGAGGAACTAGACTTCCACGGGGATGCAACCTTCAGGCCGCTAGATGAGGAAGAAATGGTGCCTTAATTGGTTGGACGATGCAAGCCGCCGTGATTGCCGGCTTGCAGTAGTAATGAAGGTCGACCAACTGCCTCGCTGGTTTTTCCACTACCGGGGGAATCGTGGAAAAATGGCATGTAACTGGTGGGACACGAAACATACATATAGCTGTAAGATGGCTCAAAGGCGGCTAGAGTATTCTGCTCGAGTTCCCAGTCGTATTGGATTCTAACGGTGCGATGCGAAGGATTTGGCTGTTTGCTGCTGAGCAAGGACTTTTCCCAGCGAGCGACGAAACCTTGTCTATGCTTGAAGTTCCTACAGTTGAAGCCATTCGTGACCACGTCGCACAGCAGAACAAACAGCTCGCTCGACTTGGTCACTCTTGATTTTGCGGATCACTGCTGAAAACGATGGCCCCTCCCGGCGTTGAGAAGACGACGACCAAGATGAAGTTCGCGTCGAAGGAAGAGCACCCGAAAGGCCACGGTGAAGGCGGCACCCACGGCCACCACGAAGGCAAGCCGCACAGTCCTGTGCTCATTGAGCACCCTGGTGCAACCGAATCGAGCAGACTCGACGGCAAGGGGCTGCGCGTGACGATCATCGCCTCGCGCTGGTACGGGAAGGTGGTCCACTCGCTCACCGAGGCGTGCTCCGAGGAGCTGCTGGCCAAGGGCGTGGCGGATGAAGACCTGCACCTGGTGGAGGTGTCGGGCGCCTTCGAGCTGCCGTACGCGGCTGCACGCGTGATCCACTGCAAGGACTCGAGCCACCGCCCGGACGCCGTGATCTGCGTCGGTTGCCTCGTGCAAGACGGCACGCACATGTGCGAGACCATGAGCCAGGCCGTGGCCAACGGAATCATGAAGCTCAACACGACGTCGGACACGCCTGTGATCTTCGGTGTGCTCTGCTGCGAAACCGAAGGCCAGGCTCACTCGTGCGCTGCCAAGAAGGCGAGCTTCGGGGGCGGTGAGAGCGAGAAGTGCAACCACGGCGTGGCGTGGGCGCAGTCCGCTCTGGAGATGGCTCACTTGAAGCGCTGCGTCGCGGGGAAGAAGTCGGAGCACTGCCGCTGCACTCGTTGCGAGAGTGGCGCCAAGCAAGAGTCCAAGTCGCACCTGCCGCAGGAGTCGCTCAAGACCCAGGGAACCTGCGCGACGTGCGGGTTGTCCGCTGGGAAGTGTTCGTGCAAGGACTGCAACTGCAAGGTGTGCTGCGATAACCGCCGAGACTGCGTGAGTTGTGGCTCGTCGGCCAACAACTGTTCGTGCAAAGACTGCAAGTGCCGCGCGTGCTGTTCGAAGCGCGAGGCCTGTCGTGGCTGCGGCTGCCCCCCGGACAAGTGTTCGTGCCAAGGCTGCAACTGCGCGGCTTGCACCAGCAAGAAGGAGACGAGCGGGATGAAGATGCCGACGCCTTCGAGTGAACAACACGCCGGCTCCAAGCAGGAGACACAGCCGCTGCTCGGCGGGAAGCAAAGCGAAAAGGCCCATGGCTCTGGCGAGTGCGACAGCTGCGGAAGTCCTGGCGGCAAGTGCATGTGCGGCTTGCTGCGCTAAGCTTTGCGCTTGGCGGGCGTTGGGAGTGAAGTTCTGGTGAGTGTGTCTGCTGTTGGAGTGATGGAGAGGCGGACCACGTGCATATTCAACGAGTCTCTGCAGAACTGTGGCGTGAACTGAGCGAGGCGAAAGGGACCAACGTTGCCCATGGCTGCGACTGCGGACGAAGAGACTGAATGACAGAAGAAGGTAGCAGTCGAAGTAAGGTTTTAGTTTTGCATTTAAGTAACTATTGAGCTGAGAATGACAATCCCAGTAAAGTTTTGTCGTTTTCATCGCGTGCTGGTGGGTGCTCGGGTAAATGAAATAGTCGACTCGCCTACAGTGATGGTTGAGGGTGTACCCCGTTGTGCAAAACCTTTTTCTTGAGAACTGGTGTCGCACGCATCTGAGAGGATTGCGAGAAATCCCCCCCTGATGCTTTCGACGTGCCATTCACTGTTCACTTTTCAAAAACCTTTGAAGACGAGATGACAGTGGGAACCACGACAAACGTGCAGTCGGTCAAGGACCAAGAGGAGACCAAGGCTCAGTGCGCCGATACTTCAATTCCCCCAGCGCAACCTGGATCCGGAACCCACGCGACTGGCGAGCACGTGAGCCACGAGTCTTGCACAAATTGCGGATCGCCGGCGGACAAGTGTTCGTGCAAGGACTGCGAGTGCCAAGTATGCAGCAGCAAGACCGAAGGAGGAAAAGCGCAAACCATCGAGCCCCCGATCCAGTCTGCGACTTCGTCGACGATGGTGTGCGGTGGCAATTGTGTCGCCGCCGCTGAACGCGCTGCAGCCGGAGGATGTCCAGCCTGTGAATGTCCTGCCAAGTGTCCGTGCACCAAGTGTGGCTGCCCGATCTGCGGTCCGAATCAATCTGCTTCGCAGCCGATGCCCTGTGCCGGCGGCAGCGAGGCGGGGATGCGTGTGACCGAAGGGAATTGCCCGGCGTGTGGCTGTCCAGCTGGCAATTGTCCTTGCACTGGATGCGTCTGCCCCGTGTGCAAGTCCAAGTGAGGAAGGGAGGGAGGGAGCCATGAGGTGCCGATTCCTGGCTGAAGTGCATATTTACGTGTGAAGGCAACGAGATAAGCGGAAGAGAATGAAACCAGAGCATTCGCATGAAGTGATAGTTTGCTGGTATTAAGGGTTAATTGTGGTCCTATCTCTAGGTGGTAGAAAGAAGTAAGGCATTGGAGGCCTTGTCGATTAGGTGCTGGCCATGAACATGCAGCCGTAGACGCCCGTGTCAATGACCATGCACTCGGAGTTCTGCGTCAAGCCGTCCTGGATCTGCGGGCAGTTGCCGAAGATGCTGCCCGAGCACACGGGTTCGGACGCGCAGAAGTCCCTGTCGGCGCTGACGATGCTCACGGGGGTGTCGCCTGCCGGGTTCGTCGAGCAGTCCAAGGGCGCGTCGTACGTGACATTGGTGGGGACGTTGTCGGCCGTGTACGGCCTGCAGCCGTAAGCGCCGGTCTTGAGCAGGTCGCAGAAGGAGCCAAACTGCAGACCGTCCTGAGGGGCAGGACAATTGCCCGTCGACACCTTCTCCACACACACTGGTTCATTGACGCAGTAGGCGCCCTTCAGCCCCTGTACGCTCACCTGAGTGCTCTCAGAGGAGCAGTTCGTGAACGGACTGATCGGGATGGGAGCAATAGTCGGCGGCTGCGTCGTTGGTGGCTGAGTTGTTGCCGGCTCAGTGGTGGCAGGCGCTGCGGTTGTGGGCTCCGGGGTCGGTGCTGCCGTTGTGGGCTCTGGAGTCGGAGCTTCAGTCGTTGGTTCGGGCGTGGGAGCTTCCGTTTGAGGACTAGTGTACGTCTTGCAGCCGTAGACGCCGGACGCGACGACGCCGCAGTACGATCCATAGGGGAGACCTTCCTGGGTCGCAGGACAAGCACCGGTGCTGAAGGTGGCGATGCACGGGTCGCCGGCCACGCAGAAGATGCCTTCAACACCTTCAACGCTCATCTGACTCTCTCCAGTGCCGCAGGTGATGGCCCTGACCGAGGACGTAGTAGTCGCCGCCGTGAGGATGATCGCGAGCAGGAAAGACTTGAACATCTTGGTGGCTGGGCTGACAGAGGGTTGTTGTCGTCGGGGCTTGTGCCGAGCTTGGTGAGTTGAGGAATGAGATGCTCGCTTTGATCAAACGGCGGAAGGAAGCGAGGGTCGATTGTGGAGCCTTGCTGTCGATTGTTTTTATAGCGCCGACTATTTCGATGCGCACGGGAAGTTGCCACACATGCGATGGCGGACGCGCACAGTTAAGCGCCGCTTGTTCTCTGAAGGCGTGCGGCATCGAGATCGTGAGATCGTGCTCCAGTTGCAGTGAAGTGTTGGCATATTTTATTTTTGCTGTCCGCACGCGTGCCTTCGTTTCTGCTCATCTCCAGCAGAATGCTCATCAGTAGCTCATCAGCAGCACGCGCACCTCTGACCAATGACTCCACGCCCGCACACCGATACACATTGCGAGGTCCATACAAAATTCCAGGCCCAGGCCCTCGTTGCCTTCAACTTCAACGTTGGGCATGAGACGAGGCGGCGACGTCATGCAGCCATGTGTCGACCACCGGAGTCGCCGTGCTCGTCACGTCTGCATCTCAATCTTTACGGAAGAGGCGCACGCGAGCAGCTTTACCTTTTGCCGCCGTTGCCCCCAGCTGAGACTTCTCGCATTGTCTCGGCACTCGTGTCTCTCCGCCGCGTCCCGCACACGCCTAAGCAAGCAGCAGCAGCAGTAGCAGACCAAGACGACCATCATGATGACGCTGCCGACCGACGAGGTGCCGCCGCCGCCGTCCTCCCGCGGGGGCAGCAGCTCCACGGCGCTCGTGCTGGTGCCCGACGACGTGCAGGACACGGCGCTGGTGGCCAGCGCCAGCCAGTCCGACCTGGAGCTGCACCTGCTGCAGACCTTTGCGGCCTACGCTGGCCAGCAGCTGCTGCACTCGTACCTGAGCGTCAAGCACGCGACGCGCGTGACGCACTACCTGGCCGAACTGACGGAGAGCTTGGCCTCGCGCTCGGGGCTCGTGGCACTCGTGCGCGTGCTGTTCAACCAGTACATGCGCCTCGGACACCCGTTCGTGCAGCAGGTGGACGACGCCATGGGAAAGCGCGTGATTGACGCCGTGGTCGGCGTCTTGATGCTGGCGGAGCAGCAGCCGGCGAGAAGCAGCAGTAGCAACAAGCTCGAGACGGGCATCTTGGCGCTGGAGGACGAGAACAGCAACAATGAGGTGGCCGAGGACCTGGCGGCTGCCACCCGCCTGTCGTACGCCGAGCGGTTCCAGGCGCTGCTGCTGGGTGAAGTGCCTCGAATGGAGCAGGAATTGATGGAGGCGCGGCGTCAAGTTGAGGAGGAGGCGCAGGCCAAGGTGGACGAAGCCGCTAGACTAGCGCCGCCGCCCGTCGTGATGGAGCTCAAAGACTTCGTGCCCGTGGACGAGGTGGCCAGGCTCCGGGAGGAGAGCAAGGAGCAGCAGCACGAGGCGGCGCAGGAGGCCGCCCGCCTGCGCGCGCAGATGGCGGAGCTCACGCGCGAGAAGCAGCGCCTGGAGCAGCGCCTGACCGACGTGCACAACTACCAGAAGAGCGAGCGCGGCCGCCGCTTCCAGGACATGGAGGAGGAACTGGCGCGCACCAAGCTCGAGGCCAACCAGAAGGCGCATGACCTGCGCAAGCTCGAGCTCGTGGTGGAGGCGCTGCAGCGCAAGCACCGCAAGAAGAGCAAGAGCAGCAGCCGCAAAGGCGACAACCAGTCCAACGCCTCCGAGAGCGCGCCGCCGTCCCCCGTGCCCGAGCACAAGCCCAAGGTCTACGAAGGGAAGCGCAACAGCATCACGGCGTAAGCAGCAACAGCAGCTGCAGACTCCGTTCCCCACACCCATTTTGCGTCCAGCTCCTGCAGCTCCGGCCAGCAGTCGAGCTCAATTCAATTGAGTAGCCACCTCTAGACCTCTGAAACAACAAGAAAAAAATCTCTGCCATCTTCATCCTGTTCCGTGCCCACAGCAGCAACAGACTCTCGAAAGGGGCATCGCACACGTGTCATTACCTATTTAATAACCTGAACACGTCCGCACGCGACCGCTGCAGCACGACAGAAAGTAGCCTTGTCTTGTAGTGAGTGAGTAACCTCTGCTTCATCTGCAGCTGCCTGCGTCTGCCGCCGTCTAGCTGGAGATGCCGACCACGCCGTGGGCCTTGATGGCGCCGGCGTTGCCGTTCTGCAGCGACAGCTCGTGGCCGCCCTTGCCCAGGTCGTCCTCGCCCTCATGCACCACGATGCTGCGGCCGATGATGGAGTGCGGGCCGATGAGCTTCACCAGCTTGTCCTCCACGTGCACCTTGACGCTGCCGTCCTCTCCGACCTCCACGTTTCCCAGCGAGCCCACGCAGCGCTCCTCGTCCTCGGGGCCGCCGTGGTTCTTGCCGAACGGGTTGAACACGCCGCCCTGGGCGTCGCCGAACACGTTCACGTGCAGCGCGTGCTTGCCGGCCGTCAGGCCCTTGAGCTCGCCCGTGATGACGCTCTTGGCGTCCTCGTGCGCCTGCGTGATCACCAGCGTGCCGTACACCGTTGCGTCGTCGCCGTAGAGCGTGCACACCGCCTTCGCCATGATGTCTCCTGCTGCCGAGATGCTTGGATCGAACTATGCCTCCGGAGGAGCGCTGTTGGCCAGTAGCTGCGCGCGCTGGGCCCGCACTTGGGCTCACTATGCGCGGGAGCTGACGATGGATTTGCTATAATTGACTGGAAATTCGTAAGTCACTGTTATTATTTTATTACGAAGGGTAGGCGATGCAAATCACGCTAATTGCTGAAATTAGCAGTAGCAGCCTATTGCGATTGTTGCGAAAGCGGACAAAAATCACAGTAAAGACGTTGCTGTTGAAGTGCCTTCCGCAAGGCTTACGTACTTTTCTTCGCAGACGGCGAAGTAGCAGGTAGCGGTGCATCCCGTCTTAGCGTCGAAAAGCAGCTCGTGAAAATCCACCATGGGTTTGAACGACGAGCCTTCATCTCCTCCAGCCATTCCAGATACTCTGCTCAGACACCAATATCAGAGTTAAATCTCAACAAGAAGTCAAAGACACCACACCACCTACGTATATGACGCACCATCAGAGTAGCCAGCCCATCGAGAGCGCACCTCGGCTGGAATGTCAAGCAGCACGTGAACTACACCAGGCACAAGCTCATGTTCGAGCGGAAAGCCATACTCCTCGTCGTTCATCTTCTGGTACCACTGCATCTCGCCCTCGCGGACAATCCTCTTGATCTCCCCCGACATCTCCCCGGTCTCGATCATGCGTTGGTAGTCGGGATGGTCTTCGCTGAGCCAATTGCCACCCTCGTCCTTTGCCAGGTAAACTTTGAGCGGCATGTGCTCCGGAAAGTTAAATCTTTCTTTGATTTTCTCGATTAGCTGCTCGACCAACTCGTCACCTCCGATCTGGACGACCCACAAAAATTGTTCTCGCTTAATCACGGAGCACAAATTCGCCCGCTTCATCCGCTGCTTGTCCATAATCTGCTCCTTCCTGTGGTGGTCTTCTTCACTGGGTATGCTATCCATCAGCGAAATGGCTAGAAAATTCTGGTGAAAGTTTGGTCAACTATAGATAACTTACATATTACTTTCCAGAGGGGGAATTTATCAATTCACCCGAAAAATACGAATAAATTACCATTGAGCCATATTGCGCACTCGGATGGAGCTGCTCGACGGCGGACGGCGCAGCCTGCATCCGCGGTCAACGACGCGCCCACCCGCAGTGTCCAACCGTAGCAACAGCAGCAGCAGCGGCAGGAGATACACCGCCTGCACTATGACCCCTTGAAGACGTCGGTTGGTCGCCACTTGCGAGCCAAAGCGGCGCGGCGGGTGGCGATCTTTCAGCACAACAATCAACTATCTAATTCCATCCGAGCTCTCCGCCTGCTGCGCGCGCCATCCATGGAGACGGACCGCTCCTGGTCCAGAGGCAACACGGCCAGCGCGCTGGCGGCGGATCCCGGCATCGCCGCGGCCCCGCCGGACGACGCGCGCGTCGACTTTATCCGGCGGCACGTGGTGCGCACGTTCCCGGGCATCAAGCTGGACGCGCTGAACCGCAAGTTCGCGACGGACGCCGTGGCCTCGCAGCTCTTTGACTTCCTGCACCTGGCGGACGCGCGGCTGCTGCTGTTCACGGACCACGGGGACGAGGCCAGCGGCGTCGTGGACGTGTACGCCACGCCGCCCGCGCAGCTCTTCAGCAGCAGCAGCCGCAACAGTTCTACAGCCCGCGCGCCCCCTGTGACGGTCCTGTACATGATCAAGACGGTCAAGGCGCCCGTGAGCGCCGCCAAGTTCCACGAGGAGATCATGTCCGGCACGCTCGAGAAGAACGCGCTCGAGTCGCTGGCGCTCATGCTGCACGACGTGTTCGTGCCACTCATCGGCAACCCGCGCAACCAGCAGCTGTGGCCCGAGATGGTCACGTCCTCCATCATCAACAACGTGCACGGCTTCTACTCGAGTCTGCAGATCACGCTGGGCCAGACCAAGGGGGCCACGTGTCTGCCGCTGCCCTGGGACCAGGTCGTCATGGAGAGCGCGGCCAAGTCCTCGTCCTCCTCGCCGGAAGGAGGAGGAGGCGACGGCTCCAATAACCAGAACCCGTTCGCGTCGCCCAAGGGCCCCCAGACGGACTTCAACGCTGTCAGTGGGCTCGGCAAGGACCAAGTACACAGCCTGGAGGGGTGTCTGATCACGTGGACCAAGCAGATCAAGAACATCCTGAAGCAAGATCCCGAGGCGCTGCTGAACCAGCGCGACCACGCGCACCAAGGCCCCATGGAGGAGCTGCACTTCTGGGCCGCCAAGGCCAAGAACCTCAACTCGATCTTCGCGCAGCTGCAGTCCGACAGCATTCGCAAGGTGCTGCAGTATCTGGACGCGTCCAAGAGCACGTACAACGTCCCGTTTGCCAAGCTGTGCAAGGAGGTCTTCCTCGCGAGAGCAGAGGCCAATGACAACAAGCACTACCTGTGGCCTCTGGCCAAGTGGTTCGAGCAGCTCGCGAGCGCGCAGACGCTGCCGGACATCCGCGACCTCTTCCGCCCGATCTGCCACTCGATTCTGCTCATCTGGAAGTCCAGTCGGTTCTACAACACGCCCGCACGACTCGTGGTTTTGATTCGACAGATCTGCAACGAGATCATCAGGAAGGCCATGATCCACTTGAATGGCGAGAAGCTCTTCGAGTTGATTGACCAAGGCGAGCTGGAACAGGCCAACAGCATGCTGCAAGTGTCTCTGCAGGTCTGCGCGCACTTCAAGAGCGTGTACTTTGACTACAAGGCGAAATCTGTGACGGAGGTCCCGGGCAACCCATGGCGAATCCAGAACAACGCCTTGTTTATCAGGCTGGACGCTTTTCTCGAGAGATGCCACGACGTCTTGGAGCTAACGCAGACGATTTACCAGTTCCAGAAGCTAGCGCAGATGGAGATCGGGGGTACGAAAGGGAAGACGCTTACAACAAGTGTGCACCAGATCTACGCGGACTTTCAGGAAACTCTCGCGCAGATGAAGAACGTGCAGTATGATCTGATGGACCTCGATGCGAAGCACTTTGAAGACGACTTCTACGCCTTCCGGTCCAAGAACAAGGAGCTCGAGCGGCGCCTCGCCTCCGTGATCAACCAGGCATTTGACGATGCCAAGACGATTGTGGGGCGATTCAAGTGTCTGGACTGCTTTGAGGATTTACTCGACCGCCAGATCATCAAGAACGAGTTGGAGCGGAAGCACACGTCGTTGATTGCGTCGTATGCCAGCGACTTGCACGTAGTGCAGCAAATTTTCATCGAGAATCGTGAGCATCCCCCGATCTCTCCCAATCTGCCACCGTTTGCTGGCGCAGTAACATGGTGTCGTGGTCTAGGAGAGCGGATTCGATTCCCCATGGAGAAACTGAAGCAGATTTCACCTAGGATTGTCCTAGAGCGAGAAGATTCAAAAGAAGCCATGAAGTTGTACACGAACGTGATGGCCATGCTCCAAGAATACGAGGTTCAAAACGTCAAACAATGGGGTATTTCAATCGAAACTTCCTCGAAGGCCAAGCTCAAGCTCCCGTTGATACGGCGTGAGCCTGCTCCTGGATCAAATGGCGTTGATTCATCTACAAGTTCAGGGAGCAAGGGGCAACAGCAGCAGCAACCGGCTGGAGCACCTCAGTCCAGCGTGGGGCTTCTATTCGTCAATTTTGATGCTGCATTAGTGCAATTGCTCCGTGAAGTAAAATATTTCCTGCTGCTTGGTTTGGATATTCCTGAGGACGCGCTGGAGATATACAAGCGTGCGGAGGTGTTCCGGCGGCAGACTGGCAATCTGGAACTCATTGTGGACATGTACAATACGATCCACTCGACCCTGTTGCCTGTCGAGCGGCCTCTTGTGAAAGGGTACCTCGAGCGCATGGATCAAGTGTTGAACAAGGGCATAAAGGCTCTGAACTGGAAGTCGCATGGTATCGACGTGTTTTTGAAAGAATCCATGACTGTGGTGAACGAGGCCAACACGCTGCTGAGTCAGCTAAAGACCCACCAGAACCGGGTTGACGAGCTGCTCGATATTTGGAATGCGTCGCCGCTTCTATTTGAGCGGAAGAGCAAGGCATTGTCCGTTGAAGAGTTCGAGGAGCACCAGAAGAGCTTGTGCCAGCAGAAATACCATGTGATCAAGGAAGGAGGCAATGAGATTCACCGTTTGCTCAAGGAGTCGTTGAAGCATTTACGCGTGGCTCAAGGCAGTCCCGATTGGAGAGCTTACGTGGACTACGTTAGCGGTATCGTGGAGGACGGTCTTGCTCGAGTAATTATCCAGTCGCTTGGTCAGCTGCGAGAGCAGTTGGATCCGAAGCGAATTGAAAGTGAAGACATCCCAGCCTTGCTCGAAGTTGAACTGGATCTGTACGGCAAAGACATTGTGTACTTCCCGCCCATCCAGAGTACCGCCGCGAAAAACGGTGTGGAGGACCTGATTATGCGGCGGTTGGAGGCGATTCTGCATTGCTCCACTGTCTTCAAGCGACTGGACAGCTCTGAAGGCTCCTATCTGAAAGAGATGCGAGAAAACGTGCAGATTCAACTACTTATTGCCGACATTTGGTCATTTCTTGACCAGAATCAAAAGGCTTGCAGTGCCTTCCGTCATGCGCTCACGAAATACGAGTATCTATGGACGACGGACTTGCCGCAGATGTTTCAGGAGTTTCTTTCAACCGCGTGGTCTCCATATCCGTACACAGATGAACAAGGCTCTCGTGGCCGAATCGTGTATGCAGATAGCTTGCCGTCATCGACACTGAAGTCCGGCCTAGTGACCGAGAGGAGTGCTGCCAAGTCGGCCATTTCTGCAGGCTCTGCGATGGCCACGCCGCCTCCGATGCCTGCGCAGCTTCTCAATCTTGAGCGATTTCAAGAAAAGATCAGCTTCTTCCTCGGTCTGCAGAACGAGATTTCCGAGTCGAAGCATGTGAAAGACGTGGGCTTTGTCCGTGTCAACTCGCTTCCGATCAAACAGGCTTTATCGACGTGGGTGACGAAGTGGGTCTACTTATTCACGCAGTACTTACACGACCGAGTCGTCAACCAGCTCGTGTGGGTGGATAACTTCATGCAGAAAGTAAACGCGGGACTGGACATCGAGATCGACAGCGCGAATGCAGAAAAGGAGAAGCCGTCATTGATGCAGTGTATGCTGCACATCAGGGACGTGCGGCGCTTGATGCGTGAAGACTTGCTGGTGAACTTTGCGCCTCTAAAGGATTTTGTGGCGTTGTTAAAGCTGAATGGAATCGCTCTGGATATGTCGTACGTCGGCAAAGAGAACGTGCTGATGTTCCTGGAGCAAGCGCCAATCCGGTGGGAGAATATGGTCAACAAGACGTTCAAGAAGAAAGAAGTGATCCAACCGCTGCAGAATCAAATGGTGGAGTCGATCAAGCAAGAAGTGGGAGAGTTTAATCGGCGCCTCACGCTGATGAAAGAGGAGTTCAAGGTTGCTGCTCCATTGCATGCCCCCTCCGATAGCCGCTCGGTAGCAGACGTGTACGATCAGCTGGACGCCTACAACGCGAAGCTATCCCAGGTTGAGCAGGAAGCTGCGCGGCTAATGGAGCTTGAAGACATATTCGAGCTAGCCTCCAGTAAATACGACGTGTTGACGATGCTGCGTGCCAACTTCACGACGCTCAAGCACATTTGGGATTTCGTTGCACTCTTGGACTCGATTTATGTGAACAAATGGCAGCCGCTATTATGGAGCGACCTCGATGCGGATGCTCTGATGGAAGAAGTTGACGAGATCGAGCGTCACCGATATGCGCTGTTCTCACCTGCTCGATCCGTGAAGGATTGGCCCATATACGACTACCTCGAGCAGAAGTTGCACCAGATGACGGTGATCTTGCCCCTTGTCAAGCATCTCCACTCCCCAGCCATGCGAGACCGACACTGGAAGAGCCTAATGGTGCTCGCCAGGAAACACTTTGATTTGTCCGGAACTGGCGGCTTGAGTCCTTCAAGCTACGCAACGATGGGAACCGCTGCCAGTGGAAGCTCGGGGGCTGGAGACAGCAGCAGTGGCGGGAAAAGCTCGCTGAGGTTTGAAGAGGTGCTCAAATTGGAGCTCTTTCGCTTCGTTAACGAGATTAATGAGCTCGTGGAAATGGCGTCGAGGGAGTTCAAGATCGAGCAGCAGCTCCAGTCCATTGAAACGACGTGGAACGGCTTCCAGCTCGAATTTGTCCCATATCAAACTGCAGGAAGTAAAGCCTCGTCTGGTACTGATAAATCTCGCGATCATCGCGGCTCAGCGGTATCTGTCGAGGGCAACGACGACCATCCACATGGAACTGCAAGCTCGAGCGCCTTACCAGTGGCATCGGGCGAGGAAATCGAGGGCGACATTATGATTCTGAAGATGCCGAACGTCATTATCGAGTGCCTGGAAGAACACCAGCTACAACTGCAAACGATGGCTGCCACCGGAAAGTTTGTTGCCTACTTCAAAGACAAGGTCTTCGAATGGCAGTTGCAGCTGGGCAATGTGGACACTATCTTGAAACTGTGGATCACGCTTCAGCGACAATGGTGCAGCTTGGAGTCCATTTTCCTGAGTTCCGCTGGTGATATTCAACGCCAGTTGCCATCCGAATACCAGCGATTTGAGCACGTCGACCAGGAAATGAAGGAGCTGTTTGCAGATGCAAGAATGGCGCCGTCGGTGCTGGTGGCGTGCTGCCAACGTGAGGGCCGCGAAGTTGTGCTTCACGACTTGCAGGTTGAGCTGGAGATTTGCCAGAAGGCTCTCAACCAATACTTGGACGGGAAGAAGGACATTTTCCCGCGGTTTTACTTCGTCTCGAACGCGTCGCTGCTTGAGATTTTGTCGAATGGCAACTACCCACCTCGTATCCAGCCTCACTTTGGCAACTGCTTCGACGGCATCCAGTCGTTTGAATTCACCCTCCAGTCTGCTTCAGATGCCAAAGGCTCATTTGGAGGGAGTTTGTCCGGGAGGAAAATGTCAGCCACCACGTCGTCTACGTCTCTTGAAGAGCGGTTTCTTGCGATGTCAATGATCTCCAAGGAGGGTGAAGTGGTGCAGTTCATGGACTCGCAACTGATCCACGGCACGGTTGAAAACTGGTTCAACGACCTGGTGATGGTAATGCAGGACACTTTGCGACAGAAGATCTTCGACGCTGTGGAAACCAGTGCTCTCTGGGGTGTGGATTGCGCTCGCCACACATGGGTGTTTGATTATCCGGCGCAAGTGGCTCTGCTGGGGAGTCAAATCGTCTGGACGGAGGAGGTGGAGAGTGCGCTGGAAGAGTTTGAAAACGGCACGGAGGACGCGATCAAGAAATACTACGACGTGTCCACGGTGCGCCTTGAAGAGCTCATCAAGCTGGTTCAGGGGCAACTCGGAGCGCTGAATCGACAGAAGATCATCACGCTCATTACCGTCGACGTCCATGCGCGCGACGTGGTGCAGTCACTGATCACAAAGAAAGTGTCGAGCTCGCTGGACTTCCAGTGGCAGTCGCAGCTTCGCTACTACACGACGCCTGTCCTGACGAGTACAGGCCAGAAGAAGGAAGTGCACATCAAGATTTGCGACTTTCGCTCGTTTTACAGCTACGAGTACACTGGCAACTGCGGGCGCTTGGTGATCACTCCACTTACAGACCGCTGCTACGTCACCCTAACGACAGCATTGAGACTCTGTCTCGGTGGAGCTCCAGCGGGGCCTGCAGGCACTGGAAAGACTGAAACGACCAAGGATTTAGCACGTGGAATGGGGCTCCAGTGCTACGTGTTTAACTGCAGTGATCAGATGAACTACTTGACGATGGCAAATATCTTCCGCGGACTAGCTCAGACGGGCGCGTGGGGGTGCTTCGACGAGTTTAACCGAATCTCGGTCGAAGTGCTGTCAGTGGTAGCAACGCAGGTGAAGACTGTGCTGGATGCGACGACTTTACTGGTAGCATCTACGAATCGTGGTCCATCGGGCGGTGCTAGCAGCGACGTTGGCTCATCTGGAGGAGAAGGCAGCGCACAACAGCCCATTGCTATGCCAAAGACTGGAAATTGCGAGTTCTTCGGGAAAACTATCGCATTGGTACCGACCGTGGGGTTCTTTATTACGATGAATCCAGGCTATGCTGGTCGTGCGGAGTTGCCTGAAAACTTGAAGGCATTGTTCCGTTCCTGTGCGATGATCAAACCGGACTTGCAGCCAATTTGCGAGAACATGTTAATGGCTGAGGGCTTCCTGAAGGCGCGTACGCTCTCCGTGAAGTTTGTCACGCTCTACGATCTAAGCAGTGAGCTGCTATCGAAGCAAAAGCACTACGACTGGGGACTACGCTCTGTGAAGTCTGTGCTTCTAGTCGCTGGCAGCTTGCGTCGTGCGCATTCGACACTCTCGGAAGAGACCGTACTGATGCAAGTCCTTCGAGACTTTAACACGCCGCGGATCCTCCCTCCTGACTATTCGGTCTTCATGGGGTTGCTGCGAGATTTGTTCCCAAACCAAGAGCTCCCACACCTGAAGAACGACACGTTACAGACCAAGAGTGCTCGCGTCTGTGCTCAGAAGAAGCTCCAGCCGGAAGATGGTTTCCTCAAGAAGATGATGGAGTTCGAAGAAGTCCTCAAGGTGCGGCACAGCGTGATGCTGATCGGGCCGGCTGGCTGCGGGAAAAGCACAATCTGGAACACGCTCGCCGCTTGCCACAATGCTGATGACGACGGGAATGCTTTGACCAAGCACTTGACCGTGTTTGAGAGCGTGAACCCGAAGGCCATCACAGCCGACGAGTTGTACGGCTATATGACGCTGGATAACGACTGGAGAGATGGCGTCCTATCCTCTATTATGCGCAACATGTCCAAGAGTGTGGCACCATTCAGCGAGTCGCAGACGTACAAGTGGGTTGTCCTGGATGGCGACATCGACGCTGTGTGGATTGAAAGTATGAACACTGTGATGGACGACAACAAGGTTCTTACGCTTGTGTCGAATGAGCGCATTCCACTAACCAAGTCTATGCGACTGGTGTTCGAGATATCGTCGCTCGTGAACGCAACACCGGCCACCGTGTCCCGAGCAGGCATCATATACGTCGACGAAGGGCACATAGGCTGGTATCCCGCCGTTGAATCCTGGTTACAGCAACGTGAGAGTATCGCTGAAGCAGGAATTCTCCCCGGGCTCTTCCAGAAGTATGTGGACTCGATGTTCATGGCGCTTGAGGACACGAAGGCGGAGACGATCGTTCCAGTGGTGGCCATTGCCATCATGGAGATGCAGTGTCGCCTGTTGGACGGGTTGTTGAGCTTGATTGGCGAGCACGAGAAAACTCCTGAAGTGTTGGAGAACGCGTTTATCTACTGCGGTTTGTGGGCGTTCGGAGGTGCTCTAGCAAGCGACAAGGGAACTGACGACCGTGCAGCGTTCTCGACAAACTTCAAGGCTGTCGCGAAGTACAAGTTTGCCTCTGCTTCAACTGGTGGTGGATCTACATCATTCCCAGCACCGACAGGTGGAGCTGATGCAAACAGCGCGGCGATGCTGGCTAGTGGAACCGCAAACCTCTTTGACTTCTACTACGATGTAACGCGGAACGAGCTGGTCTACTGGGGAGAAAAAGTGCCTACGCTGATGCCTGTAGGCGATGTCCCATTCCACGCGCTCGTGGTTCCTACCATGGAGTCTACGCGAGTTCACTCCATTATCGACTTGCTTCTGTGCAAGCGAAAGCCTACGATTCTGGTTGGTTCCAGCGGGTCGGGCAAGTCGTCGCTGGTTCACGAGCATATGAAGGGGTTGGAGGATGATAGTGTTTTTGCCTATGTGAGCATGCACCACTACATGGACGCTCGAGAGCTGCAATCTCGTTTGGAGCAGTACCTCGAGAAGAGATCCGGGCGCGTGTATGGACCGCTGTACAACCGCAAACTCATCTACTTCCTGGACGATCTCAATATGCCGTTTGTCGAGGAGTTTGGTACCCAGACGGCGCTGGCGCTGCTGCGGCAGTACATGGATTACAATTCGTGGTACGACCGGCATGACCTGTCGTCCAAGAAGCTGATCCAAGACGTCCAATTCCTCGCCTGTATGAACCCCAAGGCTGGTTCGTTTACAGTTAATCCCCGTCTGCATCGTCACTTTTCGACACTCTGCATCAGCATGCCGTCGAAGCAGGATCTCAGCACAATTTACTCGGCTCTACTGAACCAGCATCTGACGAATTTCGCAGACAAGATCAAGAAGCTGGCGTCTTCTATCATCACGGCAACGATTGACTTGTACTCGGAGGTGCGAGCGAACTTCCTTCCTACTGCGACGAAGTTCCACTACGTGTTCAGCATGCGCGAGCTGAGCTCCTTGTTCCAAGGCATCTTCATGGCCCGTCCCGAAGCTTACCTGAACAACTCGCTGCAGTTCTGTCGTCTTTGGATCCACGAGTGCTTCCGTGTCTTCAGTGATCGCATGAGCTCACCCAGCGAGATTCAGCGGTTTGCTGAGATGGCCATTGAGCAGACGAAGAAGAACTTTGAGGAAGACCAGGCAGAAATCTTCGCGTCGCCCCTCATTTGTGTGAACTTCTTGGGCTCTTCATCGTCAGGATCAGCGTCCATGGAAGTCGAGTATGGAGGCGGCAGCACTCTCAGTTACGTTCCGGTAGCGGAAAAGACTCAAATCACCGCTTGTATGGAGAGGAAGCTGACTGAGTACAACGAGACGCATCCAGTCATGAGCCTGGTACTGTTTGACCAAGCGTTGGAGCATGTTACGCGAATTGTTCGCATCCTGGCTAACCCTCGTGGCAATGCGCTACTGATAGGCGTGGGTGGGTCTGGAAAGCAGTCTCTTTCTCGCTTGGCAGCATTTATCAGCGGGTACGCGTTGGTGTCGCTGACGACCAGTGCTTTTCCCTCGTATGGGATGAGTGAGCTTAAAGAAGACCTAAAAGACATCTACCGCAAGGCTGGTATCCGACCGGCTAAGCCCATTGTGCTGCTGCTCACGGACTCTCAGATCACTGACAACCGTTTCTTGGTGCCGCTCACGGACGCGTTAACGTCGGGGTACATTTCAGACCTGTTCGCCAGCGAAGAGATGGAGTCGATGGCTGGATCCTTGCGAATGGAGGCGAAGGCTCGCGGAGTTCCAGATACCAAGGAGCAGCTCCAGGAGTTCTTCTACGAGCGCGTGCGTACAAATCTGCACCTCATCTTGGCTTTTTCGCCGGTGGGCGGTGATCTGCGTATTCGTTGCAGGAACTTCCCGTCGCTTATCAGCTGTTGCACCATGAACTGGTTCCATCCGTGGCCAAAAGAAGCGCTGGTCGATGTGTCGCTGAATTTCCTCCAAGACGTTGAGCTGTCGACGCGCGCGATTCAGGAGAATGTTTGCCATCACATGGCAGAGATGCACATGTCCGTCACAACTGCGTGCACGATGTACGCCAAGAGTTACGGACGACACAACTACGTGACGCCAACGTCGTTCTTGGAGCTCATCCGCTTCTACCGGTCGCTCTTGGACGAGAAGCGGTCGTCTCAAACGCTCAAGATCAAGCGGCTCGAAGTGGGTCTGGCTACGCTCAAGAAGACGGCGCTCGATGTTGCAGGGCTGCAGGACGAGCTGAAGCTGACGATGAAGAAGGTGGAAGAGCGGAAGAAAGCCACCGACTTGTTGCTGGAGCAAATGGGCAAGCAGCGAGGAGATGCCGAGGTGAAGCAGCGGCGGGCAGACGAAGAGCGTGCCAAGGCTGCTCAGGCCGCTGAGATTGCCTCGCAAATTGAGGCGCAAGCTACCGTTGAGCTTGCGATCGCCAAGCCGGCGCTGGATGCAGCTCAACAGGCCGTGAACTGCCTCAACAAAGCTTCGTTGACGGAACTGAAGTCTATGGGCAAGCCCCCAGCCGGCGTGGAGAAGGTAACAGCGGCAGTTCTCATGATGGTCAAGAAGGAGACCAAGAACTTCAGCTGGGACAACGCCAAGAAGATGATGGCCAAGGTGGACGTATTCAAGCAGTCGCTGGAGCAATATGACAAGGAGAACATCCCTCCGGAAGTCGTGGCTCGAGTGGAGCCGCTCATTCAGGAGGACCCGAACTTCAACTACGAAAAGATGAAGAGCAAGTCTGTGGCTGCCGCGAACCTGTGCGTGTGGGTCGTCAACATCATCTCGTACCACCAGGTTTATGTACGTGTTAAGCCACTGATGGATACGCTTGAAAAAGCGCGCCAGACGAAAGCCGAGGCTGACAGCGAGCTGGCTGCAGTGCAAAAGCTAGTGGCAGAAGTCGAAGGCCAGCTGAATGCGCTGCAGGCTTCGTTCCGGGATGCGACGAACGAGAAAGCCAAGGTTGAAGCCGAAGCGCAAGCTTGCCAAGAGCGACTATCGCTGGCTGAACGACTGGTGAACGGCCTGGCTTCCGAGAACGAACGGTGGACTCACGAAATTGATGTTTTGCGTGCTGGTGAGAGCTCACTAATCGGTGATTCGCTCCTTGCTGCTGGATTCGTGAGCTATATTGGAGCTTTCAACGCGAGTTTCCGAGCTCAGCTCTGGAAGAACACTTGGCTGCCAGATATCGTGACTCGAGAGATCCCGATTACGATTGGAAGCCCACCCGATATGAGCGACAGCAGTGGCTCCAATGGTGCGGATGCAAGTGAAAATGGAGAGCTTGGTGTCGACGCCGAAACGTCCCTAGAGCCTTCCTCCATGTCTGCATCGTCGCCTTCACACGAAAGTGTAGGCGTTGATCCACTTGACGTGCTCAGCGACAGTAGCGACGTGGCCCAGTGGATGAATGAAGGGCTGCCTGCCGATCGCATCTCGATTGAGAACGGATGCATCATCACGTCATGTCAACGCTGGCCGCTTCTTGTGGACCCCCAGCTGCAGGGCATCATCTGGCTACGCGCTTGTGACTTCCGACACAAGAAACCGGAGGGTGTCGACGCTCGTGCGGAACAGGAATCAGCTTCCCAGGCGCTGGTTATCTTGCAGCCAGCACAAAAGAACTGGACGACAACGTTGAAGACTGCGATTACGAGTGGACAAAGCGTCATTCTGGAGAACTTGGGCGAGTCCATTGACGCGTCCTTGGAGCCTGTTATCATGCGGCAGCTTTACAAGAAAGGACGCAACTGGTTCCTACAGTTCGCGGCCGAGGAGATCGAAGTGGATCCTCGCTTCCGCTTGTTCCTGCACACAAAGCTGCCAAACCCGCACTACCGACCAGAGATCCTAGCGTACTGCACGCTCATCGACTTCAGCGTGACGGAGAAGGGGCTTGAGGACCAATTACTTGCGAACGTAGTGAACTTGGAGCAGCCCGACTTGGAAACGCAGAAGCGCCAGCTCCAGCAAGAGTTCAATGGCTACCAGATTCAGCTCCTGCAGCTTGAAAATGATCTGCTAGAGCGTCTCTCGAATGCTCCAGATGACATTTTGTCCGATGTTCCGCTGATTGAAGGCCTGGAGAAGACGAAGCTTACCGCTATTGACGTTGGAATTGCGTTGCGGAAGGGAAAAGACGCGGAGCGTGAGATTAACCTGGCGCGTGAGGTATACCGGCCTGTTGCCAACGAGGCAAGCATGATGTATTTCCTGATGAGTCAGCTCTGCAAGGTCAACCACATGTATCGCTACTCGCTGGAGTCCTACATGACCTTCTTCTTCGTAGCGCTGGATGGTGTTGCGCTACCAGCTCCAGCAGCCGGGGGCGATAATAACCATGGGGGTGCTGCTGCTGCTGCGCATGATCGGGTGGGGATCTTGAAGGAGGCATTGCGTTGGACGATCTTTTCCATGGTAACCAGAGGGCTCTTTGAAGAGCACAAGCTTCTCTTCCTTACCCAGCTGGTGTTCCTCTTGCTCCGTCGTGGAGTTATCGGTGCCAACAGCGGCTACGAGCCGCAGTATGCTCGGTTTCTACTGCAAGGATCCAAGGTTGTGGGACCAGAAAACACGATCTCGTGGCTGAATGAGTCTCAGTGGCAGTCACTGCAAGCGCTGATCACTTTAGGCCCGTTCGAGCGATTCGTGTCGGATCTGGAGGAATCGGAGCCGCGCTTTCGAGAATGGTACAATTCCACGAGCCCAGAGCTGGAGAAGCTGCCGCTGGATTGGCGCGAGCTTGATAAGTCAGCACCGTTCCTGAAGATTCTCGCTGTGAAGTGTCTACGCCCAGACCGACTGACCCAAGCGATGGGCAACTTTATACTGCAGACGCTACCCAACGGCAGCAATTTCCTCAACTGCGACAGCCAGCTCAACAGTTTTGCCATCCTGAAGAGCGCGTTCAAGGAGAGCTCCCCGTGGACCCCGATGTACTTCATTTTGTCACCAGGATCCGACGTGGTCGCTGACGTGGACAAGCTAGCAGTGCAAGATCAAGAACGGATCAAAGGCGTGGACTACCACAATATTGCGCTGGGTCAAGGGCAGGAGCAGGTCGCGATGCGAACGCTGCAGATGTCGGTTGAAAACGGCCACTGGGTCATCCTCAACAACGTCCACCTGATGCCGAAGTGGATGCTGGAGCTGGACAAGTGGCTGGAGCAGCTGGCCAAGATGAGCAAGACGGCGTCCTACGCTACCCTACGCAGTAACTTATCGAGCAGCAAGGATATCATCCGTATGGGGACAAGCCGGTCGCTGTCGATGCTCCCACCCGCAGGGGCGGCCAATTCAGGGGGTGGAGGCATCGGAACACTGCACCCTAACTTCCGCCTGTTCATCACTAGCGACCCGTCAACGAACATCCCAATTGGCGTCTTGGAGCGGTCTATCAAGCTTACGAACGAGCCACCCACGGGGCTGCGAGCGAATGTGAAGCGCGCATTCTGCTGCTTCCCCAAGAATGTCGTGGACGAGCTCGAGCCTCGTACACGCTGCATCTTGTTTGCGCTCTGCTACTTCCACTCGCTCATGCTGGAACGCAAGAAGTTCGGGCCGCAGGGATTTAACATGCTGTATCCATTCGCAGCCAGTGACTTGCTCGCTAGCAGCACGGTGTTACGAAACTACATGGACAACGCCCCCGTGCGCGTGCCGTGGCCAGACCTGCGATACCTGTTTGGTGAGATCATGTACGGTGGCCACATCGTCAACGAGCTCGACCGGCTCGTGGCTGCTACGTATCTACAGTACTTCCTGCGTGATGATCTGCTAGAAGAGCTATCGATGCTTCCGTTCGGTGATGATGCAAGTGGAGGCGGCGGAGGTGGCGGTGGCAGCAGTGGACCAGATGGCGGAGGCGGCGGAGGTGGAGCTGGAGGCGATGGTGGAGATGGCCCAAGCGGAGGAGGGCAACAGCGTCGCGACTTCTTGGCCCCCAAGCTTTCAGCAGGCTTCGATCGAATCCTGGAGCATGTACACACGTCGCTGCTGAACGAGACGCCTACAGCATTTGGCCTTCACCCAAACGCCGAGGTTGCGTTCCGAACTGAAAGTGGTCAAGTGCTTCTGCAGTCAATGTTGTTGCTGACCACCAAGGAGGAGGATGCTCAAGAGAACGACAGCGACGATGAAGAGGAAGGAACGTCAGGGCTTGGTGGCGGCTCAGCTGCTAAGGAGACTGCCGATGCGGTCCAGTTAGCAGCCGAGGGGGTGCTGCAGGATGTTTTGGAGAACTACCGCGACTTCCGCTTCGATATCCAGGAACTCTTCTTCAAGGGGTCGTCCGACTCTGGACAACGTGAAGGAGGCTCACGGCGAAGCAAAGGTGGATCTGTATCAAGTTCAGAAGCGGACGACATGGACCCGTTCCAGACAGTGCTGCTCCAAGAGTGTCAACGCATAAACCACTTGCTCCAAACGATGACAGACTCGCTGTCCGAATTGGAGCTCGCGTTCCGAGGTGATGTCCCTCTTACCGAGGCGATGGAGAAGCTTCAAACCTTCCTGTACTACGAGCGCGTACCGGACAACTGGTTGGCTGCAGCGTGTCCTTCCCGTCGATCTCTCGCGCCGTGGCTGGCCAACTTGCAGCAGCGGATCGCGCAGCTCCAGGAGTGGATTGGATCGGCGCCGGACCTGCCGCTGGTGCTGTGGCTGCCCGGACTCTTCAACCCGCAAGCTTTCCTCACAGCCGTGCTGCAGACGGCAGCGCGCAAGCACAACGTGGAGCTCGACTCGCTGCGTATCACTGCGGACGTGACGAAGCGCACCATCGACACAGTGGACGCCCCGGCGCGAGACGGACAGTTCGTGCATGGCCTGTACCTGGAAGGAGCGCGCTGGGACTTCGGCAATGGCGTCTTGGAGACGAGTCTCCCCCGAGAGATGTACGTCTCCATGCCAGTGCTCACGTGCCGAGCCATCGTCAACACTGCAGGCAAGGACACTTCGAGTGGCTCGGGTGGCGGAGGTGGAGGGGGAAAGCAAGGTGCGGCTGGTAGTGGGAACGTGTTCGATTGCCCCGTGTACCGAACCCAGCAGCGAGGACCGACATTGATCTTCATGTCGCCTCTGCGGACCAAGGTGCCGCCTGCTAAGTGGGTGCTCGCAGGCGTGGCAATGCTCATGGAGGTGGTGTGATAAGCTGCAGCGAGCTCTGCTTCATGTGGTTTGCATGTCGTAGTACATAACTGTAATTGATGTGTTATTCTCTTTCATCTCGGCATCGTCATTAACGGATTCGTAGCCAGCGGGTTGCTGGCCGAGCTAGCGTTGGAGGTGTCACAACCTCCACTTTGTATCGCCTGCGCTCCCGGGTATTGGCAAGACTGTCGTCCTGAGGTGCCCTGCGATGGCCAATTACAAGTTGCTGGTGCGTGTTTCGCTTGAACAAAGTCAAACGACACTTCCCGTGTCCGGGACGCTAGGGTACACTGGACGCGGATGGTCTTTCGATGCTTTGTCGGTTGTGTCACAGGAGGTCTGCTCAGTGCGTGGCGCTGGACAACTGGGACATCCTTCCTACGTTCGGATTCGGATCTGGGCTTGCCGTGGCAGACTGACTGGTGCTTGGAAATTCGATCCTGCGAGAAAGCTCGCTCGCAAAGTTTGCATCGCACACGTCCATCAGCCTCGGGGAGGTTCAAATCCATCGAAGCCCGCTGGAACAGGGTGCTGTGCTGCGTGAATCCGTTGTTGTCGGATGACACAGGCTTTCCCGAGCACGAGGCGATGTGAACATGAAAATCATTAGCCCTACAAGTAGAGTGCATCAACAGCGTTTTAGTTCCGAAGGTCAGGGGCAGCACCACACACACGCAACAGTAAGGAGAACGTACCGGATGCAGCTCTTGCACTTCTCACAAGGCACCAACACGTCAGGATTGCGCTGGAAACAAGTCTTCTGGTGAATGGGTAGCGACGCTGCGAAATACTGGCCGTGGCAAGCTAGACACCCGATCGATACCGGCGGGGCGGCTATCCTCCTGTCAACCGAAGACGCCAGCATCTTCATCAAGCACGCGAAGCGGGGACAAACAGCAGAGAAACGTGTAATGGAGACAGCACAGGAAGCTCAGGGCTGGGCACCCAGGTTCGCAGTATTTTTAGCAGCCCTGGCGTTCGCATCAGGCTGCAAGAGAGAACTCGTTTGAAACGGCATGTTAGAGCTGTTCTGTTTGCACTAGTAGTTTTGTGGTCCTGCAGTCTCACCTGGCAGCGCCGTTACATCGAATTAGTCGGAATCGGAGTCGCTGCTGCTGGAATCTGAATCCGAGCCCGAGTCTGATGAGCTATCACTGCTGCTGCTGTCGCTGTCGCTCGAGTCGGAATCAGAGTCGGAATCGGAGTCGCTACTGTCTGCCGCAGCCTTGGCCTGCTCCATAATCATCTTGGGTGCGTTCTTCAGGTGCTCGCGCAAATCCGTCGTCAGACCACCGAGACCGATGGATGTGAAGAAGTTGATAGCGAAGCGAGTGTTCCGCGGGTTGTCCTTCGGGAACAGGCCGCCGAACGTCGGCTGCATGATCTCGTCCAGGAACCGCTCCTTCAGTGTCTTCATGCCGAGGTGCTCCGAGAGCTCCTGGCACAGGATCTTGATGAAGATACGGCTCGACGACGTCGTCTCCTCCTCGTTCAAACGGATGTACTCGAACACGGTCCACGGCAGCGCGTCCGTGAATAGCAAGTGTGCGAATAGCTTTGCCACGTTGCGAAGCTTGTTGGTCTCAAGACGATGGATCAGCGAGTACTGCTCAGCGAAGCACTCGTCGAAGGCGTCCTGGTACTCGCGCTTGATGAGACAAAACCGCTCGCTGAGCAGTCCGTAGTACCGCAAGTACGTCCGCTCCTGACTGCAACACTCAATCAGCATCGAGCAGATCTCCTTCTCCTGTCCGGGGCGGATGTTGAGTTTCATCAGCTTGTGCGCGCACTCCTCGTGCGTGATACTGGACATGATCGTCAGGTAGATCGTACGCCGCAGATTCACAAGGTCCTGCTCTGTGTAGTCCTGGATGGCCACGTTGTTGTCTGTCTGCACGGGCTGCTCTGATTCATCTTCGTCATCGTCGTCGTCTCCGTCGTCATCGCTGCCACTGGACGAATCCGAGTCCGAGTCGGACTCACCTAAGATCTCCTTCTTGATGGCGCTCCACATCTGCTCGTTCTTCTCGTAGTCTGGGTCGAAGCGGAACACGTCCAGCTTGTCCTCGCAGTCGATCTTGTCCTCCAGCGTCGTCTCGTGCGTGATCTGGTCGCCCGACTCCACCAGGTCCAGCTGCTCATGCACGGCCGGGTAGTCCGCGAAGCCGCCTTTGCGGATGGCGAACAGCCCCTCAATGGTGTACTGCACACGCTTGTCGATCTCGCCTTCGTGCAGGATGCCGCGGAATCTCTCGAAGATGGCGCGTAGGCCCTCGGGACAGAGCTCGGCCAGGATCTGGCCGCACTCCTTCGTGAAGTTGACCGCCACCTCAACCGAGTCGTCCGTCGGGTTGGCCAGCAGCAGCGTCAGCACCTCGAGCGCCAGCAGCTCGTGCACCACCTGCTGGTTGACGAGGTGCGCGATGAAGCGCACGAGCGCGATGGCCACGACCTTGTCGCCTCTCTTGAAGGCGCGGCGGAAGCGGAAGACCACGCGCTTGACCAGCAGCTCGCCGTTCTCGGGCATCTTGGTGTTGATCACGGCCACGAGCGCCGCGTAGATGTGCGTGAAGCCCGGCGACGCCAGCTGCGCCTTCATGATGGCGCGCGCCAGCAGCCCGCGCGCGCGCACGAGGTTCTCCTGGAAGAGCTCGGGCAAGATGTTGCTCAGGTTGGCCACGTTCACCTTGTTGATGAGGCCGTTGAGGCTCTTGCGCAGCGCGTCCCATGTGCGGCGCTGCAGCGCCTCGGAGGACGGGCCCTGGTCCTCCTCCTGCTGCGCGCGCAGCTGCGCGAGCTTAAACGGCGGAATGTAGACGCCGCCCGTGCGGCCAGTGGACCGCACGTCCGGTAGGAGGGTCCTCCTGCTGCGGACGGGCGTCTTATTGTTTTTACTGTCCTCTGGCGCTTTGTCCTCCTGCTTGTCCTCCTGCTTCAGCTTGCGCGGGGGCGTGACGTCGCCCGGCGCGTCATCACGGCGACGCGGAGGTGTGACGCCGCCTGATACGTCGCGCGCGGGGCGTCGCGGCGGCGTGGCGTCTGCGTCATCTTGGTCTCGGCGGCGCGGCTTCTTGCGGGGCGGCGGCGACGGCGACGGCGTCGAGCGCGCGCGGGACCGGGATCTGGAGGACGAAGAAGAAGAGGAGGAGGAAGAGGCCGAGGAGGAAGAAGCGCTGCGTGCGCGTCGGCGGCTGCGGTGGCGTCTGGAGCGCGAACGCGAGCGGGAGCGCGACGGGCTGCGGGCCATGGCTACTGCTGGGGCGTTTGGTGGCGGGTCTCGCAATATTAGACCAATCGGCATCGAGATACTTTATGAAATACACATGACGTTGGGATTGGCTGAAATACAAACACACTTTTTGTGGGACGGTTTTCAAGCAAAAAAGTGTTTTTTATTTTTCGAGAAAATGACCAAATCGGTATGCGTTAGCTTTAATTATTGAGATGGGAACTACTAACGTTAACTAAGCCACGTACCGGTACGTCCTAGATTCTTGCAGACTCCACAAGTGTCTTAAGCATTCCTGACGAGGTTACTGTACCTATGGTATGAGAGCGAACTAACGTTACTTCTCGTGTTTATCTAGTGCAATGGAGCCATCAATACAACCTGGCACGCCCCACCAATTTGCTGCACTGCAGGGGCGGAGGAAGGCTGACCACACTCGACGATGACAACAAAACAGTACTAGGAATTGTGCAGGGGTTCCTCGCAGAGAGTGCCGAAAACGAGCATGGATGAACAAACAGCGGGAGCATGGAGTACTGCATGTGAAAGTACGCTTACCACACCGGACACCCTGCGCTGGGATGACCAACAACGGCGTTTTTACTGGAGAACAATAGCGTACGTGCTGCATACAAACGCGCGAAAGCACACCCTTTATCGACAATGGTTACCGCACTGTCGCCTTTGCCCAGAAATCCGAGATACGCAGGGCCACCGCTTCGGAATTGGGTCAGTACCATGTTCAGCGGTTCTGTCAGTTTATGAAGAATGCAGCGTGGCCCTGGAAGAAGTCTGTTGCCGACTATGGATGCCAGATCAAGAGGGATATATCCCAGGACGTAGCCATGAATTGGCGAGATCGAGTGGACGTCCCACGAGAGCCTGGTGGGTCTCCGGCCTCTCTATGCGGTCTCAGTGAACACCGATGGTAGAACTAGCCGGGAACTTGTGGGTCCATGCCAGACATACCGTGGTTGGTCCAAGACTGGCAATGGACCCAATATGCTAGCCACCTCTTTCATATGGAGGCCTAGCGGACCGCCCGGCGACTCACAGGACGACTTCTACCTTTTTTCATTCAAGGTATTGTGAAGGCGTTCACACCTGAAGTAGCTCACTACCAGTATCACCCCAGCCAGCAGTCCGAATTGTGGTCTGTTGGTGTGTTGCACGCTAGCTACCCATGTGCACCGACAGCCCTCCGTTGTAGACATCCGGACGGAGCGAATTGCGCGTGGTGGATCGATGATATATTTTTGCCGGAGTCGACGCAGTGGTGGGAGACGACTCTGCAAGATCTCCGACTGCCATTCCAGAATTTGACGGGTCGCGAGCAAGTGTCAGCCAAGGGTCGCCTCCAAGGATCTCCGGGCTCTTGACCTTCCTGGGGGGAATCCTCCATAGGGAGCCCAGGAAGGAGCATGGCGGCTGCAGCGACGGCTTGCGCGTGCCCATGGCCGACGACCGGAGTCGGCACAGGAGAAGCTCGCGCGCGACGACGGCGATTGCGCTCCAAGAGGGCGGCGACTCTATGGGTCGTTGCCACGGTGGTGGGAGGCCCAGCCTTCGACCACTCTTTCAAGCTCGCGGCAGGCGACCGCGGTTCAAGCACTCAAGCCACGCCTCCACGGAGGCATTTGTGCGGTGTCCTTCGGGATGCTGCCGTCATCCGATGTTGTTAGACCCTAGGCTCACGCATCCTTCAGCACGCGCCGGGCGAACGCGATCAACGCTCAAGTCAAGTCTCCATGGGACAGCGGCCGACGGCCGCACAACAGGAGGTGCAGGACCCTTGTCCTGTATCTGCCGACCTCGTGGGTGGCGAGTACGAACCACCTGACCTCGCTTGAGGTCGTGCTTTGCACTGATTTGCAGACTCTCCCACCAGACGCTGGTCCAGAGAGCCCCCTCCCTAGTGACGCTTTGCACAGGTGAGGCCCCCGGTCTTTAGTAGGCGTTAGCGATCGTATTAGCTAAGTGACAATAATGATCCTCAATTCAAAAACAAAACAAACAAACAAGATCTCCGACTGCCACAAAGCACCAATTGGACGTTATGAGTCGCTTGCTATGAAGGTTCTACTGGATTCGCAGTCGCCATGAGGCTGACAACGACGTGGTTCGTACGAATTCCTGCAAAGGTCCTGAAAATGCGCACTGAACGCATGGTTCGGCAAATATCACAGCTCCGCCACAGAGAGCTCATGGCTACCAAAACCCTCATACGATTTGGATAGGAGTCGCGATGCCAAACATCTCGCACGAAAATTACCACCGGTTTGCTTCCGAATGGGCCCGGGGGTTCCAACATGGAGTAAATTCCTCCTGGCTAACGATCACTCACCTCGGGGAAGTACCTCGTGGTTTTGGCCCTCGCCAGTCCATCATCTCATGGCTACCAGCGACAGCAACAATGGGAAGAGATGAGAACCTTATCGCAGCCAGACGATGGCTCCAAACCGAATTTCCGGATCTATACACAGCACCCTTGGCCATCGGCAACACCATCAACTATGAGATGGGCAGAAGCGCTCATGTGCACACGGCACAGGGCAATGCGGCTACACGCAGCAGTTTTGAGTGCTATCTGGGCAACGATCCGTGCCTACTGGAATTTAACCTGTATGAAGAATGCAGCCGCAATACAGAGCTCGGGCGAGGGTGTGCTGCTTACCGAGGTAAACGACACCATCCGATCCAGACGACGGGATCATACCCGAACGCTGCTACGTTTGGATACGTTGATTCGAGAGCATACTGAACGATTAAGACACCGCGCAGACGCATGGCACGGAGAACGAGAACAGCAACTGCAGCACGAGGATCCTGTGGCTCTATACGTTTCGGGTACTCACACGACTGAATCCTCACACCACCGCATGCGGTAGGTATGAGGCATGCGTCGATGGAGAAGTTAGGGACACTGATCCGTGCATATTCTTACATTGATTTACATTAGGATAGTCTAGACATCGCACTACGTCTTGCGGTAGGCGCGATGGATAATAGATAACAAGAAATCATGCATGTACTGCACCGCTGTGTTGTGAACCTGTTGTATCTACCACCACAGCGAAGATGCCAAACTCTATCTGGCTGATACAATAGCTCTGTAGCCCGTGGCATGGTTACTTTTTACAGGTCAGAATTGCCGGCAACGTGCCACCTTTTCATGCACTGCCGATCTCTGAGCGCTGAGGCCACTCTTGCTGCTGGGAGTTACTAAGCCTTTGCGCCCGGGGGGAAGTACATGTTCTCCCCGCTGTCAATTGAAGTACAGCGACACAGTGGGCGCTAATGATCTGTACACCCCCCCCTGTTGAATGCTGATTGATTGTCCATGATAACCTTTTCGTGTCGTGATAGAGTGCGTAAGCCCGCGCTCGTCTTTGATGATGCGACTCTTGCATTCGATCAGTCGCGCACTGGATTTTGGTGTGGGCTGCTTCAACTTAGAGGTAATGAATGGGAAAGCAAGCTAGCATCGGAGCTCTAGCGATCCGCGACATGTTGCAGTGGACAAATCGCAGCAGTGGTGCTCGTTTAGACAGTCGCAAGGATCGTGGCATCTTTTTCATTCTTGCTAGGTGGGGTGGAGCAGATTGCACCATGCTGCGTGCGCCTTCCCCCGGCGGGGTCCGCTGCTAGCAGTAAACGCCAAAGGCGTGTGTCTCTCCTTGGCTAGGAGTCCTTGCAGACGGGCTCGTCTCCCCTCCCCAGTCTCATTCTGCAATTTGCTCCGTTGTCACGAACCCCCACGTATCCAGCATGCGCACCGCGGCAGCACTGTTGTTGCTGGGGCTCTGCTCCGCCCACTATGCTGTCGACGACCTTGGCAACTCGACCATTGTCACCACGACCTACGGCCAACTCCAAGGCGTCGAAGACACGAACGTCGCTGGTGTCACCGTGTTCAAGGGCATTCCGTTCGCCGCTTCTACTGCTGGCGAGGCTCGCTGGACTGCACCTCAACCCCCTGCGTCTTGGGACGGAGTGAAGGTGGCGGACACTTTCGGTTTGGTGTGCCCCCAGTCCGGCGTGAGCAGTGATACAATGAGCGAAGACTGCCTTAACCTGAACGTGTGGACGTCTGCGGATACCGTGGACGACGCGCTTCTCATCTATGTGTGGATCTACGGCGGTCGATTCATCGGCGGCGCTGGATCCCTGCCGCTCTACGACGGCGCTGGCTTGGCGGCCAAGGGGCTCGTAGTGGTCACGCTCAACTACCGGATGGGAGCTCTGGGCTTCCTCGCCACGCCCGAGCTACAGCGCGAGTCGCCCAACAACTCCACAGGCAATTACGGTCTGCTGGACCAGATCCAGGCGCTTAAGTGGGTACAGGAGAACATTGCTGCGTTCGGAGGCGACCCGATCAAGGTGACGATCGGGGGGCAGTCGGCTGGGGCTTCTTCTGTGTATCACCTTGTCGATTCGCCCTTAGCGGCCGGGCTGTTCGGCGGCGCTATCGCGGCGAGCGGCATCCGCTTCCCGTACGACCCGCTAATCGGGGCTCTTGCAACTTCCTATCGCACATTGGAGCACGCACTCGATGGCGGGGTCACATACATGGCTGACCACAACGTGTCCACGGCCGCTGAGCTCCGCAACCTGAGTATCGAGTCCATCTTGGAGGGCAACGACGATAACGACGAGTACGGCACCACTGCCGACACTGACGCTAGCAGTGAACCTCCTCTCTTCCGCCCCGTCCTGGACGGCTACGTTATGCCTCAGACGTACTGGGAGGCGCTGCAGGGTCCTGCCAATGATGTTGCGCTGATAACGGGAAACAACGCTGACGAGAGCGGTGCTGCCACCACCACGAACGTGACTGTGGCTGAGTATATCGCTACAGCCACAACCAAGTACGGAGATTTGGTGGACGAATACATGGCGCTCTACCCTACGAGCACCGATGAAGAGGCCGACAACATGACCAACAACGCTGCCCGCGACATCTCGCGTGTCGGTAGCTGGCTGTTCGGGAACTACTGGGCGGAGACGGCGTCGAGCCCGTTCTACACGTACTACTGGAGCCATGCCCCACCTGGACAGACTGCGGGCGCGTACCACATGTCGGAGATCAACTACTGCTTCGACAACTTGTACGACACGGGCTCGTTTGGGAGGCGGACGACTACGCGATTGCCGACGTGATGTCGTCGTACTGGGCCAACTTCGTCAAGAACCTCAATCCGAACGGAGGCAACCTCACGTACTGGCCGGCTTCGGTCACCATCAGCAACACGACCATGCACCTAGACGTGACCCAAGAGGTCATGGACATCGCCGAAGCCGACAAGATTGAGTTCATCCAGAAGTACTTCGCCGCGCAGACGCCATACTGAGCAGAGGAGCAAGCCAAGTGAGACCAATCAGCGTAGCTTCGCCACCTACTAATTGCTGCTTTACTAGCGTTCGCACAAACACTGACTGTGTAGCTAACACTAATGTTGCAAACTGTTTGTTAGTGTGTTGTGAATCTGGCTTACATGTGTGTGGAGTTAGACCATTTGTAACTATTTATCTTGAACGAAAAAGAGTTGAAGGTCTTTTTCTTTACACCAACCTTGATCTCTTCAATCGATTAAGGTGCACTAGATTACCCTGGCTGCGCCGTTGCGCGTACATATTGTGGACTCGACACCAGGTGCTACTTAACTGTGAGTACATTTCACTGACTTCTGAGTAATTCCACTCAGGAAAGATACCACGTCCGGCATCGCCAACTTGGACCAAACCGGAGGCGGATACAATGTCTCGGAAAGTAATGCATCGATCCACTTATGCGGACGTGAGTGAGCTAATAGAGAATTCAAGCGTCATATAGCAGAAAACTAAAAATTAGTTGCCCTAGAGGGTTTGAAGCACGTTATTTGAGTTCGTGAATGACATCCCAACAAGCAACGTCCTTAGAGTTTAGTCAATAGTTTCAAGTTGACGCAGCGCACGAAATTAAATGAAGCTTACGTACTCGGAAGTCCGAGCACATTACTCATTACTCGAAAGGCCGCGAAATGTACTCAATATTAAGGACGACCTCTCGACAACAGGTAACACTAGCCATTGATTTGATCTGCTACATGTAGTGATACAGCAGCAAACATCCAAACGCGTTTGCAAACAGCACTAACTATAAGTAAGCGTGTTGTGAAAATCACTAACATGTTTGCGGAGTACATTAGCAACAACACTTTTCAATCCAACCCCGTCTTTTGGCCCTGTGTCTGTGACCACCGGTCTCTCAAACATGTACTGTACAGCCGAGCGTTTACGGTGCAGAATGGCTGGATGTCACCGTGAGCAATACACTTCCGCCGATATGTGTACATACCGGTACAGTAATCTGCTTGCTCAGCGTGTCGCGAGTCGCTTTGTCGGACAGGTTTGGGGCCGGCCGCCGCTGTATTGGAGTAGTAAGTGCTGCCTGTGCTTATAGGTTTATGGATCACAAATAGCAAGGAGATCACTAAGCAAAATGCAATAAGTGTTCCTTACGACCTGTGTGGTCCTTTTAAGCAAAATCCACGACTGACCTTCCTTCTACTCCTAACTCTTCCTCTCTACCTCTGCAGATCCTTGCGTTTCAGCGCCTTCGTGCCGCTCATCTCCCGCTCACCCTCTCTGATGACTTGAACCGTTCACTCGGGCGACCCTAGAAGCTGCCCACCATGCCATCCGTCCCCGAAATCCAGCCACGATGCCACGAAACCCTCTTTCCCTCCGAGGTACCTCCCAGTAGCAGCTTCCGGGTCTTTAGCTTCACGGCGACCCGGCCCATGACCCGCCGCTCCTCGCCCTAGTAGCATTGTAGCCTGTAGAAGCACGCTTGTCCGTTCCTAGACGATTCCACTCGTGACAAGCGAACAGGTAGAACCTTATACTTTTTGAGAAAGCATGTTTCCCGAATTGTACCACACTTAGTGCGATATATTGTTTTAGTGAACGTGTGGAGTCCCACTGGACCTGTAAATTACGATTCCACCAATCAGCTCTTGTGAAGCGGGAAGATATTCGGGCCTAACTTCAAGGATGCGCGGGAACGATACAGTGGTCGAGTCAACGTGCAAGGAGACCGATGGTCCCAGCGCGGCTACCTACATGTAACGAAGCTGTAAGAGCTACAGATCTCCGCGAGGTAGATACACGTGAAGCTCTGTCTCGCAGTGATTTCGTCTCCACTGGGGACTCTCGAAGCAAGTCAGTGACCGCATTTGGGAAACAAGCTGCACTTTACGAGGTTTACGAGAGTTGACTGCGGCCAGGCTGCGTTTACTCCGTACTACAGTGGCTAAGTCAGTACATTTGATCGTTAGGGCTGTTAACACAATCCTTTCATAATATATAAACCTGAGGTGTCTTATACGTATCAGGTGTTCGCTGAGGAAGCAGATTACTGTACACTACTTCGTCACATTCCCGTAGACCCTTAACTTGTGCAGGGCAGGGCCAGCCTGCGTCAACCGATTTTTGCCACGCAATCATGACAAAGGCTGCAACCCACTTACGCCACCAACGGAGTCCGTCGCAATGGCTTTCAGTTAGACACAAATGTTCCCAGCCAACGACGACGAGTCTCCAGGTACCCTTTACCTATTAGTAGTAGGTGTTTGGTTTTGGCGAGTAAACAAATGCACAAAATGTTGATTACCCTCCTGTTCTCGATACACGTTTCTAGGGGTTATCGTGCTGGCGGACCGGATGGATAACCTGTTGCTCTGTTGGCCCCTTTCCACTCCTCGATTTCCTCGCAGCACCGCGCGCTCCCAGATTTAGCCACCAGACTGCCAACTGGTACTCATGGCCGCCTTTGAATCCAATCGCGACTTCGTCAGCGGTGAAAACCCCCTCAACGCCACGCGCCTCCCCGCTCTGCTCCCACCGCGACAGCAAGAATACGCGTCGCCAAGACGCCTCGCCTCCGTCTTCACCCGCAAGCGCGAGACTGTAGACGCCCAGTCCGAGCTTATGTCAGCTCTCGTGCCTCTCACCCAGCTTATGGCAGCCGCCAAGTCCTCCACGCCTCCTTCCGGAGCGGACCCTCCAGCACCGAAGACGCTCAGCCCCGCACCGCCCAAACCCAAGCGCAAACGCATCCGCCTGAAGACGGAGCGACGCCGCGAGCAGTGCAGGAACAACCAAGCGCGCTACCGCGACAGACAGCGAGGCATCGTTCGCGAGCTCGAGCAGAGCGTGCAGCACCTGGAGCAGGAGATCCAGGGACTCACTACGCGGCGCCATACCTTGCGCTACGGAGCGCAGACCACGCAGACCAAACACAACGTCTGGAATGTCGTGGTCGAATACTTCCGCCTCCTGCGCTACGGCTTCCTCATGCCGTTCTGCGGGATGGATCCCAATGTTGCTGCTGCGTCGTCGTCCGACGCTGAGCCCCACGACCAGGAGTTCTTCTTGAGGGCAGCCATGGCGGATGACGTGGGAGTTGGAGAGCTCGCGGGGGTTGATGCCCTTATTGAGCAGTGGAAGCGCTACTCGTCCTGCTTCGGTAGCCTGCACTTGAAGCTGAAGCGATTGGAGCAGCAGCCGCTCGGGAACGTCGTCGCAACGGCCACACTCAGTCTTACCATCACGGAAGCGACGCTACGATATGTGTTCCCACATCTGCTAGCGCTAGAAGGCTCTCAGTCTCACAGTGAAGACCTCGGCCGTGCTTCTCCGTTGTACGCTCGCCTACTCAGAGAGCGACTGGAGTGTCCGTGCACTGTGCGCTTCATGTGGGACGACTCGACAGGACGCGTAACTCGCCTGGATACCGCGATTGACTTCTTGTCGCCGCTGCTTCGAGCGCTCGGCAGTCTTGAAGACGTTAGCTACGTGCTAGGAGAGGCCCGCATCACACCGGCCTGTTTAATCGGTGAGATACAGATTTGAATGCAATTTTTACCATTTCGCTCGTGATGTTGCCAAAGCAGATTCCCATCAATAAATTGAAGCAGCTCTACGATTTCGCGAATCTACTTGCCACTTCCGCCTGTGAACAATTTCCAACCTGAACACGCTTGATTTAAAAGAAATGACTTAGGGAGAAGTTAACACTGCATTCATGTATGTATTTAAATGGATCGTTGTCTACGCGGATCTACTTTCAGCCAGCTTTCCGTCAGGCGTGACCCGTGCGTCTTCGAAGACGCGCGCTACGTCCTCCAGGCTGCCGAGCAGTCGAAGCATTGGCGTCAGCATGTCCATCTTCGTCTCCAAGCTCGTGACGCGACCACTGCCGTGGTCCCAGCCGAACCGGATCGAGCCCTTCACAACAAGGCGCTCATCGAGCATACGAGCTGCGAGTGTGGTGCTTTCGGACGCCAGCAAGTGCGGGTACGCGTGGCGCAGCGTGTTCTCCGTCATGGTGATATCCATCGTCATGGTGGCGAGCACCGAGTCTCCTGGTCCCTTCTCCAGGCGCTCGAGCTGCAGTTGCATGTCATCGTGATACTGGGTGAACAGCCTCCAGTTCTCCAGAATCGCCTCCACGCCACGAACAACACCGTCCGTCACGTTAATAGACATTGCTGAGCGCAAGAACTCAAGCTGCACGTGTGACTGACGACTACGCGCCGTTGTAGCGTCCGACTGCGCCTCCGAGACCTTCATGGGGGCGATGTACCCGTGGCGGAAGAGGCGGAAGTACTCGGCCGCAATGTTCCAGACGGTCTCCCTGGTCGGGATGCCGAAGGAAACAATGTGGCGCTGCTGCTCGAGCTTCTCCACCTCTCCTTTCAGCCGCTCGATGGTGGATTCGAGGTCAACCAGGTAGTTTTGCTGCTTCTTTCGGAAGTGATCCTGGTTGGTTCGGCAGCGCTCGCGACGCAGGTCTTGCCTGGACAGGAGCTGTTTGATCAGGTCTTCGTGCTTCTTAAAGTCGTCGAGAGAGACCGTGGGGCGGATTCTCTTCGGCTTGTTCTCTGTTGCGGCGGTAAAAGGAGAGTGACGACGCTTGCGGTCGGACAGAACGTCCACTGGATAGGGAGACTCAAGCGGTGGGCGGAGGCCAGCAGCGTGGGTGTTGTTTGTACTCGCGCCATGTAGACTGTTGGGGCTGATGCGCTCGCGCACAATTCCGGCGCGCTGTACGACGGCACTGATAATCCCGTCACTGAGGGACTGACTGTTGGGCGGGTACAGGGAGCTTGTGGCCATTGTAATCGGACGAGTTGGCTTGAAGAGTCGGTCGAGTTGAGCTGGACGAAGCGCGTTGCGGAATGATATCAAGCGAGTCACCGCCGGTGATCGGGCGCCGAGCGAGTCAAACAGCAGATCTCTGGCGAAGCCTGTGCGACGTTAAGACGCTCGGTTATTGGTCCATTCGACCACGGCCGTATAACGTGCTCGTGGCAGAACTCTTCTGATCTCGCTGTTGTACTGAGTACAGTACACATGTACACGTACCAATGAGAGCCAAGTGATTATCACGTTGGTTCTGCACAATCCAGTCGCTGTTCTTGAGCATGCCAAATGTTTATCATCGGGGTGCCTCAGTCGGGCTGACAAAAGCCAAGCGATTACTAGGGCCAAGTCACCGCAGTCACACTCTCTATCTTGTATGGCCCATGAATCGTGGGGTACAGAACAAGAGCCTGAGGCACGAGAAGGCGACTTGATAATGTATGTGTGCATCCATTTACGTTCTTCCTTATTGAGTGCGCGCTCCTCCTGTCGCTCTACGCTGAGCTTCCTTGTCCTGCAGCTGGGCCATTTGTCCCGGTCTTCCGACAACTCCGTCACGCGAGATATGCGCGAGCTCCAGTACCGCCGCCACGTCCGTGAGATTCCCCAGCAGCTTTGTCAGCGGGTTGATGAAGTCCACTGTCGTCTCCAGACGTGCCACGCAGTTGTTGACCGCATCCCACTCGAAGCACACAACACACGGGAGGCGGAGAGTCTGGCGTAGTAGCTTCGACTTGAGGGGCTCGGACGTTAGATAGGGGAAGATACCTTCCAGCGTTGCTTCTGACACTGTCACGCTCAGCGTGGCTGACACTCTCACAAACTTGTCGCTGACGCGTTTGATACGCTCCAGCTGAAAGTACAGGTTGTCGAAGTAGGTCGAGTACCATCTCCACTGGTCCATGAGCGCCTCCACTCCGCTGCGTTCGCCCAGAACGACATCACTAGCCAGAGACGAGCGTAGGAAGGCAAGCTGCTCCACCTCGACGTTGTACGGGCCTGCCTCAGAGGTTAGAGCACCGGCTTGTGCCCCCTCTAGCTTGACCGTCGTCGGCACCAACACACCGAAGCGGAACATCTTGAAATACTCAATCACGACGCCCCAGACGTCCTGCTGGTCGCCGTACTGGAGGCGGGCGCGCTGCAGCTCCAGCACGGGAATGTCGCGTTGTAGGTCGCGCACCGACTTCTCCGAGCTTTTTCGTGGTTGAGCTGCCTCATCCGGTACCGGATCTGGTTGATGCGGCACTGTTCACGTCGACGCTGGCTCCGGAAGTGGCTCGGCTTCTTCTTAATGATGGGCATCAAAGTGTTTAAGTCCTCCGCTTGGCTGCGCGCAGAATAGCGCCGTTTGCCCAGTGGCGGGGATTCCACGGCCTTGACATCGTCTGATGGAGCCCTAACTCGGCGTTGGGGCTTGCTGTTGCTGTGGGCGCCTGTGTGAGGTACGCCACTGGTATTCTCTTCGGACAAGTCGAGCATGTCGGTATCAGGCTGCAGCGACGTCTCCGGCGAGTACGCGTGCGAACTCTGCAGGTTTCTCAAGAACGAGGTGTTCCGCTCGTCCACGTCGTCGACCGTGTTGGTCCGAGAAGGCGCTCGCTGGAAGACTGGCCGCACCATTTCGGAACTCGGCGCGGCTCGCCCCTACACAGACCGGGGACTGTAGCTATCGAAGATGGAGGTTGCCGTTGATGCGTGCTAATGCAGTGGGGTCTTGTAGGTGCGGGCGGCAGGAGGAAGAATGCAAAATGAGCAGCTTCTGCTCAATAGCGCAAGATTTGTGAGCACGATCGGTAGGTTTACTCGCTCCGAGTCCGGTTTACACTACTCTGATTGTTGGTGAGACTGAGGTCCATCCACTCACACCGCGCTCAGAAATTTGTAGATTTGACTCATCGAAGCGTGATTCAATCTCCAATGTCATCGATGATGATTCTCCTCAATATCCTCAATGATTTGAGCACGGTACTGTAAGTGCATGTAGTACGGTATCTTCATAACAAGCCTGCACTGCTTGTAGCAGCTGCACCCTGCTGGGAGTAGGAACATATCCAAGGTTGCGCTCCTAGTAACAGTCTGCTAAGCTGGGTGATACCCGGCTTCAATGAGAGACTAGCAACACAGGTACCAAAATTTGGTCCAAATCCGCAACCGAGGCACCTTAAAAAGTACCAGAGTCCTCCAGGAAGGTTATCGCCTGAACCCACCTAGTTTTGGCTATTATTATCAGACAATGCGATAACGGGCGCCACAGCTCGTGATGCTGCAAGCAGTCGAGCAGGCAGCTTTTGTAGTACATTACTATCGATTCACGCATAATAGCGCACTGGACTATAAGGCTCCGAGCTTTGGATTCAGGACTAAGCGTGGGTCTCTGTGACCTTTACAGCTAACTCCTTGTTGCATGCGGTACTTCGAAGTATTCGATAGAGCGTTGGATGAAACCAACTCAAAAGCACACGATCTCAAAATTGACAACAAGGCTGCAGCTTATTGGGGTAACTTTCCAAAACCAAACCGGGTCTCTCTTTCTTAATTGTAATATTTAAGCTAATATCTGCCGGAATCGGGTACCCGTCGATAAATGCTAAGATTTGTGTACATTATTTACCAAAGGTTGATACTAATCATTTATTATTTACCAAAACCTGCATTCAAACACTTACGGACGCTCCAGTTTGAATTTGAATTTGTTGCGGTTTAGCTGGCTATCTACTCCCAGGATCGCGCTCAGCTGCAATCCCGCCTATAGATAGCGTGCCCATGCGGACACGCACCTACGGTAGAAGCCCCTTTTACGGACGCTCCAGTACGCTATGAGAGTCATTGCTTCGCTGAAGGTGTATCAATTTGCGTCATAATCGACCAAGCTTAGCTGTAAAATGACCAACATGACTTGTCTAGGTGCAGGCTACATTTTTTTACATGTCAATTTGCTCAATACTCAATCACTCTTAGCCGAAGATGCCCAACCTCGTGTCTGTCGCCAAACCAATCAGCTCAACTCGACAGTGACACGAGCATCGTTCGTTTGAATAAGACTTTTTTCCCTGCGTTGAAGCATCCACTTCCAAGGAATTGGCCCGTTAGCGTATTTCTCATTCCGTATTTACCCCCCCCCCCCCCAAGCCCTCAAGTTAAAAGTTTGTTTGTTTGTTTTGTTTTTGAATTGAGGATCATTATTGTCACTTAGCTAACATCCTCAAGTTAAAAGGTCAAGATCAGCGCACCATGCGTCTCTCCTTCGTTCCGCTACTGTAGTTCTCTCGTCTGATCGTTAGCACACAACATAGTACAAAAATGAGCAGTGTAACAGGAGGGCCCGGCAGGAGGACCCAGGCGAGCGGGACAGTGGTGGTGGACGTGACGAACGTGACGGACGACGAGGAGAGCGAGACGGCGGTGACAGACGGCGACACGCCGCAGATGTTGGACGAGGGCGACTGCGGAGCGATCGGCTGCACGACGGAGGTCCAGTACCTCGAAGGCACGGCGCTGGACGAGAGGCGAGTGGCAGAAATATCGCTGAGTGGCACGAACGGCAGCACGCATGGCCTGAATCCAGGGCCAGCGTCGACTCGACGTTGAAGGACGGTGGCAGAGCGGGGAACGGGCGGCCGAGAGTCCCGGACACTCTAGAATCTGCCAGCTTGGAGAGAGACGAGCTGACAAGCGTGCTGGAGAGCACGGAGAAGACGGTAGAGTAGTTGCTGGTGTAAACTAGTGTCTATTCGTTAGCAGTAGGAGTGGTTTAAGGACCCCTCTTAATAAAATTGGAGCGGACGCGACGGCGGACGTTCCGGCAGGGGGAGATCGAGTGACCTCTGACGGCCAGTACGGTGTTAAGAGTGAGAAGACTCACGTGCAAACACGCAGCGTGGGCATACGACCTGCCCAGCGGCTCGGGCAAGACAAGCGAACCCGCTTCATGGTGGTCATACAGGGGCACACTACGGTCGATTCGAGCAGATTGAGAAGTGGTTCGGCAGCACGGAAGGCAGCCATGACGGCGTTGACCCCTACCCAGGCCAAAACGGCGAGATCCGGCAAGTCCAGGCGTGTACCAAGACGCCCGGCCAAGAAGCTGTCCATTCCGGACGGCGACGAGGATACCGAAGACGGCTTCGATGAGAGGCATAAGGGCGCGGACGACGGTGACCAGGACTCCCCAAGCGACGAGCAGGAGGAGACGGCAGCATCACGACCCGGACCCGTATCCGAACAGGAGCCAGTGCCAGCCCGGAACGAGGAGACGGGTGAAGAGGCGCCGACTCAGACGCCGCAGGCGTCAGACGAACAAGGCGGGCGCAGTGGCGACAGCGACGCTCCTGCACCGACGATGGATATCGCAGTGATCGCCAACGCGCTGCAGCAGTTGACGACGGCGGTAGCTGGACTACAGGCGCGTGAAGCAGCGCGAGGCGACGACGGTGGACACGGGCACGACGCAGGTGACCGTGGCGGAGGACAACCGCAGCAGCCTGCTGCATCTGTGGCGACGGGTGCTTCACAACGCGGAAGAGCACGCGGTGTGACGACGGATAGCACGTCGGCGACGCCAGCGACTAGCACACGGACGGTGGCGAGAGTACCGACTCCGACGATGGAGGCAGCTCCGGTGGTCGTGCAGACGATGTCGCCTGAGATAGCGGCGATGGCAGCAGCTGTCCAGCAGCTCACGACGATGGTGGCGCAGAGCCAGCCGACGGCAATGAGCGGCGGGACTTGAAGTCAACCGAGAACGGCTCCACGGTCACGAGCACGGGGCGTGAGCGCGAGTACGAGGGCAACCCGCATGCCTCCGGACGACGATGAGCCGTCGGAATCGAGCAGCAGCTCCGACGACAGCGAAGACAGTAACGACAGCAACGGCGGCGACGGTAGCGACACGAGCAATGACGAAGACGACGGCGACGGTGAATCGAGCGGGGACTCGGACGGTGACGGCGGTAGTCGACGTCGGCAGCACGGACGACACGGACGACGCGGGCGGCACGGACAACGCGAGCGACAGCAACGACGAAAGAGTGTGAAGGACTTGGAACTACCCACGTACACTACCTCGCCGAAGCTCTCTGTTTCCACGTGGATAGATCGTGTTGATCTTGCTCTGCGAGGTGCGAAGGAATCCGGGAGAGGCCAGTGGTCAGGCAAAGCGCTGTATTACATCCTCGGAAACAAGTTGATGGAGGACGCGGCCAGATGGTGGGTGAACATGAATCGCCGTCTGCCCGAGCGACAGCGAACGTGGAAGAATTTGAAGAAGGCGCTACTTCGCCGCTACGGTGAGCGGAAGGATAAGTCAGCAGCCGAATGGCGCGTGGGGATGCGACCGATGATGCCGGGCGAGACGTACGCCGACTTCGCAGCGGGTCTACGCGACGTCGTGGGCATTAACAACGTGCGTGAACGAGTTCTGTTGGCACAGTTTTATCGTTGCCTCGATAAGACAACGAGGAAGTTGGTGAAGCAGGCACCGAGGCCTAAGACGCTCGAGGAGGCCGTGGATAAGGCCACGGAGATTGACGACCCTGTCGACAATGTCGCACAAGGAATGATGAACATCGGATTACAGTGGGCTACGGCGCCGCAACCGTACCTGATACCGATGATGGGGACGAGCGGCCAGACGATTCCAGGCATCGGCGGCATGGGGTTGCCGGCCGAGATGTTGGGCAACGCGCACGAAACCAAGGGCGTGATGACGAGGAAGGAGATGGAGCACGTGGCTCTATTCACCAACCCGCAGGGCGTGTACAACAAGGCTACGGGCACCTGGGATCCACCTCCAGGTCATGTCTGGAATGGAAAATACTGATACGAGCCACGACGGGCCGAGCGGAAGAGGTCTACGACGGCTGTGGCCACGAGCAGCCGATCGTCGGGCAAGAAGAAGGCCAAAGTGAAGGTCAGGCGCGTGGAAGACGAGTCCAGCAGCGACGAGTCGGACGCCAAGCCGAATAAGAAGAAGTTGAAAGCAGCTGCGAAGCAGGCTGGTAGCGATAAGCGACGTGTCGAGGCCGTTGTGACGGAACAGAAGCGCGTGGGCGGTAAGATGAGCGCCGAGAGCAATGCGAGTAGCGCCTGCTTTCACTGCGGCCAATCCGGCCACTGGGCAATGCAGTGCCCTAATAACCAACCGAAGTGCTACGCGTGCAATCGCGTGGGCCACTACGCACGAACGTGTACGGACCCCGAGGCGAAGGCTCGTAACGACGCCTACCTGCAGACGCGCGAGCGTAAGGAGCAGCGGCGGCTGCGGGAAACGAGTAGAGGGCGCTATCGAGGGGGAATAGCGTCCGGTACGAGGTGGAAAACCCCAACCGGTGGGGCTAACGATGAGGAAGGCCGACGGTAAGACGATGAGGGACGTGACGTCTGCGGGAGCAGACGACACGGAAGAGAAGAACGATGATGAGAACGAGAACGATGGGATTGTGATGCGAGCCGCCAGTGGCGACAAGCACACGTGAACGAGGACGAGAACCGCACCTTTGCGCGTGACGCGTAAGACGGACGGGGCAAGTGGCGACATGGTGGAGACCGTGTCCTGCGCAAGCGTGGACGATGAGAACGATGGGATCGCGAGAACCGCACCTTTGCACGTAAGACGGACGGGGCTAGTGGTGCCAGGGCGACGGCCGTGTCCTGCGTAAGCGTGGACGATGAGAACGATGTGAACGAGGAGAAGGCAGGGCACGTCGGTAATGGCGAGCGCCCCAGGCTAATAACGAGGACGGACCCTGTGTGCGTGGCGACGCGTGCATTGGACAAGTCAGGCGGCAGCGTGGCAGCGGTCGTGCGGATGATGAAGGCGGACGCTGCGGTGAAGGATACAGGGCGAGCGGCTCGATCCGTAGCTACGGTGAGACCGGCGATGGCGGCGGCACGGTATGTGCGGGCCGACCACCAACCTGAGCAACGAGATGAAGGTGCAGTACGACGTGCTGGCGACGGACGTCAGGCTGGAGAAGGCGCGGACCCGCTCCAAGCTGGAGAAGGCGCGACGATGAGCATGGAGGCGAAGGCAAGCCCCTGTGTGACATCCGCGAACGGCATGGAGTCGACGGCGACCGTGGTGGTGGCTACGACGATGGCGACGGGCTCGTGTACGGCATCAGTTGCCCAAACGACAGCCGAGACGACGAAGTCGACGGCAGTGACGATGCTGAGCGTGACAGCAACCCCGCAGACACCCCTGAACGAAGACGACAGCGGCGTGGACGGCGCCGAGATGGAATTGCTCCAGTACGGCGGCAGGAGCGACTAGATGAGGCGGGACAACGAGTGCAGCGAGGAATCGGCCGTGACGAATGTGGGGAAGCCCCTGTGTGACAGCGGGAGCAGTATGGCGAAGACGGGCGCGGAACTTGGCGAGACCTCGACTACGAAGGGCGTGGAGACACCCCTGATGGCCACAAGCACGGCCAAGACGTGCGCGGTAACGGCGATCGTCTCGACGGACGAGTGTGAGGCAGTCGTGGAGGACAAGGCGACGAACGAGTCGAGCGCGGACTCGAACGACGAGTTGGCTGGACGTGACAGCGTAGAGCTGGCGCGACTGGCACGGCGCAAAGCTCGCAAGCGGGCGAAGCAGGAACGAGTCAAGGTCTGTATGGCTCGGAAACGACGTCGTGAGCGCGAGAAGGCGACCGAAGAGCGGCGAGTGAGCGACGAGCAGCTGGCGGTGCGGCAGCAAGTGGCCACAGAAGCCATGGAGCAACTTCGAGAGCGGCGAGCGATGCGTGAGCAGCGTGGTGACGGCAAACGAGGGCAGCAAGCGCGAGTGAGTCTCGTGCAGCACCGCGGTGGTGGAGACGCACGACGAGAGGCGCGCGATGAGGTCGTATAATATGTCGGAGCCGACGACAGGCTCCCAACCGCAACGATGGAGGTGGCCGGCGTGAGACGACACGTGAAGCTTGACAGCGACGCACGCTACACGGTAGCGGGCACCGAATGGATGCAGTTTGGTGATCGCGTGGAGCAAGCAGCCCCTGTCGACTATGTTGATGGTATTGGCGGGTTCCTGTTAGACGTAGTAGGCGTATGGAGTTTCAACATGCGCAGTGTATTCGGCGAAGTGATTCGTGTTGAAGCATGCATTGTGTCGGGCTGTACCGACGAATTCCTACTCGGCGTTGACTTCATGCGTGGGCACGGAGCCATGATGGACTTCGATCGGAACGAGATCCGCTACACTACGGCTGGACGTGCGGTCGTCATTCCCTTCCGAACGCATGATGGCGCGAACGGAGCACGTGTGGCGGCAGTACGGATGGTTCGGCGAACGGAGATGGACGGCAGTGCGGTGACGCCGGTCAAGGTGTCAGTGGCGGCTGACGACGGCGAAGGAGGCATCTTCTTGCCCACTCAGTGCACGGGCGCGGTCATGTTGGCGGCAACGGTCACGAAGGTGCGGCATGGTAAGACATTGGTGCCAGCGGTAAATGCGGACGGAAGGCAAGTGCGATTGCCGGCAAGGCAAGAACTGGGGCAGTGGGTCCCACTCGACAAGGACGTTGAGCTGTTGCAGATGAGCGGCGAGCTTCGCCGTGACAAGATCAATGAATGGTTGGACGGACTCGGTGGCAGCGATGAGCCGCTCGAGGACGAGGACCAGGTCAACGTAGGTATCGAGGACGACGAGAGCAGACGGATGATCGTGCGGTTGCTGAGGGTATATAGGCAGCTGACGGCGGACAAGAGCGACTGCCCGCCCGCCACGGTACTGAGCACTGAGCACCACATCGACACGGGCGATGCAGCGCCCATCATGCTGAAGCGCAGACGGCAGGCGCAGGCAGAGGACGAAGTGATCGAAACAAATGTTCGGAAGATGCTCACAGCTGGTGTGATTGAGGAAGGCGAAGGCGCCTGGGGTTTCCCTGTTGTGCTAGTGCGGAAGAAAGATGACGAAGTACGTTTTTGTGTGGATTATCGCGCTCTAAATAAGGTCACACGAAAGGACGTGTACCCGCTACCGAGGATCGATGAGGCGCGCTGCTATTCAGCACCTTGGATTTGAAGGTAGGCTATTGGCAGATCCGCGTGGCGGACAGGGACAAAGAGAAGACGGCTTTCACGACGAAGCAAGGACTGTACCAGTTCGACCGCATGCCCTTCGGACTTACGAACGCTCCGTCCACGTTTCAACGGATGATGAACAGTGTATTACGCGGCCTTACGTGGACGGCATGTTTAGTCTATCTAGACGATATTGTGGCTTATACACGAGGTGGTATCGAACGACACGTGTTGGAGTTAGCTTGCGTGCTTGAGAGGCTCTCACAAGCAGGACTCACATTGAAGCTGAAGAAGTGCGTGTTCGCGGCGAAACGCATGGAGTACTTAGGACACGAGTTGAGCGCGGACGGCGTGAGGCCGCTTGATCGGTTGGTGACAGCGGTACGCGAATTTCCGCAGCCGAAGGACGCGGTGGAGGTGAAGCGGTTCGCTCGACGGTTCATTAAGGGCTTCGGCAGCATCAAGGCGCCAGTGACCAAACTACTGCGGAAGGGAGTTGACTGGGAATGGACGGGTGTGCAACAGGAGGCTTTCGAACACGTGATGGAGGCCTTGACGAGCAAACCTTTGCTTGTCTATCCGGACTTTACCCTAACCTTTCGACTAGTGACAGACGCGAGCAAAGTGGGGCTCGGGGCATGTCTAATGCAAGATCGAGGCCACGGCTGGCAGCCGGTGGCGTATGCGAGTAAGGTGACGAGTACGACGGAGGCGAACTACGGCATCACGGAGCTTGAATGCCTGGCGGTGGTGTGGGCTATTAAGTTGTTCCGCCCGTATCTCTACGGACGGCGCTTTACCATCGTCACAGATCATTCAGCGCTCAAGTGGCTGATGACTAGTCCTAACCTGACCGGTAAGCTACATCGTTGGGCCTTGACCCTCCAGGAGTTTTATTTCGAAGTGGTCTATAGGTCAGGAAGTACGAACGTAGTGGCGGACGCGCTTTCGCGAGCGCCCGCTAAAGCTACAGTGTTGTTGGCGGCAATCGAACGGCGCCGGCGGTCGAGGGAGCGATCAGCAGCATGCGGTACGACGACGGCGGAAACGACGGATACGGGTGGTGAATCAGGTCCGGCGGCAGCTGAGCGAGGTACGAGTGCGGCGCCCGAGCAGATGACGGCGACGGTGGCTAGCGAGGAGTTGCAGTCCGCACACGAGGTGTCGAAGACACCGAACAGGACGGCGAGGCGGCAGACGGCGGAAGAGGGCCACGAGGACGGCGACAGCGAGCGGCAGTCGGCCAAGAACGGCGTGAGCGACGGCAGTGAGCGCGGAACGGCGACGGAGGATGAACACAACACGGACGAGGCGTACGAGAACGCCGAGACGACGGAGGACGACGACGAGGTGCCCGGGCAGCAGACGCCGAGTACCAATGCACAGGGCGTGGTTACGACGGAAGTGGCGACGGCGGTAAAGCAGCCAGTGAAGCGACGTACGAAGCGGCGTGAAGAGTCGACCAGCGCGACGCGACCATTGACACGCGGAGCGAAGCGGCGTGCTGAGGAGCAGCGGCAACGCGAACACCACGCGCAGGTCACGACGGGCGTGTATGACGGCGCGGCGCAGCACGACGATAACGGCGTAGTGGGGATGACGGCGACCGAGAGCGCCGTGGGCACGAACAGCGGCGAATCGAAGCCGACGACGAGAGCGACGGACCCGAGCAGCGCGTCCACGGCGGAAACGGCGGTCCCGGGTGGCGTAGATCGGCGAAGAGGGCGACCGGAGACGATGGGTATGGTAATGGCCCCAAGTATGACGCCGGAGACACGGGCGTCGACGATGCAGGCCACGGAGAAGACGGCAACGGCGGCAGTGACGGAGCCCAGAAGCCACGCGCGCGACAGGAAGCGCGTGACCTTCGCGGTACCTATGGAGAGCGGCGACCGCCGTAATGATGAACGGTACGACGGAGGCGGTACGGCATCGGAGCCGATGCAGCGCAGTGAGTTGATGAACGCTGCGGCTACGAGCGTGACGGCGGCGCACGAAGTGCACGGAACGACGACCGCGGTGGCCGATGACGACACGAGCGCGGCAGCGACGGTGACGGGCACGACCACGAGCCGTGTCAGCGGTAAGAAGTCCGCGATACGTTCGAAGCGGCCGAAGGTGGTCACGGTTTCGACGACAGTGCCCCTGACGACGGATGCGGCGGCGAAGGCCACGAAGAAGACGAAGGGCACGGCGACAGACGCGGGCGACACACTGCGGCTGTCCAGGACGAAGACGAGCACGACTACGACGAGCATGGAGACGGTGAGCAACCACTCGATTCCTATGAGCACCGCGAATGACGGCGTCAATGAACGAAGAGCCCCTGTACTACAACGAGAAGACGGACACGGTGAGCGGGAGCAGCTACAAGAACAACGGGACGGAATGGCGCGGCGGCCAGTGGCGGAGCCGACGCTACAACTCACCGACGACGAGATTGTGGCGGAGTAGGCGAAGAGCAGGTTGGCGCAGCGCTTGCTCGAGGCTGGCGAGTACCGAGGGCAACAAGTGACGAAAGCATTCGGTCTGGTGACGATCAAGACAAAGGATTGGCAACGAATTGTATTACCCCCTGCATTATGGGCTACGGTACTAAAGGTGTGACGAGACTGAGCGAGGTTTTGCCTCAACCGGTCATCACCTGTCTACTGACCCGCCTGAACGCGCCATTCTGATTGGCCGAGACTGAACCCGGACCCGACTGTACACCGTGCGACAAGATCTGAGCTGGAATTCGGCTATGTTCCGCGGAGCGAAGTGCGCTCAAGCCTAGGATGGGCCCTTCAGGCCTGGAAGACTGCGTTCAGACGAGAAACCCTGAACGCACTCGATCCGTCCAGGCCGCCCCCGTCCTTAAGCGGGTTGACACATTGAGGCCGTCGAAAACGCCTGCACGAACGTATCGTGCACGGTGTCCCGCCTCGCCTAGGCTCTGAACGCACATCGAATGCGTGTACCCGGAGCTCAGCCCCCCAGTAAAGTCGCGTACATGGTGTCCAGACCGCTGGTCACCCGGAAGAAGCCCCGCCAAGTGTCCCACGACCCAGTGAAGAGTCAACCTACCCTTGGCCGCAAGGTCTTGAGTATGGTTTCAGCCTTGGACGCAAGTCGCCTTTGGCAGCAGACCCTGGACGCACTGCGTTCAGCCCTGCTGACTCTGAAACCCGGTTTCAAGGATGCGGGTTCAAGGGAACCTTGGTCGCATGCGGCCAAGGTTTCCCAAGAGCCAGTCATGCACAAAGACATGGGCACATTGAAGCTGGGCAAGAATCCAGTGGAGAATGTCTACGTCAACAGTTCTAGTATACTCAAGTCAAGACATTCGCCAGACGTGTGGCGAAGAACACAGAAGAACACAGAAGAACGCTACGAGAGAGATACCTTTACACAAAGCCTAGCGATAGTCTAGCATATAACAATCAGAGAGTTCGTTTTACCCCCTACTGCGCAAGTCGTCGAGGAATCGGGTCCGCTGTCTTTAAGGACAAGAGCAGTGCGGAGCTCCCCACACACATTCAAGTCCAGTTACGTGGGGATCAGTCTGCTCCGGCTGCTGAAGTGATCCACGTATTCCATTTCCCAGTTGGGCCCATTGCGTTGAGGTAAGGGTGGTGTCCCATTTCATGTTAACGATTGATATCTCGGGTGGTTTGGTAGCAGTCGCCCCCGAGAATAGTTTGATTGACTGCGTTTAGGATCGGATTGTATTTGGTCTGTATATTTCCTTCATCTGAGGGTGGTGCGCGTGTGAAAGTGCGTTCAAGGTTGACCAGTACCTTGATCGCAGATTAGTTGACTGGTGTACTACCCACCGCCCAAGGGTCTAAGAATAAGTGGCGGCTGTGTGTTTGTGTATAACTCTGCATTTGTATTGGTTGTCTGAAAGTGGTGTGTATTTCTGGGGTTCTAACTTGTGGTAGTAACCCTGATCCTTCACCCACGCTTCGAGCTTCAGCCATTTCGGAGAAGTGCGTTCAGACAAGTGAACGTTACGCTCAATGAACCCAAGGCTCTCAACCCCACAGACAACTCACCTGGTGATCGATCCAGGCTCCCCGAAGATAAACGACACCGATAGGGATTCACAAGGTGCCACGCCACCCTGGCCGCATTTTTCCCAGAACCTGCGTTCAAGGAAATCTGTGTTCAGGGTTTACTTTCCCAAAAAGGTTTGCTCGTCTACCCTTTCTGGGCTACCGCTATACACCTGGGCGTAAAAGGTTTCACCGACCTCGTCACAGCTGGTGCGCGTGCCCGGATTTGGGGTCCTCGGATTTCACCGAGTTGTCTGTATTTTGTGAGAATTGAAAAGTTGGGCTTCGCAAAGTACTGACCAAGTCGCTATGGCGGGAGCACGAAGCAAGAAGGATGGAGGGCGCGGTGACGGAGGTCGTGGTGACGCGACGCGTCAGTCGCGCCGAGCGCAAGGATTGCCAGCTGAATCGCACATGGACCTGGATATCATCAACCGGGAAGCGCGTGCGAGGAGGAAGGCAGAGCGGGATGCGAAGGAGGCTGAAGACAAGGCCACGTCGACTGAACCCGCTGTTCAAGACGACCAAGTGTCGACGGAGGCGGCTGAAGAAGAAGACCTGCGTTCAGAGTCGAAGGCTGAATGCATCCCGGAAAAGCAGGCTCAGACGACTGAGTCTGCGAAGGCGTCTGAGGGAGGCGCTAATGTGGGTGAGCCCCCGGCGGCGGATCGAGTTTCGGACTCTCCGCAGCCGGAACAAGAAGAGAAAACTCCCAAGGATGTGCCGGTCAAGGTCAAGGCTGAAGTGATCGAGATCGAGGAGTCGGATGCCAAAGAGCGTTCAGCGCTTGAGGACGCGGAGGTGTCCTCGCGCTCGCCGCAGAGTTCGTCGAACCAGGCTCCGTCATCGTCGCAGAGTCAAGCCCCTGAACCCGAAGTGTTGCCGCGAGGCAATGCTTCAAACCCGGTTCCAGCACCTCAAAGTCTGAACGCAGATGTGCGTCCAAGTTTGGGCGCGGGTGCTGAAACGGCTGACACGATTCAGCTTGATGAGACGGCGGCGAAGAACTTTGTGGCACGCCAAGTGTATCGCTGGGAGCAGATGCGTTCAGGACGTGTCGTTCCGCCCTCAGTGGAGTATGCTTGGCCGAATCCGCGGCCAGACTTCTCGGTTTGGCAAGAGGCCATAATGACTACGTCGGACTACTTGCGGCGTCGAATGGCTCTGGAGAATCGAGACGCGGCTTGGATCGCTGAGCTGCGTCCTGAACGCAGAGTGTTAGGCATCGCTCAAGACCTGACCGCAGTTGTCATCCCGCCGAGTATGATGTCTTCGCGTGAGTGTGCGGCAGTGTTGGAAAATCTCCTCTTTGAAGCTGGTTTTGAATTCGTCAACGCGGTTCCAGACTGGTTCATGACGCATGCGTCCAAGATCAACCCTGGATATGTGCGTTCAATCGTGGAAGAGGTTCAGCAACTCCTGACTATCGAGCTCATCGAGTGGAAGCAGCTCACGGCTGGAGTGTCGTTCAAGGTCGTTCCAGCCTCGGATACAAAACCTGCGTTCAAGGAAGAGAAGACACAAGACGCTCAAGCTGTGAAGGATGATCTATTGATGGATGACTACGAAGTCGAACTGCTTGGCCAAGCCTTCGTCTCTCAATGCCGGATGGCTGGGATCCTGGCTCTTCGCAGCCCGCGAGGGTCACCGGAGATTGAGCCCTATCCCAAGCGCCCGCAGTATCGGCCAGCTCGTCCGTTGAGTGTGTCGACTCCGTCTGTTCACTCGCTGGTCCCATCGACCGACGTGAGTCTGAACGCAGATGCCCGAGCCATGAGCGTTCGAGGTTCGACCCTGAACGCATCTTCGAGTGGCATCTCAGACTCCGTTCCAAGCTTGATCGGCCCGTCGGGGACTTCGAACGACTCGGCGTACGCGACCTCCTTTCACACGCAGACGTCTCGGGACAGCTCGTCGTCGTCATCGCTGATGTCGCTGGGCCACAGTGCTTCAACGCATATGCGTCCAGGCCTGGTCATGAGCGTTCAGGCAGGTGGAGCCTTGGCCGCAGCGCCCGACATGGGCATGTTCGTGACCAAGACTGTTATCCCTGCTCGCCGTACGCTGCCAGACCAGGACGACGTCGACATGGCTGAGGTCGCAAGTGCTGAAACGCGAAGTAGCAGAACTGCGTCCAGGCGTCGGTCGTCCAAGGCGAAAACTGCGGTCAAGCAGGAGAAACTTGAACTTGCGCGGAGCGAGTCGGGGCTGACCTCGGAAGGCCTCCACCAGTCGTCCAGAAGCTCGCGTCATGATCATTCAGTGAGGACCCGGTCTAGCCTGACCAGTCGATCTCTGCGTTCAGGCTTTCGGTCTTCGTCGGCGTCGTCCGGAGCTGTACAAGTGGCCTTGAACGTCATGCGCCAACTTCAGGAGCAGCAAGCAGCGTTCCTGACTCAGATGAGTCAAGCGCAGCTGGACATGCGCGGCTGGAGATGCAGCGTGAGCTGCAGAACGCAAGCTTCGAAGTCCGCGCGATGAAGGAGGAAGTGTCCCGGGCTCAAGCGGAGAAGGCTTTTGCTGAACGCGCCTTCGCCCAAGCTGAAGCCGCTCGTGTAGAGGCTGAACGCAGGACCCTGGAGGAGGCTGAATGCAGATCGCGTGAAGCTGAATGGCACCCTGAGGTCCCAGCCTACTCCGGCCCAGTCGAACCCGCGGACTATGCGGCAGTGCACGAAGACCACCTCTTGCGCGCGCGTTCAGACGTCGCTGAAGTGGCGACCAAGCTCGCGAAGCAGCAGTACGAAGCGGATCGGGAGGACCTTGAGCGCCACTGGAAGGAACGCCTGAACGCAGCCGAGGCCAAGCTTCAACGCGCTGAGGCTGATAGCGCCAGCGCCGAAGCGGAGCGCGCTCGCCGCGCTGAAGAAGCCGACGGTGAGATGAAGAAGCGCTTAGACACCGTGCAGCAGACGATTCAGAACGTACTCTTCGAGCGGGAGCGAGAACGTGCGGAACGGGAGCTTGAACGCGACACTGCGCTGAACCGCCAGAAGTTCCTGGCCGACCAGAACCGCGAACTGCGTGCAACCCTTTCCCAGGTTCAAGCCGTTCGCGCAGCAACGGCCCCTCATCCCGCAACCGGAATCAAAGCTGAAATGTCGGCTGTCCCTCAATCGACAACCTTGAATCAAGTATCCAGTGGTGCAATCAATGATGGCGTGGCACCAGGTACCGGTTATGTGCACTCAAAGAACACGACCAAAGTCGGTGCTGCCCAGCTACGTGCGACCGTGGGTACGAGTCTGCCGAAGAAGGAAACTGCTGGAAGTTCCCAAGGGACGAAGACCGTGACGGCGTCGAAGAGCTCTGCATCCAAGTCGGAATCTGCGGCCAAGGGTTCAGCGTCATCTGCAGCCAAGAAAAGTGCGGCCAAGAAATCTGCGTCCAGAAGATCCTCTTCCCGGAAGGGTAGCAAGGAAGACGCAGACCCGCCGTCTTCTGACCCAGACGACTCCGACTCCAGCTCATCGGACTCCAGCGATGACGATTCAAGCTCCTGTGACTACAGCACCAGTTCCAGCGACGACTTCGACCTGGACCTGACTACCTCGACGACGACCAAGGAAGGCACGACCGTTTGGACGTATCGACCGTACATCAACTACAATGCGGTTGAGAAGTTCAGCGAGGATGCGTCCGTGGAAGATCGCGTTGGTTGGTGGGAGAAGTTCACCGACATGGCTGCTCAGGGTTCCTGTCCGGACAAGATGAAGATTCGCCAGCTTCGGGGACGAATGTCTTCGTCGCTCAGGGACTGGTACGCTCAGCTGCCAAAGTCCACCAGGCACAACTGGAAGAAGCTGTCTCGTCGGTTCAAGGTCGTGTACTGCCGTACGACTGGTCCCTACTCTGAGCGCTAGTTCACCATGAAAGTGCGTTCAGGCGAGACTCCACGCAAGTTCTTCTACCGGCTGAACGCAGCTGCGGTCAAGGCTGGGATTGAGTTCCAGAAGTCATCCAAGCATCGGGAGCGACACCTTCGTCGTTTCATCAAGAAGCTGAAGGATACCCAGCTGAAGACCGCGCTGCAGGGACAGAAGTTCAAGAGTATCAGCGAAGTCGAACATGCGTTGTGACGCCACGAGGACATCTGGCGCGAGGAAGGCTATGACACTCCCCCGCCACGGCGTGACTTCCGCGCTGACAACGACCCGCAAGGCCGTTTCAAGGCTCAAAGGCCTGGACGCGCTTTTGTCGCTCAAGGTTCAGAACCTGATTCAGACTCCGAGCCTGAACGGCGTGTCCGGTTTGAAGAGCTGGATGATGAAGTCAAGCCGGCCGCTCAAGTGGCGCTCGCCAAGGGACGTGAGAAGAATCTGAGTGAACCTGTGCCAGCTGAAACGCAACCCGTGTTCAAGGTGGGAACGTCACGAAGAAGATTTACCGTGTTTTGGGTGCCGAAGGATGGCGCCCTCCACCTCAGTTTGGAAATGTGGATCTGCGTCCAGGCAACCCGGACCTGCGTTCAAGGTCAATGTCACCGCGTTCAAGCAATTCGCCGTTGCAGAGGACTTGCGAGAGCTGTGGAAGGATCGGACACTCGAAGGAGAACGGCTGGGCAGAACTGATCTGTGATCGCTGTCACCAACAAGTTCACCCGACTGAAGCCTGCCGCGCCATCCCATGTACTGGCTGCGACCAGTTCCATCGTGGATTCTCGTGCGAAGATTGGAGCGTTGTCCATGCAATAAAGAAGTTGATGCGCCAAGGTGGACTCAACGACCAAACCCTGAACGCGTTTCAGAGTGGTGGCGATGGCTCTGAGTCCAGCCCGCTGGCAGAACGTAGTGGGTTGAGGAAAACCTTCGCGTTATGTGCCCTAGCATACGTCGGCCCGGAGCTGAGAAGGAGAAGAATCGACCAAGCTGACCGACATTGCATGGCCGTGTCCCAAGGTTAATCTCCCGATTCAGCAAACCTGCGTTCAGACGATGTGCGTTCTGACAATGAGCGTCTGGACGCAGAAACCCCGTTTGAGTTTCGACTTCGGCCGGGTGAAAGCTGTGACTGGTGGGATGATCATGAACCTGAGGATGCGCATGAACTTGCTATGGTGCATGGTGCTGTGAATGACTGCCGAACAAAGATCGTCCTGGATACTGGTGCATCCGTAAGCATGCTGAGCTTCGACTTTGCGGGAAGGTTAAAGCTCAAGCTCCGACCACACAAACAGATGAAGGTTTCAGGGTTGGGAGGTGCTCCGACCTACATTTCAGCGCATGCTGAGGTCATGATCACGTTCGGACCTAGAGTTGTCTACGTTTTCCGGCTTTGGGTCGCCAACATTGGTGACGGCGTGGATGTTTTACTTGGTATGAACTTCATGTTCAGCGCCGGTGTGCGATTGTCGACTCGAGAAGGCTTGATTCAGCTTCCGGACGAAGAGACGATTCAGATGTGCGGTGAGCCTGACCGCAGTCGAATGGGTTTGGACCTTCCGGTGCGGCCAGCGGAGATGTTGTTCCTGAAACCAGGACGAAGTGCTATTGTGCGTATTGACTATGGCGAATCTTTCCCTCAGCGCGAGGTTGTGTGGGCTGGACGCGGAGACCGATGGGTGACAAAGATCATTTATGCGGCCAAGTCTTGGCCGACTGCGATCAAGGTTGTGGACATCTCCGACAAGCCGGTTTGGATAGACACGCAGACCCCGGTGTCTAGAATTGTGGAGTATGAATGTTTTCCTCGTGCTGGTCGCTTTGTGCGTTCAGGCAAAAGACAGTATCAAGAGTGGCAACAACTCATTCTCGAGACCACTCTGTCTGATCAAGCCCAGATGCGCGCTAAACGACTGGCTGAAATAATGAATCGTCAGGATCCAACCTGCGTTCAGGCTTGCAGTAACCCGTGGCCGTCCAAGATCATGTTGCGACCAACTTCAGGTACCGCTCAAGTTCGGCTCGTGCAGGTGAACAAGAGGCCGAAACCGTTACGGGTTACCTTCACCGAGGAACCTCCTCAGGAGCGAATCTTGAACGCAGCTGATTCAAGGACTAGGGATGCCGGAGTTCAAACAGACCCGGTTCAGGCTGAACAACCTAGCGTTCAAGTTCTCAGCCCTCGTTGCGCACGCAGCGAGTGTTGCTGCAGCCGTAACGCCTGTAGGAGACGTCACCCACGCCGCACACCTTGAACGCAGGTGTTCCGAAGACGCTGGTCGGTCTGACCCCCTGAACGCAGATGCGGTTGACACTACGGCCATATTGGAGGAACCCTGTGGGTCAGGTGAGCATTCGGATGCAGGCATCGAAGAGCTGGTTGCAGCCAAGGGATGCGTCAAGAAATCACCTGCGGTCAGCATCGAGATGCTTGAATCAGACTATCAGGGTGTTGTACTCAGCTTCGATGGTGCGGCGAAGACTTCAACGCGTGTTGGAAGCTGCAGATGTGTTCTGTGGCAGCTACCCGACTGGGAAGTCCTGGACGCACGTGGGTTCATCCTGGAAGATGTGACTGTAAATGACGCTGAGTACCATGGACTGCTGAATGGGTTGAAAATGGCATCTGAACGAGGAGTTGAGGACCTGGTCGCAGTTGGTGATTCAAGGATCGTGATTCAGCGGGTTCAAGGCTTGATAAACTGCAACCAACCCAACCTTCAGCGCAGGCTAGCTGAATATGAAGTCATCTGGACGAAGTTCAAGACTGTGCAGCTGGTGCATGTCAAGCGCCTTTACAATCAGGCTGCTGACTACCTGACGTCGAAGACTCTAGCGTTGGGTAAGTCGTGGCAGGTTGAAGACGCTGAGGAACGTTTGTACCTGCAACTTGTGTCGCGAATACCCGAGCTGGTGAAGAAACCTCCCTGGACGCTGAATGAAGCTGAAGTGCGTACGAGGACTTTGGACGCCGATCTGGATGGAGTGCGTTCAGACTTTGACTCAGCGCCGATGCAATCTGCGGCCAAGGTTTTGACCGTCATGACACATGTGTGTTCAAACGTTTTGCTCTGCAAAGACTGTTGGGAACCCGGCACCTTGAACGCTGGATATGAAGTGGAGAAGATCTTGGCCCTACGCTGGGCCGATCATATTCAGATGTCTCAACGCACTCGAGCGTACAAGGTCAAGTGGAAGGGGCGTGACGAACCAGAATGGATACCGGTCTCTCGGCTGGACTGTGATGTCCTCCTGCATGAGTTCAACCAGGGTGTTAGAGTGCGAGCTCTGGCCCAAGCCATGCGGATTCGGGACGATCGCTCGGGCGTGTAGAGTTCCTTGAAGGCACATGCCTGACCGCAGACCGCTGACCAAGTGAAAAATGACTGACGATGCCCCTGACATCGACTGTACCCTCAAATACGACCGAGTGACGCTGGCCGCTGACAAGTGTCCTGAACGCAGCTGTACCTGAACGCAGATGTGTCTGAACGCAACTGATGAAGATGTGATTTACAAGTGGAGAGACTGCAATGACTAGTGGAACGATTTACGTGAACTGATACTGTGGAGAGTGGAGTGTATCCAGCCTACTGCGCGTTGATGTGACTTCGGCGGAGAAGTGGTGGAGTGACAACTGAGGAATGTGGCTGAAACCCCGTTTCAAGCTGATTGAAACTGCGTTCAGATGGCTCGACGCGGCGGAATCTGCGTTCAGCCGCTCATCACTCTCCTTGGCCTCTACATTCACGGTGGAGCCCTCCATGACCTCATCTCCATCCTCGTCGACGTGCCCCTCGCCGCTGTCGCCCTCCTTGTCGTCGTTGTTGCCCGCGAAGTGCACCCGGCGCTCGTTGCCCGAAGGAGACGCCTCCGCCGGTGTTTCCTGCGACTCAGACGCCTTGCTGGCGTCCCCCAATTGACTGGCACGCTCCTGCGCGTCGTCCCCCTGCGTGCGTGCCTCTGGCGCGTCGCCCTCTGCCGGTGCCATGCCGCTGTGCCGCTCGTGTGACCGCGAGGTTGCCGTGTCGGTGTGTGTGCGTCGGTGCCGCGCGTTTGAAGAAGATTTTGCAATGATACGGAAAGCCGGAATGGCGTTTGTGGTTGGAGACGAGTCTGGCCGCAGATTTCACAGTTGCTGACCAAGCAGGACAGGGCGGAGAAGCGTGCGCAAGCGTGGCAGTTGGCCAACTGCCCGCGCTTCAGAACTGCGTTCAAGCTCAGCCCCATCAGACTTCGGTCCAGCCATGATGCGCCAGCTCGGATGCAATTTCCTCTATGACAGACCATGACTGGAAGGGACGGTTGTGACGAGACTGAGCGAGGTTTTGCCTCAACCGGTTATCACCTGTCTACTGACCCGCCTGAACGCGCCATTCTGATTGGCCGAGACTGAACCCGGACCCGACTGTACACCGTGCGACAAGATCTGAGCTGGAATTCGGCTGTGTTCCGCGGAGCGAAGTGCGCTCAAGCCTAGGATGGGCCCTTCAGGCCTGGAAGACTGCGTTCAGACGAGAAACCCTGAACGCACTCGATCCGTCCAGGCCGCCCCCGTCCTTAAGCGGGTTGACACATTGAGGCCGTCGAAAACGCCTGCACGAACGTATCGTGCACGGTGTCCCGCCTCGCCTAGGCTCTGAACGCACATCGAATGCGTGTACCCGGAGCTCAGCCCCCCAGTAAAGTCGCGTACATGGTGTCCAGACCGCTGGTCACCCGGAAGAAGCCCCGCCAAGTGTCCCACGACCCAGTGAAGAGTCAACCTACCCTTGGCCGCAAGGTCTTGAGTATGGTTTCAGCCTTGGACGCAAGTCGCCTTTGGCAGCAGACCCTGGACGCACTGCGTTCAGCCCTGCTGACTCTGAAACCCGGTTTCAAGGATGCGGGTTCAAGGGAACCTTGGTCGCATGCGGCCAAGGTTTCCCAAGAGCCAGTCATGCACAAAGACATGGGCACATTGAAGCTGGGCAAGAATCCAGTGGAGAATGTCTACGTCAACAGTTCTAGTATACTCAAGTCAAGACATTCGCCAGACGTGTGGCGAAGAACACAGAAGAACACAGAAGAACGCTACGAGAGAGATACCTTTACACAAAGCCTAGCGATAGTCTAGCATATAACAATCAGAGAGTTCGTTTTACCCCCTACTGCGCAAGTCGTCGAGGAATCGGGTCCGCTGTCTTTAAGGACAAGAGCAGTGCGGAGCTCCCCACACACATTCAAGTCCAGTTACGTGGGGATCAGTCTGCTCCGGCTGCTGAAGTGATCCACGTATTCCATTTCCCAGTTGGGCCCATTGCGTTGAGGTAAGGGTGGTGTCCCATTTCATGTTAACGATTGATATCTCGGGTGGTTTGGTAGCAGTCGCCCCCGAGAATAGTTTGATTGACTGCGTTTAGGATCGGATTGTATTTGGTCTGTATATTTCCTTCATCTGAGGGTGGTGCGCGTGTGAAAGTGCGTTCAAGGTTGACCAGTACCTTGATCGCAGATTAGTTGACTGGTGTACTACCCACCGCCCAAGGGTCTAAGAATAAGTGGCGGCTGTGTGTTTGTGTATAACTCTGCATTTGTATTGGTTGTCTGAAAGTGGTGTGTATTTCTGGGGTTCTAACTTGTGGTAGTAACCCTGATCCTTCACCCACGCTTCGAGCTTCAGCCATTTCGGAGAAGTGCGTTCAGACAAGTGAACGTTACGCTCAATGAACCCAAGGCTCTCAACCCCACAGACAACTCACCTGGTGATCGATCCAGGCTCCCCGAAGATAAACGACACCGATAGGGATTCACAAGGTGCCACGCCACCCTGGCCGCATTTTTCCCAGAACCTGCGTTCAAGGAAATCTGCGTTCAGGGTTTACTTTCCCAAAAAGGTTTGCTCGTCTACCCTTTCTGGGCTACCGCTATACACCTGGGCGTAAAAGGTTTCACCGACCTTGTCACAAAGGAGTGCCATGACTCAGTGTGGGCAGGGCATCCGCGAACCCCGCACACATACGCGAGGATATCCCAAACCTACTGGTGGCCCGGACTATGAAACGAGGTGAAGCGATGGGTACGAGGCTGGCAGGAATGTGGAAGTCGTAAGGCGCGGCCAAGGGAAGTGATTCCTCCTTTGCGGGGCCTGCGAGGTGGTGATGTTGGTGACCGGTGGGCGCTCGACGTGGCAGGCCCCTTACCAACGACGAGTGGCGGTGAGCGCTACGTGATCGCAGCGGTGGAGTACGTGACCAGATACGCGGTCGCGGTGACTGTGAAGCGACACACGGCCGAGAATGTGGCGAGCTTCCTGATGAAGCATGTGGTGTTGAAATTCGGTGCTTTCAGAGAACTACTGACCGACGGAGCACCCGAACTGACGGGCAAGGTGATTGAACAACTGGTCATCATGCTACAGGCACAACAGACGAATCCGGTGCCCTACCGGCCTCAGATGATCGGGTTAGTAGAGCGCTTTCATCGAACATGGAAGGACTGTATAGCGACGTACATGAACGACGAGAAGCAGCGGGATTGGGACGTCTGGATCGACTTCGCCGTGTACGCCTACAACAGCGGACAGCATTCGACAGTCATGTTATCCCCGAACGAACTCAGGATGGGGAGGAGATTGCGGAACCCCAACGACTTACTGCGGACGGCGAGTGTGACGGAAGCAGGACCCTTGACGGAGTACCACGAGCGGCTGTTGACAGCGGTGAGAAGCGTCACGAGTGTGCCGAGGCGGCACGGAAACGAGAGCAGGAGCGGCAGGCAAAATACTATGACCGCAAGGTGCGGAAGAAGCGCGTGTTCGCGCCCGGTGATAGGTTGTGGTTGTATCAGCCTCCGAGGGAGCCGAAAGCTTCCAAATTGGTGAACCAATGGCTTGGGCCAGTACGTGTGGTGGAATCAGCCGGCTACGACAACTACCTGGTGGAGCGTGAGGACGTGGCAAGCGAGCCAGAACAATTTATAGCGCATTCTTTATTTTTGGTGAGCTATTACTATACTCCTACACTACTGAAGACGGTGGCGGCAGATATCGAGGCGCAGCTCGAACATGAAGGCACGTTTGAACTCGGGAGTGATGAGCCGATGAACGGAGAGGTTGTGGAAGCAAAGAGGGCTCGCGTGCAGGCAGCGACAGCTGCAGGGACTTCGAGACGACGCGGCCGAACAGCTGAGAGTTCGACAGCAGAGCAGCAGCAGCGTGTCCTCGTGGTGGAACTTCGGCGACGACGGCGACGGAACGCCGCAGGGCAGTACACCATCGAGTACGAGGTGCAGAATCTACGGAGAGGACGAGACGGACGAACTACGAAGTATGGCGCGAAGCGCTGGGTCTTGGTCAGCGCGTACGACAAACTATAGCACGACGGAAGGTCGTGGAAGACCCTTATTTTGGAGAAGTCGTGTAACAGGAGGGCCCGGCAGGAGGACCCAGGCGAGCGGGACAGTGGTGGTGGACGTGACGAACGTGACGGACGACGAGGAGAGCGAGACGGCGGTGACAGACGGCGACACGCCGCAGATGCTGGACGAGGGCGACTGCGGAGCGATCGGCTGCACGATGGAGGTCCAGTACCTCGAAGGCACGGCGCTGGACGAGAGACGAGTGACAGAAATATCGCTGAGTGGCACGAACGGCAGCACGCATGGCCTGAATCCAGGGCCAGCGTCGACTCGACGTTGAAGGACGGTGGCAGAGCGGGGAACGGGCGGCCGAGAGTCCCGGACACTCTAGAATCTGCCAGCTTGGAGAGAGACGAGCTGACAAGCGTGCTGGAGAGCACGGAGAAGACGGTAGAGTAGGTGCTGGTGTAAACTAGTGTCTATTCGTTAGCAGTAGGAGTGGTTTAAGGACCCCTCTTAATAAAATTGGAGCGGACGCGACGGCGGACGTTCCGGCAGGGGGAGATCGAGTGACCTCTGACGGCCACTACGGTGTTAAGAGTGAGACGACTCACGTGCGAATACGCAGCGTGGGCATACGACCTGCCCAGCGGCTCGGGCAAGACAAGCGAGCCCGCTTCAACAGTATACCTTACCTGCAAAATGAATGAAATAGCTCTCTCGTTACTGGCGCTAACGCAGCCATTGGACGCTGACCAGGGTGTTATGTCACCGATGGCCTCATCAGACCAGGCAACCTCAATTGGTGACTTTCGGTTCCTGAGAACCCACCACGATAAAGAAGAGCGGGGCTTGCTGGTTCCAGCCTCACAAAGGTTTGGCTGAAACATCATTTCCGTATCGATACACTTCGATGTGCCCAACTATTTGTTCAATTACGCATTATCGGGCAGATGCTGCGGCTGCGAAGCAGGCACAGTAGATGCCCACGTTAGAATCAACTAGAGAGTTGGGCTGGTAGTGCTTTTAAGGATTAAAAACAAAACAACTTTGGGATTTACTCAATTATTATCCGTTATCATCGTCCATGAAACTATTCGTCGACCTGTGTACCCTCCCGGAGCAACGCTCCGGGTTGCCTATGTGGGGGTGGGAGGGATGAAACTTGTAAGCAACGGCACGGGGACAATGGACTACATAGAAGACAAGCCGGTTGGTCAACTACATGTACCAGTAGTACCTCACTGAGGCCTTCCTTTGTCGATTGGTGCTATGGAATGAAGATGATCCTTCATTGTACACTGTGAAGTGGGCGCAGTTACTGTACTACAATGATCAGCCCACTCCAACACACAGCCCTAGACCCCGTTCAAATCTGCAGGGAGAGTCGCTTGGCACCGAGGGCATCAACACGAACAAGCGACTCTTTGGCTTGGATTTTGTAAACAACGAGGTCCCTGTTGACCCGTAAGCTGAGGTTAGTGGGCCGGATCACGTGCTGTCTCACTCACCCCCTTCATCTTCGATTTATCGCCTCGCCCCCAAGCCAGCAAACCAGCCCACGCAAGCTATATTAACATGCAGACCATTTATCTGGCTGAAGACTGCTCACAACGGCCGCAGCACAGCAGACCCGAACTGAGCTCCGACATTGTCCGCCCAGTGTTCCAGCGACGAGTCAGCACGATGAACCGCGACGTCGAAGCAGGCAGCAGGCCGACGAGGGGAGCCAAGCGGCCGTCGTCACCAGAGTCAGACTCCTACTACTCCGGTGTCTTGCCTTTAAGCTCAGCGTATTCTGGATACACGCAGCCAGCGGGATCGAACATGCCTTCACGCTTCAGCGTGACCAGGGACGCGCCAACTGCTAGATACTTGTCCAGTAAGACCGTCGACGCACTGCGGACGGTAACCAACAACGCCCAAACGGACAGCTCGGAGCCGAAGAAGCCGCAGAAGCGTGCCCGCCTCAAATCGGAGCGTCGGCGCGAGCAGTGCCGAGCCAACCAGGCCAGATACCGACAGAAACAACTCAACCACGCCAAGGAGCTCGAAGCGACCGTGCAGAAGCTGCGAGCTGATATCCCAGTGCTCGAACTGCAGCGCAACCGCCTGCTCTACGGCGGCCAGCAGAACGTCTGGAACGTCGTCGTCGAGTACTTCCACGTCTTCCGCTTCGGTGCCCCCGTTGTACTCCCCGTGGAGTCGGTCGATACAGCAGACGCAACGGTGGACTGCGTCGAGAACGCGGAGACCAAGCATCAACTAGCCTTCCTGCGATCGTCGATGACGGAGGATGTGATTCTGGGCGAACGCAGCGGAGTAGACGCACTGATGGACCAGTGGCGCCGATACTCGACGAGTTTCCAGAGCTTGTACTTCCAGCTAGATCACATTGAGCGTGTGGGGGACAAGTTCGTGAGTGTGACGGCTATGATGAACGTGACGGTGAGTGAAGCCACGTTGAAGGGCGTCTTCCCGTACGTCACGAGTGAGTACTCATTGTCGTCGAGGTTACTGGGGCAGCGCCTTCGGATTCCGTTCTCAGTGTGCTTCGAGTGGGATTCTACAAGCTGCCGCGTCTCGCGTCTCGAGACGACAGTCAACTTCATGGCCCCGTTAATGGAAGCCCTGGACAATGTGGCGGACGTGGCGTTGGTGCTGGAACGCGCGACGGCGCAGTTGGCGTGTTTGATCTCTAAAACGTCGCGATAGCTAGTGTAGTAAGCATGAATAGCACCACAGCTGCAAACTTCTCTCTTTGTATATTAAGAATAATAGGGCATCAACCTGACAAACGCCAGCCAGCCTTCGTATCGGTGTGTGCGGGTCCATGTTCTCGCCCCCTCAGCCTGCGGGAAATCAAAGCGATGTCACAATTTGCGTCATGGTGACCTTGCGCTTACGTGCGTACCGTACTAGCAACGCAGTCCGGACTCGGCGCTTCGTCGCGTCGTTATCGAAGGCGCGATCACCTAGAGCGCAATGTCAATCCACAGTTCGGTAGTGATGCTGCAACCGCATACCGCTAGGCATTTCCAAGACCAAGTTCAGGTTTGGAGGGCGAGCGCCACATCCTCAACCTCACGCGAAGCGGGCTACACACCAGTGCTCTCGTCTCTCCGGGTTGTCGGCGTAGAGCGATCAGGGTGGAAGGCCAACTGCGTGCCAGTCCTGTCCTCTACAAATCTCCTAGGAGCCACAACGGCCGCGAAGAGCGTCAACAGCACCTTCGGGTGATCAGCTGCGCAGAGGCGATACGCTTGTTGATGCCGTGAGAGTGACAAGCCTGCGCATTGCGATATTTGGTCCCCAGTCACGTGCCTTCCTTTTAGCTACCCCATCGCTCGAGTTTCCTGGACACACATCGCCACACACCATAGCAGCTACCATTCCAACGTCGTCAGTCCTAGACGGCAAAGTAATAACAATTTCATTAGCATTTTTTTTTACTTTACACCTAATGCTGAATTAAAAGTAGGTAATGCTTTACCATTACAAAATATACCAATAGGTAGTTTAATCCATAATACGGACAAACTACAGTACATGTAAATCGACGGCTGCTTTCGTCTTGTCCTCCAACGCTATCGTGCTGTGCCAAATCGAGGGAGAGCTTTGCTCGGCGTGATCATACGTCAACAATGTATGCAATAGAGCCCTGCCTATCGAAATAACTGTACAGGTTTGCTGGGAGGAGGATCACGTCGGTTGTCGCCTCATTCCCAATTCGTCTCCCACAAGTCCACGAACCGGCCCCTCGCCGTCTTTTACAGGTCTCTGTCCCCCGTCGTTATTCCATGCAGACCTCCGATCCTCGCGATTTTAAGCCACGGCGAGTGACTCCCAGCCGGCTGGCGCTGAGCTCCGAGATCGTACGCCCTGTCTTCCAGCGGAAAGCGGGTAGCCAAAGCTACAACAGCTCTCCACCCGACGGCAACGGGCGAGACTGCACACCAGAGCGTTTGTTCTCGATGAAACCTGGTCTTCCACCCATCCCTGCTACTGTCAGATCGACGACTTCAGTCCTCGAGTCTGTAAACCCCATGCACCAGACTCCAGCCCCAAGGAAGGCCACCGAGACGCAGTTCTACGTCGAAGTAAAGCATTCTCTAACGAGTTCAGAGATCGCCCTCATTCTGGTCGCAAATAGCTCCACGGAATAAGCCAAAGACGAGGAGGATGCCCAACCACAGCAGAAACGAAAGCGCGTCCGTCCCAAGACGGAGCGTCGACGCGAGCAGTGCCGAGCCAACCAGGCTAGATACCGACAAAAAGCAACTCAACCATGCCAAAGAAGTCACACTCGATGTGCAGAGGCTGCGGGCCGACATCGAGCTGCAGCGCAACCCGGTCAGCAGAACGTCTGGAACGTCGTGGTCGAGTACTTCCACGTCTTCCGCTTCGGCGTGCCCGTGTCGCTCTCAGTGGAGTCGATGGAGGCGGCAACAGGTGCGAGCACGAAGTGCAAGCACCAGCTAGCATTCCTGCGGACGTCGATGGCGAAGGACGTGCTTCTGGGCGAACGCAGCGGCGTCGACGCGTTGATGGAGCAGTGGTGCCGATACTCGACGAGTTTCCAGAACTTGTACTTCCAGCTGGAGCGCGTTGAGCGGGTGGACGACAACTTCGTGAGTGCGACGGCCAAAATGAATGTTACTGTGTCGGAAGCGACGCTACGGAGCATCTTTCCCCACCTGCTGCAGGACGACCAAGGACAAGTTGAGAGTCCTCGCCGTCTGAATGATCACGCCTCGTCGCTCCGGTCAAAGTTAGCGGGGCAGCGGCTGCGTTTGCCTTGCTCGATCTGCTTCGAGTGGGACCCGGCGAAGGCCCGTGTCGCGCGTCTCGAGACGACAGTCAACTTTATGGCGCCTTTGACAAAAGTTTTAGACGATCTGTCCGACGTGGCGGTCGCGCTGGAACACGCAATGATCACGCGGGACGGCGCTGTCAGTATTCGGGATCTGGTACGCTCCGTAGTCTTCTAACGTCTTGGAAAGAGACTTTGCTCAAGCCGTGACGGTCGTCCCGCTGCATCTCGTTAGACGGTAGAAATCCTCATCGAGGGTGCGAAGGCATAGGGAAACTGAACAAACAGATCGCCACTTTCTCATTTCGAGCGCGAACCAGCGCTGATCCAAAAAGTTTTCAGATTCATGTTTGCAATACACTCACATACTTACTGCTTCAGTAGTGTGATAAGAAGATAATCATACCGCACCCAACCAAACTTACCCGGATCTCCACACCATTGTGAGTCGAACGGGTTCCTGGTGATGCTGTTGCTTGCACAATACTTTCGGCTAATGGCATTTGCATACTTTGGTGGAACTTGATAATCTCAAGTTGAGAAATCACTGCAATCTGCGTAGACCAGACGGGCAAATTACAGTACTGTACATGTATGGGCCGACAAAACTTACTCCAGATATCCTTTGGCTGATCGCGTCTTGCTGCCGCCGCCTTACATGCTGCCATGCTCGAGAGTAAACGGACGTTGGTGCCCCCTTCTTATCTAATGAATCACAAGGCGTCAGAAACAGATATATAAGCAAAGTTCTGACACCAAACTCACATGCGTGTGCGTTTTCGGCCGGAATCCAAGATGCGGTCTCCTAATAAATTCAGACATACAGGAGAACCTTTATCGTTAATTTGGAAACATATCACCGTGATTCCATCGCACGCATGCCTCACCTCGTCAGAGCAACACATACCTTCCGATCCCGGGAAGCGGAGAGCACTCACATTGGCTTCGCGGCGGTATGCTGTAGAGCGCGTAATTCAAGCTTCCTCTGAGACTACAACTGCCTGTGTAGGCGTCACTCAAAGTTTGTCGTTGTGCGCGGAACCGTGCATTTTGACGAGCTGGACTTCCTCCGCACCACTCTTGGTGTGCGATTCGCCAAATAGTAAATCAGTGAGTGCCGCTGAAATTCAGGCACACTGCTGTCGTTGTTTTTTGTAGCTGCGGAGCTGCAAGCACGCAGGTCAAGTGTAATTAAGCGACGGCAGCTGAAACCCATACCGGCTGGTCCAGCCACACGCTATTGACAGCACAACACGTATCATTCTCTTCTGCTTCTGTTTGCGATGCAGCCGCTATGTGGTAGAGTATGTATATCGTTACCCAGACGTCTTCATCAGACTTATCTTGTTGATCTCCAGAAGGCGGCGGGGCGCCAGGATATTGAGCACGGGCCATTTATCCTGCCTGAGTACAGTACATGAGTCAGTGTTTAGCTTGTAGCACAAGGCGACGTCGCAAACAACGACCGAGGAAGACGCAGGAGCCCAAAATTCGCGACCAGCAGCACCACGCGTTTCCGTTGGTCATTTTCAGGGACATGTACAGTGCAACCGGGGAGTCGCATCCCCCTAACTATCCAGGACACCATCGTATGACAGAGGCGCACGTTGACAACGAGCGACGCGTGTGCAAGCAAACACGCGCGCAGCCACAAGTTGCTTCAGCGAAAGCGCACCGAATCGCGCTGCATGTCCTTTGAACGGTGCGATACATTTTAGCTTGAAGGCAAGCTGTCGCGCGTGAACACAGGGGCTGGAACAACCGTTGGCGATGGTGTCCGCGACGCGCGCGATCTGATTGCTGTGGGGAAGAGTAATCGTACTGTATGAAGGAGCTCGAGTCGGTGGTGGCCGTGGCCCCCGCTCGATGAGTCCTCCCCACGGTGGGAAGGACTAATCGTGCCGAGGCCTGAGGCTTGGAAATGCTAAAATTTCGGAGAGAAAGCCAAACACTGAGTAGGTATCGCATACTTAATCGTAGATACTTTACCTACCTGGACTTTGCTGCTTTTTGCGAAGCCATCTTACAGTACTGTAAGATACGAAACGACAAAAAATGGGGAAACGCTAAAACATGCCTATTTCGGCGAAGTGTTTGCAAAACATGCTGTCCACTTTAAAACATGCTTGGGTACACTGTACCAACGCCGGTGCACGACCTTGGTGATCCCAGGACATACATTGATATAAGCTCATGGCATCGACGCGCAACCACTACATCAACCTAATGAGGGCAGCTAGTATGTATATATTACACGCGAGTCGTACATCCAATACTTGCTGCCACTGATGCACTGTAATGAAGACGTCTGCAACATCACCCTACTGCATGCACAACTTTTGCTGGTGCTTCGGCCAAGGCGCTGGCAAGTCAAGTGCAACATGAAGACCAGATCATTCTTAAAAATGATAGCACGATTTATCGCGCCACTTATAAGTGCTTCGGGGGCTCACACGTTTTACATGAGTTACCGATATATAGTGAAGTGGTGCAGGACTTCTTGTACAAATGAAGCCGATGGGTCGGCCAAAACGCTGCTTCGAAAGGAAGGTAGCTGCGAAAGCTGCCGAGCTGTTGGCTTGGGTACCGAAGTGCAGTTCATGTGCTATAGATCCAGCGAGTTGATGCACCAAGCGCTGCTGTTCTTGCGCTGGTACAGCTGCACGTACATTGGGCACGATTTAGACGAGCATGTCAGCCGCTTCCGACCACCTCCGCCCAAGACAACGACGACCCGCTTCTTAATGGACAATGCGTAGTCTTGAATAGCCTCCACCGCAGCGCTCCCGTCGTGGAAGGTCATGCCTTCCTCGGGTTGAGGCGCCATCGTGCAGATCGTCGAATTACGGAGAACACCTATCGTTACCAATCGTCCGATGGTCGGAAAGCATGTTTTAAAGTGGACAGCATGTTTTGCAAACACTTCGCCGAAATAGGCATGTTTTATTGTGGAAACCGATTAGATTGTCTAATTGGGATATAAATCGGTCGATTAAGCAGATGATTAAGCTTAATCGGGTCTGATTTGCTAAATCCGACCTCCTAATTAGATCGGCACACTAAGATTTGTACTCTGATTTGACAGAGCGGTCAGTTGTGCCTACAACGCCATGTGGCAAGCTGATTTAGCTGCTCCACGGCTTACAAAGCCCGGGACGGCTGATTTGCATGCTAATCAGCCCGAATGTCCGACACCCACACGGCATTCGGTGGCCGATTTAACGTAAAACCGACAAACGCTAATGCTGACGAGAAATGACAGCGCAAATACATGACTTCAGAACTTGATAAATAGATAGCAGTACACATCGAAGCTCACAGAAGCGTATTTAATACACGCGATGCTATTTCTCGTTAGTAGGTACCGGTACGCGAATCACTCAGCTCGTGGCGGTAAGTGGTCGCTCGTCGTACAGACAACGACTTACAAAGCCGGCAGACGAAGTCAAGCAAAGCTTAACATAAGCAAACCAGCCAATCAGATTCAATCAAATGACTTCATCTTTGTATACCATCTGGTTTTGTGTACTTTATATGCTTTCTTGTGTACTTTATGCAATACGCCGTGTGTTTTATGACAGTTTTACAGATTTGACGGGAGGGAATTTATCGTTGTTTTTATATAGGAGGATGGCATTAAGCATGCCGGCTTTGTAAGTCGTTGTCTGTATTTCTGGCGGGTAATGAGGCAACCCCCATTTTATTAACCATACACTGATTTATACCCTTACCAATGCCATATGAAATCACAAGGATCCCCGATTTAGTACCAGTCAAATCTCTCATGAACGCTGCTTTATCAGCTAATCCGCTCGGGCAATCTAATCGGTTTCCACAATAGCGTTTCCCCGACAAAAAATTGGTCGCACCATGAGATTGCAAATATGTGCACGTCACAAAATTTCACTTTTGGGAAACAAAAGCCTCTAATCTTTGAAGTTGGGTCCATCTTGCAACTTTGTAAAGCTTATGCAGACGAATGAATGCACAGCACTGCGCATTGACTTAGGCCTTTGAACATATTTTTCGTTCATAACATAATTTTGACTGGGAAGGATATCCTGACACGAATTGTTCTTCATCTTTTCTTTTTCTTCACGTCGCTCAAAGCTCCAAGGGAAGGGAGCCGGATGACGTACTGACGCCGGTGCATGTACATGTATCAACGCAACGGGGGTCTCGACGGTGAATTGGTATTGCATCACGCTGCACGCAGGCACGCACACGAGTTCTCGCCCGCTCTACTAGGAGCCAGAGTGTCAGCGGAAGGAGGTACTTGTCAAACGGCACCACAACGCTGTCAGTCTCGAGGTGTTGTTTGAGCAAAGCCCGAGCAATAGGTAGGTACACAGTTTGCTGTAACTCCGTGCTACGTGCCACCAAGTTGCAGGTACATGCGGACGAAAGCTCTTTCGTGCGTCGAGGGGGCACTTCCACCTTCTCACACATCAAGTCATCAAGTCCGGCCCACCAACTGGCATTGTCGAACGAGCGGACATGCGATCGCCTCAGCCGCGAGCGGGTAATTCCCAAAATACGGAGTGCTGGGGAAACTTTTGACATTTTCAACCTTTTGCGACCAAACACGGAGTTGTGGGAAAACTTATTCCCAATACCAGCCTATAGAATCGTAGAGGTAGCCTTCACTGGAGACTCAAGAGCCCACGTGCTGGTGCACGCCGCTGCGGACGCGCCGCTGGAGAAGACGCTGGCAGTCGCCGCCATCATGGACGGCACACCCTCCGGTGCCTTGCTGTCCCCGACCGTGCTGCTGCAGTAGGAGAGCGTGGTGCGCTCGAACCTCGGCCCTGACACTGACACCAGGGACTTGCTGGACTCGCCAACCGTGGCCTCCCTGGGCGAGCTGCTGGCCACCAAGACGCTGGTGGCTGCAGGAGACAAAGAGCGTGGTGAAGACGATTTCCGTGGCCATTGTAGGCACGCTGGACACCGAGGGCGAGCTGCTGGAGACCAAGGACGTGCTGGACCCGAAGACCATGGCCCCGTGGACGAGCTGCCGAAGCCCAAGGGCGTGCAGGGCCCGACGACCGTGGCCGAGCTGCTGGACCCGAAGACCATGGCCCCCGTGGACGAGCTACCGAAGGCCAAGGGCACGGTCAAGCTGCTGTACACCAAGTGCGTGAAGCGCGGGACGCCCGTGGCCGAGCTGTGGTACATCGAGGGCACAACCGTGCGTGTAGGTAAATATAGCAATTCCATTTCTAGAAATGTCCAGTGTTCATGTCGCTTTGCCTTTGTTTTCAAAACGCAAAAAAGGTGAAATCGTCTGAGGGTAGCTCGGGTTGTTTTCCCGGCGATGGAAGGTGTTGAAGGTGTGAACAGTGCAGGTGATACATCCTTCATATCGGTCGGCCAGTGGTTTGGTTCTCAACGTGCTTGTACCAAGGCAACTAAGGCTTTTGCCTCAAGTACAGGGAAATCTGTGCGTCTGGATCCAACTGCTGCTGGAGGAGCCTACCTTCGCTACCAGTGCAAAGGAGGTGACCTCTGTTGTTTTGAGGTTGCTGCGTGCCGTGCACAGTCCAATTCTCAGCGGGGTTATCGCATTAGCAAATGCAACCTTGAACACAACATGTGCAGCGGCCGGTCTAAAATTGCGGCATCGCAACTGCGATCTATGGAATTGATCGTACATTCGTGGCATCGGACCCTAATGTGTCGGGGCGCACGATTGTGGATCAGGTGAAGGCCCTATCGGGCGCGGACATACCTTTGAAGGAGGCCTACCGTGGCAAGCAGTTGATTCTTGACGATCTGTTTGGGACTGTGGAGGACGGATTTCACCGCCTACGTTCTCTGCTGTCTACGTGGACAACAAAGAATCCCACTTCTATCACTGAGTCTGAATGGGATAGTGATGGCCGATTTCGATGTGCATTTTTGGGGCATCCGTATGCTCATGAGTATCAAGACCATGCCCAAAATATCGTTGGGGTTGATGGGGCATTCATCAAGCATGGCAAATACAAAAGCGCACAGTTGGTGGTGGTGGGGAGAGATGGCAACATGGCTAATGTGCTGTTGGGGATTGCCGTTTGCGCGTCAGAATCTGAAGATGATTGCGTGTGGTTCCTGCGTTGTTGTGAGCGAAGTGGTGTCCCTCTTAGAAAGCTAACAATTTTTTCAGACAGAGGTACTGGCATTCTTGCAGCGTTCCACACTCTTGGATACAAAAACGTTCGCTTCTGCACCAGACATATTCTACAGAATATAAACAAGATGTTCAAGGGTCAGTGCCCCGTTGATATGGCCAAGGTACTTTACGGACTACAAGCAGCTTCTAGTCCTGAAGAATACAAGTCACGTTTTGACTGTCTAAGACTGACACACCCCAACATTGCAGACTACATTGAAGGCATTGACCCCGGGTTTTGATTTGAACACTGGACATTTCTAGAAATGGAATTGCTATATTTACCTACACGCACGGTTGTGCCCTCGATGTACCACAGCTCGGCCACGGGCGTCCCGCGCTTCACGCACTTGGTGTACAGCAGCTTGACCGTGCCCTTGGCCTTCGGTAGCTCGTCCACGGGGGCCATGGTCTTCGGGTCCAGCAGCTCGGCCACGGTCGTCGGGCCCTGCACGCCCTTGGGCTTCGGCAGCTCGTCCACGGGGCCATGGTCTTCGGGTCCAGCACGTCCTTGGTCTCCAGCAGCTCGCCCTCGGTGTCCAGCGTGCCTACAATGGCCACGGAAATCGTCTTCACCACGCTCTTTGTCTCCTGCAGCCACCAGCGTCTTGGTGGCCAGCAGCTCGCCCAGGGAGGCCACGGTTGGCGAGTCCAGCAAGTCCCTGGTGTCAGTGTCAGGGCCGAGGTTCGAGCGCACCACGCTCTCCTACTGCAGCAGCACGGTCGGGGACAGCAAGGCACCGGAGGGTGTGCCGTCCATGATGGCGGCGACTGCCAGCGTCTTCTCCAGCGGCGCGTCCGCAGCGGCGTGCACCAGCACGTGGGCTCTTGAGTCTCCAGTGAAGGCTACCTCTACGATTCTATAGGCTGGTATTGGGAATAAGTTTTCCCACAACTCCGTGTTTGGTCGCAAAAGGTTGAAAATGTCAAAAGTTTCCCCAGCACTCCGTATTTTGGGAATTACCCGCCGCGAGCATCAAGCTGTTGTCGCACGATTATTCTGCCCCCAAGCTAATCATGTAGCTACGAGCCATGCGGTGCAGGTGCCATTACCTAGCAGGCGGTGCCGACCGGCATGTGATCGTCCGTCCGTTCAGTACTCCGAGTCGGACTGCACCAGCGGACAAACAACAGGTTTGGGTAAGGCAGCAAGCGATGTCCGTGCGATCGCTGCATTGGGTTCTCGTGCGATGTGCGGGATTTCGCGCTACAGATGCACCTACGTACTGTAAGGCATCAACCGACGGCAAATGCCCTATTGGTTGACGTTCACATCGGCAGGATCAAGGCAAGCCCAGCATTTTAATAATGAAGATAGTAAGCACGGCAGGCCGACGCGATTCCAAAGCGGTCACACCTTTACGTGTACGTGCACAGCAGTCTCGGTGCTTCGGACTTGCCTCTGCACAGCACTTTGCAAGAGTTTGTAGGCGCTGCCGTTCGATCGCTGCTGCTTGGCGCCAACGTTCGGCGACTCGACTCGAAAGATGCGGTCCGGACTCCTGGTCTCTCGCCTTGAGTGCCGGTGCATTCGTTTGTCCAAAAGTCCAAACACCCAGAAAAGGGAAAACGTCAAAAGGTGTATGAATTTGAAACGTTTTGTCAAAAGCGGTTAACTCGTGTCATTAGGTGTATGCTAGGTTGTCGGTATGACAGTATGTGTATGTGGTTCCAAGCGCACTAAGGTGCATGATAAAGCAGCATCAGCAACGAATGCGGTGACTGGTGTGTGGGCTTAGATCCAAATCCATAAACCCGGGGTTAGGAAGGCTTCTATCTGATGCAACTAGCCCGGTTCGTGGTGTCCATGACTTTGATAGCGAATTGTATGGCTGAGGGACTACAACGAACGTCGTTATCCATTGTAGCCAGGCCTCAGCGTTGCCACAGTTCTACAATACCTACACTCTCCCCCGGTTGGGGGCTTTCACTAGATCTCCTTCACCTCCGAAATTCAGATGCAAAACCTACCTAGTATAGCCATGCTAAATACGCTCGCGGTTTGCGTTGGTGGTTCCTTGTAGCTACAATAGCGAAGTTGTCGAGTACAGTTGCTCTATATGCTATTATTAGCTGACCGTGTTCGCTACGAGCGTGTCGTTAATAAACTACTGTGCTTGGAAGCTCGATCCTGGGTCTGTATGACCCGACCTCAGCCGAAATACCGCGGCAACCAAAACGTGTGTCAGTACGTGTATGATGAGACATGACGCGACGTGACGCCCACGACCACTACACCTATTGACAAACGTTTTCCCAACGCATACACCTCTTGACCAGAAAAAAGAATACTCAGCACTATCCGCAGATTTGAATTTGTTCATATCTCCGGTTTCTTGCCCCAAGCGTTGTACTGTAGACCAAGCATCCCACGAGCTGAGCGGGAGCACTGCTCGCGGGAACGAGCACGAGCAGCTAAAACCTCATGAGCGCGCTCGCTGATCTGTAGCTGCTCACATGAAATCGATTTAAAGGGGGGAGCGCGAATCAAAGATCCACACATTAATTGGATAACAATAAATTTACTTTAAAAAATTGTGCCTAACTTGCACTCAGAGCAGTTGTTCATGCTGATGGGGGCACCTCTGTTGAGTGTGATGCTGCCACAAAGCTGAGCCATTTTAGCCTATCAGTTCACTCCTCAAACGAGCTGCTCGTTGGGGTCGTACTTATCCGAGGGAGCAGCAGAACCCAGCTCGTGATTTGAAGTGAGCGGGCTGCGTTTCGCTCGCTCATGCCCTGCTCGTGGGATGCTTGCTGTAGACCTTTCGGTCGGTTGAGCGCGAGGTTCATCATTATCATGGGCAGCAGATGGTACTTTGGCCATGGTCATGCCGAAAGAGAGACAGGTGCGAGCAGTGACAGCCGTTGCACCGACGCTCAAAGTCGCATGCCGGACGTTTAGGTTCAACGCCAAGCCTTTGTTGCCGGCCTGACTCATACTCGTGGCCCCAAAACCGCGATAATGCAAGCACGAATTCAAATCTCCAGCGTCGCGGCTTGTTTACGCCTGACGCTATTGAGCCTCCGGGGCCTCCAATCCAGCAGAACGAGCAGGTGCCAGCTGGGACACCTTCACGGTGCGCGGCGGGGCTATCCGAACCAACATTTGATAACGCAGCGCGCTCCCCCTTTTGGGTCTCACAACCGAACTCGCCGTCAATAGCATAGGTCAAATAGAGAGAAATGATGGCCAGTCATCCCAGGAACTTCGATCGCACCCCCGCGCCGTTCAGCGACACCGTGATCGGAAGCGTCCTAACGCGCGCGGCAGCCCCGGGATACCACCTCCCCAGGTCGAGCAACCACCACACTATCCGCCGTCACCACCACCACAGCCCGAACGCCGCCTTCCAGCACCGACAGCCGCAGTATTCAACCCCTTCGTCCACCGTGTTGCTGCCACCGATCAGGAAATTGTCTCCGTCGGCCCACAGCGCGACGAATGCCGCCGAACCGGCCGACAAGTTCCCGTTGAGACCGGTGCCGAGACGGCTTCAAGAAGACGCCACCCCGGCTCCTCCAGTGCGCAGATTCGCTCCGAACCACCTTGGCCAGGTAACTCTGCCGTACCCTTCTCGGCCTGCCGCAGGTTTTGCGCCGGCAGAGTCGCCGTCGCGAGCTGTCGCGGCTGCAGAGGCCACTCTTTCCATCCACCGCAACGACGCTACCAAGCAGCAGAAGCGGAAGCGTAGAGTGTCCGTCAAATCCGAGGCATGTCGCGAGCAGTGCCGCACCAACCAGGCTCGGTATCGTCAGAAGCAGCGTGAGTACGTGGCCAAGCTTGAATCGACCGTCACCCAGCTCCGAGACGAGATCCCCATGCTCGAGGTGCAGCGGCGGCGTCTCCGGTACGACTCGAAGCAGCGCGTGTGGGACGTTGTGGTCGAGTACTTCCAGCTCTTCCGTCACGGAGTGTGCGACTCCAGTGAGCAGGGCTCTGCCATCCCGAGCGATGTTCTACGCACCTCAGAGGCCCAGCAGCAGTTGATGTTCCTGCGCTCCACCATGGCGCCCGACGTGGAGTTCTGCAACGTGAGTGGCGTCGAAGTGCTCATGGAGCACTGGTGCCGCATGTCCGAGTACCACGAGAACCTCAAGTTCGAGCTCGAGCACATGGAGAAGGTGTCCGAGAGCATCGTCACGGCCAAGGCCATGCTCACCGTCACCATCACTAAGACCACACTCGAGTGCGTCTTCCCGCACCTCATGGGCTCTGAAAACGTTGAGGATCTGTCCCTCGCAGTGAAGATACTGGGACACACGCTCGTGTATCCGTGCTCGGTTCTATTCGTGTGGGATGAGGCGACCAGCCTCGTCGTTCGACTCGAGACCGACATCGACATGGCCACACCGCTGCTCGGATTGCTCGGTAATCTCAAGGACGTGTCCCGCGTGGTGCAGGGCGCCACCATGGTCCCCAGCAATTTTATCGACGCGACGGCTCATTAGTCAACCAGCCAACCAACCGACCACACGACCAGCGACTGCAGATGGTGATTCCCTCTGCTCAAGCTCAAGCCTACTAAGTAGTTCTTATCTATCTAAGTATTATACACCAGCTGCATTATCTTCCTCTTCTCTTCTCACGTTGGTGCTCTAACATCATCTGGGGCTCTATTACATGTACATGTTGCTGCACAGCCCAAGTGTTTTTCAAGTTTAACTGAAACTTTTGGGTAAATGTTAACGGCCACTAGGTTCATGTTAACGGTCATTAGGTTCATGAAAGTCGGTGCTTCGGGGTCATTACGTTCATGAAGCCGGCGCTGTAGCTTCCCTCGCTTCGAGATCCAGTCGAGTGGCGCATATCCGCACGACTTGGGGCGGTGTAAGCGCAAAAATGCCACATGCCTCCAAAATTGTCGTGAGCTGCTCCAGCCCGTCAGCAACTTCCTCTTCGGTGGACTCGTCATCAAGAGCTTTGTAGACCTCACGCAGCCTTGCTGCAGGCATCTCCAGTAGGTGGCACACTTCGCGAGTTAGACGGAAGTACGACCGCGGTAGCGGCTTTGACGAACCCGCAGCAAACATCGCGACAAGCGATCGGATGTCCTCGACAAATTGACGCTCGCCCGATCTGCTGAGCTGAGTGCACTCATCCGTCGCTGAAGGGTTGCAGAACGCATCAAAGAGAGCGGTATCGAGTGCGGATGCCAGAGGTTTCCACAGAGCAGGCCAATATTCAGGCACCAGCGCCTTGCGCGCACACCTCAGCGTATTACTGATAAGAGTGTAACAGCTCGCCAACTCAGAGGAAACCCCTGGCACGATCTGCAGCTCCTCACGGTTGTCTGCATCGTCATACTTTGTGTCCGTCCAAAACGGGCTAGCATAACATGTGCAGGCGGAGCACAGCACAGCACACGAGCACGCATGAGTCAGACAAGGTTGAAGTGGTGAAATACCATGGCAAACATCAACTTACCTCGAGCGGTAGGCTCCAACGTTTCGCTCGGCCGCGCGCACCAGCGTGTCCTTGCCGCCCTCGAGCAGCGTCGCCGCCAGTAATTTCAGCTCCGAAATCTGCCGCTCGAATATCGTGTGCGAGAAGAGAAGTGTCTCAGGATCGTCTTGCTCTTGGTGGTTGTTGATCGAAGCGCTGTCATTGCCGTTCGGAGCAGCAGCCGGCGGAGAAGTATCCATTGATGGGCGCTGCGGGTCTTGGTCGACTGTCTTGCCGTCGGTCTCTGCACGACGAAAAAGGCTCTTCATCGTCTTGGACCCGACCGAATAAGCCGCGGAAAGAGCAGCTGTGGGCCCGATCATCGCTCCTGGTCCAGCGAGGGCTTGTCGAACCGCAGTGGCTTCTTCTGTAGCAAGGACAGCGGCCGAGGCGCGCGCAAGTACCTGCTTCGAGTAAGCCACGTGCATCCGAAGCACTTGGGCTCTTGTCGTCTCCGAGCGCGCAACCTTCTTCGAAAGCTCCAAAAAGACGCTGCTCTGCTCCCAAGCCGCCAGCGCGTGCGCTACGTGCTGCAGCGCGTTCACCACAACGAATAGCTCCGCCCACGCATTTTGGGTCTTCGCATCGCTAGTTTTCTTGGCCAGAGCACTGATCAGCCGGCGTCCTCGGGCATCACAGAGCTGTCCAAATCGACGCAACAGTGGCAAGTGCACCTGCACCACGTACAAGTAGCGGTGCTCTTCTGTCTCCATGAGCGTGAAGCGCTGAGAGAGGAAATCCAGTAAGGACACAAACCGCAGCGCTGCCGGGGGAACCAGATCTTGATCAAGCTCTGGCGCAGAACATTCGAGGCGGCCGTATGCCGCGTCTTCCAGCTGCCAAATCGATTCCCGTTTAGCACGAGACGCATTGAAGTCGAAATCATCATCCGAAGACTCGTCCCCAAGACTCGATGACAGCACACGATGCCCGTACTCGACATCAGCGCTCGTCCAGGAGAAAAGCACGTCATTGCTCGACGTGAAAACATCTACACAGCGTGGGTACGCGCGACGGTCGGCGCTAGCCCAGGAACCGTATCCAACGTCGTCATCGATATTCTGCTCGAAGAGAAGGACCTCATCCAGTGTATGACACAACAACGGTGGATGCTGTTCGTCAAGCCAAATAACAAGAATTACAGGTGATCAGTATCAATACTAATTGGACGCAGAGCGCGTAGTATCCAAGCAACTCACCGCCAGCAGAGTAGGCAAGTCTTGTGTAAGCTTTCGACAGACAGCCTTGACAAGTCCGCGGAGTAGCAGGATCTGCGCGTCCCAGCAATGCACTTCCTCACGATGGCGGTGCAGTTCTGGAGTGAGCGTGTGCGCCAAAAAGCGCGTGTGCGCGTTTGTCTGCTCCTGCGCATGGCTTAAGTACCATTCGGGCTTTGCTAGTCGGTTCGTTGCGCTCTCTGGTCGTTCAAAGTGATACCGAAATCGCAGCAGCAACGGGTCTAGCACACACTCCATCGCCCACAGATCCGTCGTCGCCGACACAGGCTGCGCCTGCTGGCTAAGCTGCAGCGTGAGCAAGTACCCGAACGCATCGGATACCTCACGCAGCTTTGTCTCCTTAACAACAAAAAATGAATATATGATCAGCGTCAGAACCTCAACCTTCCGCCTCCTTACCAAACATCAGCACTTGCATCTCCACCTTGTCAGTTATCTCCTGCTGGGTGGCCAACGGCTCGGGCCAATTGATCTTCTCCAATGCCAGTTGCAACTTCTCGACTGCAAAGTGGCGCAGATCCACCGACAAGTCCTCCACCCTTCGCGCAGCTTCTCTCTAAGAAAAAATCAATTCACAAATCTACAACGTTAGTTTTCTTTCAGCAAAATAAACAATAAATAACTTACTCGAATGGCCGTGAACTGCTCTGGAATTGCAGCAGCAAAAGCCGCAAAACTGCGAAAAGCCTCCAGGGCGTCGGGCGTGGCTTGGACGGCTCTGCTCTTGGCTTCCTGGCTCAGTTTCTCCACTTGCACGGCCGCTTCCAGGTACTTGGCTCGACTCTGGAGCGTCTGCAGCTTGTCGAGTCCGGGGCGCGCGATGCTCTCCAACTGGGTGAAGTGCTGCTCTGCAACTGTGAGCTGGGGCTGGAGTGACTTGATTCCAGTATGCACTGCTAAAAGTTCGCCGTGCTCTTCAAGTGGGTTTACACACGCAGCGGTCTCAGGCGGATCCAGCGCCTTCGCCAGCTCCGTGAGCTCCTCCTGCGTGCGCAGACGCAGCGCCGCGAGCGCCGCCGACACGAGTGGCCAGTCCACGTCCTGGAGCTCCTGATCCGACGCATCGGCGGGCACGGAGCCCAGCAGCGTCGCGCTGAGCACCTCCAGCGGGGACGGCGTCATCTGACAATTGAGTGACATGGCAGATTTGACCAAAAGTTGGAATTTGGTCCAATCTGTTAGAGTACTGAATTTAGACACATTTAAATCTGAATATTCTTTAACTACTACAGAGCTGCTGGTACATGTAAGCTTTCCTAATACCTTACGTAAGCTTACCTAAGAGGTAAGCTGAGGATGCCCCCACCGGTGAGATTATCCTAGGAGACCAGCTTGCTGGTTTACCAGCCTCACAAACTTTAATTCGTCACGAATGTATTCCCAGTTACAGGTAACGCAATTAGCGATGGTACAAAAACTTCTCAAAACAAAACACTTCTTTGGAAGTTTTTCGCTCTTCACAAGTTTTAAGAAAGTAGGCAAACATTTGTTCGTTTCAATTTGACTAGAATATCATTTCGTACTTCTCCAGTTGCACATTACCGGCAGATGCTGCGGCTGCGAAGCAGGCGCAGTAGATGGCCGTAGTTATCATCAACTAACCGTGCTTCTTGACTCAAATTTTGTTCTAGGTTAGATTTTGTGCTACTAAACCGCCATCCACAGGCGTCTCCTGCGTCTGTTTCGCAGCCGCAGCATCTGCCTGCCTCCGACTGCTAGGGTTCTCGAAAGCTGCAGTAGGCGTAGTTCCACAGGCAGTTCACCAACTACTGCACCGACCTCTAAAGAATATACAACAGGTTCGATACAAACGCGAATTAGAAGTAAAGGCGTCGACTTTCAAAGAGTTTTAGATTGCGGAGGGCTGCATCTGAACATCTTTAGTGTAAACTATCTGTCTGTGAACAACCATGCAGAACTTTCACTTCCACGATAAAAAATACTAAGTTGAAAAATGGTCTCCCAGCCAAAGCGCAGCAACCTTGTAGTGAGCTGCAGCTGAGCTGCAATATCGTGTCGCGCACTGGAAACTGTAACATTACGTTCTGGTTCTGGTAGCTACCAAATCTAGGATGCTAATTCTAAATTTCCGGGTGAATTCACAAGGTCGAAGAGCTGTGCTTGGGTGGAGCTTTACTGAAGCTTACTGAAACGGAGTACTTTGTTTCCGAGATAGGGTATTTGTTGACTTCAACAATTACGTCTAAAAGCTACGAATCCAGCCTTCAACTGCAAAAATTCTACACTTCCCTTAGCTCAATATATTCTTCTATATTCATGATTCTGCGCTCATGATTAACTAACTACCAGTAAGACCAGCAAACGCCGCTCCTTTTGCGAAGTTTTGATCACTGACTACATGATCACTAGTGCATCCAGTTTGTCCTATTTAGTACACTACGGTAGTTAGTGTTCGTACTTACATAAAATTCAAGATATGTTGCTTCTGCACTTGTGAGTTACTAATTTCACTACGCGTAAAATTCCTGCAAAGTAGCTTCGCTCAGCGCTACTAAAAGTTTATCTTCATCAAATGCGTCTTGTGGTAGCTTCGACCAGGCCGCGACATCTCCAATAAGCTTTTCGAGTGCAAGAATGGCATGTCCAGAAGTAACGAGAGAAACTAAGAGATAGTTTTGCTGTGGTTTGTTTGCGATTGCCACACTCGATCTCCAAGAAACGACAACCAGTGAATCCAGAGTCTCCTCTTGCGCTTTGTACCTATGTGGTTGATCACACCGCACACACGAAAGGAAATTGCTGTTTAATCCGACCACTCCCGAATGCTCCCTCCGTACCGTAGCACTTGATGCCTGCATCTCCGCCACTTGCTCCTAGTTTCCCTCCCCTTTTATTTATTCAAATTCACTATTGTTGTTGTTGCCCTGCGACCTGTGTACTCTCCCGGAGCAAGTGCTTCGGGTAGCCTATGCTTTTTCGTCATCCTTCACTGTAAGACGAGTAGTGTGGTGTCGAAAAACTTGGCTTCGACTTTGAAAACTGGCAAGTGGCAAAAATAAGACTTACAATGTGTGCGTTGTTGTTGTAGGGCTTGTTGTGGTTTCCGTAGCACAGACCCCAGACTTACCGATGAACAACTTCGCGACCTCGGTTGCTTGCTGGGGCCGGTCGCCGAGCATGCAGGGGCGGCGGGAGGTAAGAGCGGATTGCACACCGACCATGTCGCATCAGGAATAGAGCGCTCATGAGAACATCCTCCTCACCACTACATTAGCTTCGTTTCGTAAACGCCCTGGTGGAAGCCCCAAGTGCAAGCTTGAACGGCGTCTGGTCTTGGTGATGAGGCAGCACTGAATGAAGACCCTTCCTCCATCTGAGAATGAATGACTCGTCCTGCGTTGCAGGCGCGCCTGGCTCATGGATTAAAACGCGGGCCAATCACGTGCACAACATGACCACATGCCCTTCCTCCAAGACCTCCTCGTTGCGTCTCCATTCGCCGATCCCCCGCGTAGCACGCAGCTCCCCAATAATGGTCGAGCCTTCAGCTTCACCTTCGCCGTCCCGCGCGTCCGAGGCGCCGTACGCGTCCATGACCGACGCCTCCAAGCCGCGCGGCGTGGACCAGAGCTCCATGTCCAAGTGGGTCGTGCCGCGCGCCGCCGTGATCGTCACCGCCGCGGTGCTCGTCGTACTGTGCTCGGGCGGCCTCGTGCTGGGCTTCGGCCCCGTGTACTCGCTGCTGGTGGACGAGGGCCAGTGGTCGGAGCTCTGCGCGCCCGACGAGGAGATCTCGGGCGTCACGTGCGCCAGCCAGGAGGTCAAGCTGCAGTACATCTACTCGACCGCCTTCCTGTGCCTGAGCTTCGCCAACGTGGCGTCGAGCATCACCCTGGACGTCATAGGCGCACGCCTCACCGTGTGTTTGGGGCTCGTGATCTCCATCATCGGCAACGTCCTGCTGGCTCTGGGGCAGTCCACGGACGGCAACGGTGCCTCCATCATCGCCGGGTACTCGCTCATCGGCGTGGGGGCTACGGCGTCTACATCAGCGCGTTCCAGCTCGTGCTGCTCTTCCCCAGTGAGCAGCAGGGCCGCATCACCAGCATCATGTCGGGGCTCTTCAACTTCTCCGGTTACGTCTATCTGCTGCTGCAGATTCACGGTATGACGCGCGAGGGGTTCTTCCTGGGCTACGCGGTGCTGGTGGCGGTGTGCCTCGTCGTGGCCTTCGTCCTGTTCCCGCTGAACTCGGTCTCGCTCACCAGCAAGACGTACACGCTGTCGGGCTTCAAGATGAGGTGGCCGGCGGTCACCAAGCCCAAGAGCATGTGGCCGGCGCTGCGCTCGCAGATCGGCCGCAAGGACCTGTGGTTCTTCGCGCTCTTCTTCGGCTGGATCTCGACCATCAACGCGTTCATCGGCGGCGCCATCCCTAACATTATCTACAAGAATGACGGCGACGACGAAAGCCTCGGGGATCTCTACGTCAACTACCTGCAGCCGCTCATCACGAACGGCACCTTCATCTACACGCCGCTGCTGGGCTGGATTATCGACAAGTACGGCTGCCGGGTCGTGTTCTTCGTCACGCTGCTGTCGACGCACCTCGTGATCGTCTTGCTGCTGGTACCGTCGCTCACGGCGCAGACCTTCATGCTGGTCCTTTTCGCCTTTGAGCAGGCTGCCTTCTACACGCTGCAGTTCGCGTACATCCGTAAGTTGTTTGTTTGCTCGTTTGTGTTGTATCGTTTGTTGCTGGGGTGGAATTGTAATCCTAACTGTTGTGTATTGCAGTTCTTACGTTCCCGGCTGAGGTCTACGGCTCCGTACAGGCGTTCCTCGCCGCGTGTTCGTTCCTCATGGGACTGCTCAACTACGCCTTCACGCCGTGGGTGCAAAATGGACTTGGCGGCGACTACCTGGTGGTTCTACTGATCATGGCGGCGCCAGTGCTGGTCATGTACTTTTTCATGGGGCTCATTCGCAACAACTCGCTGTTGAGTGAAAACGTCAAGAGTGGCGCCGCGGTCGACGAAGAGCTCGAGCAGGGCAAACCCTCCGTCGACTAACTAACTTAGTCAGAGTATTTTTATGACTTGTCGTGAAATTCGTCAATCCCAGGACGCCCAATTCCGGAATTTTACTACAAGTTGTGTGTGTGTGTGAGGCCTGTCAGGACTTGGGGGGGGGGGGGGAGGGAGGGCGAGCTCATGAAGCGATGAACGGCATCGCATTTAATCAGGACCCTGGACTTGTCCGTTGAAGTACTGGAAGTTCGCGCGACGTTAGGAGAGATCGGGGTCTCAAGTTGCAATGAAAGTCGCCGCAAATTTAGCAGCTACGTGCTCGTCATCCTACTGCGCTTCCGACCCCGATTCGGTTGAAGTGCTATTCCGAGGAGAACAAACACAGTCCCGTGCTATGAGGTCTTCCGGAATTCGTCAGACATCTGTGGTCCCATGAAGCGCATCGCCCGAAATACGCAAAGCAGCACTTGACGGCGTCATTTAGGGCAGTGTCGTCATCCTCCTCCAGGCTCCCAATTTGGGCGAACGTTTCTCGGTATCAGGACCTTGGCGCTCAGACTCGCTCGCGCGTAAATTTAGGATATCGGCGCGGCACTTGGCGTGTGCCTCTTGTGCTCCGTCGTTTCGAGCTCTCGACGCTTGCAGTCTCGCGCCTGCATTCGACTGGGATGGCACCAAGCGCTCACTGAGCTCCGTCCGATCGATGATTCGATCGAAGTCAGCGCGAGATGTCGCCTTCGAGGAGACCCACGAGCTGCAGGCCGAGCAGACCGAAGCTCAAGAGACGGTCGAGGCGCGCAGCAGCGGAGACCAGGAGAAGACGGCGTCGGGACCAGTTCGACCCTTTAGTCGCCTCGTGACCACGTCCGCCGTGGCTGCAGCGCTGGCCGAAGTTCAAATAGCCGAGTCCCAAGTATCAAATGAGCGTCCGAAGAGGAGGAGGCTCGACCGAAGGCATTCAGGCGGAATGGAGCCTCTGGCTGAAGCCATCCCGGAGACAAAGGCAGGAGACGTGCAGCCCCACAATGGCCATCGCTTTAGCGCACCGACTGTCGACCCGACCACGACTGAGGTGGTGATTAAGCCCATGCGACTAGGAAGTGCCTCGCCCCGCGGTCAGTTGAAGCGAGCCACGAGCACGCACCTTGCAGGAATTCGCGAGCGGCTGAAGGCGGCTCAAGCTGGAGGTAACACGATAACGGTCACGACCATCAAGCGAACACCGAGTGCCTCCACTACTTCGGCTCTCAAGCGGACACCGAGTAGCTCGACGGTACCGTCGTTCCGTGCAGTGGCAAAAGCTGTGGTCGTTAGTTCAGCCTTGACGTCGGGTGGGAATGCGACGGCTGCGAACAGTGAGCGCACGGAGCAAGGCCAAAACTACGAGCAGATGATGGCGCGCTTCCAACTGCGTCGTCTGGAAACCTCAGACTCGGGGCGAAGTCTGGATGTCGACACTAACAAAGCGTCCAACCGACGAGGCAGCACGTACATTACCCCCGTGGACTCAGAGCTCAGCCAGCGCCGTATGATGGACGACCTGATGAACTCTACCCGTCCGCGGAGTGAAGGAGAACAGGTCGGCAGCACAATCGGCCGGGAGAAGGACACTTTACGGTCGTCTCAATCGCATGTGGACTCAAGACCAGAGGAGAGTCCACGTCGACCCGGAGCTCCGTCCTTCCACTCGAACAATGCAATCGTGACACCTCCAGCTACAGCGTCAGTGATGCCCGCAGGTACTCTTGGAACAGTTAGCGGGGCTTTAGGGGGGTCGGTACGGTCGATCGCGTCAGTTGTCAACAATGGACCGTCAGACCAGGATCCAGGTCGTCTATCGCAGCCGCAGGAGAAGACTGACCATGGCCAGGGATCAGCAGCAAGGAGAGACTCGGGAGGAGTTCCTGCACTGGATCATCACAATTTTCAGAAGCTTACTTCGAGAGTGGGGAGCCGACCACGCCCAATTCCACGTCTCAAGAAGCGAGTGCGAGCCTTAATCACGCGACTGCGCACCCCCATGTCCCCGTTTTCCAGAACTGCGCGCGTTCGTAGCTTCATTTTGCTCATCGCCTTTTGCGTCCACACGCTTGGGTTTCCGTACGAGGAAGCTTTTCACAATGGTGGCCGCGCGTGGTTCATATCCATTGATGCTACAACGGAAATGATCTTCTTCGCCGACTTCCTGCTGGCTTTCAACACGAGCTTTGTCAATAAACGAGGAGTGCTGGTGGTCTCAAGACGACACATTGCCTGGAATTTTCTCACGGGGTCGTTCGTGTTCCAGCTCCTGGCTGCAGTTCCGATCGTGACGGCTTCAATAATGACTAGTGGTGGCGCGGGCAATGCTGTTTACCTGGAGTCGGTGAATGATGCGTTCCAACGGTTCTCTCATACTCTGATCGACATGGCAATTCGGTCCCATCGCATCGTTCATATCTTGCGGTTGCTTCGAGAAGTTGGTCAAGTCCGCGACGCTCGAATCGACAAGTCAGTATTAGGCTGGTTGCTGTATTCGCGCTACTCGCACTTGCTACGGATTGTTTGGATTGTTGGTGCTGTCATGCTTATTGCGCATTGTGTGGCGTGCTGCTGGAGACTGCTGCTCATCGACTCCTCCGCTGTCGATCCCTCTTCAATCATGGCAAGAACATGCGGGGCGCCGATCGACCCGACTGTGGAGCTAGAAGTGTATGCTGAATGTTTTTACGTAGCGATGCAAATGCTGCAAGGACAGAGTCTCACGACGCACTCGGTCAGAGAAAATGTGTTCGCGTCCTGCGTCAATCTGCTCGGCTCCATTGTGCTAGCCGTGATTTTCGGCCATGTTGCGATGCTTGTGGCAAACTTCAACGCCAACTCGACGGCCTACCAGCGGAAAATGGAGTCCGTGTTCGCTGGAATGACCAAGATGCAGCTTCCAGCTCCACTGAGGGAGCGAATACACCAGTACTACGCTCACCTCTGGCGTGAATACGAAGCTCTGGATGGTGCTCCCTTAGAGAGGTTTGCAAAGGAACTCTCACACAACCTCACTCTGGAGGTTGTACTGTTCAAGTACATGGAGTTGGCCATGCACGTCCCCTTCTGGGAGAACTGTTCACCCGATTTCCAGAAGACCCTGGTGCTGAGTCTAGACACTCGCGTGTATCTCCCAGACGACTTTATTGTGCGACGCGGTGAGGTGGGGAACGAATTCTACATGATCAACCGAGGCATGTGTGAGCTGGTTGGGAGTAACGACACTCAAGAGCATGCGACGGAGCCGCTTGCTCGACGACGTTCTGCAGCTACGGATCACAGTGAACACCCTGCAGACACTTCAACACTGTACACAACTTCGTACGATGGAACTATTTATCCAGATCGCGATGATCTAGGTCACGGTGTCCACCACCACGGCCGTAGTGCCCGCGCCGCGGCTCGATATGCTCACGTGAGCCCCGATGGGTTTACCCAGATGAATGCGTCCGTCAAGGCGTTGACGCGCGGACAGGCGTTCGGCGAGATGGCGTTACTCATGAACTACCAGCGCACCGCCAACGTACGCGCCATGACGTACGTCGAGATGTGCGTGCTCAGTCGCACTGCCTTCCAGGCCGTGTTGACCAGGTACCCGGCAGACCGAAAGCACGTCATTTCGCAGATTTTGATCTCGTCCCTGGAAAACAACGAGCGATTCGGGATTCCTTGCCCTCTCACCGCCATGGTTCGCTCTGTATTTGCTGGCGAGGTGGACGGAGCCGGAAACGGCGACAAGTTCATCACGCCTCGACGCGCTGCTAAACTCATCGCGTGGGCGGTGAATCCGGACGTCGAGGATGACTCGATCAAGTTCGCGCTGAGTGCAAAGCTAAAGGACCAGCTCGTAGTCGTTCGAGACCAGGAGTTTGGCGTTCCGACGCATTCAGAGGAAGAAACCCCGCGTCAAGTGGCGGCTAGATCCGGTACTTGGACCGCCGGAGCCCCCGCGTCCCCAGTCGGATCACCCAGACTCAACCGTGTCAGCAGCGCTCCGATCAATCGAAAGCGAACGCGAGAGGATGGTGGTCAACACGACTGTGGATGCACCTGCCACTGCAATGGTTCAAGCACTGCGATCTCGGACAGCGTCTACACTCGACCGGTGAAGTCGGAGCCCGAAGTCGAGTCGCAAGTCATGAAGCTCGAGAGCGTGCAGGCACAAGCTTTGGCGTTGATCCAAGAGCTGCAGCGCGGGGTTCAAGACTCGCTGTACCCTCCCAGTCCGCCGCAACAGATCGTCACAGCCCAATTGGCTCCGGACGTTGTCACCACCGCCGCAAACGCCCCAACCTCCCGTCGGCCGTCCATCACGCGAGGAGTGAGCTCCAAGGCGGTCCCCACGATTCAGCAGCGGCGATCTCGATTCGTGAGCGCGCGCTCCACTTCAGCGCCGAACTTCGCGGATCTCGACTCGACAGCGGGTCGAGCGGCTGACACGAACGCGAACGAAGAGGCCGACAAGGACGAAGACAAGGTCGCCAAGCCTCCGCAGACGCCTCCGAAGCCCATACAGCGCGCGGTGACTGCGCGGTGGCTGAAAACGTCCGAGAGCTCTCGACCCTTGAGGAACCCCAACACGTTCGCGCCATTGGTGCGACCTCGAGGCCCCACGGGGAGCAGCTCGCAGCGGTTCATCCAGCGCGTGACGAACCAGTTGGCGAGCCTGGCCACCTCGTCCACCTCGACAGCTTCAGCCTCGCCCACGAGGTACGCCGACCAACTCTTCGGGACCGTGCAGCCCAGCTTAGATGGCGCGCCCAGTGTGAACGAGACGTCGTACAGAGATGATAGCAACGTGTCCGAGGCGCGGTATTAGTTAGTTAGATCAAATAGAGAGGGTGTTGAAGTCCGAAGATGGTACACGTGAGTTTATGCATTTTTTAGCGCGCTCCTTTCCTCTCCGAGCTGCGGTCGCGCTGCCATCAAGCGAGCGACGTTGAAGCAAATCTGCACCGAGTGGCTTCGACAGACTCGGCAGGCGAGAAACGTAGCTTGGGGATAAGGATAAATACCTAACTTTATTATTCTCGCAGTAACTACAGATAGATAGGTTGCTCTACAGCTTTTTAGACACTAATTAGGCTACTAGCGATGCCCTGCGGCGTAGTGCCGGGTGGCGCGCCACTTGCTCGGCGCTGAGGCGGTGCTGCGGCTGCACCTGCAGCATGCAGGACAGCAGGTTGATGGTGGGCCTCGAGACGAGCTTCTTGAGCCCCCAGAGCTCCAGGATCTTGGCCACACCGTACTTGTTGAGCACGCGTAGCGTGGGCGCGCTGCGCTGCTCGTCGGAGAAGAGCGGCGAGCCCGTGAGCAGGATGAAGAGCAGCACGCCGAGCGACCAGACGTCGGCCCGCTTGGGGTCGTACATGGCGCCCTGCGCGATCTCGGGCGCCATGTAGTAGTACTTGCCCACCACGTCCGTCGACAGCTTGTTGGCGTCGGCGCTGAGCCCGAAGTCGCAGAGCTTGACGCGGCCGTCCTTGAGCAGCACGTTCTCGAGCGACAGGTCGCGGTGCGCCACGCCGTGCGCGTGCAGGAAGCTCAGGCCCTTGGCCATCTGCGCGAAGAGCGCGAGCGCCTCGCCCTCGGCCACGCGGCGGCCGGGCTTGGCCGTCACGTAGTCGTACAGGTCGCCGCCCGCGCAGAACTCCATGGCGATGAAGGCGCTGTCGCCGCTCGAGAAGAAGCCCTCGCGCGCGTACTCGACCACGTGCTCGCGGCCGGGCGCGCGCGCCGTCAGCGGGTCCTCCAGCAGCTGCACCACGAGGCGCTCGCTCAAGGGGTTCTCGCGCACCTCGGCGGGGCTCTGGCTCTGCTGCTGCAGCAGCGGCAGGCTCACGCGCTTGAGCACCACGAGGCGCCGGCCCAGCGCTTCGTCCCGGTACAGCGCCGTCTCGCCGTACAGCGTGGTGGACAGCTTCTTGACCAGCGTGTAGCGCGCCAGCACGTCCGAGAAGGCGGCGGGCGACGCGGGGGCCGCGGCGGCGGCGGGCGCCACGACGGCGAGCGGCGCGTGGATCATGGCGACACCTGAAAGTGGACCTCGGACTCGGAGAGCGAATCGGAAAGTGAAGTGGGCTCCGGTGAGCCAACCTGCCGCGTCGAGAGGGAGGGGACTGCTGTCCGGCTGAAGCGGACCATAGTGGGGCCAAGTCAAACTCTTTTTTATTGCTTTGCCGACGGTACGCCCTCACCCATCAGCTCCGTCACATAAAAATTGGGGCCAGGCTCATCAACTGGTATTTGCGAGTCGCAATCGGCAAACTGCTGGAAAAAAACCGAGTATCCGCGCCGATATCCACCAGCGGCGGCAGCGCTCGGAATTCGCCCACAGCGAATCGTCGCTATCCATACCAATGCACTGCAGCAAGCACGTTGCAGTCGGAGATCCTCCCCCACTTAAGGAAGGACCTCGGCTATCCTGCTTTCGGAGTTCTCGAACGCCACGCTGGCGTTACTGCGGCAGCGATATAGGGGCCAATAAATAATGGCGATCGTCCTGCAGGCCGTGAATTTCAATACCAACCGACATCGAATAGTCTCTAAAATTATCTGTATACAAACGCGAAGTTAAATATTTCTATGAACATTGATAGTCTGTGGCAACCCAAGTAACTGAGGCTAACTGAGGTTTTCTTAACGGTTGCGTGCGACTTTTGAGTTCCATACAAGAATGCAAGCGCAATGGCCCCGTGCGGATAGTTTTAGCGCTCGCTCGCTGCCTGAGCAAACGCCAACGTGCACCAAGCTTTCAGTCCGCCCTTGTGGAAACAAACTGTTGCTCATAATATCACCCCCACCCGCGCGCTTGCGTCGCCGCGGATTGCCTGCCTTCCGGCGCCATGGACGTGCATCAACGGTCGCAACCCTTCATTGCAGTTGAAGTGGTACATGTTGCGCTAGTTGCCGTTCATGCCAAGGACTTCGGGCGCTGTCGGCGCAGCGCAGCCCAGCACCGATGTTGCCTTAGCTCGCTTCGAGCAAAGCGTGGCAGGTTTGCAGGGCGCCTCGGTGTGCCTCGCGCCCGGCGCTGGCCGCCGTGACGTCGCGCTCGTGGCAGCGAGCTCTGGTGCCGCCCGGCTTGAAGTGTCCTCGCTGTGTCGATGGTCGCCAGGGTGCCGCCTTGCATTTACGCCGATGCCTGCGCTGATGGTCCGCTCCTGGGCTCGTCTACAACGCTGCTTGGGGCCAGCCTCGCTGCGCTCCACTCGTCCGCGAGCCGGAGCCCGCTGAACTGTCCGAGTGCTCAAAGTTTGAGTCAAGCATAGGATATCGGAGCCCCTGCGACTTGCAATGCTGGAAGTCTAACGAGCTGCAGCACAGGGCTTTTGGCGCGTCGCAGGGCTGCTACAGCAGCACACTCGAGCGACAGCAGCAGTTGAGCTTGTCGCGAGTTCACAGCAGGCAGCTGATACTGTACTGCATTCATGACGGCTTTCGTTGCTGGATCCTGGCACTTCAGAATCGTTTTGGGTTCTCAAAAGCTTACGAATTTGACGTGGCAAGGTTGCACAAGGTAGTTTTAACGAGACGACTAGTAGTCGGACTACTGCTGTTTCCCCAGGTAAACGCGATCTCCCTAACAATGGCTCGATGGTCATGTTGCAGCGGGCAGCACGCGAGTCCCAGCTGCGGACGGAGACAACGGAGTCTTTGATCCCCGGCGCGTCTTGCGGCTCGGACCCAGTCGCTGTAGCGTCTTCCACTTGGATGCAATGGATTCAGCAGCAGCTCGCGGGGTCTTCAGCTTAAACGCGACGGCATTCCTGGCTGGCAGACGTCGGTACTTCTGGGCGCATCGACCAAGACTCCGCTGCCACCGGCTCATGAGGCCTTTCCACTTGCTGCCGACAATGAGTCGAGCGCGCAGCTCGTCCCTTCGAATCCAGCGACTATCGCGTCCAGATCCGTCGGGTGTCGGCTTGGAGCTCTCTACCTCCATCGACCCCACGAGGGTGCTCCATCGCACAAGCTGGTGCTCTGCAGTGTGCATCAGCGGGTGCGAGTCGTCGACGTTGTCGTCGAGATATCGCAGCAGGAATCCCGCCAGGTCCAGCGGAACCACGGAGTGTGGGCTGTCGCTTGCTGTGCAAGCTTCTAATGCAGCAACAAGCGGTATTAGCCCCTTACGACGACTGCGCGAGCGTCTAAGGCGCTGCACTGAAGGCGCCTCCAGGTCGAAGGCGTAAAAGTCACGACGAACGGGGCTGCCATGGCTCTGCTTCGCCAGTCGCCACCACTTGCGACGCACGAACTGCAGGTCCTGGCTCAATGCTGTCCATTCTGCTTCTGCTAATGCCCGAGCTGCAGCACATTTCTCATGCGCGAAATACTCGCGAGACGTGCCGAATGCTTCAGCACACCACTCACACGCATAGGGAGGTGTATTCCTCTTACTGTCGATACGGCGGAACCATACCCGGCAGAATGCTTCCAGCACACGCGCGCAATTGTCCTCCATTTGCTTTCGTGCCTTATCCCGTCGAAGCCCCCGCATGGGCCGAATCCGAGCAGCACAGAACTCCTTCGGGTAAGTGATGCATGCCCACCACGAAGTTGCAGCACTACGAGAGAGCTTCGCACGAGTACACCTCAATTTTTCACTTGCACTTGCCCACCACGACCAGCAAGCGCAACATCCAACCGTCTGGTTCAGTTTCGGTGCACCTGGAGCAGCAGTGAGCTCTGCTAGTACGCATAGACTATCTTTCGAGACCTTGAACCTCTTTGGAAGTGCATGAAGCTGTTGGTCCCTCCCCACAATCATTTGGCAGAGTGCACGCAGGTCCAGTCCTCGAAACCTGCGGCCGGAGAGTATTCCAGTTGCAGCGTCAATCTTCTCGGCCATTGATAGCTCGTCCCATTTGCTGGTGTCGTGACGCAGGCGCCGGAAGCGCAGCCATGGTTTTTCTTGTTGCCACTGCACGAGATTGCGTCCGGGTTTCGTGCTAGATAGAAACTCTCTCAAATGTACGCGCACCTTGGCCAACTTTGTTGCAACAAACTCGTCTTCTCTTGCACGACGACTCAGTTCTGTAGCAATGACGTGAGCCAACCTTGTGACTAACTCAGCACGGGCACAGCGTCGACGCCATAGACCTTGTATTAGCGCGATTCTCCGCCTTCGCTTACGCAGCAAGAGTACCAGTCGTCCGAGCATCCGCATTCGTGCCTTCACCTGTCGATGGCGGGCTCGCCGAGCTAATATAAGCCGGCAGAGTTGTCTGAAGCGAATAACGTGCTTCTGACTCTCAAACATGCGGAAGCAGCGCTGGATGCGCACAACGCTGCGCACCTGCGTGATATGAGCTTGCCATGGTCGGTACCGTTGCTGGATGACCGCCGCCTGCCTGTTGGCATACTGAAGCGATTTCAATGCCTTGTGTCGAGCATGCCACCAGCGCCATTGCCTCTGTAGAAACACCAACTTGTTCACTCGTCGACGGTGACGAGCGCGATAATGGAGCTGTAGCTTGACCGCGCTCTTGTGTGCAAGAACCGAGTAGTTGAACCCTGCACCATTGGAACCGCTCACCGCATCCAGATGCGCCTGCGAAATTGAGAGCGATTGGCGAATTCCATCTTCGAGGGTAGCAAGAGCGTCTACAACAGCTCCGTCGGCAACCTGACGGTGAGCCGTGTCGAAAACCTTATGAGCGTGGTCGGACATCTCGACATCGTCATGAACTTCCTCCACCTTTGTTTGGTCCTCCAGATCTATTGCTGCAGTAGGTTCCACCGGGGTCAAAGATGCTTCCTCCAGCGGTGGCGCTTGTGGTGAGTCCTCAGTAGTTCCAGCATCGGGAGAGCAGGAAGGAGATTCGACCTGAGGCGGCTCGAATGCTAACGCGCGTGTGGGGACTGGTCCGCCGAACACCGACTCACTCGTCATCTCTGCTGCGAGTAGCGAGCGCACAGGGTCGTCCCAAAGCCTAACTCCCGACTCGAGTGGACCTCGGCATTGCATCGCCGAGTCGATTCGAGCTTGAACTTCGGTCGAGTAGCTTGGGGTGGACTCTTTCATCGATCTTCCTGAGCCTTCAACCACATTCGTGGGGGTTGCATCGGGGTTCGCTTTCAGCCACTCTGCCAGTCGCCCCTGCTTCTCAGCGAGCTCGCGCTCTTCACGAGTCGGTGGTCGCTGTTTCTTCTTCTTCCTACTCGGACTTCGCTGCAGTATCCTCGCTCTGCTGGGACTTGAACTTCTGGATCGAGTCGTTCCATTCAGGTTTGACTCAGTCGACAGCTGATCACCTGGTCTGCGTGCGGTTTGCTGTGTATGTATAAGCTGGCGCGGTGGTAAGCCGCCAGTTGCCTGGTCGTCTTGACAGTCTGGCCCAGCCCACGTCGTACCGTCCAGTCGAAGCAGCCCCTCCTTCAGCTTCAAGATACTTTTCGCCGCTCGCTGTGCTGGTGATCCGGGCGATGGCGCGGGTGGCTTCGGCCGGCGCAGCGGCCGACGGTACGGCGACTTGTGTTTGCAGAGGTTTTGCAGCTCGTTCGTGTGCATCTCGCTCGGCGGCTCGTGCTTATGATGAGCTTGTTCTTCAATAACCCGAGGCTTTCGGGCAGGATTGGCACTCGTCCTGCTGTCCAAGTTGACGAGCCAGCGGCACTCCTGTAGAAGATCAACAGGGGGCAGCGCTGACCATCGTAGTTGCCGTAGCGGTACGAGCCCCGCGGGCGATGAGGAAGTCGTCATGGACCCACACCGACGAAAGGAACGGAGCAGAGCAAAGCTCAAACACACGCAAACATCGGTGATCGGATTGTTGGGAGGTGACACAATAAACCGTACAGATAGGTGGCTAAATGCGGCGAACCCCAAGCAGAGCCGGCATCAAAGATGGAGATGGAGGCTGCTGTGGTGTCATGCTGCTGTAAATATAGACGGCCTGACCGGGTTGAATGATAGGGGGATGCAGTACAGTGACTGAAGGGGGCATAGCCTCGCTTGTTTCGTGCTCGACAAGACGATTGTCAAGCTGGATAAGTCGCCAGCCGCGGCGTTGTGAGGTCTCGAGGCGATTTGAGCCTCGAATTCCCCCCTCTGCAAGACGAAATGCATGATCTCGGCGATTTGGACGCTGCCACCTGTCCTGATGAAGGTCGAAGTCACCGGATGGCCGTGATCGTCTCTTTGCAAGACTCTCGAGGATGGGGTCTGGCTTGGCTTGGCTCGGTCGATCATTCATCCTCTCGGCTTGAGCTCCGTGCTGCCATTCCAACTTCCTGCTGTTCGAACCGAGGACGAGAAGCAACTATCGAAATCAATGGAACTCTTTGCCGGGTTTAACGCCGAGGAACTCGCCATGATGCAGGAGCTGCTGAGACTGTTGCTGGAGGATGACGATCCGATAACGCAGCAGCCGACCCCGCGCACGAGCGCTCGACAGGACAGCCAGGCCCTCTTCGAAGGGCTCACTTCGCCCAAGCGGTCTGGTGGAATGATGGTAAACGAGGTTGGCTGGGGAACGGTGGCCCAGACCGGCATGGCGTGGACTGCCGCGCCCCCCGTGATGCCTCCAACGCCTCAGTTCGCCACGACGGCGTCCAGAACTCGGACGAGAAGCAACTTCGCCAGTGACGAAGAGCCGCTCCACAAGCGGGGACGCGTCGACGTTGCCCCAGCCATGAGGGTGCCCGTGAACGTGAACCACATCCCGCTCTCCGAAGGCCCGCGCGCGGGCTACCACCCGTACTATTAATGAGAGCTGTCTTGCTGGTGCGCTGCGGATTGAACGCGCGGACCGGGCTCAGGTGTCGAAAGCAGGCACACGTATTTAAACCGACAAATGAACCTTGCGATTGAAGCTTCTCTCTCCTCGACATTCAATCTTTCATGTGCTAACAGATAAGGTTAAATCATTCGCTCGCTCACTTGACAGACTGCGCGGCCGAGGACGGGTGGCCCTGAGTCGGCTTAGCGGACTCGCCTAGTGATGGAAAGGATGCTGCTATAGGGTAAATTGCCGCTGGGCAATGGATTGCCCCAAGCTGCGATTGCAATCACGGCTTCAGAGCGTTGCAGGGCTTTGAGGTCTTCTGCCAGAGGCCATCCTTGGGCGTGCTACGTATCAGGTGGCTGGTGGTACATGTTGTGGGTACATTGGGGATACACGAACGACTGATGCGCCGCCGAGAATGCCCGTGTGCTTCTAGGACTGTTAGCTGACTTGCAACCTCACAGGTCGATTCGCGATTCGCTCGCAAAGCGCAAGAGGGCCACGTAGAGTAGAAGGCGGCAAGAAGGCGCCTTGCACGGGCAGCGCCAGTTGCTGAGAGAGCACTGTCACTTGCAGGAAGATCGCAACGCACTTCAACGGTACGAAGGGGCGACCTCCTCCACTATAGTCTATAGTCTATAGCTACTGAAGTAGTATTCTACACGTTGCCGCCAGTGTGGTGGCCCGCCACTCTGGGGCCCAGAGCGCTCCAGAATTGGTGGCTTTCAGCGGTGAATCTGGAGGCCACGAGGCAAGGCAAGGCAGCGCGGGATTACATGTAGTCAGCGTGAGTGCGCGCCTTGTTTCGCTCGAGCCGTGGGCTGTACCTAGAACACGCGAACGCTGTTTCATCCCGCAGCTTCAGAAATCTTCCATTTCGAACATTAGGCTTTTCAGCCAATCCCGAGCCGTCAAGGAAAAAAAAGTATCTTTTGCGGGAGCCGATCCGACCATAAAAGCCATTCACCAGTGGTGCAGCGCCTGTCCTGCGGTTGCAGGCCGCTGCCTCCCCACAATCCCTCTCACCGTTATCTGCTCAAGTCCGACTTGGACAACACCCCGCTGTTACAACGCACGCCATGGCCGCCACTGCCCCCCCCCCGCTGCTCCACGTGCGCCGACAAATCAGCGTCGCGCTCTACGGCGAGGTGCTCGAGTGCGAACTACCCGGCGACGACGAACCGGTAGCAGTCAAGTGCATCTCGCTCACGCGAGCGGCTGAAGCACGACGCCAACTGCGCACCACGCGGGAGATCGACAACCCGATGCAAGAACAACGCGTGGCTGAGCTCATTATGGCCAACGGAGGCCACCGCAACGTGGTGCAGCCGCTCTTCCACTTCACGCACGACAGGAGACTATACCTCGTCAACGAGCTGTGCCGGGGAGGAGACCTGCACTCGCTCGTGGCAGCTCGAATCAGCGCATCCACGTTTTTGGAAGAGCAGGAGGTGCTGCCGTTGATGCACCAAGTGCTTGAAGGCGTCAACTACCTGCATTCGGCGCTCGGTGTCGCGCATCGAGACCTGTCGCTCGAGAACGTGCTGCTGAGCCGCGGGGTCTGCAAAATCACGGACTTCGGGTTGTCGACGAAAGCTCGATCGATGTGCGAGGCTGGCCAAGTGGGCAAGGAGTACTACATGGCGCCGGAGATCGTCGCGGGCGAGCGGTATGATCCCGCTCTGGCCGACGTGTGGTCGTTGGGGATCATGTGGTTCATCATGCTGACGGGATCGCCGCTGCTGTCGCTGGCGTCCCCATCCGAGAAGGCGTTCGGGGCGGTGGCCAAGCACGGCGTCGGCACTGTGATCGAAGTGTGGGGCCACGCACACCGCATATCGACGAGCACGACCTCGTTGCTGGAGAAGATGCTGCAGATCGACCCGAGTCGCCGCTTTCGGTTGGATCAAGTGCTGGCCCACCCCTTGTTTGCCCCCGCGATAGCAGCGAAATAAAGGGACAATAGTTCGCAGTTCGAAGAACTGCGTTAGGCAGCCCCAGAAAAGTTTGCAGCATTGACATCCTGCAACATTACGGCTGGCGATTTTAAGTTGCTTGAGGTAGCCATGTTTGACGCATTGACATCCTGCAACTTTGCTGGCAACATTGCAACAGAACATAGTCTGCTGATCACTGTCTGTATTCTATAGATTGAGTCCTGGAGCCCGGCGATGTGGTGGAACCGTCTTCGAATGGAGGTATATGCCATCGTGCAAAGAAGCTCCGTTCTAGTAGTTGCCGATTCGGCTCACACGAAATTTTCGCCCTTGTAAAGAGCTGCAAACGAGTTTAGGCACTGGTGAAGGTGTTATTTGATGAGGAAACTCGCCTTAACGCCAAAATGGTTCGTGACAGTCGATCTGGGGATCATGCAAATTTCATCGAAGCGGCCCGAGTTGAGAATATAGATGTTTTCATGCCATACTAAGTACGTTCTTGAATTACATTCCTACAATCCTCCAATCGCAATAGGTTTTGAAGTCCGTTCATTAATATTTTGATGCTAAGTAGCTTTTTTATAGCGCCTGTGTTCAGAAGTAGCTGAGTAGTAATAATAAAATAAAAGGCAACTCAATGCACTACTGTCCAACTCATGGCTAAGACATTAAATACAGTATCAGCCAACCAGACGGCACGCAAAGCATGCGAGATGTTCAAAATAAAATACTTGTACACTGTAAAGCCCAGTTAATCTAGATCTTTTATTATTATAATGTTGTTGTTGTCTGGTCCAGTGGCCCGCAAAAATGTCATTGAGATTCTGAGTGGTTTCTCAATTTGAGAGTTTGGGTGCTGAGCGAAAAGTAAAAAAAACGCATAGTGAAATTTGAGATTTGCGAACTTCGCATTTTGCCAGTTATTCGAATTCACCTCGTAATTGTCGCTGACCTGAGTACTCCCCGGGAGCAAGTGCTCCTACACCATGCTTAAATCTTTCAGGTTCACGCGGCTACTTGTTCTGGAGTTGATCAAGTCAGTAAAGACGGTATGACCCCTGTCCCCGAGACACAACTTTACGCTAGCCAACGTTTAGCTCCACTCTGGAGCTTTGCAGACGTACGAGTGCGCGACTGCTTCCCGTTTTGTTGTTTTTGATTTTCTTCGTGGCAACATCCAAATTCATTTTTTAACCCTGAGATACAGAGACGAACGCTTGCTCGGTGAAAGCCTCCTCCTTCCATGAACGACAATACCTGTTTTCTTCTTTTCGTTGATTCTAATCATCGGTCAATGAGAACTGCGAATCTCCGGGCCTCATGGCCCGGGTTCCCTAATAAAATTTCCAGGATAGGGTGGGGTGTGTAAGCGGCACTTTGTCATAAAATGAAAAGCTAAAGAATCTGTGGGAGCTGCGTTCTCTAGTTACGAAGCGATTCCTTATGTACTTATCTTTTTGTAGTGGCCAGTGTCGCAGGTGCTCGCGGACGACCCGGTGTCTGTGATTCTACTTACTCCGCTACTCAGCCGCATTTCTTGACAAGACTCGTTGCTAGGCCTTGAGCAGTTGTAGAGCCTCCAGGCATCAAAAATACATTTTCGTAAAGGTATTTGCAACATATTCCGTATTTTAATCGACAATTTAATTAGCGTTTAAAGATATTTATTTTAAAAACATCAATTAAATTGTTAAAATAGTAGAAAATAAATATAACATAATTAATATGTATGTTTTAAATATAATTATCAATATTGTTAATATCTCGTTTAACTATTATTTATTTTATTGTGCTTTGCATCTCCTATTTAGTGCACTAATCAGTGCTCGTACTTAGCGGTAAATCATAGAGGCTGTGAATGGGAGTTGCTCGAATCGTGTTCCCATTCCGATTTGGCTCAGAAATGGCACTTTCTAAAAGTACCATGAGGATGCTAATCCGACCTGCAAAGCACAATACATATTTCTAGCAGAATTGTGACCTCTTTAAAAAGCGTAATAGCAAGATGGGACGAAAATCAGGATCATATCGGGGGACAGGTACCTCTTACAGAGCGAGTCGTACTCTCCGCATCGGTGCGGGGATAACTAACCAAATTGGCGCTTTGGGTCGCTCCTAGAGTAGGGATTCCAATGAAAAGTTTAAAAAACAATATTAATATTGTAAACCATTTTGAAAAATCGTAAATATGAGAGCGATAACGAACATTGTTGTACTAAAAAGAATGTAGTTAATAGTCTATTGGTCAGATTTTCCGCAGTAGATTTTGTCGTGTTGGAAGTGAAAGAGCGGCTGCCAGCCGCTCTGCCAGCCGCTCTTTCACTTAGCTGTCGGCTGCACCAAGTTGCGGTGGCCTCGTTCGTCATGATGAGCTTGGCCACTCCCTGCTCTTGCATCGGATTCTCGACTTTACTCTTGGTGCGCAATTGATGTTGTGCTTCAGCCGCTCGCGCGAGTGAGAAGCACGTGATTGCTATCTGCTCGTTGTCGCCGGGCAGTTCGCACTCGACCACCTCACCATAGAGCGCTGTGCTGATTTGTCGGCGCACGTGAAGTAACGAGGCGCAGTTGCAGCCGCGACGATAGGATCGATACTGTAGCAGTGAGGTACATACAGTGGTGCGCTTCAATAAAGAATATCGCAAAACTTATATTGTGCTTTGCAATGATTTTGGCAATATGAGGCGAGATTTGCTGTATTTATAGCGACCACCTGCTAGATTTACGATAAATCGAGGTGCATAAATGGGTGGAGGCCTAGAATTACTAAAAGCGCCACAATTGCACTTTTGAAAGTGCAATTGTGGCTGTGCACTTGCAATTCTGTCGGTTTTTATCCACAAGCACCTACACACACGGCAATTATGCATGAGAGGGTGGATGTGCTGGGGATCATGGACGGTGGTGTACTGGGCCCATGCATGGCTGCTGACAGGCCCTCCCAAGTCGATATATATATGAGGAGGTGGATTTATGCATAATTTTAGCAGGTCGTGTATCTTCTTTCACACCTATTTAGGAGCAGGCTGTGCCATATTTAGCGTC